AATCTCCGGATTCAATTGGAGGGGGGCTACGTAGATTTGTGACCTTTTCTTGCTCGAATCGCTTTCGACCTACCTTTTTGGGAGTCAGGACAACAGGATTCGACTGACTTTCACTGTCTACGCTCAGTTCTATCCGTTCTTCTCTTTCGCAGAACTCTAAAACTAACTGCCACGCATCACCGATCTTCAACAACCCAGATGATATGTAAACAAATTACCCGCCAACTCTCTTCTGCTCCGTCCGAAACAGTACCCCGTCCGAGCCCTAAAGTGGAAAAGTAACTTAGTCGCAGTGACCGGCTGTGCGGCCCCACCATCCGCCGTAGAAATGGAGTCTCGTTCTCGATTGTGGATGGTGAACCAGCTTCGCACTTGTCTATTCACCAAGCTAGTCGCTAGTCTAGATAGCCCACCTCTCCAAATCCGCCAAAATGCTAGCAGTGCTAGGCTGCTAGCACAATGCGCTCCCCCCTCCTCCTCCTCCTCCTCCTCTCTCCACTCCACTTAATCACCCCGATCACCGTGCGAACCAGAAAAGAAGGATGTCACGGGCCCAGACCTGGAGTCCATTCTCATCGATAAAAGCCCGTTTTAAACCGTTACCTTACATGCAAACCAACAAGGGCAGAAGAAAATGACATCCATGGAAGGTCCCTCCTCTTTCCTCCCCCCCCCCCCCTTTTTTTTTTTCTTTCACCCCTTGTCAATATAGTAGTTTCTCTCCCAAATGCCTACTACCTCCCTGGTCTGACAGCGGTCCATCCACATGGGCCATACATGACTAGGCGCATAGGGCTTGCCAGTCCTAATTTCCTTTCTGTATGTGGCTGCCGGTTCTCTCATGGGTTTCTCCGTTGCTGATTGCCTGACCAAGTATAGTAAGTCGTCTGGACCCGGAAAAATCCCCTACGCACTGACAGCGGCTAAGAACGGGTGATTTTCAACTACGCTGAGATATCCTGGCTTAGTATTGTGGGTGCTCCCGCCGTAGAGGAGGGAAGGGGTGAGTGGTGGGTGGTAGTGGGGAGTAAAAGGCAGAGGGTACGGTAGTACACAGACAGTATGTTTCTTTGACCAAGACTTTTCGGTTCTCGATTGATCATGCTCCGAGTAAATCAAAGTTGACTGCACTTAGGTAGTGGAAGGATGGTGACAGTACAGTGACTACCTACCTACTACTTCAGAGAGGGGAGTGGCTCGACTAAGTGGTACCTACTACTATAATCAGATGGCAGCAGTCTTCCCGTGCGGGTGAAAAAGGCCCTCGTGGTCTAGTTGCGTAGCAGGTTACTATCATCAGTCAAGACGCTGATCAGGAAAGAGGCTATGACTGAACAAAGAAAAAAAACAAAAATCTCACGTCGAGTGCATTGAGTATGAGGAGAGCTATGGAAGTACTCTGTACTTCGTACTCCGTATATTGCCACCGAAGAGGGAAAAAGAAAAAGAATCTCCTACCTTTAAGATTGTCTCTCGAAAGAAAAGGAATTCAAATCTCGCACTCATACCGAGGTTCGATAACGAAGAGATTTTTCCCCAAACAAAGAAAGTATAAAGAACTCATGGCCAACACAGAAGGAGGAAGAGGGGAGGGTACCTCGTCATTCCCTCCAAGGAGATCTCTTTCCTAGACAGGACAAACCCCCAATTTCCGCCTCTCTTCCCCCACCCTCCCTCCTACTTTCTTCTTCCCTCCTCAAATCCCGAGATTTCTCTTTCATCATGAAATGATCTGGGACGACGTTGAGAATGCGTATCCAAAGGAAGCAAACAAACAGACATACCAAGCAAACAACCAGTCATGGCGTGAGTGAATGATGAGAAGAATATTTACGATCTCTCCAGGGAACACCTAGTACAATTCATGTGTATCACCCCCTCTGGTCGGACCCCTACTGGTATGGCGATTGCATCGCAGACGATTGACTCGAGATCCATGATCCTTGCTTACACCATGTGAACTACCCGTTTATCAGCCAGACATATGGGCAAGGGGAGATCAAAGGCGAGGATGGTAAGGATGGGAGATGAGACGAAGATGATAATGGACTTGTTTCAACGTTCAGGCTAGAGCTCAAGGACATGGGGGAGGGGAGGAGGATTGGATTTAGGTAGGGAATGCTTACTCTGTGCCGACCAGGGTGAATTGAGTTGGTTACTAGTAACCTTTGATCATGGCTAGGGAAATGAATTGATTGATCACTGATATATGTACAGTACTCCGTACATAAGCTCGTTCGAGGAGAGTAGTGTTGCTGAGGAAATAGTAGGTGATTCTCGTCATAGACGCACTTCATGAGTGAATACTCAAAACTTATTGTAGCCATTGGCTCCTCGCTACAAAAGCCTCGTCAACGTCTCCTATGTCTGGTACCGGTATATGCTCTTCATAGGAGAGAACGAACCATCGACCACAATGCTAGGTCACAAGCCGAGTCAACAACCAGAGAACCTACGCAGATCGCTCTGCTCGATTTGCGAGGAAAGATAACCAGCAGAATGGAACCGGACATCTACTCACCATGAGCGATACTACTCAGCAGTAGCCGCAACAGCAGCATCTTTATTTATCAGACCGAAAAGCACACATCCTCTCCCAACAGTTGCTGGAAAAAAGAAAAAAAAAAAACAGCAACAGAACTAGACCGAGTTCGGTAAATTCTCCAGAGCATGCAACAAGAAACCGTTGCGATATTTTCTTTTCTTCCAATGCCCAAGCATTGCATTCAACACCATCGACCGAGCTGCCTCTTCCGCCTTTCCCTCATCGCGTTGCAAGAAAGCAAACACTGACAAATCCAACTAATCAATGATTGCGCAAACAGAACCCCGATCTTCAGAAAGGACTAAGAAAGCATATCCCATGTATTTTTCCAATGATCATCATGGGTCAGCATCAGCACTTCTCATTTGCATGAAGAACCACTAGATGTCATTCCTAATGACCCTTACGAGACACAACGAGAACGTATCCTCTTTCTGCGCGCCTCCTTGCTGTCAAGTAGATCGAGACATGTTTCAAATGCAGGTTTGAATGAAACTGCAGCACTTCTTGAAGGTTGCGAGCTCCATTCAACCTGAATTACCTGTCTTTTTTTTTTACCTTTTCTTATTATTTGACAATTTGTTCTCTTTCGAAGTCTTTTTTTTTTCGGGCTCCTTTCCCTCCCCATTCGAACAAGGGTGAGACTATCTTGCGAATTGAAGCAAAGGAGAATCACGGTCCGAAGATCCCTAGGGCTATTGGCAATGACAAGAGCCTTCCAATTGACCACATCAGACATTCTGCGGACTATCCCAACGCCACTATAGTCATACTCCGTGGGAACAGAGGCCATGCAAAGGTATGTACATATTCCAGCCACAGAGGAAAGAGCAACGGACGGCTAGAGCTTTGAACGATTCGAATTGATGATTTAGACATAATGCGCGCCCAACAGACTCAGTCATGTTTGACATGATTGACTACTGTAAGCTATATGGCTCTAGAAAACTGCGGACCAAAATGACTAGGTAGGTACTTGTTCTGTTCAATCTTTTTTTTTTTTTTTTTCTTTTTTTCCCATTTGCTCAAACTGGTTTCCCGTCTGGTTCCGTGGTGGTTCCCTTTGATTTATTGGATCTGTTATCGCTAGACGCTCTCGCTCTCAGGATGTTCGACTGCGTGTGGATTGTCTCCTTACACCATCCCGTGTCAAATTCGGAATAGGATGTGGCCAGCAAAGCATGCGTCTGGATACAGAGGAGCGTGGAGACAGGAAGTCAGGATGACTGACGAGATCTTTTCCCACCCCCGTAATCCCTGTCTTCCCGTCACTCCCCTGCTGTTTTCTCAGCTTGTGGTCAGACAACAACTCAGGAGACAGGTTCATCCAATGGTCTGGTAAAAGAGGATGCCAGATCGGCCTACTACCCTGGCTACATCATCATGAGAAGTAGGGTCTCACGGAATCATGTTTATTTCTGTGCAATTGCTGGACAGAAATTCTAAAATGCACTGGTAGTATACTATAGAACACAAACATAAGACCTGCATGACGTGGTTGAATCATAAATGCATATACCGTAGGAATGTCGTCCGGGGGAAGGGATCGTCCTGATCACCTGCAGAACAAATCAAGGTCCAAATCCTCTTAACTTCCAGCAGAACTCAAATTCAACTATGCTGCACAACACCAATCATCAATGCCACATGTACAAGTCACTCCGCTCACCAGATACCCTTCGGTTGACCCAATCTGGTCGGTTGTAGCACAATGTATCGGATACCCACGACTTGAAAGTTGGTCTCCTTGAGCACGCGCAGCAGCACATCCAGTCAGCGAATCGGTCTTGTCGTACAGTGTAACGATGGCTCGCACACAGTCAGAAGACCAGATGGCGTCTGTCCTCCTTCACCAACCGAGGATATTTGGCAGAAGCTTTCGACTCCTGCACTAATCTCGAAAGATAGCACTGTAGGACTGGACACTGCATGCGGTAGACTCAGTTGTGATTCAGATAGTCGCAGTTGCTTGATCGCGCCAGCGCACTTGTACAAACAGCCAATGCACCCCCCGTAACAGTGGAATCACGAATCGCCCTTCTTCCAAGCCTTTTTGTCGCGTAAATCATCCTTATCATTGTTGTTGTTATTGTTGTTGTTGTTGTTGTTGTCGTCGTCGTCGTTCAAGACTGTCGCGTTTGGTTGGTAGGTGACTGAGATCACATGGCCATCCGGGTATATCACTATACAGGGACTAGCAGCACAGTGATAACCTCAAATGAGGTGATTCTCCGACTGGGGTCCAATTTAGGTTGCGGCTTTGGCGGGATCTACCGGGGCTTTTGGGATGGACTTGGATTCAGAGGATGCTTCAATAGCCAGGGGCATTTCATCCGACCCATCATCTTCTTCATCACTCGAAGATTCGTCCACTTTCCGTCCGCGACGGCGGTCTTCCTCACGATGTTTACGTCGTTCTTGAATGTACTCGTGATAACGAGCATCTGGCTACTTGTTAGTATGCACGGAGACCATCGAGCAAATAACCGTTACACATACCTCGAATCTCTTGCGTCTTAACGGCGTATGCCTGAATTTCTTCCTTGGTCAACACACGCAAGACAATGACATACTCCGAACGTTCCTCATAGCGCTCACGGCCGACTTCCAGGGCAGCGGGGTTGACCAATCGCCTGTCAATTTTCGTCCACCTTGCGCCTGGAGGAATTCCCTTCTTATGGGCATCTTTGAGCGGCGCTACGCCTTCCCGCACGGGATTCGGTTCCTCGGGAAACTTGGCCCGTGGCGGCTTCAAGATCCCTTTCGGAGCAGGAGGTTCTTGATCCTTCGCTGCAGCCGGCTCAGGCCTCTTCTGTTCCTCCGGGGAACTGAGTCTTTCCGGCCTGCTCCCATCCTTGGCCGACGCGTCCTCGGTACGACGTCTCGACTGGGAGCGATGTCGAGGAGTGCGGTTAACAATGAGATACTGGGATCCCCGATCACTGCTGCTCGCAGAGGCATCGGACCCATCTCGCCTTCTATGCGCAGACGGCTCACGCCGGTATTGCTTCAGATCTTCGTCGGAGGTATACGAGTCAGAGTCACTCTCATCACGACGTCGGGACCGTCGCCTCCGTGATCGGCTATGGTGAGGCTTGTTCTCGTCCTCACGAGCGCTCCTATCACGGGAGCGATGGCGATCCGTCCGAGGGGAAAGCCCATCATCAAAGTCATCAGGGTATCCTAGAACGGCGGTCCCTAGGCCAGTGCTCCCGGAGATGACAGAAGCTTTGGATAAGGATTTTCGGGAGGAGCGATCGTCGTGAGAGTACCGTTCGTCAACATGCCGCCTATGTCGGCGACGGCGATGGCGATGGTCTTCATGCTCCGACCGATAAGACGAGTAGCCCTCGTCAATGTCCTGGTGCAGGGACACTGGGACTATTTGCGATGACCGCCGTCGAGAATTCGAGCTCTCTACATCGCTATCGGCTGAGCCATAGGTTGAGCGACGCCCACGTCCCCCATGTTCAATACGATCAAATCCTCTTTGAGATGGTGGTGGCCCAAGGGCACGCGATTCTTTTCTTAATTGCAATTGAGGATCATCGGGACCAGTCAAGCTGAGCGGTCTGTCTCTCGGGTGACCACGTTGATCACGACGCATCCTGGCAGCGGAGTCCTTCTCAAACTGTTCACGAGGGTTGGTATAGGAATAGGCATGATAATCATCGATGTCTTCCCCTTTCTTAAGACCACCGGTCGGCGGGTAGCGCCAACGAGGACTGTGCTCATAAGCTGGATAGGCATTGTGAGGGATTCGAGCCATAGTCATTCTGTCTTTCAAGTCTCGACGGCCAGTATCACTCGCATAGTCTGTGCTGGATGGGGGATGACGTCGGTGGTGTCTGTGCGAAGATGCGGGTACCACGTAGCGCTCCTGGGTTCGCTGCGGGCTTGGAGACCGGTGATGACCCGGAACGATCACAGGCGAAGCCCTCGACAATGGGGAAGCAGATGTATCATATCGATTGGGGGCATACTGGATCTCAACGGCGGACGCGGTATTGCTTCGCTGTCTCGGACGGATAGCGTACTCCGTTCTCAATGTGGTCGAATGGCCAGGGTCACGGTACGTTGTAGAGGAGATCGGTTGTGCTTCCAATCGCGACTCCCGCGCAGAGCGTGGTTCGTATGATGGAATATAGTTGACATCGGAATGATAGCTCGAGTGTGTTGGGCGGTTGGTGAGATCATATGGATTGTAGGAAGAACTGAGCTGCACTGTGCCAGTGGAGGCGCGCATAGGATCCATCATACGCGAGCCGTTGGGAGACATGGGTCGGTAACGCACAGCGGGACCCATAATTTTGTACCCTTGCAGACAGTAATCAATGATTCCCGACTTGGGGACGAAGCAGGAAAATGACAATGGAGATGGACGCAGAAGCTTTGAGACGTTCTCGAAAAGTGACTGGGAACACCCGGAGAATTGTGAGCCAATACCTGGAAATCCAGACACAAAACCGCAGGAAGGAATAGAAAGGTTGGTGATTGGGAAGAGAAGGGGGAAAAAAGGTTATTTTGGGCACCAGGCCAGAAAGCTATAGAAGATGACGATAAAGCCTGAGGGGCGAAAATAATCTCCAGATAAGACACACCACTCCACAAGCTCAACAAGAGAAAACCCAAGTCAATTGAGCTTGATGCCTGAAGCCACAGGCCACCAGACTGCGGACCGAGAGGGCGGGCGATACCTAATATATGAGAGGCTGGCAAGCACAGACTGCTGAAACTGGGAAATTTGACAGTGGATCAAGGGGGAGGGGTGAGTCTGAGAGACCAGAAATGGAACAAAATGAAGATTTTGCAGCAGAGAAGCATTGCTTACAGCAAAGTAATAATCTGAAGACCCTGGGAGTTGTGATCGTCACTTGTTTGAGAATCGAAAAAGGTGTGACGTGACGCAAGACACTGGAGAACCAGTGGTCCAGTGCACACAAATCAGAGGGAGATCGATACCCGGCCATCCACACCTACCCCCCATACCAGAGCGGATGTGAATGGAGGGGCCCACTCAAAGGAGGTCAAGTAAAAGATCAAGACCACGTGAGTGCTGCAATTGTCTGGCTTGAGAGATTTTGGTCCGGAAAGGATAGAGAAGCAATAACGGAGTCAAGATAGATTGCAGGACTTTGTTGGGTGAATACTCAGTAGTTATGTGTGTAAGTCATTGTGTAAGACGTCAAATGTAGAAGTTGTCTATTACAGTCGTTCTATGGATGGGTAAGTCATGGGCTGCGATGAGTAAGCAAGCTGAGGAAAGACTTGAAGAACCTAAGGCAGCCACTGCCTGGTGTGTCCACAGCAGGCAGGAACCTTCAACGTGCCCTCCATGGAGCCCAGCTGGCAGTGCAGGGCGATCGAAGTGCAGCCAACCACGGTTTTGCCCTCGGCCCTCCCGCTGCGGTCCGTGATTGGTTTGAACTCAAGCTTACTTCATCCATCAACGGATCCAGCTCCCCCTATCATGATTCGAATTTTTTCAATTGTTCCTCAGCTGTACTCCGCCGCGTAGATTCGCTGAGCAGCCTATGGCCGGGATCTCGGGTTAGTACTGTGTACTTCATGTTACTACGTACTCACTTCATTTCTTTAGATGGATCCCCTTTGGTTCCCGTTTGTCTCGTCCCAGTGGAGATCAATGGGTGTGCCGGTTCCTCTTTTTGCAATTTCTCTTACACTCCTGGAATCTTCCTTTCTTAACCGAGAACAACAGGACTTTCATGGCTCCATCTACACAGCGGACTACTGTAACAAGTTCTCCCCCCACTAAGTACCGTCTCCGTAAGTACCACCCGCGCTTCTCTCCTATCTTCTCCCTTTCTCCTTTGTCTCCAAATTCCAGCCTAGAATGCGATTCTAACGGTCTATGGCCGGGTAACGAGATCTACTGTTCATTCCGGAGTCGATTGTCGCATTTCCAACTCACTTTATGACACCAGCCTACCTCTTTTTTTATCCCTCGCGCCTCTCAGCATGCTCTTTGTGCAAGGGCTGATTATCCGGTCCCGATTACCCACCACGTTACGCCCCGCCAAGTAGAGAGCGGATGACATCACGCCGAACAAGTTTGAGGCAGTCGGCATGCTGCTGAATGCTGATGGTCCCATTCGGAGCCGACCATCAGCCCCAGTAACATAAAAGTCTGTGATAGGTCCGGACTCATGTCAGTGGGGTTGAGCGGGTTTTCTAGAAGGACAAAAAGGCTACGAATCTGGAGCAGCCCAGTCCAGCTTTCACAGCCTCACATGCCTGCCCCCCAAGGCCCGCCTGTGGACTAGGCTGAATTTCCACTACGGACATTGGGAACTGTCGATCCAGGGGGCAGGGGGCGGTGCTCTGCTCGATAACATTTGCTCAATGAATCTTGTTTGCAGTCTATCTGTGTCAACTGCGGACCTCACCACCCGGATCCGCCCCGCGGGCCTTCTCTCGGAAGCAGCCATTGGCCTTCAATGACCCGAGAACCAGGAACGCTGTGCCCTGCAGTGGTACCGGTCGCAGGAGATGTCATGTCGGCCAGGTTGCGGGCCACCCAAAGACGACTCGCGAAAGACACCAGCTGCTCTTCGCTTGTCATGAAAGCAATGAAGAGAGCCTTTGCACGCCTAGGGGCAATAGCCCCCTCTGAAACAATGGTTACCTTCTGCTCTGTTCAGGCGATGGTCTTTGCTTCCGCTATCACCCACCTCCGGCGCTTCATGGATTGCTTCATGTCGGCCCGTTTGCGCGAATTATGTTGTACGCCTCAATACCCATCCCCGACGCCACTAACCGAGATGACTGGAGTCTGTCCCTACAAAAGTTTTCCACAAGCTCTCGCTAACAAGCAGCTCGAAACAAATTCGACACGGGGGGAATGAAATGATGAAACAAACTCTAGTAAATCATCTCGGGGAGATCTCCGTTGTATGGATTCTCAAATTACGATAATCTATGATGGCGGTAATTTATTCAACAAACCCCCTCTCCCGTCTCGCAATTTGCATCTCGTCAATGTGTCGAACATGTTGGAAATGCATTCTCTCTTGACACACGCACTCTTCCTCATTCTGGAGCCAACCACGGCTTGAATAGACGTTCCGCCACCACAAGGCTGATTTATTGCCCGCCCTACTGGCCTGATTTCTGCAAGTTCAAACTTACTTGCTGCGATGTACTCACATACTTCGGCAGAATCATGCGAATTCATACTGATATGATGATCTTACCTTGGCTCTCAAGTCTCCAGATTAGATCGTGCATGTAGTTTTCGTGTTTCACCCACCACGCCGTAAAAGCTCTTTGCCCATTCATGGCCAGTCTTCCCCGGCTCTCATGGCTTGACCGCCTGGGTAATGAAGCTCCAACAAGACTGGCATCAAGATCTTCATAGTGGCTGCTGAACTGTTGCGCTCAGCTGCAATGGCAGCCGGGACTCTGGCGTACCAGAGGGCAAATCTGCCCGGGTGCATGACCCATGAGACATGAACGCCCTCACTGAGAACTTGTGGAGTTTGCGCGATGTAATCCTCCATTCTGGGACAACCTCATTGTAGACGATAAAGTTCCTAGTCAAGCTCTAGCACGTTGTTTTAGTCCAATGTCGAGCACCCGGAGCAAGTCACAAGATTCCACATCAATTCTTGAGCAGACCAAGCCCTTGAAGCCAACCTTTGAACTAGTCATCTCATGTCGACCTACCTAAGCTCATTTTCGCTACCCGCTGAACATTACTAGAAACCTTGACTTAACTGCCCAGCTCAACTGACCTCTCGGGAATCACGGTAGACATGGATACCTCAAGAATATGTCGTACTTCATCGCAAGGTCTCTCATTCACGTTGGTTCTGAACCCATCTGTCCACATCGATATCTTTCCGAGCCATTCTAAGCCATCCATGGCCGACTGGTGGATCTGCTGTGCATGTGGCTCAGAGACCAACCCTGCATTGAGCTTCGATCGGTGCACACTGCAGTATGCGAGCATCCGGCTCATCCAGTCAACAGGCATGATAGTTGTATTCAGTCGAACCCGGAAAACAGAACTACAACTGATTCCACAATATTTCCGTCCCATCCTCAACAGCCTCACAGCTGTGGCTTTCCCACGACTCTTTACTTTTCGACCAAAGCTTAGTGCTCTGAGCCCCATTTATCAGCTACATACCCCCTATGTAAAAGTCAAACTCAATGCGATTTCTCGGCTCTTGTCAATATTTTTGAGCCTAATCGTATCAATCGCATCCATGTTCATATTTGCTCTCGGTACTAGGTAGTCTCCTCAAATAGACTTGCCGGTAGTTTCGAGTGGAAGACCTGCAGTACACCATTCTGTCACCTGAGTATATACGCATGTAACCTGAGCTCGGTCTGGTTCCTCCCCCCCCCCATCGACAGCACCTGTATTCTGTCAGCATTTGACAAGAAAAACCAACCGGTCCGCCTGCAAACAAGTTACGCATTCCTGACTACATTACAAGCTACAACAAAAAGCAGGACAAAAAGAAAAGGAAAAAACGGAGAAGGAGAAGCCGTGAAGCAGCAATGGCTTCCAGTTGTCATTTAAGGATGCTCAAGTCTCAGACAAACAGATCTCGATGTAGGAGCACAGCACGGAGAAAAGTCAGCGCTAGTTACGAACTCCCTGGACGGCGTAAGTCAAAACACCCCGCATCGGATGAATACATTGGAGACTAGAGCGAGTTCTGCGGTGGCGAAATATACGGGGGATACCAAGAGCTCTCTTGATGCATGTTGTGCACTGTGTCTGAGAGTACCGCTACACATACATATATTTCGTGTCGACTACGCGGGTGGCGAGTCGCAGTTCGATGGTAAGAGTCAGGACGGCTGTCTGGCAAGGTTCAGATTTGAGTATGGCCAAATTATGCGGGCGGTATTTAGCAAACTTGAAGATAGAGGATGTCGAATGTGGAAGGTATATGCGTGCGCGTTGTGAGGCAGAATTGTTGTGTCTACCAAGTCTGGATGGTATGTTCACTTCATCAGCCTTCGTTATAAATATGAAAAGCTCGTACTAGCAGGCACTATTGAATGAAGTGGGAAAGCTTTCACAGGCACAGCTATAATATAAGATTAGTCACTGATTGAATTGGGTCAAGAAAAGCCGAGGGCGATCTATACATGAAAGAGAGGACAAATGTGCCTGGAAGCCAAGATGAGCCTCTGTCTAACCCGCAAATGAGGGGAATGGATATAACATGTGCAGTGTCAAGTCGACCTTAGATTCAACCTATCCAATCTTGAGACTCGAGTGTTGGAAACCCTGTTTCCTTTTTTTTTTGTCTTGTTTTACAATCTCAATTGTTTCGAGTCAAGCTCCTGTCAGCAACGAGTCTCATCCGAATCGGACTTTTCAAGTCCGGCCTCTCGCTTCAATCGTGACACCACTGGACCAAGTTCGAAGAAACTAGTGGAGTCCTTACGCACTGCACACGGACTCTGCTTGAGGGGCAGAAACCAGTCGATAACATTGTAGCCCAACACCTGTTGGAGATTCTTGAAATAACTACCGAGGTCAAAGGGGTTCTCTCCGGGCAATGTTTGGAGGATCGCGAAAACATGCTTTTCGCCGGCCGGTTGATGGTCCACTTGTGCTTCATCCGTGAGTGGCATGGGAGGTAAAGGGTAGGTAATGGTGCGAAAGGTTGGGGCCCATCGAGAGCCAGGATTGAGTCTATTAAGCAGATGTTTCGGCACGCGAATAGCCAAGGTCCATACAGCGGATCGACGATTGATATTTTCGATTGTCGTCAGATTGAGCATGGCGAGTTGCACAGAGCTGACGGTCATCCCAAACGTGAATAGTCCAAACAGACCACTCCTGGATGATCATGTTAGCACAAAAGATGGGTATGAGGAGGGGTGAGATGAAGACCTACAAGCCAATTCCAACGGCCAGGTGAGGATTTGTCCCTCCGACCTGTCCAGATACATGGTCTTAGTTCATGGCCAAATTCCAGTGAAGTTGATTGAGGGCCCTACCTGGCTTCTGATCTCGGCAGTGAACACTGCACAAATAATTAAGCAAAAGACGCAGTATAACATAGTATAGAACACGAATTGAATGAAGAATTTGAAGGATGTTTCAGCAACCACTCCTCCGACCCTGCAAGTCAGTTAGCATCACATATAGCTGCATGTCCTCGGAGAAGTCCTCACCATGGGCAGAAGTGGTCCATTTTGCGAACACACCTGTCGACCTCTCGACAATGATGAGTCCGATCGGGCTTGAAATGACAACACGTAGAGCAATATAAAGGCCGGCCATCCGGCTGGCAAACAAAAACATCTTTGGTATAAAATTCCTCCAATCCATGTGTGTCCCAAGGTGTGGTCTCTACATCAGCAGTCGATTCGGCTCCACTCTCCACATCCCTGTCTATTGCGTCAGCCTTTTCTGCACTTCTATGCCGTCGATGCTTCTTCTTCTTTCGATGATGGCGACCTGATGACTGAGGCGGCGCACACTCATTGTCTACTGGTGAAGAGGTTCTTCGCGCCAGTAGTCCAGCGTTCCAGGTCACGGTATGCAAGAGTCGCGAGTATGTAATCAGAACAATGAGAAGGAGAATGTAGTATATGACGAGGATGACGATTCCAGCGCCAGTGCGACTGCCGCGGTCATACTTGGAAAGAGGATGAATCAGATAGTCGACTGCGTAGGGGAATGCTTGGTTAACAATCGCCAGCAACAAATTGTTCAGCCAATCGATTACTTACTGCATAAAGGCTTAGTGACCAGATAGGATGCATAGATGAAGACACACAGTAAAAAAGGAGGAATGGCCCTGGCGACCGCTAGATTGATGCGTCTGTCCGGTCGCGCCATTGGAAGTTAACCGCAAGATGGGTTACGGGCACCTCCGCATCGGAGAACACTGGAGTCGGCAGAGATTGTTTTACCCTGCAACAGTATCCATATTCTCAAATTTAGACATGCGGGGGTAATATACAGTGAAGGCTCTTAAAGGAAAGATATAAGGCAATGCTCCCGGCGGTGCCCCTCGATGATAGATGGATGGCACGGGGGGGGGGGGAATGGAGGAATGGGATGTGATTCTGACCAAACACGTGGTTTGCAAACTGGGCAAACAGCGCTCATGATGTCATGTCACATGATGGAACTTATCGCTCCTTGTTTAACAGCTGGTTCTGTACGGAGTGCACTGCAACATTCAGATTGAATTTGTTAATATTATATCAGGCGAGCTCTGCTGCCCTACTCTGGTCTCATAAAAATACTGTGACGGCAGTGAGCTACAATGAGTTCTGCCCCCAATTTTTGCTCAATGCATGACGATATATCACTCCACTGGGAACGACTTATGACCTCGAGGCTCATGCCGGCAACCCCGGGATCATCCATCCATTTGTTGAGCGTCAGACACACGTGTCTAGTGCGGCTCAACTCCTGGACGTCCCAGATCGGTACCAAGATCCGTCCTCGGCCATCAACTATCGCGCATTTCTGAAAGGCTTCAATTTTTTTGCCTACCAAATTAATTTCCTGCCTTCTGGATCTGTCTCAGGGAGCGGGGTAGTCTTCGCCCAGCCGGTAGTCTATGTATCGGAGAGTACTAATCTTATTCCCTGAAAGCCAGGAGTAGGGGAAAGAAAACTCGCATTGGGCTCATGGGGACACTAGGGTTCTGCTGCTCAAGCCCCGTTGAAGGTGTCAAGTATGACGCCCGCGCGCTGGAAGGAGAGCTTGCAAGGTAGCACACGGGATCAGTAACGGCATCTTGGTACTATGAATATGAGTAATAGCGGCAAGTAGAGCTGAGGTCTGGAGTAAGGCTCCCAGAACTGGCCAGGGCACCAAATGCATCCAGTGGGCAAGGTCGAATAAGAAGCGATCATTTGCAACTGGCCTTTCCCTCAGTGTTAAAAAGGGTTGGGGCTGGTCGGTTTCAAGGCACGCCAGACACGAGGGGCTATAGGCAAGCGTCATGAGCAAGTCGGAGACCCCGAGGAATGAAAGCCAGCAACGACAATTATCAACTTCTGAGTCAAGGGAGAGAGGACAAAAGTCCGATGGAAAGCCGACCAGAACATTAGCAATAAACGCAGTCTGCAGATACCAAACGTTAGTAATGACAATATTCAGTCATCACGATGTTTACTAAACGTCATTTGCAAGGGCATGTGCCACGACGGGCGTTGAGGGCTTAGGCAGAACTAGCACGGGTGCCTGCTTATTCGTAGAAGACCGGCGCTCATTGACCGACAGAATCATCACCAGCAAGCAGAACAAACCTCCTAAAACAAAGGAAGATAGACGGTCAGAGTCAGAGCTTGGAAGCATATTCGCTTCGCATCGCTTCGCATCTAGAACTCGATCTCTGGGCAAGGTTGCCTGAAGCGAAGGGCTCACTGGTGACCACCAGGTGGAGCTCATAACCAGGCCTCAGCCAGGCAGCACACCGCGCGATTAGTTATCAAAAGAATTCCCGCCAGGCACGGATGAATAACAAGAAGACTAGTAGGTATACCTGCTGCAAGAGGAAAAATAGAAAAAATGAATTAGATTAAAAGAAAATGAAATGACGGAGAACGTAAATCAATCGAGTATTGAGTGTTGAGTGAGTGGGTTTCCTCAGGGGGAAAATTAGTAGTACTGTAGAAAAAGAGTACAGTACTTAGTCTAGAGGACGGGCGGAGTGGACGGGCAACCGAAAACGAGCCTCCATTTCCAAGCCTCGCTCGCCCGGATTCCCGCTCCTGCGACAATACCCGGTGGACCCTTGCGATGATTGAGTTGACTCAACTGGCGCGCATATCTTACGATGTTCCATGCGAGCTATTCAAGTATGATTCAAACTAACAGTCGACAGCTGATAGTTCGAACCGTCAACGGTCCCGGCTTCCCCCCCCCCTCCCCTTTGACCCCATCCCCAAAACGCGATGGAACTGCCAAGCCACCTTCACGATGATCGACTCTGAAATGGCCCCGGGCTCTGATCAAGTATAGCAGCTGTGTATGACTGAGATGGAAGACAAGCCTAGTTCTAAAGGGCGCTTTTTGTGAGATCAGCCACAATGGCAGGCCAGGGCGCCTTGTCTGAATCATCATCGCTAGCGTCGTCCATTCACTTCAATTTTCTTACTTGTTGTATTATCCTCAGATTGCTTAAATACACCGGCGCAGTCCTCACGATGAGGTTTATCTACACTTCCTACATACAATTCAACCTACAAACCCATTGACATTAACAAAACATCCTCTGTCTTCATCTTTTCTGCTGCTCATCAAGCCCTGACATCAACCACACCTTCCACAGTCATACCTACCATTAATCAAGTCACCTATCAAATCACTTATTCAATCATGCCTGGTTTTTGGACTTGCTGCACTTGTCTTCACGGTCTCCACCAAATTGATGTTCACACAGAGTGTCTTCAGTGCGGTGAAGCACGTTGTCCCAATTGCCCCATTGACAGTCGAGATGCGGATATGTCGCTGCACAGCTGCCACGAAATTTCGCCCTACCCTGCTACTACAGCACACTCAGTCTGCTCGCACTCGTTGGAAGTTGTGAGGCATATGCCACCGATCACGGAGAGCAGGAGCTCCATCCTTCAGCCATTACCAGTCTTCGATGACGTACGGCGTCCCCGTTTGCAGGAGCTTGCTGGTCATCCGCTTCAAAATTTCCAGATGCAGACTCGGGGTAACTTGTACTTCTGCTGCCGATGTGGCGACGGGCCGAAAGTATACGAGAACCAGCCCAAATGTATAAATTGCGAGCACGTTGTGTGCTCCAATTGCGTCCCTGTGAAATGATCTACGACTAAGTTGTTATTGAGGTAAGGCCGACAATGATGGCCCCGCAGCTGGCAGTCAGAGGACTAACAGTCATTGTGCGCAGACTCGCAAGAGGCTATACTATGTCTCGAAGCCATATTTCCGATTTCTGACGTCTTATTGAGCGTTGTTACCATGAGCTTCATGAAACATGAAACAGACATGACCAGGAGTCACGGGCCGTTTTATTCGATTTGTTCTTCTCCGATTCTAGATTTTCATACTGGATGATCTTGCATGAGCGGGTGCATATACCATGATACATCTTTCGATATTGACCTCTTCTTCTTCTTCTTCTTCTTCTTTTCTTTTTTGTTTTCTGTTCGTTTCTTGTTCTATGTTCTGGGAGGATTTGACTGGAATGATTCGAAGACCTGGACTAAATATACGGTTCGACTCGGGCGGCTGCCCAATTGAGCAAGCGGGACTTGCTCGGCTGTGCAGTCGCGAGGAACGCCTTGTCGCTGCAATTGTGGAGTTGGTTTAGTGTTGTTTGCTTTGAGGGTGCAATCTCTATGCCTTTTTCATCTCATAAATGTCGTTATCGAGCGAGAGGTTACTGTTTTCTCTACTCATATTTGTCAGACTAGATTTTCGGGTCACAGCAATGTCCACACACTATACTCCATATGTCTTTTCTCTCTCCTCTTGAGGTTGAACCCCAATCCAGACCGAGTTCTAGACAGTCGGTGCAGTTGATTTGTAAATAACAACTTAAGGTAGTACGTGATTTACTTATAGAAGTTAGTTGTATTTAGGGTACCCGTAGTTCCGCACCACTGGTACTGCTACTAGGCAGAGACGAGTTGTTGCCTGGTCTAGGAGGACCCAAAATCCAAGCCCTACATCAAGTCTTTTCCCCCTTGATAGACTGAGCCCATAGTCCATAGTCAGTCTGATTGTTGGTTTTTTTGTTCATACTTACATACTACTAGCATCTACTACTACTGTGGGATTATTGCGAAAGACTAGGTTAGCTTGTTGGGCCTGGTCACGGGCCACGACGACAAGTGACATGGGTAGTTCCGATGCATTATCTTCGAACTACTAACTAGTTAGTCTGTCCTCCCTCTCGGGTTTGTAAGCCCAGCATTCCGCGGTGCAACCTGCTTAATCAACAATCGTATCTAGCATCTGTCAGTAGAACCAACTACCTACGGTCCAACCGGTTATGATAATCCGGGCATAATAATAGTAGCAGGAGTGGGAGCAGTTCACACAGCCTGAACCAAAGAACCCGACCCCATGGGAACACAAACACAGACTTAGCCGACTGCAAAGGGCTCGCGCGTGTCTCAATTGGAGATCGCGCTCTGGAGGATGGGAGGACAGATCATAAGGGCTATGATGGAGAGAGAACCCCCGTATCCTAGATTCTTTTCTTGTGTTGGGTTCTTGTCTCTGTCCCTTACACAAGCTACGTTTTTGGTTATTTTTATTTTTCTCCATCATTTCTCATCCATCTTAGAATAGCACAGTTTTTGTTTTTGTTTTGTTTTTTTTTTTTTTTTTTGTTTTATCATAACGATCTTTTTTCTCTCCGAGCCGCAAAAGTCTTGGTTCGGGGTTCGTCCGCACTGACTGGCTGGCTCGTAGTCGGGGAGCAAAAGAAGGAATAAGGTGGAAGAGGGCCCTGGGGCTTAGGAGGGGGGTGGTGTAAGGGAAGAGAGCATGGATGGGTATGCAGATCATGCAGCCACAACCTCAACGACCGTCGACCCGGGACCATAGAACAAAAACCCACCGCCCTTTTTCCCGGTATCTACATGCACCTAACCCTATGGTCGAGGGGAAATGGCGGTCTCGCGCAGTGGGCGCAGGATTTTGTTCAGCTCCGATGAAATGACTGGCTGCAGTAGTGCAGTTGACCGTTTTGGGATACGGGGGCAGGAGGATAGAGTAAGCACTGCGGGTGTAACTTAGATAGAACGAGAGGAGGGAAGCATCATGACGAGATTGCTCCATTTGCTTCCGAGCATGCCAAGTAGAGGGAAATTAAGGGCGGCAGGGCTGAGTAAAACTCTAGGTAAGTTGATCAATGCGATTGGTCTGGGTAGGTTTCGATTTTCTCCGGGTTGATGCGGTCGCACTGCTAACCTAATCCAGTATTCTTTAACTTATATCTGATATGCAGATTTTGAGGATCGAAAAATCTATGGACACTGGGGCAGATAGTCCTTAGAGAACTGGGTGTTGTACTAGAGTTCGCGTGCTGTATTCAATTGGCGGATTCGGTTATAGAGTCCCCGCCATTCAGCTCGCCAGTTCATAGACATGCGGAGTACTGACTTAAACTCAATGTACATACATGCTGTCGCCCATGGTTTGGCGAGTAGCCCACCGTAGTTATGATACCACTGAGATGTTGTCTCTATAGTTCAATCAATTCACCTTTCCAATCGTCGGCAGTAGCCTCTGGGTCATCCCGAACACGCGTCAAACGGTGTGTCTCAGTGCGAGACAAGCCTGCTTGCTGATGTTTGAGAAAGCCACATGGTATGATCTTGATATGAATAGGCTTAACGCTCCTTTCCACCTTTTTTTTTTTTCGCTTTCCTGGCTTATCACTATCCGAGGGGGCCAAAAAATATCGACGGTCACTCCTTCTAGTCGGTTTCAGAGTCTTCTTTGCCTGAGGTGATTATTGCATGTACAGTACAGGGCGACCCCCATTGTTTCCGAACCGGTAAGCAACACGGTTCCGAGGCCGCGGTGCGAATAGCCCGCAACTGTACCTATTCTTACTGTGAGACGTCGGTCTGACCTTCCTCCTTCAACTTCCTGCTGCAATTGTCATCCGTCATCTTATTTGTGTTCCTTGTTCTATGTCATCAGTCAATGATCCGCCACCAAACCTGATCTAGTCTAACAAATGTTGCTATGTTGATCTATTTTTTTCTTAATTAAACGCTGCGCCAAGGATTATACACCCTACCCACCACGTTGCACGCGACAGCAAGGCACAGGAAGCCCGAGTCCTTGCTCTCATCCTATAATACTCTTACTCAGTAATATCACCTCAAGTCACGGAAAAGAAAAAATTCGCTAATGTGGGAGAAGGCATGAGAGGCAGGGGCGAAATTGGACAAACTCGATCTGCACCAACTAACTCAAGACCGGGTGTGTACTATATATATCGTATACCTTACTATGTGGTATGTACTACTAATCTGCAACTCTGTACGAGAGAGTTCCCTGTAGATGAGTTATTTAGTAGACTTTGTACTGCGCCAGCCGGGTTCGTATGGCTCAGCCCTTGAGCTCGGAAACGGCCTACCCCACCACCCGAATCGCCGACCCACCGTTTTCTTTGGGGGCCGCTGCTACTACTAGTGTAGTAGAGTATCATGTACAGCCTGTAGTGACATGCTCCGTGCATGTCTACTACTAGTACATGCTACGCAGGTCCCGCGCACATGACAGATTCAGCTGCGATCTACCGTCACCGAATATACTGTACCTTTTAAACGGTCCACCCTAGTTATACCACGCGATGCTTGGTAAATACCGTAGTACTACTCGCCTCTGTGAACATTCATGAATCCGATGATATGGCTGTCTCTACACTAGTAAATTGTTCCAGACGGCATGCTGTGTAACCTATCGCATCTCCATCACTCTCTCAATTCAGTTTCTCTTTCTGTGTCCTGCCCCCCAATCTTTACGAGAATTAATTCTCAAAGTTAGTAGTTGACGCGTGCGCTCCCTGTTGAGATGATGTGACAAGCACTTGCATCTCGATTCGCAACAATGCCAATATCCCATCGTTTCGCCCACCACCATCCTGACCTTGTCTTACCATCTATAAATATGTTCTTTTGTTGCATCATTTATTTTTGTAAAATCAGACATCGCCCGATGATATGACCACCTGCTTCCTAAGCCCCAGAGACAGAAACACGCACCAAATGAGATAAAAAATGAAGAAAAAAACCCACCAGCCGCCACCGACAAAGAAAGAGAAATGATGACAACGATGACAACTTGGATGACGACGACGGGGAACGAGCATCAACCTACCTCTATCTCTGCCTGAGTCACAAAACCAGGTCCAGGTCACAGGATCATGGATGACTCAGAACAAACCTGCACCTGCATAAAAAAGAAAAAGTCAAAATAAAAAACATCTTAAATGTTAATGTTGAATCCATCTTCGGTCTCCCGTTTTGTCTGAGTAGATAGTAAGTACTCCGAAGGCTACTGAACCTTTGACTAACTAGTGAAATTCAGTCCGCTACTACCGTATGTTACATAGTAGCCGTGCACTCCTCCTCCTCCTCAGTCAACTCTAGTGCAACAACACCCCGCTAGTACTATGTCTCACCTGGTAGTTAACCGCGGGGGAGTTTCGAGACACTGCCACAACCTCTCTATTTTTCCGCTTCAACCAGGGAAGTGCCAGAGCTTGATGGTATAGACTAAAAAAGTAAAAGACATGTACTTTTCACCTGGGGCATTTGGATACTGAATTGCGATGGGGGAGTGTCAACTCGTGGAAAATCCATGTGTGTGTGCGTATCATTCTAATGTACTTGGAGAATCCGCTAACCTGACGACACAACACAGTATTGTATTCCGCAGGTGAATGCGGCTTAAGGTGCCTGGGGCTTCCGGGGGGGGCACCCAAGACGCACCACCGCCCCCCAGCCCATAACCATCTTATGTAAGGCTCCAGACGTTGTCTCAGGGCTTACTAGTTACAGCAAACTATTACATAGATAGCGCATACCGCAGTACGTGTACTTTGTAGAATAGTTAGCGCTGACCCTGGCCTCTACTCTCATTTCCCAGGTACTAGACGCTATAGACTAGACTAACCACTGTCGCTAAACGCTCGGTCGGCGCGCCCCGCGAAAGCGGCTGTGTCGCTTGTTAGTGCATTATGTGGGACTGACGTAGTTTCTGTCTTTTACTGAGTTAAGGACCAGCGTGAGGCTGAGAGGATCAAGGTAGACAATATCATGAATTCTCAGGAAGCTTCATGTGGGACAAGGCAGACTTTGGGCAAGGAGTTTACAGCAAAGAACGAAATGATGGTAGGAAAGTCTAAGAAGCATCGGTAGTCTCACTGACAACTGTGTACTAGTAGTATGTATTCTCTTCCTATGGGACCTGACATCCGCCGTATGCTATCTGCTTTGCAATGCCCTATGACATTGGATCGTCGTTGTTTGTCAATATAGGACCGTATCCCATAGCAGGAAAAAGGTGGTTGGCTACTTGCGCTGACAATCCCCTTGCTAGGTTAATGCCCGTAGAGCTTGTCGTCGTGTTGTGAGCTGGGAAAAGTCGCTTTACGCCCACTTCTTCTTTATGGAAAGAACGTTCAAGAAGAAAAATGAATCCGTCCAACGCCGGGCTCGTGCTTTTGTATGCCAAATAGCAAAAAAGAAGTAATTATGGTAACAGTGCAATGCTTCCTGAGGTCGCTCTCGCGTAATAAGAGATGCCAGACCTCAAAAGTTCAAGGTATGAAGAGAGCCGGGGTTGTATGTGACTAGAGGAAGACGACGACGAAGATGGTGATGAAGGGAGAAAGTTTTTACTTTCTGTGAAGAGGTAGGAGACAAAGTAAGTGTCCCAAGTATAGCTCATGGATGGATAGCCGACTGCAGGCTTTCGACATACTGAGCTTGACCATGAGTGTATAATTGTATCGACACCTCACCTTGTTCAGGAAAAAGGAAAGAATTTTCGACTGACTGACGGATGCTCCATATCATGGGTTACAATGGCAAGATCCGCGAAGGGTCTTGAAGGAAGCGTCTACGGTATGCGGCTATTTCCGCAGCCACGGTGCTGAAGTCTTTCACCTTGTCGCGTCGCATGTCGTTGATAATTTGCTTCAGCCCGGCAATATATTCATCTTTCTCTTCAGGCGTTTTGCCCTCACGGAGGGAGCCCATCTGGACCAAGATTTTATCATCTGTCGAGGTTAACAAGCCTGTCTGTCAGCATCCGCACAATGCAAATCTGATCAACAATTTTCGATTTATAACTGGGGTCTGGGGTGTTTGAAAAATCACAAGGGATGGATGGGAAAGGGATAGGGCCAAGGTAATATTGACACAAATGACAAAGCCAGGAATGGCAGGGTCAACGTTCAGGCCATTAAGGAAAATTGTTGCAAATCATAGTTCTGAGTCTGTCGACGCACCGCTTAAAGACATGTCACGAAAGTGTTGGAATTCGCAGGACCGATCGTTGCAGACGCCTCCTGCGGCCTCAAAAGGACAGAGATACTTCATGGGGTCGATGTTGTGGCTATATGTCAGAGAACGATAGCCATTTACAACATTTTCAGCATAGCTTGGGTGGTAGCGATAAGCCTTGAAATGCTTTAAAGGACTATCATAATAGGTGAATGTGGTGCGGCTTTCACCAGGTTGCCGCTCATTCTGTATCACGTTAGCACCGAATTACTGTCCGTAGCAGAGGAGCCTCGCACATCCAAAGGGCTGATCCGAGCGAAATTCCGTGGTTGATGCGAAGCCAAGCCCTGGTCAGTCTCTGTTAGTGGCTCAGTAGCCTTGTTAACCTCATTCGGAGTGAACTCATAGTCGGTCGAAGGTTCAGCAGGACCGGGAGATGCAGGACTAAAAGGGGGCGAATAGGTAGAATCTGCTGGACTTGTAGTCATTTCTGGCTCTGGTGGCTCATATGCGTCCGAAACAGAAGATTCACGAGATCCTCGTCCCAGTACTTCTGATGGTGATTCGTCCATCTGCTCATCAGAAGTTGCATTGACCTGAGACACGGTATGTATTGGCTGCAACAGCTCTGGAGAGGAATTGTCCAACTCCGACTCGGCCGGTTGCACCTGCTCAATCTCTCCAGCCTTATCGCCAAGAGCTTCTGGTTCCGCAGTTGCTGGCGCGGAGTTTTGAGCTACAGAACTTTCTACCTCAGCCGATGTAGATTCGTCGCTATCGCTATCACTGGATTCGTCCATCGAGGAACTCATCGAGTCAGACGACGAAGTAGCCATTTGGTCTTCGTCAGCATCATCCATAATAGTATCTTTTTCGAGTGCCGGACTAGGGGCTGGGGATTGCGCAGATGACGCATGGTCTGGAGCGGTTTCAGTTTCTTTTTGAGCTTCATTTTGAAAGGGCAAGTCTGGTTTCGTTGCCTCTGAAGCTTGTTCTGTGATGGGCCGCAGAGACAGTTCATGATTGGTTGCTAAGTGGGATTCATTAGCGGTCGGCATTGTCCGCGACAGGATCCTCGACATCGTGGCAGACGGACGAGATGTGACTGAGACTTACCAGGGAATTCGGAATTTACGGGCTCTGCGGTCCGCGTTTGACGGAGAGCTAAGTCTATGTTATCAAGTGTCACGCCCTGCAACTCTTGGCTAAGGGCTTCCAGCTCATGTAGGAGCCGCTGGCGACCTTCTTTGCCCTTCGCTATTTGGGACAAGAGGGATTCTTCCTCCTGTCTTACCCCGACCAGCTTTGCCTCCGATTTGTCTATCTCATAATTTAGGGCGGGAATACCGGATTCAATTTCCTGTTTTCGCAAGAGTTTGGCCCTTATCAGTTCTAGCTGAAGAGAGTCTGTCGGCAGTGAAGACGCTCGGTGCATGAGTTGGGAAGAAGCCTCTTCAAGCGTGGGCACCTGGTTTGCATTGGTTATTCCCGACGTCGCGACATCAGCCGTGAATGTTTCAACAGGTGGCGTTGACAAGTCAAAAGCACGAGGGGATTGCGTGCGACTCGCGGCCAGCTTCGCCTTTTTCCGTTCCTCCAGTTCAGCAATTCGACGGTGCATCGCCTTGATTTCAAGATCTTTCCGACGAAGATGTTCTTGGTGCTCCTGGTCATGGGTTCGTCCATTAGGGGTCACAGACGTAGAAAACCCTTGGCTAAGCGATGTTGCTGGCCGCTGAGGTAGTTTTTCCGTTGTAGCTGAAGCGTTCTGAAGAAGTCTCTCGATGTCTCGCGGAACATTTCCAACAAGAGTATCAATCTCCATGCTATCATTTTCATCATCTCCGTAGAACTCGTCGTCACTGATGTCAATGACAAGTCTCGCGGGCTCAGCAACAGCAAAATTCGTACCGTTACCAAATGACTTTTTGGGCATAGGGATTGGTTCATCAAAGTCAGAGGCCCGTGGCCGTTTGCGTTGATTGACACGTGTTTGGTTCTCTGTATCAATGACATGCTGAACAGCTGGAGCAACTGCCTCTTCTGTAGAAGTAGGCTCCTTCTGCTCGGTCATAAAGAGGCCTGGGATACGAGATTGAGGTGAAGGCTCTGGGTCCGGTGGGCGCTCAGGCAGAGGGTGTTGGAATGGAGCGGAATTCGTGGGCTGGGAAGCATCTTGACTATTCTTGGTGTACTGTTCGTTTGAATCAGAAGACGAGGGGTCTGGCTGAGATTTCTGTAAGGACCTCATCAAGCCTTGTTTCCTGAGCTGTTCAATTCTTTGCCTAGCAAGTTCAGTTTGTGCCTTGTTCTTCTCCTTGACACGCGTTTCTTTCTCTACAGCCGGCGCGTCGTGAGAGAGACGTGGCGTCGTCCTGCTGGCATCAGGAATGTTCAAGCTTGAGATATTGCTGTTCTCTTTTACGGGCCCGGCCTGTGACGGCGTAGAAGTGGATGTCTTCGCCGCCTTCGCGGCAAGCATGCGGGCAATGAGTTCCTTGCGCTCCAATGGCTTGCCTGTCGTAGCCTGCGACATTGCTGATGGGGGACTGACAGTAATATTTGAGGGGCTTTGCTCCGCAGCAGACTTTTGAGATGTTGCACTTTCAGCGATTCGTTCACGTGATCTTTCTCCTGCATCATCATGACTTTTGAAGGAAGCAAGATCGAGCGGAGACGTCATGTCAGCGTCTGGTTGCGGAGAAGGAATCTTAATTCCAATATCCTCGTATAGTTGACGAAGAATAACAGGGTCAATGCCTTCTCCGATGAATTCATTGTAGCGAATATTGTGAGGAGCTAAGCTCAAAAGAGCCCCCTGGGCCTGGACACGTAACTGAGCTGTAGGTTTGACTCCATTCGACGGTCGCTCGAGGTGGCTTGCAGGTGCATCATCCGTCCTATCGCATATATTGTCATGAAGCAATTTTGAGGTAGCGGCGTCATCGAGACTCAAGGAATTCGGGTTGGGAGATTCGGCGGGTAGTGTTAGGGCTGGATTATAAGCTGCCAGGGTGTAAGTAAGCCATCAGGTAAAACAACAGTCCATGACATACGAGATCCGCTGCTTCGGGATGATGAGTGATCTTCAGATGAGCCTTCGAGAGTGTCTATATTCAGCCTTTTTTCTGGAGTCATTGCAGAAGAGGCTGAGACACGAGGTCTTGAGTCTTTTGATGAATAAGCATCAGAAAAGTTGGAAAGATGGCCACGCATGCTGCGCAATTCCCCCTTGGATTTCACGCGCTCAGGCATATCTTTCGCTTGAGATGGCGAGGGAGCTGCAGCTGATTCAGATTGTTTTGAGTGTGCTATTGATTCCTCTCCATCAGTAAGCTCGCCTTCTTCGCGGTCAATGTTTGAATTCGAGCTGGCCATGCTCGTGAGTTGTACATCAGCGGGAGTTGATACTTCTTGACCGAGGCGTGGCTGTGGCTCATTCGATGGATAGCCAGATGGATGGAGGTGGGAAGGGGCGACAGGTGCTGGGTTGGATGGGTATCTCAATGGTGGGAGTTGAATAGGAGGAAGTGGCAGAAGTGGAAATGGTGAATGAGGGAACGGTCCCATGAAGCTCAATAGCGGCGGCGGTATTTGCGCAGGCGCGCCCGGGCCTCCGAGCCCCGGCAGATGTGCGTTGGCCATATGGCTATCTTGATTGTAGTCACTAGGAAGCGTAGCACCTTCGGGGAGCGACGAAGGGGCGGGTGTCTGATTGTGAGCGAAGGTGAATGAAGGATGCGGAAGTAAAGAAGGCATGGAAATGGAGGAAGTCGGGTTTGGCGGGGGCCACTGAGGTGGTGTATAGTCTTGTCCCGCAAAGGACGGTGTTGGGGGATAACTAGACATGACTATCTCAGAGAGGACGATGGATTATGCGAGGTGGGTGCAGTGCCTATGAGGATCTTCTGCATCGAGTACAAGTCAGTAACAGAGCAGCTTGTAGACTCTCGCTGCGGCATGGATTTCAGGCATCAGACATCGGATGGAGGGTGTGGGACTCAAAGTGACAATCAAAGCCGCGCCATGAAAGGAGAAAAGACAAGTCGCGTCGAACAACTAAGACAAGGCACTCGGCTATGCAGATGATTATCGATATCGTATGTAGGGAATTCTCGTCACCTTAGTCGCTTCTCGTGGGATGGCGCGACGGAAAAATCGAGAGTACTCGAAGGACCAGAGATCGAATGGAAGACAGTGTAGTGTAACTTAACGGGGAGCGACGAGGTCAGTGAATCTCGCTCGCTCCAGACCTCCCGAAAAGATCTCGAGTCACGTGGTGTGACGGATGCACCACCGATGCGGACTAGCATCGGATCTGCACCCGCGGGAACGAGGAACGAAGAGACAATAACTTGGGTAAACAAACAAGTGGAGGTGGTCAGTGCCAGTGACGACGCCGACTGGAGGTGACGCTGCTGGGCTGCTCTTCCATTTACCGACAACTCTACCTTACCAGGCTACCAGGCTACCTGACTACCTGACGCCCACTCCACTTCTTGTTTCTCTTCATCTCTAAGTCTCCCCTTCTCACCTCGCAATCCCTCTTCTGCTTCTCTTCGTCCGACCCCGGCCTGCATGCTTCGCTAAAGAGGCTACTGGACGCCGATTGGGCTTTCCTTGTCTTCCATATTGCATTTGTTATGAATTACACCGACCTTCTTGTTGTATAATGTTTCATTGTTGAATTAACGACGACATGCTTCCCTCTCAAATAAATGGCTCCCCCAAACGAGCCAATCCGTTCAGTCGCGCCTCACCATCTCCCTCGTCACCTCCCGGTCCGCAGGCGAGAGGGCTGCGCCCCAAGTCGACTGTTGTCACATCCCCCAGTAGATTTCAAGAGGCACGAGGACATTTCCGCAACGCATCTTCAGTCTCGCAGTCATCCACTTCCCTGGTTCCTCGGCCCGGCATCCGTCAGAGGTCGGGCTCGTTAAGGAATGATGCTGCATCCGGGACTTTCGCGCCTGAGTTCATAAAAACGGAAGAGCTTCGACGGGGTGCCGATCAAATCCGAGGACTGGAAGGCGACAATGACTTCTCTGGGAATAAATATGTCTGGTTGCGTGACCCCGAGAAGGCATTTGTGCGTGGATTGGTCTTGGAGGAAGGTGAAGATGGTCGCTTGCTAGTGCAGACTGATGATGGCGAGGTACATTCGTCCAATGTTTCGACCTGGGCGCTCTGGCTAACTGTAACGCAGCAACGAGAGGTTGATGTTGATCAAGTGGACAAGGTTAACCCGGCAAAGTTCGACAAGGCTGATGATATGGCTGAATTGACGCATCTCAATGAGGCATCAGTCGTCCACAATCTGCACACCCGATATCAATCAGATCTCATATATGTAAGTATTCAAAACTGGGAGTTATGTTCGTGTTGACTTACACTTCACTTGCTAGACATACTCGGGTCTATTCCTCGTCACAATCAACCCGTACTGTCCTCTGCCTATTTACTCCAACGACTACATCAAGACGTACAAAGGTCGCAGCCGGGACGAAAACCGCCCCCATATATTCGCTATGGCGGATGAAGCGTTCCGGAACTTGGTAGAGGAAGGGGAGAACCAAAGCATACTGGTTACGTAAGTTGAATACCACTGGACACCACGGAAGTCAGTTGGAAACTCATTTTAACAACAATACCAGCGGTGAGTCTGGCGCCGGTAAGACTGAGAACACCAAGAAGGTCATCCAATATCTGGCAGCCGTTGCGACTACAGATACGCCCTATGCCCGGGCAGGAAATAAGCATCTGTCAACATTATCACAACAAATCCTTCGTGCGAATCCGATCCTCGAAGCGTTCGGCAACGCGCAAACTGTTCGGAACAACAACTCCTCCCGTTTCGGCAAGTTTATCAGGATTGAATTCTCTCGCGCTGGCCAGATATCAGGCGCATCCATTGACTGGTATCTCCTCGAGAAGTCACGCGTTGTCAAGCCGAATGCCAACGAGAGAAATTACCATATTTTCTATCAACTACTGAAGGGCGCGGACCCGAAATTGAAAGAATCGTTGCTTTTGTCTGATCTGCAGATCCAGGATTTTGCGTACACCCGAGACGGGAACGAGACGATTGCAGGAGTATCCGACGAGGAGGAATGGAACATGCTAATCGAGGCCTTTCACGTGATGAACTTCTCAGAGGAGGATCAAATGTGCATCTTGCGAACCATTGCCGCTGTCCTTCACCTGGGAAATATAACGATCGTGAAGGCAAGCTTGCGAGCTGATCAAGCTGCACTAAGCCCTGACGCCCTGAACAGTGTGGAGAGGGCTTGTCAGCTGCTTGGCATTGCACCAGAGCCTTTCGTCAAAGGGTTGTTGCATCCGAGAGTGAAGGCTGGACGTGAGTGGGTCGAGAAGGTTCAAACTCCGGAGCAGGTCCGGCTTGCCCTCGATGCCCTGGCCAAGGGTATTTACGAACGTGGCTTTGGCAACCTCGTTGACCGCATCAATGACCAGTTTGACCGCAGCACAATCACCGGTGACGATTGCTATTTCATTGGTGTTCTGGATATCGCTGGCTTCGAGATCTTTGAGAACAACAGTTTCGAGCAACTGTGTATCAATTACACCAATGAAAAACTTCAACAATTCTTTAACCACCATATGTTTGTTCTAGAGCAAGAGGAATATGCAAGAGAACAGATCGAATGGCAATTTATTGACTTCGGGAAAGACCTCCAGCCAACCATCGACTTGATCGAATTGACCAATCCCATCGGTATATTTTCTTGCTTAGATGAAGACTGTGTCATGCCGAAGGCCACCGACAAAACCTTTACCGACAAGCTTCATTCACTATGGGATCGCAAGTCTCCCAAATATCGTGCTTCTCGCCTCAGCCAGGGATTTGTGCTCACGCACTATGCGGCTGAAGTAGAATATGACACTGACGGCTGGCTCGAGAAGAACAAAGACCCACTAAATGACAATATAACACGTCTTCTCGCTCGCTCGGGTGAGCCCCATGTCGCTGGCCTTTTTGCTGATTGCGGTGACCTTGACGATGAGAGCGACTATCCGAAGAGTCGTGTCAAGAAGGGACTGTTTCGCACTGTTGCGCAGCGACATAAGGAACAGTTATCCAAACTGATGCAGCAGTTGAACTCTACCCATCCCCATTTTGTTCGATGCATTATCCCTAACCACAAGAAACGCCCTAAGATGTTAAATGCACCTCTTGTTCTTGATCAACTCCGGTGCAATGGTGTACTCGAAGGCATTAGGATTGCACGCACAGGCTTTCCTAATCGACTTACCTTTGCCGAATTTCGTCAACGATATGAGGTGCTCTGCCAGAAGATGCCCAAGGGCTACCTGGATGGTCAAAATGCTGCTCATATGATGCTACAAAAACTTGAATTGGACCCGACATGGTACCGAGTTGGCCGCACGAAAGTCTTCTTCCGAGCCGGTGTCTTGGCTGAATTAGAGGAGAAACGAGATCAGCTTATCCGTACGATCATGACTCGCTTTCAGTCAGTTGCTCGAGGTTTCGTGCAACGACGGATCTCAAACAAGCGACTATATCGAGCTGAGGCTACACGAATTATCCAACAGAATTTTAAGCTCTATTTGGATATGAAGGCTAATCCCTGGTGGGTATTGTTCTCTAGAATGAAGCCCCTTCTAGGTGAGACACGGACGGCCAATGAAGTCAAGAAGCGAGACGAGAAGATCAAGGAGTTGGAGCTGAAGATGAACCAAGATATGGCAAATCGACACAAACTCGAGGAAGAAAGACGGCGGACGGAGATTGAAATCCAGAAAATTCAGCAGACTCTAGAAAGCGAACGTGCCCTGGCTCTCGACAAGGAGGAGATCTTTAAGAGACTGCAGTTTCGAGAAGTCGAGCTGAGCGAGAAGCTGGCTGGTGCCATTGCCGATCAGGAAAGCCTTGAGGATCAACTGGATGACCTGATCGCAGCGAAGAAAAAGACTGATGACGAGCTTGAGCTACGGATTACCCAACTTGAACAAGCGGGAGAGATCATTCAGCGGTTCGAGAACGAGAAGCGAGATATGCAGGCTCGACTTGAAGACATTGAGGGTCAATTAGCCGAAGCGACCAGGAGGACTTCAGAAAAGGATGTCCATCTTCAGGAACTGGGACAGGAGATCAAGATGCTCCAGAGTCATCTCAGCCTTAAGGAGCGGAAGCTTCAAGATTTGGAAGCAAAGTTGTTGAAAACAGATCAGGATCTGGAGATCAAGCATGCCAAGACTTCCAAGGAGCTGGATCAGTCCAAGAAACATATTAAGGAGCTCATCGAGGAGAATCGCACCATTCGGCAGCAAATATCCGAGCTTTCGTCAACGTCAACAGGTTATGAAGAGATGCTCCGTCGGAAAGAGAGCGAGATGGCAGTCCTTCGTAACGATGCACAAAAGCACGAGGATGAAAAGCGCCAGCTAGAATCTGAGAAAGCTACACTCTCAACACGTCATGATCATATGCAACGACGCCTTCGCGAGCTTCAAGCCGAGAGTGACGCTATGATGTCTGAGAGAATTCAGCTCGAGCGTGAAGCAGCTGATGTCAAGAAGCTGTTGGAAGAGAAGATCTCTGAAGATGCCGAAGCTGGCGAGAGCCGAAAACTTCTCGAACAGCAGATCCAGGAGCTTAAGGGTCAACTGTTCAGGGCGCAAGCCGACCTTAGCCGGGAAAGACAATCCAGAGACGACGTTCAGATGCTTGCCGAGCACAATCTGGCAGAATTGAAGGACAAGTACACTGCGCTGAATGAATCCAAGATCATTATCGAGAAAGAGATGTACATTCAGCAGGACACTTTGCGTCGCGCTACGGAAGCTCGCGTTGCTGCTGAAGAGTCGCGGAAGGAGCTGCAGACTGAGCTGATTCAGCTTCGGGACCGCTTCACCAAGGTCGAGACTGCTCGACTGGATGCCGAAGCTGACATTGAACGCAATATCATGAAGCAGGCTACGGAGCGTCTGCAGAGTGTCCAGAAAGATCTTGACACTCGATCACGTCAGATAGAGGAGCTCGAGGCCGAGAGATCCCGGCTCGCTCTCCGAGAACAAGAACTACTCAATGCCATTGCTGAGTCCGACAACTTCCGCATTCGCCATGACCAAGCCAAGGAGCGCCTTGAACGTGAACTGGTAACCTTGAAGGGTAGACTCACAGCGTCCGAGAATGATAATCGTGCTCTTCTTACCAAGATCCAGCAGAAGAATCTTGACATAGCCAGGTCAACATCAAGAGCAAGTGATAATCAAAGGCTCCGTATCACGAATCTCCAGAAGGAGAAGGCCAAACTTGAGGAAGATAATAAAAAGCTTACCCGTCAGCTTGGTGATCTTCAGGTCTCGATCACATCTTTGGAGAAACAAAAGGAGAAGCTTTCCCTCAGCTTAGAAGATTTGAATCACGAAGTCAACCGGGAGCATAAAGCTAGCCGAAATGCTGAGAAGGCTGCTTCTACCGCAGGGATCCAGCTAGCCGAAGCCAACAGAAACCTAGAGACGGAAAGACAACTCCGTACACAAGCACAGACAAACACACGCCAGCTTCAAAACTCCCTTGATACCGCTAATAAAGAGATAGAAGACTTACATCGTCAACTGATGCTGCTGCACAAAGTTGTTGAGCCTGATTCAGATCCTACCCACTCGACCTGGGAAAAGGTACAGCCTGACCTTTCCAAGAAGATTGATCTAGCGCAGTTGCTGGAAGCCACCCGGAGCAAGCTGCAGGTTACTGAGGAGAAGTATAGCCGGGCGGAGAGTCAGCTGGCGGAAATGCGTCGTCGTCATGGAGATGAGATGAAGGAGCTCGATGCACGCTATGCCTCATCAAAACGCGCACTATTGGAGGAGATCGACCAGAACCAGGTGGCTGGTAACCGTACACCAACCCATCTCCGGAAAAATTCCGACACCCTGGCAAAGAAATTTGGCACACCCAATACTCCCAACCGGAAAATAAATTTCAATGAGCTGGCGGACTCAACTCGGTCAGACAGAACAGTGGACACTGTAGGCTATCAAAAACGAATGGACATGGCGGCGGAAATTGAGGAGCTTCAGAACAAACTTCAGATAACTGAAATGCAGAACAAACATCTCCAGAATCAACTTGCTCAAGCATCCCCAGCCCGCGATGTCCGGCAAGATGACAGCCCGTCTGTTCGCCGAATGCAGTTGCTTGAGCGTGAAAATGGCCGTCTTCACGACCAGCTTGACGACTCCGCAAAGAAGCTTTCTGCATTGGAGAGAAGCATTCATACGGGAGAGCTTTCGCTCCGTGATGTTCAAGCCAAGTCCCATGAAGAGCTCTACGATCTTATCAACTCGCAAGAGCAGTCCAGGAGGGCATTGCTCCAGGTACATAAGGAAACCTTGGCGGAGTTTGGGGACTCTAAAATACATCTAGAAAAGCTCAAACGTGCAAATGCCACCTTGGAGGTTGAGTTACGCGATACTCGCTCCGAGTTTCAAGAGATGCAAGTTGCGCGGGACCAGGATGCCATTAGCAGAAATCAACTTCTTGAAGAGTTCTCTGACCTTCAAATCCGGCTGGATGCAGAGACCTCAAAGTCCGCTGATCTTGCATCAAGTTTGAGTCTCTACAAGTCCCGCGCAGACGAGTATTTCAACAAGCTTGAGCAAGCAGAAATAACCGTACTCAAAGCCACCAGGGCTGAGCAATTCGCTAAGAGCCAAGCCCAGGAGGCTGAGGATACTTGTGCTCAGATCATGGCCGAGCGTAAACAAATGGATGCTCTAGTTGAAGACTTGCAACGTCAGACACAATCTCTCGAAGCCCGGATGGAGGACCAGGCAGCAGAACTACAAGCGGCTCTCCAGGCCAAACAACGTCTTCAGAATGAGCTCGAAGATTACAGGAACCAACGCGCCATCGATATCGAGGATAAGGAAACCTCGATGGAGCAAACAAGGCAGAAGTATCAGCGAGAATTTTCGACCCTGAACAATGAACTCGAAATGGAGCGTGAAAAGGTGCTGAATGTCCGCGGTGAAAATGCCCGCCTGCGCGAGGAACTTGAAGACCTTCGCAGTAAGTGGGATAATGAAGTCTTGAACAGCTCCACATGGGCGAAGGAGAAGGCCCGCATGGATATCATGCTTCAGGATGTAACAACCTCCCGTGATGAGGCGGTATCCGCGCATAACGAAGCTCAGAGTAAGGTCGTTTCGTTGTTGTCGCAAGTCCGGACTCTTCGCACTTCGGTTGACGACATTACCGCAGAGCGCGACATGCTCTTGAAGGAGAAGAAAACGCTAGAGACACGCTTGACTGAGGCAGGTGAAAGACTCGAAGACCTAGTCAAAGGAGAGAGCCCCTCCATGCGAAACGCGGCAAGTATGGACCGTGAATTGCTTGAACTCAAGTCGAAACTCGCCCAGCAAGAAGATGTTTCAGCTGCTGCTGTTGGCAAAATGCGACGGGCAGAAGCTTTGGCTATGGAGATGCAGAAGGAAGTTACTGCCGAGCGGGAGACCAACGCCCAGCTCTTCAAAGACAAAGCTGCGCTTGAGAAGCAATTGAAGGAGTCACAGCTGCGATGCGTCGATTTGGAGACCAAGAGCTACTCTTCTGGTAGTCAGGACGTTCGCTTCCTTCACAAGAGAATCAAGGAGGTAGGTTATTCTGTCCACAAACCAGGTATAGAGTTCTGAATCTCTAACCCCCTGCCGAATTAGTTGGAAACGCATCTTGAGGAGCAAGAAACAAAACACAGCTCTGAACAGCGGTCACTTCGTAACGTTGACCGTACAGTCAAAGATCTTCAATCTCAGATTGAGCGACGCGACAAGATGAATGCACAGCTAAATGAAGACGTCACCAAAACACGCGCAAAGATTGACCGACTCCTGCGTGACATCGAAGAGCTTCAGCAAAGCGAATCTGAGGCACAACTTCAGGCGCGTCGAGCGGAGCGAGAGCTGCGGGAAGAACGAGAGAAACTGCTCAGGGTGGAGCGTGAGCTAGAAGGTTGGAGAGGCCTGCGCGTTGAACGGGGCAGCGCAATCGGCCGGATTGGCGCCTGGAGTGATGCTGGTAGCAGACGGGGCAGCAGTGTGTACAATTCCGGCGACATACCACAACGGATGCCCAGCAATACGAAAGGCTTTTTGTAAGATCATGACGACCTGGCAGGATAGGTCCACTATACGCATCTGCCTATAATTCCGAGACTTGGGCGCTAAATCTTCATCCAGGCCTTAAGCGACAATTTACGAACATGACTTGATTGAAGCCCTGCATGGTTATGGCGTGTGGTCGGATCGGGCGTCTGGGTTTGTTTTTGCATGGGAATCGATTTCTGTCAGTACAATTTATTGATCTTCACAGGAACCGACCGGTATGCTGGTCCCTGCTGCAATTTTGATGACTTTCGATTGGCATCTTTAACCCAAGATAGTTGTCCTCGAATGCCTATTATATTCATCTCGACATCGCATCAGATTGTACATGAAATCTTTGATGGAGAGAACAGTGGAGCATAATCTTGTCATGCACCACGAGCGCCGCTAATTTATCTGTTTGCGCTCGAGTTGCTTAATATGATCGTATCGTTACTGTTCAGATGGTTTGTACATACTACGTCTCGCATGATTGTGTAATGGGCATTGCCGTTGAATAGCACGGCTTCTATGAGCCAAACCATATGGGAAGAATATGACAACCCACTACTCCTAGAATCTATAGTTACAAACAGCTTTATTTACTACTTTATATATGAGCCGCAAGCGACAGTTATAAGCTTATGTTGACTACATTAGTAAATATGAAATTCAAAGTCCATGTGGTGCTGCGGACCGACGGAGCTCTTAGCCGCGCGGTTACACTTGGCGCTCGCCTCAAGCGCGGGCGAATCCACTCTAGCTTGGTCATTAGTCTCATCTCTCTGCTTCTGCACTTCAACCTCTGTGTCTTGAGCGCCCACTTCGAACGGGATCAACCGGCGTCGCTTTTAAAATGGTAAGTCCCCGATTGCGGAGTACACTTCGTCCCTCTTGTGTTGTATGAAGAGCACTTTTCGCTGCGAAGCAATCCGCCGAAGCCACAATCTCGTCATGTCTACCCAATTCCTCGACTTGCGTTCATTTCTGGTTTGCTCGCCGCAGAGAATTGAGCAGCCATTCTCCTTGACAAGAGCGTCCCGATAGGCTAATCCATCCATTCTTCTCAGGCGCGCAACAGCGAAAAAGCTCAGTCGATGCTCTTTCGGTTCCGGGCCCAACAGGCCGCGGATCTCGGAATCATCGACATTGGCCGCACGCGCCGCCCGAAGGCCATCACCTCGGTCGACTCGATCCCAATGTGTGAAAAATGGCGTGGTCAGGTTCTCAAGGAGATTTCGAGGAAAGTATCTCGGATCCAGGAGCCCAGTCTGAGCGACTACCAGATCCGCGACCTGAACGATGAAATCAACAAGCTCATGCGGGAGAAGTGGACGTGGGAGATGCAGATCCGGAACTTGGGCGGCCCCAATTACATGCGAGGGTCCGGCCGGGTATTCGATGACGATGGTCGGGAAATCCCTGGCGGCGGAAAAGGGTACCGATACTTTGGCCGGGCAAGGGAGTTACCTGGGGTGAAGGAGATGTTTGAGGCGGCGGCCAGACGGGGAAGGCCCGCGGAGGAGGACGAGGATGAGACTGGCGGGGTCAAAGGCCGGGGAGGCGATATCGCGACGAAGAAGGTCGATGCCAACTATTTCGGGTATGGATTGGATGAGGAAGATGGCACGCTATTGGCCTATGAGAAGCAGAAGGAGAAGGAGGCGGTTGATCGCCTTCGCAAGAAGGGCGATGAAGGGGATGATGGGTGGGAGCCGCTTCCCGGAGATGCTGGAGACGGCATTGAGTGGAGGCTGCCGAATCTGGAGGAGGTACAGGAGGAGCTTGTGGACAGGAGAAGGAGAAGACTGCTGGACAAGATCTCCTGAGGTCAGGGAAAGGGTATTTCTGCTCCGGAGTTGTGGCCTCTATCTTACGTTGATTTGTGATTTCGTCTTGGGATCTCTCTCTGGTGTTTCTCCACTGTCATATCTTTGCTTCTATGGCGTTCTGGTTCCATTTCTCCAGACTCTGCGTTCATGTCTCCCTTCGCCGCTTCTCATGTCTCTTCTTGTGCTTTGCCTTCATATGCGGTACTGTCCCCGCTCCAAATGCAGGATGCATCTTAGGGGAAGCAAAAGCATATCGATGATACCAACATGATTCGTTCTTTTGTACAAGAGATGGTTGGGGGCTATATTAGTCTATGTGCCAGATATGATTATTTATAGCTTGGGTTGCCTTCGCGCTAGTTTGTCAGCCTTCAGCGCCTGCGTTCGACTGATGGTGATCTCCCGTTCTCCGCCTTCCAAGAGACGCTGCTCTTCCGCCTGCAAGTCATCGAGTATGAATTTGCCCAGATCTCCAGCGCGCCATTTCTGAATGAAGTGCAGAGCTGCGAGCTCTGTATTGGGGATCCCACCTTTGGCCAGAAGGCCTGTTTGGCGGGCGAAGTCATTCAAAAGTGACATTATATCATTTGTTGGAGGCGACCATCGCTGATATACTTGAGCATCGTTCAGGTTTATGTGGTACAATAGATAGTCGGCCAGCGTCACGGGCGCGATGACCGAGTCCTTGACACAGCCGCAAAGTGCCAATTTCAGCATGTTCTCCGCATCCGGTACATACGGCATGAAGACACCCGGTGTGTCCAAGACGTAGACATGCGAGCCATTCTCGCGCTCGATGATCTTCACGGGCGAAGCAATCTTTCGTGTTATACCCGGCTGACCTCCAGTCCGCAGCGCCTTGGCCTTTCCCATGCCTTGGTTACGCAAATTGTTGATTAACGTTGACTTGCCTACGTTGGGCATGCCGACCACCATGACTCGACAGCCAACTAACCTCTCCGGGATGCCCGCATCGTCTCGCAAGTGTTTAAGGATGGTGCCAACGTCTATTCGAGAAGATGAGCTAACAAAAAGTGAATCTCCATTCTTGTTGAAGGTCCGAATAGATTTTTCTGCCTGAAATGGACATAGATATCAGTCGTCTGATCCTCCGCAGTGATTTGAGAGGGGTAGTTGCAGTCATGTCACCGACCTTTTTCTGCGCATTTGACCCAGCTTCTGCGCCGAGATCTCTCTTGGTGTATACGATCAGTCGTCTCGTCTTTCCCAGTGCCTCCTCAAACATAGGGTTCATGGAGGTGACTGGAACTCGGTAATCTCGGCACTCGATGACATAGTCAATAGATGAAAGCATATTCTGCATTTTTCTTAAGCCAGCCCGATGGTGGCCCAGGAAGTATGACCTAGGGATCGACGCATAATTAGGAAATGCCCGGCGTGGTGCAAAGGTGGCTGCCATTATCGTATATCCATCAAATAAAAATTGTAGATCTTGTCCTTGTGTGCTTTCACATGAAATTTCCTCCTGCTCATAGTCAGAAATACATGAAGCTGAAACTGAATGATAAATGGATTGAGATGCTCGCTCTCTTCAGGTTTATGTGATGAGGAGTACGGCAATTTTCTTCCGATATAAGGGCGGTAAGGTAGGCGGTGTGTATGTTGTTTCCAAGTACAGTTCCTTATCACATTTCTCCCTCGCCATTTGAGGGACATGTTCGTGGTCATAAGTTATGAAACTAAGGCTGACACTAGCGAGAAGATTCCGAGCTGGCTGTACAAGCAGCCGGGTACAATTTCTCAGTATCATTCTAGCCTTGACCAACTTGCCTGCCTTCTTTAGAAGCACCATGTTAATGAGGATCCATAGGTGCCTCATCCTGCATGGATGGATGAGCCAGGGCCCATTGCCGCAGCAAAGATGGAAAACGGTTGATCATCGGGGGCCAGAACTGATAACTTAAGGGGTTGAAGAGAAGACTGTCTCAGCATAAACTGCGGTGCAGGGGGTTCTGGCACAATCCATTGACTACTACGAGGAGTGAACTACGGAGCGTTTATCACAGGAATATGATACGTCATTTACCAAGTCTGGCCAAGGCGGACAACCATATTTCCCCCTCCCCCACAAACGCATCTTATCGTGAACCCTTCCACATACTTCTATTCAAGTGCTATCCAGCACACCATGACTCTGATCTCTGCCTTCCGTCCACCATCAACTCGCGTCTCGTCCCTGCGACTGAGGTCTCGTAGGCAGCGAAGGTCTCCCAAGCGGAGTCCTCGTCAACGCAGCCGCGAATGGAGACAAGACCAAGGCCAGGATGAGGACGAGGATAGTCATGATGAAAATGCGCACTCCATAATCACCCCATCAAAGCACACACCCAAGGCAGTGCGGGTCCTACGCGGCTCTGTGGCAGCCGGTGGCCCTTTGCGTCCCTTTCGTCTAGTCAAACAGGATATTCTGAACCTTCGTCGTCGATATATCTCAGATTGGAAGATATTCAACCAGCTGATATTCGCTAGTGCTGTCTATGTCTTCTTCACCAATCTTCTTCCTGGTATAACTTTTGCTAGCGATTTGTATGTCTTGACTGGTCAGAATTGGGGAACAATTGAGGTGGTATTCAGTACGGGTCTATGTAGTATCATCTTCTCATTGTGAGTGCTCAGCCATACTTGCAGTAGGGTCAGGCAGACTTACGTGAACATATATAGATTTTCCATTCAGCCTCTGACTATCCTGGGAGTTACCGGGCCCTTCTCGGTGCTCGCAGAAAACCTCTACAATCTTTGCGACGAAGTCTTCAGGGTATGCTAATTATCCAGTAGTATGAGGGTCGTAGCCCGTGACTGATCTCAAGTTATAGATACCTTTCTTGCCGTTCATGGCCTGGTCGCTGATCCATGCTGGCTGGCTACACTATGCCCTGGCTATCATCAATGCGCACGATTGGACAATGCGATATGTCACTACCTTCGCCACGGAGATATTCTCCCTACTGAACAGCATCATTTACTTCCACAAAGCCATTCAGGAGCTGGAACGAGCCCACAATAGCCTCTCCTTCGCAGCTTTTCTGTATGCTGTCATAGGTGCTGTTGGAACAATGCTTCTGGCAATATTTCTGTCTACTGCAGAGAGCTGGCGCCCCTTGTTCCACCGCTACATCCGCATGGGCTTGACCGAGTATGCCGCTGCAATCTCCATCATCGTCTTCATCGGGCTTCCGCACATCGGTGAACTAGCTCACCTTGACAAGATGACCCTTCCAGTTAGTACCTCCTTTACTCCCACCTCTCCAGACCGTAACCAGTTCTTTGTCGAATTCTGGCAACTGCCTGTAAACTGGGTGTTTGCCGCTATCCTTCCCGGGATCATTATTACCATCCTGTTCTTCTTCGACCACGAAGTCAGTTCTATTATCTGCACCATTGATCGGTATGGAACCCGCAAGCCCGGCGGCTTTGCATGGGACATCATCCTCCTGGGCACCACCACCGCCCTCTGCGGAATCTTGGGAATCCCGCCGGCCAATGGCCTCCTTCCGCAAGCGCCTCTCCACTCCGAATCTCTCATGCACACGGAGAAAGAAGAACGGACCATTCTCGTTGATGGCGAGGAGAAGAAAGAAACCTACGAGGTCAACCGCGTCTACGAGCAGCGATGGTCATCCTTTCTTCACGCCGCGGCTATTCTGCTCTTCATCAGCCCTCCTTTCATGAAAGTCCTCGGTTTAACTCCAACTAGCGTTCTAGCCGGTCTATTCATGTTTATGGGCGAGCAAAGTCTTTCAGTAAAGTAGGTCTATCTTAACTTCCTTTCCGACGCCTCATTTCTTTTTTTTCTGTCAATTTTTTTGTTAGATATAGACTGAGGCAGCTAACTGAACACGATTTGTTACTTTAGTCCGATTCTCTACCGAACATTCTATCTCCTCACTCCGCCCTCTGAGCTCCCTCCCCTACCCGCTACCCTAGCCACAACTACATCCGCCACAAACACACCACGCGCTAAAGCTTTTGGAAGAACCAATGGAGAAGAGGAAGAAGAAGCCGAAGAAGAAGCAGAAGAAGAAATCTCAACTCCACCGCCAACAGCCCCCTCCTACATCCCCATTCACCTCTACACCATCCTTCAAATCGTCATCACAGTGGCCATTTTTATTCTGACCCTCACGCGCGGCGCCCCTGCGTTCCCGGTTTTGATCGTCCTACTCGTACCCTTTCGCCTCCTTGTCATGAAGCGATGGTGGCCCCGCGAGGTCCTCCGTTTTGTGGACGCGTGGGCGTGCAAGGAGGGAACACCGGAGGACGACGAAGATGCCGAGGCAGAGGCGCAAGGGGACGCACAAGGGAGGTTTAAAGGCCTTGGACAAGAGAATTCTCCCGGAGCTATCGTCGTTGCGGCAGGGACTGAAATGGGGCAAGGATCCTCCGCGGTCAGTTCCGAGAGTGGGGGCTTGTTTGTAGAAAGATATGCAAAGGACGGGGATACGGGAAGTAGCTCTCATCTGAAGGCGCTCGACGAGATGGGTCCGGACCTTGGGGAGGGAAGTCGCGAATGGCTTGAGCTGCAAGGTTGGAACCGACGTGACGAAGAAGAGGGAAAGGGGATATGAACTTGGTAGATAGAAACAACGTAGAGGGCAACGAGGGTTAAGTCCTTCAGATCGGGGAAGATACAGCTTATCTAGGCTGGTACTCGCAAAAAGACATTTACAGAGTTATCTTGAAATGGTTTAAAAGGGAAAATTGTCGGCAACAGATGCGGATGTGTATTAGTTGAGTTCATTTGAGTGTCTCGCAATCCCTAACACCTGCTCTTTCACCTGTTCAATTTCTTTGCCTCCAATTATCTGTCTGGCCTTCTACCTACCTCTTCACCTGTATGACCTCTTCTTTGCTCGTTTTCCCGTTTCATTTCATTGCCTCTAAATCGTCTGCCTGCCCCTCTCTGCTACTTCACCTGTTTGGTCTCGTTGCCCCCAGTAACCTCTTTGGTGTCCTACCTGCCTCAACTCACCCGCTTGGACTCTTGCATGCGCCCTATTCACCTGTTTGACTTCATTGTACCTAATCATCTGTCCAGTCCTTGCTCTTTCAGGCCCCAGGCCTAGACGGTCACGGGTGGTCCGACAATTTACCTGAAGTAGATACGCGCACTGCAGATACTAGTAACTAGTTAACCATTGCGACTTATCTCAGCAGGCTCAGCCCCTCTGGACGTGGAATGGTCGCTTTGGGACTAGCTTCGAGTTATGCATTTATCCGATCCACATAACCCACGCTATACCCGATTAGATATATGTGGATATATGCTTATATATATGGACCAATCAGAGTATACAGCACCCAGCTCCTCGTACTGACTTTAAGTTACCGCTCTCTAATTAATCATACTGTGAATAACCTAAGGCCTGTAATCACTGTCACCTGTACGGCCACAAGCTTGAGATTTTTAACCACTACGGCTATTGCTATGGCTATGAGCCTAAGGCCTATAACAATCAGATTGTTATATGCAGTATGTCACTTTATGATATATATTATTAGTGATTATATACGTTATATACCTTAGTTAAGACTGATTACGAGTCATATAATAAGTTAATAACCAGGCCCAATTCTGCCGGCAGAATACAGAGCGAAAAATCGATTTGCCCAATGGCCGCTCTAGTCCGCCTTACCTAGTGGTACAGCACTGCCGGTTGAGGCCTATCCCCTAGGGTGGACTAGGTTGTGACAGAGTCCCATGCCTCCTCCGATCAAGTGGCAGCTACCTAGTACTAGGTAGGTCCCCCAAATAGCCTGTAATCCACCTTCTTCCCGCCTCCATTAAAACAGACTGTTATTGAGAGTCTTGTGATGAACCAGTCTATAAGCTATCTGAGCCATATACGCGTGATATTTCAGCTAGCGTCTATCGTAATCGTCGATACACGTCGGAGTGGGTGTAACAACCGCCGGGTATTTCCTTTCTATCCGGTAGTATTAGAGAACATGAGATGGGAAAGTCAGTAGACCTGCGCGCTTGCATATCTCATAGGGGCACCTGACTCCTAATTACCCATCCCTAAACAGAGCGACTCAAACATATCCTAAGACAGACGGGGGAAATGATTTGCGGGCTAGATTCAGGCTCTCCATCCTTGCACAAACTCATGTAGCCGATCAATCACCACCCCAAAGAGCGCGTTAACACTATCCCCAATAAGTTGTTCGAAGTGCCGAATTGCTTCTTCCTCGGTCATCTCGAGATGGAAACGCTCCTTGACTTTGAGAACCGCCTTATCAGGTTCGACCCGAATGTCTGGAATGTTGGCATCAACCATCAGACTGAACAAGTTAAGAATGAGGTTAGCAGATTTGCGGAGCGTGGTGTAAGCTGTGAAGCAGTATTGCTTGAATTGGAGGTACAGCGGGGAAGTGGTGCCGCCCATGCCTTCGACCATCTCTTTGCAGAGTTTCATCATCGGAGCAAAGGGCTTCGGATCGCGGCCGAGGATGAAGCCAAAGTCCGCGTGGAAAAAGTGTCCATCCGGGGCAAGAAGCAGGTTCTCCAGATGGCGGTCGCCAACGCCGAGAAGGTAGGTGATTACGCAGTACCCGGCGCAGGATTTGATGTAGGTGTCCATGGTTTCCTTGCGGACACCAAGTGGTTCATTGTCGTCCGGGTTATTGTCTTTCAAGTAAGCGAGCACGGATTTGTATTTGGCGGAAATGGCGGATAGGGAGGCTGAGGGAATGAACTGCACGGCGCCAGCTGTGGCGTTGGTGGCAAGAATGCGGTAGGGGGTGAGTTTGAGATCGAGATTTTCTTTTTGGAGGAGACGGTCCATGAGGATGATGATCTGGATGACCAGTTGGTCCTGCCGTAGGTCATCGCCGACCTTAAATAGAATGGGGTATTTGCGGCCGTCGGCCGTTTTGAAGACGATCTGAAGTGGCGAGAGAGACGATTTGAAGACGTTGGCACCGTCGGGGTAACACCCTGTGACCATGACCTCAGGGTCGAGGGGAAGTGGTAAGGGAGGATCAATCTGTAGCAATTCGTGCTTAGGATCTTTGAGGTATTTTTTGAGTTTCTCGATTTTGACAACACGGTTCTCGCGGGAAAACCGGACGTCTTTCGCTATCTTTGTGAGTATGACGACTAGCTCGCCTTGTCGCAGCAGCGTCTTGCGATGCTCTGGTTGTACTTTCTCCAATTCTGTCATGAAATAATACTCCACCCTCGCGAATAGTCTGCGTTGCGCGGACAATGTACCTGGTCCTGTATCGTCGCATTCGACCATCAAGTACCAGTGTAGATAGCTGCCTAACTTGAAGTTGTTGGCGGCGCGCGCAACGAGGAAATTAGCGAGCGAAGAATCATGGGCAGCATTCTCAGCGGAGCCTTCAGGGTTTTCTTCGTATTTCAGGGCCTGTACAAGTTGCAAAAGGTAGAGCAGCAATTCCTCGTCGTCAGCTTTGCGGAGTCTCTCCACTGCATATGAACGAACCGCCGGGTTGTCGAATGTCGGACCTAATAACTCGAGTGCGTCATCCACATCGATCTCCGTCCATTTGGGCAGAATCTCAACCGCCTGGTGCGCTTCGCCGACATCACGCCAATTGACCGATTTGACAAACTTGGTAAGTGCCCGCTTTTCGCGCGTCAGATAATACCGAAAGCGCCATACCAGATCCTTCTCCTCTGCTGTTAGATCTTGCGTGGGTTCATATGACAGGATCACATTGAGTTCATCGCGAATTTTAGGGTTCGGCTTCAGATCACGATCCATTATGCCCGTGCGGGTGCTCCGAATCAGTCGTCTGTGCTTGTCCTCGCATGGGTTGCCTGTTTGTCCGACTTCGGGGTCGTATATCCTTATAACACCACTACCGTCAGCACCTTCAATGCCGGGGCCGAAGCGGACTTCTGGAAGGGGCTTGAGCGGAGCGTTGGTATTCATGGGAGGATTCTGAGAAGATGACGTTATTGGCGGCGCTGGGTACTCGTGGTCAGCCCAGACGACAGGATGATCAAACCGAGGAAATTCAACATAGAGGGTGAAGTCCTCATCCTCTACCGTGTCTTCATCAGAATTCTCCCCATCTTCCATCCGGCCATCAGAGCTTCTGTTTTTTATTGCCTTCATGCGAATGGCTCGTTTCCTCCCAGCCTCTTCAGCATTGAGCTTCAGTTTCTCTAACTGTCGGAAGACCATCTGATCCATCCAATCGATGCGTGGCAATTCTCCCATCTCGTGCTTTTTGATTAGAACCTCAACCCTTTCCAACTCTAGCTCTTCCGACGACGGAGCCAGCGGATCGCGGGCACTTGCTTTCCGACGCTTGGGTAACGGGGTCGATGGAGTGGTGGTTGAAGAGAACCCATCCGCAGCTCGATTGCGGTACAGCTTACACTTTTGCCTGCCCATTCTCAACTTTCCGTCCGTGTCAAAGAGTGAGATTGTGGTTCCGCCAAATGGTACGTAATGGCCATGGGCCCCCTCCCCGCCGAACGGAGACAAGTCCCAAACTGTGATGGCTAGTTGACTCCTGAGAGGGGCATCCTTAATCGAGACAGGCATCTGCAACCATTCGTTCCATGATCGAGAGGATTTGAATGCCTTGTATGGGGTTTGTAAAGGTACCCCCAGTGGTTTAGATTCGGACCATAATTGCACGGTGACGAAGAGATCGGAGTGAGGGTTTTGCGCGGACCCAAGATGACGAAGATCCGGCCGTTTGAGAAGGACTGAAAATGGGATTTCCTTCTGCTTTCCTTCTAGAGAGCCACTGAGTAGAAGCTTATCAGCAGATTACCATAGCCAAGATCGGACAGCAGTGCCCACTTACACCTTAACGTGGATGGGAAAGTCTACCTGGGTGGAGACGGCAAAGGTAAAGGCTTCCATTCTGAAATTATCGGAGGCGGATAGGGTCAAATCAATTCACCCCCAGGCTCCAGCAGTCTTCATGATGAGCTGGAGACCATGTATCGGTTTCATGATAATGGGAGCTCTTGGAGACATGGCGGTGATAGGCTGGAGTGGCCCACCGGGGCTGACAGCAGTTGACATGGGTCACATGACCAACGCGCTCGGCGCGCGCACCCAGAGGGACTAAACCAGATAAGGTAGATGAGGGAACAGTCGTCTGGCGATGATTGAGACCATATCGCATCTAAAAGTCTGGAGGGATTGTACGCTTGCATCGCATTCTAACTCAATATGTGCTTGGGAAATAATTGTCCCACGATCTGCTTCACTGAGTGCTGACTTAACAGCTCGCCATTTATAGTCCTTTGTCTTCTTTATTCCTCACGCGCTTGTCATCCCACCAACAGCCCACCTGGCTGTTTGGTAGTTGCTCGCGCTTCTTTGTCTGCTCCTCGGCGCGCTTAGTTTGTCGCATACCCTGTCCACCCTTCAAGAGATGGCACGCCATCCTCCTCCTGACCGAACCTCGACTCAGGCACTTTCACCTGAGCCATCCTCCGAGAAAGAAAACCGGCCAGCATCAGCCAGTAATACCAAGCGGGTTCAGATCCAAGCCATGCCCAGCAGCGCCGCTAGAAAGCGACAACGATTGTCCACCCGGGGCACCAACACACAAGCAAGCCAATCTCAGGGATCACGTTCTCAGCAGACCCGCGCTACGGACTATTACGACCCAGATCAAGATGAAGCCGAACGACGGAGAATCCGTAAAGGTCTGAGAGACCTGACGCGGGACCTCAACGGTAGGTTACTCCTCATGGGATATCTTTATGTGAACACCTCCCTCTGATGTGTTTGTCGCCACAGACTCCCGCAGTGAGTTCATGCAGGCTGGAAACAGTGGTATTCGTTCCACTATAGAAAAGGCCAACGAGTTGTTTCGGGGCGTCAAGCAGACCTCGGATGCAACCATCGATTCCAGACTACTAGTCAGCGCAGCGGATCTTGGATATAAGAAGACCGCACAATTAGTTCTGGGCGACGCCAGTGCAGGCATTGACGTTGACGAGTTTGTCTCGAAGTGTATCACCTTCATGCGTCAGGCCCCTGCGGAAACCCAGAGCACAGTCCCCAGTAGCACACAACATCGTCGCGCCGCCTGGCCAACTGAGGACGATGACGAAGATAATGGAGATGCGTTGAACTGGGATTGGCTCGGACGCGCTGCGTCCTTCTGCAGCAACTCCCGGCCCTCGGTTCCTGGCTTCCTTCTCGGCCCGCTTTCGGTGCAGAAAAGAACCCGTCAGCAGGCCGTACGGAGGGTCAGAGAGCGCATCGATCCCAGCCGGGCGGTCGCACCGCAGGACCTCCAGGACAAGGACCTTGACAGGCAGGAGACATCCAATTTGACTACCATGTGTGGCAGTATCAATAAATTACTGGCGAAGACACAGAATAATGGCCAAGACACTGTTGAGAGACAATTGTCCGAACTCCAGGCCGAGCCGTCGCAAGAAATGCTACAAAGAGTGATGGCAGAAAATAATGTGGCTGACGATGGTGGTGTTCCCTTGTTCCGCTTCTGCATCAACCCGAAGTCCTTTGGGCAAAGTGTGGAGAATCTGTTCTACGTAAGCTTTCTAGTTCGCGATGGCTTGATTGGTATCTCAGTGGATAGTAGAGGGTTACCCACGTTACGTCAGTACAGCACCATGCATCTACGAATTTATCTGCTGACTTGACTCATACTAGATGCTGCGAAGCCACATGCGCCCAGCGAAGCTCAAAAGAAGGGAGTCCAAAAGCATCAGGCTATTTTCACATTGGACTTTGAGACCTGGCATGCTCTGATTGAGGCATATGCAATCGATGAATGCATTATTCCTCACCGCGAGGAAGAAGCCCAGCCAACAGCGCAGACCTGGCGATAGTCATGTCTCGAGAAACGATGCTGGACTGACTGACTGACTGTGATGACCTTTTTCTACCCATGTATCAGGCGTATGGTTGCGTTGCTTGTTGATGAGGATACCCCTTTGTTGCAGAAGGCGAGAGATTTACTGTATATTTGGCGGAGTTCCATTCGGTGTAGAAAATTATTACAAACAACTTGCGGCTGAAAGAGACGTATGATGGACCTTGAAATCATAAGGAAGAGGTAATTTCGATGAGCAGGTCCCTATGCCATTGTGAGTATCTGCGTGGTCGAGATCAATCTTCATGATGGTAATACCTCCATTGAAAGCCCCTCATTGTTTGGCTGGCAGCTCGTTGACGGTGAGTCTGGCCCCGGCCGTGGCTGTTGGCCGATTGCGGCCGCGCTGGTATTGACGTCACAGAACATGCAATCACGAGCTTGCGCCTGCCCGTCGCAAAGAAAAGGATATTTCAATTCAGTTGCGTTGTCAGGCATCCTCCCCGCAAACTGTACTTCGATCAGCCCACTTTATCTTGTTCTCTCGTGCGATTGATTTCTCTGAAATTTATCTTAAGTAATCTCTCAAAGGTGACAGGCCACGCAACTGAACAGCACTTTTGGCTGAACCCTACCTTACGCCAAAACTCTCGAGCTGCACCCGAACACGACCGCTGCGTAGAAGGCACCGCCATGGCTCCTCTCTTCCCTAGTAACCCGGCCGATGTGATGGTCATTCGGAATGTTACTTCCAATGTGATAACTATGAGCCTGCCGTTTGCGCGTTTCGGTCGCTTCAAGTTCGGAGGACGCGGTACATTGGGTGCGCATTTCTTCCACCTTACAAAGTTGAACATCGTGCTAATCTCGCAACCTTACAAAGTCAAGATGGCTTCCGGTTCTGTGGCCGTTTTCTCTCCAGTCAACCTGACCCAGGAGGTCCGCGAGACAGTCAACAGCCTTGGAGGCAATGTCAAGTACATCGCGGCTTTAGACCTCGAGCATCACCTCCACCTGACCGCATGGAAAGAGGCATATCCCAACGCTGAAATTATTGCTCCCGAGGGGCTTTGGGAGAAGCGTCAATCCAACAACAAGACCAGAGATACCACAACCTTTCATCATGTCTTCCGCAAGGATCTTAGCGGAAAACAGAAGATCTCGGATGAGTTTGATGCAGAATTCGAAACCGAATATATTCATGCTCATCAGTCGCGAGAACTGGTGTTCTTTCACAAGCCTTCGCGCACCCTCATTGAGGCAGATTTGCTCTTTAATCTCCCCGCACGCGAGCAATACTCGAAGACCGGCGAGAGTGCGACTTCTGGTGTCCTAACCAAGATGATCAGTCCGCTTTTGTCGGCAAATGCGCCTGCCACCTGGCAGAAGAGGTTTGCATGGTACGTGCTGTCAAGTTCGGATCGTAAGGGCTTTCAGGAATCAATCCAGAGGATTGATAAATGGGACTTTAATCGATTGATTCCATGCCATGGCGATGTGATTGAAAGTGGTGCCAAAGGTGTCTTTCGCACGGTCATGGAGTGGTTCTTGGAGGACCGGAAGCGTTCTTGATAGGGAAAATGAGGGGAAGGGGAGATATTGGCCACTTTTCCAATCTTGAATATGGTCGCTTTGCTTGCTTATGTCCTTCACGTGTTGTCTTGGTTGCAAAGGATATCCAATAAGGTTAATTTTGAGTCTCTGTGATGGAATGCAATGCGTTCTGTTGATCCTTGTTATTGTTGGCGGATGTGTGTATTCGAATCCATATTCACTCAGTCTTTTCTTCAATCTAACCAGTCATTGTACGGAGTACCGTACAATAGATTAATGCCCGACAAGTCTTTCTGAGTCAGTGATCGGCGACTGAATTGTCCTTGAGTTAAGCCATCGGGCTGTACGGAGTACTGTGTTGGTCCCAGAGCCACGGCTGGCTTACTTCGGAGTCAGCGTTTGTTCTAAGGAAATAGGAATCGTCTAAGCCTGAATTGGGTGAGCTGAATCATTAGTACTAACTACTAGGTAGAGGTAGTCACACCCCGGAACTGCCACGACATATCATTTGACGTCATCAATGCTGGCATGGGCTCGCATCACCCTCCCCTTGTTTCCTGACCTCTGGTCGGCACGACGGGCTATATGGTTGAGATTGAGACTACAGAATACCTACCTATTGTCTCAGTAGTGGGTGCTGAATGGAAAAGGTTCGAGGTGCACAGGTAAGGTACTTCCTACTGCCCAGCGAGCGCCCTAAGAGTGGAACAATTCCGTAGACTTTTATGGGTCCAGTGGGTACAGATAGGGATAACTAGCATGGTGGGGAAATCCTTCAGCCTTAAAGTGTCGACTACACTTTAGGCCGGCAAGTGTTCCCCCCGTTGTTAAGGAGCACGGCTTGAGAAATGTGATGGAACGATATATCGTGATTTTCCAGTGGAAATACGGCTGCCTGTGCAAGTTAGTTATGAGTTTCGGCAAGGTGTGTTTGTGTGCGTGAGTAATACGTATGTACTGATACATCGGCAGTCGTAGTGCCAGTGGTAGCTTCCAGGTACAATAACTACAACTGCGGAAAAGCCCAGTGGTGTGTAAGAGCCTAAAAAGTTAAGCCACCGTAGACTGCACCAAACCCTCACCTGATGGGCGATCAATCAATTTCTCTCCTGCCTTTTCTGTCCCGCCCTGACTTTTGAGGCTTGAGCCGACGATGTCATGTCAATCCCTACCTGTGTGTATGATGACGTTTTTGTCCTTGCGTAACAGAGACACACTCTTTGACTTCTCAAATTAACACTATATAATCCAATACTTAGTCTACCTTCGAATCTTCTTCTCTCATTATTCACTGACCCGCAGACATTTGTGTTCATCCCAACCACTTACTCTTCTATTGTCTTGGGTTGATTAATCTTCACAGCCATCGTAGTGGTCCGAGTCCCTTTGACAAGCTTGCATCTTTCCCTGCACTATTTCCGACCTGTACCACACTTTCTGACCAACTCGCCTCTATCCACGTTGCAAGTGATTCCATCATGCCTGTCATCTCACGTCTTATTTCCATTGTCTTCCGCGTGGTGGAGGTTATTTGCGCTGCAGTAAGTACCACTGGTCAACTGCATAGTGGCCTCACAGAAGCTAATAGAGCACGAACCCCAGGTTGTTGCCGGTATCATCGGGTACTACCTCCATAAATATGACGGGGACGCTTGGCCAGTGGCTAGATGGATTTACACCGAAGTCATTGCCGGGCTATCGATATTGCTGGGATTGGTTTGGCTCATCCCGTTCTCATCAGGCTTCTTTTCGTGGCCATGTACGTGGGATAGTCCCTTGCGATCCTTATCCGACGCGTGCTCCACGCTCATACTGACGTTGTCACACAGTTGATGTTATCATCTCTTTCGCCTGGTTCGCTGCGTTCGGAATCTTAGTTGATGCGATACACAAGCTCAACTGTGGATCCATTTGGTATTGGGGTGGGATCATCCACAACAACTCATGTGGCCGGTGGAAGGCGGCCGAAGCATTCAGCTTCATTTCCGCTATTGTCTGGCTGGCATCAGCGGTCTTGGTAGGTTCCAGTCCCACAGAGTTCGGTGTTCTGTACAGCACTCACAAATTACAAAGGGCATTTGGTTTACCTTCCGTGTGCGCGACTCGTCTGCTCCTCGATAGTAAGTCAAGTGACATTTTCGTGCAATCGGTGTAACACGCTACTGACATGTCGCTCACAGTGGTCGCCGCCGCTTTGGTCGTTCTGCTGTTTGACCATGCAGCCCGCGCGCACTCGTGCAGGTGTCAAAGCCACCTCAAAAACGGCCATGCAATACAATGGTCATGCCATATGTCGTCGATCAATGTCCGCCCGCTGGTACTGTGGTACACATCATCGTGACAACAAGATAATGAGATTCTATGACAATGCTCTGATACCCCGGTAGCGTGAAGATGGTTATTGACAAAGGAATGCTGGGGGTGGCTTACATTGCTTGCTTTGCCTTTTGAGCTAATATGACTATTTAATCTAATATCAAACTATTTCTTAGTGGTGTGATGCATTGGTCCTGTTGGTCCAAAGTACCCGGCCGCCCGGTTTAACTACTAGTGATCATCTTGCTTGATTGAAGCGATACACTTGTACAGGGTTCGCGACCGCGGAGTACAATAGTCACCTTAAATCTGCGCTAGGATACTGGTTTGCAACGACTATAGCTGTAGAGAGTGGGTTGCAGATGATGACCGATGACTCTTGATGACTAAACTCTAGCGTGGCGGAGACATTCCTCATGTGGAGGATATGGATCCGTTCCGCGGATTCCGAAATCTCATTCATGGATTCATGAATTCAGAATCAGCCATGCCAGAAGTGCAGCAATCAGGGGAGAGATCGAGCTCGCGATCTTCTTCCTTCGAGAAAGGCTTCCAAGACTATCCTTTGACGGTGCTGGAGCATGAAACTGACACTGACAGCAGCCACTTGGTCCTGGTAGGGCGGGAAAGCTCCGACGTCCGGCCCGATGCAGCCACGAGGGAACCTCTGCTGCCAACCTCCACCCCGAATCTAAATCGACAGCAACCGCCCGAGAAATTCTCATGCTCAATATCTGGTATCCGCACTTGGGTCAAAGGTCCCTTTCCACCATTTGAGTACAAAATCACTCCATGGCTAGGCCGCTGGCAGACGGCTCCCGCCCGTTATGTGGAGCATCACTTTCCAAGTGCCCGTGCCAAAGTATTGCTTCTTGTGGCTTGCATCACCGTCTGGGGAGTGGTGTTTGTGTCTCTCCTGCATTCTTCAATTACCGGACAGGAGCTTGCTGGATATGGAGTCCCAGTCAAGCTATCTTGTCATTCCCGACTCTGGTATGAATTACCCTTCGCTCGTTTTCCATGCGAAAGATTGGGGTTGACAGCTCTTTGTCCAGGTATAATTCCACGGAATGCGGTCTCAATGGAGAGACTTGTCTTCCATTTGATAATGGTGGTTTCGCCTTTCGCTGCCCCGCCAGCTGCAAAGATGCGATCTTGCTTGAGCCCTATGTTGTAGGGCCCCAAGAGTACAACTACCGTCCCCTTGTCATCGGAGGATCCTTTGCGAACAAATCAATCACAGACAGCCCCAGGAATCTCGGCATCTACCGTGGCGACTCAGCCATATGCCCAGCTGCCCTCCATGCCGGCCTTGCTGATGACCAAACCGGCGGCTGTGGTGTGCTCCGCCGAACAGGCGAGCACAGCGACTACCCTTCCATCTTGAAAAATGGGATCAGGAGTATTGGCTTCCCATCCTCGTTTCCGCTCTCCTTTACCTTCGAAGCCGACCCATCCGGAGGATCTAGTTGTCGAGACCAGCGCTGGATGCTCTTCACCTTTTCTCTCATCACCACCATACTTCTCTCCCTCTTCACCACCTCCTCGGCGAGCTTCTTCGCATCAGTTTACTTCATCGTCTTTTTCCAAGTGGCCCTGTCATCAGACCCTCCTTATTCTCCGAGCTATCTGGAGATTGTCTCCACTGCTCTCGGCCGTTTTCTCCCGTGCGCTATCGTCGGCTGGGCCATGTACCACTTCGTTGTGCGGCGCACGCTCCACGACCTCTCCGCCCGCTGGGACCAGACCATCCTCTGGCTCGGCCCCTGCTGGGTCGGTGCCCTGAACACCGACACATTCGACAAGATCCCCATCTCCCGCCTCACGCCACATGACATCCAGCAACAGCCCGGTGCGATCCCCGCCCTGATCATCATCGTCGCCTGCCTCGTTCTCATCGTGCTCACCCAAGCCCTCGCCTTCCGCAAGGAGGGTCGCCTCCCGCAGATGCTCACCCTCTACGCTATATTCCTCGGGGCCATCATTGTGCTCCTTCTCGTGCCTGACATGAACCTCCGCATCCACCACTACATCCTCAGTCTTCTGTTCCTGCCAGGCACAGCTCTGCGGACCCGCCCGAGTCTGGTGTACCAGGGCCTGCTAGTGGGGCTCTTCATCAACGGCATTGCGCGGTGGGGGTTTGACTCCATCCTGCAGACCAGCGCCGCATTGTTGGAGGGCGCGCAGCTGGGGAGCGTCTTGCCCGCGATTGGAGCGCCGGTGGTGCTGGGAAGCGACCAGATCGCTTTTGCGGTGCGGAGGGAGAATTTGGTGATAACCAATGGCCCGGACACATCCGTCGGGGACGGGATCAGTATTCTGGTCAACGACGTCGAGCGGTACAGGAGCTTCTGGCCAGAATTGCTGGATGGTGAGGGTGCTGATGCTGTTGCTGGGGCCCCCGCGGGAGCAGGGGAGGGATTGTTCAATTGGACGAGAAGGGTAGAGGGCGAGGACGAGTATTTTCGATTCGCTTTCGTGCGATTGAATGCCTTGGGCGGGTTCTGGTATGAAGATTTCACGAAACCCGTGGTGTGGACGAAGGACGGGCTGTGGAAGGCGCCGGAGGAGCTTGAGAAGAAAACCGAGGGTGGGGGAGAGCATAATGGGAAGGAGGAGCTGAGCTCGAACTAACTAATTCGATCCCCTTACCTACCCGATGACGCACGCTAGCTTGGCTATGGTGTTTCTCCTGAATCTTCATGACCGTCCTGGGAGAACCATGTGTGTCATCGTATCTTGGCCTACTACCTCTGTGAAATCATCTTAGACTCGGGTTGTTGGCTCCTTGATAAAGAGAACGAGAACGTGCATAGCAGGATGGACAAAGCCGAGGGTAAATTTACAAATATTTTGAACATGGTTAGGCTAATGCATCTAACCAAGACCGAGACCCCGAACGCCTTGCACATGCACATGCATACCGATCCCAAAAGTCCCTTCAATACATCCTATCCAAACCAGCAGGAAATCATGGATGTAGAAGAAACCAAAACATAAACAAGACTTATATCGAACGTTATTCCCCCAGATAGTTGTCACACCGAACCTGTATCACTTGCTGTTCACCTCCATCGGTGATGACAAAGGCGGTCAGTTTTCCGCCCTTGACGCAGCTAGAATCTAAACCCTTGGTATAAGTTTTGATGCTGAGGGAGGACTTGGAGTCATGACCATATATGACGGTCGTGGCTTGAGTATCAGTAGCCTGCGAGTCGGCGTGCTTCGTAGATTTATAGGCGACGGATTGGTGCGCGTTGAAAAACTGGGTTGCCAATGATCAGCGGAAAGTTCTTTGGGGCGTGCCGAAGAGCGCATATACTGTACCTTGGTCCACTTCTTCCCATCACGACTAGAGCTTGGAAGATGTGTATCCAGATCGATAGTCAGCATGTTCATCACGCTGAACGGATCTTGTTTGTCGTAATCTACGCCCGGAACCAGCCCGCCATGCACCACGGCAACCTGGCCCATGGTGGGAATGTGGCCCACGTTCAAGATCACGGGGCATGCATCAAGCCATTCTGCCTGCTCGTCTGTAAGCTTGCGCGCCAACTTGAGATCTTTCTGGGCCCCGGATGTGGACAACCCGTCCATGAACTCATCGCCTGATGTGTCCGTCATGGCATCCACTTCGGCGAGTTCCTGTCGCACCAACAAGACGCGATCTTCGTGGTTGCCGCGTACACACGAGGCGGAGTACTTCCGGGCTAAATCGACCACGCCGGGGCTGTCGGGACCTTTGCTAATAAGGTCCCCCGTGAAGATGAGGTGATCAGTCTTGTTGTTGAAGGTGACTTCGTCGAGAAGGCGTTCCACTGTTTTGTCGAACCAACAACAAGAAAGGTCAGTCACTGTGTATCAACGAGAAAGGAATAAGAGTCTCCTCCAAGGACAGTACAAACATTCAATCCGACATCCATGCACATCCCCCACCACAATCAATCGTCGGGAGCTATCCTTGCCCGGGCCCGGCGCTTCCCTTGCCGGCAGCAGCGATGGATCCAAGTTCTTCAACTGAATGACGCCCTCAAAGCTTGGAAGCGCGTTAGTCCCGTACCAGCCGCCCACTTTCTCCTTCGAGTTCGGATCCAGCGACTTCGTCAATTCGGAATGCTCCTTCAACCGAGGCGACAGCACGAACTCCCAGCCCAGCAGACAAGATATGAAAAGTGTGGTATAGATGATTGCATAGCGTCGGAAGCGTGGGGCGGTGATAATGGACATGACCATTTGCACCCATCCGGGTATTTCTGACCGGTCGGGCGACGAGCCGGAGTACTTGGTGTTGGATTGCCATTCGTTGCGCACGTATTCGATTAATGGGCGGGTGTATCGTTTGACACGGCGGGAGGGATTGATGGCATTTGGGAGGAAGGGAACATCGTCGGAGCCGTCAGAGGAGTAATCAAGGCTTTCGGTGTCATGATGATATTGATGAGTTGATGCCATGGTCGACTGATGGTCGATTTATGGTGGTAGCCGGTGTGTGATGGGATCGGGACGATCGATCACGAGAAAGTCAAATGAAGTAAGAAAGCCGGCACTGATAGAAGGAAAAACTGAAAGAACTGAATGAGTTCATGAAGGGGGAGGAGGGGAGGGGGAGAAGTGGGAATAGATGGTCGGAGGTGATCGTCAGCCTCGTTGGGGGAAAAGAAGAATGACTTTCAACACACTTCAGTTCAGGTACAAGACAGCCTCGCAGGGACGGGAGCCGATGGAGCCTTGAGTATCGGGCGATGCTTTGCTCGAATTGGAATCCACCGCGGGTCCCGTGGCCCGCTATTCCTGGTGGGGCTTAGTGACTTGGGCTCCGTGCCGCTGAAGGGACCAGACCCCAGACTAATCTTTATTCGGCTAGTCCGCTACTATCTATATCCTCCCACCCATCTCATTGTAAGAGTGTATGTACACAATATACACAATGTACACAATATATAATGAGTATTATGAGGTTCAGCGATATTGCTCGTGAAACTCAACCTCTTTCTGGCGTTTTCGCACCATCTCAATAGTCTTTTCATCGTACAGCTCCTCTAGCTTCTTTCCACCCAGAAGGACTTCTTTCTCGTGGCGTGCGGCCTCGTCCTTAGTCATGCAGACCAAGTTCTTCATCTCGATCGGAACATAAGTCTGTCCTTGCTTCATCCACTCAGGGTCGGGGGCAAACCCGCGTTCGGGCCGCTCCCAAGGCACCAGACACACGCGGCTGGGCAGCCCACTGACGGCACTCTTTCCCCGCCAAATCTCATCTACCAGATAACCGATGTCATCCTTGCTGACGGGCAAGCGAAGGCCGACGAGGTTGGGGCCATACTCTGCACGCGCTAAACGCTCGTGCGTCCCCTGTAGAGCTGCCAGAACGCCGTCGTATAGCTTGTCGCGGCCTTTACCCCCGATGCTGTAATCCTGCGGATAGCCAGCAATGGAGCAGATGACATGGTTGGCTAACGTATACCCGAACACAGCCGGCATGGTGCCTAGCACCGGTAATATACGGGCACGGAAGTCTGGCAGCACACTCAGCTCACCCACCTGACCCTTGGTGAATTCGTCCTCAGCCAGCGGCAGCAGCGTGGCCTTCCCGGGGCCGGGTTTCTCCGTGGAAAAGACGACGGGAATCCCGGTGGTTACGCCCAGGAGCTTCAGGCGCCGGCGCGTGCTGCGGGAGAGCGGGTCATCGGTGCTGAGAGAGATGTCGCCGATGGTGACGCGGGTGGGGTCTGACTTGCAGCCGGCACCCATGGCAGATATGACGGGGATGGCGTTGGTGTGGCAGTAGTGAAGCAGCTCAACCTTGGAGGTGATGTTGTCAATACAGTCAAGGACGAAATCAGGCTTGCGGCCTTTGTCACTGTCATTCAGGGACCAAGGCGCTAGAAGCTTCTGAGCAACCGATCCGCCAAAGAGCTCATTGCGGCAGTCAAATTTGACCCACGGCACAATCTGTTCCAGGCGCTTGCGGATGCAGTGCACTTTAGGGGTGCCGACATCAGCGAGCGTTGCCAGGGCGTGCCGGTTTAGCGACGACAGAGTGACTTGGTCGAAGTCAATCAGACGTATCTTAGACACGCCTGAGCGCGCGAGCGATGCCACGGCATGGGAGCCAACTCCGCCACATCCAACGACGATGATGTAGGAGGAACGGAGCTTCGCAAGACCTTCGTCGGTTAAGAAGACGCGGTTGCGGGCGAGTTGTTCGAGGATGAGATCTGTGGGAATGAATTCGTGAGTCGCTACTGCTGAATTGATATGCCTGAGGAACAGTAACATACCCTCATCGTAATCTCCTTCTTGCGCTCGGCGGGCGAGAGCTGCGCTGCGCTCGTCTTCCTTACTCAACTGCGTGGCGGCTGAGATCCCATAATCTGTGAGCTGCATCCAGACCATCAGTATCGGGAGCTACAGTATAATTGCTGACAATAAATACCTTCTCTGCGTGATGTTGTTCGTCGATACTAGGGATCGATGCCTTGAGCTGTTGGACAGCTTCTTTCCTTCGAAGTGCTTGGTAGCCAAGAATGACGCCTGCGACTGCGGCGCCGGAGAGCACGGCGGTAGCAGCTAGCTGCGATTGATGAGAGCTACTTTGGCGCTGAAGCCAGGACGACATTCTGCAACTTGTCTCTATCTATCGATTGGCCTGCTTCGGTACCTGTTTCTGTAGGTAGGTATGTCAGTGGGTAGGTATAGGTATCACGGGTAAAATAGTGGCCGCACTATAGCAGAGTCAGAAGATAGCTTTGTATCAAAACCAGATCACGCCTGACGAATGCATGTAACATGTCAAGAACTAAAAATCAATTGACTTACAAGATTATCTCAATTGACTTACAAGATTATCCCGGAGTTTGATAGCAAAGAGCACTTTCTTAGGAAGCGTTACGTAGTTCAGTCAAACCTGCAGCTTGAGTGGAGACCCTCGCAGCAAATCTGACGTAAATCACGTGCACCCGCGACTTCCGCCCGCGTGCGCGTCTCCGCAAAACCAACCTCTCGACACGTCGACCATCATGACACCCCTGGTCTTGAAATGTGCTTTCATGAGAGCACAGGTCAAGCTTCATGATTCCATTCAATGCGAGCTTGATTCAATACTCTTTACGATGCACATCCGCATACCAAGCGCATGACTTTCAAACTCCCGATGACGAAAAAAACACACAAAGAGCTTTTCCTCATGACACCTTAAAGTGGATTCTACATCCAGGATCAAGCAATGGACTTCATCCGTCCGGGACCGAAACCCTGGAATGGAAGAAGACATTCAGCTTATGCGTGAGTGATTGAGAATTGAACAGAGATCTAAGGGCTTGATGAAAGTCTAGCGCCGCGGTGTTCTTTTTCATGACCGTGGGTTTGTTGATCCCCTTTCTTCTGACGTGGGATATTCATTATTGCTGCAATCTTGATAAACACTCGCGCTCTGCGATACTTTAGAGACGATTTCCCTCTTTTTGTCAGTGTCTTGAGTCAGCAGGAAGGACGTAAGTGCCTTCGTGAAAGCATCAACCCTACTCACTTAAGACTCCTTTGAGCATCACTGTCGTGACAGTCACCGCATTCGACATCTCATACCTCAGAGGGAGCATAGATGAGTGGGCTACTATCGCTACTTTTGAGTTCATGATGACACGTCAGCGAGAAATTACACCACAAACAAACCGTTGAGAGTGGGGAATAAGCAAAATCTGGATTTTGACCGCGGAACGAGAAGAGCTAGCAAGGCTCAAGTCAAAAAGGCCACAAAAGTCCGAGCCAAAGAGGCCCTACAGCCCAGTCAAATACCAGCGACAGAAGCGTCCTTGTTCATATAAACCTTAAGTGGAGAAAGTATGCATTTTGATACACTAATGTCTAATCAACCGGCAGAAGAACACAAGATACGCTGAAGAATAGACAGCTTCAGACAGATTCTTTGCAGCTTTAAGACTCCGCGATACACTTCGATTACTTACATGCCTTCGCGCAAGTATGAAGCAGCTCACCCTCGATACCCATTTTCTAAGATCTCACCTACGCTGCTGCGCTTCAAAACCACATTTGAAACGACAAAAATTGTACTTCTTCCCTGCCCCTCGTCCCCACCCTCCTTTCTCCTCATGCCAAAATGATGACAAACAACGAAGCACTCCGAGGCACATCATCCGCTACGCCTGTTCGCCTTCCAAAAGGTAACGACGTTGAGCATCAGCCGATGACGAGTGAAATCAAATAGTAGTTTTCAATCTGATTAAGGCATGACTAATGCTCTGCAGGAGCTCTGTGAGGTCTAGCGTCTTGCAAGCGATACGCATAAGCAGAATTGATACCACAACTAACGCAGCATCTTGTCTTGGGTCACACGCACTTTATGCAGTGCAATCTCAGAATGCTTGGGTCTATAATGACTTTCCATAGTCTCATTTAGTCTGCCCACCCCGAACATACTCCAGACCATTTTCAACCATTTTCAATTTCCCTCCCCGATCTAGATCCATAAAACATCTCAGCAGATAAGCATGGCCCGGTGACGAGGATTTTACCCAAAAGCCAAAGTTGTATGGTATCCGGCTGATACGTGACATGCTGTGTCGCGTTCAAAAGCTATCAAGCCTGGAAATCAGTGAGAACCTGAGAGCTAATCTGAGGGCCGTGCAAGTTTGCTGGATGAATTCTTCCTATGGGGCTACAGTCGGTGTAGGTCATAAATAATGAGAAGAAGCTTCGGGGTTTGCTATATTGTTCGCCCCCCCCCCTGTCTTGAATGTTTGCATATAGCAATAGCAATAGTCCATATGAAGATGTCCGGCAATGTATGGTATCAACTTCAAGATACAGATCGCTCTATGTACAATGTGCTCCAGGTAACAGCTCTCAGTCCGATGATTGTGGCCGGCAACTCTGATCCTGAATTATTGGAGCTTGCTGAAGTGCATGCGCTGCAGTTTCTCCAGGCAGTTTCATCATATGTCTCATCATAGTGAAGAGGGTGTAATGGTTGAGTTTGCATGAATCGTGATAGCAGCAGCATATAAACATCGCAACTTCCCGCAATTCGCATGGAACACCATTTTCGTTCCGTCTCTAGAAACAGTGGCGCCACCAGGCGATATAAGGTCAAAATCGCCCGTCTTGAGCAATGGCCGGTTGGCTCTGGTATATGGTCCCTTCAATGAGGTGGCGTAGGCATACTTGACATTATACTTCGGCGACGTGAAGCAGTGGGAAGAGAAGAACAGATAATAGATACCCTGGGGGGTGCGCAGGATATTTGGCGCCTCTACCAGCGGGCCGTCGCTTTTGTCATTCTGGAGGATCTGGACCGGGTTGCCGACGGGAGTCACGCCGTCCGCCTCTAGCTCCTGGAGCAGGATGGGGACTGCGAGGACGGGCTTCTTGCCATTATTGCAATCGCCGCCATGGCCGATGCTGTTGGCATCGGCTTTGTACACGACGTAGAGCTTGCCGTCGACGTCACGGAATGGAGATGGGTCAATTGCGCCACCTTGATTGCGTGGACAGGCGAGAGGTTTGCTCTGAGGCATAAAGGGCCCTGCTGGGTTCGTGCCATTGGAGACGGCGACGCCTACGCAGTGGTGGTAGAGCCAGTCTTTGAGTTCTCCGGAGTAATAGAGCACGAATCGCCCGTCATCCTAATTTGGTCCGTTGGTAAGAAATGGGCTTGATGTGGAGGGAATCTCCTTGCAACAGACGTGCTACGTACGCGTTGAATCACGTCGGGGGCATAGTGATTGATCTTTGTCTCCCAGCTACTCAATGAGGGCATTGCGTCATGGTCCTCAAGCCGCGTCCACGAGTTAAAGACCGTCGCAGTCGCGACAGGTACATGAGGCACTTCGGAGTCGTTTTTGGCTGCGTTGGTGCCATACGTGTACCAGGTGTTATTCACGTGAAGTAAACCAGGATCTGGAAAGTCAGAGAGGACTTGAACTGGGCGGTTTGCCGCGTCGTGATAGCTAGGATCATCGTGAGACCGATTCCTTTTCACCAGAAGTACGGGAACCGTGACAGCAACGACGATCAGGGTTAGCGCAAAGAAGGCTAGGATCGACAATGTCAAGATTTTACCCCGCGTCCAGGGTCCTGCGTCCCTGATGGACGACTCTGACAACGACGCACTGTCGGGTGACTTGAGCGGATTTATACCCTGATCTGCACCGCATTCAGCCTCTGCAGATCTGATGCTTGGTTTTGAGGGGCTCCTGAGACGGCTCCAGAGCCCATTCATTCTTCGTATCGTCTCCATATCTGTCTGATCCCACTCGCTATGCCACGGCTAGCCAAAGGGTATGAAAGTACCAGGGTACCATTCAGATGCAACGGTAGCTGAACCCGAAGCTGTTTACAGGACTGCGAGGCAATGAGGTAGGTTCAATTAAAGAAGCGTGATATCGACTTAGAAGGCTACGGTATATCGCGAAGCGGGCTCTCGTTTCAGACTAGAGACCATGACGATGGTGGTGATTTAGTGCGAATCACGCCAATCATCGTGTCAGCATAACGAGATGATATGGCTGACAATTTCTAAGACGTCAGTGGGCCGAAGAACCAGCTACTTCCGGGCCATGCGTTCACTCCAAACCGTCCAAGTCGCCTCGTGCTGCCGCGGGTTAAGCATATCCGCTTTGACCTGCTCGTGGGAATGAACGCATTGATTAGATCAGCCGCCACCGAGATGAGTTATAACGAGGTCTTCACTAATAAGTTAAAGTCCCTTCAGGCTAGGAACGCAACGCTGGAAGCACTCGCCCATATATGGGTCAGTCATAAGCGCCATTGCTGATGTTACAGTTGACCTTGGCCGAGAAGCATAACTGTAGTGTCACACCGACTGCCTTCGTTTGCCTACAGCGGGAGTGTCGATAACCTGGTCAACTCAACTTCAGCATGTGCCAGGGACAATGCACGTTCAGAGATGGCGAGAGGTGTTTCGTGCTCAAAGAAAGTCAATGACGTTATTGAATGACGCTGATTAGGTACCGTAGCATTCACACACAGCAAAGTCTTGACAGGTCCTCATTTGGGGTGGAATATGCAGTACCCGGTAGGCTTGTTGCAGTGAAATCTGGTGGGAGGCTCCGTGGTTACAGCCTGTCTCTCCCGCTTTGGGTAATTAACGGGTCGGAAGGCGCCTTGCAGCCACACCCATTTCGATTTGCTCCCACGTGCAAGTTGCCGGGCAGTATGGTCATGTATTATGGAAACACTGAAGACGAGATGCTGGAGACATGATGGATTTTCCAGACAAGGCTGGTCATGGACCTACAAGCCCTTTCTATAGGGTTCAATCCATGTGTATTGTCATTTGTTCTATCACCTGTGAGCCAATCAAAGGCAGGCAGAGGGGAGGAGGAGATAAGGGATCGAAGGGGGTCACAGTGAGATGAAGCCCGGGGGTGGATAGGATGCAGAAGCCGGTGTGACAGTCAGCGATCACACCAGCAGCAGCAGAGAAGGCTTGTTTCTTCTGCAGCCGATGGGCCAGCCAACTAAGTAAGCGCCAAAGCCAAGTCGGTTCCATGACGCGGCGTGCTGGAGGGTGACGCAACACCCCTCCCCCCCCTTGCCGTATTGCGGATGCTCTCTTCCACCATGTTCAATTAGCAATTTGGGCTGTCTTCGCGAAATTCGAGGTATCCCGTTGTGAAGATGAGGACTTCCATGATCACGGATCTCGAGCGTAACCTTAAGCGCAGTCTAGGGTCTGATCCTCTGGGCAGGCAGCCGTGCGATCGCAGGTGGATCTGACGGTAGGGCCGAAAACGGCGCTGCAAAAGCGATTGTACTGTGGGGAAGCGAGTCACAAAAGAGATTGGATACAACCTCGAATCTGCCGATAGCCAGGTACACCCGGTGACTAGATCGGTTACATGAACGAAACAACGGTAGATAGAGAGAGGAGGAAGACGATCATCTTCCTTTTGCAGATAGACACACCTCTGCGGGTGACGAGACGAGGTTACAGGCACCTTTCCCCATTCACCGTGGATTCTAGCTGCCTCGTGGAACGACAAAAGGACAAAAGTACGAATGGCCTATAAGAAGCGATCAAGGCCAGCTGGCAGTACTGATTGCAAGGGAATTATGTAGTAGGAATGCTTTATCGGAGAAGAAAATACTGGAAGTTGACTGGATTGACAGTTTGACACCATCAGAGACAACAGGCCGTCATCACGCCCGAACTGGCGGCTCCACCGACCACCGGCCGACTCCCCCTCTCCAGATTCTCTGTTATTTTTTCCGCGCTGGTGTCGGTCGTACAACCCCGTGCCTGTCTTGACAATCTCTCCCACTTCATGATCAATTGCCCGGCCTGCATCGGAATATCTTGATTTCTTTCTCGCCCCCATGGCACTGCTGCAAGAGCCCTAGTCCATCAATAGTCCTCTGTTGGCCTTTCCCGCGAACGCGCAATACATCCGCACCCGGTTACTCTGACGCCTCTCTGACGACGACAGCCATTTTGCTGGGTCTCCAACACGTTTACGGTCCACGGATATGCGCCAATCTTGGTAGAAGATCAATCGGTGTTTATTCCACGGAACGACCCCAGTTGCTTTTTGTCGGCGGAGCTTGCGAAAGTAGCACAGAAAAAAAAAAGAAAAAGAAAAGGCTTCCGCGGCGATTCCTGGAGCTGTCGACAGTATCCCAGATTCAGCCGACCGCAGAAGAATCTCCCTACTTGCGCCACTATGCTCACCTTCCGCAAGTCGCTTCTAGCGGCTGTGTTGCTAATCACGTTCATTGTCCTCTTCCGATCTTCGCATTCCTCCCCATCCGTGTCACCGACAGTGCCCGCCTCCGCCGCCGAAGCCTACGACAACAGCCAGGCGATAGTCGATCGGCCCCAGGGGCGAAAGCCGGACGCCATCAAGCAGCAACCTCTCAGTCCTCCACCAACCGCTCCATTGCGTGATCGACTGCGTTATCACTTTCCCTATGATCTCGACGGCAAATTTCCCGCATACATTTGGCAGACATGGAAGTACACTCCCGAGTCGATGTTCTTTTCGGAGGGACTTCGTGACCCTGAGGCGAGCTGGACCGAACTACATCCAGGGTTTGTCCACGAAGTTATTCCTGACGATACCCTGCAGCATCTGATCAAGTACCTCTATGGATCGGTGCCGGATGTGTACGAGGCATTTGAGTCCATGCCCTTACCGGTTCTCAAGGCCGATTTTTTCCGGTATCTCATTCTTCTGGCGCGGGGTGGGATTTATAGCGATATTGACACCACTGCTTTGAAGCCTGCATCAGACTGGCTACCTTCGGAACTCGATTTGACTACAGTCGGGGCTGTCGTGGGTATTGAGGCGGATCCAGATCGTCCGGACTGGCACGACTGGTATGCGCGCCGGATCCAATTTTGCCAGTGGACTATCCAGGCCAAACCAGGCCACCCAATTTTCCGCGACATCGTCACATATATCACCGAGGAAGCGCTGCGGATGAAGAAGGAAGGGAAACTTAAAGTAGGAAAGATGGACAAGACCATCATGGAATTCACGGGTCCGGGAGCCTGGACCGACGCCGTCTTCCGGTACTTCAATGACCCAGAGTATTTCAACATTGAACCTGGTTCTCCTTCGAACGTCACCTATGAGGATTTCACCAATCTGCAAGGATACAAAAAGATGGGTGACGTGGTGGTTCTACCTATTACGAGTTTCAGCCCCGGTGTACACCAGATGGGTGCAGGAGATATTGACGATCCTATGGCATTCGTAAAACATAACTTCGGAGGTCAGTTGCTCACCAGTGACCCGCCACCATGTACGACGATAGACTAACATCTTGACAGGCACTTGGAAAACCGATCCATCTCTATAAGTTGGCTACGTCGAACTCTATATTCAACTTCATTCTCAGCGTGGCCTTCGGTGATGAAGACTTTAGACGAGAAGACCGGCGTCGCACCAAAGGTGACGACCATTAAACGTCTACATCAAGTCGGTTCTATCCAAATCACTTGCCTGGAGCCCGTTTTGGCCCACCATTAAAGCAAACGCTCCCTCCTATCATCGAAGTCATGATTCATGACTCGCGTACCCTATCATATCTTGTCCCCTCGCTACAGCGCGATTGTACAGGATTGGCACCTCATGTCGCAGTGGTGTCTTTTGCTATGACCAATTCCACGCAGATAATCTTGACTTTCTTGTATAACCCCACTCTACCATGTCGCAGACATGTGAGAAGATTGACGTGCTAGTCATTACTCCTCGCTGGTCCACCTCGTCGGCCCAGCGAAGCCGGGTTCTTGAATAGGACATTGATGTCTATTCCTGCGTGTTCATACTACGACTCCATCGCCAGCGGCGATGGCGTTTATCTCACCGTTGATCCGTTGACTATTCATGTACTTATGTGACTGTTTCTTATTAACTTATATCTAGCTAGTATATTGATGCCCGACCGGCTTGGGCATATATAATGATACTTCTTTCAGTTCACTTTGCTCTTTTGATAACAACTAAGTTAGTCAAAGTGCCCAAACCTACCTGGCAACCTCCGCACCTAGTAAACGGACTGATAGTGATGATGGCGACAACCGCCCCTGTTTGTACACATCCATGACTACATCGGATGAACTGGAATAGTAGTCCGGATGATAAGTCTTAAAGGGCTTTCGAAGCACCTTGTTCATCATGCCGGAATCGACGCCACTCATTAGAGACCGTACTATGGTTGGTCGCTGCCGAGGTATCCTTATTACTTCGTACTTCGTCATAAACAAAGCAACCACCCGACCTTTTCGTACCAAGATTCCCTTGCCACTAATTCCATCGGGTTGCTCTCCAGATAAATTATATGGATGGCAAAGCCACTTGTGAGCCGAACTGAAGGACAAGAATCATAGCCGAGAGCTTGTGGTACCATCTAGACGAGGCATGCAATGTAATATACGCCGAGTATCACCTCATGCAACGTGAACCATCCATCCCTCGGCGATTAGACCGAGGCCAAAACACTTAACTGTTTTGGCAGCGTAGTTTTTCGGCAGCACACTCTGCTCCTCACGCCCCAGAGAATGAAGCCCTCGCAGCTCTGGACACAAGCACTACGCCCTGATGAGGTCTACATCGGCTCCTGAGTCTCCACAGTCAGCGTTATTTGTACATGCAGTTGTTCATTCTGGGTTCCGCATCAAGGTTGGAACCAGCTGGTGATTGCGTGATTGTGAGTGCATAAGTGCCAGACAAATAGGTAACGTAAAATGGCTCAGTTAACTACCTAATCTCAGGTAATGTGCATTATTGAGGGTGTTGTTGGGACCCATGAGCTCCAGCAGGCAGGCAAGAGTGCCAATCATTTGTGTGCCACAGTCATTTATCTCCCGCCTGATGTATGGGTTCGGTGTATATGCTCAGTCGGAAAAGGCCGCGGCTTCAAGCACCATCTTCAGTTCAGAGAACAATCGCTTGCCTGCTCCACTTCAAGTCCTACCGACAACAGCTCTCTGGAGGACGCATGGTGAAGCGGTTACGCAAGAGTCGAGAAAGCAGGAAGCCCGCAAGTCTGAGGGTGTTTGTCATCGAAGTGAGAGCCAAACAGGGAGTAAGGAACCTATCTACAGTACATTGCCGCTAAACTATGCCAACAGGTTCACGCCCATCCAGCCCCAAATAGAATAGTTACAAAGAAGAGGGGGGAACAGGACTACCTTACCTAGTTCCATTGACAAACCCTTCCTCGTCTTCATTCTGCTTCCCCATCAACCCCGCTACCGAAACCGCCTCCCGCATCCCCCTGGCCACCGTCCCCCTCAATCCTCGCTCCTCCAAGACCATCAACCCCCCCATCGTACATCCGCCCGGCGATGTCCCCTGATCCCGAAGCATGGCCGGATGCAGCCCGCCATCCTGCATCAATGCCGTCGCGCCCCGCAACGCCTGGAAGATCGTCGTCTGAGCGTCGGCCCGCGGGAACCCCATTGCCACCGCCCCCTCGATCAGCGCATCAGCGAATACCGCGACGAACGCCGGGGTCGAGCCGCCCACAGCCGTGAATGCGGTCATCTGGCTCGGGGGGATGAGGAGGGTGCGACCTATTGCGGAGAAGATCGCTTGAACAAAGGCGATGTGGGAGTCTGTGGGGTTCGGGATGGCATCCACCCCTGTGCCATCGAGGCCCCGTTTTGGGGGCGGGGGTACCTCAATCGCGGTAATGCTCTGCCCCACGGAAGCGGCCATGTTCGGTAAGGCCCGCACGATTTGAAGGTCTTGAATCTCCGGCGACAGCGACCCGAAAAGAGCGTCCCGGGTCCAGCCGGCAGCGATACTGATCACGAACTTCCCGCGGAGGGCGGCGCGGATGCTGACGTCGGCGAAGAAGGAGGAGATGTCGGCGGGATCAATGCAGAGGAGGATGGTGGTGCTGTTCCGGATGGCTTCGCTGTTGGCTGTAGGGCCTTGAAGAATCGTTACTTGGGGGCATTGCGAGGTGTTGTTACTGGAGGAGGAGAGGTATGGGGCAAATCGCTTGGTGAGCTTGGCGTGTGAGGTAGTGCTGCGGACAGTTGCAATGAAGGATTTCGGCAGAGGAGTGGCGGTGCTGTCGGATTGTGCTGGTGCGGCTTGGGCTTGCAGGAGGCCGTTCAGAATGGCTGTGCCCATGTTTCCTGGAGAGCCATTAGTAACTCTAGTTTGCTCTTTTGGGTTGAAAGCGCGAATTCAGAGCTCACCGCAGCCGATGATGCTGAGCGATTGCTCGCTACTCGCGTCGAAGGTCGACATGGTTGAGATGATGTGGTTGGATGGGGGTAGAATGCACTGCTGGGGTGTTTAGTGTTGACCGAGTAAGACAAGAGCTCATAAGTTGCAAAGTGAGAATGGGAAGTCCTGGATATGCATCGATAAGCCTGAGTGCACCAAATAGAAATAAAGAAGTGCCGCAGAAGGGAAATTGTAGCGTATAGTTCGGATGCAAAGCCGAAGAAGGAGCAGAGCGGCAAGACTAACCGCTGCTGTCTGTATCCTCTTGTAGTCAGTATCAATTACAGCGGTGTTACATCCCTTGGTACATGCTCGGTAATCGATGGTATCGTATTGGACTATCAGTTCGAAGCAAAAATAGATAATATCTACTGTGTACTTCAACTACTCTCCTTCCCCGCATGTCGATATCGCCTGAAGGCGATCTTATCGAGTCCTAGGCCGGTGGCAACTGGCTCATATTCGTAAGATAGACCTCATAACCGTTCTTTCTATTTGGTAATTGATAGCTAATCATGATCTACTGAACACCGCCCTGATCCGACGCTTGACCTCTGCCTTGAGCGCCTCATGCTCGGTCATCGTTCGCGATACCGCATCACGATTCTCCGCCGCTCGCCGCAGCAGGAAACTCAGACATTCACTCAGACTTCCCCAATGCAAGCACTTGTAGACAGCGGGTGGAGCCCGGTTCTGGCCTCTGAGCTGCAGCAGTCCATAGGTGACCCCATCGGCCATCCCCATTAGTTGTCCAAACTCAACCTTGCACGTCGGGAGGTTGTCCCGAACCCGGGTCTGGTGCAAGTTATGCGCTGCCACCGCACTCTCAACATTATGCGTGGCCAAGAACAAGTCCGTGGCGGGGAACGGGCGGCCTTTCTCGCCAAACCCTTTGTAGTTCTGTTGCAGGATACCCCGCACAATCGTATCGTAGGCCTGATCTGTGTTCTCTTTCGTGTCGTGAATCAAGTGTCTTGGATCGCTGCTCATGTAAGCGCCGCGGACCAGTTTCAATCCCAAAGTAAAGCCCTCTTCGTGGGCCAGCTTCAAGTGCGAGGCAATGAGTTCTGGAGCGGCTTTGAGGTATGCTTGAAAGGTGTTATAGATGACCGCCTCCCCACCGCGGTTGTACTTGCGCATCATGTCGAGGGTCAGACTGTGGATCCCTTGAAGGAAAGCATGTTGCTCCGCATCCATGAGCAAACGGGCTTTCTTTTCAACCACCCGACGGCACACTTCGTCCAGTGCCTCGACCATCTGTGTGGGAACGGGCTGACCGGCAGCAAAGGCTTGGGTCACCTTGGGACCAGCACCAGTGAGTCTGAACAGCGGTCAGTGATTGATCTGTCGCCATGCCAACGCTCAACACTCAACACTCACTTGGGGGCAAGGAAGTCTCCGGGGCCAAGCATATCCACTGTACGCAGAACATCTTCTCTCCACGCTTCAATATGCTCACAGGTATCTGTTGATGCAGCCTTTTCCAGGGCCTTTGTATTGGCGAACCGCTGCTGTTCTGTGCGGGAGTCTTGCACTGTTTCGCGTGTGTAGGTAAGAATCACCCCTTTCACTCCTGTACTCTTGATCTGCTCGATAGTTTTGTGCACCTCAGCTTCTCTTTCCCCTGCACAGAAATGGTCGTAGAAAGTCTTTCTCAGAACCCAGTGAATGAGAGGATTTCGTTCCACATCTAATAAGAGGCTGCGGGATTTTGTAAGGAAGGATAAAATAGACAAGCTGGACCCTAACAGAAGCGGATGCGAGGACACCGTAGTCACCAGAAGAGACCGAAGCAGAATGCCAGTGGGGATGACTGAGTGGGCAGAGACAGCGGGCTTTTTGACCTCGGTGGGTGTAACGGTCACCAACGGGGCAACACTCTCTCCGCTTAGGGAGGATCGCGTTGAGACATATCGTGTGTGCCGAAGAGCCAAGGGAGCTCGGAATGCTGCAATCCCTGCAGGTCTCAGGCCGGAGGTAGCTCTCAAAGAACCAGACATTGCTGGGGAGGTAATTCAAAGATGATAGATGAGATTGATGATGGGGAAACAGGCTCCCAGCATGCTTGTGCCACCCTTTATAGGTCTTCCCAGCCGGATTGCAATGTGTCTGCGGGGTACTACTTGATATGCTGGCAGCGATCAATACTGATAAGCAGGGGAGATGATAATCTCAGTGTCCATCTATTGCTAAGTATCTGCTAAGTTATCAGACCCCGCAAACGAGGCTCTCATGCACGGCGAGAAGCGTCTTGTCTCCATGTATGTCCACGCAGACATTGGAACCAGTCATAGCGTGCCCCCCCCCCAATCGCCCGTTCTGGACTGAATTGATACGTTACGGGATTGAAACAAGTCCCAAGTCTAGGGTTATCATCGGAGGAAGAGCCGATGGTAGTCAGATACAGATTGGAACTCGGCGCTGCAACCCGTTAGGAACAGCTTTAGGGGGTAACCCCGTAAAGTTTCTACTACTACTAGTGGGAATGTCTGCAGAACCCCCTGGCTAGTACTATAGGATCATGTCTGGAAGGCTTGAATCAAATGTGGTAGTAGTGTAGATCAAATTGCCTCAGCGTGTTTCTCACACTATGATGTCTCTCAGGAGTATATAGAGGGATTCCGAAGATAGGAGGATGAATTCGCTGTGAGAAGGATCACAACCAACTAGCGGTAACTGGACCAACAGTGACTTTGCTCAGTTAGTAATCCTAGGAAGGGACGCACTCTTGCAGCATAGATCTTGCATACACCGTGCATCCAATTGCCCCGATAAGAGACTCAATCATTGTCCAGTCAGAGATAAGATAAGGGTTATGGTTTGATGTTTGAGAAGGCATGTGGCAAGCGCAAACGAAGGGTAGTGATGTTGAAGAGGGAGAGAAATGTTCTGTCGCCATCACAGAGCTCTTTAAATAGTATTCCTGCTCTACACTGGAGATCTAGTTGATTCGAAGGTACTGAGTACTTTTGAGTCCGCAGGAAAGCACACACAGACACGAGAGAGAGGAAGAGCTTCCGCCCCGCATTTTGCCATGAGCCGGCAGGTAACACCGCGTCGATTGAGTGACTACCGCTTCCTTCTTCTTCTTCTTCTTCTTCTTCTTCTTTTTCTTCTTCTTCTTGCTTTCACTCGTCTCATCCCTCACAATTTCCTCCTCACAAATTTCCGATCATGAGCGTCAGAAGTCGAAACGGCTGTTTGAATTGCAAAAGTAAGTGAAATCGATGCCTCATCGCGTTCGTCTCCCGGCTTTCTCACTAACATGTATTCCCTGTCCAACAGAGCGGAAGCGCCGTTGTGGCGGTTAGTTCTAGACTCTGTTCCTCATTCTATATTGCGCGTACTCATACGACCATAGAGGAGAGGCCTGCCTGCAGGAACTGCGAACTCCGAGGTTTCGACTGCTCCTATCTGTTCGAAACGTCACAACCAGCACCATTACGATTCAAGATTTCTCTGAGTATGTGCACCACCACTTCATCGTCAGCCACAGACGCAGCAATAACCATTTGGCAGGCAAAGGACACAGATCCATTCTGAAACGGCGAAAGCGTTGGCAGTTTCTCAGCGTATCCTATCACGACGCCGATGTCTTATTATGCGAGCATTATCACCACCTTCCGACTCCTCCTTCCAGACCCAGCATAGAGCGCGACAGTCACACGGACGACTACCCAACCACATTCAGCGCCGAGCCTTCGCCCTTCGCAGCTCTCTTGATAGACTGCGGCGATTTAGAGACACAGTTGTTTCAATACTGTAAGCAACTTACGCAGCCCAGCACTGCCACAGACATGACGAAAGAGAAACACATGCTGAAAATCCATCGCAGACCTACAAGTCATCTGCAAAGTTCGCGTGTTTCAGGATGAACCGCGAAACAAGTTTCGCTCGCTTGTCGTGCCTTTCTGCTCGCGTCGCAAACCACTCTGGTACGCCGTGCTTTCAATGAGCGCGAACGACCGTCGGGCGGAGGAGGCAGTGACGACGACAACGATTAACTACGCCCAACTCTCACTCTCCTACAAATCGGTTGCCCTCCAGCTCCTCCGAGAGTCCCTGACCAAGTTGGAGGACATCAACGAGGCCCTAATGACATGTCTGATTCTGTGTTCTCTCGAGATCGCTTGCGGTTGCCGACCGGACTGGGTCCGACACGCGCAAGGCGCCTTTGCTATTATCAACAGCTATGTCTCGGCAATCGACCCCGAGATTCTTTTCTTCGCCCAAAGCTACTTTCAATCACGGGCCCTCTTCTTCCGTACCACGGGTTGTTATCCCCCAGGGCGTCAGATCACTCCACTTCTTCAAGACCATTCAGCTCCTCTCAAAGCATACACATCACCCGATCGATGGACCCCTGAGATCTTCTCCTGGGACGTACATCTCTACAATGACGACCACAAAACCACGTACCAACCCCACATTGGATGTTCGCTTGGCCTCTTAGACATCATCGCACGAGCCACGGACCTCGTCAGCCAGAAACAACACTTGCGGTCTACTGGAACCAGCTCGCTGGCCTCCGAGGGCGCTATGATGCACCAGGCGATGTGTTTGCGCAGCGAGCTCGACGCTCTGGATGAGGTGTATCCACCTACCGCATCAAACAGCGAGTACTTGGCCACGTGCGGCCAGTGCTTTCGGTTAGCAGCTGACCTGTATCTGCAGCTAGCGTGTGATATGCCTCTGACGCAACACACTCTCCAGAAGCTGCTGGTCAAGCTTCTGGGGCATATCGGGCGGGTCATCCGCGAGGACCAGGAGAGGCAGTTATTTCCCATGTGGCCGCTCTTTCTTGCGGGGTGTCTTTCCACGGCGGATGAGGATCGGGTACGCGTACTGACGTACTTCACGTATCTCACACAGTCATGGCCTGTAAGTAACGTGCCCGTGGCGCGGGAGGCGATGGAGACTGTATGGAAGTACCGGGATCTAAACCCACATGATACTGGAAGTGGCTTAGACTGGCAGATGATTCTAAGTCGCATGAATTGGACACTTGCCTTGTCGTAGACGTTTGTTGTTTCTCTTTCTGTCTTGTCTGCCTGACCTTCCCCGAGCTATTTTTTGTGTGTTGGGGGGGGGGGATGTCCCCATTATGACTACATGTAAATGATGCAAATGCGAGCGAATTCCATGTTTGAAGATATCTGTTTTACCATAAATGCAATTCGTTCATAGAAATTTATAGACTGACAAGAAGATGCACACACACATTCAAATACACATACACACATCACAGCTTGGCACCAGGACCCGGCTTAATTTCCGCAAATTCTCTCGTCGCCCCCAATCGCCAACTGACATCTCCGCCAGCCCACTTCTTCCCTTGCTCATCTTCCTTGTCCCCGCCCTTCCACTTCCATCTCGCCTCCGCTTGCTCTCCCTCCCTGACCAACCTTGCCACCCACTCTCCCACGATCGGCAGCATCTTGAACAAATGGCCCGAGTCACCGGACAACAATGCCACACTCCCTCCCGACCCCGGGACATAGTCGACAATGAAGTCCGAGTCCGCCGTATCAGCAAACCAGCACAATTTCTTCTGCACGAACGGCCGCTCAGCCAGCGCCGGGAGCGCATGCTGCAACAGCTTGCGCATGCGCTGCTCATCGTCGGGGGGGAGGACATTCTCACTTTCGCGTAACGTTTGGGGGGGCAGCGACACTCCCGTCTTCGGGTCAGTGTTGATATACCCGCCGCCCATGGGGCAGATCTTAAGGAGGTTCGTCTTCGGGTCAGGCTCGAAGAGGAACCCCAGGTCGCGGGCATAGGTGACGGGGATACCGCGGAGGGCGCTGGTCTCGTCGTCCGTGAGCCGCACATGGCCGATAGACCACGACTTGGCCACGACCTGCGTTCCAACCTCCGGGAGAAGGGTACCCGCCGCCGCCCCGATGGCGACGATGACGAGCTTGCAGCTGTGCACTTGTCCGGACTGCGTGCGCACCCCCGTCACTTTCCCGGGTTGCGTGGCGACCCCGCCTCGCAGGAGCTCGCGGATGGTGCCGCGCTCCGGCCCGAGAAAGAACTTCACCCCCTGCGCGGCGGCCGCCTCGTACACCGCGCGCAGGGCGTTCGCTGAGTGTGCGTACCCCGCTAGGGGGTTGAAGTAGCCTTTCCAGCCTGGGAGGGGTCCGTTGAGCTGCCACGCCACGTCCCGCGGGATCTGCTCCGAGGAGGTGATTGAGATGAGTTTGTGTGCAAAGAGCGGGTGGTTCTTGATCGTCGCCAGAAAGCGTTCCAACGTCTGAGTTGCTTGTTGCGCCCCCGTGCCGGAGACACAGTGTAGGAAGCCGGTTTGGTGATAGTGCGGTGCGTATAGGGGCGTTTTCCAGCCGTCAATTGCTTTCTAAATGTTTTTTTGGTTAATGTCATGACCCAGGTCGGAACATGGGGGGTGGGTTCTAGAGGGCAGACCCGGGGAAAATCGGGAGGGGGGTCAAAGCATACCAGTGTTAATTCGGTATACCAGGGGTCCTCATATTCAGCGCGCACGATCTTGTTAATGTCGTACCCTGCGGAGAACCGGCCAGGTACTTGGTCGTCGCGCTCAAAGACTGAGATGTCGGTATACCCCTCCGTGGCTAACTGGAGAGCGGTGGAGAGACCGAAGACACCAGCGCCAAGGATGACGATGGGGTCTGACTTGGAGATAGCCATAATAGCCTGAGAGTGTGTAGCAGGGCCTAGAGCTTAGGATAGTACTCTATGTGATGCTGTGAAATAACTGAGTAGAGGAGGCAATCGCAGGAGGAAGTGCACGATATATAACCTGAAATGACTCGGGGACGGTTCAAGGTATTGCGCAGATCGGAATGAATCACACCACTCTTGCTGAATGTCATGAGGCTACTATCTCTGTATCGCCTTGCATATCGAGGGTGCAAGTTCACAGCTGTTCTGTTGCAGTTAGACTATCCCCAATCTACTGGCACAGGTGGGTGGACCTTATCGCATTCATTGCGTTTCGCGCATTCGATCATGCCGGTTAGTATATGCGATACAGATGCGATACGAGCGGCATACGCAACCGAATCCGAAGGGGGGTTTGATACCGTACCAGATAAGGCGGGGTCTAGCGTGGGTGGGGATCGGCGGTTAGCGCATGCGGTGGCCACCACGAGGCCCCCCAAGAAAGATAACTACCTTACTAAATTAGTACACAGGAACGGAACGACGAGAGAGCAATCTTATCTGTCAGATGTAGTAGACTGCTGGTGTCCATAGTAAAGTATCCTTTGAGTCTCTAATAATATCTCTACTAGGTATATACTAGATTTATAACAGTACTAGAAAAGTAAAAAGACAAAAGATTAAGTAAAGAAAGCTTTACTATATATAAGACTATAGATAGACTTATGATGTGCGGGGGATATTGATCAGCGTAAGTAATTAGTTATGTTTGCTCGACATGCTCCGGGCGTCTTGCAGTTTCTTTGGGGTGGACGCAGTGGAGGGTTTATGATGAACAGTAAAGTACTACTATGTATGAGGTTGTTCGCAACGTCAACACTCAGCTAGGAGAGATTTGGGGTCCTCGTGGGGTCAATGGTTCTCCAGTGTGTTTTCGTATCGGAGACACTATCCGCTTGATAAAAAGAGGGATACCAAAGTGCCTACTGGTCATAGCTATGGCCCTGCGTAATACTGCATGCGGAGCTCAGATCCCAACACATCTCAAGAGCTTCACTGGAAATAAGGGACTACTACTATCATCGACGGTCGAGAGACAGTATGATGTTATGGCTGATTGTGGAAGCAGGAAACACATATTTTCTAGAGCAAGGTCTATCTAACTTCATTTGGAAAGCACATATTACTACCGACCGTGTACATGTACATAGCTGCAGCGCGATCATTACTCATAACCCCCTCACTCGTTGCTGGGATACTTGAATCCAGTCAAAGGGAAGAACTCCTCCTTGATCGTGCGCGGGCTCGTGAACCGCAGAAGAACGTTGGAGCTGCCTGCCTTGTCGTTGGTACCACTGGCACGGCTACCACCGAACGATTGCTGGCCAATCAGAGCAGCCGTAGTCTTGCAGTCTAATTCAACAACCGTCAGTAAGGATCTCAAGGGATGGACAAGGCAAAGACTGACTGATGTAAAAATTGCCGGCGGAATACCGCAGGGTATCCTCGGCTTCACGAATGGCCTGCCGATCAGCCGCAAACACTGCGCCGGTCAGAGCGAACCCACCACCACTCTGGTCAACCTTCTTCAAAATGGAAGACCACTCCGCATCGGGGTAAACATATACGGTCAGTACCGGTCCGAAGATCTCAGTGTCGAACAGAGGGTGGTCAATGTTCTTGGCCCGGTACACGGTGGGGTGAACATAATATCCAGTGGAATCATCGTAAGTACCACCGGCAAGCAGCTCTAGCGACGGATCCTTGTTGCTAGCATCGATGACCGACTTAATCTTTTCGAAGGATGCACGGTGGATGACAGGCCCCATGAAGGCTCCCAAATCCTCGGGGGAACCAATGGTAATCTCATCAATCTCAGACTTCAACTTAGTCAGGAACTCTTCCGCGCGTGACTCAGGAAGATACAGTCTCGATGTGGCGGAGCATTTCTGGCCTTGGTATTCAAATGCACCCCGAAGAGTGTGGTACGCGGCGCTGGTGATGTCGGCGGTTGGGTGAACCAGGTGGAAGTTCTTGCCACTGGTCTCGCCCACAAGTCGAGGGTAGTCCCTATAGACCTTCTTGCCAATGTTGGCGCCGACTTGGCTGTACAAGGACCGGAAAACGTCCGATGAGCCGGTGAAGTTCAGACCAGAGAACTCTCGGTGGTTCAAGATGGCATGTGTAATCTGCTCTGCATCTCCAGTCACGAACTGAATAACGTTCGGCGGCAATCCAGCCTCCAGGAGGATCTTGTACACGATCTCGCTGGCGTACACGTTTGACGGAGAAGGCTTCCAGATCACCACATTGCCCATCAAAGCTGGGCCGCTAATCAAGTTGCCGCCGATTGCAGTAAAGTTGAATGGAGAAACGGCATAAACAAATCCTTCCAGAGGTCTGTAGTCAACGCGTCTGGAAAAGGGTTAGTTACTGATTACTGGTCTGGAGTTAAGACTTGAACATACGTCCACATTCCATCCGTGCCTCGGTCCGGTTGCTTCTCCAGCAACTCGGCAGCATAGTTGCAGTTCAGACGAAAGAAATCAGCAAGCTCCGCGGCAGCATCGATCTCGCCCTGCCACACATTCTTTCCTTGACCAAGCATTGTAGCGGCGATGAGCTCATATCGATACTTTCCAGCCACAAGCTCAGCCGCCTTGAGGAAGATGGCTGCACGGTCCACAAAAGGAGTATTCTGCCATGACTCCTTGGCCTTTAGAGCCAAGTCAATAGCCTCATTGACTTGTGCAGGACTGGCGAGTGGGTAGTTGGTGAATGTGGTCGCATGCTCGGCGGGAAGAGGCTGGTCAGTGGCATTGGAAGCCGCCTGCGCCTTGCCATTGATGTATATTTGGCTCTTGAGGGGTAACTGAGATTTGAGCTGCTTCAATGTTTCCTCGATCTTAGCTCGCTCGGATGAGCCTTTCACATAGTCCAGCTGCGACATGGTTAGCTTCTGAGGTTGACGTCGATCTTGATTTGATCACTCACATTAGGCTCGTTGCGGGCGGCTGGCAGTCGAAAGGGGACGGTGGCGGCGCCGCGAACCTGGTTGGGTGAGGTGCGTGCAGCACGACGTACTAGCGAGCGCATGCTGGGCGAGGGCTGAGAGACGGAGAGTTTGAAGGCCATTGTGTGATTGAATCAGGTTAAGAGAGGGGAGAAGGTGGTGGTGATGGTTGGTATAGTAGGGACGGGTAGTGAGGTGACTCTGAACACCAATGGAGATCCAGCGACCATTGACGATGATCGGGGATACTTATTGTTCATGATTGATGCCATCTGAGGTGAAGCCGATAGCGCTGGAAAGTGCATCCGAGCAAAGGAAGTGGATCGGTTCGGGGAAGCAATCCGTTGATGCAGACGGAGAGAGAATGCGGGGAGGCCAACCGAGGAGAAAGTCGGATAGTTAATCTTACGAAACACCCGGGCTTAGATCCCGCTAGACTATCAGCCATAGTTACTATCACTATCAGTTTACGAAGATACTGCTTCCCTTTCCCACTTACTAGTCGTATCTGATGGAAAATGCAAACTTTTAGGATAGCACTAAGTTCAGTTCACCCTTTGACTAATTCATTATGACTCAAGATAGGAGGGATACAGAGATAGTAGCCAATGCATGGAGGTGTTGCGGCAAGTCTACGTAGTCGGAATTGACCCTCTGCAACTTGAAGCATCATTGCTGTTTTGCTTTGTACTAGTATAGTACACTTACTCATCCAGTATCTCTTGCTGTCCAACTCTCAAGTTGATACCGAAATCGCACATTTCTCGCATCTCATATGAGCTCTAGAATAGTATTTCACAATGTCCCCAGACAGGTCTACCATACAGCAAAACTCGTTATATACCACCAGCGGTTGGAACAGCGAACTACAAAAGCATCTGACGGGTGATATCGCTGCGGGTGTAGTATCAGCTACAATTATTTCTCCAATTGTAACCATCATTGACCGGTTAGTAGTGGCTTAAGTCACTTGGATTCAATCTACAGCAACTTGGAAGACTCCTGCCTGCTAATGCCAGTCATCTTCAGGACAATTGTCGAACGGCTCGCTCTGAACCGACCATTATTACGAACACTGGGCGCCAACACATTCTGCTCCATCTTCCAACCTCGAAAGTTCTACATTTCGAAGCCGTTCTTGATTGTCTGGTCCCTATACGCAGCAACCTATTGTACCGCGAATGTCACGGATACCTGCATCGACCATCTCCCCCCACTCACTGACAAGAGATCCACGGCGAATCTTGCCGCAACGCTCAGCTTCTTACCCACGTACGCGGTGAATGTTTATCTGGGGATCTTGAAGGATGTCAATTTCGCCCAGGTCTATGGTCGTTCCAGTAATGCGGTTGCGGTCGCCGCTCGAGTTCCGCGGGCCGCATACATGTCTTTTCTGTTTCGAGATAGTGTCACCATCTTCAGCTCCTTCAACCTGGCGCCCTGGATGGCTTCTTCAGTCCCAGATTGGGTAGCCACTGGTCCGCACACCAAAGCCATGATCTCTCAGCTGGTACTGCCCGCTGCTGTTCAGTTTGCAAACACCCCACTGCATCTCCTCGGCTTGGACTGGATCGCCCGACCCCAAACGCAAGGACTAGCGGAGAGGTGGAGGCGGGTCCGACGGGACTGGGCTTCTTCATCGACGGTTAGAGCTGCAAGGGTTCTGCCGGCCTTTGGAGTGGGCTGCATCATGAACACAGAGCTACGAGACCTATTTCAACACCATTAGCAGAATCAATACCACTTTTAGCCGAATACAGCGGGGTTACATACACAGAACAGGGTGGACAGGTTTAATTTCTTTCCCATTGATGATCGGTCTTCTTGTAGTGGCAAAACTTACTCATTCCCAACCACGTACTCCGAATAAAGTATCAGTTGATAAGATCGGTCCTGAAACAGGCATCAGCGGATTGCGGCTACGCTAACCATCGCTGATCCCATGCAGCATCGCAGAGAAACGCGGGGGAATCCAATCACGAGTAGCAGCCCAGGGTTGAGCTTATCTCTCTCGTGGAAGCGCATGCACTAACCGTGTTTCCAAAGTTTGACTAAGGTACTCTTGGTTGCAGCCGTTTCTCCGCAGCCCTTGACATACAGCCAACCATGATTGAAAGGCTTCTTTCAGCTTCAATATTATAGTAGGTTAGTGGCTGATTATGCTCAACTTCGAGTCGAATCAACCCAACAGCTCTCGAAACTAGTACCCTATCTCCTCGTACTATGGAGCAGGATCCGCTAGAGTCAAAGTGGATATCGCAGGAGTCAGCTCTCATAGTATATGTCAAGTGTGCTAATTAAGCCGTTGTCTCATTGATTGGTCGTGATGCTCGCTCGAATTGAAACACACTTCCCCAGATACGCTGCTATGCTTATCCCCACGATTTCGCCAATGTTCACCGTATCGAAGGCCTATGATTTGTGCGGGCCAGGTTTTGGGCTACATCATATCTTCCTACCATCCTCTGCATACTGGAGAATTGTACACGAGCATACAGGAACCGTGGTGGAGGGAGGCCACCAGTCGAAGTGGCATACCAATCATCTCCATACGTCATGGTAACAAGGGATACGGGTCAAAGATAAGGCCTATGACCCCAGCGATCTCAGATTTTCAGGCTGCACCAGGACCTCTTCAGACATAGGTCATGCATACCTTCCTCGTTATCTGCCACCAGATGTACCTATACCTTTCTGGGATTACTCTATCTTCATAAGTCGGCTGCCCCCTCACCTCGAATTGAGAAGTGGTATCATCCTCTCTTCACGAACCTACACTAGTCTTCCTAGCCCTGCATTTGATACAGTTGTTCTGGCTTTTTGTTTGTTCGTCTGTATTCAATCTATTCAGTTCATTTCGAACATGACTGTGACCAGTGAGTTGGGCACTCTGGCAGAGACCACTATGCCCAATGCATATGACATATCCCCGGACGAGGAGAAGAAGCAGCATCTCGATGACTCTGCTCCAGAGGAAGACCCGTTTGGGAGCGAAGAGTGTGCGGAGGTGAAATACCGCACGCTAGGTTGGTGGTTAGTCCTCATTTGCAATCGATAAATGAAGCAATGTATCATGAACGAAACTGATCAGGATGACTACCATGTAGGCACTGCGGAATACGTGAGAATCTGCCCACAGTCCTTCCCCATCATGAAAAGTCCTCAACACTGACATGAACAGTCATGGTGGCGGAGAACGTCTCGATTGGAATCCTGTCCCTCCCATCTGCGGTTGCAACCTTAGGGCTAGTCCCGTGAGTCGGCCGTTACGAGTTCCAACCCCTTCATTGCTGACTCAAAGCAGGGCTATCATCATAATGATCGGGATATCCTTCATTGCATGGTACACTGCTTACATCATCTATCAATTCAAGATGCGATATCTTCATATCCACAGCATGGGGGATGCGGGAGAGGTTATCCTAGGCCGTTTTGGACGTGAGCTGTTGGGAGGAGGCCAGCTACTCTTTCTGGTGTTTGTGATGGCCAGCCATATCCTTACTTTCACTGTGGCCATGAATACTATAACCGATCATGGCACCTGCACCATCGTCTTCGGTGTTGTTGCGTTGGTCATCAGCTGTATCGGCAGCCTACCACGAACGCTGGGAAATGTGTACTGGATTTCATTTGCTTGTGAGTGGTTTCCCTGCATATAGGTTCTTGTCTCGATCATCACAGGCAACTGAACGGGATATTCCAGCTTTCCTCAGTATTGCTATCGCTGTCATCGTGACCATGATTGCCGTGGGGGTGCAGAATACAGGCTCCATCCACCTCGATGCCGTTACTCACCACAGCTTCAAGACCCAATTCCTCGCTGTGAGCAACATTCTGTTCGCGTACGGTGTGTACACTCTGCTCGTAAAGCCGTTGTGCACTGTGCAGACTGACCCCATACAGTGGGCCATGCGTCCTTCTTCGGATTCGTGTCGGAAATGGAACATCCCCGGGAATTTCCCAAGTCCATCGCAGTTCTTCAAGTCATCGACACCTCTCTGTACATTGTCAGTGCCGTCGTGATTTACCGCTACGTGGGCGTGGATGTCGCGTCCCCAGCCCTAAGCTCTGCCGGACCCGTGATGAAGAAAGTCGCCTACGGGCTGGCTCTCCCAACTGTACGTCAACCCCGGCCGCTGATAGACCCCCCAGATTCTGTACTAATAGCGAGTCTATCAGGTCTTGATTGCTGGAATCGTCAACGGCCATGTGGCCGCGAAATACGTTTATGTCCGTCTCTTCCGTGGCACCAACCACATGCACGAGACGACATTTCTGTCCCGAGGATCCTGGGTCGCCATCGCCCTAGTACTCTGGGTACTCTCTTGGGTCATCGCTGAGTCGATCCCTATCTTCAACGATCTATTGAGTTTTATTGTACGTTCCCCTCTTCGAGATGCTTCGTCCAAGCCCCCCTTAGGTCCCAACTGACTGGACGATTTCTTCTAGACTGCCCTCCTCGGCTGCTGGTTCGCCTGTAAGATACCCCTTCTAGCTAAACCCGCATGACAGATTTCTGACCTGGACCAATAGTTGGTTTCCCCGCGATCTTCTGGTTCGTCCTCAACAAAGGCCAATGGTTCTCATCACCCTGGAAGATCTTTCTGAGTGTGATCAATCTCTGCATTCTAGGGATAGCATTCATTACCGTAAGTATTGCTTCCTCTGCTCTTTCAGTGTGTTGTGCTAAATCACTTTTAAAAGTGTGGTTTAGGACTCTGGGTCTCCGGCGACGCGATCAGCAACGACAGCAACAACTCGGTGTGGACCTGTGCAAGTAATGGTGTTTAGGAACAACTAACTGCCTGCATACTCCCTCTCTCTCCTCAGCTTAGTACTAGCTTTTTTTTTTTTTTTTTTTTTTTTTTTTTCTCGGGTTGTTGTTCCATGGATGATGTCGTGTGGTGTAGAGCATGATGCATATATATCATGGGCCAGGACTTTCTTCTCTTTTCCCACTTGCTTGTCCTTCGGTCATCTCTGCGTGGCTGGGTTTCTTTCATACTTGGTGTAAGGGGCTTCTGTGCAACGACGTCAATCCTTTCCTGGAGTGTTTTCAACTTTCTTTAGTTGTTCGAGTAAATATGTTATTGTTCTGTTCTGGTCGGCTGGTTCAGGGTTCTGACGATAGTAACTTAAACACTACTAACCGGGAATCTTTACTCGTCTGACTTGGCTCACGGAATGTCGAAGGGCATCACAAGGCAGATCTTCCGAATGGTGAGGAGTTCCGGTTGTTACTTGAAGAAACAAGCTATCTTTATTTGAGCTGTTGTTGGGTAGGCGTAACCCAGATATTTCCAGCAGGAAGTCAGCAGGCAATTATGAGAGCAGTCGAATCAAACTATGTTGGACTGAGTCGCGTTCGAACCAGAAGCTTGCATATACATCATTCAGAGCGATGAAGATTTCTATTTCTCGAATCTAGACTCCACTTTCATTATACGTGAAGATTGTGTTTACATTATATAAGTGGTCTGTAACAGAAATCCAAATAATCTTTTTTAACGTCATCCGAAGAATTCATGGCACATGCGATGAAAGAGTAAGGCAGAGATCAAACGCGTAGCCTCGTTTCGTATCGTTTCATCATCGACATCATCGAGGGGAGAATGGAGACAGTCGTCGAGGAGAGCAGCCCGACATTTGTCGCAGAATCAAAGTGATCCCAGCTTTGGCCGGCGAGAGGTACGGCTGGGTAATGTCGCCGATGGAAGATCCTCGGCGCTAAGAATGCGAGTTCGAGCACAAGCCCCAGAAAACAAAGGACTGATAAGGAGTGATAGAGACAAGAGATCAAAAATTATGTATCTTGAAGTATCCGCTTGGTGCAGTGAAAACCTGGTGCTTATTTCAGGTTGCTTACTAGCGCATGTAACTGATGATTTCCAGGAGTCGCAGCCATCGGTTGTGATGATGGACAAGGTCTAGTCATCTGCCCCACCATCCTGCAAATGTAGTCCAGGACTGCGAAGACTGTGAGGTATGAAAGACCATGAAGCATAGCACGAGAAGGTGGGGAAGAAGCAAGGACAGCGATGCCTTGACTTGCTGAAGCGCACCCAACGGGCTAGACGAGACGGAGTGCATGGAGCAGGAATGGTGTCCCAATGTACGTAGCATCAGGCAATCTGGGCTTGGCGCCGTGAGCATGGCCAACGTCGATGACATGATGGGAAGCCAAAGGAGGGAAGCTGCAGGAATGGACGGCTTAGGCGGTATCGAAACAGATTTCGCATCACTTGATTCATGAAGGTGCATGCCAAAGCCGATCTGTTCACACAAGACGAGACCGAATTCAAGAGTGATAAATCTCAGAAGTCGGCGAACAACGGCTCATACTTATTCCTCATATCGTCAGAGTAAGGTGTCTGGTTTCGCTCATCCGGATCAGGATATTCCTCAAAGTTGCCAGTATCGGCAGGGTGGTCGACTCGTGGAATAATGGGTCCCTTGACTCGCCGGTACCACAAGTCGTCCCAATTGATGTTTTCAAAGAAGGGGTGGGCTTTTACTCGTGCGGAGCCCCCAGAGATATATCCTAGTCGCTCGGTCGGATTGGTCTTGCACAGGAGGGAAATGATATTCTGCGCAGCGGGCGACATGTTCTGGGGAAATCGAATTCGGCCTTCTACGATTTGCTCGTAGATGCGCATTGGGTTCTGGTCCCAGAACGGAGGCTGTCCTACCAGAAACTCGTAGATGAGGATCCCCAAAGCCCACCAATCGACTGCAAGACCGTGTCCACTGTTGTGGATGACTTCGGGTGCAAGATATTCAGGCGTGCCACACAGTGTATAGGTCTCACGGTCTGCGATTTGCTTGGCAAAGCCGAAATCAACCAGCTTAATATGTCCCTCCGCGTCAAGAAGAATGTTCTCAGGCTTCAGATCGCGATAAACGACACCTTCAACGTCATGAAGGAATTCTATCGTCAAGGCGATCTCAGCCGCGTAGAATTTGGATGTGTTTTCGTTGAAACGGCGTGCGCGCCGCAAGTAGCTGAAAATTTCGCCTCCCGGGCAATAGTCCAACTATGATCTGGTTAGCTATCGTGGCGAGAGAGCAAATCCCCACAATCTTGAAATTCTAGATTAAGACTCAAGGAATTGCAGGACGAAGCATCCTTACCAACATGTAAAGGTGTTGGTCATCGGAAAAAGATGCTATTAACGTGGTAACAAAGGGATGCCCAGAAACGTCCGCGAGGGTCTTCCGTTCGTTGCGCACATGCTCGACTTGCTTCAATTTGATCACTGTAGAAGATATGACGATTAGATTTACCACCGGAATAGCTGGAGGCATGAAAAGGATGTCTTCACCGTCCGCTTTCCTGAGCATTTTGAGCGCGTAGACTTTGTCCTTTCGTTGCTGCTCATCCTTCAACTGCGCGAGCCACACGCGAGCAAAGGTACCTAAAGACAAGGACACCGCCACCGTCAGACACCGGCTAGGCCGCGCAAGCGATGAAGCTTAGCTTACCGGTACCGAGTGTCTTCAGCAGCGTGAAGTCATTGACATTCAGCCGACGAGTCGAGATACCTAGTTGTTTCTCTTCCGGACGACCAGAGATGACAAAGGGACTCAACCGTCGCTGATGGGGCGGTCGCACCGAGGACACCAAGTTCTTCTCTCCCTGATGAATGTCGTCCGATGCCATATCGGGCCGGGGGGAGGGAGCAGATGCGCTTTGGAGTTCGTTAGGGTGGGAGGGGTCGAGTAATCCTGCAGCCATGAGCAGGGCTAGAGTTTCATGACGCGAATGACCGCGAGGAGTGACTGAATGAAAGTAGACGTTTGCAATTGTAATTGAGACAACTACCTAAACAGCAGTGTTCTCCTTATGAGCAAGAGACAAAAGTAGATTGGAGGTGGGGGAGGGGGCAGGGAATGATGGAATTCGCCCCGTGGGATTATCGATTGGAGCAGCGGGCGCAATGCGGGAAGACGTAAGTAGGGGAGAAAGAGAGTAAGTTCAAGGTTTTGGCGGGGAGCTGCTTCTTTCTTCCTTTGCTGAGGGAACCATGCCGCACGACTAACTACGGGTAATAGAGACAGGCCTCTGACGTTACCGCCTGGCGGGGCAACTCGACGAACTAGATCGAAACAACACCCCAGCATTATCACATCTCACACAGCACCCATGGGATAGATCTAATCATGTGCATTTAATAATATAACTAGCCGACCAGAAATGGAAAAACAGAACTTGCATGGTTGTGATGTGGACATCTAAACCAAGTACTCGTACATACTTCTACAGCCAACATATTGAGACGAATGGGATAGGCGCATGTGGAATGTTGTCAAACCCAGACTCCAGCTTCTCCCTCTCTTCCTCTGGAGATGACCAGAGTGCTTCTTACTCGAGTTCGCGAGGCCGTATAGGCTGGGAGGGGATTGACCGGAGCTGAAATGGTCGAATAGTGCGAGAAAAAGGAAAAAGGGGACTGCGACCAGCCGGAATCCTCTAACCGGAGCTCTTCGAGTTGAGAATGAGGCCGACAATCAGACTATCACGGTCAGCAGGCTAGTATTTATCGTTTAAATCCTATCGTCAGCTTACCCGTAGAGACCAAGGACCTCGCCGAAGATGAGAATTAAAATCATGCCAACATAGACCCGCGATTGCTGCATGTACGCGCGCACACCCTTCCGAAGCGATCAGCAACCACACAAGGCTTAAGCTTACAATTGACACTTACCGCATCTCCCACAATTCCAATAGTGTATCCAGCAGCCACGCCTGCGAGGCCAACCGACAAACCAGAAGCCAGATGCATAAATCCACTATACACTTGTGAGTGTTCTCCCCTTAAAAGGTCTGTCTGTAGGCCGAGCATACGTGTAAAGACTCATGTTCCGGGTCGGGGGAGGGTCCATATCACCGGCAATGAGGACTGCGATGACGAGGCCATAGACGGCAATGATACCAGACATAACGACGGGGATAAGGGACTGAGCCGATCAGCTGAATTGCCTAATAAGACATAAGTCTTGAATCTAGTAGAGAACTCCCATACCTTCATGATCAGATCAGGCCTGAATGTTCCCACACCGGAAATACCGATTCCAGATTTGGCGGTTCCATATGCTGCTCCTAATGCTGTCTGTTTGTAAGCAACTGCGCTGACCACATGCAAAGTAATTCCTTGAGAAAACCGGACTCACGTACATCCGAAGATCATCTTTTCCACAGTGGTTGTTAGTGGTTACTGGACAGGGTCGCAGGTCACGGGTATTGTTCACGCGAGACTCACAGCCGATGCAATTCCTGCCTTTAGAGTCAACGTTAGCAGCTGAGAAGAATCATTGAAGAGGCAGAGGAGCCAGAGCAGTACACGGCGCAACGACAACAGTAGAGGACGTAGAGAGTCAAGGTCTCGTAGCAACTTACAAAGGAGAAGAATGGGGCAAACTTGGGAGAGAACTCGCTGTCCGCCATGGTGAATCGGTGCGAGACACCACAAGGTTGGGAACCGACGGCAAGGTGACGAGTAAGAGATAGAAAGCGTGGAGGGAGGACTCTGGGATGAGTCTGTTGCGGATAGAGCCTGTAAGTCAGTTGACCCTGTGCAACAAGATGTGAACCGCAGCTGCAATAGACCGAGGGTGAGAGAAGATGAGAGCTGTGGGTAGTTAAATGGAGAGCCAAGTATGTAGCAGGTCCAGGTGCCGGTGACGGAAGTTGTTCGCCTGGGCCACCGTAGAACGACTAACAACAGGTAAACTATACGAAAGTAACTGAGATACGGAGTACAGTACGTACAGTACAAACAACTGGTCAGTCAGTCCCATCTGGGTTAAGACTGACATGTGCCGTGCCTGGTCAACCCAACAAGCCTCTTCATTCACTCTCCCACATTTGTGCTGCCAGTGCTGTGCTGTGCTGCTTGCTCTCCATCTCCTCATCACTAAAACCGACAAGCTACGCCGGACTGCACTCCTAGTTCTACCCATAACTAAACTTACCGGGCATACATAATATTTGCATTGGGCCATTAGTACTACTACTACTACTACTACTACTACTACCAATCCTCTCTCCACCACCACTTCCTCTCCCCTCCCTCCCCCCCTCTCCCCTCCCCCATTTCCGCCCCCGTCACTACTCAACTCCCCCCCCTCCCCTCTCCCTCTCTCTTTTCCCGATTCCTCCTACTCCTCTTCCTCTCCCCCTCCTCCCCTCCCCTCTTTTCTTCCCTTTCTCCCCACTCTTGTTCCTCTCTGTGCCTAGTCTGTTCAGACTTGCATTGCCTAGGCACTGTGTGTTGATCCACCCGTTAGCTAGAGGGAGAATGCTGAGGTTATGAACCAGGGGTCCTGGTTTGCCGTTGCGCCTCGATCACCATCAACAAACCACGCGGTCTCGACGCCTTTCTTCTCAGGTTGTCAACCCGATTCAACCACCCGACTCATCAAGGCATGATACACGGAGGCGCTGCTTTCTCTGTTTAGATATCTTTTTCATTTCCTTCTTGACATTTTATTCTTGTCTTATTTTTTCTTTCTTTCTTACGTGCTTATAAATTATCGCCCGTGGAGGACCTCTTTTTTCCTTTTTCCTCTCCTAAACCTACCCTCTTCTCCCTTTTATTTTTCCATTTCCACGACTTGGAACGATCTTGCCTGCGACAATCTGCACGCTCTCTACGACCCGGATTCGATACCCTACTTGTACTGAGACGAACTCCTTTCCCCCCTTAAATCCCCGAGTCGCACCCGCCGGATTGATCCATTCCGCCAACACGAAAGCCCAAAATCACTGCGGTCACGAGCGCGAGGAGCATCTGGGCAACATGGCTGATCTAGGGGGCCAGCAAGGCCGGAATTACCGGCCTTACGGACATCCCTCTGCCTTTCAACGTGATGCTGCATACTCCGAGATCTTCGGCGGTGCTCCGCCACCGGGACGCTCGCAGACGATGACATCTCAGACTCCTCAGTTCTCTCAAGATCGAGCCCATACTATGTCATCACACGTACCACATCCGCAGATGCATAGAGGTCCACCGCCGCCCACACGTCAGATGCAGAACGGATACTCGTCGGCGGCGCCAAATGGATACTACCAAAGCTACTCCGGAAGCGCAGCACCCCCAGCTTTCCAGCAGTCTTCTCAGCACCCCGCACGGCCCTACCCCGGACGCTCCGCCTATCCTCAGCCTCAGCGCCTGGATTCTCGGCCCAGCACGGGGCCACAATTTCCAGACACGAAGGGTTACACTAGGACGATGCCGGCCCATCCCGCCCTGAACTCGGATTCAAATAGGTCAAGGTCCATGGCGAAGATGGGTGGTCCTCCGATGTACCAACCCTCGTTGAGTAGCTTCAATCACACCTCTGCCAATGCAATTCGTCAGCAACAGTACACCGCGGCGGCTCCGATGACAGCTCAGGGGCGGCCCGTGCCTGAGAGAAACCCGAATGAGCGCGCCATGTCGCTGACTACCTACCCAATGGACCGAGACCACGCTTACACCACCAGCACAGGGCGAGTAATCCCACCCAGAAGACAACCCTCTGGACCCAGCCAGGCTCCTATCAATGGCTACCCCCCCGAGCCAATCAACGCCCAAAGTGTCAATGGAAAGTCTCGCCCACCAAGCGATGGATCTACGAATTCGCGCTCTATGTCTATGGCATCAACGATCGTGCCGGATCGAACCATGAGTATGCAGAGCACAGTGGCTGGGAAGCCGAATAATCAGCCTGGGCTCACGCAAAGCAACTCGCGCCGGAGTAAGGTGCCATTGGTCTATCCCGCTTTGCTCTCCCGCGTTGCCGATGTCTTTCGTGAGCGAATCACACTCGCTGAACTACAAAAGAATGGACTTTCATATCAAAACGCCTTCACCGGTGCCCAGGCAGTGGATTTGATTGCACATATCATAAAGACGAATGATCGGAATCTGGCTCTGCTATTGGGTCGTGCCCTGGATGCTCAGAAGTTTTTTCATGATGTGACGTATGACCACCGTCTTCGGGATGCACAGGGTGAAATATATCAATTCAAGGAGACCATGGGAGAAGAAGCGCCCAGTTCGGAGGTTAACGGTGTTTTCACGTTACTCAGTGAATGCTACTCGCCGACATGTACCCGAGATAGCTTGTGCTATTCCATCGCCTGCCCGAGAAGACTTGAACAGCAGGCTAGGCTGAATTTGAAACCGCAGCCTGGGCTACGGTCTTCTGCCTCCAAGGGCAGTTTGCATGGCGATGACGATGACAACGACAATCAGAAATTGTGGATCAATATGGTTCCAAAGGAGGTGTCTGACAGCATTGATGATCGTGAGAAGAAACGCCAGGAAATCATCTTCGAGATCATGTACACCGAACGTGACTTCGTCAAAGATCTGGAGTACCTGCGAGACTTTTGGATGAGACCATTGAGAGCGTCTGGCAATGCTACAACCTCGCCTATCCCCGAGCATCGGCGCGAGAAATTCATTCGGACGGTCTTCGGCAATTGCTTGGAGGTCCTCAAAGTCAATGGTGGACTCTGTGAAGCTCTAAACGCACGACAAAAGGAAAGCCACGTCGTTAAGACGGTCGGTGATATTTTCCTCCAGCACGTGCCTCGCTTTGATCCATTCATCAAGTATGGTGCCAACCAGCTGTACGGCAAATATGAGTTCGAGAAGGAAAAGGCATCGAATCCGGCATTTGCAAGATTCGTAGAAGAAACGGAGCGTCTGAAGGAATCACGCAAACTTGAGTTAAACGGTTATCTGACCAAGCCCACCACGCGTCTAGCAAGATATCCACTTCTACTGGAGCAAGTCAACAAGAACACGGCTGAGGATAGCCCGGATCGCCATGATATCCCCAAGGCTATTGCGCTCATCAAGGATTTTCTGTCTCGTGTCAATGCAGAGAGTGGAAGGGCTGAGAATCACTTCAACCTGGTGCAACTTAACGCTGCGCTGAAGTTCAGTCCTGGCGATTATGTTGACTTGAAGTTAACTGAGGAAAATCGGCAGATGCTATCGAAGATGGCGTTCAAGAAAACGCCCACCGACAGCTCTGAGGTTACTGCATACCTGTTCGATCATGCGGTCCTCCTAGTGAGAATCAAAGTTGTCAATAAACGCGAAGAGTACCGCGTGTATCGGAAACCTATTCCGCTAGAGCTATTGGTTATTGCGCAAATGGATGAGGTAATACCCAAGGTGGGAATTCCTAAACGGCCGTCCTCCAGCCTTCTCTCCAACAAGGCAGCAGCAAACCCTCCGACTACCAAGGATGGTCTTCCAATCACCTTCCGGCATCTTGGCAAGGGCGGTTATGAGCAGACATTGTACGCCACATCGACTACTCAACGGCGAAAGTTCATTGAATTGGTTGAAGAGCAGCAGCGGAAGCTCAGAGAGCGTAACAGCAACTTCTACAACAAGACAGTGCTTTGCGAAAACTTCTTCACATCCGTTAATCGGGTTAACTGCCTTGTTCCGATTGGTACGCACTTATCCCGTCACCGCATTAATGGAGTTCACTGCATGCTAACTGCGCCTGGCTTGATGTAGATGGAGGTCGAAAATTAGTGTACGGTACCGACAGCGGCATCTATCTCTCCGAACGCTGGCCAAAGGATAAGTCAGCAAAGCCTCGACGTGTCCTTGATGTTAGCCAAGTCACTCAGATAGATACATTGGAGGAGTATCAGTTACTCTTAGTCTTGTCGAACAAAACACTATCCTCCTATCCTATGGACGCGCTCGAGATTCATGAAGGCCAGAACACTATCGCGAAGCGGCCTAAAAAGATTCAAGGTCATGCGAACTTCTTCAAGGCTGGCATTGGACTTGGACGTCATCTAGTCTGCTCCGTCAAAACTTCTGCTTTGTCGACAACTATCAAGGTCTATGAGCCTATGGACAATCTGGCGAAGGGCAAGAAAAAGTCAGCTGTTAGTAAGATGTTCCAGAGTGGACAAGACACATTGAAGCTCTTCAAGGTTTGTACCCTTTCTTTCAAGCATACTATTCAAGCATACTACAATTCGAGACTTGTGAGCTAACAAATCCTGCCTCCAGGAATTCTACATTCCTGCAGAGTCTTCGTCGATCCATTTCCTTCGCTCAACACTCTGCGTCGGCTGCGCTCGAGGGTTTGAGGTCGTCAGTCTAGAGACCACCGAAACGCAGTCTTTACTCGACCAGGCGGATACATCTCTTGATTTTGTTGCACGCAAAGAGAATGTGAAGCCTATCCACATTGAACGCATGAACGGCGAATTCCTCCTGAATTATAGCGACTTCTCCTTTTTCGTCAATCGCAACGGTTGGCGCGCTCGTCCGGATTGGAGGATCTCCTGGGAGGGCAATCCGAACGCATTCGCACTTTCTTACCCTTACATTCTCGCCTTTGAACCCAACTTTATTGAAATCCGTCACATTGAGACAAGCGAATTGGTGCACATCATGACGGGGAAGAATATTCGCATGTTGCATTCGTCGACCCGAGAAGTAAGTTTAAAACCCATTCCCCCCCTCCCCGGTCATTCAGGCTGTCGGAACAGCTGCTTATACTGCCAAAGATCCTCTATGCCTATGAAGATGAATCCGGAGAGGATGTGGTCGCCAGTCTGGATTTCTGGAACAAGCCCCAACATTGACCGAACAGCGACCGGAACACATGGAAGGAAGGATGAAACTGCTAGGGGGAGGCATTTCTATGTTCTATTTTAGCCCAAGTATCTTGTCTTTTACTACGCTTAGAAAGACCTTTGATCTCCCATCCCAATCGGCTCAGAGACGGGAGGGCATACATCTATCTATCTATCGGCGTCACTAACCTTCAACACTTGGCCCCCCTTTACCCCCAAATCTTTCCGCACACTTAATCTTCTGAAAGTTGATGCCGAAAGTTGTTTCCCGTCCCCCTCCCTTTTCATAATACCTCTCAATGTCAACTTGTCACTATCTATTCCGTCTTTGTACTCTGGTCAGTTTGAAAAGGCCTGATCTGACCTCCTAACTCCCCTTGTCTCAACTGTATATTGTATACAATGAAGCGCAAATACCACCTGTCCCATTTTTCTTCCCAACTTATTCTTCTCTCTTCTCTCATCAATCTCTTCATTTCTCTTGATTAGTATCGTACCCTATTTCAATCGAGAATCACATGATACGTGGTTCGCTCTTTTGTTGTCCGCTGCTTAGTACTATGATCCGAATGCTTCTCGCGTCCCTCTCCTGCGAGCGTTGTCCCCCGCGGAGGCTTTGCCCGTTGTAGTGTGTGCCTCCACTAAGTTGCATCACTGATACATAGCCAGCGTCTCTCACTCCGAGTCAACTCGGCCGAGTCTTGGGGAAAATCCAGTTCCCTTTCCCCACTGCACCCCATCCTTCCTGGGCAATTCGTAGACGAAGCCTGGCTTCTGCTTCCGCCTGCCAGCCCCCGCTCAACTCGCGGCGGCAATGTGCGATTAGTTGTCCATTTCAACATCCATCATCATGCCCATCATGAGGACGAATCTTGTTCTTCTCATCCGGTGATTGTAAATACACTCCACCACATTGAGAGAATCGAGTGAGGATTGCCATCATAGTAACTACTAAACACGCAATGTTAGAGGGGTGTCGTAATATCGGAGGCTCGACTGTACAGGATCACTTAGTACGATATATCTGTTGAACCGAGGGTGCAGCGGAGCCGCTGGCCCAACAGCCGATTGATTTAAACAGTTAAGTACTAAGTTCATACCTTCCACTACCAGCAGTGATCTCCGCGAGGGCGAAGGGAAAGCATACTACTGCATTGTTACTTCCTCTGTACTTAGAGTAAAGTGCAGTCCGATACGTTTATCAGATGTATGTGTAGCCGTGATGCATTGGGAGTGGGAGTAAGAGGACTGAGAACATGGATAGAAAAGGAATCCATAAGGGAGCTTTGTTTGTTTGTTGCACGCATACACACACAAATCAATCAGATATAAGGACAAAGTATAGAGATAAAAAAAAAAGAATAACCTTGGGACAAAAGAGGGAATCTTGCTGCACGCTGCTGACACTGGGACAGGGTTTCATGGAGAGGGGGGATAGGGGGAGCGGGGCGGTAGAGGAAAAAGAATTGGTGAAAAACAAGGAACGAGAAACACGAACAGGAAGAGCATTGATAGGAATAAAAAGTTCATGCAGATCCTTCTCAGTAATAACTGTAAGTAATTAAAAATGATGCTATTCTTCTGACTCCAGAGATCTTGCAAAACCAGGTAGATGGATGGTGGCTTCCGAAAGACGAAGTGAAGTTGAAAAATTGGAAGATTGCAGCCGAAAATATGTCCGTTCTCTTGCCATCTTTCTCTGCTCTTGTCCGTCTGGTATGGACTCCGAGCGTGTTTGCGTCGCTGTGGAAGGTAAAAAGAGAGAAGAAAGCGAAGGGGATTTGTGGTTCCCAGGCATCGTCCTACTAAAACGGAACGTTGCATTTGCCCTCCCCTTTCCCTTGCAGATCAGAAGAAAAACCAGGAAAGAGAAAAGAGAGAAAAAAAAGCTATTAACGTGAATCAACGGCCGACTAATCTTAACCCCGTAGACAGTCAAATCTGCCGCGCCACGGTTCTCATTACAAAGGCACATACGGTGTCAGATGTCAATCATTTGGAGGCCGTCTTCCATGAGTCCCAGGGATCCAGCGGTCTTCATTCAGGCATCTCCATTGGTGATATCGACCTGGCTCTGGCTGGCCTCCCGTGCCATGCGGGCCTCGATTTCCCTCAGCTGGCTTTCGCGAGCCAGCAATTCCTGGCGCTTCTCAGCAATCTCACGCTGTACCTTCAACTCGATCTCACGGAGCTTCTCCTCCTCACGGCGGAGCTGCTCCTCCTTCAATCTAACAGACTGAGAGGCCAGGTCTTCTGGGTTCATAGAAGAGTCTTGTGTACTGTGGCAAAGATATTAGTCGATGCATAAAAAGCACGAGTTTTGCAACATAAGGGGTACATACGGAGTAGCACCGTCCACGCTCTTGCTGAGCTTCTCGGTACGGTAATTCTCGTAGAGGAAATCGTGGGTAATCTCCTTGAGATCCGCCAGGTGGCTATGAAGAAGGGCGCTGCGTATAGCCAGGAAGTCGGAGTGACGAGGGTTTTCGACCTCTACAACACCCCAGGGATATTGCCTGGCACGCACCTTCTTGCCATCAATTTCAACGAACTCATCCGAACCAACAATAGCGAATGGCATGAGACCCCGGAGTTCAGCGTTCTCCTCCACAGTATCTTCATCGTCTTCCTCGATATCGTAGGGGAAGTTGTAGACAGGAATACGGTAGTGTTCAATGTCCTCCATGATTAGCTTCTTCGATTCGGCCAATTCAGCGGGGGTGAGGGAGTCGGCCTTGCCGATGACGGGAATGACGTTGACGCGGGGAGACAGGCGCTTCATCAGTTCGATGTCGAGTTCACGGAGACCGTGACCAGTGGGTGTGATGAAGTAAAGGAGGACATGGACGCGGTTGTCCCTGAAGCGGGGGTTACGCTTGATCCGAGATTCTTCGGCGAGGATATCATCGTATTGACGCTCGAGGTAACCAACAATCTCACCGAAGCTGCGAAACGGTCAGTCGTGCACTGGGTGTGCTGTTGTCCGCGGTCAGGACCACCTGCCTTGCTTCGTTGTCAATCTGGTCACCGAAACCGGGGGTATCAACGATGGTGAGCGAGATGCGGGTGCCTTCGTCGTCCAATTCGAGTTCTGCATAGCTTATCGTTAGCACCAGCCGTGAGAACTCATGCGTATTGGTCTGCTCACCGACTGTGACGGGCTTGATGCGGACACCCTCCTCGATGTGAGCGTTGGCAGCGTCATCGGCGTCCTTTCCTTCCAGGACCTTCTTGCCGCAGAGAGTGTTGACAAAGGTCGTGCGTCCTAAGGAAAGCGAAAGGCTAGTCAGCCCCTGACTTGAATAGTGCAACTGAGCAGTCGTGAACATACCGGTTCCGCTGGCACCACAGACCATCAGACAGAACTGGATACCCTTCTTGACATTTTTCTTGCGACGGAGCTTGGGCTTGAAGTTAGAGGCGAATTAATCACGGTTGAGATTCAGAATAGAGCAAAACCAAGCCGATAACGTAGGGAATGCCTGTGCCTCAGAGCCATTGAAAGGATGGTGGTGGCTATGGCGGGGCGTGAGGCAATTCGAGCGGCCGGCATAGAAAGGGGAAGGATAACAACTTACCGCGCTGAACGAGGAGGACATGGTGGGCTAATGAAGGGAGGAGGGGGAAACAAAGAAAGAAAGGAGGATGGTGGATGAGATGATAGAAGAGTTTCAAGCAAGCGAGTGGAAGGGTGGAAAGAGGAGGAAGATGAAGTAAAGGAAGGTCGTAGAAGTGGAGGAGGAGGAAAGGAAGATAGAGGGAGAATGAATGGAGATGGATGGGATGGGATGGGATGGTTGTTGCTCTTCCTCTTTCTCTCCCCTGAGGATTGTCCGCCCGTTGTACTGTAACTACTTACTCCGTACTTCCTACTTACTAGTCTTCCCTCCCCCGTCAAACTGGCCGTTTAGTGGGTTTAAGGGGGCAAGTAAGGTCATTCACATCAAGATACCTCAGGCAGAAATACCCGCTGACTCTCCCGATTACCATACCTGTACCCTCAATTACACTTCACTCCCGCCGCCTTCCCCTTTTCCCCATTCACTAGCTGTCAGACCAACCTTTCTCCAGACTGCCCTGAGAGTGGTAGTTTTGGTACGACCCGGCCTCATTCGATCAATGCTCTTCCACCATTAATCACTCAGGCACGGTCAGATGTGCCTACTACGGAGTACTCATTTCTTGACTACCGGTTCAATTGCTACTCAATATTCGTTGGAACTGGGCTATGGGGTACTCCAACGGAACCGACCTGTCCGATGCGGCATTTGGGGGGATATTCAATAATCGATTCAATCTTGCATCCACTTGAAATCAATGGTTGAGCGACTACAAAAGAGTGCCTCGATACATAGAGAGGATACCATGAGATCTGTCTGTTCTGGCAGTCTTTAAATGGCATCGCGATGCCCAATCTGGGCAGTTTTGGTTTTGCAGGCGACAATCAAGTGACTGCTGATTTACTCCGTAGCTCAGGGGTTAAGGCCACCAAAAGCTCCGATCGCCGCCGTGGGTCGCTGTGGGCCGCCGTACTGTACGCCTAAGGGCCTTGGGCTCTATTGCTTTACTGGCTCGACCCAGCCCACGATTAGTCTACCATACCTCCTTGAACTACGGATACTCTGTACTCAAAACGCATCAAACCTGGATATAAGGCCAATGCATCTCGGCAATAATGAACAAGGTGTCTACTCATCACTGAATCCCGAAGGGCGACAAACGGGTTGGGATAGCGTTTTAAAGCTTCCACCCGCTTACGGTCAAAATGGAGTCAACATCTCCGAGGCTTTAGGCACCTCCTTCAGGACACAATTCGTTTTGGTACAGCAGAGCAAGGAGTCCTCCGCTATGTACACCCACAGTACCAGTCTCACTTTTCCTTCAATTCCCAAGATAGCTTCTGCCTTAGCCTACAGGCTGCGGATTTCAGCTGCCAAATGCAGAAATCCTTCTCTCGCTGTGCCAAACAGTGCCAGTTTTCGTGCTTAGCCAGCACCGATAGCACTCCCAAAGCTCGCCAGCCCGCCCGCATGTAGTCTCTAACATCCATGACATTGTCATCTGTAACCTTCCGCAAGAGCATTTCTGTAGTTGGTATGACTTCTGGTTCAGCAGCCGGCTGGATTTTGTGCCACAGACAGTCCGATCTTGCCTTCAGGTAGCTTTTTTTCTTAGGCGGCATGACTCCTCTTCAGAAGATTCTCTTTCGGATCTTTTCGTCATCACCCGAGTGAAGTTCTTCTGTGCTTCTGGCTGATAGTGTAGCACCGTTCTTTGAAAGGCCTTATGGTACGGTTTGCCGGACGGATATGCAACAACTGCAAAAATGTACTCTTAGGTGGTATAGAGCTGTGTATCAAAGCGACCAACTCTTGTTTGTGGCTTTTCCTGACCGGTTGGCACTGCCCTGAGGTGCGGATGATGGAACCCGCCATTTCCAGTCCGCGAAAGTCATGCTGTCTGATCGGAATCCTACGTCTCAGCCGCCATGACCAGTAGGGTTATCGAGATCAACCTGGTCGTCGAGAGTCTTGCTGTCACCTTTGGCGTGGCTTTAGCATCGTGCTCAGAGTTCCCTCTTGACGTAGGGCGTAATGTTGCTCGATGGTCATCTAGCGCCATAGCGTGGAAGGCATATTTGATCTGGGGTGTACATCCGTATTAGAGAAACTGCTCAGTATTCTTATACCGATCGCTTGTTAGGCAAGCCAGAGGACCACTGTGTAAAGCGCTCGCAATGTCGAAATCACCAATGTCCTCGTTCGAGACATCTTTGTAAAGTCAATCATCATACTCTAGAGCCACGGTAGCACCTTTGGCACGCCGACCCAGCATTATGGTTTCGTTAACGTTGATTGTCTCGAATTCAGCCTCTCTCGCAGTCACAAGGCTCTAGAATGTAAAAAAACAATCATGGACAGACAGCCCTTGGAGGGAGACTCGAGGACTACCTACAAAGAGCGTATATGAGTACCGGTAGAGAGTCGGTGCGAAGTGTGTCCGGCTCGGCCCGTGTGATTCGGGAGCCTGAGTCGCTGTTTGTACTCCGTAGTTTTACCACGGCCTATTCCCTGTGCGCAATCTGCAAGAGATCCAGAACCAAGAAACAGATTGATAATGATTCTCTTGTTTCATCAGAATCTCTCAGCTCGGAGAAACGCTTTCAGCAGAATTGAGCAGATCAATCAGTGAATAAGACGGAAAATATACTATCCCCATCTCCATATGACATATCTTGCTGCATCAATCGTCTAAGTGGCTACCCGAAGCATGTTTCAATGTAGCTGTGATCTGGAACTTTGTACAAGTTTATACGAGTTAAGCCATGCCCCGTCTACTCCCGTGCTCGGAGACCTTTAGGCCGGGGTAGGCGGAAACTTGTCCAAGGAACGTGGGGGTGGCCCCAGATCAAACCGCGGATAACTGGCCTTCGGGTCGGACATGCACCGAGCTGTACATTTGTTTAAATCACTTTCGTTGACCTCAACGGGTGGGCGTTTCCAGCCTCTCAAACCGTTTCAATCACACAGTCCACATAATTTCACTTGATTCCTTGTACTGCAGCAGAACAAACACAATGGCCTCCAGAGTTGCCGAACCCCGGAATCTCCGCGACCAATCAGTAGTTGCACATGGCTTTTGGCTCACGTATGTTTTCACCCCTCATTGCCCCTCATTTTCTGAAGTTTCCCTTCTCCGGGAATGCTTCTACTCCCAAGGGCATTCGACTCGCAAAGCACTTCTCAAGTCTCTTTACGGACTAATACTGCTTGTTTTTCACCGGTAGATTCCCTAGCGCTCCTCTCGCTAAAACCATTCTCCATCGTCCTACAACAGAAAAGTCCAGGTTTAGCTGGGTTCTTATTGATGCAGAGCATGGATTGATCACGGATAGAGATTATTACGAGGTAAATCTTCTCGGTCGAGCCGCCAGCTCACGCATACTGACAGTTCTCAAGCTCACCAATGCTGTCGCTTCGGAAGGAGCCGTCCCCATCATCAGAGTCCCATGGGGCGAGGAATGGATGATCAAAAGAGCCCTTGATGCCGGTGCTCATGGAATTCTCACGCCAATGTGTCACACTGCAGTACGTGAGATGCACGACCTCTCCTGATTGTTGCTACACGTTGCTGGGGAAAGCGAGGGGGGAAATGCCATACTAACACAGTATACTTTCCTAGGCTGACGCAGCCAACATTGTCAAATTCTCCAAGTACCCACCGCTTGGAACCCGTGGGTTCGGACCGCTGTTTGCCACTCACTCATTCTCGAGCGTACTTCCTGGAGATGATTACGAAGCGGTTTCGCAAAAAGGAATCATAGTTATGGTGCAGATCGAGTCGAAGTCCGGGGTTGAGAACGTAGAGGATATTGCCCGAGTTGACGGACTAGACGGCATTCTAATCGGTATGTCAAGACAGGTTCAATGACTTTCAAATGCTAACTTAGATCGCGCAGGACCTTTCGATCTCGCCAAGCAAATGAATGTTACCAGAGGCGGCGAAGAGCATGAGGCGGCCATCAAACGCATCTTGACTGCTACCAAAGCTGCCGGAAAAAGGGCTGCGATCTTTTGTAAACTCTACCCAATACCCCTTCGACCTTTGTATCTTGAGGTATGCTGACCGAAACGTCCTTTCATTTGAATTAGGTACTGGTGGTGCAGACGCTCGAGCTCGGATAGAACAGGGTTTTGATATGGTATCTGTCGTGACCGATGTTGGACTTTTGGGCGACGCGATGCAGCATGAGCTGGAGGTCGCTAGCGGCGAGAGAGAGATCGATGGCTCGAAAGCTACTGAGGCAGGATACTAAGCGATCATCCCAAAACTCATGATAGACCTTTGCTACTGATGATAGCGTCTTTCCGCGCAAGCCATAAGTCGATAGAGCGAAGCACATCTACGTAAAGGGCCTTTGTAATATGTCGTAGTACGAAGATTTCGCAACTCCATAGTGCCGCCGGTGAGAAGAAGTGAATACTTAAGCACGTGCTTAATATCTTGTCCTGCGCGAGGTAGAGTTATGCTTCTGGGGATACGGAGTAGATAACGTAAATACTATGTGGTTATCGAATCAAGGGCGCCTGATCGATAATTGTGGTATGTGCCTTAGGCATCACAGTCATGACTTTCCATTTGTGCCGTTCTCATTTGCATTAACATTTCTCTACCCTTGATAGTCGAGATTGCTTCCTCCTAGCATACCTTCGTTGGATGACTGGTCTTCTAATCCTGCGCCGTATGCATTCTAGCAGCAATGGCTCAAAAGGGATGTTACCTTCTTTCTTGGCTTTGTGTGAAGGCGACAACGATTGTAGATTGTACCGGGGGTTAGGCGGTGGCCGATGAGGTCAGCGCCAGTTCTCCGATCATCATCTGCTCTTGCCCTTCCCCGGACTCCAGCAATCATACTGCAATTATTCCGACTACTCCCTTCTGCTCAGCGCGGATGGCTACCTTCCTTGGTTGCTAGGATGAACACTCGACAAGTCATTGACGAATCAGTAGGGCCATACTCCCTGTCGGCCTCTTTCAATAATGAGAATACATGCTTTGCTGTAGGGTTGGACACCGGGTTTTGTGGTAAGCTGTTTCACATGCGCCGCTCTCCTCCTGTCGAGCTAGCACTGACTTCGGATCTCACTGAACAGTCTTGAAGACCGACCCATGTGAGCTAACCGTCTCAAGAGGTACTCAGCATTAACCTATTCTTTCTCCTGATCTGCTACTCGATCACACAAGTTACATTTTGCTAATGACTGCCCGAACATTTTACAGATTTCAACGCCGGCATTGGTCTGGTGACCATGCTCGGTCAGTCGAGATACCTCGCGATTATCGGTGGAGGAAAGCAACCCAAGTTTCCTCAGAATAAGGTGCACACAGGCTTTGCCCCGACGTGTTCGGTTTGAGATAAATGCGGTGAATACAAACTAACGGGCGCGGTTCCTGGCAGCTGGTGATTTGGGACGATGCGAAGCAAAAGGCCGCCATTACACTCGAATTCCGCACCTCGGTCCTGGGTGTCCGCTTATCAAAATCGCGGATCGTCGTCGCGCTCTTGAACAGTGTCCACGTCTTTGCTTTCTCAATCCCTCCGCGGAAACTTTCCGTATTCGAAACAACGGAGAATGCTTTAGGTCTGGTTTGTTTGGGAGAGAAGCTGCTCGCCTTTCCAGGTCGGTCTCCCGGACAGGTTCAGCTAGTTGAACTTGAGACCGGCAATGTTAGCATAATCCCAGCACATGCAAACCCCCTGCGCGCGATGACTCTAAGCTCAGATGGCGAGCTTTTGGCCACGGCCAGTACATCGGTAAGACATTCAAGCCTCGCGTACTTCCATCAGCTTCTCGATCTGACTATGTACAACTTTCCTAGGGTACTATGATTCGGGTCTATTCTACCAGTAACTGTACGAGGATAGCCGAGGTTCGCCGGGGAATCGATGAAGCAGTGGTATTTTCAATTGCTATATCACCTTCGAATGCTCTGCTGGCTGTGACATCCGACAAATCGACCTTACATATCTTCCACCTGCCCAAGGACGAAGGCCCAAATCCAAAATGGGGATTTCTTTCCAAGGTTCCTGGGCTCCCCAGGCTATTCTCCGACATATACTCATCAGCCACTGCACATTTCGAGATATGCCATGACGCGCCAACTGGATCGGCCTATGTGCCGCCTTTGGGTAATTCGCTCGGACCAACCTCCAAGGGTGTCATTGGCTGGCGCGATGATAGGACCATCATCGTTGTCGGCTCTGGTAGGGACGGGCGATGGGAAAAATTCGTTCTTCATGAAGGCGACGACGGAAAGCTTTATTGCACCAGGACTGGTTGGAAAAGGTACCTGGGAGGGGGCTAAGGGACGCGTACCCGTTCGGTTCACGAAAGGACCTTCTTGACACGTTCGTGGATTGCTTTTCTGCGGTTTGGCCAAACAAGTCACCATTCCCGTTGCAGGCAACGATTATACCGCAGAAATCTCTCCAGGGCCAAGTTCAAGATGCGTTCTCAGACTTGGATCCTATAACGGACTTCCCGAATGGTAGTCTCATTGACTGACAGAAAGTGGCTTTTGACGAGCGCAGTGCCCTTGATAAATGCTTGGTGGCGTGTTTGTTGTCTTGGAATGATCTGAATAGAGACGTGTCCTTTCTTAATTAGTATAATTCATAATTAGACGGCCTTGATTGAAACCATTAACGATATCGTTCTTCTCGCTCTCTGTTGCGCCTCGGCTCTGGTGACATAGACGTGACCGGTGTTCTGTCTCTGTGGGATCTGTCTCTTCTTGATGGCGAGCGTTCTTTGCGCGAATGAGGTTCCCTCGCTGGCGATCGACGATCCTGATGCCTTCTCTCTCGTGAACGCGACCGGTCGTCGCCATGTCGACGACGATGGGAACGATGATGACGACTTGATCTCTCTCGGCTATCTCGTCTACGCGAAGACTTCTCACTTGAGCGAATTCTCTCGAGTGCCCGAGCAACCTCTTCTTTCTTTTCCTGGACGAGGAACTCCTTTATTGGATCCTCTTCATCGTGAGTCTTGATCAGTTCCTCCAATTCGAGTTCTTCCTTCAGCTTCGGGCGTAGAACGGGCTTTTCTTCTCGTGGTTCACTGGCCCGTCTCTTCCTTCTTGTTCCCCGGTCATCGTCAGTATCTCGGTGATCAACAGCATTGCCACCGGCCGAATCCCCCATGAGTCTCGCGACATTGTCCGTTTCCTCCTCGTCATCTCGTCGCTTGTAGCGAGTGTGGTCCACGCGCAGGACTCTCCCCAAGACGGTGGCACCGCCAAGATTATCAACTGCTAGATCTGTACTGCGTTGATCCTCGTACTTGAGAAAGGCGAAACCTCGACTCTTCCCGGTCTCCTTGTCGCGGATGAGGTTCAGATGGACCGGTTCGCCGTACTGAGAGAAAATGGTGAGAATGTCTCCCTCGGAAAGGTCGAAGGGTAATCCTCCAATGTATATGTAGGCAGTATCGCGATAGTCGGCATGCCAGGAGGCCTCCGGGGGTCTGCAACGCGGTTGAAATTCCGCTGGTCAGCAACTGGACGACTGAGACAAGAGAGAAGGGACGGCGGAAGCGATTGAGGCACCTACACAGCATTCTCAAGCTCCCGCTTGTTCAGCGCTTGAACCTGACGGATATTATTCATGGTCGATGAAGCAGATTATTAGCACAGCAGCCCTTTGTTCAATCCAATCGGTTTATGGACTCTGAAGGGTTTAGGATTGGAAAGTGACGTGACGAGGAAGAAAAAAGCCGGCGGCGTGGTTGTGGTTGCACTCGCGAGCTTGACCGCGGGAAGGTCCCCACCTGCGAAAGATGACCGACAGTCCCAAACTTGTGGGTTAATTGTTTACAAGCTAGAAAAGAATAGCCAAACTGCTCATCCTCCTCCGCTTGGCTCGGCCCAATACAACACAATACGACAACAAAGACAACGAGAACGACGCTTTAGCAATCGTGCCGAAAATTCGACGCCTATCGCATTCTCGATTCGATTCCAATTTTCGAGAAAGAGAAACCTTTGGGCTCTTTGTGGTCCCCGCCCTCCCCGAGATCTGCGGCCAACGCCAGATTCCCCTGATCCCCAGTGCCGATAAACCATCCCACCAACCGCTCTGCTTTCCGCACCCTACGCGTCATACTCAACCCCTGCGCTAGAGTCGCTGCCTCTGATTGATCGCGAATGAACTGCGACAGCTGAGCATGGTCGAACTTGGATAGACAATGTCAGCGTCGAGCCAGCATTTAGGGTCCCGGTTCGGGACCGGCAGCAACAACAGTCGGCCATCCAGCAAAGATGGCACCAAGAAGAATATTTGGTCTTCCATGTTAGATAGCGTCGCGAATGGAAAGCGACTCCCAGAAAAGAATCTTTTGATCTTAGGTTCGGAACCCCATGTTTTCTTGAGCTCTGCACCCGCCGTGGCCGTGCACCGGTGTATCTCTCGGTCAACATTTTGCTGATTGACCGTAATCATAATCCAGGCGGCACACCTGAGAGCCAACGCGAGTTTCTAGACACTCTTTCTGCCGACGCTTCAGATCCTAACCTGTCGACTAATGAGAGGCGGAAAGGAAGGGCACCACCGGTGGCCAACCAGTTTGCCTTAGGATATACCTATCAAGATGTGCTGGACGCTGATCACGAAGGTATGTTCCTTGTTCTTGGTGGAACTTAAGATACTCTGCTCGCCTTGCCAATTCATTTCTGGGCTGGCTAAATCCTGCTCCCTGTGGGGAATTAGATATTCTGGCACGTGTTTCCGCATACCTACTGTCTGAACCCTCCATCTCCTTCGCGCCCCTCCTCAAGCCGCTCCTGACCGCACAATCGGTGCCGGAAACCTTGGTTGTGATACTCCTAGATTGGTCAGATCCTTGGACATGGGTTCGTCGACTGCGCGAATGGGTGCGCCTCTTGAGACATGTGCTTATATCACTCGACGATGAGACGAAGATGGCCATGGAGGAGAATATGACTGAATGGAGGGATCGGAAACGAGGCACGGATCCAAGTTCGGCTGGCGCGCAGGGTCTTGCCAGTTCCGGAGGCCCCGCCACAATACCTCTCGGTCCTGGCGAATGGGATGAAGGACTTGGTATACCAATGTGTGTTGTGTGCCAAGGGGTGAGTTATCCGAAGTCTCCGGATCGCATTGGTGCTCGACAAAAGCTAACGTTGTTCTTGCCAGGCTGACAAGATTGAGAAGCTGGAGAAAGACCACGGCTGGCACGAAGAAGAGTTTGATTTCATTCTTCAATTTATGAGAACATTGCTTCTGAAACGTATGAATTTTCCCTATGTCCGGGGTCACGATTCTAATTCGCAGTAGATGGCGCGTCATTGGTTTACACCACACCGTTCCTTGCCAACTCCCTCCAAAGCTTAATACATTCATCCCTCGGAATCCACTCATTACTGAAGCGGCAGTCATTCAAACACAACGTGATCGATCGGGATAAAATCCTCGTTCCGTCGAATTGGGATTCATGGGGCAAAATCAGGATCATCCGAGAAGGATTTGACATGGAAGGCATATCCACAGCCTGGTCAATTGAGATCCAGGATCCTCCAGAGCTGATCACGAACGACCCGGGTGACAGCGATTTGGATGATGAGCCGGCCGACGACGGCACCAGCGCGGTCGCGATCTTTGAGCAGACTATCAAGGACCCCAAGCGGGACACGTCGATGGCTCACCCCAGTAACCAACAAAACGGGACCAAGATTGAAGTCGAAACGTCAGACATGCAGACGTTCCTTACAAAACAACTCGATGTTTTGGAGCAACTCAAATTAGAAGACGAGAAGGACCGTACAGCGAAGCAGGTGCCGCAACTGGAGATGTCACCGCTTGACGATAACGGCAGGGTCAACGAACATATCGGACCGGTGCAATTTAATATGGGTGGTATCCAAGTCGACGCCGATGATATGCTCCGCAAACTCAAGGTCAGTAGTAGATTCTTTGCTTTCTCGAACCACAACCACCCTTCAACCCCGCCATCAGAAACCATTTACGAACCAGTCAATCGCCTGACCCATACGTACTTTACAGGAACGAGAAGCTAGCCGTTCCCAAAAGAAGGAAGTCCCTTCGTCCACCGGTGACGAGAAAGCACACAACCAAGCGCTGGCCAACTTCTTCGCTGGTCTAGTCAAGAAGCCCGGCACTACCGGCAGCCCCCGCGGAAGTCCTTCGTCGTGAAATCAGCATGTGAATCAGTGATTAACTAACTGTTCAAGCTGGCGAAGAGGGTCTCGAATCTGTAATAACAGTCTCTTTCCCCACACCCTTTGCAGTCTATACTAAGTACATATTGAGATCGTCTTCCGGCGGTAGATGGATTGGCTATTGTGTTTTTCTACTATTCTCAGGTTGATCTTGCATGCCGAGATCTTCTTGTTTCGTGATACCAAATTGGCTTGCGGCTGGAACAAGGAGTCCAAATAAATATCGCTCGTGACTGGCAAAGACCCAGCAATGGAAGACTCGGTACGGAGGAACGTGAACTCGACTCTCTGTGCTCGCCCTCTAGGATGTGGGGCGGAGGAGGTATGGTGATTTCGTTGTCAATTGACATGATATAAATCATGGGCGCAGTTCTGGAGTCTAGCATTGCTGTGGATATCAATTCAAGCTAATTGTGTTCGTATCAGGGTGGGTTTAAATGTATCGGTACTTGATAAGCGGAGGTGGTCCGGTCCACCTTGGGCCTGCACTAAAGACCTGATCACTGATTATTCTGGCGTTTCCATCACAAAGAATTCATTAATACTTTAATGACTATTACCAAAGTTCTAAGAAATCCAAACAAGTCACATCAGTACCATAACAAGATGTCACATAATATTACACCACTGAGCCGGTCTTTATGTGTGAGCCCAGTGAAACTATAGATACCTTGTCCACAGAAAAAGCGAGAAAAGGGACAAAGTGAAAACACCCAGCCCTAGTGAAATCGAAACGGAGCTCGAACCCATCACCAATACTCCCATACAAGATCCGGCAGCACAGTGCGCATTATCTGCCAGTGCTCGAGCGCCGACCGATCCTGATACTTATGCAGCAAGTGGGTTTCGCGCGAAGTCAATAGTCGACGACCATTGGGCGGAATCACCTCGAACTGCGCGGGATCGACTTCGTGTTTGGGGAGCAGGTGGTTCTCGCGGAATTTGCTGCCCAGGAAGTCCTTTGCTTGAGGCTGTCGGAAGCGAAGCGACGTCGCGGCGCTCTTCTTGCAGAAGATGACCATATTGGTGAAGTCGTTTGTCAGGTCATCTGATTCAGAAGATTCGCGGAAGATGCGGCAGGTGGGGAAGACGGCTTGGATGGTGCGGATAGTGAGGGCGGCGGGGTAGAGACTGATATCGCCAGCGTAGTTCTATGATGGGAATTAGATTTGAAAAGTGGTTATGCATGAGGCAAGACAATGGGAGTCCTTACGAGGGCGATGACTCCGTCCTCTTTGAGGAGGGAGGCTAGTCTCTCAATGAATTCAATGGTGAAGAGCTCAAGGGGCTCGGCGCCACCAGTGAAGACGTCATGGACAATGTAGTCGTACTGGGCCTCGGGAGACCGCTCCACGAACGTGATGGCGTCTTCGATGACAGCAATGTGGTTCGAAGGGAGGTGGAAGTATTCCAGCGCAAATCGGTGCACGACGGGGTCGATTTCTACAATGGTTGTCTCAATGCCGTGTTCAATCAGGGCTGAAGGCGTGGTTCCAACACCCAGACCGCTATATGGGATTAGCACGGTATCCATATATCTTGCTGAGACCTGGACTTACATGACGAGTGCCTTGCTGTTGGCATCCACACGGGGTTCCCCGTGGTCGGTCTCAACAAGACGAACGGCTTCCAGCATAGTAAAGACGGCATAGATCGGATCTAAGGTAGCAGGACTGTAACCGCGCGGCATTTTGGTCCACTGGCCTCCCAGCAGGCTGTGGTCGCATCTCATGACGCGGAAGCCGTCGTTCAGGTTATCGAGAACCGAGATGTAGCCCGTGTTCGAATCTTGGCGTGCAACAAGCGCGAATCCCTCATCATTGAGATATGAGTTCAAAGTTCCATCACTGAGATGCACGTTGGAGGTGACAGAAAGGAGCAGGGAGGGAATTGCGAAAATAAGGAATTTGGAGGGGATGGCGACGGAGTACAAGACGGGCAGCAAGAGCTGCAAACCAGCGCGAGTGAAGAGGATCGTCGAGCCAAGAAACTTTGCCAGAAACGCCTTGGCGAACTTCTCACCAATCTTGTAGATTACATACGATGAGACGAGAGGGACGTGCTCTGCAACGGCCTCGCCATGTCGGCTTAGATCCAGCCCTGACTGCACCAGTTTACCAGCACAGGCGACAGAAATGATAACCAATGGATAGTAGGCAGCGATCTCAGTGAAGATGGGACCAACAGGATTACCCAAGACCGAGCTCGATGAGAACAAGAACGTCTGAATGGTTGGAATCCAGAAGGCCACGACGGGGATGAAATAGACGGCCTTCCGGCCGGAAAGTCGCTGGATGTGATCCTTCATGAACCATCCCACAGCGGCCACGATGGCAACTCCATAAGCATGGAAGACATGTGTGCCATGAGTACCGTAGACAGGGGCCAAAGTCAGAACCGTCAAGGGCGAATAGAACGCAGTGAGGACAAGCAGTGCTGCGCCGGTCACCAATTGTTTGGTGGTGGGTCGTTGCCAAAGGGCAGCAAGAGAAGCCATGTTGTCTGATTTCGGGAAGTATGGGATTGAGCAAAACAGTAGAGAGATGAGTGACCTTGAAGCTGGCCAAGGCTAATTGAGCCACGGAGGTATCCTGCGCGTGCTTGTCAGCAAATCCAAACCAGTTAACCTCGAGCTATCGCTTTATTTTTTTCTTTGATTTTTCCCCCATTTGGTTTAGAGAGCAGGGGCACATTGTGGACCAACCCTCACCCACAAGCACACGATGGCAGGCAACAAGGCCAGATAGGGAATAGGCAATGAAGACGACGAGCCTTACCTTTATGTTATGAGATCAAGGATCAGGTAGCCATAATCTGTCATCCACCTCGGGGAAATTGAGGATGTAGACAAGATGTTGTTCTTCGTCTCTTCCGCGGAGACTCAATGACGGCAGGAATTAATCTGCCACCCGCCGCTCTCCGCTTTTCTCTCTCTCCGCTTCCCCCTCCCCCTCTTTGAACTAATTGTTTCCTGCCTTCTTACTCTCGCCCAGACAACTTGACTATCAGAGCATTAGTACTTCGGTCTATATTCAGGCTTGACGCTTAATTTCGCAATGGGGATCACGTCAACCACGCCAGGCACGGAGGCAAATGACGCCTCCAACACCGTATTCACTTCCACGACCATCAAAATCAAGAACCGTCGCAAGCGTTACCTGGACCTGCACCCAGAGTACTTTTCTACCGATCTCGAGCTAGCTGGTCCGCTTGCGCTATCTTCCTTCCTTGCTTTTAGGCCGACAATCTATTTCAGGCCGGTCGTCATGTAGGATAATTGTCAAGCTAACATCAGCATCACAGACCCTTTGCTCTATGATCGTTTGATTCGCCGTTTCCAGACCCCCGCTGAAAGAGAGGCTGAAGGCCGAGCCAAAGGATTTTCCGGGGTACTCCAAGCAGACCTTTGCCGCTCGGAAGCTAAATTCGAGGCATTAAACCATCCAGACCCTCGTGCCATGTTCAGCTATACACGTGGTCCGAACGGGGAGATCCTCGCTGAGGACAGGGACGATATTCCGCCAAGCAAAGAGGAAGGCGAAAAGCTTTGGCAGTGGGAGATGACCATGCGGTTTCTGCGAGGCGAGGACGCGGACTTCGACTACCCGACGGTCGACGATAACGATGAATATGACGATTGGAATGAGGCACAAGAACAATACTTTGAGGACGAAGAGCCAGAATGGGTTATCGAGGGAGAAGGAAGTGGGGATGTTGCCTCTCGGCTTCAAGGTGAGACTGGAATTCAGGACTTCTGAGCCAGTCGCTTTGATGTTCTTGATATGCTGAGAGTCGGACTCATCGTGTCTCGGAAACTGCCGGCTTGTCCCTGACTTTCACTTCATCAAACGAACTCTCTAGTGCTTCCGGCCTCCATAACGTGACGCGGATGTGCGGTCCGCAGCACCGTCTCGTTGTCCGCTACATATTTATGTGTAGGTGCCGTTCTCAGCGGAAGTTGACAAAGCCCGACGATTTGTTCTTGTCAACAAGGTTCTTCCGAGGTCTACTGGGATAGAACAACCTCAAACGTCTTGGAAGCCAGTCTGTTGTTGCCCCGGACCACGTTCCTTATTTCAGGGGGATAGTGGCTACGTCGCAGGGTTGCTATGCGGGTAACAGACCAAGATCAGTACTCGGGTTCCTCCACAGTCCGCTGATGAGCAGGCTGTGGCGGGGCTCGATTGCCAACCTCCCGCAAGCTTCTTTAGACCTCATGGTATCAGAGCTCGGATATCGCTCCGTTGGCTGGACTGATGTAGTAATTTCACTCGCCCGGCGTCATTTACTGAAAAGGCTGATAACGAACCATGGGTTCCCAAGAATAGTCGGCTAAGGAATCCTCCATATGGAAGCTTCTACCAAGCTGCTATCCTACTGTACTATAGCCAATCAAGCATACAGATTAGTGCATATACCCTGACAGCCTTCAACCAAGAAAAAAAAAAAAGGAACACAAGGACAGTTACTCTTTGATGCTGCCAGAAGACTATAATATAAATCCAGAAGGCATCAAATGACCTGCTCATGGGGCTTATCCTCGACTGTATCGTGTTTTGTTTGAATGAGTGTCGTCTTTGAACAATGGTTACGAGTCACGGAACTCTCTTCCGGGGACTGCATGTTCACGATGCTGTCAAGCATGGTTTGCAGCCACCATGGCCACGGTATGACCCTCGGTCTGCCCAGTCTATGTGGCTTGACGCCGGAAGCCATATTAGAATATGAGATAATACAGCTGTCATAAGCTTTATGACTCTTCTTTGATCGAAGCTAGTCCCTTCGTTTTCCTCCTTCTGTCCCTCCTCCTCTCCTGCAACCTTTGCTCTTGTGTGCATTCAGCAGCAATTTTTTGCTCGCCTGAAGCACAGCCCATCTTTTTCCAAATCCTCATTCAATCACTCATTCATTTGTTTTAAATAACGATTCTCTTATCAGTCATCTCATTGACATTCATCCATTCTGTCATTGACCCAGTGTATCATCCATCTTTTCTACCGCGTCGTCCTCTACATACTCTCTCTTTGCCCGAAAGATCACTCTCTACACTGCTGGGTATTCAGTTTCTGCAAGCACAAGACACAGGCACTGTCTACCGTGCATTATACAATAATCCGTTATTACCTTCGACGGTGCTTTTGAGCACCATTCTCGTCATTACCACCACTATCACCACCATCAGCATCATCATCATCACTTTCTGTACCAGTCCTCTCGTTCTCAGATAGCAGCTTCATCACGATGATGAAACTGGCCGCTGGTTCCGCCTCGGCTCACCACGCCATGAGCCCAAAGTCGAGCAGGCCGAGCTCGTTCTCGATGATTTCCCCTTTAGGCATGAAAAGCAAGGCAAGCAGCTTGCCTGTGAAGACGAGCGCCTCCTCCTCCTGCTCTGACGGGGAGGAGTTGCAATGGATCATATTCGAAGTCGAAGCCCCCAAGCTCTCGGAGCGTCGCCTCGAGCTCCTCAAGGGGGCCTCACTCGGCACCGGCGCCTCTGCCTCCGTCCACGAGGTCTTCTACCAAGATGCCAGGACCGGCAAGACGAGCATCTACGCGGTCAAGACGATTTTCGATGAGGGACACGGGGCCACGTTGCGGCGCGAGTTCGACCTCGGCTATCACCTCCGCCACCCGCACGTCCTGCGCATCCATGCGCTGGGCCGGTGTGAGGAGGATCGCAAGCCCAGCTGCCTGATGGAATACTGCGGCCATGGGGACCTCTGGGGGCTGATCTACGATGTGCCGACGCCGCCGGACCTGGGCTGCGCCATCGTCCAAGCCCATCAGCTGTGCCTCTTCAAGCAGCTCCTGCTGGGGGTATCCTACCTGCACCGCCAGGGCATTGCCCACCACGACATCAAGCCTGAGAACCTCCTCCTTTCGAGCGCCGGACTCATCAAGCTGGCCGACTTTGGCCACGCGGTCATCTTCCGCGATCCGGAAGACCCGTCCGGTGCATGCGGACGCATAGACCCCTTCAAGTCGCTGCTCCTGGGCACCGCGTGCTACCTCCCGCCCGAGGTGTGGGAGGCGTCCCCCTATGACCCTCGCGGGGTGGACGTGTGGTCTTGCGCGCTGACCGGGCGGCAGATCCTGGGGCTTCAGAGCACCCCGTGGGAATGTGCCTCGGAGGAGAAAGATAGGGCTTATGGAACGTTCCGACAAGGGTGGCAGCACTTCTGGGATGCGATATCGGGAGGAATCCCCGCCCGGGTCACCGAGGTCGACTGGCCCTATTGCGGCCGCGGTTTCAAGGTCAAGGAATATCCGAGCTACGGGCTGCTGCGGGTCGTGCTCGCTATGCTGCACCCCACCCCCGGTTTTCGGCTGACAATCGATGAAGTCTTGATGGACCCGTGTGTTGAGCAGATTCCGTGCTGCTCGCCCGTCGTTCCCGACAACATTCGGGCAGAACATGATCATCGTCCCCTGTCTCCAACGGCGAGATTGGACTCGGGCATGGTTCAGGGCAAGGGGCAGAAGGACGGTTGGTGACCTTGCGACTTGATCCGGGTGGGCGGTACAGGTTCTGCTCTGGGGTGGGGGTGACACGCACGAAGTCTTCATGCGTTGCTTCTTGGAGATTTTGGATTTCTCGACATCATGGTTCATTGAATCGAAGAGAAAAATCGTGCTGGATATACTAGCATCAGTTTGTTCTCGGAAGCATATCACGGAGCGCGGGAGTCTTTGGTTATCGAGAAAAACTGTTTGATCCATTAAAACGAGGCATTTTGCTTATATACGGGCAAGGCTCATGGGTTTATACGTGTCTACCTACTATGTACTTAAGACGGAAGCTCGCGCCTGTCGCATTTTGCTCTTTTAACGATTATACCCCAGCCGCGTTTTCAATGAAAGTATTTCTCAATCATGAGTGAGATCAAGGACTGTCGGCTGTAGATATCTGTTACCAAGAGGGCCCTTTCAAGTAACCGCTTGTTGTTCGTTTGGCCATTTGCCAGCCACTCAAGTGTATTGAGAAGACTTGTACATACAATGTACATGATTATCCGGATCACGCTCAATCCAATCTGGACCCAATGCTAGACATTAAAACATCTCCCCGTTACCGAGACAATGGTGTAAGTTCCGTTGTTGAAGGGGTCAGGCCGTCAAGCGAAACGCTTCTTCCTCTCCTCCAGGAGCTCCACCGCAATCTCGCGAAGCTTGAATTTCTGGACTTTCCCACTAGCAGTTTTTGGAAATGAGTCTGCGGCAGGCAGGAAGAAGACGTATTTTGGAACTAGTATATAGATTGTTTAGCAATGTTCAGCATGCCCTGAAAAAAAACGCCGAAGAGATACGCACCAAGATGATTGCTTAGCTTCTCATTGACAAAGCCTCTGACCTTCTCCTCCGTAGCATCCGCATCTTGAGGATTCCGATGTATGATGAATGCAGCCACAGCCTCGCCATATCTCGGGTCTGGAACCCCAACGACTGACACATTCAAGACTCCGGGGTAGGCAAGAAGGCAGTTTTCAACCTCCAATGGGTGGATATTCTCTCCGCCGCGAATGATAAGGTCCTTAACACGGCCCGTGATCGTGACATACCCGTCCGGGGAGATGATTGCTTCGTCACCGGTCTATATTCAGGGTTAGTCACTAATGCTGAAGCACAGGGGCAATGAGAGGTCCAGTAGGCAATCCTTGACCTACATGCATCCAGACTTTGCCGTTCTCATCTGGTATCATCACCTCGGCTGTTCTTTTAGGGTCATTCCAGTATCCCTTCATTAGGAGGTAACCGCTGACAGCCAATTCCCCGCGGACATCCACGGGCACAATCTTGCGGTGGTCGGTAAGGTCAACCACTTTGGCCTCCACGTGGGGTAACAGGGTGCCAACTGTGTGGATGCGCTTGTCAATCGGGTCGTCGGTTGTGGTCATGGCGGAAACCGGGCTAGTCTCAGTCATTCCGTAGCAAATGGTGAGTTCGGTAAGGTTCAGGACTCGGTGAAGCTTCTTCATCAACTCGGCTGGAATACTGCTTCCGGCTGCAATCCCAGTCCGAAGGAATTGGAATCCTTCGGACGGGATTTCGCCGCTCTCGAGCAAACTGAGTTCCTCCAGAAACATTGTGGGAACCCCGTACAGGGCTGTACATCGTTCTTCTTGGACTGCTTGAAGAGCAGCCTTAGCGTTGAAGGCCTCCGTGGGAAACACAATGGCGGCACCGTGGGTGGCCGTTGCCATGTACCCTAGCACTGAACCAAAGCAGTGGAAGAGCGGCGGGGGGCAGCAAACAATATCGTGAGGGGTGAGGCGCATTCGATCTCCTATCTGAGAACCATTGTTCAGGATTGAGCGGTGGGTCAGGCATGCGGCCTTGGGCATTGCAGTTGTCCCGGACGTGAATTGAATGTTTATAATGTCATCTGGCGACAAGTGCCGCGGTGGTAAGGAGCTCCCATCAAACGCAGCATCAGATATTAGGGAGGAGTATGGCGTCAGTCCCTTCAATCTCGTGCCATCAAAGCGACCAGAAGTATTGTCGACGACAATGATATTCTTCAGTGATGGAATGAGTTCTGATTCTAGCTTCGGGCTCGCAAGATCCGCCACGATGCTCTCAAGAAGCGACACATTGCTCCGTGGAGGTTTTCGCGGCAAGTTAGACTCCGCACTGACCATCAGATGGCTTGTATCGAGATGGCTTAAAGCTGATACCAGCTGAGCGATGTTGAATGAGGGATTTATCGGCACCTAAACCAATGTTACAATCATGTTCTTCGAGCTATAATGGCGCACTGCTCACTAGAATCGCTCCTAATTTGAAGAGTGCATAAGTGACCTGTACTAGCCTGGTAAGCTACCGCGAATCATTTGCTTCAGTCAGGTATTGTGCCGAAGGCCGGTTGCATACGATGGCGTATTCCATAGAGTTTCCCAGCATGACGCCGACTCGGTCTCCTCGCTGTACCCCGATCGACTCCAGGCCCCTCGCCAACGCATTGCTTCTGGCGTCTAGGGCAGCATATGTTAGTCTTGCGTCTTGATGCTTGGAGATCACTCTGGTGTTCAGTCCTGGTTAGCGTGGTGTAGAAGCCCCGTTAAGTGTTGTCCTGTACGTACGCTGTACGGTCTCCATGTAGCTCGACAACCCTAGTAAAGTGGTCGCCAACCGTCAGTTCCAACAACGGAGGCTTCAGTCCTCAAAGGTTAACTGTTGACTTCTGCAACATAGCGCTCTCGAGGGAGATCAGGCCTCATACCTCTGATGAGCCACGGGCATAGCTTTCAGTCAGAAGTCCGCGTTGCCTAACTCGAACCGCTGATTGGTGGGCCCTTGGAAGACATTGCAACCTCCAAGGGTGATTGCGGGTGAGCACCCTCATGCGATACATTGGCAACACAGCTCGTGATGGAGGGACGCTATGTCAGGTCTGTGGTCGGTGGAAGACGTCGCGTTTTAAAACCCCCTTCACCCCTTGCTTCAAGGGCGACAGTGGTACAGGGGAAGGGAGCTGGTGCGGATTAGGATAGAATTTGGTTTGCAGTCTACAGAGGTGATACATATATGGTACCTGAGAAGCAAGAATGTAGCTTTTGAGATCAAGTCCATGAAAAGAATTGAAAAGAAGAAGTGAATGAAGGAAGAAGGGGGAAAGAGAGCTGAAGTGACATGGAGTTGTTTCCCCCCACGTGTTGCGATGCAATGCGGAGATAAAATGCGGGGTTGTGGCTGTCTTCCCAAATGGGGATCGGCAGAAGCACATGACTATTTGATATGTGAATTCTTCAATTGAATCATATAATTCACTCCTATTTGGAGTAGCTGAGTATATAAGTACAGTCCCTAGCTTCCCTCAGCCACTCAGCTCTGTGAGTTCTGATGCTTGAACCTCCATCGGATTCATATCGTCTTCGTCCTCGTCACTAGTGTCATCTTCAGGAAGATAGTTGTGGTCTGTACAATCATCCTCCTCCATCATAGTAGGATCCTTGCCGGCTCCATCATTCTTCTCATTCGGCTCATCTTCTATTTCCATGCTGTAGTAGTGCGTTTGATCCGAAATACGTGCCTCTTTGTTTGTCTCTGTTGGTTCATCCACCCGTTCAGACTCGATCTCTCTTTGCTTGATCTCGCTCTTGGAATAACAGTTTGGCGCCCCACAGAGACATTCTTTGTCTCGCCAATAGAGTCTCCCATAGTTCACGGTGAGCTCTTCAAACATGTCGATATCCCGCTCGGCCTCGATAGTCATGGCAGCGCGATTCCCGAAAGTCCTGCTGCCAAACGCGGTAGATGCGTCGCATGAATGATTGATGAACCGTGTCCAGTTGCCCATGATAGAGGCGTCGATCGTCACCACTCTGTGGCTGGCAGGATCATGGGACTGCCAATCGAGAGCATATGTATTGTCCTCGGGGCTATTGTAGGGGAGGAGCCTTCCGAGATACTCGCCCAGAATGTCTCCCTTGCGGAATGGCCACAGGGCGCGCACGCCAATGCCCCGATTCTCCGTTTCGAAGAGCTCCATCAACTCCCCCGGCATCGACTGTAGCCGGCATCGGCAGACCGAGGGCGATCCACAAAAGTCACAAGACCCCAGGTCATATCGACTTTCAGTGCGCAAGGTGTGATTCACCGGGTAGTAGTCGCCCCCATAGAATTTGGACGCCCGGAACCAGTCCGCAGGGTCGAAGAAATTCTTGAAGATATTGTGCTGGCGCCAGTTGCGGTAGTGGGGTCTCCGGACGCCTGCACGTCGGGGGTGGACAACCCGCTCGTGAGGATGGAGAGCCCAGAATTTCCCGACGATCTGCAACGCATCCTCCATGTAGCGGACGTTGTCGTTGGAGTACGGCAGCAGCAGGCCGCGCCAGTCGATGTTGCGCACACGGCCGTAAAACTCCAGGCTGTTCGTGTGGTATTTGAGGGACGTGAGCACGGCCGCCCGCACACTGCTGCTGTTGACGTCGTCATTCCTGTAGAGGATGCGCCTAAAGGCCTCGGAATAGGCGGCGATGGCGAGCCCTTCCCATCCGGTCCACTGCACCAGGTCATCGAGCTCACTCGAAGCGGTTAAGCCGTCGGCGGTATGAAACCCTCCATGGTCCAATTCTTGCATCATATTCACGGCCTGACCAATGAAGTCTGCTGCCTTCCTACACTCTTGCCAGTAGAGCTTGCGCTCACTTGCACTGGATGTTTTCTCCCGCACGCGTTTGCGCACCTTGCCGATGCGGTTGAGGTCATAGTAAATCTGTCCCAGCACGGTTGCTCTCTGGGCCCGGACAGACCCTAGCGAGGATGAATCCGGTGAGCCACGCGCTGGGGCTTTTGCTATTGTTTCCCTTCGAGGAGTCGGTAAACCGTTGTCTGAATCTGAATTGCTTTGAAAGCCCATATTACTTACTATGGGCTGGCGTCAAATTGCAAGCTAAGAACTGGAAGAATTGAGTTTCTGATAAAAGCCCTAGAGGGACTCTCAAAGTCTGTGTTCATAGTAATGACAGCATGTCTTGCTGCCAAAGGCACGAAATACTCGAGCTTTATGTACATCGTTCATCTGTACAGGTCACTTGTGCCTCGGCGTGATCCTATGATTGTCCCGCTCAAGTCCAATCATGAAAGATCACCGCACTCTCGGGGGGATAACCTCTGGCTTTGTCTACAACATATTTTTGGCACCTGGTATCAGGTATCATTATTGTTCTATGAAGAGGGTTGCTCCGAATGCATCCAGGTCTCTTTGTACTATTACAAGCTACCAAAAGAATGTCCTTTTGTCCCTTGCTGAAACCGACCAGGCGCACAAAGGCTTTTCATAACAATAGCCCAGTCCCGATGAAACAAGTCAAGGAGATGGGAACCCTCAAATGGGTAATGATGATAGTTGCAAAAGATTCCTCGTGTGGCGTCAACCATAATTCAGAGCGTCGAATAAGAGATGCAAAAAAGTGGACTCGATCGTCTTTCGAATCAGATATGTACAACTGGTAGGATCAATTCTGTTCATACACACCCGTCATTCGTAATCTCGTGGCATTGCACAACCAAACACTCCTCACCTCGCGATCCGAGATATCGCTTTCCTTCAATGATGTTCCTGATACAACTTCGTGAATCCCTCCCCATTCTCCGGCGGCTGCAACCAGTTCCTCTCATCATAGTTCCAGCCATCCGCCCCCTCAATCACGTGGAAGGTGTACGCGAACCGACTCTTCGGCCCAGTATTCTTCGAACTCTGATGCAAGACGTTCCCATGAATTAGCACCAACGAACCCGCCGGTATGTCCAACAACTGCACTTCCACTCCTTCCGTCTCCGACGCCTCTGCCTCCACCATCCCCCGCGGCATCTTCGCCCCCGTGTTGTCCACGAACTCCGTTCCCTTCGACCCATCCGGCACCCGCCTCACAAACCGTTTCTGAATCTTGTGCGTCCGGTGCGACCCCGGCACCATGCCCAGCGTCCCGTTTTCCGTAGTGGCATCCTGCAGCGCGAACCACCAGCCCACAGCCGAGGGCGGGTCGGTGTACAAGAAGGTCGAGTCCTGATGGCTCGGCACCGCGCCCCCGATGCTCGGCTGCTTGCAGATCACCATGCTCTGCAGGACGCGCGGGTCTTGGAAGCCGAGGGAGCGCGCGATGGCCGCGTTGCGGGCCGTCAGGCTCACCTCCTTGAAGGGGGCGGAAAGGCTGTGCAGGGAGTGGCCGATCTTGTTGACGGCTTGCTGCTTGGGTTTGAGGAGGGTGCCCGGAGCGTCCGGGCTGAAGGCGTCGGGTTCAAAGAAGAAGCGAATCTTGTCGCCGGAAGTCAGGAAGTAGTCGTCACCGACGTGTTCCTTGTTGGAAGCACCATCCCCGGTGGATGGCTCATCGTCGCCTGTGGTGAATTGGGTGAGTGGGTGCGTGTCGAGCGGGAAGGTGTCGAGGAGGTGGTTGGTTTCGACGAGGCAGCGCTGAACCTCCTCGGGGGTCAGGTGGTTGGGCAGGACGAGGTAGCCATTCTCGTGGAAGAAGGCGAGTTGCTCGGGAGTGAGGCCTTCAGTTGTCATTGGGAGTTCGGGGAAGGATAATAGCGGGAGTCGAGTGCAGTGTTCAGGTTCAGGATCGATGTCAGAGGAAAAGAGGGGAAAGGAAATTGTGGGGGAGTCGGGATCGCACGATAAGTTAAGGTGGGTTTTCGAGCAAAAGTGCTTATCAGCTTATCGAACACCACCTGTGGTTTAGAGATGCTTGTATGCCGTAGTTACTAGATACTCCGTAGTTAGTACTCCGTACCTTCAGGTAAGACTAAGATTAGTTTCACTACTCAAACAGAAGCTAATATGCACGAAAGAAGAATGGGAGAAGGAAAGGTAAGATTAAACGCAGCTATTTTTAAGCAAATGATCTATAATCGTTGTGAAATATACCGAGTACTCACCAGGAAAACTAAGTTGGTAGTTATACTAAGAAGCTTACTGGAGACCATTGACCGCCCTGCATATGCAAGATTATTTGACAGGCAGAATCATGTCAACCAGTAGTTGTGAGACTCATGGGCGGTAAGAGGCTGGTCATGTCTCCCCCGGGCTCCAGAAAGAACTAACCATATTTGGAATGGCACTGCAACCCCAGGCCCGCCTGTACGGAGACACACCACAATAATGACTGTGGTGTGACAGACTGACAGTAACTAAACTGGTTGAAAAGAGACCGTCGAGATTTTCCATCTAATATAGTCTCTCTCCTGCGCTATACACCTTACATCTTATTGAGTGAATATGCTACTAGCCTTGCAGTCTGTTCATCAGCAATACTAGATCATATAGATAGCTCCAGTGGCCTTTTCATCCTTGTTCTCATCAAACTTACTCTCTAAGCTCATCCCTAAATCTGGTCTTATCCAGAAAACCTTAAACTCCTTCTAAGCTGAGCTTACTCTGGCGCTATGAATCTTCGCTCTGGTCCCCACCCACATCAGTAACGCATACTGCGCAACCTCGCTCGTGAGAACTTTGCAAATGCAGCTCAGCTGGAGTTGCAGCGTCTGGAGCTCATCATAGCTCAATCCCTCACAGTCCAGCCACGTCCACATCCTGGTGCCACTTGGGATTGACAGAATATCCTACAAAGTACGCTGGAATGCACAACTCTTCATTCGACTGCTGCAAAGAAATTTCTATCGCTCCATGCCTTTTTTTTTTGACTCGAATTGATTTGATGTTCATCGTGCAGCCGAAGGTTGGCCTCCATTACCTCAAACCAAAACCTGGACCTACTCCTTCTTCTTTGCTGCTCTTGCAGATTCAATTCGGAGGCGATGGCCTCATGATGGGGTGGATCTCAGGACAAGTGTCTGTGTACTAGTCCAGTTCGTGTCCTTGGCTTTGTGTTGTATAGCACACACAATCATGACTGCCTCACTCAGCATAGCGTGGTGGGTATCTGTATAGTTAGCATAAGAGGCTGGGAGCCAAAAAAAAAAAAAAAGATGCTGTGCCAAATCATCAAATCCAGTCAGAGACTCCGAATTACCGGTAGCCGGCTATTCAGATGATGCCACCCAGGCTTAACAGGCTAAACGTGTAAACATATATATTCGTTCTAATCGCATTAGCACTACCACTAACTACCTATAAACGACTTGCAGCAATTGAACTTAGCCACCAGGAAAGCAAAGCAAGAGACCTGCCTTTGAACACAGATATCATGAAGACTAGACGCGCATATTCAGTGATCAATCATCCACCAACGCCACATAAATCAAAAGAGGAGTCATTATTCATCGTTTCATCACAACGGATCACATCATAACGTTTCCATTTAACCCTCGAGCTCTTCATATTTGTTTTTTGGGGGTCATGAATGATCTGGAATCAACTCGTAACCACCCTCCGACGGCAACGTATACGCTGCAAGAATCAATGCCGCCGCGCAGACCAGGCTCACGCACCAGCTGACTGTACAATATATCCAGGACTCATCAAGTCGCCAACCAACGAAGAAGCGATCCTCGTTGTCGTACAGGTATGCCTGTTATGAGCATCAATCAGTAACGCGCTGCCAGAAACCGAAGATGGCATGGAAACTCACCACGATACCCATACTCCCAGCTTGTACCACGGCAGACATCAGAATGAACAGACTTAGGATCTTCCATCCAGACTCGCGCAACCGTTTCCCACCGGACAAGACAATCAGAAACGCGACCACGCTCATGCCCTCCAATACCACGGCAAACGACATCAGAAACCCGACCGAGCGCCACATGGAGCAGAAATACCGATCCTCGCCGTGGCAATCTTCGCGTTGCGGGAAGCTCTCGCAGGTGCCGGTGAGGGAGGAACAGCGGCGGTGGAGGCCGTAGGAGTAATGAAAGAAGGGCTGCAAACCGCCATCTTGTTAGTCCTTCTAGGTCTTGCACTTGGTATTTGTTCGATCGAACGGAGGCTTTTCTTGGGTTTTCTAGCTGACTAGCTAGATGAACCCTCATGGTCTGGGATTAGGGAGTTGGATACAAAGTAGCGAATCGCACCTTATCGTTATCATAGCTGACCCATTTTGGCACAACAATGGAGGAAATAGTCAATCCGAAGGCTAAGAAAAGCAACCACGAGAGTCAGTTCTAGGTTGCGCCGCAACAATGCGCCAGGGAAGACGCTGGGAATCATCTTTCAATCACTGGAAGGAGAAAACATACAGGCTAAGAATAATATCAGGGAACCGGTGTAGACGATTGTTTTCGTCAAGAAACCAGTATAGTTGCGATCTTCCCCGCGAGGCACTAGATGAAAATCCATCCTGGCGTCGGGGGCTTGGGGCTGAAGAGAGTGAATGCAGCGGTCTGAGCGAGCGGAGAGGAGCTGCGAACGAGAATTGTTGCAGGTTGCAGGTTGCTGGTTTGTTCTACGTGGTTTGTTAATGATACGGTGATGACGACACAGCGAGCCGATAAGAAGCCGGGGGGAGGGCGAGCAGCGGAATAGAAACAATGAGCCAAACAACCACAGAGATGAAATATTTTATCAGAGAGGAAGAGTATTAGAGCAACGAGCACGAAGGATGTGCGACAGTAGCGAAGAATTAAGGTGGGACAAAAGAAAGGAAGGGTATGTGGGATGGGATGGGATGGGCATGAGCTGATGAGGAAAGAACTGGCAGGAAAGAGGTGGTCAGGTGAGGTTCTCTCTCTCTCTCTCTTCCTCTTTCTAAATTAAATCAATGTAACTCAATTCAATTCCATTCCCCCGTCGTTTGGTCAACTCAAATCCCTCCACCACAACACAAGAATCGATAACAAAACTGCTAGAGGAGGAAAAGAGAGGAGAGCATGACTAGTATTCAGATATCATGCTCACCCTTCCTCTTTTCGTTTGGTGTAATTCCAAAACCGCATACCGCATATGCTGCTCCAGTGAAGGAAAAAATACCTCATCGGCCGCCAGCCGGAAATCAGCCCGAGGGGGAATGACATGATGAGGATTTCCTTTTTGACTCGCTGGATAAAGTCATCAGTTATGAACCATCATCTATCATCTAAAAGAGGGACTCTAGTGCAGCAATGTCCTTGACGGACACATTCGCTGCAGTGTCCGATGTGTGATCTCCACCCACAGCCCAACCCTTGACATCTTACCATGTATTTACTACTAACTTGCAACATGCCATCGCCCCACCACAATATTGGTCTCGTCCTACTGCAATCCCCTCCACGGTCCAAGCGTCCACCGTAGTACTTATAAGTTAACCGCAATGGTGGGGGACCAAGAACCGTGCTGGACACCACCCACGAATACGTGCCAGGGTTCGGCGCGGTAAGGGGGTGGAAGGGGGAGGGGGTTTCAAGAAAATCAGATGACAGAGCTTGTTTTTTGCTGGTGGTTTACGGAGACTAAATACTGAAGTACCACGGAGTACCTAGGTACCTAAGTAGTACTACCGTGATCTTTTCAAACAACTGTACAGCTGTACAGTTTGACCTCCCTGGTTGGTGGATTTCTTTCCGTACGTAACGCCTTCCTCATAACTACATGTACTTATCTTTTCAACTCCGCTCCCTCAGAATTGAACAATGTGCGAGTCAATCAAGCAGATAAGATGCAAGGATCCTGATTTAGCAATGACTTTGCGCCCCGACCGGCGCGTTGATGGAAGTTCCATCCCCAGTTCCCTTCTTTCTTATGAATACAGTACTTGCTAACTACCACTATAATTCAAGGCCCCTCTCTGCATCATATATCTTGCATAGCTTGTCGGGCTGTCGCACAAACAGAGAATGTCCTTGATCTACTTCGGATTCCGAAACGCCCTTTAGATTTCGGCATTAAGATTGGCATTATCACCATACACCTTTTAGAAAGGGTATGCTCATTATAAAGAGGCCGTATGTGCCATGCTCAGCAGGGATAGTCGTATTCAGGGACATAGTTTCCGGCCGAATCACGAGCATTTGTGAGAAATCTGTCTAGAAGAATTCCTCGCTGAATGTACTTTACCTACAACAATCCTATGAATCAGACAGCGAAGTCTCTTTGTTCGAGTAGGTAACGCACAGTATCACACCCATGTAACCACTTCATTGACCTTTACCTCGCTAGGCGAAGCATTGGCATTGACTTGGACTATGGAAGACGATTCGTTCTCGCTTGCCATAGGACTATTGTAAGCTTCAGCTTACGAAGGTACGAAAGAATCAAGTGCTGTCCCATGAAATCACGTGGGAGGGTGTCCATCTCCATCTACAGGAGACCCGCGCTCATCATTCCATCGCCTATCTGACGATGAAGAAACAAAAAGGTATAATCTTCTGACCTGGAGACAGAAGAGACCCAACACTGGAAAGAAAAGATCAGAAGGGAAAAGGAAATCATGAGGAAAATACACAATAATCTACATCCGACATCAGGCTGGGGGTTTCCATGTCCGAAGTGAAGTCCATGATAATACACGGTCAACCAGCAAGAATATTAAGATAGAAGGCAAAACAGCTTCAGTATCACATCGGTGACAAGTTAGGGTAGAAAGACACATCAAAGCTGGGAATGTAGAAAAAGGAAAGAGAGAAAAAGAAGTCACAGGTCATCAGCAAGCGGAGAAAGGTAACGCCAAACCCGTCAATGCAGTCCGATGCGCCGAACGCTTTCATCCCGTTCGGCTCTGCTGGATCATCGCACGAAAGTCATCATTGCTCTTTTTGATTTTCTGCCCGTCGTCGGGGGCGGAGTGGTCAGTGTTGTTCATCATCATTGTCGTCATTGTGGTATTGATTGTAGGCACGCCATTCTGCGCGTCGCTGGGCCCCTGTAACCCACCCGTGGCTCGCTTGACGCCCAAATGGCCGCGTTTGCCTCCGCGCGCCCCAGGCTGCGGTGGGCGCTTGATTGGTCCTGTCGGTTGGAGTCTCGCGCCCAACCTCTCACCAGTCACCTTGCTGCCGGAGGTGCTCGGGTGGCCTTTCTTTTCCGCCGATTGCTTCAGCATGTCCGGTACACTTCCTACGCGCATTTTCCGGCCAGGAACAATCTCCTGTCCTTCTAGTTCCAGCGAGGCTTTGCCAGCAGCGTGAACGTCGGCGAATTCGACGATTGCTCCTTGGTGGTCGGGTCGCAGGACGATCTTGATGAGTTTGCCGTATGGCTCAACCAGCGCACGAATCCGCGCGTCATTAACCGTGTCCGGAACGTTCATCAAACCCAGAGTACGCGCTGCCCGATCACTGTTGGTAATCTCGTCACCAGCTCCATTGACTTCTACTGACGGGGATCGAGAGGCTGACACGCGAGACACAATTGTTGTAGCACTCCGTTTAGCTCCTTGGGGCGTGGACAGTTTCACTTGCAAACGCCGGGATCGATATTCTTGTTCGTGCAAGACCAATGCTGCCTCGGCTTCCTCCTACAACCATAATCAGCATACCGCCACAATCACGCCGACTGTACTCAAGACATACCTTGGTCGAGAAGACAACATAACAGAAACCCTTGCTGCCTCCGTCCACCTTGCGAGGGATGCGTACTTGGTCGACCGTGCCAAATCGCAGGAACAGCTCCTCGACATCTTGTTCACTGGCCTTCCAGTCTAAGTTGGACACGTGGATCTCGCGTCCTTCGTACATTGGACCATGACGATCCTGTTTGCGAGTGGGATCCGAGATCTTGGCTACCAGGTGAAGGCCATTGCCGACTGTAGATCCGTCGAGCTGAGTGGCACTGTAAGCTTCTCCAGAGGTCTTGAATTGCACGTAACAGAATCGCCGGTGCGTATTGTACTTGAGCGACGGAAAGCGAATGTCAATGATTTCTCCGTGCTGCAGTCGGTTAGCAATGCGGTTTCCCGGGCTACACACGGAAGGGGAAGTCACCTCACGGAACAAATCACGAATATACTGTTCATCCGCAGTGGGAGGGAAGTTGGTAACAAAAAGCGTAGCCCCCGACCCAAATTGGACCTCGATGGTCTGTCCATCGATCATCTTTTGGTCGCGGGTCTGCGCCACAACGGCTTCATCCCGGTTATTGAACTCGATAATGGCGGTTTCCGAGTTCCCGTTCGGAGCAGAAAACATCTTCAGGCTGTTGATCGTACCGCACTGCGAATAAATTAGCGAAGGGCTGCACATCATGCACACGAAACATACTTACATGGCGAAAAAATTGCCTGACTTTATGCTCTGTAATGCCGCGGGGCAACTGCTTGACGACAACGGTCGCATTCTCGCGATCACGTTGAAGAGCGACCGGGTCAGGCGTCACGAGAACGGATGGAGTCGACTCTTCTGCGCGAGCCCGTTTGGCAGGTGCTGAGCCATTCACAGTAATGTCATCTTCCCGCTTCCTCTTTTCCACCTGTGTCGCCTGCTCGGCAGCTGCAGCTTGTTGCTCAGCCTGCCGCGCGGCCGCCTCCCTTGCGTCCCGCTCGCGCCGGGCAGTGATGGCTCTCATCGCCTTGCGGGTTTCGAGAATCGCAAGCTGTAGTTCGTCCGAATCTTCATAATCCTCGCAGTGTGCGATGTAGACTTGCATAATTTTCTCGGGCCAATCCAAATCCGTCCGCTTGATGGCCTGCTTCAAAACGGCGGTGGCGTAGCTGGGGTTGGGTGTCCGCCGGGCGGCGTCGATGGTAGCTTCTCCCTGCACAAACTTACTCCATGAAATGAGCTCCCACTCGTAGTAAGTCAGCCAGAATTCGTAACTGCTACCCCGACGGCCTACGAGACCCTTAAAAGTCTCTCGGGCACTATCCCAGCTGCCGCTTTCGCTAAGATATCGGATATAAATGCGTTCCAGACGAAACAAGGGGTCCCCCTGATAGTTGCGGCCGTATTTCTTTTCACCAAGCTCCTGAACGCTCTCGATAGCCGATCGGATTCCCACCTCCGCCACATCGATATCTTCATCGGTCGAATCAGAAAGGAAAGCCTTTCGACGTAAGTAACTGCACCACGCGGTGTGCACCTTTAGTACTTCTTCCATGCCGCCGACGTCTAGCAAGCCGGTACTGGTTGCTTTGTGCTTGATATCGGCAATTTTCGCAAAGGACTGTCCTTCGCGCTCGGAGCTCAGCAGGTATTGCGACCAGAGGGTACCGGAACCGGGGCAGTGGCGAGTCGCACGGTCCAATGTGGCCATTGTCGCAGTTTTGGTGTTACCGTGCATCGATTCATTAACCAAATACATGATGAAATCCTCCCACATGTGACAATCGGTCGGAAATCGAAGGACCGCGCGCTGGTAAATTGACTTCACGAACTCGAAATTTCCCAGATGCCGTTTCCGACGACTTTGTTTCAATTCCCACTCCAGATACTCTGTGAACAAGAGGTATTCCTGTCCCAATTCACCGGACTCGGTCGCATTGCGCAGCTTGATCTCAAAATCCTCGCGAGCGGAATATTGCTCCTTGGCTGATGTGGCGTGCCGTCCAACTATGTCGGCCATGATATTCTCGTAGTTCGCGTTGTAGTATCTCGAAACAAACCCGGAGAACAATTGAAAGGTCTGGTCCCAGGTAGCATGGGGCGTTGCAAGACGAACTTCGAAGAAATTGCGCACATGATTCACCTTCTCTTGGGACGCGTTGCGGGCAAGGTCCTGGATGAGCAAATCAAGGAAGCGGTCCCATACCATATGACTGTCATGGATTCGCCATTGGGTCGACTCGGCTCCTCGATGCCAGACCTCTAAGACCGACGGCCAGGTGAAGACCTCGCGCCCGATGATCCGATCTTCCTCAGTCCAGGAGCTCTGACTAGCATCGCCATGTGCCGATTTATAGAGGTAGAGTACCCATTCTCCGTAGATCCCCCAGAGTTTGGTGCTACCATACTCCTCTTCCACAGATCGTTGACAAAGCTCCATCACAGCAATGCGTTCCTCTACCGATTGTGCCAACATACTCTCATCCTGAATCCATTCTGCCCACAGATCCTCGCCCATGGCGAAAAGTTTGTCCATCTCCTCGCGCGCGGTGCGCATGTCCTTGAGTAGATCATATTTGCGCGGATCCCCGTGAATCTCCGGGTTGTTGGGCGGATAGACGTGATTAACAAAGCCCGCGTGTAGCAGACGAATAAATCTGACGTGCGCTTCGTAAGATTGCGGATTTTCCTGTATCTGAGCGAACAGGTCGGTCGCCTGCCGCTGGGCGTTGGGAACCAGGGAAGTGTCCAAGTAGCTTCGTTGGGCGCTCTCTCGAGGACCATCGGACATAGCGATATCGAAGGAGGATCGCGGAGTGGGGGTGTTGTGGGAAATCGGGTTGACGTGTGGGAACATTGTGGAGGGTGACAACTGGCTCTCGTACGATTCGGTGTTGCGTAAGAGCGGAGCGCCGGGACGCTGAGGTTGATGATGCTGCATCGACGCTAAGTCGGCCAGTGTGTCCATACCCGGAGTGGACGGTTGCCTCGCAGGCGGCAAGTCGGTTGCTGGGGGTGTTCCGCTGCCAGTGCCCATGCTGGGACCAACCTTAGGACTGTTCGCAGGTGGTGACGGATCAGGCAGTTGGTTCGGGGCGTACATATGTTGCGCCAGTGGCGAGGAGGTCATACCCTGCTTGGTTGCGCCGGAACGAGGCTTTCGCAAGGGTTTTGGCTGTGGCGGACCTGTGAGCGGAACCGAGGCATTGTTGACCGGCGTAGACCCCGTGGTGGGCGTAGTGCGCCCGGACTGTGAATTAGAATCCTGGGGCGAAAGGAGGGAGTTGATGTCCATCATCAAGACTGTGGGCTGACGAGCAAGAGGACAAGAGCAAAACCGGGGCGGCAGATATCGAATGGAAGCAAAGTCCGAGCGCCAGCTATGGTGCTGACGTAAGGAAGCTGCTAAGGTGAATGAGAGACTTAAGGAATTATAGGACGAAGGAAAAAAACTCGAATTAAAGAAGAACCGTTGTCAGTGGCCTCATCAACGAGTCCATTCCTGCACTCGTCACAACCTGATCGAAAGCCTTCTGTTTCCTTCAAAGTTTCTTGTTTTCGGAATATCCTTGTTCTCGGTCTCGGTAGGGTAGATGGGAAGGGGATCCGTTCGTCACTAATTCGGGCCAGTGAGTGGGCTGGCCGGCGGGAGGAAGAAACCAGAGATAATCAAGAGGTAAGGTGAAGAAGAAAGGGAGACGGAAAGAATAAAGTGGAGGGGTAAAAAAGTTCAGATCGGCGAATAATTAATATAGGAGGTAATTCGAAATAAAAGCAATCAAGCAAATGCAGGTAATGAGGTATTTTGAAGATCACTAGATTTTGTTCAGGTCCTTGGATTGAGTTGCAGGTGGGAGGAAGCTTGACAGGTTGGGCGCTTTGCCAAAGGCTGCCAAAGTGAGGCGCTGGACGGACGCGCAAGAACAATCGCGGAGAGAGCAGCGAGTGACAGAATGGCACACTCTCTCTCTCTGTCTGCCTTGCGTGTCTGATACTCTGCTAAATTTAGGGGAGGATGGGGTTGAAGGTGGTAGAAGAGGGGACGGGAAGAGTAGGAAAGTGATTAGACGGAGGGAAGAGAAAGAGCAGAGGGAGGGGTGGAACAGAGACAGTCTCCAGCATGCAACACTCATTCACTCTAACCAGAGAACTGATCTGGGTCCGAGCGATAGGGAGGAAACTAAAACAGGTAAGTCAGCGGCGGAGTTTGGGCGGGAAAAAGATGGGGAAATGGTGGGTGGATAGTAGAGGGGAGAGAATTCGGATTAGGAGGGACCCAGGCTGGAAGCGAGGAATTAAGGAACAGAGAAACACGCACGCGATGTCCCTTTCGGGGTTTCGGGGGGAGGAGGAGGGGGGGAGAAGATGAGAAGGTGATGAGAGGGTGAAAGTCGGAGGGAGGAAGGGAGAGAGGGAGGGAGGCGGAGGAGTGTCGAAGAAAGACTAAACACACACAGAGAGAATGAGAGTTGAGTAGGGAAAAAAAACGGATGACCAGAACGGATGAGGCAGAAGAGAGGCAGGCAGTAGTGGATCGACACGGTGGAGTTGGAGCAGCAAAAGAAGGGTAAAAAAAAAAAAAATAAATAACAATCGATAACAATGGTTAAACCACCACACCTTAAGACTGCCTCTGGTCTTTCTCACGCCGCTTGACTAGGATAAAAGCTGGGCCAGGAGCACACCGGGACCTATACGAGGGTGAGATGTATTAACTCAAGTCGATCTACGACAAAGTGGCTGCAGGTCTACCTATTTGTCTATTGAATCATGTACAAAATGTTTACTCTTACTTCTAAGGTAAAAGGTGTACTTACAGTACATTCGGTAGGCACCCCCACTATGGGAGGGAGATGATATCGGATGTAGGTTCCATTCTAGTACTAAACTAACTTGCTGCTGCTGCTGCTGCTGCTGCTGCTGCTGTTGCCGCTATTGCTTCTGTAGATGAGACCAATGCTACATCAGATCTCCGATCAGGCAAAGAGTGACCTCGCACATACTGGACTACGAAATTGATGAAAAGCTATACCTAAGCGAAACCTCTTTCTAAAAAGCACGTTGCCTGACGAGGATCTCGACTGCGATCGAACCCACCGATTGTGTAACCGGTGACGGGGGAGGGACAGCAGCATCCTCCAACGTAATGGCCGCAGCAGCTGGGCTGGGCTTATACTTCTGCACATCTGTATGCGATTCCCGGGTGACCACCACCATCAAACCTCTTGGAAACACTTGCCCTGACACCTCCGCCCCCTGCCCGGGGAAAAAGGAAGTTATCCCGTGGTGTGGGATGGGTATACAAGGTGTGTCTGGATCGGAGAAACTGGGCTGGGCTGGCTAGTGCTAAGCATGTAATCCTATTCGGGTCAGAGAACATGCAATAACAGCATGCACAATTCTATTAATCATGTTGAAAAGATTCATTCTCATGATTATTGTATTACACATCCACATCCTTCCAGCAGGAAAGTCTAGGGCTGGGGCGGCTGTTCCTTAATGGGGCTAAACGGACTGTCCCCGAGAGAAAGGCGCTGTCTGCGACCTATGAGGTAATCGTACAGGAAGACCTTTGGCCTTATTGGCGGCACTGGATGCCTGTTGGATCCTCCATGGGTAAGTTACCAGTTGATGGAAAGCTCAGCTGTAGCCAGTCTAAAGTAGTAAAGTGGTTGTTTACAGCACATGACCCTGCAGTGGTGAGGGTGCGCCCGGGCCCCGACAGCAGTTGACGTTGCCCGTTTGGGCGTGGGCTCGAAAATTGAGCTAGAGGTTGTGGCTAGTGATCATCACCAGCCTCGTTGTGGCTGGATTAGTAGCCGCATAAATCAGGCACGCGGCTCTTCATCCATCCAAACGAACCACTCCCGCAAAGCCAAGCCCATCAATCGACCGACACTTTTTTCCCTCAAGCATCTCCGGATCCCCGTGGGATGCAACCGACGAATTCCCTCTTCTCTTCCTCCCTTCCTTCCCCACCAAAATAATGGCCTCACTGGGTTCAATTCAACCCTACGGGCATCTCGTCCGGTCGGGTGAGTACAATCATGTTGCCTCTCAGTCACACTCTCAAATCCCTTCTTGCCCGAGACCCCATCATTAACACCAGAACAAACTGGCAGCAGCCCGGACCAACCTGGCCTACGTCCCACGCCGCACCCTGACCTCGACCGTCAGTCGGTATGCGCAAGAGGGCAACAACTCCCCAAACGAACCCAAAGAGACCAAGCCCAACCCGGAGTCCCAGCAAAAATCGTCCAAGCCGTCCGCCCTCTCCTCCATCAAGAACTTCTTCTTCGGCGGCAACAAGTCCGACGCCCCCAAACCCACGATTCGCCCCGTCACCGCCCCTCCGAAACGCGAGGGTTCTCTTGGCACAGACTCAATCTTTGCCGAAGATGAAGCTGGTCCGAAGCTGATCACCAAGGGACGCACCCCGACCAGTCGCAAGGCCACCGATGGGGAGGCCCCCACAGAAGAGGAGCGGGCGGCAGCGGCAGCGGAGAGGACTTTCGCTGTGGACAAGCGGAACCGGGCCACGATGCAGGCGGTTCTGGACCCCAAGCCGAACACGCGGCTGCGGTGGGAGAAGAAGATGGTGATTCGCGAGGTGCGGCGTCGCGGCCGTCTGACGCGGACGGAGCAGATCATGCGCACGGAGCGCGAGCAGCTGGCCAAGTCGCACTTCTTCAAGACCTCCATCAAAAAGCTGGGCCCCCTGGCCCGCCAGATCGCGGGCAAGAACATCGACGAGGCCATCCTGCAGATGCGGTTCAGCAAGAAGAAGGCCGCCAAGGAGGTGCTTGAGCACCTCAAGCACGCAAAGAACCTGGCCGTGGTTCGCTCTGGTATGGGATTGGGCGCTGTGCCCCCCAAGGAGGGCGAGGAGGTCGCTCCCAAGCCGAAGCCCGTCACCATCACCCTCAAGGACGGCTCCAAGAAGACCATTACTGACCCCACCTCCATCTACATCGATCAGGCCTGGGTCAACCGTGGTCCTTACGGCTATGAAGCAGACCACCGTGCCCGCGGTGTTATCAACATGAAGCGACCCCCTTACACCGGTCTGTCTGTCGTGCTCAAGGAAGAGAAGACTCGCATTAGAGAATGGAAGGACCGCGAGGCCCGCGATCTCCGCCGCCGCAGGGCTCTCCTCTGGACTCCGCTCCCAGATCGCCCGATTTCCCAGCAGAACCCGTACTACTCCTGGTAGATCTGTCTCGGCTGATTCTAGTCTCCCTTGTATTCTCTTCTTTCATGTCAACAAAATCGGGTAACTTTTTCTTGGTTGTCTGTCTTCGATATCAATTACCTGGCGTTCAGTCCCAAACTCTCTCATGTGTTTTCGAACCCCCTCCCTTACTTCGAAGGAAATAACTACTTCTTCACATAGCATCTGGCTTCTATCACTTTTTTTGTGCATCTGGCTTGCGTTTGTATGACTGGAAAGGTTAGTTGGTGGTATTGTGTGGGTTGTGTATGAGCAGCGGCTCGAATATGTGTACAATATTTTCGATATACACGGATTTCTCTTTCCCAATTTTGGCAATCTCAGGAACACTTGCTACTACTCTATCGGTATCAAAGATAAGCGGATAAGCCAAGCTCTATATACAACGAACAAGCATCTCAATCCCTGAGAAACTCGGAACTTCAGTATCCACACATCGACTTCATAGCTCTATTAGCTCTCCACATCTACTGTAACTTCTGTCTAAGGAGTATCTCCTTGACAAACCGGCGGTGGAAACCACGGCTCCACTTCCATCGGCGGCAAGCTCCCCGCAACCCTCTGAGCCTTGACAAAGATCGGTATAACGCCGCCCGTCTCCAGCGCAAATTTGCGATGGCCCGTGATTTGCAGCATGCTCGTGATGGCGCCGGAATGCGCCGTCAATGAGAGGAAAGTATTGCCGTCGTGGCTGAAGATGTCTTGGAACAGATCTCGAAACCGCTTGTCGCGGGCCGAGTCAGACTCGCGGAGACGGGCGTCGTACAGGGGATCCTTCTCGGCAAACCCCTCCTCGATACGGTAGAGGGGGTATTCTGCCTCGATGGTAGACTTCGTAGAGCGACCGTCGCAGGTATGTTGACCGATGGTTTCACGGAGGAGCTATGAATCCAATTATTCCGTGAAGACAGTTACGAGTGTTGTGAGACGGAGCACAAATGCAAGGAAGGGTTTGTCGAGCCTAAGTGCAGCATGGTCACCGGCAACGTACCTCTTTGATGAGGGGCCGGAAAGGTTCCGTATGGGGGATACCCAAGCCGCTGAACGTGATATTGGCGGTGGCGAGGCATCGATTAAGCGGGCTCACATAGTACGACTCAGGGGTGGGAATGTTGTTGGCGATTTGCGTCTTCCAGGCCTCGTGGGCTGTCTTGGCTTGAGCGATGCCCAGCTCGGTGAGCCGGGCGTCGACCCAGGTGCCGTTCTCGTCGCCATCGAGGAGTGACCAGTAGCACTATTTGCGGGGTCAGAAAGGTTCTTGCTGGGATGAAGCAGTGGTCATGATAGGTCAAGCTGGACGTACATCCCAGAGCTCAGTGCCATACTTGGCTTCGGCTACATTGTGATAGCCTTGGCCGTGACGGCCCAGAAACAGCACCTTGTAGGCCGTGTCGGGCTCAGCTTCGCGGTTTAGTCTACGGACTTGGTACTCAAAGCGCTGCCATTGCGTTTTTTGCCCATCAGGGTCAAACTCGGGATCCGAGTCGTAGGGCCGAGGAACAAGGCCAAAGTTGGCGGCTACCTGCTCTCAGCATTAGCATCGCCCACTTCGGTTTAACACGGTGAGGATTGCGCAATGTAGGAAAGTCCATACATAATCGAAGGTATCGGCATCGGTGGCGGGTTCACTCTGAAAAAAATAGCCTGGGACAATGGAGAATCGCCAATGCGACTCGGACAAGGTGGATTCAGCCATCAGGACAAACCCGGCACTAAGGAGGGTGACCGCGAGCAGGATGGGTCTTCCACCGGCGGTTAGTTCGGGTTCCAAACGAGCCTCTGGCAGATTCTGTAGTGTCTAAACTGACGGAGCGTACTCACATGATAATCGGAATGCGAAAGATGGAGCACAACATCGACTCGCGACGAGAAGGGAGGAGGTGGTGGTGGTGGTCAAGCGGCCAATAACCGGGCGATGGGTCGCCCATGCGCCGGAAGCGAGCCGGAACAAATGTCAATTTCCTCACCATCCCTTTCTTGGACTTCCGTTGTGGAGATGATATGGGGTAAGAGTAAATTAGGAACAGTCGAGACACTAGGAGAGATGGTTTTCTCCCAACATGACCGTTATTCGCGGCATGAAGGGTGTTTGCAGGCAGCAGGTGCAACCAACTTAGCTCAACCCATGGAAATACTTGCCTTCTCCCACGTGTTCGTCCCGAGCCACTGACCATAGCAGCCTCATGCAGTGTTTGTACTCCCGACCCGTATGTATGTACTATGTTCCCACGACGCTACGAGCAATATAAGAGAGCAAAGACTCAAGCTCAAATTCCCAAAGCAGTAATACCATTCTGTCTAGCCGAGATTATTATGAATCCTGCTTTTCCCACCAGTCACCAGACCTCAAAATTGGTCCAAACATTATATAAGATGCAAACAAACAGGTATGTGGTATCTTCCGCGCAAATCAAACACAACGTCAGAACTTCGAATGGGTTATCGTCATTCACCAAAGGCCCAGTCCCTTCCGAAAGAGCCAATGTTTCCGCGAAGTGGAAACAGCAAGCTTGCCAAATGATGAGCACCACCAGGAAACAACCCAGTTTCCAAGATCGAAAAAGCGTGTAGTGGCAAAGATATTTTGCAGGAATAGGGAGCCAGTGTATCCGGCCAAGGACTGTACTTGGGTCTCGCTCGGCCGGGTATCCGACGTGCCACGCTTGTTCCTCGCAAGCGGGGTCCTGGTTGTCTGGCAGCCACGATCCAGTAATCGAATATTGGGATTCGTCTTGCGCTGCGCTTGATCGCCGTCTCCACTGGAACCATGTCCCAGGGATACTTTGATGGACAAGCGCGGTTGGGTCTGGTGCTGTAGGTTTTGATCTGAGCGTTGACTGCCCCTGGTCAGATGACAACGATGTTCCAAGGTGCTGATAGCACCGCCATCCGATTGGAAGTGCTTCCTGTTCGACGTTGCAACGCCTTGGTGGCCAACGCGACGGAGTCCTGTTTGCTGTTGGGGTCGGTGGACTAGAGTGTCCGGCTGGCCTGTCGTCGAAGGGCGAACAGCCTGTTGAGGTTGAGCAGCTGGCTGCATATGCTGTCTCGTCTGGGCTACTAGGACGCCGCCCTTGGAGGATCGGAGCATATGCGGGATCAGCACCTGTGAGCGTGCAGTTGCCTGCTCTACTGTGCGAGGTCCTGTTGGTTGTAGCATGGGCGAGCTGCTCGTATGCTTCCAGCTTGCCTGGCGCTCATTTCCACGTCCATGGACATGTAGTTGGGCATCCGTACCCGATCTGGCCACTAGATTGGTGGAGGAACCAAAAGAGCCACTCGTGAGGCTTAGAGCAGCCGCCTTCTCAAGACAATTGCACTGTACTGACATTAGCATGGCTGCTCCAAATATTCCAGTCAAACCATAAAGATTGACCTACTCGTTTGTGTTGCTTGCGATGTTTCTCACAGGCACCGTACTTGCGGACCTTGATATAGCTCTCCTTCTGAGCTTTCGATCTCGGTTTCTGTTTCTTGGGCACATTCGTCGTTGTGTTCATATTCAGGTCAAGCACTAGTTCCATGGAACCACTCGAGGGCGATGGTTGAGTCGTCAAAAATTGTTCCTTCTCGTTTGTGTCTGGCGATGAGCCTGCGACCGGTGTTGCACACGATCCAGTGCTGCTTGGCGCGGAGCCCGACCAGCATGGAGACGGGAAACTGGTACTGGACGCCGATGCGACAAATTCAGAAGACGAGACCCCCTGTAAGCGCTGCAAATGAATGGCGATGGACGCATCTCGTCTCTTCTCTTTGATTGTGGAACATCCCGAGTCAGCCATGGCTTGAGCCTCAACCATTTGTCGGATGCTCGTATAGAAGGGGTCTTCGGAGTAGGCCGTCTCTTGGGGCCAAGCGCTATCAAGCGCTATATTTGCGAGCTCTTGCTCTGAGAGTGTGGGAAGTGGTTGAACGCAATCATTCGCGTTAAGGCATATTTGCGGGCTGTTTAATGAGAGGTCATGATATGCCTCATATGGACCGTCATAGCTCACGAACTCTGAGAAAAGATTTTCGGGACATGTCGTGGGAGTGGCACCCCAGTTGCATTCGTCCAAGTTAGAAAATCCCAAGTCAAGGTCTCTAGGCGAGATCGAGTCGACTGAGGTCGCGTTGCTGTCCAAACAGCCGGAGGGAATCTCAAAAGAGTTGTTGAAATCGTACCACTCCTCGTCAGGTGTAGTCTGGCTAATCTGGCAGAGCAATTGGTCCACAGACATGATAGACAATGAATGAATAAACGAGGGAGATGAAGAGTATAGAATGTAGATGGCTGAGGAGTAGGCGAGGAATGCTTTGTCTGATAAGCGGATAAGACAGACTTAATAGGATAGATTGAGTTGAATATGACTCGCGTCGACTCACTATTTCGCTCTGAATGATGAATGCGGGGGAGTCACTGTGCTCCCTTAGAGATAGAAGACAGGCTGCGACTGAAGCAGAGGTAAAGAGGGGAGCGAGGAGAGAAGAGGAAGCCAGGCTGACAGAGACCTTGTCTTACATAGAGGCTGAAGAGCAAGGCTCATCTCTCCCCATCCCGCACCTTGCCTTTTTTGGGACCCCGACGATAAACCCGCTAGGCCATTTCGAGACCCCGACTTTAGTCGTCCGCCCGCCGGAACTGTATTTTGTCCGAAGATCCGGACGTAATCTTATCGGCCTGAAAGCGCCAATTCCCTTATTATCCTTCTATAGCCGTTTGGAACAATTTTGAATCCAGAGTATTTCTGATCTTTGCACTAATCCTCTCTCATGATTTTCAACTTATATGACGGGCCAACTTGTTTTCTTCAACTATTCGACGTCGGGTTCGACTTGAGTCTTTCGGGGGCTTGACTACTACTCAGTACTCTACAGTAGATAAATGTTGTAAGATCTGGCCCGTACTGCAGAAGTCGAATGCAGTCTCATGTCGGCCATGTTTCAGGCAATAGGAAAGGCTTCAATCCCACACAATTTAGGACGTATAAAAGAGCCAAAGTGAACGAGAGGAGGTAGGGGTAATGGAACACGTAGATCATTTGCTATACAGTGCATGCGATATGCCTAAGAACCCCAAACTCCACCCGAGGTATCCAATATGGTGAAACAAGCTCTAGTTCAAACTCTCCGTACTTTTGTGATAGTCCCAATTCAGCACGCCCGTAGCATCTCCAACATACCCTTGGTCTGACAAGCCTGGTGAGCATTCTCAACCTCCTCGCGCACCTTCCGGTGCAGCCGCTCGACCATCTTGTCGATTTGGGCGGACTGCCCCAAGTTGCCCGAGTAGATGTCTAGGACGTTCATGGCGACCTCGACACAGAGGTTGACCAGTCGTGGTTCGGTGATGTTTTTGTAAACCCAGGCGAGCACAGGCTGCAGTGTTACTTCGTCGCGGTTCTGCAAGGAGGCACGCAGGGCGGAACGATGGCGCAGCGCCGTCAAAAGCGTCAGCTGAGCCGTCTTGTCGCTGGAACCGAGTACATGGTCCAAAGCCGTTGAGTATCGGGCCTTGCGCAGATCGTGTTCCCAGGTTTGCTCTTTCTTGCGCTTGCCGGTATCGCGCCCCTCAATCACAATATCCACACCCTCACCCACAAAATCCCGACCACGGAGACGCTTCTCCCAGCCGGCGCCGCGATTCTTCTTGGCCATTTTCCGGTCATGCTCCTCCAATTTGCCCTCCAGCAGCGCCTGCATTTCCTTCCGGCGTTCCTTCTCCTTGATTTTCTGCTGTCCCGACAGCCGGGTCTTGATCGACAAGAGACCAGACGCCATACCAACAGCAATGTGCTTGTCTTCCTGGACAACCCCGGATTTGATAACGCTCAACGAAAGAATCGGGGATGGGTACTTGGATCCAGACACGACGTTCCACCCTGTCGTCTCGAAAACCTTCAGGTGACCGTCCAACGCGCCCGAGAGCAACCGCTCCCCGTTTGAGGCCAGCGCCAGTGATGTAACCGTCTTCTGGTGACTCTGAATCATGTGCAGAGGTTTACCGGCCACGATGTCGAGGACGGCGATCTTGTTGTCTGCGGCGGCAAGCACAGTTGTCCCCGTTGGCATGGGCAGCACGCTTTCGATTGGGGCCGCCATCTTGAATGTCATGGCAGCGCGAGTGTCCACGCGGGGATCCCAGAGCCGCACCGTGCGATCGTAACTACCGGATACCAGTAGGCCCGACGAGGCTAACGAGCCGGGCATGAATGCACCGCTGCGCACATAATCTGTGTGGCCTACAAAGCTGCGGGCGCTGCTCTCGCTGGGCAAATCCCACATGCGTACGGTGCGATCATCACTGGCCGTAAAAAGCGCAGTCGGGTCGCTGGGTGAAAATTTGGCCACCCAGACCGGCTGCTTATGTTCCTTCCATGTCTTGAGAATCGCCCGCGAAGTCACGTCAAAGACTTGTACCGTGCCAGAGTCATCACCCACGGCAACTACACGGCCATCCGGGCGCACATCGGTGCCGCGTGCTGTGTCGTCGAAGCGAGTGATTGTTCTGAGGAGTTTGCGGGTGCGGATGGAGTAGATTTGGACGCGGGCGCCGGTGGTCACGGTGAAGACATCAGGTGGCTGAGTGAGGGAGGGGAAAGCAGAAGCAGAGGAAGGGGCGGAAGGCTGCGTAATGAGGTTGATGGGCCCGTTGGCTGGCGAGGGGATAAGGAGGGGGTTCTTAAAGGTCTTCCAGTATTGTTGCTCCGGTGTCAGTCGGGTGGAAGGCAGTGACGGCAGCTTCACCTGCTGCAGGGGGAGGACGGGGGCAGCCATAGCTGCTGGTCGTCGGCCGCGATGTGAATGTGAGTGGTTACGATCGATGCTTGGGGCTCTTCGATGTCAGACGGTGGTTTGTCGGCTCGTCGAGAGCGTTTTGATGGGCTAGCCGGGATTTTGAGGTTGATGGGAAACTTTTTTTCGGGATAATTCCCGATCGCATCGGGAAAAGTCTGGCCGCGTTTCCTGTTTGGGACTAGTGCACTTTGCATATCTATGCTGACTGACCTTGAAATAACTATAACCATTCAAGTTATCTAATGACACAGTTTGGCATACAGTAGTCACTGGTAAGCCATAAGATGCCTTTTAGGAGGATGAGTTGGGTTTGATGATCATTTTGGATTGCTGATTCTGGGTAGTCATGCTCCGAGCAGAGCAGTTGATACTGAAACTGGCATTCGTGGATGAAAGTTCCTTGTCTTTCCCATATCGCACATACTAGCTGACAGTGACTTGATCTTTGCTGCGGTATAATGGCATCTGTCATCATCGAAGAAAGTGCCGAAGAACACTAAGCAGCTTTATTTGTCAGGCGCATACTCCGGTGCATAGCGTTATATACTTATCTATCTCAGTTCGACTTCGTATCGCCGAGTCAATCCGAGGTACTGCCAGTGCTCATATCTACTCGAAAGAGCTGCTACACACACATTTGGGAAGCTAAATTCTAAGAATCTTTGGCTATGAACCTATTGCGTAGTAGCCGTCTGATCATTCTCCGAGACAAATTCCGGGCTATAATAATAGTATGTTTCCGCGTACGGAGCAGACCACACTGCATTTACAGGACTCACTCACATACACCGAAGCCGACTTAACTTTCTAAATTCGCCCATGTGTACTTTGGTATTGGGTCATTGTTCGTCTAGCGCAGTGCCCTGCTTCAGAAAGATCTGCTCAGCATGCACACGTGATACACCTACATTCTGTCCGACGAATGCCTCAGGCATACACTATATACACCTAGGTTATAGTATAACATCCCAGGCGTCTGATGACTATATCTCCTTGATTCAGGCTCAATGATCCCCTCGAAACAACAAGCCGTTAGCCTTGGGGCAGTTCCAGAGAAACTTCCTTCGTTACTTCAAGAGCTTAGATTTAGGTCAGAATCAGCAGTACTAGTTACTATGTACTTGGATGTGGTTGCCTTGCATAATGTCTCAGAGGCACTCACACGTCTGCCAGGCTTTCTTACTACACTCAGTACTGTGTCCCTTGGAACATCAGAAAGGAGGGTCAATCGCTTATTCTACATGCTTGTGAGCGGCTTGATGGTCGGAAGCATGCCACAGTTACATGAACCCGCGCGCTATTTTTCAACCCGCGATAAGAGGCGCGAGAGGCATGAGGGGGTTTTTGCCCAAATTCGCGTAAGTTAGTTAACTAGTTAGTTAACATGCAATCAATGATTAGTCATTCCTTTTGTTCTTTCACTCTCGACGTATTCTGGTCACGTTACTTGGCTGAGACGGTTGTCAGGAATTGAAATGTAGTGTTGGGTTTGACTCATGATCTTCTGGCATAAACTCTCATGATTAGCTTTACTTGTGAGTAGTCCATCTCGATCAGATTTAGACCGCTGAATATTCAATTTACCGAGCTCAGCAGCACGCTATGAAGATATTGATATGTGGTGACTAATACCTGCCGTCAATAACTAAGTCAATCAATTGGTTAACTAGAGATTCAGTGACTATGGTGCTCAGCGGGAGATTGTAGATCTACAAGCTGGTATTATGTTCTAGCTCAATGATGGGCGCCTCAGAACTTGAGCTGATCTATCACCTAGAGTACCAAGTAGGTGATTTAGTTGCTACAACGGGACCTTCGAAACGGCGACCCGAGTCAAAGAATGCATGAAAGCGTTTTGCAGGGTGGTTGGAGCATGCGACAGCCGAGACAGACTGTGTCTAGACCTTGATGAGCCATTTTGACCCGTGAAGATGGGCTCGTCTGCCTTTGTAGACGCAGATTGATCTATCGTGCAGAGCCCATGCGTGCCGCAAGCACCACCAATGATGGCATGATGCTAGTGCGAAATCTTCGCTCGGGTGAAGATCCCGGTCTCAGATCCCACTTGTCCGTGGTCTGGAAAAACTTGTTTTCGGTTTGATGCAAGCTAATCTCCTTTTCGATCTCATTTCGGCGTATCTTGGGTTGTCTGGCGGCTCAAATGACTTGATCCTTGTTTGCGCAGTGGCAAATTACTGGTACGGCCGAAATGGTGCCTGACTGCCGACGGACAGCGTCAGGTACCCGACATCTCCACACAAAAGCCACAGATCAAAACAAGCCACAGCGCTTCCCCACAGCCGATCCTGTCTGGAATGTTTAGTAACATACCACCCAGCAATAACCCCCACGTGGACAGGCCACATCAGGTTGATCTAGACCGGGTTTGGTGGTTGATATCGCACCGAAGGATGAGCAGGACATGGGAACAGATCGCCGGATGCATCAAGATCTCCTTTCTGAAATCTGACCTTGATTGAAGCCAATGACCGTGCGCGGATGTTGTCGAGGGAGCCACACGGGAAGTTGTTAACTATATCCACAGTATGACATCAGGCTTGTGCCGTGGCCGACTCTGCTCAGACCTTCCTCAGGTTCGACCATTTTGTAAACCAGATAAATTCCCATTAGTATATTACTCGTAACAGTACGGAGTACGTGCGGCTGTGACTTTGGCAGGCAGCAGGATTCGCTTGGTACTAGCTAAGCCCACAGGTACTAGCCATTCATCGGCAAGCTCGAATTCTAGTTTCTGCGCCCGGAGAATGGATATGATGATCGTTGAACTGACGTATGTACTTGGAGATTAGCGTTGGTGAAGCGCACACATGCGGCCATATCCTGGCATTGTAACTATAGGGACTGACCACACATTGTTAGTCCGACCTGTCACTCCTAGATATGCTCAGAATTGCCTGTCTGGAATTTCAAAGTCGGTTGGGGTCGAGATCGTGGCTTCCCAATTGCGGATATTCAAGGTGGCTGGGATTTACCAGATACCGGTTGTAACGAATGAGAGATTTTGGCGCCATATATGGGCGATAGACTGGAGGGTAAATTACCGTAACTTGAGTAAAGCGCCAAGGTATGGGTGGGACTAGCCGCTAACAGCGTCCAATCAAAAAACAGTCGGGCATGCCCAGCCTCCGGCCCCTTGTTCCCAGCCACTTATTGCGTGCAGCTGTCATCCAATCAATGCGATGCATTCTTATCGATAACGTCGGCCCTCAAGAATAGCATCATCCACCAGACGGGCATTCATTCCGCTCTGACTCCCTCGCTCCACCTCTGGTCGATTTTCTTCTCTCATCTCTCTTTCTCCATCTCCATCCCACATACGTTACTCTTCACCTTGGTCGAATAGGCTGTTAGAGTGGCTCTGGGCCTCATACAGTCGTTCGCAACTACGCATTCCCCAGTGCTGCTGACTGGCAACATCCAAGCGTTCATCCACTGTGCCACATTCGTTCTTCTATACCTAGCGTGCATCCCCCACATACTCTCGTTACTCGACATCCTCTTATCTTCATCGTATATCCTCTCTGTAAAGGCCAAAAAATTATCCCCTCTCTCGCTTTCTTCTCGCTCGTTCCACCCATAGTTCCTCCTTATTGATCCTCAATCCAGCCATGGACGCCAGGCCATCCAGAAGGGCCATGGCTCATGCTGCTGGCATCTTTGCAGACATGTCTGTCGACGGACCTCCCATCGGAACATTAGTGATTATTGTTGATCGTGCCAAAAACTTGCCTAATCGGAAAACAATGGGCAAACAAAATCCTTACTGTGCCGCCCGCCTGGGTAAAGAGGCCAAGAAGACAGAAACTGATCTTCGTGGTGGCCAGACCCCTCGATGGTAAATCCTCTTCACACTGTAAGGCATCTAGCATGTTACTGATAGCTGCTAGGGACCAAGAGCTTCGGTTCACCGTTCATGAATCTCCAGACTACTTCAAGCTCAAGGTGTCTGTGTTTAACGATGACAAGAAGACCGATCTTATCGGCGAAACCTGGATCGATCTCAAAGATTTGATCATCCCTGGTGGCAGCCAAAATGATCACTGGCATCCTTTGCAGCATCGTGGGAAATACGCAGGCGAAGTACGTCTTGAAATGACCTACTACGACACACGGCCGGAGGATGAGGCTGTCATCGAACGACGAACCATGGGAACTGAGAAAGTTCACACCAGAAAAAGTATGCCTTCGGCACCAAATGTCACTGCGCCATCGTCGTCTTCGTCCTCTGGTCTTTCAGGGCCTAGACAGTTGAAGGATGTCAAGAGACGTCCCCTGCCCACCGATCCAACTAGAGCACGTCCTTCCTACCCCGAAAAGGTACCATCAGCTCCGGTGCCTCAGGCCCCTACGCGACCGGCCTACCACGAACCCACACAGTCCGCTCCCGTCGTAGCAAACAATGCACGACCGATTCACCTTCACGGGCATCCTGAATGGACTTACGAGACACCTGGCGATGTTCAGAACTGGAGCTCGTCTCATGCTCACGGACCGGCGCCAACTCAGATGAAGTCCCAGGACTACTATTACCACTCCCGTGATAACCAAACAGACGCTGTTCGTCAGGAAGTTCCACCGACCGGCTCGACCAATCCACTTAACCTACAAATGCGCAACGAAATCCCACCTTACTTGAGCAATCCTCTTTCTCAACAGTCTCAAGTTACCGAGGAAAATATGCGTCCACAAAAACACAAAGGCAACTATCCATTCTCTTCATCTGAACAGTATGTAAGCAATCTGTCGCACACTGGGCTTGGTCACTACGCAAGTCAAGCACCTCCGAGCTCGTCTTCCACCACTTCAAGCATCATGCCGATATCAAGTGCCTCGAACGTACCAACTGCATCGAGCAGCTCAGATGGTGGAAGCGCAGTCTATCCCAGTTCTCACAAAAGTGCTTACTCGAGCGAGCCAAGCACGGTTCATCCTTACCCTCATACCTACACAAATAGCAGCTCCTATAGCCAGTCTACCGACTACAGCTCCGAAAATTATTCAGAATTTAGTGATATGGGACCCAGCGCGGTCACCCCAGTTTATTACGGCAAAAGCATCAGCGAAGGTGGGCGTCCCATCCCTCAGTATGTGTGGGCAAGAATGCAGCCTCGGGTCGAGGACGAGGACGATGAGAACAACTTCCCACCTCCGCCACCAGCCCATAGGGTCAAGCTCGTTCATGTCAAGAATATAAGACCCCCTTCGCTTGTGTCAACTGCATCTGGCCATCCATCAGTCTCTTCTGGTCTTCCTTCCAACTACACAACAGCTACGACCGCAGTTGACAGTGAGATGATGAGTGTGGTCGCTAGAAACTCAAATCCACTCTTTGAACATCAGGATAGACCTTCTTCTTCGAGTGGTGCCTCTGTGCCACCTAGTCTTGTTGCTGGCCTCGACCCGGTCATTGCTGACGCAGAGTCGGATCGGGTCGCATATGAAAGGGAAGCACGACGCCGAAGCGGTATTTTCGAAGAAAATCCACTGAGAAACCCTCCACGTGATTTCTCTCCAGCACCACCATATCCTTTGGATACTCCACCCTTGGACAGTCACAGCTCTATTGTGAGCCATTCGTCCATCAGCTCCAGTTCCGATAGGCAGCTGGTACCACGCCGCAAATCGGTCAGCCCCCGGCCTCCAAGTATGAAAGAGCGCGGCGTATCTCCTACTCCGTTCTCTCCAGATTCGTATGACGCTCTGAATCCAAACGCGTCACGGTCTGTGATCACACGCGATGCAGCCCACGCTTACGAAACACCTTCCCAGGCAATGGAGGTAGCGAAGCGTGGCGACATGGACACCACTCGAGACATGGGTCCAATTATTGGAGACGATGGTCGCGAAATTGACCCGTCTGACCATCTCCCTACAGACACCTGGGCACCTGAGCCCGAACGCAAGACAAAGAAGCCTGGCGTCGTTGTACGCTTTCGAAACCCTGCTCATCGGGCCAATCCCTCCACACGACCCACTACCGATGGCACAGTTGAGCGTGGGTTCGGCATCCGACGTCTGCCAGCATATCTGGATGGGGCATCCGACATGGAACGGACCCCTCGATCGACACGACGCGAGCACAGCCGCGGTCGTGAGGAGTATAACAGTCATGGACACACCCAAATTTATAGTTCGTCGAGCCCAAGTTCCCATGGGCACGTGACACATCGCAAATCGGTCTCTCCGGCACCATCTCACTCTCCCTCGCGCATGTATGCGCCTACCAACATTGGACCACCTATTCCTTCTAAAGTTCCTATCGCACAGGCGATGAATCAGAGCTATCCTGTCCTTGGTGGCAATATGGGCATGGACGCCCTCAGTCGAGAGTTGAACTCTATCGATATCGGATCTGTGGGTTGCAGCGGTGGTAACCGCAGCTTGAAGAAGTACGCACCCAAGACCATGGGATATGCAGTTTAGATAGATCTTTTCTTTCTTTTTTTTTTTACCTTTTCTATTGTTCTTGATTACGAGGATTGGAATTTGGGAACGGGGCTTGTTAGTTAGTTAGTTTAGTAGTGGGTTGGTAAGGGGTTCGGTTGGGTAGTCAATGGTTAGGTTAGTTAGATATATGGAGTTTGGAAAGGCTCTGTGGGGACGGAAAGTGGTTATGGAGTTATGGTATCGGGACTCTGGAGACTTGCATGTTTTCTTTAGGATAGAATTGTCCTTCCAATGATCAGAATCAATCTATGCATCTGATCCAGCTCTTGTTTAAGCCCGCTGTAGCCCCATCGGACGCCTTCCCTCAGTGGTCTGAGCATAAGCTACCTTGTCTCTAACTTGTATTACTTACCACCATGCCCATGACGTCTTTATGCTCCATAGGATGATGATTTCCAGTACTTACCCTAGTTGGGCTATTGCTGTTGAAGAAGCAATCTCGGTGACCGAGAGAGAGAGAGGGATGTCCTCGAATTACGGGGTCATTTTCCCTTGAGAACGCCCGACATGAACATTCTCCCAATTGCCGCAAGAGTTCATTTATTGTGCGGGCCCAAATCCGAGCTACTTAGTGGTCGATTAACTCATTGACTCGCTGCATGCCGATCCGATGGGGCGGCATCACTTATTAGTTTAGGGTGTCCAGTATTCAGACAGTATGTATACGGACACAGATATGTACACAGTACATAGTGTGGCTATGACTTAGTGATTTTCAGCTGGACTCTGGTATATACTGAAAGTGGATCATCCTACAGGGCTGCCTCTATGATGCAGGATCGTCACGGGTAGCCAATCATGGAAAAGAGCCGGCACTGACACATGGATCGTCTCATCTAAGCATGACGCTATTCTTGTTTCCCTCTGCTCTCAAAAACTGGAACTGACTTCATAATCCTTTACTCCGGAAGGATGGACTTTTTGAGTACTCCGTGACAAAACGAGGGCGCGCGCCCTGCAAATTAACTTCGTTATGACATCATGCTTGCCACAGAGCCGCAGTATAAGAATCTCCCCGCAAACCACTGCACCCACACTCCACAACATTCTCCTGAACCCTTTTTTTTAATCTACCTAGCGCAAGCGCAAGCATTGACAGTTCACTCGATTGAAGATAGTACCTCTTTCCCACTCCAAGAGGACCCTCCACAATCTCGCAATCCCTACCCGTTTAATCCAGCGATTTACACCGCATCGCCAAAATGTCCTACAACTCCTCCTCCACCTCCTACTTCGAGTCCTCTTCCTCGCACTCCTCCTCGACCACTTCCAACGACCAGAACCAACCGCCCCAAACCCACGAATCCGGATACCGATCCGCCTTTGCCTCGCACACCGACCCGGAAGGTAACACCACCGTCCGCACGGGCCATCAGAACCTAGGCGAGGAGCCCGTCCTCAAAGAGAAGCGCTTCAGTACTTCGGGCCGGGAGCGCGAGATGATGTTGGCGGCTGGTACCCCGATGGGCGGCGTCAGTCGCCTCCAGGATCTGAACGAGTCGACGGGGGATACCTATTAGGTGTTTATTCCACCGTCAAGCCATGCCAAACATGTTCCTGGGGGATGTATCTATGAGGTGGTGGTAATACTTGGTCTAATGTAACGTGGAAGAATGCCTTGGTCGGCACTACTGGTAGTGACTGATCTAAACTTGATGAATATACGATTTTCTATGGCTGGGAATTATCGACACTGGGTGTTCTTGTTTCACGTCAGTTTCAGGTTGCAATTCTTTTATTTGTCGGTAGTAATCTTGATGAGATAGAGGTAGATATCTGTCTGTCTCTCAATTCATTGAAGTGCCGACTGCATCTTATGCTTTGAATACATGACTTTCCTTTGCATTGCTATTGACTTCTCTCCTGCAGACATGGGCACTTGAGACAATCTGCGTCCTGGCTAGTGGTAGGTTGTCTTCTAGGACCACTCACTCATCTGATAACCTATGAGCAGTATATATACACTTTAGCTTTATCACTTAATGGTCTACCCATGAACCTTATGTTCACTTCCAACCGCCCAGGTCTGGGATAATGCCCAACACCGAAGCTTATTCCGCCCAGCCGCGCACCACGCCCCTTAAAGTCTCCAACAGCCACTCCTCCCTCAACCCGATCGCCACGACGAACCCATGTCCACGCCCTCCCCCCCCCGGCACCGTCACCGTCAGTTTGCCAGCATCCTCAGGGCGCAAGGCTTTCTTGGCCATGTTCACTAACCGGATACTGTCCGCCACAGACACAATCTCATCCGCCGCGCTGTGTAGAAACGCGATCCCGCCCCTCAGACGGGAGAGCGTAGAGCGGCCAGAGAGGGACTTGTGTACTTACTAGGCCTCCTCCGTGGAAGTGGATGATGATCGGGAGGGGCTTTGAGGGTTGGGGAAGGAACTTGGGGATCAGAAGGTCAGTTTCGATTTGTTGATTGTTGTTGATGGTTTTGTAGGGGACCTGAAGGTGATGGAAAGGTAGCAGGCCGGGGGTCTGGCGACTTGGTCTGCTGAAAAGATCGGTGGAGGGCGCCAGATAGGACACTCGGCTGATGATTGGAGTGAATCTACATGAGTGGTCGGGCCTACAGGCTACTCTTATACTTCAAGCTCTCTATATAGTCCTGGATGCTTGTATACCTCGGGATTCTCAGGCACAATCTCCGTGTTTGCCGGATTTACAGGGCAGAGTGGGGGAATCACAAAACCACCAAACATCCGATTCATGGCTGCACTTTATGCGCAAGCAGATCACAACATGGCTGCTTGAGACAAATGTTGCAAACGTCGGCGTCGTCCTACTTGCGACAATCAGTTCTTGCAGCGAGACTGGCAGGTAATAATATTGAGTAGTAGTAAATTCAATGCCCCCTTGAACTCCAATCACCAAACAAACCCCAACGTTGAAGTAGGGGCATTAGTACTATTATGAGACACAACACCAGTCCGCAACCTGCAGCAACCACCCACAGACTTGGAAATCCCGGAGGCACTCAAGCCATAAGTATTCATGACAAGCTTTCTCTCCCTCATGCTAGACACTCTCTACGCTTGACAGTTTGGTGCCAATCATCTCTTCCAGGGCCCACGGCTTGCACTCAACTGCAATCAAAAGCGACCTGACAGCATTCCCATCCGCTGAGTCCCGAACACTCCCTGCAGTACATCTTCTTGCCTAGGTCTGTCTTCCGCCCCGCATACATGAATGAGCCATCCGGGATCCTTCCCCCGCCGGTAACAGTGAGCTCCACCGTCCAGGGAAGCAGTGAGTAGATGGTCCATTTGCCCGTGTCGCTGTCAAACGGTCGCGCCCCAAGTCCACGGCAGTACCGATCATAGACAAAGACTTCGCGGATCTTGGTCCCGGACGACGGGATGTAGCTGGCGATCCCGAGATTGCAATAGCCGGCGCCAGTGCCCGCGCACATGGCGGGGAAGTTCTGGGGAAGGTCGAGAAGTGGAGAATGGGTGGCTGCGTCAATGAGGTGGGCGAGATCGGTTGGAGCAGCTGCTGCCAACAGGCCGAAAAGGGAAGAAAAAGTGATGAGGGTGGTAAGAGGTTTCATGATTGTTGCGATCAGGGTAGTGTGGACCACCAGAATCTGATAGTAGTAGGTATCCTGTCAGTAGTCGAAGGTAGTTTGGGCTCAGTCAGTCCTCACTCTGGGGAAGGGCACATAATAATAACTTCCTCCATGTTTCTGTTGCCTAAACCCCCTCAGCCGGTCGATTGGGATTCCGTCCAGCCACCGAGTCACCCCAGTCTGTTCCAGGCAAGGTCGGGATGACAGACCCTAGCCACAGTGCAAACGAGCCAGAGAGTATATGCACTCATGCCAGGGAACGAGGCAGCGCAATCATCGATGGCAACACCATCCAGGGTAGTCTGTCGGGGCTTGAGGGTAACACCACTGCCGGCAGGGTTAGTTAATCTGCAGGTTGGTATGACGGTTAGCAGGACATGGGTCCACGAACTCGACTCGAATTCAATGACTTGACGGTAGGATGATGACGACAGTTCGGTCATTTGCAATGTCGTATTGGACGGATCTTCTATGCCTTATCTGTACTACAGTCAGGTCTCGCGGATTATCTGTTTGGAGCTCCTCGCCCGGGGGATCCATGCAGCTCTGCCGTACCTACACGGACTGGCATCTCGGTGTTTCGGGGTTAGGGACATCCGGGTTCATGGACGTGGATTTCTGTTTGCTTTGGAAATGTCGTCTATCAGTATCAATCTAGGCACTCGCCAGAAAGGTTCAAACCTGCTTCGATTAGATACCTGATCATGCAGCCACCTTGGCGCTTCTGCCTGCCTTGGCAGTATTTATGGACACCGTGATCGCACAGGAATGAATGAGTGAACTGCATCTCTGAAAAAAGGAAAAAAAGAAGACTTTAAAATGGACAGATCAGGCCATGTCAAGTGCTGCACTTGCACGTTGAAATGAAAACAGCCTGGTGGCAAGTCTCGTCTGATGGGATAGAGTAGAGTAAGTATTGGAGAATCAAAGTTGACGCTCACGACGTGCTTTTGAGCAGCAGCTTGCAGCGCTCCCGAGTACCTCTCAGCATCCTTCGTATGCGCGACTATCTTCAATTTTACATATTCCTGCTGATCAGGTTCTCAGGCCAACAGTTCTCTTCTGTAGCTTCGCTCATGCACCCACTTGACCCCCACAGAAACTTCAACCATATCCTTGGGGATGCACCGAATTCGCTTTGAGGTGTATCATCTCTGTCCTCACCACGTATGATTCCCGCGAATCTCTGCTCTGGCAATTTGTCTCATTCTTAGGACATCTCAATTGTTACCGGAGATGAGTTCAGTCGAGGTCAGTGCAGCTGTGGGTTCTGACCACCGAAAGAGATAGGTTTCCTATTTCAGATACGGGAATCGACTCACTTCACTTCAATGGGGGAATTTCACTTTAGAACAACGAGGTGAAACAAACACTCAAGTACTTTGAAAAGGTTCTCAAATAAGGCGTTATTTGCACAAAGTATTGAGCGCATGTGGAAGGAAAATCTTTGTGAATTGGTCAAAACACACCCCTCACCTGTGAATCATGAATTCTGTCGAGCCATGTAGAGCTTGTAAGCCTAGCTTGTGTATGATATGACCAAGTGTCGGATTTGCTCGGTTCTTAATATTGAATCGAGATGAAATGGCGTCGCCGATGTCTACACAAAAGCAGCTGTCCTTCCTGTGTTCAACTTCTTTGTTCCACTTCGATCTCTCACATCACTAAGACTGCCTCCTCTCTCCTCTACATTACTCTGTCGCTTCCCCTCAATTTCCTAGCTCTAAGTAACCATCAGGTGTACTCAGAACGTCTTCAAGGGCTCAATTGAGTTCAAGAAACTACATCGCGTGTCTTTGATCATCATGCACCCAGACCAGAAAGGGCAAAGTCACGGATGCACGAAGCCCACAGGACCGAAGTAAGAAAACCGTACCTCTTCAGCTAAATCCGATATAGAGCATTAAGCATGTTGTCTACAGATCCTCAAACTCCATTGTCCGCGCCGACAGTGATGGAAGCACGAAGAAAACCCCCATCAAGACAACACAAACCGTTGAAGAGTTGAAGGCCACTCTCTCAGCACTCCGGAGCATGAGACCCTCATGCACTCCGCTCGAAGCCCTGGATCAGGAGCTGAAGAACCTTTTCGAGGGGGGCGTCCAAGCCGCCTCGTGCCGATGCATCGCGCTGCGTTCGGCAGTGCTGCGTGGTCAAACCACAGTCCGCCTGCGACCACGAGCCTCCTTGAATCGACAGTTGGATCTCCCCATTCCGTCGTTCTGGAACACGGCTTTCATAGCCACGACGGTGGTGCTTCTCTTCGCTAGCCCTCCGGACCCAGACGCGACGCTCGCGGCTCTCAGCTGGTTGTCTTATGAGTTGGGCGGGGTACCAACGATGACCGATATCCGGAAGTATGCGTCTGCGGACCTGTCAAAGCGCTTCGCCCAGGCGAAGAAGGTCGCGATCGATGGCAAAGTGGCCAAAGTGACTGTCTTGGGGGTGGATCTTGTTGACGTGGAGATTATCGATCGGTGTGAGATCCAGAGCCGCGACATGGAATATACGTCCTTTGCGCATTCGTTTGTCCTGGCTATTGGGAGAGAAGGTTTCCGCATCTACGAGGCGTGGCGTGAGCACGGTTATCGGCTGGATCAGTATCTGATGAGGGGCGGCTCGAGACTTCGTACGTGGGCAGAATCGAAATCTTTCCTCAAAAGCTTCAACAAGCTCTGTCAACCGCAGGTAAGATGGCTTGATTGGATGAGCTAGGTGTGAATTGTATCTAACGTTTGCACAGAAACAGTGGTCGCCTGAGCTGAACAGTGCCTATGAAGAGTGTTTCGGTATCAACCTCGACTCGTTCTGTGGGAAAGGACCCCTTAAGTATCCTATTATACCTGTTTATCGACCCTGGGTCAGAATCTTTGAGATCAACGACGTCAAAGTTGAGGATATCAGGAAATTCACATGGGAGGGGACACTTTAGGCATAGCGAACCGGTACCTTGTCAGCTAAGATTGTTGTTGAGTTCATCGGTGGGCGAAGCCGTCGACTGACCTTTGTCGAACTTGAATTGGCACTGTAGATCGCTTTCCAACGACTTCGCATTGTTTATGATGAGCTCGTTTGGTGCTATGCGAACAATAGGCCATGAGAAGAGTGTTTGAAAAGATACCTGGGAGTGTGCGGAGAAGGTGCTCTCTTATAGTACCGTATTTTGCGATGCAGCTCTTTCTGCTCACTTATTGCCTTGCCACGGACAACGTGTAGCACAACCCGTAAGCGAGAAATCGAGGCCAAAGGGGTCCCTGGAGATTTGGCTCAGAGATGAAGCCCCCTCGTATAAATCACCCAGCCTCCATAGTAGAGTACAAGCAATAAGCCCAGGCTCCCCAGCGCATCAAACGGAAGAACTATGAAATTGATCACCAATTGAAACTTGGTCATTTTTCTGAGGAGCGCGGGGGCTGGCGGGGAGTCATATCAAGTAGTAGACTCCTGGTAGTGTAAATCGTCAAAGCAAAGAGAACCAATGCCTTCCACTCCAGTCCCCTCCGAGTGATGCCATATCGCTCATAATGAGATCTATGGTTTTGGGGGGAGAGGGAGGGGAAGGGGTCTTCTAACTGCAATGTAAAATGAACAATGCTGGGGTGCAGGGAGTATAGAGTGATCTACTAGCTACAAGGTGGGGATGTCAGCTTGTAGCAGCCCCCCGGCTGGAGCTCCCTGTTCCTTATCTTATCGCAATCAGTCAATCCATGCAATGTCCATTCACCACCCATCTTCCCCTGATCCTGAGCATAATCCATTGGCACCCATCATACTCATCATCATCATCAAAATTCACAATGGCCACTCCGCTGCCACAGACGGACACGGCCATCGACCAACCGCCGGTATTCAACTACATCCTCTCGTTCCTCCTTGTCGGCGTCGCATGGGGGTTCACCACCCCCTTCATCCGCCGCGCCGCCGCGGACTTCAACGCCCGCCAGGAGGCCCGAACAGGGCCAGCACCAGCACGAGCGCACCAACAGCACGATGCCGACAATGTTTCCCCAAACAACGAGCCCAACAGCGACGACGACGACGAAACCGTACCTCTAAACCCTATTCCCACCTCCCGCGGACCGTCAGAGCACGAGCACAACCAACCCTCGACCGATAACAGTAACGATGACAACCTCAGCGAAACCGACCTCCCACCACCTCCACCTCCACCATCGCAACAACCCGCCTGGATGCGCCAGCAGTCCGCTTCCGCGCAGCAGAAATCCTGGCTAAAGACAAAGATCGTGTCTGTGTTCTGGACGGTGGTCAACCTCCTTCGGACCCCCGCCTATTCCGTTCCATTGGTAGTAAACCTGACGGGGAGTATTTGGTTCTTTCTACTCGTGGGGAAGCATGGTATGTGTTGATTCCACTTGCAAAAATTCACTGCCGTTGTCTGTGTGCGCGCGCGCGGGGGCAAGAGCGAGTTGAAAACTACTGGGTTCACAGCATTATTCGATCCAAGATCGCTGCTAATCCGAAGTGACAACCGCGTTCGCTATACAGAACTTTCTTTGACCGTTCCCCTGGCCAATTCGAGTGCCTTCTTGTTCACGGTGCTAGGCGAGTGGTATGTCGAGCGGAAGGTGATCGCACGGGAAACGTGGGTCGGAATGGCGTTGGTGTTGGGGGGGATTGCGATTTGTGTCTTGTCGAAATCTTAGCGGATAGTAACTTTATAGGCTTTAGATCTGAGGTTGACCGCTGTGCAAGCACTGCGTCTGAGTATAACTTGTAAGAATGATTCCCGTGAAGAGATGGGCCCGAAACAGAGATACTGGACCAACAAAAAAGAATTCACCAGGGTAGGTGTGAAGGTATCACTGCATCATCCGTGAATCGAACACGGGCCTCATCGATGGCAACGATGAATTCTACCACTAGACCAATGATGCTACTTGATATTAACCTCGTATAATTCTAGCAATCTATTCCTTAGCATAAAGATCGCATATGAGCACTGGCAAAAACCGCAAATCAACCCATCAGATGATGGTAGGCATACTATACAATAAATGATCTTCCTTGTCATTGTCATTCGATTTACATGGTCTACATACATCATCTCCGTCCCAAGCATCAAAACATTCGACTCACAAGTCGAGAAAGTGTACAATACAGTATGCGTGCATCAAATCATGAACCATCCAATATTGTTTGTCTCTTTCGTCAGATCATACCACCGCCAGCGGCATACCAGGGAGCATCGTAACAATACATCAATTGCAGAACTCGACTTACTCTCCGCGGAACTAATGATGGCAAAGTTAGCTTGCGTACAATGACACGACACCAGACCAGATACTGCGAAAGACCTACCATTCGCACAACCAAATACCACATTGCGCCGATGAATTTGAAGATCGACAACCCTGCTACACTCCACAGAACGACCGACATGTAGATCGTGGCGCGCGTGTTCTGCGTCGCCTCCGTGTCGCTGTCGAACGTCTCCAGGCCTGCAGCGCTCAGCACCACCGCTGCCAGAGCAAAGTTGCAGAACACCCAGGCCAAGACGACCGCACTGCGGAACCCCTTGTAGTAATCCGCCTGACGATCTTCTTCCGAGATGTTTGGTACTTCCTTGGGTGGCTTGACCGCGAACTTAGCCAATTCGGCCTCGTATTGAGCATTGAGGTCCCCGTCGTCTTGTGGAATGTTGACGTCGACCTTGCCGCCGGGCTTCAGATTCGCCGAAGGCAATTTCTCGGCTTTGTCATCACCTTTTGTTCCCCACGTAATGTCATGAGTATTGCAGAAGGCGTAGATGTTAAGGACGTTGATGTAGGTTGGCGTGAGCAGAATGTATTGGAGAAACTGTTCGGATTAGTGGGAGCGTTCGAAGGTGTGAGTTGACAGGAGCAAACATGAGTACTCACACTGGTGAACATGTGCCAGGGATCGAGGAATATGAAGGACGCAAGGAACCACATCACGTATGTTGAGCCGAGCGAGACGATGATCGAAAAGAACTGGTAATTGGTGAATAGGTCGGAAAAGGTAAAGCTATTCTCCTTGACTTGCTCTTCAATCGATTTTACCGTGACAAATATGGCTGCAAATGCCAGATAGATCATAATGCAAATCCAGAAGTAGACCATCGTCATATAGAACTTGTTCGAACCACCCGGTCGATTACCCAACGCGAGGACGAAGCATGTCACTAATGTCGCCAGGTATAACCACTCGAATACCACGCCAAGAATCTTACCCACCGTGCCCAAGAGTGAGGAGTCTCCCAGGTACGAAGTGAGAATCTTGAACACCAAGAAGAAATTGCCCTGAGACTCGTTAGTGGTTACAGCTGAAAGAATGAATAATTTTGAGAAAGGGCACTTACAATCCCGAACCAAGCGAAAAGCATGTTGATCGTTTGGTAAATGAATTCGATCAAAAGCATGAACTTTCGCATAAAGCTGTGGTCACTCCGCCAGAGCTGATAAAAGTGGGCAATGGCGTAGACCGCAGCGAAGAAACTACCGTTTAGCCAGCGCCGACGCTGCAGAATAAATTCTGCCATTCGATCGGGCACATCAGTCTCACCAGTGGAAGACTTGACATACTGCAACAACCATCGACAATTGCGTTTGGACACCAGCTCGAAACAAAGGATTCGGTCCTCAGCGAGGTACATATTCGCCGTGAAGATACCGGCATTAGCACCGTGCATCTTCTCACCGGCAAAGTAGCGCTCCAGCGGACCTTGCCCGTTCTTATCATTCTGCAGCGCAACGTATCGATAGGCCGAAAAAGCACCAGGTAGAACACTGATGAACCCAAACGCAGACTCCAAAGGCTTGTCCAGAATGTTACTGAGCTTGTACTCGAAATTCTGTCCGGCGACCAGAGGATTAAGTAGCTTTTTGCCTTTGTCCAACATGACCTTGATCTCACCACAAGCGCCACCGCACATGGGATTAACGTCGAAGGCTTTCCAGAGATGGTAGATCGAGTCCTTTCCCGGGCGAGTACCAGCGTCAAGCAAGACACAAATATTGGGGTCCAGCACGCGACCAAATGCCTGAAAGAACCACCGGTGGGAGTTGATTTTCTTCTGGTTCTTCTCCTTCAGACAGAAAATCATTTGAACCGGAACACCGGTCCGGGCCTTGAGGTGAACCTGAGTGCCCTTCAACTCCAACCCGACCTGGGTCGTGTACTCGTAAATATGTGCTGTTACATCCTTGCCATTGACCTGCTGTTTGGCAATGCCATCTTGATAGCAACCGAGACCGGCCAGAACAGCACGCGTACGCGGGTTGATTTTCGCACGCCCGTCACTAATCACGCAAACCACGATTTTCTTCCAGGCATCCTTACCCCAGGTCTTGCTACTCGTCCTCGAGCACATGTACTCAATATTCTTGAACACGCCGATCATCGTTCGCGCAAAGAGGAAATCATCCTCATTGTACATAGTAACAGCGATGAACAGTTCCGTGTGCCGGGGCTTAGCAAAAAGCTTCTGCCGTAAAGTAAAGCGTTCCTCAAAGAAGTCCGCCGGGTCGCAAGTGGCGGCCGAATAACGCATGTGGGTAAATTCGTCACGGCCCGGGGGCTCAGCGTGCGGTACTTGGCTGAGCAGCTTTGGCGCAATCGGACAGTCCAGTACGAGGTTTCCATTGAATAGCTGGACTTCCTTCACTGTCTTCCATCGTCGCACAGGCACCGGGCTGGGGGTGTGAGTGTGGGCAAGCGTAGGGTCCTCCTCGTATTCATCGCTGTATGGGTCCGGCCCGAAGGGGTTGTCCGGTTGCAGGATGGGTACATGGTCATCGCTGTAAGTATGCTGATGCTGAGGTTGATGCTCCGGGTATTGTCCGAGATCATAATCATCCTCCGCTGGTATCACTGCTGGGTGATAGGGCTGGGTATAGTAAGCATCGTGGTGTGCTTCGGGGTCGATCGAATAATCATAACCAGGGTAAGCCTGCGGTTGGTGGTGCTCGTAGGCCTCGTTATGACCGTAGGAATTGGGAAGTCGTTCGACGGAGTACTGACAGCCCGTGAGAATGGTAATTAGCTCTTCGCACCTTTGCCTTCACAGATCAGGCATTCTCACCGTTGGTTGCTCGGCTAGTCGATCGCTAGAGGGCATCTCAAGATGCTCCTGTGGATAAGGATTATCCGACAACTGGTAAGCATTCAAGGGCCGACCCGGTGATGGTGACCGGGTATTCAAGTGGTGTGGGTTCATCATGGGGGTGTGCGTTTCCTCCTCCCCATAGGCGTCTCCTGCAGCGAACGATCAGTATTGCCGCTCTGGGTTCAATGCGCGACGGACCAAAAAGAAGCAAGTGCGACAGCAACCAGATTTTAGCGGAAGTCGTTCGCTGCGTTGTGACAGCAAAGTACGAGCGAGTACGAGCACACTGCCTTTGTCGCAGCTTGCTCGGTCGACTCTCAGACTAGAGTTTCAAGTTGGGAGGCTGGATGCGGAGAAGGGACAAATGCGCGACAACCCACTGCCGCGCAGCATGGCTTCACCGACAGGTCGGAACTTACCCAAACGATTATACGACATGATGGCCGCTAATGCCTCGGGCTATCAATCGTTTCGATGGCAATGCCCCTTGCGAATTCCTGGCGAGGGGAACTGGGGTGTTGATTGAGCCAAGCGGGCTCCGGGAATGTGGGTGTGAGTTTCGCAGAGCGCGGTTGAGGTTGAGAGGGTGCGAAACTCAGGTCGTGGCGGGAGTTTCAGGATGCGATAGGCGAAATTCAGTCCGAGGGTGATTGTAGGCCGGAGGAAAGGAGACGGAGGGACGGACAAAGAAGCGGAGATTCAACCACACAGGCCAAGAAAGGTGAAAGAAGGTGGAAATGGGGAGTCTTGGGACGAATTGGTTGATCTTAAAACGGACAGGGCTTATTTTTTCGTACTGGGGATGGGATGTGGTGGGGTTTGGGAAAGTACAGTACAGTAGGGAATAGCAGTGCCACGGTTACCTGCTGGGGGCTACCCGGAAATGTTATCGAGTGCCCCGTAAAACTACGTACTATACACAGTATACTATACAATCAAACAACAATATGAGCTATTGTGATTCCATTACGCTTAGCGGCAAAATATTGAAGCCCGTTGACCAAGGAACCGCGGGGACGATCATTCAAGATAACCAGCCTCAGGAGGCTACTGGGAGGGGTTATGCGAAGCGATTGATTAATGAGATTGCCTTGACGGCTCAATCATCATAACAAACATGATGCAGGCTCCACTCGGGTTACGATGCAGATGACGAGGGGTGATATTGATGCTGCCTTGGTAAGTTAGTTAGCACTCTGCGAGTCTGCAGCAGGTTCCGGGCAACATTCCTGAAAATCAGAAAATCCAGCTTTTTCCCCAGAGTCTCACTTTTGCCAGGCTGTCACATTTTTCCATCATTAATTCCTATGCACAAAAAACTGCGTCCCTGATACGGATACAATTGGAGGTCCATGGATCGAGCTGATCAATTGCAAGTAGAGCCATGGCTATGGATGGCTACTCTAACCCCCCACTGGCGGTCACTGGGCCAACCGTAGGACAGCTTCGGTCTTCACAGCCACGGGGCAGTGTGGCGCTGGCTTGCTTTCTATATCTGCAAGGCAGCCTGGTGGACTATAATTATCCTCTTATCGGGTCTACTGTAGGACTACTCCGTATATCAAGCCCTACAGTTCCATCTGGAAAGTCGTTGCCTATCTGTTGTTTGTATGATCAGATGCAGCTCCCCGACTAGCGACGTCATAGTTCATTCTCGTGTCTCACTTTATCTTTGTTCCTATTCGTGAAAGCTGGCTTATAGGAATTCGTATAAACGTCGGAACCATTTCAAAGGATCCATGCTGCTGGCCCGCAACTGGATACACGCAGCTTAAGAGCGGGTTTTCTTCCAGCTGGCACAGCTTACTTTTGTGCTCGCAGCGTGCTTCTGTCCGGGGTAGAGGGGTACGTTAATTCTAGCCAGTCACGGAGCCTGTCAAGAAGTTCGTTGCAAAGTCAACAAACATTGTGGATAAGACACCGACTTCGCCATGTCAACATGATTATCCCTGACAGCGTGCTGTAGTGTCAGCGCACGTCAAACCCCTCGCTGCCGCACGTTGCAAATTTACTCGATGAGCAAACTCAAACAGCCCTCCTGTAGCCTTTCATAAAGGTACCAACCATGTGGCGACCACTGGGAGTCAGGCACAGCCAAATGACGCTGTAGTAATGCCTTGCGCCTCAGGCATCCGTACACTATCGATAAGAATTTGCGCCCGCCGCATCCCCGCTGGCCATCAGCCACAATTGGAACCAATCATTCTTTCAACAATCCACATCTCGCGTTTCCTGAGCCTATCTCAGTCTATAAAATCCATATTCATACCTCATCATGTCTGCTACGAAGACCGCGCCCGCTGGACGGCAAGTCAATGTCCTTTTCGTTTGCCTAGGCAATATCTGTACGGCTAGGATCTACCCCATCTCCCCGCATTGGCGCGGCTTCAGAGTTCTCTGTCTAACAACTTCCCCAAGGCCGCTCTCCCATGGCTGAAGGAGTCTTCCGACACGTGGCTGCCTCTCATCCCTTGATTGACAGGATAGATTCGGCTGGTACTGGTGCTTACCATGCCGGTGAGTCCCCAGACCATCGGACCATGACTACACTCCGAAGCCACGGGATCACAAGATACGTGCACGCCGCACGCAAGGTCACCAAGGAGGACTTCTTGACATTCGATTACCTCATGGCGATGGACAAATACAACCTCCGCGACCTTCAAGAGACCCGCGAGTCGGTTCTGGCGTCGGCAAAAAAGTCTGGCGCCAAGGTCGCGGAGGTTCGCTTGTTCGGTGATTTCGGACCGGGCGGAGCCTTGCACGAGCGGATCGGAGGAGGCGAGGTGGTTCAGGACCCTTACTATGGTGGTGTCAATGGTTTTAAAGAGGTGTATGAGCAAGTAACTCGGTTCTCGCAGAACTTCATTGATTACCTTGAGAAGAACCAAGGATCCGAGTCGGAGAACTAGAGATGGGTAATGAGATGCATGAAGTTCACAAGGCCCGTCACATTGAGGCTACAGAGCACCGGCTTTTTTATCAACTTGTGAGTTAGTATTACCATAGACTACTTTTGCTTTGAGCGGGATAGATTGGAGCGAATGTCGATGCGGTTGATCGACTACACATGGGTGGATAAATATAGTACAGTATAGAAGATGAACCTAATCCACATGATGGTACTGGTGCGCCGCAACTACCCTTAGCTGCTTTACACGTCGTGTATCGTGAAACTTCAAAGGTCCTTATGATTCCGTTTATACCTTTTCGCTGATCTTGATGGCGGCCTTGCAACCATAACGGATGAAGTTGACCAAGGGATCATAAGGCTTGGCCTCTTTGGCATCATTTTCAACGGCGTGATCCAGGTGCTCTAATTCCTCGTCGCGGATGCGCCGGAAATTTGCAAGCATTTCCTCCAGTTCAGGGTCCAGCTCCTCACCCCGCCTTTCCGCCTCTGCCTTCCATGAAAGAATCTCCCGCACTTGATCGTTATAGTGGGATCCAATCTCAGTTTCTACAGCTTCGGTACACGCCATCGCCGCCTCACGCCCCATTACTCCGGTTGACCAGCCTAGAAACGTCGCTGCCGCGTACCATACTGGGTACATCGCCGTCGGTCGTACGCGATGCTTCGCGATAAGATGGTTGAATGTGTTGAAATGACCGACTTCCTGGTCATACATGTGCTTCATCAAGGGTCGTAAATGAGGATGTGAGCGCACGACTTGTGGCGTTTGCGCCGCGTAGATCAGAGTTGCCGCAAGCTCGCCCGCCTGATTGACTCGGAGGGCGCTATCAAGGAATTCGCGTTGATTCGCATTGAGAGCATATCTTGGTTTTGAGCCAGATGATCTTTGTGCCGAGCTTGCAGCGGATGCAGCGGACTGATTGGTAGCTGTGGAGTTGTACAGACGACAGCTCTGCAGCGTGGAGGGGGCGAGAAAGTCGAGCACGACTGGGGTGGCCGCCGTCGGTCGGAAGGATGCGGCAAAGCAAGTTCTCGCCAGCATTGTGAAACTCTCGGAGCCCGCTGGAGGGACAAAATAAAAGCAGTCTCTGTCGCGACAATACACAGTTTAAAAATTGTAAGGGACGATCACTCACTTCCTCACGATGCTGCCATGCTTTCCGAAGTGGCCCAACCGAATCGATCGAGCGAAGCCGCAGCCGCGCGCTTACCGCCTTGGCACGCCAACCCTGGAGCGGAACGTCATGAGCGAGGCTCATGAACTTCGCCAGGCGCTTCCTTTTCACCTCCCCGGTACTGAATGCTCAACTGACTTCTAGTTCATTGTCCTTCCGTCGCACGCTCAACCTAATTTTATCGTCTATTATCGCCGCGCACTCGGTATTATATAATTTTCTCGCTCGGAACTGTCTTGCCTACATTTTCTCACAGCGCAATCCGCTCTTATATAGCGCAGTTTCGTCCCAAGTCAACCTCCCGTTGTGGCCACATAAAGACTCTTCAATCGCCCAGCAACTGTCAGCTTACGGCTATATACTACTCTGCGCGCACCTTTGATAAACAACGAACCTTGTTGGGCTCCTTTGTTTCGCATCTAGGGGCCGGCGCTACTTTTCCAAGGCTCTCACAACCCGGTTCTCCGCACGCTTTGAGCCAACTCCACTGTACTCTTGCTTCACTATGGCGGATGCTCTCGATGCGGAGTTGCTGGCCTTGGCGGGTGATTCCTCCGACGAGGAGTCATCCCCGCCGACCAGAGAAAAGGCCGCCTCTCCTGTTCGTTCCTCTTCACCACCACAATCCCCGGCAGCATCATTCACGATGGATCGCAGAGGTACCGCCAAACCTGTGCGTCGAGGCCAGAAGTCTCGTCATCACGATGCAGAGGATGGTGAGCTGTAAGTGAAACCAGCCGACTCTGAGATCCACGTTGAAATTTCTCAGCCAACAATGAGGGCCGCTTGCTAACACTTGATCTTGGTCAGCTCTGCGGCCGAATCACTCGACTCCGCAAGTATGTCGGAATCGGATTCGGCGTCCGATTCGGAAGGCTCTGCCGATATAGGAGAAGACGACGGTCCGATGTTCCCCTATGAGAAGCTTTATTACTCGGCGAAGGACAAGGAGGAGATCATGGCGATGCCTGAAATTCAGCGTGAACAAATTTTGTCAGAAAGAGCGCAGGAGGTTGATCGTCACAACCAGGACCTTGCCCTTCGCCGTCTTCTGGCGTCTCGAGAGAGGGAGGAAGCTCGCAAGGCCAAGAAGAACAAGCGCAAGGCTAGCGTAGCAAATCTGGATGAGGGCCACCGCAAGAGTTCACGACAGAAGACTACACTAGGTGGCCGCAAGGTTGGAGAGACTTCAGAGGCGATCGAAGCCTATAAGCGGCAGCGCGAGCAGAAGGGCAAACGCGACGAACTTCGCCGTCGGGATCCTGCAGCCAAGGATCAAAAGGCCCGCACACGAGACGACAGACTCTCAGATGAAGATGCAGAAGGCGAGAGTGAGGTTGAATGGGACGACCGGGAACGCTCCCCCTCTCCCCCTAAGGACGATCCGCCGGCCGAACTCCGTGATATTCAGCGTACGCGCGTCGGTCGGAGTAATTTCGCGCAGGTCTGCTTCTATCCTGGTTTCGAGGAGGCTATTTCTGGGTGTTATGCTCGTGTCAATGTCGGCCCCAATCGCGATACTGGTCTTAACCAATACCGCCTATGCTTGATCAAGAGTAAGGAATCCTGCAATTAGCCCAGTCGCATTGCTGACGATGGTAGAAATCGTTGAGGAAGGGCCCATGTATGCAATGGAGGGACCAAACGGCCGGTCGTTCGCCACAAATCAGTATGCTGTGCTAGCGCACGGGAAGGCTGAGAAAAGCTTTCCCTTCATCGCTTGCTCAGACTCCCCGTTCACAGAGGTTTGTACCCTTGCTACCGAATTCCTGGGCAACCGATTAACGCTTCCAAGGCTGAGTTCAATCGCTACCGTCAAACTATGGCGATCGAAGACTGCAAGATGGCCACGAAATCGCAGGTTGCCAGCAAAGTCGCTGATATCAATCGCTTACTAAACCACAAGTTCACGAATGAGGAGCTGAACGAAAAGCTGCGCAAACAGGGATCTTTGGATACCAAGTCGCAATTCTTCAAACGTGTCGATGTGGAGAAACAACTCAAGCTCGCCAAAGCAGCCGGTGATGAAGCCGAGGTTGAGAGGTTGCAGAACGAACTGAATAGCATGGCTGCCCCCAAGGTCGCCCATGGCACCAGCCTCTCTAAGCCCCGATCAGACAAGCCCTCAGAGCATGAGCGTCTCGCGGAATTGAACCTGCGCAACCAGAAGCTCAACTACGAGAACGTCCGCCGTGCCCAGCTTGAAGAGCGGAAAGCAAGCCGCAAGGCCGCCGTAGCGGTGGCCCGCGGCGAAGCCACCATCAACCCATTCATGCGCGTTCGCACCCATGCTAAAACGCATTACGACGTCAATGGAAACAACGTCTCATCGCCCAAGCCTGGAGAAAGCGCCAGCCAGGATAATTCCGCTTCGGGCACGCCGTCCAAGGCCAGCACGCCCACTCCGAGCACCACCTTTGGCGGTAACCAGAAGAAACCTGTCAAGAGCGGTGCCATTCGTCATCGTAACATGGATGACGAGAACATCGCAGCTTTGGATATAGAATTGGATATCGAGATCTAGTCACTTTCTGTTTCAGCGTTACCACGGCCAACATCAAATAACTCTTACCATCTGAAGCTTGCTCGATCACAGCTTCCACCAAATCAATGATTGCTACAGTATACCGGAAGGAGAAATGCGGGACATGATCTGGGATTTGAGTGCATTCGAAAGCATTTGCTACAGCGTCGGATCTCATTTGATTTGTAAATTTATTCTCTTTGCTTTTTTCTCTCGCTCCTTTTCGTCTTAACAAGGGGATTGATTGGTGTTCATTGGCGTCATGGCGAGAGAGACCAAGGGCGCCGCTCTGTATTATTAAAACCTCATGCAACTAAAGAACCACGTATGCTCAAGACAGGCTATCTATTATTTCGGATGTAGGCCATCTCCAGATCGAATTGCACTATGGTACTCCGTACGGTAACTACGGAGTACATCAAGAATGAAAGGGATAACTAGGCGACATTAAATCACCATCACGTGCGATAACAGTCGGCCGCTGCCAGCCCCGACGCGTGCGCGCGGCGCGTCATTTTCCCGCATCTTCAATCTCCGCCCTTGATTTATCAATCAATTTACCACTCTTCCTCACATGAAGTTGTCGCCAATATACACCACCTAAATCCATACCTGAACGAATCCAATCGAGGCCCGACATGGTTGCTCTTTTCCTTGATTTCGAATAAATCCCATCCTACCCTCCCTTACCAAGTAATATACACATACACACCTGCCATAATGTCCGCACCCTCCACACCGCGCACGACGCGCTCCGCGTCTCCGGATACCGAGATGCTCATGACGCCCGGACGCAAGATTAAAGCCATGATGGCCGCTTTCGATAGCGACTCCGAGGATAGCGCCAACGACGACAATGCCCCGCCGAATCAGAGTTTAGGACTCGATCGCTCCACGAAGAAGCTCAGCGACGCGCTCAAGAAGAGCACGATCTCCTCGTTCGTTGAACCGACCAGATCGCAACAGATGGTTGATGCCGATGACCTCGACGAGGATGATGATGAGGATATTGTGAGGCCAAAGGGGAGGATGGCTGCTCGATTGCAGGGCGGGGACTCAGAACTTACGGCTTTTGAGCGGGTCGCGAAAAGTTTGCGGGTGGAAGAAGAGCGAAAACAGAAGACTTTCAAGAGTGACGAAGAGGACGAGGACGATGACGACGATGATCTTCCGACGGCTGGACCGAGACGGAGAGCTATCACAAATATGCTACCCGACCCTGGGCTTAGTGAGGATGAAGGTGAGGACAACAACAATGGGCCACCCACACGCGCGTACTCTCCACTTTTCGTGTCATCTCCCGTCAAGGTGCGGGGAAACGACGACGACGACGACGACAACAACGAGCTAGCAGGGACCGACGACGATGCACCACAACCGAAAGCCAATGCTCGATTCTTGGCTCTCGTGGCGCAGAAACGTAGGGAGCGCGAGGAGAAGGAAAATGCCGAGGCAGAGAGGCGAGCAGAAGCGCGGCTAGCGAGTCGGCAGGAACAATCTGATACAGAAATTATGATGTCTGCAAGTGACGGCGATGGTGACGGTGCTTCGGGCACAAAGCCTAGACAAAAGCAACAGCCCCGGCCTGCGGCGCGAAAGGCGAGCAAAAAGGCACTAGAAGAGATGAACCGCGAGACTCAGCGCATGAGTCGCAACATGCAGCTGGCACATCAAGCACAGACTAAGAAGAAGATCACAAAAGAGAGCTTCTTCGCGCGATTCAACTTCGGACAACCGGCTGGAAGCCATGATATAGCTGTTCCCTCAGCTGGCGAAAACTCGTCCAGCACGGCCGGATCGCAGAATTCGTCAGACATTGAGGCACAGAAGGAAAGAGAGACACCCCGCACGTCGCCTGTATTGGAGCCTGCAGACAAAGTGTCACCTGCAGAAAGAGCCCTAGCTGATGATGCGGCTGAACCGAAATTTCCCACTCTCGAAGAAATCCTCGCTAACCCGCCTCCGCAACCGCAGGAGCCAGTAGTTGCTCGGATGGGAGTCACGCCGATAGCTCACAAAGCAGATGCTATGCAGGTTAAGAAGGTAAAGGGCGCGCTGACTCTGCCTGCCGTTCGTGTCAGGCTCTCACGAGAAGAAGTTGCACGCCATCAGAAAGACGATTCGGACAGTGAATTGGAGATCATCACATCGCCTGCCAAGTGCCGACGTATCGCCGCTTTCGAGAACCTTCCCGCCAAAAAACTTCAGGAGTCTGCTTCAATGATTAAGTTGAAGGCTCTCGCGCATTTGACCTCTCCCAGTCGCAAGTCTAAGAGCATGAACGGCGCCGAGCTCTCTGCCACATTGCTTTCGAAGGCGAGACAACAAGCTGCCAAGGAAAGACAAGAAAGGATTGAAGAACTCCGAGCCAAAGGTATTCATATTGAAACAGCCGAGGAGCGTGCTGCCATGGAAGATGAACTGGAGAATTTGGTTGAAAAGGCACGTATGGAGGCCGATGCCATTGCGAAGCAAGAGCGGAAGGCTGCTAAGCAAAACGGCGAATATGACGAGGAGGAGGACGAGGACTTCGAATACTCCGGCTCAGAGGATGAGGATAACGGCGAAATAGATGATGAAGAAATGGCAGACGCACAAGGAGATGGCAATGAACTGATCGACTCTGAAGCCGACGAAGGGGATGAATCCGAAGACGATAAGTCCGAAGTCATGTTGTCTGAGGAGGCAGAGATGCCGACCCAAAGACGGAAACGACCGACCCGAGTTATTAGCGATGATGAGGATGAGGAAGAGGAGCAAGAGCCGATTACCCCAGCAAAGCTCATGGTCGCTGCCACTACTCCAGGAAGCCGGTCTGTCGACCGACCTCATCTCCCTGCGCAGAGCTCCAACGACCTGATGAGCCTGACGCAAGCATTTGCGGGCACTATTGCGGGGAGTCCACAACCCAGCGAACAAGTGCCGGCTGCTACACTTCCCAATACCCTGCCCGAGCCTGGTCTTGGTGCATACGATTCCCATGTCATCATCAAGGACAGCCAGGTACCCAAGGCTGAGCCCCATGATATATTAGCTTCGTATGCACCATCCACTGCGCGTGTGTCCGAGTCCCCAGCCCCACACTCGATATCTGGCTTTTCTCAAATTCCGGATCCCACGCAGGACGAGGGATTCATCCTATCACCATTTGATCCGTCGAAACGATTCCTCGGCACCCCGCAATCAACCGTCGAAACTGTCATCGTGGACCAACACAAGTCCCCAATTCCAACAAGAAGCATTCGCCATTTGAAGCGTGGCGGACGAGCAGCTGATCTTTCCATGATCGAAGAACAGGAGGAGGGTGAAGGAGATTTTGAAATCAATGCCAACGCCTTCAACGTGATGAAGGCTCCCAACAAGAAAAAGAAACCTGCTGTCCCGTTTGACAAGAGCAAGAGCAAAGCTAAGGACGTGGTAGAGGAAGCAGCCGAGGAGTCGGACGATGAATATGCCGGACTGGGCGGTGGGAGCGACGAGGACGACGATGATGAGGAGAATGCCTACGATAGAGCGATGATCAACGACCAAAGCGGAGAGACGGTTGACGAGAAGCAACTTGCCGCATTGAATGCGTAAGTTCTTTGTGCCATCTACAACAACCCCTTGAAACAATTCCTCATTCAACTAACCACCGAATAACTTAGGCAACACCAACGCACGAATGACGAAAAGCAAGTCGCCAAGCTTTTGAAAGATATTACGACTGGAGCTCTCCGTCGACGTCGCGGCGCCAACGCCAACGACGAGTTCGACCTAGACGACTCCGACGACGAGCTCCTCGCGCGCCGGCGAGAGAAGCAACGCGAATTCGCACGGATGCGCAAGGCCCTCCTCGCGGATGAGAAAATAGGCGAGATTGCCGAAAATCCCAAGAAAGCAGCTTTCTTCCGTGCCGTGGAAGATCGCGACGACGATGACGACGATGACATCGGCTTCGACTTCTCGGGAGATGCGGAGGAGCAGGAGGACGAGAGCCAACAGGACAGCAACAACAACAACAACAACAACAATAACACGCAACCCGACAACGCGGAGACTCAGAACAACAATGCGATCCCCAACAACGACGCCACGAACAACAAGAGAAAACGGCCCCTCAAACCGACCACGGAATCGACCTACAACCGCCCCCCTCCGCACCTCCGCCGCAAGCCCGCGTCTGCCATGTCCAAGAAACCCGCCACCCTGGCCGAGATTCGCGAGACGCTTTCCTTCCTCACCGAAACGCATGAATATGACTCCTTCCACGAGGACGCCTCTCTGGACCACGACCACGAGCATGACGATGATCAACCACAAGACCCGCAGCTAATGGACCTCGATCCCGCCGAGTTCGATTCCTCGTCCGACGACGAACTCGCCGGACCTACTCCCTCGGACGACACCCCCGGGGCAAGGAAACCTCCACCACCGCCCAAGAACCTTCTGACGCACCACCCGCGCCGCACCCGCGGGCCCGTCGTCGACCGTCTAGCCCTCCTCCGCCAAGCATCCAGCAACTCCGCCTCCAACACCGCCACAACCTCCGCTGCCGCCGGCGGAGGCAAACTCGCCTTCGCCGCGGACGCTGCCGCCCGTGACCAAGATGGCGGGCTCGGGTTCGGATTTCACAGACCCCCACCGTTGATCCGCCGGAGCACCACAGCTTCTTCTTCTTCGTCGTCAAGTTCCTCTGGAGGAAGCAGCAGTCGAAGGAGCAGCATGGCCTCCGTCAATTCCGGTCACGGCGGAGCAACGCATAAATCATCAACGACGAATGCGAACCCGGTGGGCATGAAGAAGGGCGGCGCAGCGGTGAACTACTACACGGCCGCCCGGGAGCGAGAGCGCGAGAAGCAGCTCCGCATGCAGCGGGGCGGAAGCAGCGGGTCAAAACACGTCGCGGCGTTGCTGAACAAGCATGCGGCGAATCGATTGGGAGCGTTGGGAGGCAAGGGCCAGTGGGAGTAAGAGCTTGCCCCCTTTTTTTTGGGTTGGGGGGAGGGGGCAAAATATGAGAGGACTTCGCGTTGAAGGGAAAGAAAGTTGTGCCGGAGATGGAAAATGAGCTGAAGCAAAGTCCCTGGTTGGTTTGGGTGGGTGGTCAGAAAGGCGTGGGCGACATTTGCATCTGTTTATGATACCTTGTTTGCTACTGCTTCTTCCTTGAACTGTTGTTTCGTTCCGTTATTAGTGATGCCTGCGCTTTCCAGCATGCATTTATGGTTTTGTGCATTCGGAGTTAAAGGATAGGAAGACCTTGGGCGGGGCTGATGCCCAAGACTCGGTTGGAGTTCAGCTGTTCAAATACATCACATATATAGATATAGTAGTTCCTCATCCTCCTCAATGCTCAGGGAACCCGTTTTTAGATTCTTCAGGTCTACATTGAATTCCCTCCATTATGTATCATGGGCGCCTTGCTCCCGGAATAGCATAGACTGTTCGTTGGGCTTAACGCAATTCTCGTCATATGTGTGCTCGACAGCAGCAACATTTCTGGTTTCATTTGTTTTTATTGGTTTGATTCTCACGGGAATGATACAGCAGAGTCTCCTTAAATTACACTGGTGAATCAAGATTGGAGCCCGAATATGGTATGTCCAGGGAATCGCCAGAACGGAATTCCTGACTCAATGCAGCAAGAGAAATAGAATACAGTAGCCGGTGGGGGCGGGGTTGTTATAGGCACCATCATAAAGGCACATAATCCTAATCAGAGGTTTTGGTCCTTCCGGAAACACAAAGAGGCTTAGTCGCAATTACTCATGACGACGATCGGGCATTGACGGCATAGTCCACAAATCTGGTGCACCAGAACACTTTCCTGACACTTGAAAATGTACAAATGCCGCATGTGCTCGAGACAGCAGGGCTTCTTGCTTGGCATAAACTAGCCTGCTCGCAAATCACTTGACGGGCGAATTTTGAGAACAGTTCATAGAGGCTGCGCTATCGCTATAAACCCTCCGAACGGATACCAACCTTAGCACAAGTCGATTCAGAAGACCGAATCAGACATGCTCGCCAACGCCAACGCTGCATGAGCGGGTCTAACGAGGTCTTACGACATTATTCGAGGCGTATGTGAGTGGAATAATACTTCTTATGATTGGCACTCATGAGCCTGCAATGAATATTAAAACACCAGAGATGTTACTGATGTTGTTAATCACAGATCCAGATGTGTCCAGATAAATGCATCGAAGGTGATGTTTACGACAGTGCCAACACCGTAGATGCGAGAAGTGTCCGCACGAAGATTTCTCTCCATGGCACAAACTTCTGCAGGAGATGGTCCTCTTCACGGTAGGTGTGTCAATTCCATCAACCATCATCGAGTGAGTGCTCATCCATAGCATGTATCAGATTCTGCAGCCCGTGAGCCATGTGCCGAGACCCCGCAGCAGTGCACTCTTCCTGAGAATTTGGAACATGATACACGACATAGTCGGCCGACAGAGACTTCACGTCTGTCGCGGTCCAACGATTGGTGTTTAGCTGTTGCATAACAGCCTTAACCTTGGGTGAGACAAGGTATGGCTCAGGTTTCGTGGCCTTGAGGACCAACTCTATAGTCCGGAGGAACGCAGTGCACAGCCGACCCCAGCCGAGGCTCATGTGCCAGAGACCAACCACGCAACTTTCTAGAACAAGACTCCATTTAGGGTCCTGGGGGCGCAATTGAGAAATGGAATGTACCCCGGCCGCACAGAAGTAGTGAAGCATGACAATCGGCAACGACTTGAACCCATGGCATGTTTGAAACAAAAGGATGAGGGAGCCGATGGCACCCATGGCTTGCAACTTAACACCCTGGGTGTCAAAGTCGGCACTGGATGGAAGAGTTGTTGAATTAGAGTATAGATTAAAGATCTCGCACAGGGAAACAATCGTCGCTTGATAATACATACTGTCCGTAACAAGTAAGTAATGAGTCAAGATGGACAGCAGGAACACACCATGCTTACTGTAAGATGAGGATGTGTGGCGATGTATTCTCATCAGGTGTAATGATAGAAGGTAAACTGGCCCGCCAGTTTAGAAGCTTCCTATAGAGCTGAGAGCCATACGCCCAATCGTTGTGATCCAGTGAAGAGTCTGGAAACTTTAGCGCAAACGCGGCAATCTCATTGACAATGATCACCAAACCACCTCGGGCCCTCGCAGCCGTGTGCACACAGGGTCTAAAGATCGGGGTAAGGAAAGGGTATGGACTCCATTCATCCCCCTCGTCGAGAGCTGCAGCTTCAGTTTGCGAGAAACTGACGGACGGTGGCTCCTTCCAGGCTGATTCCTTTCGGTACACCTGCGCGGCCAACCTGTGCTACATTAGCATGCGTAGAGGGGATCAGGTGGAGCAGAGTCTTACTTACGCTTGAACGTCAAACACGGCCCATGCGACTAGTTTGTGACACCTGGAAGCCGACTCGGCTTCCTCATCGCCATCGCTCCGAAAGAACGAAGGATGCTCGTGATGCAGTCCAAGCCGACGGCTCAACGTAGCACCATGCATGATGTATCGTGTGCCCATGCGGTCAAGCCCAAATGTACAACACAATAAGCCAATCATAATACTTGACTGTGCGGTTGGCAAACAAGTGATATCCTTCTCGAGATTCCAAAGACGTTGCAGGGCCGAATATAATTTCTGGCCCAGGACCTTCTCTTCCTGTCGATCTGTGAAGCGCGCCAGATGGTAAGAGAAACTCTATCACCAAGGTCAGTTGGTGTTGCCCATGCGAAACATAACAGGACCGGAATAGCGATTACACAGCCGAAGAATAAGAGCGCGTGGACCAGAAGAGAGGAGCAAAACCTCGTATGACCGCGCTCCAGATCGCGCAGAAACATCTCCTGGTCGATGAGGTGCCACGTTGGATTGTCCCAGATAAAATAGAGAGATAAAAGATGGCTGGCAGTGGTGTTGTCGACCAGGTCCGTCCAATGTCCGATGTTGCTGGTTTGTATAGGGGGACAATCCTGTAACGGTTGAGTCGAGCTGGCACGGTTGGAGGCGAGAGCGAGGTGCATGCGGGCCAATGAGATCCCCGGGGGCGGCGAAGGCAGATGTTGATCTGATAGCGATCGGGCGGTCATCAACGTGGAGAATGCTTCGGAATTCCCTTGGAGGTGTTTCTGCGGGTCTGAGCAGCTGAAATTCTAGGCTAGTGGGCGAGACCACTCACACTGATGATTTCTTCAATGGGTCTGATATCTCTGCGGTTGCTTTCAGAGATAATCTCACGGAGCAGCGACTCATATGCGGTCACTCGAGACCGAACCGAATTCAGCTCCAGCTGCTGGCGTTCACGTTTTGACCCGGCATAGTTACAGTCGAGATCAAGACGACTACATTGCCTACACACGGGCTTCCGACCGTCACACTTAGTCTTCCTGGCACGACAGGCAACGCACGCACGCGCAGTGCGCTGCTGATTGGCTTTGGGGGAGGGAGTAACAAGCCGGGGGATAGGCAGTTTGCCCTTTTGCGCAGTGGCAGGAACAGCGCCTGTTAGAGTGTTGTCGGTCCCCCCAGACTCAGCGGACGCCTGCATGTCAATGTCGGAACCATGAAGGAAAGCGGCGAGAGAAACCTAGGTCAATGGATCAACGGGTGAGGAGGTAGTACGAGATGGAATCACAAAAAAGAAGAAAAGGGAAAATCTCCCCCACGAAACATTATAGAGGGTGAATGATAACAATGGCGACACCCTGGCATCCAGAATCGGCGGCAACACTGGATGATTAATGCATGCCAAGACATGCCGTTCACCCCAAATGCAAGAAAAGGGAAAAGGAAAAAAAAAGAGGGAAAAAAAAAAGAAAAAAATCAAAAACCTGCGATGGGCCAGAATTTCGTTCTGGAAGAGCTGCTGCACATAAGAACGAGTCTAATTAGCGGGTGGCTATAGGGTGAGTTTTCCGTTCTATTCGCTCCACAAGTACCACACACACACAGTGACCAGCAGCTCGGGTCCCAACATTTATCATCTTGGCAAAAGATCTCACAATGACGTTGTCGGCAGATGTGACCGCATTCAGTTCGGGGTTTGCTTCAAAGCGTCGTCAGTGCCATAGAGAAAGACACCGCCTCTGTAGGTAAGGACAAGACCTAGCCTTTGCCCTTGGTAGCTCAGCAATCGAGCATGACGGTAGGTTTACCAGTGGGCGAAAGGCTGTTTTGAAGACGAGCGCATCCGTCGACTACACTAGGAATTCCCCAGATCGTACCTCAATTTGCCAAGTTGCCCTGAGATCGTCTCCACAGAATCAATACTCCCACTAAGATAGAAAATGTTAGTAAGGCCCAGACTGAGTCGGCACAGGTATGAAGATTTACCATCATCTTCCATCCTGCGAACGAGGCACGATAGGGAGGCTGAAAATCATCCGTAGTCTCTACGGACTGCAAGGATAGTGAGCCAACCTGCTTCGCCTTCCCCCTTTCAACAGCCAATTCCCTCAACAGATTGTATTGATGCTGAAGTAGAACAGAGGGAACGAGACCTATCGCGGAAAACCATGCGCCTAGCCTGGCTTCAGCCCGCAGGTTGTTCTCCAGCGACCAACCTCGCCCATCACCCCGGGGAAGAATTCAAGCTCTCTGACCAGTCGGCATTTTTTGCCGAAATTTGTTGAGGGTTGTCAGACGTCTTGGCAGGAAGCCACTCCGGAACTATCAACTGCCGCAGAAGCCCAATGATATGCCACAAGAAAAATTGTTCGTCAGGAGGGGACTGCGGCCAAAACCAGCTAATGAGTCGCTCAGTGTAGTAATTGGTGTTGTAGAGGCTCCTGCCTGATTTGGATCTTAGTCTATCTGGAGGCTAGGTAGTATCCACCAGTCTGGCGCTGTAAATACTGAGCACAACCGTGATTTCGGGCAGGTCGCTAAGCCTTTTCTCAGCTACAGCTGGAAATGGTTACGCAAGGGTTGTGCTTTCCGACAAACAGCATGGTTGCTAACACGAACTATCGGAATAGAACAGTATTAGACCCCGAAAGTACCACAGAAAGTACTGCTGAGAAAATAGGCTTACTGCAACCGAAGGTGGCACATGCCAGTGCAAGTTGAGGTGGTGCGGTCCGGCGTTGCTGGCGAGAGAGGTAAAGCACTGGAGGCAACACAGTCACGCACGGCAGAACACGACTGCAACACGCGTGGCAGTCATTGAGTACTCTATGACTGCCACACGTCGATCTGGACATCCTATTCCCTCATCGACAAAAAAAGGAAAATGTTCCTGTGAAGGGATGAGCGAAATTTCCGAAGTAGGGGGCGGAGGGGAGGAGGAGCGGAGAAGTCGAGAGGAAGATTTTGGAGCGAGAGAAGGAACACCGAGCCGCCCCTGGCTAAATCAGACGACTGATAGTCCCCGAATAATATGAAGGTCGCTCCCAATAGTACTACTAGGAACCACCTGATCTGCATTATACCATGTGCCAATAGACATTCTAGCCTTGGGAACAAATCTCCTTCTTATATAATTAATCATACTACCCGAACAAAATAAGATAAGTAACAGTTGCCAACTACTTACTTAGCTCACTACTTGGGATAGTTAACTAGTTAGTTGACTTAACTAGTCAGTTAGTTGATTAGCTAAATGACTAGTTAACTACGTTAACTACTTCTGAGACATCTGACTAAGTATTTGAGTACGACGAACTCGCGGGGAAACGTCCGGGGTAATTAGTTAGCAGATCACTGCTATAGCCTCCCGCTCTCTATATATAAGGCATACCATCTACAGACAAGAACGGATGGAAGAATCATAAATCATAATTGCTTGTATCGACAATGCTAATATCGCATCCAGGAGGATGAACAAGGTCTTAGACCAGTTTCGCTTCACGACCTGATCTTTTTATCCCAAAAGTTGAAGCCCCATCAGCTCTATGTACAGAGAAAAATATACACAACAAACATGCTGGAATCATGGCGGCCCGGCCACAGAAAGAGACATGAAGAAACAGAAGAATGAGAATGAGGATGAGGTGTGCTTACGCCGCGAACAGCTCATCGAAGCGCTCTGAGGCTTCCTGGGTGACGTCCACGCCGTAGATCTCGCGCTGCACGTCTGCATCGGCCCACTTGTCGGGCACTGGGCCCTTGCCCTGGCGCAGAGCGGCGAACTGCTTGTCGCGCTCCTCCTTGGCAGCACCATCACCCAAGTGCAAAGCCCGACCGGAAGCGGCAGCCAGCTCGACAAGAGCGTAGGCACGGTCCTTGCGGATCTTTTCATAGACCTTGAGGGCCTTGTTGATGGAGGCGGGGGTGGTATCGGGCAGCTTGGACAGGACGATGCCGATGACAGCCCCGTCTTCAATCGCCTGCGCGGCACCCTGGGCCAGATGAGGAAGGGTCGGGTGGCACGAGTCACCGACGAGGGCGACCGACTCGTGCACCCAGGTGGGTAGAGGCTCGTGAACCCGCAGCTTCCATTCACAGACTTCCCCCTCGGGAACATAGCCGAGCATGCGCTGCACCATGGGGCAGAAGTCGCCAAAGACCTTCAGCATGACGGACTTGTCACCGCGGGTGGTGTAGGTAGCGTTGGTGGCAGCAGCAAAGTTGACGTCAGGCTGGGTGGTCGACAGGTTGTAGATGGTGTTGTTGGAGACCGGATAGGCGATGATGTGGCGCTTTTCGCCAATCCAGCGGGTGACCTTGTTCCCGCTGATCAGCGCCAGCAGCTCCGGGTCGTCCTTGACCTGGTCCTTGTGAATCATGATACGGTAGGCGGCCTGGTTGGTGTCCTTGACACTAGCCTGGATGCCGAGCAGGTCGAGCATGGCAACACGAGTGTTGGACTTGATGCCATCGGCACCGAGGAGAACGTCAGCTTCCACGCGGTAGGGCTGCTGATTGGCGTCACGAGGAACGGCCTTGAAAGAGGGCTTGGGGCCAAAGGAGACATCTTGAGCGGTGGTAGCGAAGTGGAAGCGAATGGCGTCGGGGTGGCGAAGACAGCCTTGGTACAAACCGTTGGCGAGGGACGAACGGTGACCGACCATGTGCGGGTAACCATACGTCTCGGCGATGTATTCTAGCGGTACGTGGGCCAATTCCGCATCCGTAGCTCCGACTGCGACGGTGAGTTAGTCATTCCGTGCTCGAATCTCTTATTTTTCTCAGCTCCCAACAGGCCTAGCAGAACCTACCCCGCACGCTGGTCTCAACAATGTTCACAGCCTCGGCCTCGATCTGCTTCCAGACTCCCAGGCGGTCGAGGACGCGCGCCATGTTGGGGGCCAGTTGAATACCAGCTCCAACGAAACCCAAATCATGCGCCGTCTCATACACGTCGATATTCTTGAAACCCTCACGAGCGAGGGCCAGAGCGCAGGTCAAACCACCCATACCTAGTCTCAGGAGTTAGCATTGGGAACCCTTGAAAGATGTATAACCATAATCGATAAGGCTGGAAGAAAAAAAGCGGGACCGCGGCATACCTGCGCCCAGAATGGCCACCTTCAAATCCTGCGGAGACTGAGCCATGGTGTAATGTGCGAATTAAGAGGGGAGAGTTCTGAACAGTAAAGAAGAGAGGAGAGATTGGTCTTGGAAGAGTTGAAGCAGCAGTGAAAAGAGCGTCAAGAGAGAACAGGATACACTGGGGTTAAATATGGGATGGCCACCGGCAATCGTGCTGGAGATGGCGGAGTTGATTTTAGCCGTTGCGCCTCTCCTCCCCACGATTTCCCACATTCCATCCAACAAGCTCGGACTGCACCTCTGCATCACGAGGGAGGCGAATTTTCGATCTTCGCCTGCCGGTAACTGGTTTCGTCTTCCCCCCGCTTCGCGCAAATGGTTCATTCTTCCCCACATATCGGCATGCGTCCCCCGTGGGGCGATTCAGTTCACTCCCGGGGATGACATTATCCTCGCAATTACGCGGTTTTACGGAAAGACAAAGGGATTACTAATAAATGAGGGATTCGATCTTGCTGGAATTAGTATTACAATGATATCTATACGCCGGTAATAGTAAGAGGTAGTTTGGTACACCAGTATAGAGAATGGAGAGGTGGGGAAGTGACATAAGTGATTGCCCATCTTTCCCAACCGTTGATTTCGACTCTACAGGGCCTTGTCACGTCCATCTCGGCAGTTGATCTGTCACAGTGATCAGCTATCAGCGCTTTGAAAAGCAAGGCCCGACCCCATGATGTCGACCGACTCGCTCTGTGGACTACCAAGACTCCGCAGTCCAACTGTTCTATCCGCCCGAGGTGGCTTTCATCTGGATGGTACTTGAATTTTACAACCGGCCTGATTGTAGGCAACGTAGGTACGAGGATGGGCTCTGATTGCGCGGCACGAGCTCTTTTCCTTGAACCCGCCGATCGGCTCTTCAGCTGAGCTTCAATGCCAGGGCCTGCATCCGACTATTGTTGGGCAGTAAAAGCTCAAGCAAACAAAACTATAGAGCTCAGAATCCCCTTTGTAAGACCGTTGCTAGGAGACATGGTGGTACGATGCGAGCCGTAGCTTTGTCTTCCTCCATCTTGCTTTTCACTTCTGGACGGAGTGACAGAGTCCCGATCGAAGACAAAAAAAAAAAAGAAGTAGCAGAGGCCAGACAAATAACAGAACGAAAGATCTCACTGATGAAAGTCGAGTATAGGAGGGTCAGTGAAGCATAAACAATCGAAGAGAACAGGAATCAGCCAGTCATTCAGTCCGAGCGACGAAGTTGAAGGAGCCGTCGCCGCTGCTCAAAAATGCATACCTAGAAGAGTTCTAAGCATAACCTGAAGATAAGAGAAGAATCGTTCCAGCCAGCCAGACGCCTCCTCTGGCTCGTCATGGGGCCGGGGACCGCGAGGATTGCCCCAGTAGCCCTGACCCGGGCTGGCGGGATTCGAGTAGTCGCGACATTGCGGGTGCTCGTAGTCCTCGAGCGTGCCCGTCGGCCAGATGGGAATCACGCAGACCTCATGATCACCACAACCGCTGCATTGCTTCCATGTCGTCCAGGCTAGATAGTTCATCAGCTCCCGGAAGTGACCAACCGCGGCCTGGTATTCGGGCTCTTGCCAAGCTGACAGCATGGTCGAACAAATACTACGGGCCACGGCATGTATGGCGGTGGCAGCTACGCTATCGACTGCAATCTCACCAGGAATGAACTGATGAGCGCAGCGGTCCCGCTCAGCATCGACATCACGATCTGAGTAGTCGATGAAGGGGCGCAGCATGGTCTCGATCTCCGCATGGAGTTCCTCCACCGTGGCCACGTCCCCGGAGGCGAGATATCGAATCTCGCGGGCATATCGCTCCACAACCATGTCGGCGATAGCCTGCCAATCGTACAGATTATCCTTGGCGGCGTGGTCGAGGATGAGACGGTGCAGATCGTCGCGGATAGGCTGCAGCTCCTGGGAAGAAAGGTGCATAAGTCGAGGAAGTTTGAAGGTCTCGTTCACGGAGTGAAAGAGATCCAGTCCGTAGGTGTAGGCTGACACAAAAGTCTCATAGTTTAACGCAACTCGATGACCTCCAATGCCTCCGTACCGAGCCGTGACAGCTTTCATCCAATCGTTGCCTCCGCCGGGAGGTCCTCCTTTTCCTTTCCCTTTGCCATTGCTTGAATCCTTCGAACCGGATGTTTCGTGCGACTTGACTTGTGTGACACGAACCTCCTTCAGATCACGCGCAAAGTCACATAGAATGATCTCAAAGCCGGCCTCCATCCGCAACAACCCATCCAATCGCCCGTTGAAATCCTCGCGTGCCATGCGACAGAATTCAACCGCACGTTCGCGCTCGCCATGCATTGCCCCCTCACCAGGCAGATTGTCTTGGAAAAGAATTCGGTCCTCTGCGTCGAGCGTGCCATTGGCAGTCTTACCCGCCGACATGCCGTCTGCGTACAGCAGGCGAAGGTCCTTAGCAGCAATATAAGTATGCAACCAGCCTCCCTCTGATTCTTGTTCTTCAGCCTCCGCCCGCTTCTTCCGCTGGTCCTGCTTATCGTCATCGTGAGAAGGAGGTGAACCACGGAACGGCCGGGCAAAGGCCAAGGCATGCTCGGGCTCAAAGGCAAGCCATTCCGTACCATTCACCGGCGCAGGGTTGGAGTTGCCGTGGTAAAACTGAGTGCCCGCAGGTACTGTCGCCAGGAAGAAGGACATGCCGTTGTGCTGGAGAGAAGAGCCCCATTGTCGCATAGACGAGTGGATGGTGTTAAAAATGTGATTCGCATTTGGGGAAAACTCGGTGGTGGCGCTGGTGCTCGCTACCCATAGAAGGGATGATACGAGCAAGCGGGAGACCCCCATGGCGTCTAACGATAATGGTAGTGATGACGATCGAGATGGGATGATGGAGCGAGGTCGTGGAGTGATCAGTTATATGCATCGAAAGCACCGCCTCGGAGAAATAGGAGGCAACTTTCGCCTAAGGACCTGATTGGGGACTTCCTAGTGGGGGATGGTCGGTCTGACGCGTCAGCGCTCAGGCGACAACTTTTGTCTCGCCGCAAGGCTTGTGAAAGAGGCTGCAAGGTTCTCTGCCTATAGCAAATCACGATGAAATGGTGAGGTAGCAGCATATCTATAGCCGGGCGCTAATTTGACGCACTATTCCAGCTATGGATTTTTTGCTTCATTATTTGGAGATTGTCAATCGAACTGAAATGAACCTTGAGTCGGACAAACTGCTTGTCAGATTAGCTGTGGTAGAAAAAAAAGGAAAAAGAACGCACCCCAATCTTATCTTATCGCCGGGGGTCAGTGCGGACTCAATATCCTCAAACAGCACCTATACCCGATTACTATCAGCTAAGTCCGATGTCCGAAAGACTGAGCCCGAGACCTTCCGTCATCAGCTGTGCGCCGAGCCAGAGTCAATGCGATCCTCATCGATAACTTAGTTCGATTCCAGCCTAAACTCATAAACCATGCCTCCCCACGCCATATCAAACAATCCACGCACACTTCTCCTCACGATTGACGCCTTCGGCACCATCTTCCACCCCCGCAAACCAGTCCCGCAACAATACGCGTGCGCTGCGCATCAATTCGGCCTGTCGCGCTCTACCGTCACCTCCGACCGCCTTCAATCCGCCTTCAAGACTGTCTTCAAAGCCCAATCCAAAGCCCGTCCCAACTACGGCCGTGCTGACGCCCTTCGTGGAGAGTATGGTGGGCCAAGACAATGGTGGGAAGAAGTGATCCGGGGGAGCTTCGCTCGTGTCTTGAAATCGTCCCCTGCCGCTTCGTCACCTACTCCTTCAACGGCAAACACACTACCTGACGGTCTCGTGCAGCACCTTCTCCACCGCTTCGCGTGTCGGGATGGCTACGTGCTGGATGCAAACGCTGACGCCTTCTTCACGCGGCTCCGCCATATCAAAAGCACCAAGACGCGGTTAGGCCCGTTCGATCGCGTTGTGGTCGGTGTGGTGTCCAACTCCGACGACCGGGTACCTGCCGTGCTGGAGTCCCTGGGTCTGAGTGTGGGGATGTGTCGGGCTGATGAGGATGTATCGAGTACACAACTCCCTGGTTTCGAGATGCGCGATCGCCCACACAGTCGGAAACCGGCAGACAACTACGGCGATGGAGAGATCCATGATCTAGACCTGGTGATTACCAGCTACGAGGCTGTAGCGGAGAAGCCAAGCCCGATCATCTTCGAGGTGGCCCGGCGCCAAGCCATGAAGTTGGTCGGGGCCATAGACAGCGACCGAAGCAACTGGGAGTGCATTCATGTGGGTGACGATTACGACAAGGACTATCGCGCTGCGATCGATGTCGGTTGGAAGGCCTTCTATATTCCCCTCGAAGATGACGCGAAGACGCCGGTCCAAGTGAGAAAGACTGGGTCGCTGTTGGACGTGTTAACCGAGCTGCAGCGGCGAGGATAGGACCGGCGGCATAGTTGTACTATCCCCATACTTGCTTCCTGGCAGTAAGTCCCTGAGAGCTGAACACAAGTAGAGTAATGGCTCCTGTGTCTGTGTTATTAGCCCCTTAATCCTTACTCCAAAGCTTCTCTGGTTGTACTGTACAATCTTGCTCCGCCCTGTTCCAGGCTTCAGCACAGCAATTGCAATGTGGCGAAGACAGTGGATGTGGTCACCCGCACCACGCGCCCGGCCCAGCCCAATCCACCCCGCACAATCATAAATTATGCTTCTCGCACTGTTCTCTGCGATTAGTGCATTGTCCAATCAACCTCAACCATGGGGCACTCTCGAGGGTGGAGTGAATGTCATCCAGGCATCACTCCGCAGATCTCGCAACGGATACTTTTGCAAGCGGAAAGCAACCCACAATAAGAAAACACTCAGCCACTATGACGCGTGATGTGCTGCGGCAGAGGCGAAAGAACTCCCTCTTTTGGCAATGAGAAGAAGCATATCTCGATCTTCGATCATGCTATTGGTAACATACCATTTAGACCATGGTGATTCAACAGGTGATGCCTCGGATCATACAATTTGTGCAATGATTGGTGCCTGGTCATTCGGAGTTAAGTTACGATGATGCAATGACCGTCGCACCGAGACTTTATATATTGTTTAGATGCAGAGCTCGCGGACTTAAGGCACATATTCTCTGCTCAAAAACTCAACTACAAAGTAAATTTCTACATTATAAGCAAGTTTTACTTCGATCTAAAAACCCCTAGAGAGATTCACCAAACATGGACCTCGTTCAGAAATTCGGCCACCTCAAACGCGACCGTCGCAAGAGTTCTGCGCAGCGGGAACTCGCGGAGGCAGAGCGTCACAACGACCAACAAAGTACGTTTCTAACTCCCTATAGGAAATTCAAATATATATAAGAGTTATGATACTGAGTTGCGTTCCCTTTGTCTCGAGCAGGAATCAACGAGTTGCTAGGCAGTTTTGGGGGTCCAGCAAACGATCATCCTGACCGGAGATCCAGCGGTGCGGGCAACATGGCAAGTATGATCCAAGAGTTCAACGCCAGGTACGTATACTTGATGCTGGCTTCGATCTTCTGAGGAAGTATCTGACTTTGGGATGGTAGACGGAAATCAGAGTCGTTGAACGAGCCCGGAGAGCAAAGTGTAGAGCGAGTGGCCGAGTGATCGTCTTGGTTTTGGTTCGATGATGCAAATATACTATTTGTACTGTACATTCCCCCTGCTTCAGTCCTCAGAAGAGGAGCAGGTATCATATACTCTTGACTTGTACTTATCTTTCTATGAGTAATGAATGACAATATTGAAAATAAGAGTAATGAATGACAATATTGAAATTAAGAAAAGGGACTTATGCAAGGAGCTTCCAACCGTTCAATCATATGAACGTCAATAAAGATGAAAAAGAATCTTCCCATCAAGATTTCATTCCACTTTGCTTGGATAAAAAACAGTGGCAATGCCCCCCGCACCATCTATCGCATCACCGGATATCCGGACGAATTCGGCAAGGACCTGGTATCATTTGGCACTCAAATCTAGTTCCGACTGCTCGGATCCCGTCCCTGGAATTGCACCACAAGCTATGTAGGATATGATCCCTGTAAAAGAAGACACTAAGATGTAGATCCTGAAGGAAACGTTGCGGTGCATCTATTTCTCCTGTATCTACTGTGTATACAGATACTCCCAAAGAATAATCGTGGCTTCAGACTCTTGTCCGACGAATTTCTCAAACCAGTTCTCCGTTAGAGGCCCCGGGACGCGGAATTTCTTCTTCTCTCCCACCATTTCGGCTTCAGTGCGGAAGAAGTGTGATGCCGATCTTACAGTCTTCCAAGGTGCAAAGGTTGAAGGCTGTTTTGGAGGTTTTTGTGGCGGCGGATGAAAAGTCGAATAGCACCTTCAGAATATCCATGTTGATGGTTCAGATGTGTATTGCGGAGAGGAGATTCCCTGGTACTTGAGTTCGTGGGTGCACTGCATTAAAATGAAGTCTGAAGGATAGGTAGATACATCAGTCGCAATGTCGCAAGATATCGCAGGCTTTGAGGACATACTGCCAGCTGTATGTTATGCTGCATTCTCTCATATTTTCTGACCCCGTTTGTCTCGTGTGAGATCTGAGACCCAAGTTGCGGCTGACTCAGTTTCTATTGTGATCTATGCCACTCTAAAAAGGTTCAATTTACTTGGCACACCAAGATCTTTTCACCCTGCCGTGCGCTTAATTAAATCATCAGATCAAATGCAACCGGCTTAGGCACTGCTTCAATTGCGTAGATGCTGGTGTCGAGTGCCAGCGTCTCCGCCGCGGGAGGACATCGCGAAAGCGATCCTTCCCTAGGTTTGCAGCTTCCATGGTCAATGATTAATGGTGTATGTACGGCTAAAAAGTTGTTTGATAGCATTACGACACCGACGGAAACTATATTGCATTTGGAAAGACCACTTTCTCGGTGTCGGGGGTGCGAGCCTTGTCCCTATTTCGAGCCATTCAAGGACGACTTGATAGGCAGACTTTATCGACAGTCAGCGCTGAAACAAGACCGGAAGAACGAAGACCCTTTCAACAGCGCCAAGTTGAGATGCAGAGCGAACATGACAAGTTCTCTCGTGCTGATCTCGATTCACTTGACGGCACGGATAGCTCGAACTACCATGCGGCACAAGCAAGAAGTATCATCGAGGTAGAGCTCGATGACTGTCGGCATATAATCCTAGAACAGCAGTCTGCTCTTAGAGCCGCACTCGACCTAGTGAGCCGTATAGCGGACTCGGAGCGCGTGGGGTCGAATGCGCCTGCAGAGGACGGATTTTCTGTCGATTCCAGCGTTGGGATTCCAGATGCACCGCCGCTAGAGCTTATTTTCATGCTTTTTCCAGGTTAAGCTTGTGGCTCATTGTTCGCAATGTCAGCTAACTTCTTCAGGGTCAACCAGTAGGGAAGGCTATCAGTGGTCTGACCACATTTCCGAAGAGTCGTTTGAGAGAATGGCTGCGGAGATCCTCGAGGAACATTGCAAGGGCCAAGTGTTTCAGCAGATATCAGTCTGCGTCTACGTTAGGGCGATATTCCATTTCTTGTATTTGGCTCGAAGCACGACAAGCTCCACAGTCAGAAATCGGCTCTTTCAAACCACCTCCACCTACATAGCTGCAGCCGTCCAGAGCATTCACAAATTCGACATTCTCGCTGCGCCAAGCCTCCTCTCCATACAAGCTTTACTCTCAAGTGCGAGCTGAACACTTGTTCTAGCAAGGTACAATAATTAACCATCATTCGATATAGGCCTTGCTCATGCGACATTTGGGCAAAGTCAACCAGTGTTGGATACTCAACTCGTACGCAGCCCGCCAGATCACAGCGCTCGGCCATCATAAAATCCAGGACACCGCTCCTTCTACTGGGGTGCAGCGAGATGTCCACAACGCCCTATTGTGGTGCTTTTTTCTCGATAAAACGCTTAGTTCCCTGCTTGGTCGACCTTCATCCCTGCCTGACTTGAATGTTTCCTCTACTGACCTAATCGGAATCGACTCCTCGCTACCTTATGGCTCCCTCTTTCGAATCTGTCTGGAGATTGCCCAGATTCAAGACAAATTAGTCGCTATACCTGCCTAAGAGAAGCGCAAGTCCAACCGGCGGACCATGGATACGCTCGATGACCTTGAAACCAGAATGCGACGACTCCTTCCAGACTTGCAGGGAGTGAGGCTTTCCCACATCCCATGTTACTAGAATAGTGATAGACTAACAATGGGTTCATAAAATACTTAGAAGCGCAACGCTACCCACCGATCAATGGAGCTTGATTGGATCAGTGCAGACTTCTGCTTTTATGCCGTGATGGTGGAAATTCATAGGACGCGGCTGAGGTGCTCATTCAGCCCAATGATTCGCAGAGAGACTCTACTCTGCGCTCGAAGATCTGTGGAGGCATTTCAGTATCTTCAGCAGCACCCGACCGAGCTTCCAGGCTTCAACGACCCATATCCGTCTTTTCTTACATGGTGGGTGCACTAGGCTGAAGGTAGACGTTCCTTTCCTGTATTGACTGCAATCCCAGGAGCCTGTTGTTCTACCCTTTGAGTCCCTGCTTCGTTCTGTTCTGCAACATAATCGGCTCCTTGGACCGGAATGACTACGACCTCATGCGCAACATCATCCAAGCTCTGTCGCAATACAAGCATGACCCACACTTGCAGAAACTCTTCGACCTCTTGGCATCACTTGAGAAGCTCTGCGAGCCGCTGTTTCAGGCCGACGATGATGGTTATTCACATTCACACCAAGAAGCTGCTAGCAGTCTATATCCTCGAGTTTCATTGGACCCTGCTGCGGTTCATTCATTAAACGAGGGCACGGAAGCTGGTCATATGTCTGCTCCAGACGGAGATTTAGCTCGTGCTATGGAGGTGGCTTCAGGCATACCAACTCCGGTCATCGGATCGTCAGGCGACTGGCTTATGTGGCAGCTTTTCAATACTCAGGTACCCTTGGGATGGATGAATCCTGAGTTCGCTGGATACGGGGCTCTTTGAGTCATGTCAGACACGAAGGGATCGTGCGTAAAGTCGCAGGCATTATATCTTCAGGGCTAGAATTCAAGAGCCATGAAAGCTCAAAGGCCCACTAAAGCACTAGAGAACTCCGATCCTCCTCAGAGCAACTGCACTAAGTTATTTCTACAACTACTGCTCAATGTAGGATCCTACCTGCACTGTCGTTCCATGGTTCTCGACTACTCTCACTTCCAGGGCATTTCGCATGAAACAGTACGTAGAGAATGACCTCGTACGCAGGAGTGCCTTGTTCGCCCCACTCCCAGAGACCAGATCCTTTATACAAGCACCGACAGTCCTCATACTCTGCCACAAACTTGGGCTGCTTGCATGTCCAGCCGCTTTGAGTCTCCCCGGCGAGGTGGTAAAGACTCGAGAAGTATAAGGAGCATGTATGTGAATGGAAGGGAGATGCGTTGGGTTGTAATTTCTGTTCTTCTAGACCGTCCACCAGCGGGGTCCCGCTGACCCAGTACTCCTGTATGTGATCAGGTGCTAAAGCTAATTACTCGCTTTCGAATGCACAGCTTCCCATATCTAGTTGCACCACGTCTCCTTCTGGCCGGATATCAAAGTCGAATATATCCATGGGTACTCCCAACGTCGTGCAAGCGTTGGGAATATCTACCAGACCAGCGATGTGCCCCTGCACGGGGGCGCAACTCAACAGCAGATAGATCTGGTAGTCATCATACCCATACCGACGAAGGTACTCAATCACCCGCAGGCAGGTCTGACGGTAGGCGACCGTCGCATCCAGGTAATGCTGCTTCCCATTCTCATCGACCGAGAATCCCTCAAACGTCAGATACCGGCCCGGTCCAAACTGCGGCTCCACGGGGCCAGGGTGGAAAATCGGGGATCTCATGCGCATCTTGGCCATCCCGCCCTTGAGCACAGTAAACTTGAGTGTAATCACACCGGCCATCTCGATGGCACCGCAGAAGGAGATCTCTCCGTCGCCCTGCGAGAAGTGCAGATCGCCGACGGAGAACTTCGCGCCGGGAACGTGCACAGGGAGGTAGACCTTGGAACCGCGGGAGAGGTTCTTGATATCACAGTTGCCGCCGTGTTCAGGGCGACCCTATATTATGATTAATCATCATGTTGTTGGGTCAGTCCCAGCTCCAGCTTAAATTTGGCATCCTCATTCTTTGTGAAGATGAGATGAAAGAAAAATGGAAAGCATACCGGGATCGTTCTTGCCCCTTCTCGAGCGATCTTGGCCTTCAAGGTCTCATCCGCACTGCCCGCATGTGCATTTTTCGGCTCCGGAGGCTTCGCAACATCACGTTGAAGATGAGTACTCGCCGCGATTAACTCCCCCTCACGGCGGTTCCACTCCGCTAGAATCTCAGCGGACGGCGCGCAGCCCAGGATCCCAGGATGTATCAACCCGGCGAAGCGTACGTGAGGAATGTGTCGCGACGAGCAGAAGATGCCCTCGAAGTCCCAGATAGCCTTGGCTCTATTATGCTTGCGTGGTCAGCTTCCAAGCTTCTTTCTCCGTATTATCTTTCAAGAACTGAACCATTCCCCAAGATAATCTAACTCACGCTTTTGGATAGATTTCGTCGAGGAACCCGCCGCCATTGTTCTTGTCAAAGATCCCCGTGAAACCCCAGGGGTGATCCTCGAAGGGCTGGACATCTTGAATCTCCACAAGCAAAACGTCTCCCGGCTCAGCTGTTTCGATCTCAAAGGGACCCGATAGGTAATGGATCTGGGTCAGATCGACGTTCTTGACATCGTCGGCGGAGTCGTTGTTTTTGATCTGACCCCCGGTCCAGTCGAGACATTCAATCTTGACAACTTCATTGTTGGCGATTTTGCCGCAAGCAGGGACTGTATGGTTTTACCATAGCGGTTCGTTAGCTTTTATTGGAGATTTGAACAAGTGACCAGGATGGATGGGATGGTACCGTCCGGATGCCATCGGTTCTGCAGGATGTCAGCCTGAAAATGGATTCCAGAATCTTTTTGGAGTAAAACGCACGTGTAGGCCAGGCTGCTCCCAGGCGGGTTTGTCAAGATCAACTGTGAGCGCCGTACGGATCTTCTTATGGCCCATGGTGAGTGATGTGATGCAGTCTGACTGTGTGAGGGATGAGTTGTGGAGAGGAGGAAAGAGAGAGCTTAGCTCTGCAGGAAATGCCCCTCGGCCAGGGCTGCCCGTCGCCAATTAAGTATTTGCAGCTGCATGATACGACCCTGCAACAAGGCAACATTAACTATGGTTATCAGCCGATCAAATGTGAGAGAGGGGAGAAAGTGGGACAAGGTTATCTTATCGGGGGTCAATGACGCTTATCTGCGGGGAAATTCAAGGCTGCTTCCTTTGCTTTGCAATCAACTTTTTGATACCCATCACAAAGTATTTACACACAGCTCTGCCAAAAGCCCTTATAATTTTTTACTCAGATCATTCCCAAGTCTACACTACTCCCGACTCTAGTCCATTTCTCAATCACATCCCGAGTGCACCGCTTCTGTCAACCACGCCTATCTAGGAGAACTCCCGGCTGGGGGTTTCGGATGCCTTGGGCTTTCCCTCCTCTTCATGAACATTAAGCTTGTCTAGATTATCCAAAGGAAGACGCAGAAAGTCGTGCTTGTTCTTCCAAGTCGTCTGGGTCTCGGCAAATCCCTCCTTCAACGCGGGGCTTGGCGGAGGATCCGTGATCTTGGTGACGAGGTAGGCAGTCGATGCCTGGGCCACACCGTAGAGGAGCACTCCAACAAAAGGAGCCTTCATGACATGAGTGAAAGCAAACGCAAAGCCGAAAAGGACACCCTCACGGTCGGCGAACCAGCGCTTTTTCTGCTCATGAGTGAAGGGGACACGGCTGAAGTAGGGCTCCAACTAGTGTACTGTTAGACTAAGCCAGGTTGAGAGGCATGGGGAAAAGCCTACCAGTTCACGCATCAGACTGCGTGATGCATAGTAGCTATGCAGGAACGAGACCACGTAGCTCTTGGGAAGGATAAAGCCAGCCCCAAAGATGACAGCTGCAGGGGTAGTTCCCACGGCGCTCTTGAAAGCGTAGAACGAGGCAGCAGGCATCACGAACGGGCCGACTACAGGAACCAACGAGAAGAGATATGTGCCGAGGAGAAGACCAGCCCGCTTGCCGTACCGGCGAAGAAACATTAAAAATGCAGCGTGGCCGGCAGCCTTGGGAGTTCGCACCGTGCCATCCTCGGCGGTGTACATGGAGAGATTGGGGTAATACATGTCCCGCAGGTTCTTGGGGTCGTCTTGCTTGTGCTTATGAACGTAGGTAGCATCAACCCATTTGAGTGATTCCATGAAACTGACTTGTCAGCATAAGGATCAGGCAAAGTTTTCGATTATGGTTAACTTACATCTCATCCAATGTAGGTGTGATGTACCGCATTAGTGTCATGAGCAAGAAGGGCACCTGAAGAACGGAGTTGGAGATAAAATTGAGACCCTCTACGAGAGAGTCATCCCAGGTCGCATTTTCCAAGTCAATGATCCATGATAGAATCCAGAGAACAAATTTGACCCCAATGATCTGGATGTCATCTGTTAGCCGGAAGGTCATATATGGCGGTACTGCTCAGGGGGGATGCTCTTACCGGAATCTGAATGATCAATTGAATGGCGATACCGACTGCAACCGCAAAGACAGCCTGTCGAAAGTGGTTGTATTTGAATAGGTCAGGGTTTCCCAGCGCGCGGACAGCTGTTGAGCAGAAGTCAGCTATTTTGAATTCTTGCTCTCCGATGACGTATGTGGTTTGCTGAAGTCTGATAATGGATGAATTCACGCGACACCAGCTCTAACGTTCAATGTCCATATAATCTAAGGTCCTGAAGGTGAAGCAGAATATTATGATGCCCCTTTTCCCATTCAAATAATGTAATCCCACGAAACCACAAGCGAGCTCCAAGCGGCGGAGATAGGATGATGTAAAGGAGGGGCAGAATTTCACTTACTCCCAACGATGGTGAGCTGGAAGCCGCGAATCACGGCATTAGGCTCGAAGTTCGGCATGATGCTCGAAGGTCCTCGAGAAAGGAAGCAGATGTGAGCTCAGGGTGATAATGAGAGAGAAAATGGACATGTAGAGCTATTTATAGTGGTGCGTTGTCTCGAGGGGGAACAGCCACAGGCAACCACATAATGGGAAATGTCCAAGTATGGCTGTGGGGGTGGATTGGTGCAACATCCGCTAAGCGCCGGGGCAAGCAGCCGAACCATCCGCCCCAGCCTCACGACGCCACAAATTCACGTGATTTATGCCTGAGGCAGCATACTCCTCCGTAGACCGACTTACTCCACCCAGCCCCAACAAGCTTGCAGTGTGCAGAGCGCAGGGGAGATCCGCGACTAGTCCAGATTGGCGGCCATCATTATTGAATTCATCCATCATCTCCCGGGGTCATTCGGGCTCGATTATCTCACCACCACCACCATCGTTCTTTTCTCCCACCCCCCTCTTCAGTATTCCTGCTGATCGTCTCTCCTTTTCCCACTTTTATCGTCCTCATTTTCAGATAACGTAACCAGCACTTTTTCTATCACCTTACAGTTTTTTTAAATCAATGTAATCTTCTTTGCCTGGTCCCTTTCCTTTTTTTTTCTCCTCTCTTATATCACCATTCCGTATACCCATGGTTGAGGATGTCTGATTCCTCCGATGCGCCGCTCCCTCAGACCTTGTCCATTCGTCGGTCTGCTACTCTTCCCACCAAGTTGAACCCGCGTACGCGTCGTCACTCAGAATCTGTGAAACCGTCCGAAAACGATCTCTTCTACCACCCGTCCGCTAAAGTCGTCCACTTCGCCCCCAGAGCGCTTGCGCCTATACCCTCGAGCACTGCCCCCGCGGATTTCGATTATCCGGTTGATACCGTTGAGACTCTGCCTTGGAGGTCGCCTACCGAACGTACGGTCGCCCTCGCACCTCTTCGTTTAGAGAATGTTCATGGTTTGACCGTGTTTCTGAAATGCGGCAATGTCGTCCACGCCATCCTCAAGAATTCACAATGTTGGTGTGTCGACGGCGAATCCACATTTGTCTTGCGCATCCGACCTTTGACCTACTATCGTATTGAACTGCCCAACGATGTGGAAGGTGACAAGATGTTAGTCGCGGAGATGAAGAATGTACTGTCGAAAGTCCTCCGATATGAAGTAACGCCCTGTCCCTTCAAGAGGGGCTTTACTGTCGAGATTCCCGAAGAGGCCAGGGCTCCTAGGAGAAAGAGGGCGTGGCGTCCTAAGGGGCGCAGAGAGAGCGCGCCAGTTTCCTCGATATACCAACATGACAACCTCCAGCCCAAATATGACCAGTCGACCGACTGCCCTAGCGCAGGAGAAGACACTGACGGAGATGCGACGGATGGTAGTGGCTTCACGACTAAAGGCAGTAATAGCACAATCCTTGAAACTATCGCGGACGACAACGAGTCGTCCGAGCCGATGCAGATCGCGGTTCCCACTCATTCTTCATGCCAGTCCGTGGCAGTTACACAACAGGGCTTTCAGACCTTGCTGGCGAGGTTTGAAGATAGCTCTGAAGATCAGGTTGATCCTGAAGCCTCCTTCTCATCCAGTGTGGAATCATTTCATTCATTGGGCCCTTCTTTTACAGCTATTCCGGATCTAGACGCCTGCTCCACGCCGGCGTCAAGTGAGAATGACGATAACTATGACAATGAAAGTGGCATTGTCCACTCATCTTTGGAAGACTCACAGTTACCCAAATCGAAACGTCCCGACAACAGGGTCTCGGTGTACGTCGACTGTTGGGATCACATGTCTCCAACGGAAGATCTCACAAGAGAGCTTGCTGAGCAGGAGGCTAAACCGATTCATGTCACACCCAACCCTCATTCGCCCGCATCCGAACCCACCAATGTCGCTTCAAGCCCCGAGCTTAATTCTAATCTTTCCAGCATGAGCGCGGAGTTTCGCCGTCGCTCCAAGGCATCCCGCGAGCGAGAAGTCTCGCCGATGCCGCCACCTTCTGCTTTGACGCTTGCCAAACCTGAGAAGCACGACGCAGCTTCTTTGATTCACAAGACAGCCTCGCTCGTTTTGGTCCCGCCCATTCAGCTCCTGGTCGTGCTCATCCATATCGCGGCCCGTATTGTCATAGGGCCGGCTTTGAGCTCGACAATGGGCGAGCTCAAGCGCAATATTGAGGACCAGTTCGGCGAGGTTCAGGATACGGTGGATGATTTCGACCTTCCCCTTCCTGATTGTTTCAGGAGATCCGAGGAGTCAACCGAGCACAACCCATGATCTATGGGTGGCGACAATGGTTTGCTGGCTCAGTATACTATTTTCCCTTCATTCAACATACCACTCTTTGGCACATTTCTTTTACCTCATATCTGTCATTCATGATATTCTGTTTTATTCCCATACACGCCTTCATTCCGTGATGATCCATTTACATGAAGTTTCGTTATCAGGCCCATTATCAGGAACACGCCTGGTTTGTGGGTGGGCCAACTTGCGTTGGAAATGTACCCTAATGTTTTTTATTGTATTCTAGCGTGTACCATCAATCATACTTAATTTTTGTGAGACAATTTGTGATTCGAGAGGCGAGACACATTACAGAGTACCTACCGCCAATACATTGTTTACACAGTACCTTGAGAGGAAAGGTAGCGACGCAACACGGTCGGGGACCTCTGGGGTAACATCCATGGCATACGTGATCGAGACTGGGGGAATGGGAGAAGGGGATGGATAGGTCACTCCAGTGTTGAGGGGAAACAACGGGAAGCTAAGCGCCCATCAACCTACAAGACATGCGTTTCAGCTTCGAGTTTTCATTCAAAGAGTGCTTTGTGTTTCTTGTGCTTGAAGATCTACTCCATTTACTATCACCATGAGGTTGTTCTTCGCAGGAAACGAACTGCGGATGACCATGCAAATTCCGGTGCGTCCATCACGATTCCTCATGCATCATCTCTGGGTATGGGTATACAAAGGGAGGGTGCATAACTACATAGCATACAGTCAAAAGAAGACTTGCTCCGTGAACCCATTTTTACAAAACTCTTGATTGATATATGACAAGTGAGACATAACCTCATAAAACGCCTAATAGATGCAATCGACCACACAATGAACAGGATGCATGTTGGGCCGGCCCGACCCCCTTCAGTCCTGTCCTCAAGCACCATGCTCAGTAATGCAATACCCCACAGGCACGGTTTCCATTTCATCCCGAGGACGCCCTCCAATCCACCCGATCCCAACAACATAGCTTCCTATCCTCCCACCGACAGGCCCAACTTCAGGCCTTCTGCACCTTGCCCGCGGCCTTCCCCTTGGCATTCTTCTTCTTCCGGTCGCGCTTCTTCAACCCTGTCATCCCAGCCTTACACACCTCCGCGTACCGCGCATAGAACGCCTCCAGTTCCTCCGGGCTCACGACCGTCGACAGCTTGACTTTCTTGGAGGGTGTCGCCTTTCCCGGTGTTTTGCTAGCCTTGGTTTTCGGATTTGGGGCGCTAGTATTGCCGTCGGTCGCGCGGATCAATATGGCTGGCGGTTGTTGTTGTTGTTGGGAGTCGGTGCTGTCGGTACTGGGAAAGGGCTTCTGGGTGAGGTAGACGGAGCCGCGGGCTTTTTGGGAGGTTGTGTTTAGGAGGGATGTCAGAGAGGCGAAGAACTGCGCATAATAAATTAAGATTAGCACTCGGTCGGGCATGAGAAGTGGGTAGAACGTGTCTGAGACAGATGGGTGGTACTAAGCGTGGGATAGGGTAATGGTGGTGGTGGTGGTGGTGGTGGTGGTAGCAGACCTCCTCATGGTTGAGGTGGGCGGGCATTTTGTCTTTGAATGCGCGTCCAGCGTCGAGAGAATGAGATCGTGTGTGGAGCTTGACTTGGAGGAGATCAAGTTAATATCTCAACGAAAGGGAATTGAGTGAAGAGACAGTCCGAAAAAATGAGTAAATCGCACGCAGTATGACCTGGAAGACAATATCATATGCTTCTATTTATGATTTAAGTCGAATGGCCAGACGATCTCGACTCAGTGGGGGAGGGAGCTCCGCAACTCCATCCCCTCACCGCTTTTCTTGATTCCGCCTCCGCGGACTTTTTTTCATACGGCATTATATCCCCAGGCCCCCTCCTCCAAAAAAAAAAAGGTTGACTAGGCCAACATCCCTGGAAAAGCGAAGACGATCATGCCTCGTCCTAGGCATAATACGACCTCTTTGCCTCGAAATCTCCGCGAGGAGCTGGGTATCCGCGATACGTACGGTGACCGGCAAAAGCGCAACGGACCCGGCGCCAGAAAAGATCGGCGGAAAGAAGAACGGTTATCGAAGAGACAGCGCGGGGGACCTAAAAGAGGTTCTCGGCGGCCATACGAGGAGGAGGAGGATAATGATGATGATGACGCATTTGATGGGTTTGACGATGAGGACGATGACGACAACGAAGACGATGTTGCGGCTACCATGGCCAAATTGAAGCAGAAGAAGGAGGCTGCGAAGGCTGCTCCCGAAAAGGCGAAGAAAAAAGCGCAGACGGCGGACAAGGATACTGATATGGCGGTTACCCCGCGGCCAATCTCTAAAACGGTCAAGGCGAAGCTGGACGAGGACGATGCTGAAATCGCTGCGTTGGAAAAGAAACTGGGTCTTAAGAAGGGCAAGAAACTTCCCAAGTCTTTTGAGGAAGATGGGCTGGGCGACCTTTTGGGGGATCTGGATGAAGGGTCCGATGATGAGAACCGCAAACGCAAGCGGGAGGCCGACGACTGGCTACGCAACAAGCGGAGAAAGGCGCAGGGATTGCTCGCAGAAGACGAGGGTGATTCGGAGGAAGACAGTGAGATGGGCAGTGAGGTCGGGCTGGATGGCTTCGACGAGGATGAAGAGGATGACGAATCTCTCGGCGACTTCGACGAGGACGAGGAACTGGAAGATGATGAGGATGAGGATATGGACGGCATGGACCTTGACGAGGAAGAAGAGGAAGAGGAACCTGCTCCCAAGAGAAAGGAAAATCCATATGTGGCTCCGGTTCAAGAGCCCAGTGGAACTCAACCACAAAAATACATTCCTCCCTCTCTTCGTGCTAAAATGTCTTCAGAGTCCGAGAGTCTTGTACGTCTTCGGAGACAAGCTCAAGGACACCTGAATAAGCTGTCTGAAGCCAACATGATTTCTATTTTGGCTGAGTTCGAGAAGCTGTATCGTGATTATCCCCGTGGAGAGGTCACCTCCACCCTCATCACGCTCTTGTTTGGACTGATCTGCGAACGATCTGCTCTGTCAGATACCTTCATCATCCTGCATGCGGGTTTCATTGCGGCGGTCTACAAAGTGATGGGCATGGACTTCGGCGCCGAGATTGTGCAGAAGATTGTGGAAACATTCGATGCTCGCGGAGATGAACGAGGCACGTTCGCGGGCAAGGAGACAATCAACCTGATTGCCCTTCTTTCTCAGCTGTATAACTTCCATGTCATTTCCAGCACCTTGATGTTCGATTACATCCGGCTGTTCCTGCAGGACATCACAGAGGAAAACACCGAGCTTCTCCTGAAGATTATTAGAAGTGCGTATTCAATCTCCCACTCGGCATTCGAACAAACATTAATACTGAAAATACAGACTCCGGTCCTCAACTCCGCCAAGACGACCCATCCTCTCTCAAAGACATTGTGCTGCTCATCCAGCCGGCTGTAGCCAAGGCCGGTGAAGCTTCTCTCTCTGTACGTACCAAGTTCATGATCGAAACCATCACCGACCTCAAGAACAACCGCTTGAAAGCCGGCGCCGGTCCCAACCTATCCTCCGAACACATCACCAAGATGCGCAAGATTCTGGGCTCGCTCAACAACACGCGAGTGATCCGCGCCTCCGAACCCATCAGTATCTCCAGAGAGGACATCCACAACTCGACCAAGAAGGGTAAGTGGTGGCTCGTCGGCGCAAGCTGGCGCGAGGATCCGCTCGAGTCCGCCCGTCAGGAGCTCTCCAATATCTCCCAGCAGCAACAAGCTCAAACAGAGTTCAACGACGAAAGTGACGGTGAGCCCGACTGGGTCAACATCGCCAAAGCGCACCGGATGAACACGGACGTCCGCCGCTCTATCTTCGTGGCCATCATGTCCGCCACGGATTATCAGGACGCTCACGTACGCCTGCTTAAACTCCGACTCAAGCGCGCCCAGGAGTTCGAAATACCCCGCGTGCTGACTCACTGCGCCATGGAGGAGGCTGCGCACAATCCTTACTACACGCTGATTGCCCGCCGGCTGTGCGGTGAGATGGGTCGCCGCATTAAGGTCTCATTCATGTACACCCTGTGGAATATCTTTAAGCGCATGGGTGAGCATGGCGACATGCAGGACGACGATGATTCTGACGGCGGGTTCGGTGACGAAGAGGACGAGAACAATAAGATTGAGATGAAGTCCATTGTCAACCTGGCGAAGATGTACGCCTCGCTGGTGGTGGACGGAACGTTGAATCTGGGCATTCTCAAGATTTTGAACTTCGCGTATCTACAGCCAAAAAGCAAGATGTTTGTGGAGTTGTTGTTGATTAGCATAATCCAGCAGTCCCAGCAGCAGAACAAGAAGAAAAAGCGCGGAAGCAAGAAGAGCAAGAATGGCGGCGACGAGGATGATAACGAGGGTTCTGGCCGGGATGAGAAGGCGCTCATGGAGATCTTCTTGCGTGTCAAAGAAACGCCGCAGATTGCGAAGGGCCTGATCTTCTTCCTGCGGAAGGTGGTTGCCAAGACGGATGTTGTGCCGTCTGGCAAAGATATGAAGCAGGTGAAATGGGGGTGCACAGTTGCAGTGGACGCACTGAAAATCGTGGTGAAGGATGCTGGTGGTGATTAAAATCAGCTACTAAGATACGTTTCTTCTGCTGGCTGGCTTAGGTGCATTTGGCGTTAGCAATCAGGTTAGCATAAGAAGGGATAGGGCCAAGAACATTGTATATAAATAGAAATTTCATTCTCGACATCATTAGGATGATGAGGTGGTATTATTCTTGATGGTCATACATGTAGGGTTTCTCAATTATGCACTATCTTGACCGTCTGCCTCAGGGACCAGCTCCCATTCCAGAACAACGGTCCATTTTCCTGCCGCTCGTAGAGCAGGAAGTTCTTCTTCGGTTTCCATTCCTATGTCGCATTCACCTAGATCAATATCCCAGGTCAATCCTCGACGGATGCCAATGGCATTTCCAGGGCAAAGCTCAGGCGGTGAGACATCGCTTCGCCGGAGCTGCATCACTGCTTCAGATTGAGATCGCGGTGCTCCAATGAGAAGTAATTTTCTCGACTGCGAATCTGATTCTGTCCCCGCATCATCCTCATCAAGAGCAACGATCTCATGCCCGCACACAAACGCAAGAGGACCACAGCTGGGAAAGGAAGACTGATGCACATTGTCGATCCGTACTACAACTGAGCTGTTCCGTGAACTCTGTTCAGATGCATCCGCGCCTAGACGACCGGTAAGACCCGTCTGCAGATGTTGCTCGTGTCGAGTGCCTGTTTCCAGGATCCAGCTGCGTACTTCGGCAGCCATCCCACCCGGGAGATAGGTGTGGGCAGGACCGCGGGTACGCCCACGCCGGCGTAATTTCCGGGAGGATGGGGAAAATGGAGTCGGGAGTGCAGCAAGCTCGTCGTCCATGTGTGAAGGAGATGGTGAACGAGGTAGCACGAAGGTTGGCGGTTTCCGGCGCTGGGACGATGCTGGCTCTTGCGTTGACGCTGAGATCCACGGTTTGCTGCTGGACTGGGGCTGAGTGCTTGGAGGTAAGTGGGACATTGAAACCCGGAACCGCCGCGCATTGACAGTGGAGGGAGGGTTCATGCCACCCTGCACTGAGGGTCGGGGTATTGTTGTGACCGCCGGGGTACGTGGTGAAGTTTCGAGAGGGTCCTGTCTGTGGACCCGATTTCGTGTCTCAGCTAATGGTGTCGGTGACTGAGGTTGAGAAGGTGAAGTTAGGCAAGGATCTTGTGAAGACGACGCAACCCAGTCTGTGTCTGATCTTGTTGGTGGCTGGGTTGAGGAGACCTCATTGTCCAGTGAGACTCTTCGCCGTTTCTTTCGTTCCTCAATTGTTGCGAAGAGATCTTCAAATCCGAGCTCTTCATCCGCCGGTGACACAGGCGAGCTGCTCTGCACTTGCCCATCATCGAAGATGACATCACTGGAGCGGGTGTATACCGCATGGTCCTGCTGGTGAAGGTCGGTATCGTCCGAGTCTTCGATAATCTCTTTCTGACGTTGCGTCGAAGTGAAGCCCCTATCGCGCTTGAAGAAGCGGGCGGTCGGAACTGGAGTATCGTTGGTGTCATCTCCTCCAATTGAGTCGGCATCTTGGGTTACTTGTTGCGATGCGGGGGTCCTTTGTGAGACGAAGAAGCGAGGGGTCGAGGCAAATTGAGGCCGTGCATTCGACCGCGAGGATGCACGAAAGGGGGTCTGAAAGACTGTCAGTCCTCATGATCTTACAGATTGACTGGAGCATCGCATACAGTTGCAGGGCGCATTGAAGCAGATGAAAGGTTACCACATGTTGCGGAGAACGCGTGGGGGAATCAGTTGGTCGATGCAACCGCGTCTAGTCAATATAGCCATATCGAGCAAGCGGTCAGGTATAGTATACCTCGGTGCCGTGCGGGGTCATTGTGAATCTTACAGTAAGTTAACTGTGGTAGTTTTAACAACTCATGCTTCACGTCACAGAGCATCACTGAGAGTTCTCGCTTCAGCTACAAAATGAAATTCCAGCCTTATCGGATCGACCTTTGATCAGATCACCTTGAGTGACTAGCCGCCGGAAACCTGCCACATAGCTACTATCTTTCGATTCATATGCTAACTTATACTTAATGACGATACTATGATATGAATGGCCGCCAAATTGGATCGTTGGACACCGCAGCTCCCCATGGGAACCAGCCCCTGACAGCTACAGCCGGCTCTTCTCATTGATTCTGGTCCACTCGCTCTCTTTGACTTTCTGGAAGTCCATGACTGCGTCCGGTCCACCAAATCGATTTTGAGTCGCTTTCCAATCACGGTTGACAGCAGTCTCCGGTCTCCATCGAACAACATCCTTCAGCTCTTTCTGCAGATGACCTTCCAATGCGTCCACAATAAACCCTCCAATTGAGGGCATCTGCATCGCACCGTTTCCGGAAGCGCCTACAGCAACAACTAATGAAGGATGCTTGGGATGTTGGTCGATCAAAAAAGCGCGGTCTGGCGTATCAGCATCCCAGCATATGCGGGCGAAGGACAGCGGTCTATCCGCGAGCTGCGGCATGGTGTCCCGGAGAAAGTCCCTGGCACGAGCTTCGGCTTCCAGCGGAATCTGATGCGCAGCGAATGGAATACTTCTGATCTCAGCACCCCGCTTAGGATCAGGAATGAAGTTACAATATCCGGGATGCTCATCGCAGATCTTCAACTCGTGCTTGTCCTCATCTGGCTCCATGAAGAAGCCCTTGGCGATGTTGAACAGGACAGGTAGGTTCTTGTAGAGCTTGGTCTCTTCAGGAGTCATCTTAATGTGGCACAAGGTCCAGGCGGTAGGACGCAACTGCTTTTCGAAGTCCAGGAGGCGATCACTGCCCGCACCCGCTGACAGCACGGTACGGTCTGCACGGTGAACAGCACCGTCGGATGTTTTCGCCCCGACAACATCTCCATTCTCGAAGACAAGAGACACAACGTTTCCTTGCGGTGACCCGGTAAGAAACTGGGCTCCCAAGCGCTTGGCCTCAGTGTAAGCGGAGATCATCGCTTTTTGGGCGTGGATCCATCCGGCGTTGGATTTATTGAGCCAACCCTGCCAGCCGGGAAATTTGCCAGTCAGCACTCCTTCTGGCATGGTCTTGCGGAAATCCTCTGCTGTCTCCAGCTTGATGAAGTCAGCCTCGGAGGGCTCAATCTCTGTCTCGCGGATGTGTTCAATCAAGGCAGGGGTATGCCCAGATACGATCACCCCAGTTTCATGAAAATACGGTTTGAAAACAGGATCTGATTTCCACCCTTTCAACGCGGCGCGAGTGCAGGTCGCAAATGCAATACTGCGGGGATCCGTATCAAATTCTATTCGTTGGTTAAGTTGGCCTCACTCTTGTTCGCCGAACCTCGAATTACTTACCCTTTGGCTCTCGATGCTCCATGATCTTGTTGATATCATTTCCAGCTGCAATTGCAGAGGGAACGGTATAAGGATCCAAAACTTTCACGTTCTTGTAGCCACGCCGGACTAGATGCAAGGCGGTTGAGCACCCCCAAACTCCTGCACCAACAATGAGGATGGTAGAGTCATGACTTAAGCGAGAGGGAGCCATAACGTTGGGAGATCATGTAATGAACTGTATGTTGTGGGCAAGCGGGAGGACTTGCTCTGTTGCAGAGAACAATTAGTTGAGGAAGCTCCGAGCAACGCAATGGTATTTGAATGGAGAGCCTCATCTCTATCATGCCATGCCGACCCATTGACCACAGAAAGTTGAAGCATGAACAGGGAATCAAGTCGGCTATGGATGGAGGCCAAATGCGGGGTTCCCATTCTAGCTTAGTCTTAGTGTCCCGGTTGGACCTTCCCTGCGACTTGAACACAATCTACTTCACAGTTCGTAAAGAGATCACTTCCCTAACTTACTTATCCTTTGGACCTTTGCACTTCTACTCCTCGTTTTCTCCACACATCCACTTCAGTGATAAGGTTGTCTCGTGGCGAATGTTATCCGTCTCGCGCAGTGTTCAGACTGGCTATAGTTGGTGGATCTGACGGCTTCTCCACACATTCCTCTCCTTGCCCTTACTTGGCAGATGGCATCAGTATCGTGTCGAACCCGTTGCGATAACACTCGTCGTTTGGAACTTCCTCGACAAGTATACTTATCTTCGTTCCATTCGTATTTCTTTCTGGCTCGGGGTGGCGGGTCCCTCGCTCGCATGCCTCTTATCACGATGCACTACGTTTACAGTAACGCTAGAGTTTGGCCATTGACTGCTTTGTGACCGTAGTCGCGGTCCATCCACGCGCAAAGATCGTCTTGCCTTATCATCCAGAACCAGCATGGCAACATGCTCGGTAATTCTCATCCAATCGGATGAAGATAAAATCCCAAAGAGAGCGGGATATTGACGCTTTTCCGCGTCTGAGGGATGTCCATTGAGTCGGGTCAAGCCGCCTTGTGAGTGCAGCGATGCGTTTAAAAGAGCGATTACTTCCCCTCTCAAGACCTTGTCTGTGACCCAGTTTCTATACCTTAAGGCATCATGGCTCGCACCGACGATATACAAACGGACGTACCAGGGACGGTCTACCTCATTGACGCAGGTGGACACTTGAGCGATGCAGCCCATGCTGGCAGTCAAGATATCTTGCTCATTCCCCAACCAACTCCATCAGTCGCTGATCCTCTGGTATGTGGCAACTGCTGTGTCTAGCTTGCCTTGCTCACTTCGCTGATTGCTTTCCGGTAGAATTGGCCAAAGTATAAGAAATACTGGACGCTTTTCCTGATTTCTGCCTACGCCTGCTTAAACTCCTTCGGCGAGAACAATTGGGGAGCAGCATGGACAACAATTTCAGAGGATACCGGCGTGAGTCTGAGCAATATGAATGGCGGCTCTGCTCTGAATTACCTCATGCTGGGATTTTTCAACATCATCTGGATCCCAACGGCCATGAAGTTTGGACGAAAGATTGTCTACATACTCAGTCTTGTTTTCGTTCTGGCCAGTGGAATATGGGGCGGTTTCTTCAGCGGCGTTGCACAGTACTACATCATGATGACCATCAATGGTATTGGTACCGCAGCATATCAAGCCCTGATTCAGCTCACGGTATGTCGGTTGTAGGGACTCTTTTTGTCGATACTAACATGTCATAGATCTTTGATGTCTTCTTCTCCCACCAGCGTGGCCGGATGCTGGCTATTTATATCTTCTTTCAGCAGCTCGGTTCCATCATCGGCTTGATCTGTGGTGGCTATATCTCTGACGGCATCGGCTGGAGATGGAGCCAGCCCATCGTGGCCGGGGCTTGCGTAAGTTCTCCCCCTCAGGAACGCTGTGACCTGTCGAAACTGAAACGCCCCTAGGCTTTCCTGATCCTTCTCTTCATCTTCACTTTTGATGACACAATGTTCCCAAGGTACCGATTCTCGGGCGATACGTCTTCTGACCACTCAAAGACCAAAGAACCCACCACCACGCTACCAGGCGATGAGAAAGATCAGAAGATGGAGTCCCCTATCTCCGTCGTGGACAGCCACAGTGCGGGACAGGTCTCAATGCCCCCACGCACATGGCGCCAGAAGCTTGCCCTAGTACACTATTTCAACGACGACCACACGACCTGGTTCCAATATTTCCGCCGTCCATTCTTCCTCTTTGGCTTTCCCAATATCCTTCTAGCGGGAATCCAGTTTGCCTTAGGCTGTACTGCTGGCATCGTATCATTCAATACTATTTCAGAGATAATGACTGATCCCCCATACAATTGGAGCGCCGGCCCGGCAGGTTTGATATTCCTGGCTGCTCTCGTCGGCAATTTCATCGGGTAAGCAAGAAGCCTCCATCTGCCATGATTCAAGATTGCAACCTAACCGAAAACTTAGGATGGGCATCGGTTCGCTATCTGACTGGCTTGTCGTCTTCCTCGCCCGCCGCAACCAGGGTTATAAGGAGCCCGAGATGCGTCTCTGGGCCTACGGGCTCCCCATCATCCTCGCCGCCGTCGGCTACTTCACCTACGGCTGGGGCGCCACCGAAGGAGCTCACTGGATGTCAATTGCGGTCGGTCTGTGCTGCATGATCGCGCAACAGGTCTCTGCAACGAGCATTGCCACTGCATACGCCATGGAGTGTTTCGACCAGGTCAGTAATCCGTCGCATGTTTCGTTGCGAAGAAGCATCATCCCCCTCTCCTTACCCTTGCTTGAGGCTTCCAGTTGCTTTGCATTCTTCAAGCCTGGCGTCCTAGACTGACCAAGTCATGCTCCAGATCTCTGGAGAACTTGTCATCATCTTGGCCTGTTGTTCCTCCATCATCAACTTCGTCATCTCCTTCACAGTACAGGACTTCATTGACGGTACCAATTACGGGTGGACCTTCACCTTCTACGGTATTCTGGTCGTGCTGTCTATGCTGATGGGCGTCCCAATGCTCATTTGGGGCAAGAGTTGGCGCCGGAATTGTAAGCCGCGATACGAGCAGTTCCTGGCGGAGAAGAATCTTCATTGATTTGACAGCTCCTTTGTCGGGAATGCTAAATGGCTGGCAAGCTTGTGATATGCTTCTAGTGCCTTAGCGCCTACTGTTATGATTTTATGATCGTTATACCTACCTTCCGCCTCTATTTGCTCGCTTTCTTGGTCTGCATGATTCTTTTGATTGAGGTTTGATTTGATGGTGATGGCGAATTGGCTTCTCAATGTAAGGCGGACATGCAATGCACGCATTATCTATTCTATTCAGCAAGACCAGTAGTTTCATTTCCTTCTACTTTAGCCAGAATATTCCGATTAAATTGTTGTTGTATGGTCATGATCGCGATGTAAGATTCGCAGGAGACGCCAGTGCCGGTATTAGTGCAGGTAAAGAGGCCCCAACGGGCGTCATTCACCAGGGCAATGAGCTACGAATTTCGCAAGGTCAATATTGCGGAAGAACGTGGCTGCACTCATGTGGTCATTGCAGGACGTGAAGGGTCGGAACAATTAAACTAAGTGTATGAGGGTGGTATGGTAGATTGGGTCACTTATTCTGGAAGTGCAAGTAGCAGAAGTGGTGCTAGATCATGAATTCATGAATCATGACGAACGGTTTCGCCTCGTCTCTCATGAGAAGAATTTCTGAGCGGCCGCGCGTTCCTTAGCAAGGCGGTCCTTAAGAGCCTTCTTTACCTTGGCGATCTCGTTGGTGATGCCCGCGTCACCAGGGGCCAGGCGATCGGCCTCCTGGAGATCGTTCAGGGCCTCATCCTCCTCCTTAAGACCGCTCAGGGCAACGGCGCGGCGGTAGTACGCCTTGGCCTTGTCGGCGTCCTTGGCCTCGGCGGCCGCAGCAACATCCAACGCATAAGTGGCCCAGGTCTGGGCGTTCTTGAACTGGCCAAGCTTGTTCGCCAGGAGGGAGGAGTTGGAGTGAAGGGTGAAGCGGAGAGCCTTCATCTGAGGGCCCAACTCCTTAGGGTCCTGCTCGTCGGGCTCGGGGAATTCGTTGAGGTAGCGCAGACCCTTCTGGTATTTTTCAAGGCCCATGGCGATGTTGCCGCTTTTAAAGGCCGTGTTTCCAAAGTTCTTAAGCTCCGAGGCGATCTTAAAGCACACAGGAGCACTCAGCTGCTCGCCCTGGTGGTCATCGGGGAAGTCCTCGTAAGGGTCGCCAGTGGTATCGGGAATCTGCTTATCGGCATCCTCGTACTCCTGGCCGGTGAGCTCGCCGCAGTCGACGATGGTGACATCCGTGGTGGGCTTATCAGCCTGGGTAGGCAGATTCTCAATCTTGCGGACAACGCTCTTTCCGTTGATCACCTCACCAAACACGACGTGCTTGCCATCGAGGTGAGGAGTGGGAACAGTAGTGATGAAGAATTGGCTGCCGTTGGTGCCGGGGCCGGAATTGGCCATGGAGAGGAGGAAAGGCCGGTCATGCTTGAGTTCGAAGTTCTCGTCGGGGAATTTCTCGCCGTAGATCGACTCGCCGCCAGTGCCGTTAAATGCGGTGAAGTCACCACCCTGGATCATGAACTGCTTAATCACGCGGTGAAAGATAGAACCTAATCGTGTCGTGGGTGGTCAGTTACGGCTTGTGGAGGGCCCGCGCCGGGGTCGACGGGAAGTGAGAAAGAGGTTGAGTCCGGCAATGGACAAATCGTACCCTTGAAGCTCAATGGCTTGCCCTGCTTGCCCACACCCTTCTCGCCTGTAGAGAGTGCACGGAAGTTTTCGGCGGTCTTGGGGACGACTATTTCTCAGTCAGAATTTGTTTGAAAGATGCGTCGTTGAGCCCAGGTGGTTACTATACCATCGTTGAACTGCGCGGGCGGGGTAGGTTAGCGAGGCTGTGTGAACCGGGGCAGTATTGAATCGGAAGCGGAGTGGTCGTCGCATAGATAAAATGGATGAATTGCTTACCAGTTCGAGAGCAATCCGACCGGCCTTCTGCTCACCGATCTGAATGTCGAAAAAAACACGGGGGCGGCCTGTGAGAGCGCCATGTGTCAGTCGTCGGGAGCTTTGAAGCTTAACCCCCGCGGCGGGGAAGAACTGGAAGTCGGAACTCACGCTGAGACTCGGCCATGATGAACTATGGTGGTGAAAAAAGTAGAGAGAGAATATGACAATTGGAAACCGAAATAGAAGGGATGTAGATCAAGACGAGGGGAGGAGAGAGAGAGAGAGAGAGAGAGAGAGTTAGGAAGAAGTAGTAGGGAGTATAGACACCAGGAGTCCAGACAATGAACAAGTTGAAGTGGATAAATGAGGAGAAAAGGAAAGGAAAGGAAGAGAGAGAGAGAGCTAAAAGAGGCAAGAAGTGGGCTCTGGACTGCGATGCTTCAAGAAGCTTCCATCGTTTCGGCCCATCATTTTCATTCATCCGCCTTTAGACGTTAGTTGCTTTTTCTCTTTTCCTCCCCGTCACATTCCGCTGTTAAACCTCCAAATCTCCCCCTCTCCCTCTCTTCGTCTCCTCCTTGTCACTTGAGGGGGATAAATTCAGACTAGTAGTTCACGATCGATCGATGCTGGTGGTCTGATAGGTGGGGATCTAATATCTACGGTCTCCTCTCGTACTACTCACGTACTCACCGATCATAAATGTACTGTAATGCTTCCAAAGTATGTTATGCTCCTGGAATTCCCTCCCTTCCTATTATCACCTTGCACCAACCACCTCCTTCTCTATTATGGGGTATATCTATAACTTTTTTTCTATATGTACACAAGAACCCGTCATCATCATCGTATGTTCATCCTGACGCCCATCGCTCATGTATCTATCAATCCAATAACTCCGGGGGTATCTGAAATTCGAAAGTCTGGGGCCGTGTCTCTTGGGGCTCCGCCCCTTTCTCCTTCTCTTTCTTCGGTAGTTGGGTGTCGATATCGATCGTAACCTATCTCAGCGTCAGTCCAGCAACATCGGGGAGGGAAGCAGGAAGAGAAGCGAGAGCTTTACCACCGCATCTTCACTGCGGTAATCTACACCCACCGGCCCGTCGTTCTTCAGCTCGACCTCCATCATCGCCTGGAAGATGCCATTCTTCACCCGCTCCGGCTTGTAGCTGTTGCTCAGCTTCTGGTAGAAGTAGTCGTAGAGTTTGCGCGCCGTCTCCACATCGGCTGCACCATGAAAATCCGGTTTGCTGCCTTTCTTCAACTGGCCATAGAGTGTAAATTGGGACACTGGTTGGGCAGGGGGGGTCAGCGAAGTGCACCCACAAGACTCGTCGGAGGGATGGCCGTACCGCAAAGCACTTCTCCATCGATATCCTGAACGTTTTTCTTCCACTGGAAGCCGCAACCCGCCGCGTCAGATGTGTGTTGTACGAACCGCAATCGCGTCTTCTAACTCACCTGTTTCTGGTTCTCATCTGACCAGAGTTTGGCTTTCAAGACGCGCTGAACCATGGTATCGGCATCTTTCTCTGTGTCGTCTTTCCCTACACCGGCAAGCACAAGAAGCCCCTGGCCGATCGACGAGACAAGCTGCCCGTCGACGGTGACTGAGGCGGATTTGACTCGTTGGATGACCGCTATGAAGGAGTACCAGTCAGCGCTGTTTTATTTCTTACGCGTCCCATGGTAGGTTGCGCACCCTTCATCTTGCAATACACTCAATGACAATTAAGGTTATGTTGTGATAGTCCCAGCGACGAGTAGTTTGGTAAGAATTTCTAGAATGCTTGTCAATGTCGGGCTCCATGCGGCGAGCGGGTAACTGCAACCGGCGGCGCATAACCAATACTTACTTCTGGGAGAGAACAAGTCAAGGGAGTATGTCAGCACACACACAGGTCCAAGGAGTCATCCAGCTCAATAAGACAACAAGAAACTGCGATGCCCATACCTCAAGGCTCAACAGTTTCACCAAAAGTTGTTGAGTAGTTCAGCAAATCACCATGAACCAAATCATGTATGACGAAGGAGGAGGAATAGTGGTTTACCCGCTCGCCGCCCCCGGAATCGGTTATGCCCGTCATCCGTGACCGCCTACTGTTTCAGGCATCACCAGCTGCTGTGAGTCCAGGACCAAATGTATCAGGAGATTGGACACTCCTTCACTGTGTCCTCCAAAAAAAAATCCCATTCACGCTTTCGCCCGCGTTTTTGTCAACAAAGAGCTGCGGAGGCAGAAGATTGCCCACACGCGCCAGACCGTCTAAAATTCTCCTCCGTCGCCCTGCGTCCTTCCATCCCGTTTATCCTATCTTTCCTCGGCCGTCGAGTCCCATCGCCCACGTCAATTTTCGAGGCCTAACTTTCTCTGTTCATGTGAACGGTCGCCGCCATGACGTCCCGGAAAACGCAACAGGAGATTGACAAGACTTTCAAGAAGGTCGCTGAAGGCATCGTAACCTTCGAGGGCATCTACGAGAAGATCCGCTCGACAACGAATCACACCCAGCGGGATAAGCTCGAGGAAAACCTGAAGCGCGAGATCAAAAAACTTCAACGGTATCGAGATCAGATCAAGTCATGGGCGTCTGGAAATGAAGTGAAGGACAAGGGTCCGCTGCTCGAGCAGCGCAGAGCCATTGAGACCGTGCGCATCCTCCCGCCCTTCAATGCCCCGGCGTGGAGGGGAGCTGTTTGCTGACGAGGAGCTTAGTGTATGGAGCAATTCAAGGCCGTCGAGAAAGAGATGAAGACGAAAGCATACTCCAAGGAGGGTTTGTCTGCAGCGTCGAGGCTGGATCCTAAGGAGAAGGAGAAGGTGGAAACATGCGAGTTCCTGTCGAATATGGTCGACGAGCTACAACAAAGGATCGAGGCTATGGAGGCCGAAGAGGAGACGTTACATATGCAGATGAAGAAGGGGAAGAAGGATGTGGCCAAAACGAATCGTCTATCAGATATCTCGCGGATAACGGAGCGTCATAAGTGGCATGTCAATAAGCTGGAATTGCTCTTACGGTCGCTGCAGAACGGCAACGTCGAAACGCAACAGGTCCTAGACCTCAAAGAGAGTATCAAGTACTATGTCGAAGATGGGCACAACCTAGACTACTCAGGCGAGGACGAAACTCTATACGATGATCTGAACATGGACAATGAGGCAGAGATGCAGTTCGGCATTGCGGGTGACAACGACCGCGTATCGTCGCAAGATACCCAGTCGATTCAAGAGGAAGAACCGGAGTTGATCAAGTCGAAAGCGAAGAACGACACTGCTGGCCCTCGACGACCTTCCGCCCAGATGAAATCTCCTCTTCCCGTGTTGGCTACGCTCCACCCCGCGACATCAACAAGTGCCACCTCTGGCATGAAGCCCGCCCCGCCTCCAACGCGCCTGCCAGGTGAGACACTCAAGTACGCCTCTGCAGCCGCCGCGGCTGCTGCCAGCGATAAGAACGGCGTAGGCATCGCACCTCTGCCACCGCCGCCAGGCGCGAGCCCCGCTTTCCCGCACGCTGTACCTGCATCCAAACCCTCCACCTCCACAACCGCATCCCCTAGCGTCGCTCCTGCACAACCTGTCGTCCGGACTTCTTCGGGAGTCACGATAGCAGGCGAGGAGTCGAGTGGCAGCGGAAAATCCAAGACTCCTGCCGCGAGTCCGCACGTTGCCAGCGCAAGCACATCGTCGCGAGGCATGCAACCACAGACCCCTGCCATGGAGAAGGTTGAGGCCTCGGGTAGCGATAACAAGCTACGAGCCACGACGACCAACGGCGAGTCGAGCAGCAAGGAGGCATTGCGCGACAGCGAGGAGTCTATTTATCATCTGCCGCCGGGCCTGCAGGATCTTATTCAATCATTTGAAGTGACCAAGAGCCGCGCCGCCGCCAGTGCGACCAACCCATCCCCGTCGGTGCAGCGCTTACTGGCCGCCTCCCTTGCCAATTGCCCGGAGCCGGCCGACGCCGAGAAACCCCGTCACTACAAGCCGCAGAACCCGTACAACACCCCGCTCTATTACCCCCAGGAACCTCTCCCAATCTTCGACGACCCGCGGCTCTACGAGACAGGTCGCATTGACACCGATACTCTATTCTATCTGTTCTACTACCGCCAGGGCTCGTATCAGCAATACTTGGCCGCCAAGGCGTTGAAGAACCAGAGCTGGCGGTTCCACAAGCAATACCAGACGTGGTTCCAGCGACACGAAGAACCTAAGACCATCACCGAGGAGTTCGAACAGGGAACCTATCGCTTTTTCGATTATGAAAGCACATGGTATGTGTTTTCTTTCCAATCCTTTGTAGACCTTTGCACGTTGCCCTTTATGGGGGGGAAAGTGAGCTGGTACACAACACAGTCGTCAACTAACTGAGGACTACAGGATGAACCGTCGCAAGGCAGATTTCAAGTTCGTCTACAAGTACCTTGAGGACGAACTGTAAACATACTCCAAGGACGCAACCAGCAACACTTTGAGCGGGAGGGAATGTTTGTGTACATGTGTCAGTGTTTGATTTTCGCTGGATCTCACACATTTTGTAGATGAAGAATCAAAACAGCAGAAATCATAAGGACACCCGATTCTTTCTTATCCTCGAATAGCAGCCCGCTTTGGTGAGGTGTGGTGTTGTTCTTCATTGATCGAGCTGTCTTGTGTGTTTGATCTGCTATGTTTATGGTCGGTGCGAATCTCTTGTTTGTTGCTGATTTTCTTTTTCCGTTCTTGTTGTCATTGATTCTTTTTTCAAAGCATGCAAGGGACGAAGTCTTACGAATAGTCAAGGGGGTCTTTTTGCGGGACAACAGACTGGGAGTTTCTGCGCTGGGGTTTCTTTTCTTAAACGTGGGCCGATGGCAAAATACAATCGCACAAGAAGAGATGTCCTTCTCAATTTGTTGAGATCCTTGACCTTTGGTGTTGGGTAAAAAGGGTCAATGTTTCGGTTGATCTTGGTCCTGTTCTTTTCTTTTCTTTTTCTCTTTTTGGGGTGTCTGGCTTGGTACATCCTTTTTGGAGATGGCCAGATGTACAATCATGGATTTCATTCCAGCCATCTAGTCCATCGGCCATTACATTCGGCCGGAGGGTCTCAGTCATGAGCAGAGGTTGTAAACCTTCCGGGGTAGGATCTGCATGCCGTAGATGTTCTAGAGTAGAGTGGGTGCTTTTGAGAAAGCCAGGTTCACCCTGCTGTCTCTGATATTGTGATGAAGGGAAGGAAGGTGGGGGAGAGAGGGGTCAAGGAGGAAGAGGATGCCTGAACGGAGCTGAAACGGGTCATGGAGGGGTGAATGGTTTCAGAGGGTGGAGGAAGAGGGGAGGGGAGGGGAGGGAGAATGAGAGTTGCATCTACCGAAAGTATGTTCGGGTTCTTCTGTTGCATTTTCATCAAGGATTTGGGAGGAGTGAAGGACGATGTCGGCAGATCTGCGACATGACATGCAGCAGTTCTTCACCTTTTTCAGAGTAGACTGTAGTTGGAGAAAAGAAAAAGGGAGGGCGGGAATCATGCAGGGTGGGCAAAATACGGAGAGCATCTGGGAAGGGAACTACCGTAGGTACGGAGTATCGTACAACCCCCTTCCACAACAGGTAAACAAAGAAACATGAAATGAGAATTTTTCAGACTCGACGTCATCGAACTCCATGAAGACGAGGAATGGGTGCTCCGTGCTCTCTCTTAGACTCTCATTTACTCACCGTATATCAGATGATACGGTAGAAAGTCGGTGTAAAAATAGTAAGGAAGAGAGAGAGAGAGAGGATTGTCCAGCACGGACCCGATTTTTTTTATGTTTTTTTCCCCCCCCTTCCTATCCATTTTGACTCCGAATTAATGCCTTTAGTGGCGGCATTGAGCAAGCGGGAAGTGGGAGGGTCCATACTGGAGAGGAAACTCTCGGAGTCGATGGAGAGAAAAGAGGAGGAGAATGCACAGAGGGGACCGAGCTGATGATGGGAAAGAAAGACAAAGGAAATTGGATTTGAGATCTACTTAGTGTCTAAACCTGCAGGGGAAAAGACTGGTGGTGAGCCGCGAGACGGGACCCTCTTTTTTTTCAAAGTGGTACATACGTACGTACGTACTCTCGGCTCTCGAGAGATTGGAGCTAGAATCGATTTGTAGATTGGTATGGACCAAATAGTAGATTGGGTATCACTCCCGTGGGGACCGAGGGGAGCATGAGGCTGAAGGGAAATTAAGGATGTTCGAGGATAAGGAAGAAAATGGGTCCTTGCGATGATGAATTGCCGCCGCTTGGATCAACCGGCGAGAGGAAAGACCAGTCGAGACCAGTAGACCCTGCCCTTAGCTGCGTACTACAGGCAGTACTTACTAGGTAGTTTACCGTGTACTCTCCAAGCACGGATGATGGATTACTGAGCGGATCGTGGTAGTTGATAATGCTAAGTACTTTGTGGTTACCTGGAGCCGCGGCAGACAACCTCGCGGGGAGCCCTGCTCGGTTAAATCGGTCCTCGATGAGTCCTCAGTCGATAACTAATTGTAACGCAACAAGTAAGCTGTGCAGCAACAATTCAAGACATGGAAGCATACTGGTCTGGGGTAATACCGCGCAGCCGCCTCACTTCCTCCTTCAATCCGCAGGAACGATAGAGAGCTTCATGTCATGCGCAATTTTACACGCGCAGGAACCGCTTAGATCATTGAAGGCGGAGGAGGAGGTCAGCTTTGAACCTCTCCATCACTCTCATTCTGACCGCAAGGGGGGCTGTGCGGGTTATGGAGGAATTGTAACTTCATCTTCTGTAGTTTCTTCTTCTTCTTCTTCTTCTTCTTGTTCCCGCAATATCATCATCTTTATTATCATTCATAATTATTCGTCATTGTTCATTTCTTTCCCCAGACCGACGAGCACCAACCGTGCTTCGCGCTTCTCGGCACTAACAACAAGGCTATCGAGAAGTGAAGGAGAGCTCAATCCGATCGTTGTCCACAAACGCCCCGGGAAGCCCGTGCCGCAGTGCGCGGTTGCAGCTGGCTAAGTCTGCCTATTCCCGGCCGGGGAAATTACCATTGCCAGATTCGAGGGCTTTGCTGTCGTCTGTTCGCATTTCTTATCGCCAACCACCCACGATCCATTCCGATCGATTCGATCTCTCCCCATTCGCTCGCTGCAACGATCACGTTCCTCCCGCCTTCTTCCCCCCCCTCCCCCCCATCCATATGCATTTTCTGCATCTCGTTTGCCCGATGGCCCCCGGAGGTCAATGACTCCTGCACAAATGCGGCTCGTGACAGATGAAGTACAGCAGCAGTCTAGTACTTTTGACTCTTGTTGTCGACATCATCGGAATGGGATTCCGCTCCGTCTCGTTTTTTCCCCAATGCATCTGACGAGCTTCGTCGGTAGGCTCCGCTCAAAGTTTCCCGCCTGGGGGATGGGGAGATGAAAGCAAGATCCGAAGGCAAATGGCGGTCTTGTTGGAACGAGTCAGGAATCAATCCTAGCCCGCATCATTTTTTTCCAGAACCTTGGAAGATCCATCATCGAGGCCCAACTTGCGACTAAGTTGGTAGCAGCCGACGCTCCACCGAGTCTGTTTTCCCTAGTTTATTTATTTGTTTACCTATGAAGGTTACCCTTTTCGGCTCATGTGGGGGATCGCTGTTCCCTATGACGATATCAGGATGATTAGGTTGATTGGGAGTGTCAGCCTTCACCGCAGAGTGTCTTGGACTTTCTGGCTGGTTAACTTAGCCTGGAATGGCTCCTCTTTTTTCTCGGGCCGGAGTGGAGCCCGTCGCTGGTTACTTTCCGTGCCAACTACCAATCAATCCGTCCCCTTTGCCTCTAGAAGCTGGGAAAGAAGGTGCTTCTGGTTCTTCGGTGCTTCTAGCGTTTCTAGCGTCAGCACTAGCTGGGATCGCTTCACTTCCAAAGGTTTGCAATCCCGCTTGCTCGCCAATTGAAGTGCCCCGCTGGCGGGGGCTGTGTGGTGTTTTCTCCCTCCAATTCACTCCATTTCCCTCCTGCATTCATTAGGATTCCCGGCTTTCCCACAATCCCAGGGCTCCCAGACTAGACCAACTTTACTAACTAACTTACTTACTCCTAGGCTGCATTGAGTCTTTCCCACACCTCCACCCCTCATTACTCCCTCCCACATCCACTCTTCCCTTCCCTGCCCACCCACCCTAGCTTTTTAGTGGAAGATCATTCTAGTTGGTAGCGCGCTCACCTGATGATGTCGCCGTGGGTGCGTTCGTGTTGCTTAGCTTCTCTGGCACTGGCCGTTTGGGCTGTTTTCACAGTGGAGAAGCCACCGGCCGCGTCTAATGCAAGTGCGACGTAGTCGACCTGACCTGATCAAAGAACACAATGGTTATAAAAACCCGGAGAGCCCAGGCTGGCTGATTCGGGCTTTTGCTTGTTATCCTCTAGTATCACAATTCTCTGCTAGATAAAAGAACCCCTGCCAGCTATTGACTTCCTTGAACTTTCTCTCTTTCTCTTGAAAGTGTCTTTCATCGCTCTTTCACCGCTGTACATACTTTCTTTGCCCTTTTTCTGAACTCCACAATGTATGCCATGTCTGCAATGGTGAGTTTCCAGGCCCAGGATTTTTCGATTCTGAAATAGAAGACTGATGCAAACCCCTTCTAGAGTCCTTCTATGCATGAATGTCCACCAATGGAACACTCGTACTCGACCAGCAGTGAAGAGTCGATGCCTTCGACTCTGGGATACATGGGCCATCCATCATTGTATGGGATGGTAGGCACGGAGATGTCATTTGCGCCGCCCACCTTCGAGCCCTCATCATACGACTCGACTCCCTTCAGTTCCCCCCAGACTGTTGCCTCCTCAACTTTCGACATGTACTACCCTTGCAACAATACCAACACCTTCACGGCCTCGCCGATGGTCTACTCACCCGAAGCCTACTCGTTCCACCAGCTTCCAGTTCAACCGTCTTCCTTTCCGGTGCCCAATATAGAGTGGATCCCCACCCAATCCAGCCCGAATCCGGAAATTGTTTACTCGCCCGTTGAAAGTTACGAGACCCTCGACGCGTCCAAGTGAGTTACCGAAATTTTCTATTTTTTTTTTTTTTTTTCCATTTTCATTCTTGTGGTCATTGGTCAGCAAAGACTAACATCCGGACCCTACAGACCCGTCAAGCCCTATACCTGCCAGGACTGCAACAAGGCGTTTACCCGGCCTGCCGATCTCAAACGCCATCAGACCAGCGTCCACAATCCTGTCTTCCAGGACTGTCCTGTACAGGAATGTCTCCGCAAGGATGGCAATGGCTTTCCGCGTCGAGACCATCTGATTGAGCATTTGCGCTCCTTCCACCACTGGGACGTCCCCAAGCGGCGAGCAGCCAAGCGGGCCAAGACAGCTTAGAGGGATGTCTTCCTGTCTGCCTAGCCATGCCTAGCCTTGCCTGCCCTGCTTTGTGTCTGTCTGTGTGTGTGTGTGTTATGAATAGAGATACCCTTTTCCTTTGTCTTGATGTTTATGTATCATGATGTCCTTATGTCCCCTTCCTATGTTCTGTCATGTTTTCTCTTTTTTTTTTTCAATGTCGTTTTTATGTGATGTCTACATGATGCAACCTTCCAATAGAGTGACAAAGGTTGGTCGGAGGGGTAGGCGTTCAGGGTCGAGGCTGGGTTGCATGTACAGTGAAACTGTATTGGACTTGGTGTTATCTATTGAGGCTCCCTTGGTTTATTGATTTGTGCTTGTTTCTTTTCCATTATCCTTTTGGTTTGTTTCTGTTCCCTTACATAATTGAAGATATAAATCATACCTTATAATTCGACATCGTGTCGCATGATAACTACCCGCACGCATCGCTTAGCAACTCAGTCCCTTCACTTCATGACGCCAATGAATTAGAACCATAAAAACCTTGACCCATCACATCCTCTCAAAATCAACAAAACAAATCCCCCTTGCCACCCCCTCCCCATCAAAACAAACCCCTTCCCCCTCCAGCAACCGTCGCTTCATTCCCACCCCTTCTTTCGCTTTCCCCGGGGCCGCCCCCGGGCCCCCGGAATACCCGACCAACCGCCCGGGACCCCCCAGCACGCGGTGGCACGGCACGTCCGGGGCAAAGGGGTTCAGACGCATCGCGGCGCCGATGGCCCGCGGGCTGGTGCCCAGGTGCTTGGCCAGGGCAGCGTACGTCGTCCATCTTCCCGCGGGGACGGTGAGTAGAGTCAGGTAGATCTTTCGGCGGTGCGGGGGAAGGGTAGGATGGGTGCGGATGCGGTGAATTATCTTTGAGGGAGCGGGAGCAATGTTGCTGGATTGGGTTGGTGTCGTTGTCGTCGCGAATGCAGTAGGCATCTTCAAGGTAGAGTGTACTACGAAGGTTGTATAGCGGTTGATGTTGGGTAGAGATTACGCGATTCGCGGGGGGTGTATTTTTGATGAGACAGCGCTTGTATCTCCTGTAACTTCAAATGAATATGCTGAGAAGAAGCTAGGTTGGTTTTTTTTTTTTTTCTTGTGATGCTGTATGTTCACAGTGATTCAGTAGGGTTGTTTGATTCTGTCTCGTGGTGATTAGTAAGCTCGCTCGTGTTCTGGAAGTCACGGTGAATACCTACCTGGACTTGCTGGGAGCTCCCACTAGTTTTGACCTTGGGCTTGCAGCGCGATAAATAGATTCTTTCGTTTCGTGTCTGTCCTGGGGAACGCCCCGTATAAGTACAGTAGCCAGGCTCCAGGGATGAGCTTTCGGGGTTGTTGTCAAAGTGACCAATCATCGCGTCCGCTCGGAACGTTAGCCGGCCGGATAGTGTGGTAACCATGTCTACTAATATCTGCGGTCTGATTGGAATCGACTTACGACTACGTCTGTGAGCCTAGCCAGACTATTGGGGCCTCTAAGTCGAGAGCGGAACTGAAGACATGCATGGATGCAGTCTCACAATTTAGATCTCCATTGCATGTGAGTGGCCGGTGAACAATACCTTTATGACTCTAGTCGTAGTCAACACTACTACTAGGTAGTAGCTTTGAAGAATAATTTACTATAAGTATGATGATATTACTGGTTGTAGGAAAATGCCGGTAGTCTCGCCTCGATTCTCCTATACATTCACATGCTCCACCACCAAGCTCCCCTTCCTGGCCGTAGTCTCAACATACCCCGGATTTTCCGCCTTCAGCCTCGCAAACGTCTTCTCCGCATCCCAGACCCAGGGAGTGTCCGCTGCAAATAATAGATCCATATCTTCCAGCGTCCGCTGGTTGCTCTCCGGGTACAACGCCCAGACCATCGGAATTGTGATGACATTGCTTGCTGCAAACACATATAGCGTCTTTTCGCCGATCGCGCTGAACATCACGGGGCATAGAAGGGTCTAGATTCATTGTCAATTGTCAGTCTCCGGCGGGGCTTTTCGTACATAGTCAGTGCATGAATTAATGAGAGATACCACTTACCAACCACCCATTTCCTATGCTCCACCCAACCACGCCCCAGGCATTTCCGCGGGCCCGCACCGCAAGCGGATAGATCTCGGCTGGATAAATCCAGGGCACTATTGGAATCAGCCAACCATGACTCCTCGCTTTTCCTGTCATTTAATTGGGTGAGTGATCACGGAACGAACCTGTCAGCCATGTCGCCCCAAACACAGAGGTGAAGATGAAGATCATCGCGGCGGCGGCGGCTCCATATGAGGCCGCCTTGTCGCCGTGGCCCGCCTCGCGAGCATCAATGGCCAATCGCGAAAATCCTCCCGCCAGGAACATCGCGATGCCCTGGGCGGTGGATCCCCAGTAGAGTGTCCACCGGCGGCCGATGCGATCGAGCGTGAAGACGCAGACAAGGGTGGCGAACTGGGTTTGGCAGTATGTGAGAAAGATGCATGGCACAACCGTGGGAAGTATTTGACATTGACAGACAGGAACTTACCATGTAGAAGATGTTGTTCAGTCCGCTCAACCATTGACTTTTCATCGAGTCAAACCCTGCAATGCTGAAGATTGTCGGGGCGTCTGTTTACCCGTGTTTATCCTATCAGCAATCTACTTCGATAGTAAGAGGATCTCTGGCAGGAAACCTGGGGGTTTGGGGGGGTTCAACGCACAAACGGTGACACCTGCGATACCCACCCATTCTTGCATAATCTGCAGCCAGATCACCAGCTGCACACGGCGACCCAGATGCAGCTTCCCCGTCTTGTATCCGAACAGCATCGCCAGATATGAGGTGCTGTGATTCATAGACCGCTCGAGCTCGGCCACGCTCTGGATGTCGCGGAACTCCGCCTCGGCTCGCACCGCATCGTCTCCCTCGTCGCCTCGCAGCCGGCCCAGGATGTACCGCGCTTCTTGCTCGCGGCCGACTTTGACCAGCCATCGCGGTGACTCGGGGAAGAACCAGACCACGCCGAACAGCAAGAGAAGAAAGATGATCTGGAAGGCGATGGGGAATCGCCAGCGGAAGGCGGACTTGCCGCCGTCGATGAAGGACAGACCACTGCGGATTCAGTTTAGTATATATAGTATATATGTATATATATATATTCTGGGTGGCAGATGTAGGACAGCAAGCATACAATTCCAGCCAATAAGCCACCACCACGCCGAAGATATTTAACGTGAATTCAATCGCGATGAATTGGCCCCGTGAGGTGTGCTCCGCCGTCTCTGTCGCCCAAACCGGGACGATAGCATTCAGAATCCCAGTGCCGACTCCGTTGACCAAGCGCGCTATATCATGTCAAAAACAATCAACATCTGGCCCAAGCTGAGATCGCGTGCATGTCAACTCGTGTGGTACTATGGACATGCCATGCCCATCCATCACATCCAGTATAGATAGATTGAGAACTCTTACTTACCACAAATCATCCAATCATGATTCTGCGCCGAACACTGCAGACAGGCGCCGAGCACCGCCCACGCCGCCCCGAGGGCAATCGTTCTGATCCTCCCAATCCGATCTCCAACCCAGCCCCCGAGCAGCGCACCGCACAGAGTGCCCAGGTAGTAGACAGGAACAATCCCGCCCTGCAGCAGGCTGTCCGTCACCACGGCGGTCAATTGCCCGTTTTCCATCTTCGTGTACCCGAACCCCATCAGGTCGATGTAGTCCTTGGAGTTGTTCACCCCAGCCATCACCCCCTGGTCATATCCAAAAAAGAGGATCGAGAGGGCGGCGACGCTGTTGATGGCGATGAGAAGCTTGCGCTTCTCGAAGCGATGGACGATGTTCCAGGAGGGAATCAGGTCCATTGTGCGTGCTGAGGAATGGCAGGTCAATTCAATAGGATGATATTGGACCACGAGACCACACTAGCAGGATTATCTGTGCTGTAGAAGCAAGTCGGCGATCTGCGGTCTTCTTGTCGAATGCATATGCCCGTTCATCCGTAATGATAAGAGGAGAGACTGATATCAGCCACCTGGGAGCACATTCAGCCACGCGGGGGAAGCTTTTATAGTTACCACAGCGGGACAAAAGAGCAGATAGATAAAGGATGACCACGAGGAAAACTACGGGGTTGTAGAGACTACTTTAAGTATTCGCTGCAAGCAGCCGAGACATGAATACCCGATGAATCTTGCATGAGGGCCATGATGATCGGCTGATGTCGCCGCTCTCTTGCTGCAGTGTTGGAGCGCTGCAGTGGCAGAACCCCACGATCAGGTCAAATATGGTTACATTCCGGGTGGGAGAGACCTCGGGGTTCTACCGAAGGGGGGGGATGATGTAGGTCACTGATTGGATACAACCCACCTCGTCCGGAGGTACACCCGAAGGTCGAATTGGGGTGGGATTTTGGGCGGTGGTTATGGAGCTCGCTGCGGGATAGACTGGGGGAAAAAAGCTGGGGGGCGAACAGTCTGGATCTTAGGGTCGGGGCTGGTTGGTCAGGTGCTGGGACTTGCAGGGACTTCTTGTTGTATGATGAGGAACGATGATCTTTAAGGATTTAGCTTATCGCTGAAGCAAATCATTCAAAAAAGGGTTTTTGGTCTATATTGTGTAAACAAGAAGTGGTAAGTAGGGTTGTGTGAAGAACCTTGACACTATGGCTCTTTTACTTGCATGATCTGGGGTTTATATCACGGAGTAATCTAAGATCTTCTACCGCAAAAAGAGTCAATCTGTGCGGCAGTGAATGACTTTGCAACCATGGTTTGCTGCCAGATTGAGCCTAAATACATGGTTCGTCGTGGAGATAGACACACTCATAGAGCAGCATGAGTTGTTTTTGCAGTGTCACATCCATTTGCGGGGTTCAAGTTGGATGGCTGGCTGGCTGGGGATCATCGGGCGGATCTGCTCCGACTCTCGCCTTTTTGGGCATAAAACAATACCAACATGGATAGTGGTCAAACAACCTCGACATGCCACTCAGTTTTCCTAGCAATACTACTACGTCATCAATGCTGCTAAGCGTGGGTACTATGGCTTCCGCAGTGGAGAGACATCAATATATATCTTTGTGTCTTGGCAGAATTGGCAACGCAACCACAATGGAAACTCCACTACTACTTATAAGTTCGTCGCGATGATAAGAATCGTCCAACTGCCTCCCTAGTCTCTGTTGAGTCAGGTTACCGAACCAGGTAGATCTCTAGGATGCAGTGACCATCCGGAGCTTTCCTCGCTCAAGGTAGAAAGTTGCTCTTCTCTACTGTAAAGTTAATGGCCCGAAGGGAAAGAGCCCGGCCATCGGGTCACCAACCGAACCCGAGTGGGACCGAGCAGACATATCTTGCAATGAAGTATCGTTTACCACCTCCTGGACCTATCCTTCGCAAGCCTCCTGTCAAGTTGCTCTAGCCCGTGGACATGCTGCAAATTGTTTTGAGATCACCACTGCTTCTGAGAACCTAGCACAGTATCCGATGAGATACCCAACGATATGAAAGCGCTGCCGTCGACTGAGGCCAAGAGAGCCGCTCTGTCTCCGGACTCATCCCTGCCAAGTTACCCGCGGGTAATGATTGAACCAGGTAATATTTGGGTAGTTTGCCTGTTTGCGTCTCTGTTCAGATCATGACCCGATGCAAGCCGCGACTGAGCGGTCATTGTATCCCTGATCCCTGAGTGGGAGATGACGATGAATGTATATTCTCCCTCACTCCAGACCTGTGAGGACGGTTGATCCGGGCGGTGACCGCAACAAGACAGGACTGGACGTCTTGTCCTTACTAGATTGGGACAATGCGGTAATACTACGGAGTAACTTACTCCGTACCAGTTCTTACCGGGCTGTCTCTCTTGACAGTCAGTATGACAGCCTCAGTCCCGACTGCCAGATTGTGAGGGGTTTGATAGTCAAGCAAAAGAACAACTTGCTTCTGATTTCAAGGAAAAGTTCTTATCTTCGGCGTGCATCGAACTGTTGATCTATTCTCTTATACACCGGCAACATGGCAATATATTTAGTTGAGTAACCGAGTTGACCCGATGGTGTCTGGGCCTCGGGCTGATTACATACGCAATGGGAATTACAGTATCGATAATACCGGCCCGCCAAACGAACCTCAGAAGCTTCTTGTGTCCCAACACGCCTTTTTCCCTAACTATCCTCAAACCTCCTTCCACCCGCAAATTATCTCCTTCCCTCGCTTCACGGCCTTGCTCGCTCGGAGGATTGGCTGCCTGTCTTCGTCTCAATTCCCTCTGAACTCTCTTTCTCTTCGCTTCATCCTCTATTTTCTCGCCATGTTCCGCAGTGTCCTGCCGCGGGCGACGCCGCGGACTGCCCTCCGCTCTGCCAGCCCCAAGGCTGTCCCTTCCAACTTCATCGCTGCCCCCTCTCTCGCTCTCTTCGGACGCACGAAACGTGGCTATGCCTCTGAGTCAGGTAGGTGATCAGCTCTCGACGTTCCGGGCTGGTTGAGGCCTGCTGCGGCCGATGCCTACTCTCCCGGACTAGCCCTTCCCGGTTGACATCCGGCTAACCGCTTGCTTGACGGAGCAGGCGAGCACGATGTTGTGATCATTGGTGGTGGTGTCGCTGGTTACGTTGCCGCTATCAGAGCTGGTCAGGAGGGTCTGAAGGTATGATAATGGTTCCTCTCCACTCCCCGATGCGGTGGGCTGTACTGAACTCCGTCACTTATTTTTTTTTTTAATTCAACAGACTGCTTGTATCGAGAAGCGTGGCCGTCTCGGTGGTACTTGCTTGAACGTCGGCTGTATCCCCTCGAAATCTCTCTTGAACAACTCCCACCTCTACCACCAGATCCTCCACGATACGAAAAAGCGCGGTATCGAGGTGGGCGATGTCAAGCTCAACCTTGAGCAGATGATGAAGGCCAAGGACACTTCCGTTGAGGGTCTGACCAAGGGTATCGAGTTCTTGTTTAAGAAGAACGGTGTCGATTACATCAAGGGTACTGGTGCCTTCGTCGACGAGAACACTGTGCAGGTCAACCTTCTTGATGGTGGTGAGCAGACTCTGCGCGGCAAGAACATCATTGTTGCCACCGGTTCCGAGGCCACTCCCTTCCCCGGCTTGAACATCGATGAAAAGAGAATCATTACCAGCACTGGTGCTCTCGCTCTCAAGGAGGTTCCCAAGAAGATGGTCGTCATTGGTGGTGGTATCATCGGTTTGGAGATGGTAGGGTTCTTCCTGATGCAATTTGACCAAGCTCGGTGCTAACTCGATGTTGCTGTAGGCCTCTGTCTGGTCCCGTCTCGGCGCCGAGGTCACCGTCGTCGAATTCCTTGGTCAGATCGGCGGTCCTGGTATGGACGCCGACATCGCCAAGCAGGCTCAGAAGATCCTGCAGAAGCAGGGCATCAAGTTCAAGACCGGCACCAAGGTTACCAAGGGTGACGACAGCGGCGCCACCGTCTCTTTGAGCGTTGAGGCCGCCAAGGGTGGTAAGGAGGAGACTCTGGACGCCGATGTTGTTTTGGTCGCCATTGGTCGCAGACCCTACACCGAGGGATTGGGCTTGGAGAAGGTCGGCATCGAGAAGGACGAGCGTGGCCGTCTGGTCATCGACCAGGAGTACCGCACCAAGGTCCCTCACATCCGTGTCATTGGTGACTGCACTTTCGGCCCCATGCTTGCCCACAAGGCCGAGGAGGAGGCCGTTGCCGCCATCGAGTACATCAAGAAGGGCCACGGCCACGTCAACTACGGCGTCATCCCCAGCGTCATGTACACTCACCCCGAGGTCGCCTGGGTCGGTCAGAACGAGCAGGAGGTCAAGGCCGCTGGCGTCAAGTACCGTGTCGGTACCTTCCCCTTCAGCGCCAACTCCCGCGCCAAGACCAACCTCGACACTGAGGGTCAGGTCAAGTTCATCGCCGATGCTGAGACCGATCGCATTCTCGGTGTCCACATCATTGGCCCCAACGCCGGTGAGATGATCGCCGAGGCCACCTTGGCTGTTGAGTACGGTGCTTCTTGCGAGGACATTGCCCGCACCTGCCACGCTCACCCTACCCTGGCTGAGGCCTTCAAGGAGGCTGCCATGGCCACCTACTCCAAGGCCATCCACTTCTAAGCCCCTTCACCTCTTTACCGCCATCATGTACCTCATCTCTAGTCTAGCTCTGCTAGCAAATCCCGTGTAGCATTGACACCATTATATCTCCTATGTCGTTGAGTGTAATCGAATCTTTCATGAATCAAATAGTACTTTGGACCTCAACATCGGTACGAGCGAATCAATTTTAATCTTGGGGTGTACATAGATCAACCAGCACCACCAATCCAGACTAGAACTTAATATGTGTTGTCTATGAGTAAAGGAAGAAATAGGTTACACTCAGAAGTGAGCTCCGATAGGGAGCCTCAAACCCTCAGCTAGAGGTACTGGTGCCCTTTAGAGACGCTGCCATCTCACACTGTAGCCAAGGGCTTCAATTCGCCCCATCCGAGCTCATCGCAATAGCTTCTTACATATGACAATACTATAGGTTGTTCTATCCAAAGAAGAAGAAAGTTCATACTGAAGCAAAAGAGCCGGGGGGGGGGTCACGTGCAGTTCCCATAACGCAGGCACGTCGCCCTCTGAACTCGACATAATGCCAAGAGCATTACCAATTGTAGATGTGTTTCACTTGAGATATGTACAATATGCACCAATGTCATCCTTGATTTTGAAGATCTATGCCATCTGGGTATGTTGATAGCAGGGAACATGACCAAAGCTACGCTCCGGCATCTATGCCGCCAATGTTCAAGCCACCGTCCAGCTTTGCCTTCAACCACGGAATCTCCTCCAACGCGTACCGATACGCCCGAAACAAGGCATTCGACTCCCCCGGAAACAGCTGCGTGGTCACCGCATCGGGGTACGGGGCAAAGTGCGGATTCACGTACTCCCAGCAGATCTCGCCCTCAGGGGTGACCTCAAAGACCCGGCCAAAGGCGCTCTCGCACAGCAAGGTGTTCCCGTTCGCCAGCCGCTGGGCACTGCCCATGAATGGGGTGAAGAAGGCGATGGGCTGCGAGCGATCGTGATACTCCCAGACAATGCGCTTCGTGGTGCGGTCGACCTCGATGGCGCGCGAGTAGGGGATCGACTCGCCCGCGCGGAAGGCCCCGTTGTCGAAGATGAGCAGGTTACCGTTGGCCAGCTCGGTGGCGTTGTGCTGCTGCGCCAGGGTCTCCGGCCCCAGATGCCAGACGATGGCGCCGGTGGTCTTTTCGATGATGATCACCGCGGATACGGAGCGCAGCGAGGCGAGGATGTGCTGTCCATCGCGTAAGGGGAGGACGGAGTTGATGAGCGGGTAGTGCTCGCGGGTGTAGTGCGGTTGCAGGGGGAATTCGGCGGCGCGGGGCAGCAGGTGCTCTGAGACTTTCCATTGCCAGACCAGCTGGCCGCGCGTGTCAATCTCGTTGATCGTGTCGGCGTAGGTGAGGCCGTCGATTTCGCTGCCGGGCACGCCGCCGAGTACCTGCGCCGATTGCGCGGCGGACAGCGGTTCGAGGCTCGTGTAGAGCAGGCGGCCGTCGCCGAAGTGGTACTGGTCGTGATGGGCGAGAGGGTCGGTAAACTGGCGCACGACTTTCCCCTCTGGATCGAGCTCACTCATGATACCTCCGCCGTACTTGTTGAAGAAGGGGAAGGGGAATGGGCCACCGTCCTGCGTGGTCTGGTTCGGCGAGGGCCGAAGCGTGTTGACGGCTAGGTTGCCGTTGGGGAGGATCCTGGCGTGTCGACCGATGCGACCTGGGAGCTTCCAGGTATGCACTTCGCTCCCATCGATGTCGATGAGGTGCGCTTGGTCGCTGGTGAGCGGGCAGAAGAGTGTGTAGCCTCCGAAGGACCGTTGCTTGTCGACTCCGGTGAGGCCCACGCCTCGCCGTTTCAGGGTGTTTTGCTCCATTTCTGCTTGATGAGACCGTAGATGACTTAGTAAGTTGAAGCCAGGGGTAAATAAGAGATAAGAACAAGTTCTTATACGCTGACTGCATGTTTTGTGTGGTGTGGCTTCGCAAACGAGATGCCGCGGGCCGGCGGCTTGCCGGCGGGATGCCGCTGGCATCGGATCTCTTTGCACATCTGCGACGGTGATACTGGCTCTGATATCAGAACATGGCTTATCACCTCATCATTCGTCCTATCCCGTGCAGTTGTTGAACTCGCGCTGAAGATAACAGACCCAAGGTTAAAAGATGGAGGAATCTCATCTTGAGCGTGCTGAGACGCATTGCTATCTTCTGACCCAACGTCCTAAGCCAGTATGACTGCCTCAATCATCTCCATGTCGAAGGAAACCTACTCCCATGAGCCAGAAAGAACCCTCGATGATGATCTTATCAGCGTCCCGGGCTATGATCCAGATCTCCAGCCCACAGCTGGGGAAACCCGCAAGGCGAAGATGAAGGTCGACTTGTGCATCCTGCCTTTCATCGTTGTCTGCTTCTGCTTTTTGCAGTTTGACCGTACGAACATCAGCAATGCTCTGACAGACACACTGCAGGCTGACATTCATGTGAATAACTCGGCAATCAACCTGGCCCAGACCCTGTTCACCGTGGGCTTCATCATCACTGAGCTGCCTTTCAACGTGATCAGTCGATACATAGGCCCCGAGAGATTCCTACCTGTCACGATGTTTGTCTGGGGTGTTGCAACCTGGTGCCAGATATTCATCAAGAATGCGTCTGGGCTGATCGCTGCCCGATTTTTCATAGGAGCCCTCGAAGGCGGGTATATTCCGGGGTTCGCTCTCTACATTTCACAGTACTATACGAACCAGGAGCTTGGGCTGCGTTATGCGATCTTTTGGGCTTCGAACAGCTTTGCAGGGATCCTCGGCGGTCCTCTTTCCATTGGTCTGCTTTCACTAAGTGGTCGACATGGGCTTCATGGGTGGCAGTGGCTTTTCCTGATCGGTGAACCTTCACTCAACCGATTGACTTTCACACTATCTAACTGACAAAATAAAATGCAGAGGGCCTTTTGACATGCTTTCTTGGGATTGTGGCATATCTGTACCTCCCACACAGTCCCATCCATCCGAAGACCTTCTTCCGCCAATCCTACAATATCTTCACCCCTCGCGAGGCCTCCATTGTGGTTACCCGCGTGCTCAACGACGACCGCACCAAGGCGCCACGAGCACAAGGGCACCGGCAGCTGCGAACTATCACCCTTTCTGACGTGCGCAGCACCTTCATTGACTGGCGTCTCTACGGACACCTAGCCGCTGCCTTTCTGTCGATGCTGATGATCTCCCCAATGAACACCTACGCCCCCTCCATCATCCGAAGTCTGGGCTTCACCAGCCTACAAGCTAACGGCCTCAACTCTGTCGGTAGCGCCGGCGCGTTGCTTCTCTCCGTAACATTGGCGTATAGTAGCGATCGCTCGCGGGAGCGTGGGATCCACATTGCCATCGGCTACCTCTGGGGCGCGGTGGGATTGTTGTGGTTGGCGTTGGCGCCGGATTCGAGTGGAAAATGGTTGCTTTACGGTATGTGCTTGACCTCTTCGATACTCCCTTGCCGTGGCACTCGTGTAGGCCGTAAAAGCTGACATCAAACGGCAGGAGGAGTCGTGTGGACACAAATGGGCATGGGTTGCGCTCAAGCGATCAGCGCCGCCTGGCTGACTACCAAGATGCCAGACCGGAAACGTCCCGTGGCGCTGGCGGCGTATGTTATGAGTATCCAGCTGGCAAACCTACCAGGCAATCAGTTGTTCCGCACGCAAGGTATGATGGGACAGTGTGCTCCTTTTCTTTCCTCACGGACTAACCCAGGGCAATAGATGCACCGCGGTACACACGTGGACTTATCATAGCTGCCTCTTGCGCCATCGCAGCCGCTGTCATCATTCTAGCTTGGAAAGTGCTCTACCGCTTGTTTGATTATGGGGATGACCTGGCTGCGAGACAGTCGACAGAATCTGACAACCCAAGTAGAATGGGCGATCAAGTCTGATAGAATGAGATAATACCAGGCCTCTGAGAAATGATATCCTTATACGTTATCAGAAAAATTGTCTTTGTTGAAGCTCATTCACTAGTCTTACTCGATGCGATTGAGGCTGATGGCGTTTGTTTGTTAGTCGAAGCCGTAGTGAAAGATAACTTCATGAAGAAGATCGAAGATGCAGGTGTATGTACCATCTTATGCCGCTAAACCACATTGAGGCTGCCATCACCCCATTTCACGCTAAACTTCGCCATCCCTTGTACATACACTCTTGTACAACAAGTGCCTCCCGATAAGATAAGAACGCCATCAACTTGGTTTTGAGTTAGAGTCCTCTCAATACTAGGCCACAACATGTCTCCGAGTTGGTCATACCATGCCTCCTATTCGGACAGGTCGAGCTTTGAAGGCGTGCAATTCGTGCCGTAAGAACAAGACACGATGCTATCCGTCCAACAATATGAACGGCGGCTGCCTTCGGTGCGTGACGCTGGCGCAGCCTTGCTCGCTGGATCTCGAGCTGGCGAGACCTAGTCGCAAGTTGAGCCCGTCAACTCAGTCCCTGTCGAAACAGAATTCTGCACTGGAGCAGCAGAGTGCTGTCGATGAGAGGTGCCTTCCATCGTTCACTGTCTCATATTCAGTGCTGAAGGTATCAAGAGCTAACAGCTATAAGCACAGAATCCGCGAACTGGAAAGAACGGTAGAGCGTTTGTTCAATCGCCTCGATGTCAAGATCGATGCCTTAGCCAGTCAGTACAACCACGGATTGCCTTCGAGAGAAGAAAAGGGCGCCATCGAACATGATCCAGGCCCTGTGCTCCTCATTAGGGAGGCTGCTCTAGACGCTGGAGTACGCTCACCGGAGCAGAGTGAAGTTCGTCCCGAAGCATATGCCGACCCAATAACTGCAGGCCTGGTTTCCCCGTCCATTGCCCACTCCTTAGTTGAATTGTGAGTGCGCATGCTCCATGAAGTCTAGACTGGCACCGGCTTACACTGGGCTGTCAGATTCCATACCCACTACGGCAGATGGGTGAAGTTCCCAGAGGATATCTCAACCCCAGCGCTTCTGTCGCAGATCAGACAGTCGCCGCTCCTTACATGCAGCGTATTGCTGATTGCTGTTCGGCATACTACGCAAGACCTGGCAGACCGACTCGCGCCGCAGCTGTTTCGAGAAGCAAAGCGTCTGGTCACGTCCTCGTTACTGGTGGTCCCTCAAACGACACAATTTTTCCAGGCCGTTCTAATCCTGAGCCTTTGGTCAACTACCATCGCTCAAGTGCCACTGAGTATGGACAGCTGGCTTCTAACCGGCTATGCTCTGCAGCAGACATCGATCAGCCCGGATCTGCACGAGGTGATGCGATCCGACGCAGCTCTTCCTACCGCACGAGCCCACTTCGATGCGTGGTGTTTATGGAACCACCTATGCTTGGCTCATTTACAGCAAGTCTCTACTCTTTGCCATCATGCTATCTTGTCATCGGAGCTGACCTATTTTTCTAGATACTGCGTAGGCACCCGTCGCCAGGCTCTCCTGACCGAGGTCGACATTGAACGCTGCGCGCGAATTATGCGAACGGACAGCATCACCAACTACGAAGCACGAATGATTGCCGAGATCAAGCTCTATTGGATCATCTACCGCAAGTGTTGCGGATCGCACTGGGACCTCGAACCGGCGAAAAGTGCCCTGGCAAACTGGCAACAAGAGTTTCGCACACTATTCTGTAGGTGCCTTCACCTTTTGTTGGCTGCGCGTGCTTCCTGACACAACCTTCAAAAAGCCCAACCTCGTTCCCAGTTTCTCCGCATGGGCTTTCACTTTGCGCACCTTCTGGCCTACAGAAACTGCCTGAGATCGTCCCCTCACGAGCCATCCGACAACATGAGCAGCAGCAGCAGCACCGCATCCCTGATCGCTGAAATGATCCCCCACGGGAAGAACATCATCGATCTCGCAATCAGTACCACGGATGACCGGACCCGTCATCTGACGGACCAGATATACCACCTCATCACCTTCGCGGCGCTCACCCTGTGCGGCCTCGTGCACACGTATGAGTCCCACCTGCGAGCCGCGGGCCATGACGTGGACGGCCTGGACGGTCTGGTTTTGAGGCTCGTCGAGTGGCTGCGATCGATAGGGCTGCCAACGAGTCACACGGCCTACATGCTGGGCGATATTGTGTTTACGCGATTCGTCAAGTTACGACCACATTCGCGGGTGCTGGCGACAATCGCCACTGGGAAGGTGGGAGGGGAGGAGGAGGAGGAGGAGGAGGAGGAGGAGGAAGAGGGAGATACCGACTTGACGCATTCTCAATCGCTGCTTGATGATCGGCCTCTTTCGGTGGATGTTGATGCTCTGGCGCTGGCGTATCCGGGGTTCTTCGGCTTGGAGCTTTTTGAGACCGGGATGAACGGGGAGATGGCGTGGCCTCAGTGGCAGGGGGAGGAATATTCCTCTGGGTAGACGACTCTGTTGGTGTAATCGACGTCTAGATGTTGAGCTATCTACAGGTCAAACAAACATGAGATCTCGTAGTCATATTTGGGAGCTTGATAATTACTAACTGGGAAAGACTATTTATATAAAAAACACAATAAATACCCAGTACAGGAGCAGACGACTGTCCTCCTCAATGAATAATGATTAAAAGGCATCAAAAACATACAACAGAAGGGATTCGCTGGTGGTCACCCACCCAACTACTAACCTCCCGGCGTGTGGCTTGAGTACGGCTGAGCGGACGGGAAGCCCTATTTTCCACACCCTGTGGTCGTATGTGCCTATCTTTATTAGGCTTTGGCTTGTACCCCCTTTGTCACATTGCATGAATTAGTGGTTAGCCAAGTCAGCTCAGGGTGCGATGTCCAAGTTTCGGGTCGAGCTCAAGAATCGATGATCCCCCACAAACCCTAACAAGTTACGCTTACTGAACGCAGCTAGTTTTAGTGCTTTGAGAACTTTCAATTCGCATCGAATCCCTGCGCCAATTTGACAATGAACCGAACCTCGCATGAGCTGGATCAAGCCATCTGCCGTCGGGTCTCTGCTGCACTTCTCGCCATCAATGCAGAGATTGAGGATGTAGGGTTGTCAGTCATACATACAGCCGCTGCCTCACTCCTTAAGTTACTCTCTTTTTCATAACCGACACTCTGAGATCCCTGGAATGAGCAGCATCAGCGCATACGATGCGCCAAGAGAATTGGAATCTCTTCGATGGCAGTGAACCAGTGGCACCGTCGGTCGTTCACGATAAGCTCGCATCCACGAGTCAAGTGGGATTAACGCGACAACGTCCATATGTCCGCGTCCCCAGCAGGCGCGATACGATGGTTCGGGAGATTCGGACCTTGCCAATAGCTGGACTTGCGCGATGCTTTATACTAGCTAAGGTAAGGGTTCGATTAGGGTAGAGCGCCCAAAGATGTCGGAGCCGAACACATGTAACACTCGAGACATGTCAAGGGGCATATCGGCACATTTATCTTATACCAGACCATCTACATTACCATTCTCACCCTAAGACAGTACATACCAGCATGAGAACTTTAAGTATACAAGCCCTCCCTGCAACTCATAATATACCATGGGACAACCATTATGCACAAAAGTTGAGATTCATTCCATAGCGCTGATCCAAGATTTGCAGATTATACATCTCTGTAGACAAGATTCTCGTGAGGATTACTTTCTAAGCAGATGTTGTCCGACAGTGAGTGGACTAAACTATCTCGCTCTCAGAACTGTACAGATCACGTCGGAATAATGAGAAGGTGACGCGGCAAGTTAGAATCCAATGGAGGTCTTGATTCCCGATAAGGCTAGTTCTTTGGAGACCAAGTGCATTGCAGCCGGCTTCACCGGTAGTACTGTGGGTTCCTTCACTGGCGAGTCGCCCGCTTGCTGCTAGTTTGAGGGCGGCCTTCGATATGCATTGCCATCCCGTCGAGCTGACTTTCTGACTCCTGACCGTCAACGCTCTGAAGCGTCAACTGCTAGCCGAAAGCGGTAAAACTGCTCAACAGAGATTCCCACTGGGTATCGTCAACAGGAAACATGCCGTCCAAGTCACCATAGATCGACGGCCAAACCTGCGGTGTCGTTATAGCCGCATTCGCGTGACCCGCCGCCACGGACGCCGCCCCTTGACTAGTGGTTTGAGACAGCACAGCCCCGACAATTGCTCTGATCTGGTACGGATAGCACCGCGCCAGCAGCCGCATCTTCGAGCAAAGACTTCCCAGAATATCCGCCTCTTTTTCCGCAGCAGACATGTACCCCAGTCTTGTCTCCAACGCGTTCGCGAGCTCCGTGACAACGCTAGGATACTCTGCTGCATCGACGACGGCCTGTATCTGCGCTTCGATGGCAGGATCGGCGGGGCCATGGGAGATGAGACGGAGAAGAGCCAGTACTGCGGTGGGCAGGTAGCCCACGGCCGCACAAATGTGGGCACTGGTGGTTATCGTCAGTACGGCAATTTCCGACGCGGGTAGGCTACTGATTGTGCGGATAAGCTCCTTGCTTCGCTGGATTATGTCCATCAGCATGGTTAGCCTGACTGCGTTGGCAGGCTCTGCAAGCCACAGCTCCTCTCGGAGAGAGAGTTGCTCGAGCCGCAGCTCTGCGAACTGTATTTCGGTGCGGATTGCAATCGCTGCAACAGTCTGGGTCAGCACTCATCTACCGCAGCTCGGAATCTAGAGCACAACACACATGTCGATGCAGGGTAGCTCGGAAGTTTTTCTTCTATCCTTGCCTTCACACTGTTGAACTGTCGCCGCAGAGAGCCGCGCGTCACTTGGACGAGCATCCTCCCTTCACTTGCCTGTATCGAAGCGTAAACCTCATCTATGGTTGCCAGGAAAGACGCGAGCTGGATGAATGGCGCAATCCACCGATCTGATGCATGTCGTGTCGATGCCACACTGTCCAGGCAGTCATCGGTTCGGCCATCATGCTTCAAGGTATGTGGCCGGTTGAGGGTGCCACAGACACTGATACACTCGGAGTTAGTGTGGAGCGACATCCATCAGCGCAGACAAATCTCACCCGACCGATAACCAATACGTACCTAGCAGCGCACGCTGCTCATCAGGACTTAGACAAGGCTTCTTGTGCAGTCCCAGGTCATACAAAGTAGAGATGCAGAATTGAACCAGTAGCAGAAGTCGCGGATGATATCTCTCTGCAGGATACGAGTACCATGCGCTGTGCACTAACAGCCCGCGGAGTAACTCGAGATTCCTCTCAGACCGTGTCACGAACCTCACGGTAACATGCTTCATAATCTCCTCAGCAACGGTCTTGCACAATGCATGCGCACTGCCTATGGTCGCAGCCACAACACACAGGAAGAGAAAGGGTTCTCGAACTCGGAGACGAGCGGCTGTCTCGCCGTGCGCAAGCATCACAAAGGGGAATTTCGGCACTAGCTGACGCTGGAAGGTCGCAAGTAAGCGTTCAGCCTCGGCCTCGGAGACAAGCCCTCGATCGACGATCGACGGCTGGCCCTCCAAGGCAGAGTGGGTCGGTGGATAGACTCCATGAGACGGATCGTTCGCCGCATCTAGCAGCGCCTCAATGTCTGTCTCTGTCGAATCTAGCTCGGGATCGTGCGACGAGCTCACCTCGGTGAGGGGCGGATTGGAGGTATTGGCGGTATGGGGCGATGTCTGACCGGTCTGCTGCTGAGCCATAGCAGCCAGCTGCGACATCAGCTGGTCAACTTTTTTCTCAAGCACTTCCACCCGACTGCACCCATTAATGATATTCACAGGTGTGATGCAGGGATTGCAAACAGTGGATACCTTGGAGCAGCCCTGTGCTTCCGCTTCGTCTGCGGGAGATCAAGGTATGTGCATGACTTGCCCAACCGCGCGCAGCGCTGGCAGAGATTGATTCCATGCGGGGTACATTTTGCCTTGGCAGCGGTGCATGCTACACATGCTCTCCTCTTGACTGCAGGTACTGGGGTGTTCATACTTAGTGTTCAGCATTGCTTCAAGGACCGGGGGGTGGGGAGGAAACGGAGCGGCCGGTTGAGTTGGAGAGGCTCGGGTTGGTAAGCGTAGTCAGCATCACCGGCCAGTCACAGCAACTAATTATTGTACCAAGTCATTAGCACCGGGCAACCGGACCGTCCGGTCGGGACGGTTGATAATCGTGGATGTAATGTATACGAAGATGCTGCAAGACACTACAATATAAATAAGTAGTAACGAAGTAATAAACCTTTCCATAACATCAACATTAAGTGAGATCAAAGAAAAGCCATCGATCAATTCACCCATTTCAAGAACCATGTCTTCATATGCCATTACCGGAGCCTCTAAAGGCATCGGCCGCGAATTCGTGCGCCAACTCGCAGCCAACCCTGACAACACCGTCCTCGCTATAGTACGCAACCCTGAATCGCCCGAAATCCTGGACCTCGCCTCCAACCACTCCAATGTGCACCTGATCAAAGGCGATGTGACGGACCCCAAGTCAATTCTCGAGGCTGCCTCAGCCGCCGCAGCCGTCACTGGTGGGAAGCTCGACGTGCTAATCCACAACTCCAATGCCGTGGACGGGGCCACAATGGGCACTCCGCCGACGGAATATCCCTTTGATGCTCAAGCAATGAGGGCCATCTTCGACCTGCCGTTGAGTACGAATCTCTACGGCGGCATCTGGACGACTAACGCCTTCCTGCCTCTGATTGAGCAGGGCACCCAGAAGAAGATTGTGCACATCTCCAGCGGCATATCAGTCACAGAGTTCATTTCTAAGATCGGCTCCAGTGCAGCGGTCGCATACGCTGTGGCAAAGGCCGGGGTGAACGTCGTGGTCGCTAAGTATGCGGCAGAGTTGGCGCCGAAGGGCATCAAGGTGTTGGCTTTGAGCCCTGGATGGGTGGATACGTGGGAGGGTAAGTGCCTTTTCCTACTTTTGGAGATCTCCTATGCTGTGCAAGCTGGAACAATCACTGACTTCATCACTCGCAGGAGGAGAGAAACCAGCCCCAGTTGTAGAAGCGAACAACTTCATGCTGAAGCAGTTCCAGATAGTCAAGCCGGATCTCGAGGGACAAATCCAGCCTGAGGAGAGCGTGAGAAAGAGTCTCCAGGTGATTGACCGTCTGGACGCGCAGAACAGCGGCTTGCTCCTCAGCCATAATGGCAATCAGGACAATTGGTTTTAAAGTGCTCTGAAAAATGGGTTTAACATAATTGAAGAGATATATGTCCTTCCTGTCATATTTGCTTTGCATGCATCGACTCATGTTTGAGAAGCCTGTTCTTTAACTTCATCTTAGCTTTCAATTGCGCAGTCATGAGTCTTATCCCCTAAGTTGTTGAAGTAGAAACCGGTGTATGTTGGTAGTTAATAAGTTACTGCACATAACTATTTAAGGCATAGATGGGAGGAACCTCGGAACATAGTGGCTCCGATACCCGGCCTTCGGATTCTCGAGCTTCGCCCGAGCAGCTCTGGATGAGACCGCAGCTCATCTCTCTCGCTAATAGCGCCGGTCCAATTCTTATTTGGATCGCAAACCTCACCACAGGCGTCATGTCTTCTTTACTCGGAGCTGGCTACGAGTCAAGCGACGATGACACCACTCCCTCCGCCCCTGCACTCCAGCCCCCGGCGCCGTCTGCGACCAAGATTGTTGCGGCGCCCGAAGTGAACACAGAGGTTTGGTCCCCTTCATGAGATTCTATAATCCTTGGATTCGAACTCATTTCCCACGAGAATATCTAAATTTAAAACATTCACATGGCTAATATCCCTACAGGACCAAGCACACATGCAGATGATGCTCGCTAACACCTCTTCTACCGCCCTCACCTACAACGCCACATACGATGACCTTTCTCGACCATCGCAAGGTCCGGCCAACCCCTTCAAAGCCACCGAGGGGCCCAACGGCCTCAAGCGCAAGAACGTCCCCACCGGATACGCCGAGGAGGCCGCCATCAGTGAAGCGACATTCACGGCGCAGCATCGCACCTTCCAGAGTCTCGGTTACACGCGCAACCCGACCATGCCCGAGCAGTTCGTTGGCAACCTCGCCCACGCGGCGCAGTTCGGTGGCCGCGACGTCATTCAGATGAAGCCCTCTAAGGCGGTCTCCGCCGCGCTGCGGTCCAAGCGACAGAAGAAGGGCGATCCCAGCATCGTCGAGGGCGAGGGCGCGTACCTGGGGCCCTGGGCCAAATACCAATCGGACGACCGCTACTACGACGACGAAGCCGTTGAAGGAGCGACCGCTGACCGCGAGCTGGCCAGCGACGAGGAGTATGTGTACGAGGACGAGGACGAGACGGCAACCGCCGGCGGGGTACCAGCGCACGTCCCGGCGCCGATGGACAAACTGGCGACCGACTACCAAGACGACACGACCACGGCGGAGACGACCGAGTTTCACGGCAGCGAGCAATTCGACTACCTGGGCCGGACGTACATGCACATCCCGCAGGACCTGGACATCGACCTGCGCAAGGAACCGGGCAGCACGAAGAACTTCATCCCCAAGAAACTCTTCCACACCTACAAGTCGCACACCAAGGCGATCACCTCGCTGCGCTTCTTCCCGCGGTCGGGCCACCTGCTCCTCTCCGCCGCGGCGGACGGCAAGGCCAAGATCTGGGACGCGTATCACTCGCGCGAGCTCCTGCGCACCTTCTCAGGCCACAGCAAGGCCATCACGGACACCGACTTCCACCCGACGGGCACCACCTTCCTCACGGCCTCGTACGACCGGCAGATCAAACTCTGGGACACCGAGTATGGCAAGTGCGTGGGGCGGTTCTCGACGGGCAAGACGCCGCACGTCATCCGCTTCAACCCGTCCCCGGAGTTGTCGCACGAGTTCCTGGCCGGCATGTCCGACAAGAAGATCGTGCAGTTCGACACGCGCTCCGGCGAGCTGGTGCAGGAGTACGACCACCACCTGGCTGCCATCAACACCATCACCTTCGTCGACGACAACCGCCGCTTCATCTCCACCTCGGACGACAAGTCCCTGCGCGCCTGGGAGTACGGCATTCCCGTCCCCATCAAGTTCATCGCCGAACCCTACATGTTCGCTCTCACGCGCGCCACCCCGCACCCCAACGGCAAGTACGTCGCCTTCCAGTCCGGCGACAACCAGATCGTCGTCTACGGCGCCACCGACAAGTTCCGTCAAAACCGCAAGAAGAGCTTCCGCGGCCACAACAACGCCGGCTACGCCATCGACATCCGCATCTCGCCCGATGGCCAGTTCCTGGCCTCCGGCGACAGCGCCGGCTATGTCTGCTTCTGGGACTGGAAAACCGGCAAGATGTACCATAAGATCTTGGCCGGCGGGAAGGAAGGCGGCGCCACTACTTGTCTGGATTGGCACCCACAGGAGACGAGTAAGGTCGTTACGGGTGGGTTGGATGGGTTGATTCGCTATTGGGATTGATTTCGGGGGGAGTTCTATTCGCAAGATAGACGATTCGGTGTAGGGGTCATGGGATAATGTTATTTTCTTTCTTCCCTTGTTACTACTACAAAAGCTAAGGCTTTTCTTTTCTTTTTTACTCAAGTATAGGACAATCACGATCCGGATTATGTACATCCCATCACGACTGCCATTTATAGATATTATTTCTCGGAGTCAAATCACCTAGGCTGTAGGGCAGAAGAGAACGTATACACACATCTGGATAGGGCTATTCCTGATCTCCTGACCTCAAATTACCGCCAATCGCACCGCTACAGACGAATGGCAGTACGTATGTATGTTACACGGAGGATACACCACCCTAGAAAGAAAAGCTAAGTAGCGCCGAACTGCAGGCAGTGTAAACGACTAAAAACTAGCCATCTCGATCCAACTCGCCACGAACGCCAGAGTCCGTCCCCGGTCCATTGCCATGCGCTGCGCAAACTCCTCGAAATTCAGTTTCGCCCCGCTGCCGCCGCGCTCCTTGGCTTCGCGCTCGACCTTATTCAAATACGCCCAGCGGGAAAGCGTGACCGGCGATGGGGGCAGGGTCGAACCAGGCCGTTGTTTTGGGAGGGTGGAGGATGGCGGGGGCAGAGGTTGAATGGGTGAAGGAGAGAGTTTGGGTGCGGTGGCTTCGGCTTCGGGGGAGGAGGCGTGGAAATGGGAGGTCGGGGCTGGGAATGAGGTGGAGCCGCTGGGGTCGAGACGGAGCTGGGTGGGAAGGTCGGTTTGGTGACGGGGGAGAAGAGTGGGGGATAGAGATGGCGATGGGGACGCGCTGCGGCTGGTGAGTTGTTGGTGGAAGGAGATTGTAGTGGAGGTCGGAATGAGGTCTTCTTCGTTGGGACGATGGTGCGGAAGGGTGGGATCGTAGTAGGATGCTGCGGCGGACGGAGGCCTGCTGCTGTCTTCTGCAGGTTCCGAGGCAACGGAGGAGGTAGACAGAGACGGCGAGGAGGGCGAGATCGCGAGAGGAGGCGGGTACCAATCCCCGTTCCCCTGAGGTTCCAAGGGCGGATTCGTTGATGGTGCTAGTCCTGCGGCCATGGCTTCTGTCTCGGTAGGATCGATGAGCGACTCGACATTGTCATCGAAGAGATGCATGTCGGGGGTAGGTGGGGCCAAGGCCTGTACGTTCTCGAGGCCCTGGACGGAATATCCTGTCCGTTGGAGGAGTTCGTCGAGGGAGCTGTTGCGGATCATGCTCTGCATCGCTGCCTCTGCTCCCTCTTCCTCATCTTCCTCCTCTTCCTCCTCCCCTTCCTCCTCTTCAGCTTCAAATTCGGGCTGGACGGTAGAAATCTCTCGAGCAGCTTGTTTACCATGCTCCATTTGTTCAGTGAGTTCAATCTCGCGGGCCCACAATTTACGCTCGGCACGAGTCTCGTAGGCCTCCATGAGCAGGTCCTCCTTGGGTTTGAAAAGGATATCCAGCAGTTCGTTGAACCCTTGTTGCGTGACCTGGTATAAGATCTCCTTGCCAACGTCCCTTTCCACTTCAGGCACTTCAAATCCGCCCCACCGCTCGCTCACAAGAATGCTTCTCGACGAAGTCGACGGGTTTGATCTCACGTCATAGTCATCTGTTAGGTCATCCTGGAACCGAACCTTGGATGAGGAGCGAGAACGAGGCGACGGCGGATGTGATTCCGATGCGGCCGGCTGGGATTCGTCAACCTCGTTGTCTTCCTCTTCATCAGAGCTCGCCGCGTCCAGATCGCTTTGATAGCCAACAGGGGCGGTGGCGCCGTCTTCCTCGTCTGTGTAGAACCCCCTTCGTCTCCATCGGTCATGAACGCCCATTCGGCGTGTGACATGAAGACGCACCTGATCGGTAGCGTACATGCGGTTGTAGACGGCTGTCCCGATGCGGGCCCGATCAACAGGATCAGTGATCTCATGGACAGGGACATAAGCTCCCAAAGCACTGACAATATCCTCGTTACGGATGTGCTCTGGGGGAGGCCATCGGTCGCTGGCTCCGGACGAGCTCGATGCATCATCGGCTTCAGTCCCGGCTTCCTCGGCACCTGGCTCTCTTCTTCCGTGACTTCCAGAAGCTTGAGCAGAACCGGAGATAGAGTGACGCCTCGCCGTGGGCAACACCGGTCGCGTGACCCCATAATAGCTTCGGACTGCCGCATCGCCAATCACTGAGTAGCGGTCACCGGTATCCGTCCCATCGAGACGTAGCACTCCCTCGTTGTCGACAATCTCGAGATCGCCATCATGATTGACTCGCTTTCCTTCGCCAGTCCGTGAGGGATCCCCATTGGGAATGCTGCCAGGAAATGCTGAACTAATTGGCTGGCTCCCCAAGACGACATCGCGAGCACCCCCTTCCAAAAAATCATCTTCCAGGCCGGCGACCATATCCCTGGTGAGCTCCCTGCTGAGGGCGTAGTAAGCTCGGAAAATTCGCAAGAAATCTTTTCGCTCGACGTAACCATCATTGTCGATATCGTAACCTCTGAAGACGCGGTGAAGCCGTTCGTCGTTACTCTTGTTATTCAGACTTGCAATGCCCTTCAAAAACTCCTCCAGCCCAATCAATCCATCATTGTTGGTGTCGTAGAAAGCAAACATACGATCGTAGATCAGACTCGGGGGCGGAGGCCTAATGGAGGTGTTTGGCACAAAGCACCGATCAAAGGTCTTCCGGTCGATGGCCATGTACACCTTGTTCGGATCATCCTCCCATTCGTGATTAGCCAGACACCGGAACTGATCCCAGAGCGCGTCTAACTCGGTATTCTCAAATCCAGTCTCCTTCATCAACCGCTTAAACAATGCCCTTGGCAAGCTGCGCGGCATCATCGTCGGCTTTCCAGGATACCAGACTGGCTGCGACTGGCGGGGACTGCCGAGGAACGGTGCGGGAATGCGCACCTTGTAGAACATATGGGTCTTGATATGCACCTGCATGGCTTCACACGTCTCACAGAGGTCATAGTCGATACAGTTGGCACATCGATACCGAATTCCCTGGATCGGCATAGCACCACAGCTGTTACACGTCACCCCGCGGTGGATATACCCATCCCTCCTCGCTTGGTCCTCCGCGATATGATACAGCAGGTTCAGCAAGTTCTGGCCCTCCCGCACCGGCGCCACATCGTCGTTGTTGTGTTCCGCGCCGTCGCGCCACGAGAAGACACTCTGATCATCCACGACCGTCTCATCGCCACCATCTCCCGCCGCATTATTCTGCGCCCCGGTCGTAGGCCGCGACTCGCCTTCCTCGGTCTCATACGGGAAGCTCGACGTGGACAGCGTGACCCTCTCACCATTCTGTCGCCGTAGTCGTAAGTCAGCCCCGTAATTGTCATCTGCATTGAATCGAACGAGCGCCCGCTCAATGCCCGCGCGCGAGATCCCACGCCGCTGAAGCTGCGCAATCAAATACTCGCGCTCGGGACTGCCTTCGTCCAGGCGATGACTGGAAGGGAAATCCAGGGCGAGAAAAGATTCTAGAAAAGTATCTTCCATCATCTCCCGCATCCGCTCCGCATGGGCCTGGGGTACTCCAACCTGCTCCATGAGCTGGTCTCGAGTCGCTAGAAGCGAGGGAAGAAGACCGCTTTCTACACGCCGACCATCCTCGGTCTCGATGCGGAAAGTCCCGTAGACACCGTTGTGACGCTCCAGTTGTTCAAGGTGTGCGATGGCGCGCGATGAGGGTGTGTCTGCAGCGGAGAAGAAGGACTCTTCGGGGAGGTCATTATTGTTGTTGTTGCTGTTGCTGTTGTTGCGTCGCTGGCGGCGAATGGCGCGGCGGCGATGAAGGCGTGAGGCACCTGGGGAAGAAGAAGCGCCAGGACCTGCTGGGTGGAGAAGGTGCTGCCGTATGTAAACGATCGCGTAGGCTGCTGCTACTCCGGAGAGGAGATAGATGAGCGGTCGGTAGCGTGCCAGAACCGACCTGGAGTGGGAGTGGGAGTCCGACATGGCGGCCAAGGAATGAACGGTCGATCAGGCGCATAGGGGCATCGCTATTGAAATCCGCCCTACCCCTGATTTCAAAAGCTAGAAAACTTGAAAATAGATCTGGAGAATGGTATCTGGGATTGAGGGTCAAGGGTCGACAGGTTGAACAATGCGGAAGTGTCGAGGTTCTCCGCGCCTTTGGCGGGCGGGAAGCTGCGGTCATGACCGCCTTTGCCGTGAAGGGCCGGCCGAGCCATTGGGTCAATACTGCAGGGATCGAGAAAACTACATATCACTTCCAACTTTTAGTTATTGCCTTCATCATCCTAGGAAGACATTATCAAGGAGTATGAAATACTTAGCGCCGCCATCCCTATGTGGAAGGCTATCGGAACTATGTCGCCTAACTTCAGCCAAGCCACCGAGATGTAAATCATGGAGGACAGACAGATTGATACCTTGGGTATCGTACGCTCTTCATTGTCACACCGCTGAAGGTATATACAGCATTATTGAACACATCAACAAGGAGAATAACAATATCACAACACTAAGATCAAACGCAGAACAAATGCTAAGTCAGAGAGACACACACATAGCCTCAAGGACGAAGACCCTCACGGTAGGAGACCGCTCCCTCATCCGCTCCTGGAGTCTGGAATAAAACAGAACCAAAATTGAACGAGCTCAAATCCACCTTCACACTGTCGCTGTCGTCAATGATAATCTTTCATAGTCACGTCATATACAAGGTCTCCTGCTACAGGCGCCCAATCGCGCTACGCGCATGCCGAGAAACTGCAGGGCAGAGCAAAGCGAATGCGATTGGGATGCGGCAGCGAGGTTGATCCTCGCAAGACCATGCTTCATCCAAGCCGTTTCGACGAAGGGACAAGACCTGACGCTCCGCGATACATCAGCCCGGACGGCCATTGCGCATCGCGTGCTCCGCCTTGCCGCGAAGTCAGTGAGACTCGTCGCGGATAAGAGCAACAATCATGCTGTAGAGATAGAAAAAGAACATGATCAGGTGGAAGCCCAGCTTGATGAAGGATTCCTATAGTTGGAAGGTGATCAGCCGGCGGTTTGCCAAGAATGTGTGACGTAAAGCCGATGGGAAATGAAAACTGACCTTCTTGTGCACATTGAGCTTGCGGAAGATCTCGGTCGCATCCAGCAAGTGCTGGTTCTCATAGATCCTGTGGCAGTAAAGATGTGGTTAGCGAACATGACGAGGAACCGCTGCGCTTGTGAGGACGGTGGTTGCGAGAGAAACGCACTTCTTGGCATTGAACGCCAACAGAGGCAAGTTGAGCACAATAGCAACCCAATAGCCATTGATGACGAAGAGGATGGTGAGGAATGCGTGAACGGCGGCTTCGGGAATAATGTATGCGTTGAGGCGGTTGCAGAGATCAATCGGATTAATATAGTCGCTGCAGAAAGAGTCAAGTTAGCTAGAGGTCCTGTTCCACAACTCCGTCGCAATGACTTCTGCCAGAGCAGTCGAATCACACGCCCTGTTTGGGGGTGATGCCATCTGTGAGGTATAGCTGGCTTATTACATACCATTCCAAGTCGCTGTACATGATCGTGAAGAAAACCTGAAGGAACAGGTTGACGGCATTGATCAACACCGCCAGCAGATAGAGCCAGGCTTCACCGGACATGGTGGGCAAGAAGACGAAGTTTACCGAGGGCCGTAAGTGAAAAGACTTAAGAAAAAAAATAATAGGAGACGTGCTCAAAAGCAATAGAGGCAAGCTGTAAGCAGTACGACGTGAGACGAGAGGGCAAGAGGAGAGGAAGGTGAGGAAAAGTGGAGGATGCAAGCAGGTGTGGTGAAGTTCATGAGTCGGTTGTGGATTCGCCCCGATAGGGAAAAGCCGCGAAGGGAAGCTGACCAAGGCGGTAAGCCGGTCTGGGGAAATGCGGTCACCGCTTATGGCATCACCGACATGTCAGGCTGACTACCCCTACTACTATTACTACGACTATAGGATTTGGTCCACAAGTGATATGATTTGTGTATTTCTCTTACAATTGACCTGAATCTCAATCAGTGGCATGGGCGCCTACCCCACCTGTCAAATGAGACCGATCTCATACGAATGTTCACGTTCAGCGTAATCAATATTTGCACGGTGGTGCCTGTCAGTGACGTGTAGGAACACGTGCCCTGTTCCGCAAAGGGAAGATTCGCTATGCTGAGGTACTAGTACTGTATAGATTCAGATCAGAGTGACCATTCCATCTATATACAATACACTGGTCATAAATACTTGAAATCGTAATCTCAAAAGTGAATCAGAAGAAGGGAAAGCGGGAAATACAAATGTTGCGTTAAAAAAAGTCTCATCAGCATGTTCCGTCACACAAAGTACATAAGGTTAAGAGAACTCCCAGAAGCAAAGCGCCCACGTTAGAGGCGACCAAAGCATGGTCGCACCTAGGGTACTTGCTGCAGGATATATGTTGCCATCAGCGCTTCTCGACAAGGAGAATATGCATCGCACCATATGCAATCACGATAAAAGCGCCGGAAATGACGGCCAGCCCAATAACATCCTTCCACAAGGCAAGGGTGTCGAAACCGAAAGCACTCAGAATAGAGGCGCCTGGGACCTCTATATCCAAACCATATTTGTGGTCGATCAAGGTTAGATACGTCACTTCATTGACAATCAATGCTTCGAAGCCGTAGTGGAAAATAGATAGCTAGACAACGGTCAGTAAGCTATAATCAAGTGATAACGATATGGGGCTCCATCAAGCTTACCGTTTGGAGCCAGAGGGCAGACTTGGGAATGGCATCGTGGTTGAGCAAGAGGCCTGCGAAAAGGAGGCTGAACAGCATGACGAGACTTCCGATTAGGTTGGCCACCCCTCCATCCCGGAAGATGATACCAATAAAGAGACAGATGTTGGCGGCGGCAAGGTTGAAGAGCACCAGCACAAGAATAAATCGGAAGAACTCGCCCCAGGCTGGAATTAAGCCGGTCATAGGGTACACAATGATGCCCATGATGATTGGTGGCAAAAGACGGAGAGGCACAATGTCAAATACCACTTTAGCCGCAAAATAGGTGATCGGGTGGTAGTAGCCATTGGCCCTCTCCCGCACAAAAAGAAGACGCTCCGACGAGAAAACAGTGAGACTAGTCAGGGTGCTAAAGCCAAATAGAGCTAGAATGAAGAAGAAGAGACCGAGCCGATTCTGAAACCCTTTAATGTCATCAGTCAGTCCATAGAAGAGGTATCCACAAAGAACGGCAAGCAGGATGGAGATCGCGTAATGCGTAAGCATCAACATCGGGTTCCGGTAAAGGTTCCGCCAGGTGCGCTGTGAGAGAATGATGAATTGGCGGAGGAGTCCAACTCGAGCATAGCCTTTCGAGACTCCAGCATAAGGAGCAGACAGGGCTTCGGGGTTGGCGAACCCATTGGCCGCCCGAGCATTTTGAATGGCGGCCACAATCTCGTCGTGTACAGAACGAGCAATATCCGATGAGGAGTAATTGGCGACTAAAATATCGAGATCTGTCTGGCCTGGAGCGACGGGGGGTAACTGGTCTGGCTCCTCAGGAGTCTGGTTCGGTATAAGGGCAGGTTGACGGGACAGACGCAGCCATTGCTGGGTGTTCTCCGCCACATCGTCCAACTGCACATCCTCTTCATCCGTCTTTGGTGTGGAAGGAGTCTCAGGGTCCTTCTTCCGTGAATACAGTTGCCTATCTTGTCGCTGTTTAAGCGAGACTCGTCGTTTGCTCTTTGGCCGTCGGTTCGCTTCCAGGGTGCTGCTAGAATTCTCCTCCAGACTCACGTTCGACGCGCTTGCGACGGATTTGACCGCTCTCAGACTGCTCGAGGCTGTTTTCGGAGGATCCATACGCGCACCCAGCAAAGGAGAATTGACCTCGTCACTGTAAGAGCGAGTAACGCTGGCATGCATTGTCAAGTCAACCAGGTAATCGGCGATATTGAAGCCCGGAGGGCAGGAGTATCCCGCCTGGTCAAAGTATTGCTGACATGTGGAGAAAGGACCAGAGTAGACAGTCTTTCCCTTGGCCAAGAGGATCAGTCGATCAAAAAGAGCCACAATGTTGGATCTTGGCTGGTGAATGGTGAAAATGACAGTACGGTTGTACGTTTTGGCCAAAGTAACCAGACACTCTACCACGTTGAATGCATTGAATGCGTCCTATTCAAGCTTGTGAATGAGCGGGCATAGACAGAGTAGAGTGACAACTTACCAGTCCACTGGTAGGCTCGTCCAAGAAAAGTATGCTGGGGCTGGTGACAAGCTCACAGGCGATCCCCACTCGTCGTTTTTCACCGCCAGAAATACCTCGGCCTTTACCTTCCTCAGATCCGATCAACTGATCTTTGATATGAGAGATCCCAAGCTGCTTCTCCACCTCGAATACTCGTTGCTCCTTTGCAGCTCGGCTCATGTCTCGAGGGAGCCGGAGCAACGCACTAGTCAAAATAGTCTCATGTACGGTCAGAGTGGGAAGCATTGTATCCTCTTGATCGACAAATCCAATCATAGACTTGAAATCGTGGTCGCTGATCTTCTCCCCGTTGATGTAGAAATCGCCACGGACTGTGCCTCTCTTGTTCTTTCGTGCGAGAATGTCCAGGAAGGTGGTCTTTCCTGCGCCGGAAGCACCCATAATAGCGGTGATTTGGCCCGGTTGAGACGCACCCTGAATACTACTGAGAATCTCTCTTCCATTGAGGTAGTAAGAGACATTGTCCCAGTACAGGGCTGCCGGCTTGTGCTCAGCTAAGAGTTTAGCCCCTTCATCATCCGAGTCGTCGGAAAGGGGCAATTGTATGCGACCGTAAGATCTGCGGGACAGGTACCATACTGCAAGAATCACAGCCACAACGAAGAGGGCACATCCAGCAATGACGCCAGCAATGAGGGGGGTGTTGATTTGTTTGACCGGGCGAGTGTAACCGGGGACATCTGTCCTATACAGACACTCTCCAGAGTTGCAGTTCAGCGTGATACTTTTGTCACCAAAGACAGCCTTGATCAAGTCATCCATCGCCGGCTCCTGAAACTTGCTCCCATCGTCGGGGCTACCCCCAACGGTCGAGACGCTGGAGAACGATGCCGGACCTGCAATCGACTCTCTGAGGAAGTCACCAATGTCAATTGATCCCTCCTCACCACAGAGCATACGTCCAGGGATGCACTCGCAATGGATGTTTTCGCAGGTGTAACGAGTCTTATTCTGGTTGTGAGTAGTTTCCAAGCCCCAGGTGCACGTATCCAGCCCACAGTAGAATGACTCTACCTTTCCCACCCAGAACTGAAAGTTGCACGTATTATCTTCTGCCTCGCATGAGAAGGTGACCTGAGGCTTGCGCTCCTTCAACTGGTCGAGGATCTTGCGGTTCGTCACATCGCACATCTGAAAATTCTCCTTGACAGTTACACCTTGCTTGTAGCAGACGCCGCCTTCCCCTTCCGGCATCATGGCATTACAGGCATCGTCCGTTTGACACACATTGCAATTGAGGCCTTCCCAGCCATCCTTGCACGCGCACTGACCATCCTTCGGCGGAGACCTTTGATGGCCATCGGCCAACGATCCACACAGCGGCTGTGCGCAATCATCGCCTCCGAAGCCGGGCGGACAGACACATTTGCCTGTAAATTTATCACATGACGCAAATTGAGCGCATTGAAAAGCATCTAGCTGGCAGTTGAAGCATGGAGGACACCCATCCGGGCGATCACTGAAGGTGGAGAAGAGCGGAGGTATTAGCTCGGCTTCGGAGTAGTTGCTCCGCGCTGCAACAGCAGATGCAGATAACGAGAGTCCGAAAGCCAGGGACAGGTGGAGTGTTAAGGGAAGCCTCATTTTGAACTAGAAAGAAAGCACATGAAATCAGCGACGATATTTTCACGACAAAGTTGCAGGCGAACGTTGGGATGTTGGGTGATATCTCGCACCGGAGACAGGGCCGATGCGGAGTAAGAGCAACGCCCAAGTAATCAAGAAGCCAAGTGGTGCATCGGGCTCTCAACCGGAGGATGACAAGGAAACGAGGTCAAGCAAAGAGTAGAGAGTCACAACGAGATGCTGAGAAAGGACTGAATAACCTCGTTTCGGATGAAAACAAGACGCGCAATAGCAACAACAAGCAAAGAGGCGGTAAGATGATGGGGAAGCAGGAAGAGATGGGGTGGAGGTTGGAAGGGAAACCGGTTGGGGCGATGACGAGCCCGGCGGAGATGCGCTAAAGCCGGGCATGCCATGGCCTGACAGCCTGGGGCACCAATGAACTCGGGTACCTACGTAAGTAGTACTGCCTGCCAACGCACAGGTACCAGGAACTGTCGTTATTGACAGTAGTAACACTCTTTGTCCCATTGAATGTTGATTGGTGTTTCTCGACGGAGCCTTGATAAACTTACAGTTCATGTCAACTATCCGATTGGTCTTCTCATCCATTGCTCTGATACCATTTCTCTCCAGATGATATGAATGATGACGCTAATCATCGTCTGACAGCCCCAGCATAGCGAACAACTAAGGTCTTGAGAACAAGCCTCGCAGACTGATGATTCGAATGATGTTCGTCGTACTACATCCCTCCCCTGCCCTCCCCCACATTGAGTTGGACGCGGAGGATCGAGGCCTCGCATACGGGGTAGATCCGAGCGCTGACACTCGCCCCGCATCGACCAGCCCAGTGGCCAACAGCTTGAGGCTGATTCTTACGGACGGTGCGACAAATTGAAAACACAACTGGACTAGCCGAAGAGTCGCAAAGCTATACATGGCCATGGCTGCCATACATACCTTTTTGTCCGAGGAGTCTGCATGGGAATACGGACAAGAGCTATTGATCGGAGAAGGAGTTTAGGATGTGCGCACCGCAGAATGGAATGCTTGGCCACGTGAAACCTAGGCTGGGATAGTGACGCTAACAAGTCACCCGGCAAGGGAGTTGATGCCAGATCAGAAACCAGCATCGAAGAACTGTACGGAATAAATGATGTGATCAAGTGTCTGTACTAGTGCTGGTGGATTGTGCGGGGCCTCCTCCAAGCTTTTCAGAGTGGGACGGTGGGTTCAATGCTACGGTTCCGGGCGGAGTTCATCCAGTGCATAACTCTGCATAGGAGTGACCTTGGTCCTTCAGCCGAGGTAGAAAAGAGGCCTCGATGTCTGACGAACGCTCATGGTTCAGCGTTGATTTCTGGCTCCTGAGCCGATTAATTGTGCTTCGCCTCCTCTTCCTTCTCTCTTCGCATACTCTTCTGACCTCAGTGCTGCTGGTGTGTTGTGCGACACATATACCTCTTCAGAGCCCTCGTTACTTGTCAAATGGCGAATCAGTATGCTCGAGATCCCTGGTGATTATACCAAATCGAGAATTCCTAAGCGACAAGGATCATGCATTGCTAATGTGGCTAGATATGCCTTTGTCTCTCGCCGCGCCGGTGCTGGCCACGACCCTCGCTTATCTCAATGCGAAGTACTCGCTCTTCTATGATCGCATGCTGATCAAAGTTCTTCTCAAGATTGCCGTTAATCTTCGGTCGGGCGAGCGTCGTGATAAAGTCAATTTATTCTACAAGCTTGAAAGCCATGCTCTGAATTCTAAAACGAGGGACCGACCGTTCCTTGTCTACAATGGCCGCAGCTGGACTTTCCACGAGGCATACATTACAGTACTGCAGTATGGGGCGTGGTTGAAGAAAGTGCACGGGGTCAAGCCCAGAGAGATCGTGGCCATGGATTTCATGAACTCATCCACTTACATCTTCATCTGGTTCGGTCTCTGGAGCATCGGCGCCGTGCCCGCTTTCATCAACTACAACCTATTAGGCAAAACTTTGACACATTCTGTTCAAACCTCGTCGGCGAGGCTGCTGTTGGTCGACGAGGAGCTGCGCGCTCAGTTTCCTCCCGAACAGCTTGAAACTTTCGCGTCCCCGGACTTTCGAGAAGGCAAAGGATCAGTCGATGTGGTTTTATTGACGAGTGAAACGGAAGCGCAGATCCTACAGGTGGAGCCAACCCGTGAGGACGATCAGGTTCGCGATGGAGTCAAGCTACGGGATACCGCTGCGCTTATCTATACGAGTGGGACGACTGGCCTCCCGAAGCCTGCCATCATCGGCTGGAGAAAGGCTTGGAGCACGGGTATCATGATCACGAACTGGATAAATCTTAAGAGCACGGATCGTTACTATACAGTAAGACGGTCCTCTTGCTTTGAGAATGATTGCTGACTAGAACTTAGTCGATGCCCCTCTATCACTCCTCGGCCTCTCTGCTCGCTGTCATGCCGTGTCTATGGACTGGCTGCGCCTCGATCATTGGCCGCAGGTTTTCTGCCCGCAACTTTTGGCAAGAGGTGCGCGAAAGTGAGGCCACCATCATTCAGTATGTGGGCGAAACCATGCGGTACCTCCTTGCTGTGCCTCCTGCTTTCGACCCAGTGACTGGAGAGGACTTGGACAAGAAGCATAACCTTCGACTGGCCGTGGGCAATGGTCTTCGCCCAGATATCTGGAACCGAGTGAAGGAGCGCTTCAATATCCCTGGCATCGCCGAATTCTACGCATCTACGGAGGGTACATCCGGATCGTGGAATCTTTCATACAATGACTTTGGTGCTGGAGCCATCGGCCGAAACGGAGGGTTCACTTCTTGGGTCCTTGGACGCAGCATAGCAATGGTCAAAGTTGATGAAGTCTCACAGCAGCCTTGGCGCGACCCGAAGACGGGGTTCTGCAAGCAGGTGCCTCGAGGAGAGCCAGGAGAGTTGCTGTGGGCGTTGAACCCCACTGACCCCAACGAAACCTTCAGCGGATATTTTAATAATTCCAAGGCTTCGGACAGCAAGGTCATCCGGGACGTTCTGCGCAAGGGTGACGCCTTCTTCCGCACCGGGGACCTGGTCCGATGGGACAAAGAGGGTCGTTGGTACTTCAACGACCGCTTGGGCGATACCTATCGCTGGAGAAGCCAGAATGTGTCGACTGCCGAGGTTTCCGAAGTGCTGGGAGGCCACACAGACGTCCATGAAGCGAATGTATACGGGGTGGCGCTGCCCCATCACGACGGCCGAGCTGGGTGTGCCACTATTCTTCTTCAGCAGCAGACTCGCGCTGACAACCCGTCCATTCTGATTCCTCCGACGCAGGAGACTTTGAGCAGCTTGTCTGCGCATGTTTTGAAGAATCTCCCGCGGTATGCCGCCCCGCAATTCTTGCGCGTGACGCTGGCCATGCAAACCACGGGCAACAACAAGCAGCAGAAACATGTCCTGCAGTCGCAGGGTGTTGATCCGTCATTGGTTGCTGCAGAGGACAGATTGTACTGGCTGCAGGGCAACCAATACGTGCCGTTTGAGCGTGATGATTGGAGCCGATTGCAGGCCGGAAAGGTGAAGCTGTGAGAGTGGATCTGACAGGTACTATCTCAAGTATTTACATGTGGGGTCTATGAATTTATCAATACACATTGAAGTATATAGTTTCGGAGGTCCTTGCACGTTTCCGATCGTTCTGAGCTGAACGGGCTCTGAATGAGATACCGGTTGGACCCACTGAGTGGTGGTGAGGGACAATCTCGGAAGATGGCTATTTGAGGCTATATAGCCCCTTGGCGAGAATTGTGCTCTATTCTATGTGATTACAGTTAGTAATGAATGAAGGGGCCCTCAGCAAAACTTTCATGAACAACGAGTACTGGCTGGCAGCCTTCTCCCACTTTTTGATCGGGTACAAGGGCTGCATCTGTAGTGTACATAGTAGTTATGCTTGTCGCATATTTTGGTTTTGATCATATCGGCTACTCGGAAAATCCCCCGGTCTCGGAAACAACATTGAGTCCGAGGTATAAAAGTTAAGCTTCCCCCCCGCTGCCGCCAGTTGGAGAAGGTCACCCCCTCATTTCTCTTTTCGCAACACAAACCAGTTGATATCGCAAACCAATCTATGCCTACTTAGAATGTATCTCTCCCCGCTAACCCGATGGTCCACGCCATCTCTCCGTCGATCGAGCAGCCACTACCTGAGCGCAACAACAACAAGAGGATTCCGCCGCCAATTCTCCGTGCATCGTCCTCTCCGCACCAGCAACAACACCTCCGCATCCGCCGTCGCCGCAGCCTTCCTCGCCCGCTTCCAGTCTCTGGGCCCTCAGACCCGCACGCAAATCCTGGATGCCAATCAGCTCCAACTTCTTTCTCTCACACTCAATCGACCTTCTCTCTGGGCGGGGGTGGACTCGACGCCGTCCCTGTCCACCTCCTCGACCCCACTGCCACACGGCACCCCCCTGCCGGCCGGCTACCACCTCGTCTACTTCACCCCGGCCTTCCTCGAAACCGAGCTCGGCCCCGACGGCACCGACACCTCCTACAACCCAGCCTCCCCCTTCACGCGCCGCATGTGGGCCGGCGGGGCGGTTGAATGGCCGCGCAATCCGGTGACTGGTGGCCGACCCAATTTCCTCCGGGTAGGCCAGGAAGTCCAGGAGACGACACGGGTGTTGAGTGCTGAACCCAAGGTCGTGCGCAAGACCGGCGAAGAGATGATTGTGGTGGGCGTGGAGAAGGAGTTCCGGAATGAGGATGGCGTGGCTATTGTGGATCGGAGGTGTGTCTTTCCTTCACCCGCCAAATCACCCAGCCATAAAAGCACCAAAAAACTAACTACCGACTAACTAACCACTTACCCTGGACACAGGAACTGGGTCTTCCGCAAAGCCCTGACAAGCCCCTCTCCAACACCCACACCACCCACCACCACCACCACAGGATCCTCAGCACCCGGCACAACAACAACAACAACAACAACAACAACAACAACCACCGAAAACACCCGTACCCACACGCGCACCCTCCGCCAAACCCCGGTCACCCTCTTCCGCTTCTCCGCGTTGACCTTCAACCCGCACAAGATCCACTACTCGACCCCCTGGGCGCGCGACGTCGAAGGCCACAAGGACATTGTCGTGCACGGGCCGCTCAACCTGATCTGCATGCTGGATCTGTGGCGGGATACGCGGGCGGCATCCCGACCCACAGAGCCACATCTGCTCCCGGAGAGCATCAGCTACCGCGCGACGAGCCCGCTGTACGCCGAGGAGGAGTATCGGATTGTGTTGGAGGAGGAGGCCGGGGATGGGGATGGGGTGGGGACGGTGCAGATTCTCGGGCCGGGGGAGGTGGTTGCGATGCGGGGGGAGATTCGGTAGGTTTGGGGTTTTCGAGTGGAGGTGGGTGGTGGCTCTGGTGAGTTGCTAGAGGTAGAGTGAGGGTCTAGGAAGTTATGCTTTGTGCAAAGTACGGTACTGAGTAGTAACTAACTAACTAACTAACTATATAGAGGTTCTTACATTAGTACTGTATTGGGTAGTGGATAAAGGCTCATAGCTCAGAGCTATGTAGATTTCACAGCGGCTACGGTGCTTGGTACAGTCGGGGTGGGTGCATTAACGGGTCTGTTTCTCTAGAGTCTAGAGAGGATCAAATCGACCAGCCCGGTCGCTCTCACGGTGTCACAGCTGAGCCATCTTGTTGGCACACTATATAAACCTAAGTATCCATTTCAAATGCTCATTCCCCTAGTACTCACCCAAGCATAAACCATGTATCATCATGTATATCTTGCAAAGACCAGACCTCACAAATGCCCTCATCGCGAAAAGGCAAGAAAAAAAGAAACCCTTTTCTAAAAACAATGCCTCGGCCGAAACCAAGTCTAGCTATGCTGCTTCGCTTCGCTTCATAAATCCCATAAACTCATCCTCCCCATACTTCCACAAATCCCCCACAACTTACGACAACCAATCCTGTCTCTAACTTCATGGCGAACCGGATTTTAGTGACTCAACCTCTTCTCATGAATAAACAAGCTACAGGCAAACGAGCAGAAGGCAATGCCAACCACGAAAGCAAAGCTCTTATTTGTAGCCCAGCCGTAGCAGCTGCGCACGATCCTCGCGACCGCCGGGTCGAGGGTCTTGATGTAGTCTAGGCTCTGGCGGACGCCGTCCACGATGGAATCAATGTCGTCGCTGTCGCGTAGGGCCCACTGCAGTCGAGTCCGCAGAACCTGTTGAACCACGGTGGAGGAGAGCGAAAGGCCGATGACGGACCCCAGCGAGCGGAAGAGGTACGAACAGGCAGTGACGACGGCTTGGTCTTCTGGGGTGGCGTTGGAGACTATTATCACAAGGATGAGGTTAGATGGGAAAAATTACTAGTAGGAGAGGGATGCACGCTAAAAAAGCAAGGGGACTGACTCAGACTGATAAGGGTGGAAGTGACGCCGGTGCCATTTCCAAAGGCACAGAAAACAGTCCCCAAAACCATGACTATGGTACTCTCGAAGACGCCCCCGGAGGCAAGGGTGATGGTCGTCAGACCCAGTGTAAGCAGAGCGTACGCGAAGACTGTCAACCAGTAGAACTTCCCCGTCCACTTCATCACGAATCCCGCAAAGAGCGAGCCGCTGACGCCGGAGATAATGCTGGGCAACAGACGCAGCCCTGCGATCGTGGCCGAGACGCCGTCGACAGCCTGGAAGTAGAGCGGGATATAGAAAAGGGCAGCCAGCCAGGCGCCGAAGCTGAAAAAGTTGCATCCGTAAGCGGCGAAGAAGGTCCTGTTGAAGATGATGTGGCCGGGGGCAAAGGGCTCCGCGGCATAGAAGCACTCCACGATCACAAACAGCACGAAAAGAGCCGCCGAGACGCTCAAAGATATGATGGTGATGGGGATTGTCCAGGAAACGTTGCTGCCGCGATCTAGACCCAAGAGAAACCCAAATACAGCTCCCACAAGAACCACAGCGCCGGGAAAATCGATGCGGCTGAGCTTCGTCTTCCAGTGACTGTCTTCAATGGCCGGCAGCTCCAGCATTATTGTGACAGCAACAAAGGCAAGGGCACAGAGGGGAACCTGCGCGATAAACGCCCTGCGACCCGAGTGAGCGTTTCTAATCTCTGCCAGTAAAATTACCCGACTTACCATCGCCAGCCGATGTAATCAGCCAGAACCCCACCTGCAATGACCGGTCAGAAACAAAGCTCCGGACAGCAGCACGCATTGTTTACCTAGTGGTGCGCCAATACCCGCACCTGTCGCATAAATCACATTGATAAATCCCTGCCACACACCTCGTTCACGCAGAGGGACGATATCGCTCAGGAGAATGCTGACCACAGTCGTCATCCCGCCGCCTCCGATACCTTGAAAGACCTAGAAGGGCTATGTTTAGAGTATAACCAACGCAGAAAGCAGAATAACGTACTCGTGCTGCGATCAGCTGGTTAATACTCTGAGCTGTACCGCAGAACAAGCAGCCGATCCCAAAAATGGCATAGGCAAACAATAGGCAGGTCTTGCGGCCGAAGATGTCACTCAATTTCCCATAGAGCGGTTGGAAAGAGGTCAGGGTCAGAAAATACGAGGTAGCAATCCAATTAGTCAAATTGAGGGCCTGCAGATCGCTGCCAATCTGACCATAACTGGCCATGATGATGGTCTGGTCGGCCGCCGACAAGAAGATCTACAGAGTCAATCAGCACTCAAGACCCATGGTAGTATTTCGGGAGGTGATAAGGTGACAAAACAAACCCCGATAGATACAGCCGGTAGGATATACTTCAAATTTGGGCGCACCTCTGACGAGGATTTGGCCTGATTCTCCTCCTCATCCTCCCGTGCGGCGGTTTGCTGGCTTGCAGACTCAAGATCCCGCTGGCCGCCAGTGTGGGGGATGGCCCCTATGGACTCAGTATTACTCTGGGACCCCAGCAACGGGGATGTCTCCGTGGGGATTCCTCGCTCTGATGCCATGGCCGCTCCGACACCGACTCCACACTGCAGGAGACTAGAAAATTGCAGGGATCGAAAAAGAAAAGAAGAACCTGAAATGTCGACGCTGGGGGGGACTATGAGGTGCTTCATAGATAGTGCTGCTCACGTGATGATAAGAAACCCCGCTCGCTGTTCCTGACAAATGACAAATCAGAATCGGAGTCAAGGCAAGGCTGCGGCCCCCACTTTGCTTTGAGGGGGGCTTTTCTTCATGATAAGATTGGAACTCCAACGTCGGACCCGAGTCTGCGGTGAGGTTATCCGCAACCCATTTACTACTGAGTTATTGGCTATGCATTTATTCCATCTATCGCTGCGATTGTTACTCGGCCCGACTAGCACAAAGATGGTCCTGTATGGGTCATGCCATTTCCAGATCATTTACGTGAACGTTACAGAAATCTCGTCGTGAATGCTCTATCTCGTGACTGTTGGTATAATACTGCAGTAGAGATATCCAGAATTAAGCATCCGTCTTGGCCTCCTCAGCCACCACGGGAATGGGAATGGGACCACCAGGCGAGTCCGGCAAGCGAGCGGTCAGAACCTCCACCCCATCCTCCGTCACCAGCAGGGTGTGCTCGAACTGTGCCGACAGCTTGCCGTCGGCGGTGGAGCTGGTCCAGTCGTCCGGCCACGTACGGTCGCGGTGAGTACCCAAGTTGATCATGGGCTCGATGGTGAAGCACATGCCGGGCTTCGCCGTCCCCACCGCCTTGTTCTTTGCGTAGTGGGGAACGTTGGGGGCGCAGTGGAAGAGCTGGTTGATACCGTGACCGCAATAGCTCTTGACCACACTGCAGTCGCGGGACTTGGCGTGCTTCTCGATCACATTACCGGGGTCTCTGAACAGCATGCCGGGCTTGACCAGCTCGATGGACTTGTCCAGGCACTCGCGCGCGGTCTCCACAACTCGCACCGCGTCCGGGTTGGCTTTGGCCTTGTCGCCAACGTAGTAGGTTTCGTTGATGTCGCCGTGGAAACCGTTGTGGTACAGGGTCACGTCAATGTTGACAATATCGCCGTCCTCCAGGGGACGCTGATCGGGGATACCGTGGCAGATGATCTCGTTGATCGAAGTACATACCGACTTGGGGAAATTGACGTAGTTGAGCGGCGACGGGTAAGACTGCATGCAATTAGCTTCTAAGCCTGATGTCCGGAGAACACCTTCCGTTGTTCGCATCCCCCATTAGATAGTAAGAACACCACTCACATCACGCTCAATGCAAGCCTTGTGAACCACCTCGTCGATGTAGTCGGTCGTGACACCGGGCTTAATCTCACGCGCAGCGATATCCAGAACCTCACGAGCCAAGCGACACACTTTGCGCATCCCCTCCTGCTCCTCCTTGTTCAAGATCGTGATGTTGTGGCGACCGACAAACTTCTGCTCGGAACGGGGAATGCCATCCTTGGCGTAGTCGGGGTGAGGGATGGACTTGGGGACGGTTCTCCGCGGAGACAGCGGGTATACAGGTCGCAAGTCGCCGCAGAAAGGGAAGGACGGAAAGGGGTTGTAGAGCCCCGTGGCTGGATCTGGTTCAGAAACTACTTTGGGTGTAAAGAGGTTGCTCAGGAAATTACTCTTCTTGTGAATCGTCTTGTGTTCGCTCTGTGCAAATGGGGATTAGCCATGATTCAACAACACCGCCACACGAGGCAATAAAGAGGACAGCCGTACCCAGCTCTTCTTGAAACAATCCTGCGAGCAGAAGAAGCTATCCGTCCCTTGTTTGAGGCAGGTCGGACACTGTAGCGTTCCTGCGTTCTTATCACAATCCACGCCGATGCATTTCCGGGCAGCGACTTCGGCAGTCATGTTGAAAAATATATAGAATGCAGATATCTGGAAGCCGACCACTCTATCGAATAATTTCGCAAGAAAACAAAAAGCTAAGGAGGCTTTGACGAGGTCTATCGAAATGTGTTTTGCCGCTGCGCCAAAGGGAAAAAATGGGACGATCCCCGCGGCTGAGCGGGCGTCCATCGGCGGACCATCAATTCAGGCAGAAAACTAAGTACCATACCCAAGAAGGACTAGTGCAGGACAACGAGCCTGCCATCCATAAAGAGACTAGCGGGCGGATCATCCAGGGCAGTAGCGCGCGTCTGTTAGTGTCACGTGTAATCTCGGAAATCCCTGTCGGCAAAATTGTGGCTGATTGGCGGGGAAGAAACTGGTGGGGCCGCCTTTTGGCCTTTGCCCGTTTTTTTTTTCTTTGTGACGCATCGATCAGTTCCGATATTAATTTGTAATCGTTTTGTATCACTCCAGACCCCCGTGGCAGGTTACAAGCCATCCTGAGGCCACGAGCTGCAAAGCATAACAGACAGACTACTTGTGCTTGGGTACGAAGTCTTTGAACACACATTATTGAAGTGGGGTTTTACACTTCTTCTTATCGATTTCTGATCGTCATTTTGCCCCCCGCCATGGCACATTCCGCACCGGCCAAACAAAAAGTTGTCATTGTGGGCGCAGGCCCGGTGGGGTCCCTTGCAGCTCTCTATGCAGCGGCCAGAGGCGATGAAGTTGAAGTATATGAGTTACGCGGAGGTTCGTTATTGCACTTATCCTCCTTTTATTTCGTGGCATTTGTTGCCCTGTCGCACCCCCCACCCCCCCCAAGATTGATCTCCGGTCATACATACCTCTCTACTGGCGTGGCCCACTTTATCACTTTACCCCCCACATTGATGTCTATACCAGCGCTCTACTAACATGGTCGACAGATCTACGTGATCCGGCGACCATCCCGTTGAACTTCACCAAATCCATCAACCTGGCGCTGTCTGAGCGAGGCATCACCGCGATGAAGCAGTCGCACCGCGATGAGCTGATCGACCGAGTTCTGGCGGACTCCATCCCCATGAGCGGACGCATGATCCACGGCCGGACGGACGGCAAGCTCTGGGAAGCAGCCCAGGCATACGATGTTCACGGACGAGTACGTATTCCACACGATTCCGGGGCCATAAGAACCCTCCTCCTCCCTTTTCTCCCCAATCCACCCACCCACAATTAACACCACCCCCCCCCCCCTCCACAGGCAATCAACGCCGTCGACCGCGGCACCCTTAACAATGCCTTCCTCGACGAGCTCGAGCAGACCCCCAACGTGCAACTCTTCTTCAACCACAAGCTCGTCGGCGCGGACTTCCGCAACAACCGGGCGTGGTTCGAGCGCCGCTCTCCGGGGGCCAGCCCGTACGACAAAGCCACGGAAGTCGAAGTGAGCTTCGACCTGCTCATCGGCGCCGACGGCGCGCACTCGGCCTCGCGCTACCACATGATGAAGTTTGCGCGCGTTGACTACTCCCAGGAATATATCGACACGCTGTGGTGCGAGTTCCGCATCCCCCCCTCCTCCGACCAACAAGAATTTCGCATCTCCCCCAACCACCTGCACATCTGGCCCGGCAAGGAACACATGTTCATCGCCATCCCCTCGGCCGACCGCTCCTTCACCTGCACGCTCTTCGCGCCCGCAGACCACTACGGGAGTCTCTCCGCTGCCAGCCACCCTGAAAAAGCACTGATCGAGTTCTTCGACACCAATTTCCCCGGCGTCTGCCCGGACCTCATTACCCCGGAGGCCCTGCACGAGCAGTTCACCGCTAACCAGCACCTGCCCCTCATCAGCCTGAAGTGCAACCCCCACCACTATGACGCCAGTGTTGTCGTCGTCGGCGATGCCGCCCACGCCGTCCTCCCGTTCTACGGGCAGGGGCTCAACGCCGGGTTGGAGGATATCCGGACCCTGTTCGAGATCCTCGATCGCTACGGGGTGTACGATGATTCGAACGGCCCCACAAGTCCGGAGAGCAGGCGCGACGCCCGCCGTCGCGCGTTGCAGGCCTACACGGATCAGCGCGCCGCCGATACCCATGCCATCAACGACCTGTCGAAACAGAACTTTCTCGAGATGCGGTGGGGCGTCAAGTCGCCACTGTACCGGCTGCGCAAGTCAGTCGAGGAGACTTTGACCCGCTACGTGCCGGAGCTGGGCTGGCAGACCCAGTACACCCGCGTCAGCTTCAGTAACCAGCGCTACTCCGAGGTGGTGCAGGCCGTGCGCAGGCAGGGCCAGCTGTTGGGCATGGGACTTGGCGCCGCCGCCCTACTGGCCAGCGTGACAACAGTGCTGGTTGGGGTTCTCTGCTGGAGGAGACGGCCAACCACTGCTGGTATGGTCTCGCCCTGGGCAGCTCTACGCAATGTCTGGCGGGAAGTGAGAAGGACGTTGCTGTGAAGCTCGTTCGGACCCCTTCCGCGCCCTGTGGGGTCCGACAGCTGCGTGACCTGTAACACTATGAATCCTTTCCATTGCATTAGAGGGTGATCTAGAAGTCTTATCATGAGCAATGCTATTCTCGTCCCAACGGATCACGGTACATGCGGTTCTTTGCATAATTCGCTTTCGGCGGCACGCTAACAAGTCTCAATGATCCCAAATTCGTCAATGCGCGTACAGGCTGTATATCAGATCCCCCTGCCCAAGTAACAAGAGACATACCCAGCTTCACACGAAAGGACTAGAGCACAAGCTTGGGAAAGATATGACAGCTGGTACGGTGGAAGCCAGCGACATGAATAACCAGTTCCTATACCCATAGATGAGCAACAAAGGGTCAGGCAGACAAGCGGAAAAGCCACCATGACCCACCCAAGAGACGTCTTACAGTGAAAGAGACCAATACATGAAGGAAGCAATTAAACAAAAAGGAATCGCAAATGGTGAACCCAAACCCGAAATGTGTTTCTGACGAAGCAAAAGCCGAAAATGAAATTAATAGAACAAACACAGATCGTAATCATAAAGGACAGGGTCTAGTCCTCTTCATATATGCTCGAGGTTGCAAGAGACTCTCGATGGCGCGTCAGAGTCTTCCAGTATCGTCATATAATCATCATCATCGAAAGACCTAGTCGATCCGGCTTGGAAAGCCCGAGATTGCCTGTAAGTCAGGGCCTTTTTTCAAGCTTGGAGGCATCAAGGTATCTCTTCCCTCGAAAAATCCAAAGGTCAACCATTCCGGCAAAAGGCAGCGGAGAAGGTCCATAATTTCCACGGGCAACCAGCGCTCCTGGGATTGACTTCCTTGGGCTATCCTTACCGATGGACAACGGTTGGTTTGACAACAACTGGCAGAAAGATCTCTTCCAGACGGATTGGTATATAACATGGTATAATCATGGCCAGGATGAAAGAAAAAAAATCATAATATGGTCGGGAGGATCCGAGATCCGTTGATCAAGGGCCAACGAATTTCACTCGACGATTGCGCCGGTCCTGGATGCGCTTCTCCGTGTCAAGATATAGATGGTCAAGATATTCCATTGCGGTAGCATCCTTCAGAATCTTGGCCACCTGCGTGCCGGCAGAAATAAGCTGAAGGACATTGCGGTCGTCCTTGATAGGCCTAGATTGATGCTTGGCAGCATGCCTCATCTCCAAGGAATTCTCCAGTATAGTGACTAACTGCTTGATCTGGCCATTATACAGGACTCTGGCGGGGATCCGCCGCTTGGTGGCCAGTCTCTTGAGGAGGTATACCCACTCAGTCCATTCACGGTCTGAGGGTACTCTCACCTGTCTCTTGTCCGGTTCTAGTGGGATTGGAAACTGGTACTTCGCGACGAAGTCAAATGCGCATTGCGATAGTCGGTCGTTCACTGAAGACAGGATACGATCTTGCTCTGAGACATCAAGATTAGTAGGCAGATGAGGTAGATCCCTTCCTTGCGCCGCAATCACACGCGGAGAGGGAGGCTCAAGTAATTGGTGGGGGCCGTCAAACTCATCCCGGTTAGATGGTCTCCTCTGTGAATGATATCGTGTTGTGCCCTTGAATCTATCGCCGGCCCGCCGGCTGTTACTCTCAACCATGTATTCTGGCGCTTCGAAGGATCTGGCGTACTCATATTCACGTCTAAGAGACTCCGCTGGCAATCGAGCAGGATGGTCCCACTCTGGAAAATGGGGGCTCGGGCGTGGTAGAGATGTTCCCGTCGGCGCAGCGATACTGGTATTGAGCTGGGAAGTCACCGGCAGTCCGCTGTAGGGCATGGAGAAGTTAAAGTCCGGAGAAATGGGCTTCAGAGACCTCGTGGCCGCATTCTGTGCGTCCAGTGAGCCCCGTTCAATATTCGGTGGTGACATCCTTTTGGAGCTGCTCATAAGTAAGCTTTTCCTCGGTAGAAGTCTATGCCGGAGAGGGTCATGAAGAGTTATACAAGATGAAGCGGTACCTTGGGTGGTAAACGATAGGCCGTTCACTGGGAGTCCCATACATCGGCGGCTGTTGGGCTGCAATGCCACTGCAAAAAGTGAGCATCTCACCAAATTTACTCAACTCCGTAGCATAAAAGGTTTGCGTTCGTGCTGACCTGTGGCGGGACCAAGAGTCATCACTACCAACTGACTGCGTACAGGAGCCACTGCTTCCTGTCGCCCTCGAAAAATAGCTGAAGCCAGAGGACATTGTGATCCAAGGAGGGGACAGAACGGGGGACATGAAGGTTGAGACTTATACTGGCTGGAATGGGACCGTGATGATAAATATGATAGGAGAAAGCTGAGTGCAAGATATCGCAACGAATCAATCCAGACAGTCGAAGACTGGATCTGACAACAGATTGCGCAGACGTCTCTGAGAACAAACGAAAGGGAACGAATGGCCGGGATACGAGCGATTTGTTGCAGGAGCCAGATAAGCTTTTAATCTCTGAACTGCGTGAGGTACGAAGAAGGATAGGACATGAGGAGCTCCACCAGAGTGGCGACTAGGAGACTCGATCACTCTGAAAAGCAACCCGTCCCTGTCAGAGAGCAATCGCGTGCCTGCCGGTAGTCATATAGGTCAGTTGTATACGGCGACAAAAGGATCTAACTTGGACCCATAACCAATCGAGGTTTGACCCCACAGTGCCTCGTTCGACTGACACGGCAAGCTAATAGGATCGATTGAGCCAGAGACGCCCGGAACTGCCAGGTCGACAATAATTAGGTCCTTGTAATAAGCAAAGCGGCATCCAAGTCAATGAGAAGGGAGCGAGTGGGGAGCTGCACGGGCATATTGGGGTACATGGCCATGGATGAACCCGGCTGCAAGAGGCAGCTAACCTCCCTCAGCAGGGCCGTCGCCAGCTCTCATGCGCTGATCACCACCCCAACCGCGGTTGTCAAGGCCAAAGAAAAGAGGAGTTGAAGGATTCAGTGATGCGTAGGGTTTTGGGCAGCAAGAAACCGGCCGGAGTCTGCAGGGAAGATGCATCCACTAAGTAAGAGACAGTCATAGCCAGGCATTTGACTCCATACAGGTCTATCCACCGGCATGTAGAGCGGGAGACTGCTTTTGTTTAGAGTTCCTGGGCACAGAACGAATGGCCCCGTTTTGTTGCTCTCTCTGCCTCGCCTGTGTGTTTTGTCGCCGGTATTGTTGCTCTTGCAAGGTATCCACTATCTTGAAATAGACTGAAGTGGGTGGCTGGATACTGACTGAGTCAGAAGAGAAGCAAAAAAGGGGCAGCAATCCAAAGGACTCATGATGGGGGGGGGTGGAGTACGAAGGAGTGACTGCAGACTTATTGAAGTTGACATGGAATTGATTGACAACTGCAGGCACGGGACAAGACCATCCGTTTCAGGCAAGGGCAGTGGATGCCTAGGTTTCCCCCATAGTATGGAGTCCCTCGCCCGGAACAGTGAAGCCATGATTACTTGTACCTCGAACTAATTGCATCAACCGAGCAATTAAAGCAAGCAAACCAACAAGCGCTGGCATGGAGAAATTAAGTTATTTTTCATCATGTTCTCCACTCACTATCCTCGGTGACAGTCTACTGGAAGTTATTCTATCGCTAGAGAATCACGGTTCAAGCAGCCTTGACTCGACCGAAGCCATTGAAGACCCAGCTTGAAGGTTGCTTGAACGGCTTCACCAAGTCGTATTGGAGAGGATCATGGCGCGCGCAGCCTTCTTGACAGTATTCCGGATGATAATCATCGACACACTTGAGATATACTGATGGGTGGGGCGGAAGCAGATATCAGTTGCTGCTCCATACTACCTCACGGGTGGCGGCCCAACAGTCAGATTTGAGTGTGGAGAGCTTACGGTTTTCAACCTGATTGACATTCACTCCCCTCGACAATGTTGGGCAGACACTTTGCTGCACGCCTGGTCGCCCAAGCCCAGAACGGATGTGTTGGCCCATTCTCCATTGGGTGTGGGGAATCTTCTTGCGGCTGCAATACTCATCTAGACCATTGGCGCACGGCAATAACTTCACTGGCTTATTGGCTATAAGATCATGCATTTCCGATCTTGAAAAGTAGAATGGAGCCATCTTATACTAATGGATTCCTTGACTGAACAGGTTGGTAGTGTCTCGGGTCATCATTGCCCGTTGACCAGGTGTGGGATTGAGGTTTGCAAGAGCAGGAGTTCCTCATCCGAACTGATGATCGGGAATCAAGGAAAAAAACGAGAAGGGAACGAATAAGCTCTTGTTATCGAAGGCGACCGGTGATCCGATCGATTGATCCAGGCGCAACTTGGAATGGTGAGACAATGCCGGAGTACGGGGTTTATGGTGTACATCATTGCGACCCAACGAGAAATCGCTAAGGCAACTTCCCGACAAAAGGGGCGAAACTGATTCGTGGATGTGCTTCTTCTCCCGGGCAAGGGAACTTGTCCTGCCATGATAAATCCATCCATGCTTTATGTCATTACTTGCACAACCCCCCAGTTTCACTGTCCTACATATGCCAGCCCTCGATGACTTATCCCGCAAAAACCACCCACCTCTGAGTGCTCGAGTTAGTTAGCAGCATATCAATTCTTGAGTTAACGCATTTGACCCGAGGCAAGAGTCACTGCTCAAATACGGGATCCAACACGAGATTCATGACTGAGTCATTGCCTTGACCTGTCGGCGATCGAGGCGAATATTCAACTGGCACCACAGTGATGAGTGACGAGTGGCAGCCTAACACTGTCATCCTGCGAAGTCTCCCCGGGATCACGTACTGACAACCAACTCCGAGAGGCTTGGCGGTCATATTGGCGAATATCGAGTGAGATTACTTTCCTTGATTCGAAATGCTGGGCAGCAAATCTCCATCTACCCGACATAGCAGCAGACCAGTGGCTGAGTCCATTGTGGTGTTAACAGCGTGCTACAGCCGGAGCGAAGAATCCAGAACAACACAGCCAGTCCCGACGGGGCTATGCGATGAACAGCTATCCATACGCCGGTATGTACCCAGTCATAAGACTGGAGGCGATCGTAGAAAAAGTTTCTTAAATTGTCACGACAAGCTATGTACAGATGAGTCCTTGTGGAGTTTCGGATTGAGCTAGCAGCAGAACCAGAAGAAGCTCTTCTTCATAAGGGAGCCGACCAGAATCTAACCACCGAGCTATGATGGTATGAAAAGACATCAGCAGACCGATTCTTGTCTGCTTCTCGTGTCTGAGGGATGCATCTAGCCATTTGGCAGTTGGCTGGGAGCCAAGAATCGACTCCCTCGAGCACAAGAAGGCAGGAATGCTGATTGCTACCAATTAGTCAAATCGCTGCATTACATGGTCTGGAGACATCCTAGAACAACTCAGCGGCCGTTTTGAAGCCGATAGCCGCCGTAAAGTGCATAGCCCTGATAGTCGGAGCTCGCAAGTCGCATGACTTTAGGTCAAAACCAGGGCAAGAGAATGAGCGGATTGAGTACCAAGCACCTTCCGATGCCCGCTGATCAGGAAGCGCTTCAGTCCAGACTTTGGTCGCCTGCAGTCAATGAACTGCGAGGCCAAACAGAAACCTAGGCTCCACGAAGCAGCAATATGAATGGTGCATAAAGGAAATGAGCTATGTTACTATACAAGGTATCCAACCAACAGTCGCAAATATAAAAACAAGAACATACACAGTATGCGAGGAGACACTGCGACTGGCCAAACTCCGGTTTAAATGCAAAGCCCAAGCAATTCTCAGACATGAAGTCCGCTCTTCTTCCGTAAGCTTATCGGACTCGGCACAAGACCAGACCGCCGCACTTTTTCTCCACACACTCTCTCGCCTCCATGATACCCTTGTCCGTCGAAAGGTACAAGCTCTCACCGGGCGACCGTAGCCCCTCGAGATAGGGGGTGTTATTACCCCGAACCACTTGCCGGAGAGTAGGAAGGTCCACGTAAACTCTCCGCTTAGGCGTGCTGACCATGGTCATCTTGCCCAGAACGGGCTCGCTGCGCCAGTACTTCATTCCGAGCCAGAGTCGTCTGGAGGCGACGTTGCTTTGGGTCACTGGTTCGATGTCCTGCGAGCTGGGGTGGCCAAGGAGATGGTGCGGTTCAGGAGGAGTCGGGCCTCCACGAACGACCGTGGAGAGGAATCCGTCATTTTGCAGAGCCAGGCATAGCTTCAGGTGTAGCTTGGTGTTGGGGATCGAGGCGAGTGAGAGGCGGGCCTTGGTGACATTGTTCAGGTGAGAGATAACGTGGCAAAGGTTGGCGAGCGACATCTTGAACCGGACAGTCGGAATCGGTGGACAAATAAATGTCCAATGGGATGAATATCAAACACGGTGCGCAAGGCAGGATAGGCCGCTGGCGAGGGGAGAAGGGTGAGCGACACAGCACAACCACAAGATGATGGCGCTTGAAATTTGAAGATCCGTACCTGCAAGAAGATCCACTGAGGTAATTGGGCTCTACTGCAGTCAGCAGGAGGTATGATCGTAAATCGCGTGCGGGCAGATAGAGTACCTCCGGACGATGCTGCGGGAAGCTCAGATGAAATTTTCGGAGAAACAAAAACACGGGCTCCGGGACGGATCTTGGTGCCTGAACTCTCAGGCATAAATATCATCATCTATAGGTCGATGGCGCAGCCAATCAAACATCACGTTCTGTAGCCGCCGGGCTTCTGCACGCTGCATCTCCTCACTTTGTCACCAGCCAGTCAATGGCCTTCCCTTCTACGGGGTGGTGCATGTATAAAATGTCGTCGCATTGCCTGGCCCTTTCCCCTATGGCTTTTTTATCTCTCACTTCCTTCCCGTATGCCTCAGTGGCGCATTCCCACCTGTTAACATTCGCATCAACAATAATCGCCGACTATGCCGCCGCTGCCGGGTGAGGAGCGAGTGCTGACTGTGTACGTTCTTGCAATGCTTCCTACCCCGCTCGACCAGGCTGACTGTCCTCCTGTAGCTTCGCCGACATCCATTACTATTTCACAGCACCAAGTCCAAGGCCTCGTCGTCACCGGTTCGACAAAGGCTCTTATCTATATCTCTACCAGAATGCCGGCCAGCGCAAGATCAGAATCGAAGTCGCGAACAATCCTGGGACTCCGGAACAGGATGCTTTCAATGGAGGTTAGCCGACGTTTCTATTCTCCGCGCTCTGCTTAGAGTACTGACCGGACGGTAGCTTTGGACAAGATCCATGTGCGACATTCAGCGCAATTCTCGAACCTGTGCACAATAACGGTGGACGGACAGTCGCAAAGTTCAGCGCACAATGTGCCTGCTTTTCCTCCCCCACCAGGTGCCGCAGCGGAATGGGAGCTAGCCGAGGATGAATCACAGAGCATGATGCGCCTCCATACTCTGGACATCTACTTCTGGACCGTGGACGATGCCAACCAGTTTCTCGATATCCTCGAGCGAGACCTGCCTGCAGCGCAGATAGAATCTGACCGGCATCCATATCTCCCACCGCCTCCAAGTACCGTCAGCTCGGTGGTTCAGCAGCTGGAGACAGTGGCTATTACCGACCCCGCATATCAGAACGGACAGACGCGCAACTCCCAAGCAGAAGTAGTCGCCAACCCCGCAACCAATTACCAAGCCATTGATCCATCCAGCGCCCTGCCACCTCCGCCTCCCTTGGCCGCTGCTCCGCCTCACCCGGGCCTTCAGTCTGTGTCAAGTGAGCAGCCACCAGCGGACTCTGTTATCCCTCAGTCTGCTCCTCTGCCGTACAACCCCGCCGCGCCAGCTGCCCCGGAACCCATCAAGCACCGTGAGAAGACCCCTCCTCCGGAAGACTACGCCACTGGCACCGGCCTCGCCGCCGCCGCCACAGCACCCGATCAAGAATTCCCATTTCCCTCTTCTGCGGCCCCAGTGTCACCGGGACTGTCGTCTCTGATCTCCTCCCCCGCCTCACCAGCACCACCATCCATGCCAGGAACCTACGCTTCCCCACCCCCAAGCACAGGCCTGAGCTTCTCTCCCTCGGTGACGCGGTCAGCCTCTATCTCCAGTCCGCCGGGAGTCCCGTCGTATCCACCTTCCTTCCTCTCCGGCGAGACCCCAGGATACCAGCAGCACCAGCAGCAGCACCAGCCGCGCAGCTCCCTAAGCAGCACAGGATCCAACTCCCTTACCGGTCCACCGCAAGCAACAACCATGACGTTCGCACCCCCACCCACCGAAGCACCCACAGCAGCAGCACCAGCAGCAACAACAACAACAATCATGACATTCGCCCCTCCACCTACGGAGACCGTCCCACCCACTCCCTTACAAACCCAGCCCCAGCCCCCGTATACACATCCGTACGGGCAATACCAAACCCAACCCGCACACACCACCCCACCACCCCCCATCCACCCGGCCGTAGCCATCGCCGGCTACTCCAACTACTCATACGAACAACAACCACCAGGCTCTAGCCCGAACCCACCGGCCGGATACGACATTCACCGACAGATGTACCGACCCACGGAGGCGGAGGCCAATTCGCGCCATCAGAAGTATGCCAAGGAGGCAATGAAGAACCCCGGGGACCGGCCGCAGACATTTGTGAAGAGCGCGTACCGAGTGGAGAATAGTGTGAATCGGTTTTTGAAGAAGTTGGAGAAGAGGTTATAGCTGCTGCTGCTGCTGCTGTTTCTCTGCACAAGGTATTTCTTTGTGGGGGGGAAGTGTATGTATCTGCTTTGCCGCTATCATATGAGGTTGGACGGTAATAATCCTTAGCCATCATTTCATCAATGGAGTTTTCAGGTTCCAAGTTGTCAGGACCTATTTCATTACGACTGAGCCCCTTGTAGTCAGGCATACCGACAGGTACGGTCCTCGGCATCATGTATTCTCCACACCGGCTCACGCACAGATCATAGATGAGCCACATCATATATACAGTGGCATTTCAGAATTGACACCTGAACCAAATACCCACCGCTGTCATCACAGTGCCTTCTTCCCCCCATCTCCCATCTCCTAATGAAACAACAAACTTTTAGTAAATTGATTGAGTGATCAACCAGCCAAGAATCCGATCAATCCCTCTTCAACCCCACCCTCCCCGTCTTCCTCAACCCCACAAACCCGACGACCGTACAAACCAACATAAACGCAAACATAGTCCAAAAGCTCGCGCGATACCCCTCCATCAGCGCGTGCTTGTCCTCCCCCTTCTGCGCGGAATTCTCCGCGGCGACGACAGTGGAGATCACCTGCAACACCGCCATGCCCAAGGCACTCCCGAACTGGGCCGAGGTGTTGAAGACGGCGCCGGCCAGCGCCTGCGTCGTGTCCGGGAAGCTGTCGGTGATGATGATCAGGCCCACGGTGTACAGGGCGTCGAAGCTGATGGGCTGCAGTAGCTGGGCGATGAAGGCGTTGGCCCAGTAGGGCCAGGCGGGCTGGATGACCGCCATGAGCAAGGGGGAACCGGCGCAGAGGATGGAGGTGATGGTGACGATCCAGAAGGCGGGGACGCGGTGGACGAAGACGCCAATGACAAAGTTCATGAGGACGCCGATAATGAGGCTGGGGAGGATGCGGATGGAGGCTTGCAGGGCGGAGAGGGATTGGATTTCTTGGAAGCTGTTTGGGTTCCGGAAAGAGGGGTGGGTTCGTTAGTTACCCTGAGGCAAATAGGGAAGAAAAGAGGGGCACTGGCGCAAACGTACTATAGACTCGCAAAGAGTTCCATCGAGTTGATCACCGCGTTGGACACGGCGATGGTCACACTGATACTACTGAATGACTTGTTGCGCCAGAGTGAGTTGGGAATGAGCGCGGGTTTGCCTCGCTGCACCCGGTGGTGCATCCACCCGACAAACGCTGGAAGGGCAACGGCCGCAACGCACAGAATCACGATGGCTTCGGCGGAGCGGATGCGAGATGGATCTGCGCTCAGGATGCTATGGTTATGGTTAGCTGTTGTCGTGAACGGAGATACCGTCGAAGAGTCCGCGGGGCGGGACGGGCTTACGCTAGCAGATAGCACACCAACGCCATAAAGGCCGAGGCCAGTCCCGCGCCAACCCAGTCAATCTGCGTCTTGATATTGTGCATCAGGTCGGCATGCCGATGCGTCTCGCTCTGCGGCACAGCCCACAGGCCGACGACTGCAAAGAACAAGGTGATTCCACCGGCCATGTACCAGCCGGCGCGCCAGCCGATGGTGTCCACGAGTACACCCCCAATCACCAGACCCAGAGAAAAGCCCAGGGGCTGGCTGAGTCCGAGACAGGAGAAGGCGAGGTTGCGGCCCTGGCCGGGCGGCAGGAGCTGGGTAATGATGGAGATGGACGAGGCCAGATGGAACGCCAGCCCGACGCCCTGCAGGGCGCGCAGCACCACCAGCTCGTCCCCGTTGCGCGACAACCCCTGTCCGATCATGAGCAGGCCGCTAGCGAACGAGCCAACAAGCTCAACCCATCGCGGGCCGATGGCATCGGCGATGGATCCCGCCAATAGCAGCGTCGAAGCGGTGGCTAGACTGCTCACGGACGAGGGCCAGAAGGAGAGTGAGGATGGCAGCTGGAGATCCTTGGTGATAGTCGGCAGACCGACCACGACGAGCCCATTGATCACGCTGGCGGTCAGCGTGACGGCCGACAGCTGGGCTATCACTACCGACTGTTGGAAGCGGAACTTGCGCGCTGCGGGCGACAGTGTGCTGTCGTTCTCGGAGGAAGGTATGATATCACTGCCTTCCAGCACTAGCGACTGTGCTGGAGTGGTCGTGGTAAGGGTAGTAGTGGTTCCCATCCTTGTGTGTCGCCCACAAAGGTTAGTTGCTCGTTGCTACCACGTTCTGTGCAGGGTGTGCAGGGTGTGCAACAGACAGAGTGTGGAACAAGTAGATTTTTTGACTCTGGGGAAGCGAGGCGGACTGGTGGAGTCCAAACACTTGATCCACTCCCTCAGGCTCACGGATCAAAAAACGACCAAGTGTCTCATGAGCGGGGAGCGTGTGAAAAGAACAGATTCCGATGCAGAAGCAAAGACTCCCTGAACCCCAGTGAAATGCTCTCAAACTCACAGACGATGGCATGAACAAATTTCTTGCTGCTGACCCACAGGGGCCCATCTTCCAAAGCCAGAACCATGATTTCTGGCTCTCGGCTCGGGCTTCCTCCGGCTCTGTATTAGCCGAGCAAAGTAGTCGGCAAATGAGTAGCAGATCATATTTGTGTCGTATACTTCGTTGTACCTTGTTCGCCTTGTTCGAACTGGCGGAAGAAGAAGAGTTCGTGATGAGATGCTGACTTGTCGGGCACAAATCAGTCAACATTTTTAACCCCGGACCAATTCGGCGCTAAGCCCTATATCGATCTTATCTTGCATGGCCCCTCAATTGCATTGAACGGAGATTTTTCAAAACAAACAGACAAGTACAGGTCCCTACAGTCCAGATTTATTACATCAGCCTGGGCCTTTCTACGGTCCAATATCAAACCAGATACGCAGCACAAACAGAATCAAAATCCTATCTGAAACCCCAGTACATATGCAACACGCAGTACTCCGTACACAGCGCTAACTATCAAGATCGACGAATCCCGAAACAACTCCACCGGACAATGCACGACTTGCTACCATCGGCGGTCTTGCTCCTCGGAGAGAACAAGTAGCTTGCTAGAAACGAAAGAAGAGAAGCAAAAATGAGGAACGGGAAGCAGGCAGTGGACTAGCAAAAAGAGGCATGTGGGAACAAGCACAGGTACCTGGTCACATCACAATTACCAAGGGTATAAGAAAGATATGTAACGAGAAACGAAGAGTATCTAAGATTGTTTTTATTCGAGCCCGAGTGCAGCTAGCAGTCATGTTGCTGACGGTCCGACTCTCCGGTCCGCCTCAGTTGAGAGCAAGCTTATCCATATCAAGGTCGACCTCGTCGGAAGCCTTCATGGGTGTCTGTTCAGAGGTCTCAGTGGCAGGATCCGCATGACCTTCAACAGGTGCAACCTTCTCAGCCGAAGTCTCCGGCTCAGGAGCATCATTTGCGGGCGGCTCAGCGACCGAAACGGCGTCATCTTCGGAAACGGAAGGGAGAGATTCAACAACGTGCTCCTGAATGGGAGCCGGCTGCTCGGTGGTCTCGACGCCATTGGAGATGACGGCACTCTCAGCTGGGGCTTCCGTCACAGGGGCAGCAACCTCTTCCACCACTAGCGGCTTAGGCTCCTCGTCAACCGCCAATGTCTGGATAGGAGTCTCCTCGGATACGTTGGCCTCGGGCTCTGCAAGCTGCGCCTGAAGGGCCGCATGCGACTTCGCTGTTTCCTCCGTGGAAGTATCTTGCTCGGGCTTGGGCTTAGGCTTCTGCGGCTCGGCGGAGGCTCCATGCTGCTTGCCATGATCAGGCTTGGTCAGGCGTGGTGGACGACTTTCCAGCTTGGAAGGAACCCGCCGCGGAGCTTGAACTGTTTTGGCCGGGCGTGGAGGACTCTTGATCTCCACCTTGTCATGCGACTTGCTGGCAGAACTTGCTGTCGGACGCATCATTCTTGCCAAGAAGCCCTCATCCACTGGCTTAGAGCTGGTGGTGCTCGTTCGTGAGTGTGGTCTCTCAGGAGGGGAGGCGCGAGGGGCTTGCTTGCGCAGACTGGCCGCAGTCGGAGTGATGGCGCGACGCTGCGTGGTGGTGCTTGCATTCTTCAGTGAAGAGGGCTTGCGCGATAGGGGAGCAGCAGGCGTGGCTGCGGGCGCCTTCTTGGCCGCCGCCGTTGCGGTCGACGTGGGGGCCGAAGGGCGAGTTGACGTAGACACCTGTCGAGTGGTGCGAGAAGCACTCGAGGCCGTCGGCTTAGTCAAGTCTCTTGCTGACGCAGAAGGACGCACGGTTCGGGTGGCAGGCTTAGTCGGGGGGTTCAAAGATGCCCGGCTTGACTTATGAGTTGCAGTCTTAGCTGGCTCGAGCGAAGTAGGCTTCGCGTTGGAAGATGGTCTGGACGTGCGGATAGTTCTGGTCGTATGGTCGGCAGGCTTGGCTGGGGAGGTTGGCGTACGAGGATGGGCAGGCGACTTCGCAGCAGGCTTCGCAGGAGCCGCCCTTTTGGCTACCTGAATCGCAGCTGGGCGCGGGGCTGCGGGTTTCTTTGGCGATGGGGTGTTTGATACGGCTGCAGTGGGCTCGGTAGTATCATCGGCAGGAGTGTTCTCTTTATCCTCCGAGGGCTTGGCTTCCTCCACAACAGGCGTAGCAACTTTTTCCACGGTGGGCTTTGGTGCTATCTCAGACTCTGTCGCTGACGGAGCAGAGGTTCTCCACGAGAACCCGTTTCCCGTAGGAGATAGCGGGCTCTTCAATCCACCTTCCATGTCGTCCGAGTGAAAGCTCCTCACTCGAGTCGGGCCGGCCGGGCTGTCGCTGCGCACACTGACACTGCGCAGACCCGCAAGGGGATTGGGCTGGGTGGCCCCGTCGACAGCAACGAAGCTCGCACGGACTTTGGACAGAGGCCTCACCGAACCCGAGTTATCAGAGCCAGCGGGTGACCGGCCTCGCGATGGTGGTGAGGGAGCACTGGTCTGGTTGTTTTCGAACTTAGCAAGCAGGCTCCGCACGCCTGGATGACCGCCGGTGTCATTCATGATGATTGCTGGTCGGTAATAAAAGAAGTGCGGGCGCGAGATGTCAGGAGACAACTGGAGTGTGCGGATCGTCCCGACCGGGCGGATGCCAGGGGATCGACGGAGGGAGCGGAGTTGACGGGGGGAGGAGACGAAAAGGGAGGCAGGCAAGGGCGTAGATAATAGTAGAGACGATCAATGGCAGAAGGATAGCAGTGAAGCTACAAAGGAGGAAGTTCGAACGCGCTCCAGGAGAGAGCGTGTGACGTGATATAAACAGAGGCCAACAACAACAACAACAAACCAAACGGGAGGGAGACGTGGTTCGGGTTTGTGGTGGTGGGGGGGGGGTTTCCCAAAGCTAGTGAGACAGGTCAGAGATGGGAGGAAATAGAACCATGGTGGTGAGCATGGAGGAATGCCAATGATCCAAGCAGGGGGGCTTGCGATGTTCTCAGCAACAACCACACCCAGGTAAGAATAAGAGAAATGTGAAGAGAGACGACGAAGGAGGGAAAGAGGAAGAAGAGGAAGAAGAGGAAGAAGAGAGCAGCAACAACAGCAAGAGCCGTAGAAGAAAGAGGAGCAGGAGGAGAAAGGAAGGGAAGCAAAAGGCGAGAACGGGTCGAAAAGTGGAGTAAGAAAAGTGGCGGCAGCCTCAGGCACGCGGTTTTCAGGGGTCGGATCCGCGGCTTCACATTGATTGAAACAAGAAACGAAAGAACAGTAAAGAACAACTATACATTTTAACATACAGTCATAGTTCATTTCCAATTATCCATCCCTCTCTTCCTTCTTTTCTCCTTCTTATCCTCGCTGGAGATGAGACTATTGCAATAAATAGTCTCATGCACTATTGGTCTCCCTCACGGAGTAAAGCGGTGGTCAACTTTCTCTCTCGATCCTTTTCACCCTTGGCGCCCTTGAACAAATGATGACGCTATTGCCAACAGCTTTCTCATCTCCCTCTCCCCTCGAAGGTCATTGCTGACGCAGATCGAAGCCGCATGAAACGGCCCTCTGGGGACTATGAAACGGTCAACTCAGTGCTTGGAACCTGTTCTTTTCCACCCGAATTCAACCTGCTTCAGCCAGAAACAGACCTAACTTAACCCATTGTCGCATAAATCCGCCCCTCTCCCCTCCTCCCCGGATGGAAACTCTCGATTCAGACGCGCGCTATTCTCTCTTCTGTATCTGTATACTACTACTACTAGTGGCCGAGCTCCCTGCAATCTCCTGCAGTGCGCCGACGTCTCCCCACACCCCTAAAGGCCAGCTTGCAGCTCCCTCGAGCGAATTAGAAGCCATGGTCCATCACCACTGTCTGAAAGGCACACACACATACGCACATGCGACACTGCATGCATCGCTTCCCAGCACTTGCAGACAGACACCCTTCCCCCCGGGCCAGCATGGCCCTTAGCTTTCCTTAGTAATGAACACAGGGTGGTCAGGAGACATGTGCCATCCCCTCCAAGCGGTCCGCAATAACGCTTATGTATGTATGGCATTGTTGGCACTGACAGTCGGGGGGTCATATTGGTTCAGTGCTTCCCACATGACAATTGCATGTTGTGGTGGCTCTGCTTTGGTACCTGGCCATCGTGTCCCTGCATTAGAGAACAAAAAATTGAAAAAAAAAAGGGTCGCAGGATTGGAACCAAACGATGGAGACGATCGTAATACCATTGACACCGGACTGTGCTTTAGTGCTTTTCTAGAAATATTCGTCGAAGGATTCTGCTGGCTTTTAGTGCTTGCTCTAATGAAGGATTCTGACCAACCCCCCGGTCGCCCAGAGATGACAGGTGACACTCAACACCTCCTTTTCTGTGTTGCTCTGCGAGTGACTGTCCAGGGAGATATTGCGCTGGTTTGCGTGGCCGTGCACAAGATGTTTTACTGACTTAGTCTTGCAATTGCTTCGATCATGACTTGGACGTTTCACACAAAGTCAACATACAAAAGTATTCATACACACAGTACTCCGTACTCGTACTCAAAGCAAGACACAACAATCGTTTGCCGGGCCAACCCTTCCGCCCCCACGCGGGATCAACCTTATCCAAGGCATGAAGTTGAAATGAACAGCATCATCTTCTGTTCATCATCTAAATCTGGTAGGTCGTAGGGTATGTATAATCAACTTGATGTCTACTCATGATAGTGATCTGGTATCATAAGCAGGATGATGAGATGATGCGCCTCGTAACAATAATTTCAAATTTATAGTTTGAATCATCATAAATCAGGTCCAACCAGCAATGCGCAAAACAAGATCAAGTAAAACAGGTATCATCTATAAATGCACTCCGACAGTCATTTCATTCAGGTAAAAAGCCCCAATTTTTAGGTTAGAACAGCCTTGTAAGCACCAAATGCTTATAGGTCAGCCGGGTCCGAAGGCAGCAACACCTGCATATCCGCGACCCCATCAACAACCCCATCAGGCTCGTCCGTGAGAATGCCAATCCCGCTGTCCAGGCGCTTACGGTGTTTACCCCGGCCGACCTCGACATCGACATATTTGGTAATGCTGACTGGGGTGATAGGCTCGCTGCCCAGAGTTGTACTCTCCGAATGCAGCTCGTCGGACTGAAGCTCCCAATTGGCGGCGCGGACCTTAGCCTTGCGACGTTCGTTGCTGACCGTATCTTTCATGAAGGTGAATGCACGCGCTTGCTCCGCAGCCCATGTCTCCAGGAGGTTGTCTCTGGCCTCCATCTCGAGCTGCAGCTGGTGCTCCAAGCCCACGTTGCTCTGCCGCAAACGATCGATCTCTGACTTGGCCTCTGCAAGGGAGGTGTTGAGCTCTGCCACGACGACGTTGAGGGATCCGACTTCCTTGTCGCATCGCTGAAGTTGCTCCGCTGCTTCCTGCTTGAGATCCTCAATTGCCTTCTGACGCGCCGATTCCAACTCTTCCACTTTGGCAGTCAATTCGCACGATCGCGTGCGATTCTGTTCGACGGTGCCTTCTAACGCCCGAATGCGCGCCTGACACTCTGCAACCTTGGTCTCGGCGGCACAACGGGCGCTTTCTTGCTCCGTGACCTGTGACTGAAGCTTGGACACCTGCTGACTGTGGATCTCACTGTTCCTGGCTTTATCTGACTCCAGTTCGGTGACCAGTGTTTCTAGTCCCTTGATCTCCTCGCGATACCTTCCAAGTGCAGTATTGAGGCGATCAATGCCCACAGCTTGTTTCTCGCCTTCCTTCTCTAGTTCGCGCATCCGCATCCGTGTATGAAGCATGTCACTGGCAGAGCTGGCAATAGACTCTTCCAGGTCAGTAATCTTCTTGCTCGCGTCTTCATAACGAGCCAGGAGGATGTCGAATTGGCCACGGAGGACCCTTTCGCGATCACCCGATCCTGACGCTCTTGCTTGCTCATCTCCTAGGTCCCTTATCAGCACCTCAACACGTTTGACCAGCGCACTTAGAGTAGCACAGCCGTCATTGAGACCGATATTCGGTGTCTCTCCCGGTAATGCTCGTTCGAGACGCAAGCGCGCAGAACGAAATTGGTCGCGCATCTCAGAGACGATCTCTTCAGTGTGTCCTCCTGGAAACCCCAGACCCGACAATTCTTCCTTGATGGAATTCAAGGATTCCGTGGCATCCGAAGCTCGACCCAGTGTCTGATTCAGACTGGGTATCAGATGGTCTACGAAGTCTGGTGGTGGGGAGGCTCGATGGAGATGAGGCTCAAGGGCTGTCCCACTGAAGGACCCAATGCGAAATCGACAAGCTTCAAAAAGAGCCCGTTTTTCTCTTCGGGCGGCTTCTAGGTCTGCATATAGGCCACTCATCTCTGCATCTGAGTCATGGCCAGCAAGGGAAACTTGGGTATCCGCATCGGCATTCGGACTCCCACTTCGCAAAAGCCTATAGTCATGGGAACTAAAACATTGGCTCTTTCCCTTCAAGGATCTCGGATCTGGGGAGGTCGACATGAGCATTGTTTCGTCGCCGAGTGCGCTTTCATTGATGATGATTGTGTCGCTCTCTGTGTTAGCCACGCTGACGGTGTCTACCTGATCATCTCTGGCAAAGCATAGTTCATTTCTCAAACGACGATCCTCAGACTCCAGATGCTCGGCTAGTGAATGAGGGAGGGCGCGTGCTCGTTCGTCAAGCGACTCGAGCGAGGCAGCCTCTGAGCTGCCCTCGGTTCGTTTGGCTGATTCTAACTCCTGTTTCAACAAGTCACGTTCTCGGAGCAATGACTGCACGGTCCGCTCAAATCGTGCAACGTCCCTCTTCTCACGCTCCAACTGGTTGATCTCATCGCTCAACCCTACTCGCCGGATTCTCCGTTGAGTCCGCGAGTCCAGGAGTTGTCGAAGTGGCGTAAATTGAACGACCACTTCCGACTTTGCTGATTGTGAGGCTGCCGGTGAGCTCGATTGAGAGCGGGCTCGCGGGAGTGGGGTCGAACGGCGTCGTGCGCGGCGACTCGGGGAGCTATTCAACGGATCTATATCTGCTCGTTCTTCGAAAGAGGTGCGTAGCATGGCGGGGGTGAGCCCAGTCCCATAGTCTGAGCCATTGTGCAGCTGGGGGCCTGGATCGGAGAAGCGGACCTTTTTCCGAGACTGTCGCGGGGTCTTGGAGCCATTACTAGTTTGACGAGTCGCTCGATGACAGGCTGAGAGTTGAGGCTCTGGACCGGAAACAGAACCGACCCGGCGTTTGCGCCCGGACTGCTGTCTTGTCTCCACGACCATTGCGTACTTATTGGGCTGGAGGGGGGAAGGGGTTTATGCGCTCAAGGTTGTACAGTCAACAGTAAAGAAAATCAGAATGAGAGTCCAGTCCCGAAATTCCAACACATGGAAGTTTTGATAGTTTATACCACTTAGCAACGAAGGCAACAGAGCGCGACAAAGTATGGAATCGCAGGCAACAGGGGGGAGTATATTTTGATATGGTTTTACCCCATCAGGTAAGGGGTGGATCGTGCCTAAGTTCAGTTCCTTACGCGTGATTCCTGATTGGGAATTCGTAAACAACGGCCCCTCGGAGGTGCCTTGCGCCTCAGGTATCAGTAATCAGTTTGATCAGGTGACTGTCCCCGTGGCTGGCGATTGAGGCCGGCAATTTTGGCCGAGGGATGTGGAGTCCTTCATAATTGTAGTTAACTAGGTAAGTAGTTAACTTAATGACAGCGATTCTGTGTCATCAGCTGGACGGCTGTTCAATTGGTGGATAATAGGTCGGGCACTTATCAAGAAGACATGGCTGCTGCTGCTGCTGCTATCTTATCGCCCGCACAGCATGCAGTCAGCAAAAGAACTGGGCTCTGCACTGGGATTAATCGATCAATCATTGCTATGTTTGTTCCCATTGATGAAAGTCACTGCAGACTCTGACTCAAAGACAATTGCGCGAGCTCCCCTTACATGGCTCCGAGACAACTGTCGTGGTAACAGCGTTGCACGGTCTCTGCTGCGTGGGTGATGAGGTGATGCGGGCCTACTGCGGGTGATGTCATGCGATCTGGCCCTCTTCCCCTCGCCAGTCGGACGTAGCAACATCGCATCGTCCGAGACTAACCTGAACATGCAGCCGATCGTCTTTGTCTACTAGATATCTTTTCCCAGAACCCAACTCCCTCTGCCAACCACACAATACTAATCATTTGGGCGCCTTACCACAAGCTCCGTTCACTCTCCATTGCCCTCCTGTTTGCCCCCTTCCCGCCCGAGCCACTACTGCGATGGCCACTGCGTCTGCAGATTGGTACTCGAGGCAGATTGCCTTCGGTGAACCACCACAGAGCTCGACACATCAGAAAAACGGCCTCCAGTCGTCGATCGCCGACCTTACCTCCGAAGCCGAAGATATCATTATGGAAGGCTCCATTTTGACGCTGCCGCCTGAACTTGTCCAGCAGATTTTGTCTTATCTTTCAGCGCAAGAGCTGGCTCGTGTAGCCGTCACATGTCGCTCTCTCGCTGAGCACGTCGACAACGAGCTGCTGTGGTTAAATCTGATCAACTCTTATTTACCCGAGCCGATCCATGACCCTGGTCTGTTCGACTCCTTTCGTAGCCTCTACATTGCCCACCATCCCTGTTGGTTTATTCCGAAGCATAAAATCTGGTTCTCCGACACCGAGCATACGGGAAATCTGATTCTGGCGCGCTATGATCATCGGCGAGGAGTCATCGAGGCATACCGGGTGATCGCAGAGCGCCGCTCTCACCAGTTCCAAATATGGGACTGGAACCCAGACGTGATCATCCAGAGCTTCGATCCCAGGGTAAGTCTATGGTTGGACGACCCCGTCCTTCTCCTGAAAACCCAGCGCGAGGGGCGGCCACACTATCTGCACGGCGAGATTCGCATGCCGATGCCTCTGGAGATGCAGCATGTCTTCAATGCATTCTCACCCTGCTCCAAATATCTGCCGCCAAACCTCGATGCCAGTAAACAGTGGCCACCACCGACGATTCCAAGTACTCACCGAGTCTATCGCGACGTGGAACTGCAGTTACCGGACTGGGAGCGTAACCCTCGACGGCTGGAGGAGATGTCCGAGTACGGGTTCCGGATCCGGAGATGGGCGCATTTCCGGCTAGGGATTCCTATATTCACGGCAGGGCGCAACGAGACCCTCTCGACCTTCGCCACGCTTGACCCCGAAGTGTATACGCCGACTGAGCGCAAACCCTATCAAGGCATTTGGGTCGGCGATTATTCAGCCCATGGGTGCGAGTTTCTGCTCATCCTCCAACGCGACCGCCGGAATGAATCGCCTAGCGCGGCCCAGCCGTCTGATGGCGACGAGCCGACGCTGCAGGGCAGCCTAGAGGCTGTCAAATTAACAGGTGATCCTAATGTACCCCGTGGGGAGATCTCGTTCGCAGCGGACGAAATCGGGCCTGAAGGCCTGGTGCGTATCGCCGACGAAGGCCTTTTCCAAGGGGCAAGGATTGTGCGCAGCCGAGGCCATGTGGCGGGCCTCGGCTTCCGTGATGGTAAGTACACCATTGACTCTCAACTGAGGTTGAATGACCTACTAACCGGATGTCAAGACACGTTTATCTCCTCCCAGCTGATCCTACTTTCAACAGACTGTGTGGCTCATTATTGGGAAACGATGGGCCATATTTCTTACTACCGCCGACTCGATATAGATGCCCTCCTACAAACGTGAAGCAATCCTTACTTTTACCGTGTGAGCGAATCATGTCATATATCTACTCCGCTCCAATTTCATGGTCGACGGACCTTCAAACTGCATCCCTCTGGTGGTATGAATATTCAAGTACGTTATCCTTTGAGGTAACGGAAAAAAGCCAGAGCCGGGCAGCATGACGCAGTATGTACCCTCGCGCTGGCAGAAAGATTCTGGCTTTCACGAGGCAAGACATGAAGCACGTCAGACGCGACGCAACCGCTACAGCACACTGGGTGACCCAACCACAAGACGGAAGATGGCTGTAGCCAAGATACAAGTCAATGGTTGGTAGAATGAGCAGAGATGACGGGATGCTTCTTTGCTGTTGACTTGGTTATATGTACATTGGTGGCGAGGAGCATTGGGCCGGGGCGCTGGTGTCAAGACACGAGCGAAGAAACGACACAAGGTATACAGATATTGAAGGACATTCCCAACGCCATGATCTGTTGATGAAACAATAGCCGAGACTGTGACAGGATTGCGCGGACCATCGATTATGTGAAACCGACTAGAGCGAATGGAGGATCATCCAGTTGTGATGGGGAGGGGGGAAGATCTGCCAGTCATCACCGAAACAGGCTCGTAGAAGGGCGCTACACGATTCTAGCATCGTAGCCTCACTCTCACCGAGCCAGGCACATCATCTACGTCGGGACAGGAGGAAAGGAAGGAGGCCGACTCATCGGCCGATGACGACGCGCATCTACCGTCTCCGCTCGAACCAGCTGGTCGACCCCAGGACCGCAACGGACTGGTCCATCACCCACTCACCCACACCAAGGTACTTGTCGATCCACTGTTTGAAATCCTTGTTATCGGTGATCTTGTCGGTTTCGAGACTGGGGCTGTGAAGGACCCCCACGCACAACCCGGGACGGGGGCAGGCGTGAGGAGCAGGAGTTAGCGTTTTGATGTTGTATAAGGCAAGAGTAACCATAGCTCATCGTGATCTCTTTTGTCCTGCAGTGCGCAAGCCGTCTTTGGGGGATAGGCAGGGAGAGTTATTACGTTAATCCAGTCGAGCGCTTGATACCGGCCAGGAAGGCGGAGACTGAAGAGCGAGATCGGCATGTTAGCGATATCCCCCGGGGTAGTAACAAACAAACAAAAACACGGGCGATTTGAGGAGAGTTAAACATACTGAGTACCGCATCGAAAGCGTAGTGACTGAGACGTCCCAACTAAGCCGTTTAACACATTCCAAGAATCAGTATTTCGAGTTCTCTCGGTTCGGTTTCCCCCGCTTGCAAGTGCAAGGCGCAGAAAGACAAAAACACACCATCTTGACTATAAGTTTCTGCGAGGTATGGGTAGGAACAATAGTGATATAAGATCCGAAGTCTCACGTCGACCACACGATATGAGAAGATCCGAAGAGAAGACGCGCGAAGGGGGGAAGGGGCCGTTCTTCGTCAGACGTTTTCGAAACACCCTGCTCTGCTCTAATCTGCGCTGTCAGCTAACTAACCCTCGCTCGAACGAGGGGGAAGTTCCCACTCACGTCTATGAACTTGAAGTTGTGGCAAAGCGCAGCGCTGCCAGTGGGATAGCTTATCAGTTGATGTTGTGCGGAGCGGAGAAGGAACGAGGAGGACGGGGAGGCAGGCGGTGGTGGTGATGATCAACTGATGGTGGCAGATGAGGAGAATAGGACGGACGGGTTCACGTGCTTTGACGGCACATGACGTGGGCAAAAGTGATTCACCACAACCCACAGCAGCAACTGAGCGGCGGGTTGCCGGGAAGAGAAAGGCGGTGGGGATGCGGGCGTTGCCTGGAGCAGCTGGTGGTTCGGGTGTCGTGTGGCGCATATGCTGGGTGGCTGGCTTATTTGCTAGGAGGGGGAAGGAGGGGTTGTTGTGGCTGTGTGTTGCGCTGTCCGTTTGCGGAGGGTGAGGGGTGAGGGGAGGAACTAGGAGTATTGTTGTTGATTCATGGTACAGTACAAGGCTCTATACGTCTGCGTCAAATATTAGTGAGAAGATGAAAAGGGGACTGCTAATGGTATTGTCGTCTTCAATGGAATTTGTTATATGGGTTTCAGGTTGCTGTTTGCGTATTTGTGTAGATGCGTAGACAGGGGGTACGTTCGGTACTGAAATATAATGTGGTGTCCCTGATGAGAGTTTCAAGGAGGATGGGGACAAATGCACGGATGCTTTTATCCAATAGAAGCCGAAGGTATAAGCTCACTTTGAGGAGGGCTAGTATGTTGACTGCTATGGTAGTAGATATGGGGTCTGCCAGTCTTGACCAGAGACAGCAGACGAACACCAAATGCAACACACAAGCCAAGGTTCACACTTCAACGTCGAACAAGATACCCACCTGAGAAGAACCACACATGCCCGAGTCCTGCTTCAACAAACATAACCAACTAACTAACATCTATGGCATAAGTCATGTTTGAATCAGAGTAATTGCCGTGGGTGCCGGGCAGAGAAACCCCGCGCAACCGGAGTTGACGGAGAAACCCAAGTGCTGCCTGGTCTCTGAGGCAACCAGAGGAAGCGAGCTCGCTCGACCCAAAGTTTCACCGGGAGTCCCGAGTCGGCAACCGATTGCCTGGGCTCTCTATCGAGACATCGGAGATGGCTGGTTGGCGAGTTTGACTTGAGCCAATCAGAGATAAGAAGAAGAAGAAGGAACCCTGAAATTTAGGACACTGATTGAAATGATACTGTGATTCTTGTATTCGAGTTTCCGGACTTCTGTGGTAAATGAAGAGTAAGGCAATCATGCTCGGATGTACGTGGTTAGCTTGCGCAGAAGGAGAGTCTCCCCTCTTCGTCACAGTGACTGAAGGTGTGACGGAGGTCTCCGATCATCGAGTTCCCGGAAGAATTGTTGCACACACAGGAACCCAGAGATTTGCTGGCAAGGTTCAGCATGCCTCCAGACATGACCATGTTTGAAAATCGCACTGGCACTAACTACTCTGCAGTACTACTACCGTTCAGCCCTATGGCCCGCTCCCAGCAAAAGGATGGGATATTCGTCCTGTGCGGCACCTGATTGATCGAGGGACGTTCATGGTGGGGATTGAGTCTCCTCCAGTGGTTTTGTCATGTGGCCCATGATCCATCGGGACATGTCGATTGAGTCTGGGTGGTCTGACTGAGTATAATTGATGGAGACCTACTGACTGATAGTACGGTGTAAACTTGGGAAGACAGATCTCTCAACCGAATTGGGAGAGCTGCGACAGAGGTGTGCCTGAGGGTTCCGCTCCGGTTGGCGGCGCTACAACACCGTGTTACAGTATGCAAAGTGTAGATAGAGACTTAGATAGAGTTGCCATGCACAACAAACCCATTAATAATAGCAATTGAAAACGAAGGGTAACTTCCTACGGAGTAGGGAGCTACCCGTGGGGAACCGACCGAGAAAAGAGGTGGAAACTGAACTTTGTCGAGCAAGTGGAAAAAACGGCTGCCAACATTTTTCCCAGACCAAAACGGACAACGGACGGGCCACCAGCCATCCATTTGTACTCGGAGTAGGTTGTACTAATTCGAGTAAACTTACAGTACTAGTCGTGCTTCTCACCGGGTCCGCCGCCGCTCATCTTTTCTTCTTTCCCTCCCTATCTTTCCTCCCACCCACCACCAACCCACCCCACTTCTCTCTTCTTCCCTTCTCTTTCTTCCTCCTCTTCCTCCCTCTTTCTTCAACCCTTTCTTCCTCCTTCATCTCTCCTGACCTCTTCTGATACTTTCCCTTCATTTTCAGTAGAGACTATCATCCAAAATGGCCGCCACTTCTTCTCTCGACCATCTGAGCAACCGTATGAAGCTGGAGTGGCACTCCAAGCTGAACACGGAGATGGTCCCCTCCAAGAACTTCCGCCGCACTTCCATCATTGGAACCATCGGTACGCCCATCTTTCCAAAGCTCTGCATTGATTTTCATCCGGTAGAGCTTCAACTGACAATGCCCTGTTTTTAGGTCCCAAGACCAACTCCGCTGAGAAGATCAACATGCTCCGCAGAGGTACGAATGCGTGGTCCCAACCCGACCGCACGAGATCTGGGAAAACTAACCTGTAAAATCAGCCGGTCTTAACGTTGTTCGCATGAACTTCTCTCACGGTTCTTATGAGGTGGGTTATTGATTGGGAGTAATCACCAATCGGTTCCGATGCTGATTCTGATAGTACCACCAATCCGTCATCGACAACGCGCGCGAGGCTGCTCGCGTTCAGGCTGGTCGTCCCCTGGCCATTGCTCTCGACACCGTAAGTGCTTCCGTTATCAGGTTTTGGAAGCGCGCATCTGACCCGACCGTAGAAAGGACCTGAGATCCGCACCGGAAACACCCCCGGCGACGCCGACATCCCCATCAAGGCTGGCCATGAGCTGAACATCACCACCGATGAGCAATATGCTACTGCCAGTGACGACAAGAACATGTAAGTCATTTTGCTGCGTTGTCCTCGCAATTCGCCCAGGTCATCTCTGGCCCGCGGAGTGCGCTGGAGTCAATTGAGACTAATTCACCTGCATACAGGTACCTTGACTACAAGAACATCACCAAGGTGATTGCTCCTGGCAAGCTCATCTATGTTGATGACGGTATCCTGTCCTTCGAGGTTCTGGAGGTTGTAGATGACAAGACCCTGCGTGTCAAGTGCTTGAACAACGGCAACATCTCTTCCCGCAAGGGTGTCAACTTGCCCGGCACTGATGTCGACCTTCCCGCTTTGTCCGAGAAGGATATTGCCGACCTGAAGTTCGGTGTCAAGAACGACGTCGACATGGTCTTCGCTTCCTTCATCCGCCGCGGTAGCGACATCCGCCAGATCCGTGAGGTCCTCGGCGAGGAGGGTAAGGAGATCCAGATCATTGCCAAGATCGAGAACCAGCAGGGTGTCAACAACTTCGATGAGATTCTCGAGGAGACCGACGGTGTCATGGTCGCCCGTGGTGACCTCGGTATCGAGATCCCCGCCCCCAAGGTGTTCATCGCTCAAAAGATGATGATCGCCAAGTGTAACATCAAGGGTAAGCCCGTCATCTGCGCCACCCAGATGCTCGAGTCCATGACCTACAACCCCCGCCCCACCCGTGCTGAGGTGTCTGATGTCGCCAACGCCGTTCTTGACGGTGCCGACTGTGTCATGTTGTCCGGTGAGACCGCCAAGGGTTCCTACCCCGCGGAGGCCGTCAAGATGATGTCCGAGACGTGCTTGCTCGCCGAAGTCGCCATCCCCCACTTCAACGTCTTCGATGAGCTCCGCAACCTGGCTCCCCGCCCCACTGACACCGTCGAGTCCATTGCCATGGCCGCTGTCAGCGCTAGTCTGGAACTCAACGCTGGTGCTATCATTGTCTTGACCACTAGGTAAGAATCGCGCTTCCGTTAGATGGAATAATGTGTTGACATGTGACCCAGCGGCCAAACTGCTCGTCTCGTCTCCAAGTACCGCCCCGTCTGCCCCATCATCATGGTCTCCCGTAACGATAAGGCCACCCGGGTAAGTCGAACTGCCGTGTGCGTTCGCATTGTCGTGTATGCTGACTAACTCTTTGCAGTACTCCCACCTGTACCGTGGTGTCTGGCCCTTCCTCTTCCCCGAGAAGAAGCCCGACTTCAACGTCAAGGTCTGGCAAGAGGATGTTGACCGCCGCCTCAAGTGGGGTATCAACCACGGTCTCAAGCTCGGCATCATCAACAAGGGCGACAACATTGTCTGTGTCCAGGGCTGGCGCGGTGGCCAGGGCCACACTAACACCATCCGTGTGGTCCCTGCTGAGGAGAACCTCGGCCTGTCTGAGTAAATTTTGTTCTCCAGGTAACCGGCTCCAAACCGGTGGATGATGCGATGAACGACCACGATTGGATAATAACGCGCCGAGGGTGTTGTATCTCTGGATATATCGTAGCATATGGTGTTCTTTGATTTTCACAAGGCGACGATGACGGATGACGGAGAACCCCCCTGAGCAGTGGGCATAAAATCCAGGAAGCGTCCACTGCCCGGGTTCGTTTCATGAGTCGGGGCGAGGTATGGATCGTGCAGCACCTGGAGTGCTTCCTCGCGGGGTTTGCTAGACTCCTTCTATCTTCTTTTGCTCCCCGACGGCGCACGTGCTGGGGTGGGAAAAACGACTGGAGGGTACAGTGCCAGTTGTGATCTGCCTGCCATTTTCTTGTGACATGACTCGAAATATTAAGCCATAGTCCATGCTCGGGTGGATCTTCTCTTTGTTTCTTCTCCCTCAGATGCTTGCGATTCACATCACTTCCAAAAGCTAGAATAAATTAGTCCTTCTGCAACATTGTCAATATTTGTTTCAGTAATCGATTCTCGACGTCCAGGTGAACTCTGTACGTATCAGTAAGCCGTGATAGTTTCATGTTAGTAGAGTGAGCGCAACCCAAGACACAGCAGCATGAGCTGTGTCTTGAGACCGAGCGAGCAAGAGCATGCTGCGCAGAGTTGTGCGAGGAAGGGAAATCTAAGGAAGGGACATGGGGAAGATGAGGGACGACGGGCAGCCACCGAAATTCGCGGGCAGTAGGGGTAGGGGGAGAGGAAGGTGCAGGAAGAGCAGACAGGCCAGGGGAGAAGAAGAAGAAGAACAAGAAGAAGAGATAGCGGTGGGAAACTGCTTACCCCGACGACCCGAGGGGTTTCTTTTCTTTCCATGGAGACCGTCGGGAGTTTAGTATACACGTGCTTGTGACGGTGGAGGTGGATGCTGCTGCTGCTCGCAAGCGTGTTCCTCAAAGCATACAACCATCATGGAATTGTAGCTGGTAAGACGAAGAGAGAACTGCGAGGAAGCAAGCAGCAAACAAGCAAAAGGAAAAGTAAAAAAATCACAGAGGGAACAAGAAAGGAGTGAAGAAACGAAGAAAGCAAGCATGTGGGTGAAGGGCAAATCAAAATGCCGCGTTGACACCCGAATATTCCCGGGATCAGTCGGGAGAACGGAAGTTCTTACAGTACGGGAGTAACTACTGCGTACTTCAGGTTAGTCAATTATGTGGGAAGGAGGTAAGCTCTTCCCCTTCCACCCCCAAAACCCGGCCCGGTGCCCGGTTGGCTGTTAAAAGGTACTTCCTTCTGAGTAACCCCAACCGGGGAAGGAATTACTATCTATGCATATTTGAAGCACTCTAGACAATCATGATGCTCAATCAGCGCAACGCTGGTCGTTGGCTGATCTCTATTACCTCCATTTCATTCATTACATTAACAAAGAAAGTACCGAGCTACTTCTTCGGGATGGCGCTCGGGTAATATGCAAATGCAAACAAAGCCGCTTCGTGTTCTCCATGCTTAGTCGCTCACATCACACATCATAAAAAATCCAATAAGAAACAGGTCAAAACAATGAAACAGCAGTAGAACAAGGTGTAAGGAATGCCGCTTCTTTTATACATCACTTCGTGTCGTATCGTCGTGTCCGTATGCATGCTGGGTGTAGCGTTCATGAAACGTCGACAATGCAGATAAATGAAATCTCTCAGTCCTCGATCGCATGGCCGACTAAATTAGTGTGGTGTCTCCTCAGCAGCCTCACTGTCCATGACGGAGTGACTAGACTGGTTCGGATAGTGCTCAACCGGAGCGTAGCGGAAGGCCTGGGGCTGCTGAAACTGGTGCCAGCAACTAGAAACAGTCAATAACGGATCGCGAGCATACTTCACAGTGTGTGGACCTACCTTGGCGCTTGAAGTACATATCGAGCCATCGCCTCTCGAAAGCGACTTTTATACTCTTTCGGACTGGTGACAGTAGGCCGGTTCTTGCCACCGCCGGCAAAACCACGATCCTTGATCCATGACTCGAGCTTCTTGTCCCATGTGTAAGTTCGAATGCAATCGATGACTCCGACCACCAGTTCTGATCGGTTCTCGTCGATAGCTATCATGAGCGAGTAGTCCATCACGTTCTGACGACCCAAAAAGAGAGTGTCGTTCCACACGCTCTGGCTGAGCAATTTCTTCGAATGCTCCCGGACAAACAGGGGCGTTTCATATATGAAGTCGACCATGTTCTCGTCGAGAAGTACCTCGTTGCGTTCTCCGGTGCTCTGGACTTTGCGGTTTCTCATCGAGCCCTTGAGGTCAAAGATTCTGGTCGGGACTCGGTCGTAGAACAGGTTCTCCATCAATAGTAAGAACCAATTGAACTCAGTCCCCGTGGCAGGATTCTTGATGATGACCTGATAGAAGCCAAACATCTTGGCGATTGCGGATGGCAATTCGTGGAACAGAGCCTCAGACATAATCTGAAAGTAAGCGGGGGCAAACTTCAAGAACGCCTGGGTTTCAATAGGTGACAGGGATTTGAGAATGAAGCGGTCATCAAGGGTCTTCAAGAACAAAGACTTCGTCTTGCCTCCTTTAGAGTCCCACTTGGCACATCGGGAGAGGGATTCCACAATTCGCTCTGCAACACCGCACTTTCTCCGCAGAGCGTCGAACTGTTCGGCATAGAAGATCTTACATAGCATCTTAGCCTGACCCTCTTGAAACTGATATTTCAGGTGTGTGCCAGTAGACCGCAGAAGTGCGTGTTCCACCCGGGTTTCCTCAAGGGCCTCTGTGCCCTCCGCTGGGCTTGTGACCTTTTCCTCCGGCTCCTCATAGCGTCGTTGTATAGCCGTGAGCTTTTCCTTATAATCTGACGAATCCAATGCGAACGCTATCAGTGAGCTGGGCTCATCCTCACGCACGATTATGTCACAATCAGCGAAAACATGGTCGGACATGGTCAGTGGGTAATCGAGAGGGGTCCAGCCACTGGCAGAGCGCTCAGACCAGAAATTCGTCAGCATTTTCAAGAGAGTGCTTCTCTCGTGTTTCGGGAACTCCTTGAGGTCCATTTGCTCATCCTCTGGAGACCCCTTGATCTCGTCGTTCGAATCAGTCCGCTGCAGATCATCGGTCAATGTTCGTTCTTCGTCACTGTGCGCCTCGGCTTCAGCGTCCGATAGATTATGCTCGTCATGAGCACCGTCCTCGACGCCCGGTTTCGCTTCGGGCAGCTCATCAGTAATGGAGTCCTTCCTGGTATCCTCCATGTCCTTCCTCAGTAAGTCTTCGCTGTTTCTGCTTGCCTGGTCCAGGGAAATGCGCGATAGAAGCTCATCACCTTCACCAGAGGGCTCTCGCTCCTCTACTGCCTCCCTGACGTTCTTATACACTTCCACAATAGGCTTCGACGAGGCAAGCGGGAAAGCTCTGGAATGTGCCCCTTTAGCAGCGCGCTGGGCTCTTTCACGTTGACGTTCCTTTTCAAACTCCCGGCTCAGTTGCTCAAAGTGCCTGGCCAGGTTTGATACCCGTGAGTCCCTTCTATTAGGAATTGAGCGTGGAATGAATGATGGCCCCGGCGTCATCCTACCGTTCCGCAGGGCGTTGAGACCAAACAACTTCTTGTCACCTGGTTTGAGCTTGGATTCCAAGGGGGGACTGGGTGTTCCGTCCAGCGGGTTCAGTTTTCCAAGTGCTAGCTTCATTCCCCTCGTAGGAACTCCTTCAAACCCTAGCTCTTTCTGCGGCTGGACGGGTTGTGTCTGAGAGCGGAACAGGGGTGGAGAAGCCGATTTCCCACCACGTCGAAGAAGACCTTCGGCTGGCCGTGGAATTGCCGACGGTAGGCGACTCGGAGGGCTGAGTTTAGACGTGTCTTCACTCTTCTTCCTTGCGTGCGCAGCTGAATCTTCGGGAGGGGGAGTCTCCGCAGCCTTTGTGTCAGGCACCATTAGCGTCGCCATAGGGGAGTGTGTATCTACGGTCTCCAAAGAACTTGCCACAGAAGGCGCCAAAGCTAATTGTTCAGGCTGAGCCAATGGTGTTGCAAGATCGAGATGTTGGACCTCTTTCTCCGCCGCGAGCTCGGCCTGTGGAGGTGAGAACCGTGAGCTCACGGGGCTGCTTGAGATGGCTGATGTGTCTAAATCCTCCCTGCTCATCTCACTTCCTTGGCTGTGGGCAACATCCTTCCTGTTCGAGTGCTCCTCGACAACGGACACGAGCACATCCTGAGCCTTCTCAGGAGACAGAGTCATGCGGCGCGCTTGACGGATCTTTTCTGACTCAGGGCTATTTCCAGGCTCTGTGTCAGTTGGGGTTGTTGGAACTTCCTCATTCGAAGTGATGGAGGTAGCATCTCTGTCTAAGAAGATTTTCTTGAGTTGCAAAGTTGCTAGACGTCGGATATCTTTCTCCGAAGGAAAGAAATTCTTTTCGAATTCGGCAAATGCAGTATCCCATTCCACCACCTTTTCCTGAACAGCTCGTAGGACTTCGTTCAGAGGAATGACCTCCCAGTACTGGGAGTTAGTGTATATTTCTTGAAGTTGCCTGACAATCATGGCACTATCCTCATTAGCCTTGCGATTCAGGTTCTCAATCTCCTTCTTGCAGTCTTCTACTAATTTCGGGATCACGCTTTCAACGTTGATGCTCTTCAACCTGGATTTTACCGAGGTCATAAATCTGTTGATCCGTTGCTCCATTCTCTGGTATATCTCATTTCTGAGTTTCAGGTCGTTGTCCACTTTCCAAGTAACTCGAGTACGAGGAACTATAATCTCGAGCAAATTGATCATATCGTAATGAATGCGGATAGCGACATCCTTGAAACCAAAGAAACGAAGATGATCCCGCTGCAAGTCATGAGGGCAGACGCCTGCTCGCGCATGAAGATTCTTGTTCCAGAATGAGAGCTCCAAGTACTTCCCGAAGGAATACTTCCAAGTGCTCTCGGACATCGGAAATACCTGGGTTTCATTACCGCAGATCTTGCAGCAGCTCCACATCAGGATCGTATCCTGAAGGCCGCGTAGCTTCGAGGGATATGGCTGGGTGAAGACACTTATTTGAGCTTCGCCATGAACGTACTGACGGTGATGCTCAAACATTCTTTTCTCGCAGCCGTTCGCCGTACACACTGCGTTGGCATGTAGACAGATATCCTCCACATACTGCCCCAGCGTGCAGTCTGGTTCAAAGATTGCGTCCCCACCATGTTCATTGTAGTACTCCAAGGCAAGGAGATCCGGCCCGGAACACGGAATCGAGGTTGTTGTGCAGACAAGGCTGAAGAGAACGACAATGTTCTGATGTGCGTAAGGATCAAAAAGACCGACGCTTCCAGCTACGTAAGCTTCCCATTGTCGTTTCTGCGTTTGGTAATGATGAAGCGCTCTGTCGTACTCAGCATCATGGGCTGCACGCAAAACCTCCTTGACCTTCGGTGGAGCCCCTTGCGGTGCCTCATGGACCATTTCAGGGGTAATAAGGGTGAACTTTTGGGCCTTAGCTTTCTCATCTGCAGACAATCCCGAATCGGGATCTTGGTCGCGGAGACGCTTCAGGTAAGCTAACCTGCGCTCCATCTCCCGAGCCCTTGCAAGCAGATAAGGCGGCTCAAATTTGACAAATGGGGAGGCGGAGAGGATTTTTGTTTCATGGTCGTGGATGATCTCTTCGTAGTACGTCGGCATTGGAACGTCGTCTGGTACTTCGCTGGCCTCGCTTGTAGACGCTAACGCCTCTTGCGACAGATTACTAGATTTCTTCTCGCCAGATTCTGCGTCAGGTTCGCTCCTTTTGTCCGACTCAGAATTGGGCAATGAAGGCATTTGAGCAAACTCGTCGCGCATTAAACAAGTTTCCAGCTTGAGATTGTACACAACATACGCCATGAATTCAGCGATTCGCTTGACCTTGGCTAGGACATTGTTGTCACCCCCGCGCAAGACAATAGTGCATCCAAGCTCTTTGCGACAGCCGGACAAGTACATGTATGTCTTTTTACGACCTTTATGCACGTAGGTCTTGATGTCGAAGCTGCCGCAGTCACTAGTCACAGGCGTGGTGACAAGCTTGTCCATCGACGTGATGATTCGTGTCTGAGTACATCGAGACACAGCCTCAAGGACCGATGATTTTACATTATAGGCAGTCGCGATGTTCGCTTTGTTTAGCAATTCCAGAGCCAGACCAGACACGTTCTTCTCAACCAGGAGTAAGTTCGGTCGGAGAGCAGCAATGCGACTGACCAGATTCTCGAGGAACTCTCGTTCTTGACGAATCACAGGCTCCAGGCTCATGAAGTGCTGCTGATGTCGTGCATATTCAAGTGGAAAGGCAATGATCAAGATTTTAGGCTGCGGAATGCTTCGTGGCATACTTTTGAGAGCAAGGTTCTTGGTGAAGACCAGACCCGACACATATGAGGTGTCCCCGGGCCTACCGCCTGAAACCTTCTTAAGTTTGATGTAGTGCCGAATGTCCATGTCATCGCCACCTTGTACATCTGGAACAACTTCATCAGCTGCCTTCAAAAGAATCGGAAGGAGAGCTGTTTCCCACTTCGATGCATTAGGCACTGAAGCATCGCCTAGGAGTTGTTGAAGAAGTCGCCGGACGTGCTGCAGACTAGCCTTATTCAATTCGACCGGTGGAGCGCCTGCTCCCCGCATGGACGAGCTTCTTGTCATCTTGAACCCACTCGGAGCTAACCCTATAGAAAAGACATGAGCAACGTTTGGCGGTTCATGCGGGTTAAAGACGCTATCTTTAGATGCCCTCGGGGAGTGCCGCTGATGAATACTACTCGCAACGCTCAGATTGCGACGCCGAGAAGCCCGAGGCAAATTTACGGCTCTCGAACTACTGAGACTTCCTTCATCACCGTCACGGTAAGAGAAATTCAGATTCGTAGTGCTGCGGTCTCCAAAAGCCGACCGACCTTTTTTCATTGCAGCCAGTAGCCCGCCGAAGGTAGTTCTCTCGCTCTCACCGCCGCTTTTAGACAATGATCCCTCAGAGACTGCGGACAACAGATTCGGCTGCTCATCGCCACTGGACGCGTCGTCAGAAAGATATTGCGCTAAGTCTGGATCAATGATGTTGTCCTTGTGAAACGCAGGAAGACGCTGTGCGCGAGTAGTGTCATCTCCATGGCGTCGTTGAAATGGAGCCCTGTCATCGTGAAATGGTTTGAAATTGCGGATATACTGCTGACGCGAGTGGTGTCGCTTGTGACCCATGGAATGGGGTCTGCCACTTAGTGTGGACTTGAGCGATCGCGAGGAGGTTGGCCTGGTCAATGGCCTATCCGGACTAATTTCAAGGACGGCAGAGCGGCGGTTGTGACCTTCACCGGCACGTCTCGTCGCTGGAATAGCCATAGTAGGTGTCTTCATCACATGCTCGATAGACTGAGAAATTATAGAAGACGCGTCGTCATCATCAGGCGGCATCCGTGAGTATATACTTGCACCGAGTTCGGAAACCCGAGGATTGATCACGATAGGGCTCTGTTCACTATCCGAGAACTCGGAGGAATCATCGTCGTGACCATTGATCATAGCCTCGCAGGGCTTGCAGACACGAATGGTACCAGGCTGGCTGAACCTGTCGCCCGGGATGAGAAGTGTACATTTGGAATCAAAGATTTGGCCGCACGTCCGACAGTGATGCTTCCGCCTGAAAGTGGAAAACGTTTCTCCACAATGGAAACAATCTTTTGCGTTCTCATCTCGCATCCAGAACTCCTTGCTGAGTAATTTGCTTCTAAGCTGAGACATAACGCCGTCGCCTCCACCGTGAGATCGTCGGCTCCGTCCGTCCTGGCTAGACACTCGTTCCACAGCCGTATTCAGCGGAGGCAGGATCGGCGTCGCAGAGGTGGTTTCTCCGGTCGAGGCTTGAGAGGCCACATAGCCGGGTAAGCGACTTGCGCTTGATATAGAGAGTCTGTCGCCGGGCTTCTGCTTGAACGATACTCTCGCGGGTTCCTTCGACTGGGAGCTTCCATCAGTCAACGGTACTGCAACATTGATGACCGATGGCGATTTCCCTTCGGGCAAAGGCCCTTCTCCGTGGGACGAAACTTGACTGACGCTGTTTGTCCTCGAGCCAGAGTTGACGATTGGTCTCTCGGGCTTAAAAGAAGCGGACGAGTTCGACCTCAGTCGTTCGTGGGGTAACGATATACCATCCGGACCAAGGTCAACGGATCTCTTAGCCTTGCGCAACGGGCCAGGTAGAGTGGAATCTATCTCCTGAGTGATGTGCCCATCTGACCTTCGGAAATGATCCGAGGGTTGGCTACCCGCTGTGGAAGACCTGCTGATTTCCTGACCATCGTAGGCACTAGAATGCGACTTGATCTGCGTAAGCGGGGAGTTCGGAAGACGTTGGCTCCAACCTGATGAACTCAAAGATGCTGTGTAAAGGCCTTCTTCTTTATCCGTACCAGCGGAGTCAACTGTCTGCAAGCTGTTGGTAGAAAAGTTGGCCGAGGTGTTACTAGAGTGAAGATGCGGTTCTTTGACAGCGTTTACATGGACTTCGGTGACTGTAGGATCTACAGCCAATGCACTGCCTGTAGTCTTTGGCAAGGGTGGAACGGGTGATTTCAGGGCCGGTTGTGGGAGGACGGAGGCTTTTGACGATATACTTGTTGTCTTTGAAGAGACCCGAGAGCTTCTAGCCAATCCGGACGGGTGTGGGATGCTCTGTGCTGTGAGATTCCCAGGCACTGGCGAATGTAACCTCGATCCTTGAGATGAGCCGGGATGATATTGCTGCGATTCAGCGACCGAGTCCGCAGCAAACCTGGGGAAAGAGCGTTCCGACGGAGGTGGACTCTTCAGACCAGACTCGTCGGTAGACGTGTTGTTCGATGTCTTCCCAACCCCGCCGACGATCCCACCCACCGAAGTTCGAAACCTAGTATAGAGCCCGCTCAACCCCCCTTGCAGCTCGCCTGACAAGCTCTTCTCGTCGACGACTGAGGTTGGAGCTGGTGGAGTGGTGAAGTCATTAAACACGGTAAGGGTATCGGACTGATAGGCGGCACTATGAATTTGATCGAGAGTCGCATTTAGGCTCTCGCGTTCAGCCTGGGTCGAAATAGACGCTCGAGAGCCTCGGCGCCCGAGAGGAAGAAAGACAGACGACGCGGATGGACTCGACGTCCCCTGGGATCGTTGAGATGCCATCCAGGCACCGTCAGGTCCACACACGGGTAATACAGACAAGAGGTACTCAGTGTCTCTCGCGGGGAGCTTATAGGTTCAGCCTCATAGAATTAGAAGGAGTGAAGGATGGCAAGCATTTGGAGAAGCTTGCTGGTGCGGAGCTGCGTTGCTCGGTGATCGGAGTCTGTGCGGTGAGGATCCATGCATGGAGAGGTCGACTCCACATCATCTGGAGATGTTGATAACGGAGTGGGTTCTGGGAGATGTCAGACTGTCGGTTCGTGTCGAGGACAGTAGGCAGACAAAAGGCAGAGATTTGACTTTTGCCGTGACAACGGGGGAGAAGTGGAGAAGACGAGGATGTTGAATGATAATTCGGTGATTCATTGTCTAGACTCGGCGACAAAGTCGGAGGGAGGGACAAGCAGAAGCCGCTTGAGGAATTGGGATCCGAAGCCCATGACATGTGCCGCTGCCCAATGACGTGGTTTGTGGCACCGCGAGGGGCTGTGGCTGGTGCGATGCGGGAAACCACGGGCATGCGCCACAGAAATGAAAGGCGGTCAAACGCGTCAAATCGGCCGAGCTCGCGTCACACGGCGATCAAGCTGAGAGAAAAAAAAGCATGGGTCTGTCTGGCTGAGGGGATTCACCTCAAACGAGGTGAATCATTATGCCACCTTGATGGTTTAAACAGCTCAGCTAATGCCATACTGCTTGCATAATCCTCGCCGTGCCCCTGTAGGCAGACACAAATGTCAGATCGTTTGATTGATTCGTACTCCCATTCAGACTATGTGCTGCGATAGCAGCACATCCGACGCCTTCCCACCTCCATAATGGGCACCCCAACGAAATGGATCACATCGATGATAGAACGCGTCTTGGACTCCTATCTAGGCAAGACTTCTGTCCGGATTCCCGTGGAGAACGACCAGAGCAATCTCCGATTCCGGAACAATGTCGTCAAGACTGCATTGGTGAACAGTGTGAGCTACCTTCCCCTTCACAAAAGACGAGACACTGAGAACATTATGTATCGGTAGTGTACCGATGACTATCGCGTAACCAAGCTCAATGTCACCGACTCAGATGCCCAAGTCGAAGCGATCTTGTCTCGACAGGCGCTGGAGGACTACCGGACGAAATACCCGCAGCGTCCGTTCAGCAAGGAGGAGATTCGGGGATACAATGTTCATTTGGAAGACTTCGAGCTAGTCTTGGAGTATACCGTGCTCAACCCGAAAGTCCATCTCTATGTCCAAAGCTTCAGGGTAGAATGGGACTCACCTAGGATCAGGATTCCTCCACAAGGGAAGATCCTCCGAAAACTTCCGGTGTATAAGTTGATTCAGGAGGCATCCAAATATGCCAAGCTATCAATATCTCATATCATGTCGCCTGCCCCTCGAATCAATGATTCTTTTTGTTCTCAGACCCTCCCAACCTCTCAGATGATGCCTGCCTCCCAGAACGGCCTTATGTCCCAGGTACACCCACCTCGTCAGGCTCAGACTACGCGATTCTCAATGAGTACTGAGGGACTGGGAGGAACTCATGATTTACTCGCACTGCTAGATCAGCCGGCTGGGATTAGGGTTGATAGACCCTCGGAACAACTGAGACGGTTACATTCCCACCCCTTAGATGAGGGTTCCCGGGATGGATCTGCAGCAACTGCGGGCAGATCATACATCAAGCAGTCTATGGCAGAACCTGCTAGGACTAAGGATACCAGGCCCGTGCCCTTGACATTGCCGGTCGTAGCCCGACAGCCCGTCCCGTCCCCAACGGATAATCCGTCTTTTATAGCCTCACAGCCTTCCCCCAAGGGCAGTGATGCTTTGCTCAGACGAGTAGGGACGCCTAGGCCTACAGATGCTGGGTCCGCAGAGCAACTCCCAGTGTCGACAGACTTGGCTCATAAGGGAACAGAAGAACGAGCTCACCTTTCACTACAGACTACCAATCAGCCCGGAGATGCTGTGAACAGGGTAAAGCAGCCACTGGAGAAACCAAGGCTGTGCCTCGAAGACCCTTGGAAGGGATGGATCCGGATTGAGGCGCGGGATATTGAAATACCCAAGGACCAACAGGATTTACTAGCCTTGGGAAAGCGCCGCTGGATACCACCGCCACCTGGTGAAAGCACACCCCGAGGACATGTCCCACCTCGCCTTCTTGAGCATTGGAATAAACTCGTGATGCAAAGAAACCGTGCGACCAGCGAAAGAATACTGGGAAGAGCAACACCAAAGGAGCTTCCAATCGAAGTGCCTCTACCTGATCCATCAAGCCCTTCGCTAAGAGTTGACTCAGACTCGGAAGGTGAACCTTTGACCTCGCAGTGGTCAGAAAGTTCACCGGAACAGACTGTACGTCGACGTCCAGCCTTGCCCGAAGATAGTAGCCCTATAAGAGGGAGCCCGCGCAACGCAGGGCGAGTTGTACCAGCTACAAATAAGCCTAACCCTGGGCCCAAGAGTATGGCAAAAGACCTCACCACAAAGCCTCAGCAGGGTCTTTCCAACAGGGTGCCTGAAAAGGCATGGGCCGCTGTTGGCCAGGTCAAGACGGATCCCCTTCCTACCTGGCAAAGCATCACGGACAGAGACCACGTTACAAGTCGAGACTCGGATGCAGATAGTGATGACTCAATGATGGATACGTCTGTACCTTGTCCTCTTGGATTCGAGATGTCTCAGTCTCAGCTCGCCGGTCAGTCAGAGCGGGAAATAACTAGTTCTGGTCCATCCCTTCCCGCACCTGCTCCACAGGATCATGTGCAGGTTTTGGACACGCCCGAGAAGAACCTTGCACGTTCCCGCCATTCTCAGCCCGAGCCCAGTACCAAAGCTTCGTTAGTGCAGCCTTTCAGTACTCAGTCCCCGGGCGTAGGCAAATCATCGTCTCAGTCACGAATTCTGAACTCGGTCGGAAGTAGCGACAAAAAGGGGTCATCATCTCAAAGTCTTGCGGAGAATCACTCTAAGGGCACCGACGTGCGATTTCGAGTAGATATTGTGGGGACACAAATGAGCAGTCAAGGTCTGCCCACGCAAGACCCTACGTCCTATTCTACTGCGGAAGTGGTCCCCAACTCAGGTGGGCCAAGTCTGCGTGAAGTGAGCGTCATTCCGGAAGTTATAATCCCGCGTTCTCAAACACAGAGATCTCTTCAAGGAACGCCCTTGTCTCTGCCGCAGGACACTGGTGGTTTATCAACAGCTAGCGTCATGTATCTGAAAGAGGAATCGTCATATAGACATTCCGTGGGAGTCGTCTCTAAGCGGCCTGCGTCTACACTAGAAGACGATGCATGTGGTCCATCAAAACGATCCCGAACCCAGCCACCTGAGACAGCCGAAGAACCGGTGTCTGCCGCATTGGATCGGCAGATTCGCATCGATGCCGCCGATAGCTGGGAAGCTGAGCAGACTTATGGGAAGTTTTGTCGTAATTATCCCAACTACACCGGCGATTTTCACCATTTCACGAAACTCTGCTCTTTGCTGCAAGCCGTGCGAGATAAGGGCTATCTGCAGCGGTCTTTCCTATGGGATGATTTCATTATTAGGCATCTTGAGGATTTTCCAGGCTACGTTGAGCAAAGCCTTGTATCAGAAACAAAGTTTATGGACTATGAGGAATATTTCACATCGACTCTTTCCCGCCCTCTCTACAAAAAGCGAAGCCTGACAGCCCAGGGTATCGCGAGTGCAGCAGCGCAATGTGACTCAGCCAATGAGCAGAAGTTGCCTGCTCCTGTATCTGCTCAGCCCCCTAAGCCAGACACCCCGTTCACTGGCAGTCTTGTGAAGCGCTTCTCCAGCTTGCAAGCTCAATCTGTCGAACCCGGGAGACAAGGCACGCTCTCCGACGCTGACATGGACATCTCGTCCGCAATGTCTTCGCCCACTCCACCTGGCAAGTCCCAGTCTATTGAGAAAATAGGTGTTCGAAATACCATAAGCCAAGCACACGACGACATCTCCGAACCGGATGGGTCTGCTGACTCTGCGTCAATGGAGCGGCTCGTAGTGCCGACGAGCTCAGCTAGCGTCTATGAGTCTGCCCTGGAGTATGCTCCTATACATGGAGGGGCTACGGTCTTGAGTGGAAGAGATACCTCTGAGTCCACGTGCCTGGAAAGTGAGAGTATGTCTCAGTCAGCCACGCCGACTCCAGACCAGGGGGCATTAGCAGCGGTGGCGGAGCAGCGCAGGTCACAAATCGAGGACATTGACATGGCTGACCGAGACTTCACGCCGACAAGGGCCGACTCGACCCATCTAGCTGAGCCAGAGCAGCACGCATCGCAGGTCGAGGATATCATCGCCGATGGAGACGCCACGCCCACACTGTCTCGTGCTCATCAAGTGGTTGAATTTGAGCAGCACGAATCGCAAGTGGAGGATGATGTCATGGCCGATCGAGAGGCCACTCCAAGTCTGGCCGAGTCCGTCACCGCAGCTGAGCGCGCACAGCACGACTCACAGTTTGAGGATAATTTCATGGCTAATCGAGAGCCCACTCTAACCTTGGTGGAATCAAGCTATGCCGTTGAGTCCGAGCTGCACGAGTTGCTACTAGTCAATGACACTTGCACCGCTGATCGATACTTCACGCCAGCAGCGACTGGCCCTGCTCCTGCCGTTGAGCCTGCGCAGCACGAAACGCAAGTCGAGGACAATATTATCACCGATCGGAATGGCACTCCGACACTGGCCCACCCTGTCCACGCAGCTGAGCCAGAGGAACATGAGTCGCAAATCGATGACAACACTGCGATTGAGCAAGCAGCTGAGGCGACAATGACCAAGCACGTGGAGATGAGTCAAATGAGCGAGGTCGAAGGCAGACGAGATGTCACAATATCCGAATTAGATAAATCCAATGTAGAGATTACGCAACACCTAGACGACCAGGAGTCGGAAACAGGGGTTTCGGCAGAACACCCAGAAGCGATCTCTGCAGCGAATGCAGCACCGTCTCGCGTGCTTGAAATGCATGACAAGTCGATTGCGGAAGACACCTGCGACACGGACCACAGAAGTCAGGGAATGGACACAGCAAACTTGCCATCGCTTACTCCAGCCCATCAAACAGAGTCGCCTATCTTAGAGGAGTCAAGCGAGTTGTCCACTCGAGAAATCCATGACAGAGAGGATCAGGATGCCGAAAAAGCGGGCTCGGTAGGAGACACTGAATCGTTAAGTGAGACAAATTTAACAGGGTCCGGGGCACTAGGTGAGAAAGGCGAATCTATGGTGGAAAATTCCCACTACACGCTTGCCCACGAAAGCCAGGATGTCGGCATGGTAATAGAAAAACAAGAGCAGTCGTGGTTTCGAGACACGCAAGACTCCGTGCGCCAAAAATCTGCGTCAGTGGACACGGCAGAACAGCAGCCATCTGTTCTTGCAGGTGACGGGTCCGGTGCCCCTACAATACAAGAGCAAAACGACTTGACTGTGGAAATCAATATGGCCGACCAGGAGATTGAAGATCCCATGCCATTAAATCTTTCGCCAACCAACGCGGCAAACGAAACAGGAGACCCGTCCGAGCTGGCAGAGCAAGAAGGACCCACCACAAAAGACACGCCCATGGGAGATCATGACAATCGGGAGATTGAAATGAGACCGGAACCACAGGAGAAGTCAACTGCCCATGACATCGAAGACTCGATTGATCAAGGAACCGAAACAGCAGATTCAACAAGATGTGCGCATTTTGTTTCTGCAGACAAGAAAGCTGGGCTGACCCAGCTGGAACTTGGAGGTCAATCTCATGCTGAACTTGAAGATGCCGTGTTCATTGACAGAAAGTCAGACTCGGTGCGCGTACCTGAGCAGCCGTCCTCCGTTGCTGCAGAGGGCGAAGAGCCTGTCGAGCAGCCTCTGATGGAACAATCGGAACAATCGGACGCTGGTACTGAGAGCGCTGACGAGGATCTGCAATCTATTCTTGCACGAGACGAAGCAGGATCTGTTAGAGAAGCGTCTGTCGAGCCACAAGAGCCCGCAGATGCTGCTATTCAGGGCGATGATGAGCAACTGCGCGCTATGCTTACGGGCGAAACTGAATCTGCCGAACGAGGCCCGGAAGCATACCTAGAGCATTTGGAAGCCGAGGCAGAGAGCGATACCGAGCTTTCCCCTTTCACGTTTGCAGAAGGCCCAGCCAATTCGGCCGAACATGCTCTGGCAGAGCCAGCTGAGCACTCAGATATTGTGATGGAAAGCGAGCTGGAGCTGCTGCCCTCAGCCGATGACAAAGACATCGTCAGCTCTAATGAACGAGCACCCGCATCGCCCGAAGCGTACTCCGAACTCGGGACCGCGAGCGATTCCGACGCCAATGAGACGACTGACTCAGAAGACGATGAATCCGCGCTCATCGACGAACGGCATGAGACCGCCAGCATCGAGCTGGGCGACGAGCCGTCGTCGTCGCCCGCCACCACTCAACAGCAAGCGCAGCCAGAGAGCGAGACCGAGGCGGAGAGCGACGCCAACGAAAACTGGTTCCTATCCCTGCGCCATCTGCGTCCGACAGGCCCGGTCTGGTCGGACGACCCCAACACACCGTTCAAACAGTGGGTACGCGCAGACCAGGCGATTCTGAGTGAACGTGATCGCCGAGGCGGGGCTTATCTCCCGGTGGATGAGAAGGGGGTGGTTCAACCCCCAGGCTATCGATGACCTTTCGCGGCTCTTCGTGACATTTCTATGATGGTATACCACATACCGGGCAAATGGGTGCAGCATGCCAGAGCGGAACATGCATCGTATTGTATGGTATCCTGTGATCCGTCCGCTGAAGCGACCAGTGAAGGCAGAAATGCAATGCTCGGTTCGATTACTGTGTATAATATGTTAACTTGTTTGCGTCAAGATACCCAGATTGTACTCTATTTTCTGTTTCTCCTGCGAATAGGTTGAACGCCGCTAGTGGCATTGCATTATGCGTAGTAGTCCCTACTATCAGCAGTCTAATCATGTCTCATGGTTCCATGAATGAGCCATCTGTACCTACCTAGAGAACCAGAAAAAGGTTTCATGCGCAGACTAGCATGACAAGTGGAGATTAATCACTTCTAATGAGTCGCCAGCTATGTCCCCCTTTCTCTGTATCCTACTCGATGTACAAGTCAGTACGCTCAGTCATTCACCCCCTCGGGCATTCTTCCCATACAAACGGATGAAGTGTCATCAGCCCGGTGAGAAACCTCTCACCCTCACGTATTACCCAGAATCAAACCGAGCTGAGGTCCAGGCGAAGATTAAGTGACCTATGTAGGACTATCTGAGCCCAGGCGTGGAATCCCCGTCGGGAGGAAGGGAGGCAGGGGGAAGGGGTCGGTGTTAGCCATCATCGTTGGAGCTGGAGACAGAAAAAAAGGCAACGGCTTATCTCAGGCTGGGACAAAGCAAAAGGCCCAGGTCGCTTGCAGTACTACTTACTCATGTAAGCCTCTAGTTATCTACAGCTGATCAACCCGTCAGAGTTCGTCGTCAGCCCTGCTCACTGCCGCAACACGCCATACTATAGACCAATATAGTCAGGGCCACGTGTCTGATCAGTTCAGCGGAGAGGTCGAATGCGATCAATCATTGAGTATAGCTTAGCCCTAACTAAAGCGAAATGGCCAAACCGTTTCAATCAACGGAAAAAAGGCAGGCCGTCACCGTCAGAACAACGGCCTCGATCTCGCTCGCTGAGATCCGAAGCGTCTAGAACACGAATAGGCCGGAAAGATTCGGCGAAGACAACATGTTACAGATGGCCCCGATATCGTGTCAGAGTCCAAGAGTGAGGTATTAGGCCCTTAGCGGTTCGAGAAAACAGATCAAAGGTCGTCAGGACAAAAAAGCTCACCTGCTTAGCGCCGCCGGGAACATGTTCAGGTAACTTTCACACACAAGATCATCCTGCATAAGGCCTTCCTGAATCATCGAGAAATATGAGCCCATCCTTCCTTGTGAATCGCTGCATATGCTGTCTGATCCGGGCACCAGCAAGATGGCTACACTGCAATGTCAAGTCTCAGTCCCCGCCGCTCCCGCCCACCTTCTGGGTGCCTCGCCCGTCCCTCAGCCAGGTCTAATCCGTGCTGGTGTAAATCCAGCCAAGACGGTATTGTCAGATCCAGCTGTCCTGCTTTCCATCTTATAGGTGCCAACTTGCTTGTCTCTCAGTCCGCGTAGTTTGAACACCACCTATTCAGATGTCGCAGGTATATTCAGCACATCCTCAAACCACCGGTCATCTCCCAAGTCCATCGACTGCATCCACAGCATCTGATCAAGGTTCGGACATGGTGTTGGTGCCTGTGGCTGCCCATGTCCTCTGGCACCGGAGAGGCCAACTCCCACCGCGCTTCCGCTCAAAGACGACACCGTGCCAACAGCTTGGATATGAAATGCAGTAGTTGGTCGTCAACCCTCTGAATTTCCGGCTCCTTGCTGCTCAGCTCGAGCGTTTGAAGCATGCGGGGTGAGACAGCGTTCCGCACCGCCTGGCAGTCCCAGTCGGGATGCTGAAGGTTCGAGAGGTACTTCAACAGGGTGAGGTACAGAATCATGTGGAGCCAGAAATGAAACGGCTGGCCGATGAGTGTGGAAGCCGGAATCTGGTGGAAAATATCGAGCCACGCCTTGATTGTCTCGACCGACTGTACTCCTGCAACATCGACACTACTACTTCGCATCTCCGCAAAGTCCAATCTTATCCAGAGCCACCTCCCGATCAATCACCCAAGTAAAATATCGGTAGGAAAGAAACGTATTGCAAATCCAACTCAGCGTCGACGCCCTGGCCCCGACGAACAAAAATATCGCTCCCACGGAGAACATCCTCGACGACGTTCTTTGCAGCGACATCCACATCCTGTTTGTGAGGGTACACCAGACACGTTGATGTCGTAGACCTGCTTCGCCTCGTCGAGAGAGGCGTCGAGGAGCGGCACTATGGCACTGACGCCGGCGGTATTGACGAGGACGTCAAGTCGTCCGGCGGTTGGCTTTGCAACAGCCTCGGCACATTAGCGGATGGATCCGACCGATCTCACTTCCAGGTCGACGAGCTCTATGCCTTTGGCTTTGTTGCGCAGTGTAAGCAAAGACTCGAGCCATGGCTGCTTTGAGGCTTCCGTTGCTGCATCCGGTGATTAAGACGGATTTAGCGTTATGGTAATAAATTAGCGGGTTGGGTATTAGATCGCGCGTGTGAGTTCGTTGTCCTTTACATTATTCAGAAAAGTAGATCAGGCTCGCTTCATAGAGAGTAAGGAACGGACTCCGGACTGTGAAGTCCGTTTGATATTGAATAGAGTCAAGTGAGGGGAGCGGAGGGAGCGGAAGAGAGTCCACCGGAAACTTGTCCGTCCAGAAACTTGTGGACTTTTGGACGGGCTGGTTCTACATATTCAGTATACCTGCTATAATCCGAGACGTTGACCATCGGTTGGAAGCAATGTTCGAGAACCTGCACTGCATCTCTTGTCATATAGTGGAAGTAGAAAAAGTGGGAGAGGTCGGGGGCGAGGGGGGGGTTTATAGTCCCGCGAGTCTGCGCCTTCCCAATTAGAACTACTGACGACGAATGCAAATCTCCGCATTGAAACTACGGTAAGAAGGAACGACGTCTATGAAAATCGCCTTTGAATTCAACGCTGTGAACCATGCACTGAGAAACTGCTTCAGAGAAGGCAGAAGGATGGAAGCGATCAAGCATAGCGATGGTAAGGTCAAAGTCAAAAGTCCCGAGAGACAGAACCACCAGGCAAAAGTATCATTCCTTCCTGGCTGCTGTGAAGAGGAAACTGTTGCAAGAGTTTATTATCGAGATCCGCTACTGGGCATTACTAGGCGCATGTCCAAATCGTCATAATTCAAAGTGAATTCCCGATCTATATGTACAAAAGCAATGCCTTCAGGCGGCAGGTATCAAGAATAAGATCAGGGGCAATGTACAAAGCCAGACGAATGCGAGGAGATAACAAGTTTAAACGTAGTCACCCCTCAAATAAAAGTGCAGCTTGCATCAAAGTCATTAGACCAACGCAAACTCCGATCAACTGTCAGCTACTGACAAGAAGTCGCGTGAGTCGAGTCATCAGTGGTGTATGGGGGTCATTATCTCCGGATGTCTCCAACGAAACGCCATTTTCCCAGATGTCATTCGATGAAAAATCGGGTAAGAAATTTGCGAAACAACATTATTAAACGTGACGGAAAGGCTCATACGCGTTGCTGCGGCCATTCTGCTGCATGGGGACGTGACCCGGGGGAGGAGGGGGCGGGTAGGCGGTGTTGCTGTAGACAGGCTGCTGGGGCTGGCCGTAGGGACCGAGGGGCTCGTAGGTGTACGGAGCCTTCTCGGCGGTGATGGCGCGGGCCTGGCTGCGGTGGTTGTAGGGGGAGCGACCGGAACAGCAGCAGGTGCTGAGGAGCCAGAACAAAGATGCACCGAGGGAGAAGGCGACGGCGAGCCAGGTGGCGACGTAGATGTTCTTGCCCATTTGGCCCTTGACGCCATAGGATTCCAGCTCAGTCTTGAAGACCCCCTTGAGGACGGCGAATAGTGCGGTCGACGTCACAGAGGCAGCTGTCGTGAAGAGGAATGCGACCTGCGGATCAGTGGTTAGTTATGGGGGAAGGAATGAAGAGATGCAGGGAATGCGTCTGACGTACAGCTGAAACTAGAGTGGTCACGCAGCTACCCCAGCGACTGCAGATGGCGAAGACGCCCACGACCAGCTCGACGATAGTGGCGATGAACGCAATCACGTAGGCGATGAACATCCACTTGGAGACACTCTTGTAAACCTTCAGCTCCTTCTTCACGCTGCTGGAGAGCGCATTCTCGAGACCAGTCTCTTCCAGGTTCCACACCTCCAACGGGTTGAACCAAAATTCAGCCTCGGGTTTCGAGCAGTTGGTCGTCTTGTAATCGTTGCCGTTGGTGATGTTGCCTTGACAGTAACCCCATAGACCGACCGTGTAGAAGTCTGCGATATCGTACTCCTTCTCGATCTCCTCCAACGCGGATGATAAGTCGCCGTCGGAGACACCGGTCAGGTCACTGATGGCCGAGGTTATACTCGCTGCCGTCGACGAGGTTGAGTTGGTAATGTTTTGAAGGTTGGCCTGGATTGAGGTCAGTGCCGGTCGGTAAGGGGCATGCAGGCGCGCAAAGTATACATACTCTGAAGAAGTAGAGATCATTCAAGGTACTAGAGCTGGACTTGGTACAGCCCAGACCCACCATGATGATACATATTAAGGATGCGATAGTGAGGGCATATGGGGTGAAGATACAGACAATGCGACCGCCTTTACCCATAGTGGCTGATGAGGAAATGGATGACTGTTGGTGTTATGATTCTGTTGTCTTCCAATTTACTTGTCCGGAGAAATTGAGGATGGACAAAGTACCGTAAGCAGGAAGGTTGATGGTAAAAAAGAAAAAAACAGTGAGTGGAAGAAGGCTGGGTGTAAGCGGACAAAGGCTGGGATTTAAACAAGTAAATAAACGGGCGAGCCGAAGGATCATCGGGACGGGCAAAAGCAACAGATGATGTAGAGTTCTGAGGCGCAGTCAGCAGCAGCAATAATGCGGATGGTTGGGAGTCAATTTAGCAGCCAAGTCGATCAGCGAGCCAATCACGAGAGGTGGGACACCAACTACGCCACGGTTGTTTCTATTTCGATAAAAGGCAATGTTTCCCATGTTTCCACCGCAACACGGGATGAGTGAAGAGTGGGTGTCTCTCTTCACTCTTGGGGGATTGTTTGACACCGCCAGACCCTCGTGGCGGAGACTCACCAGCCCTACCGCCACGTCAGTCAATTGTGGCTGCGTTAATACGCGTCTTTAGGACAGTCTGATTAGACCCTGTTGCTGTAGAACTACGATCAACGAATGCACCGTACGTATGGAGCTCAAGGAACCCTTGAAGCACTAGCTTCTCAGCTACTTTTTTTAAATACGGAGTCTATATGAGCTTACGCCCTTTGCGAAGATCCAAGCTCCAGATGGTCAAATTTATCTGATACACAGTGGATCGTCCTGAAGCGATCATCAATCTCCTCTCGAGATTATTATTCAACGACATTCGCATCCCAACTGACTTGGAAGTGGGAGATGTCAGCCCATCATCCAAGGCACAGAACAAATGAAAAGAGGATGTTCTAGGCTCCCCCATTCAGTGCTTGGCGAGGACAATTTCGACAGGCGCAAATAGACATCAACATTTCAATCCGAGGGGAGTACGTACCCCTCGCTGCAATTTCTGCGTCTAAGCCTCGCTCGACACCCGCACATCGGCTCTTGGCTTCGTCGGCCGCATCCATGGAACACCCCAGGAACATTCGCCGGACTAAACGGCCTCATTCCACCCTTCCAGACCACACAGGCAAGCTACAAGGTAAGCTTCGAGCTGCGAGAGAAACTGTTGTGAGCAACTACTGTACTGTCCAATGTGATATAGTATTTCAACCTTCTGAAATGAGTTTGGTTACGATTGGACACTCGGCAGTGGCTGATCGACAACTGAGTTACTGACCTCAGGCAAACCTTGGCTGTCAGCGGGAAGCTTACGTGGGCTGTCTCAGGCCTCCCTCAGTCTATTCTGGGATGCCCCTCCATCCTTCCTACTACTGACTGTAACCATGGAACTACACAGCGCACTCACCATCCTTTTTTCACTCCAAGAACCAACTCATCTCTTCTATCTCAAGCTAGTAAAGCCGCAGTACTATCCCTTACGGCTGAAGAGCACAGACAACCAGAAATTACTCCACCATCTATGACGTCACGTGATATATGTATAAGACTTATAGTTACTAGTACATAGTATACAACCATCCCAGATATGGCTGCAGAATGTCCAACACCCCGCTATCACTGCCAGACCCCTCGGCGGCTCCATGTTGAACATATAATCCGCCCATCACGGACCAGCTGCCCACCAGGTCGCCCCCTTCCAGACATCCGTGCTGTTGGCCATGTACTCGAGCATTCTGGGGATCGCTGTCCGACACACGTCGTTGACACCACCGGCCTACTCTCCGGGGAACCCTACCTTATTGTTATCCTTCAACCACTGAATGGCCGCCACCAACCGTTCCGCGCCGATCGTCTCCGACACGCACGTTCCTGACGTCCCTGACCCGTCCGAGTCGTACACGAGCTTGTCTTCTGGATCGGTCAGACCCTTCATGTTGTCGTTGATGTCCGCCCAGGTGTATTAGATGAAAGAGGATTACTGAAGGGTCTTAAGCAGGGCAATTATAAAACGAATTGCATCGATAAACGCGCACTCAAATCCTCCCCACAACGCGTCCCTTCCACCCCAGTCCATCCTGAACAGACACTACTATGAAACAACGAACTACCAACCACCCAAGACCTTCATCTGCGACTTCATATCCTCCGCCTGCAACAGATGGTACTTCATCCCCGGATGATAATTATTCCACCAAATACACGAGGTCCCATCGTCATTGATGCATGTGGCATCCGGGAACCCATACGCCGTCGGATCGTCCAGAATCTTCGTCATGAACGACCACGCATCATACAAGACAGTGGTGACCTTACAGCGAGTCAGCCCACCGGCCCTCGAACCCCACCTGTCCCACGAAATAAGAGGGGGGGGAAAAAATGGGAAAACTCACATCCTGATGTTCCCGCTTGAACTCCTCGACCATCGTTTTCAGGTTTTGGTTATACACCGCCAGGTACGCCGCATGCTGCGCCACGGTGGCATTCCCTTCGGCCAGGAACAAGGGGCTGCGGCTGGTGGGCGGGACGTTCAAAAACAGGAACTTGCGGCCGCCGTTGGCGTAGAGCTGGGCGACTTGTTCCTTAAGGCGCGCGATGAGGCGCGGGGTGTAGGTTGCCGCGTTGGTGATCGCGTATGCGTTGCCGATGCTGTGCGGTTGTTAGGGCTGATTTGCATGCACACCGCACCCCTGCACCCCGCATTTGTGATGTCGGGGTTTAAGAGTCGGTGGATGTTGAGGAATTGAAGATACATAATAGGTTTGAAGGTAGGTGTTTAGGGTATCACAGCAACAGTTGGCGTTAACCAGAAGAATAAGTAGTAGGGGGGGGGGGGGTAACTTGAAAAGAACCTTGAAGAGAGACAAGGGCGGGGAAACGTAACTCATTAATCCCAATCCAAACCCCAAACACTGCGTTCTTCGAGGTCCACGGGGCACTGGCCGGTTGGGTGCTATAGACATCCTCGAACAGCCGGAGTTGCGAAGCCAAGTCCCCAGGGTAGGCGGGGACGAGGGCGTTATCGATGGTGGCGCCGCCGGCAGCGAGGTTGTAGTTGAGGACCAGGGTCGCATTCTCTTGCGTGGTCAAGTAGCCGATATAGTTGGGGCCATTGGTCGTGGTGCCGATTCCTGCAATGTTCTTAATTTACTGTGAAGAAAGAAACAACATTGTGTGTGACGCTGCATTGGGGAAGAGTAGTAACTCAAGGGACAAAGACGAGGTGGAGCTGCAATGGGATGGAACAAAGACCAATGTAATAGCCACGACAAGCAAAATGTCCTACCGAGATCTGGATTCCCCATCGGTGCAGCAGCTGAAGGTTGGGTTCCTGAAGCGCTGAACCCGGTTTGGGAGTATGAATCGCCACTACCAATTAGGTTTTTAGTATCATCTTTGAAGAACCCACCATGCCCCCCTCCCCCTTTCTAAACAGACAGGACATACAAGGTAAAGAAGTAGGTTGGGTCGGTTAATGCTCGAGGCGATGGCCGAGCACTCGCCGCAGTGGCGAGGAGGGCTGCTAGTATCCAGAAAACCGACATGGTGACTGACTGTGGCTTCTCAATGGCAGAAAGAAATTGAGGAGGGCGACTCAGGGACTCCAAAGCTCCAATCTCATGGGGTCACTGGCCTTCATTATATATGCATGTTGCTGGTATTAAAATCATTGCTTTCCCCTCACGCCTCGATTGCTATTCTTCCGAAGCTGCTACCATAACCCTTGCCTCTGCACCGCAGGACAGAGGCTGGTCGATATTGAACTGACGGACCGCGAATTTAACCGGGTGAGCCAATCCACCAACCACTTGAACTCGACATCTACAGCTTGTTTGTTGTTCCTGGGGTGCGGGGTCAAGCTCTGCTTTGATCTGCAACGAGTATCGGTCTATACCTGTTTGGCAACGGGATGTCCGCCTGGCATGATGCTTGGGCACGGACAACTCCACCCCTTCGATACTGGGAATCAACACGAAGTACGGAGTAGGATACCAACTCTGCTTCAAAGGTTCTGAAATTTTTCTATCCAAGGTATATGTGCAATCCCCATCCAATCGTCCAGGAACCACCCTCACAGCCGGAGGTCCAACATTTCCATGCCCGCCCCACACACAATCAGCTTGGCTGTATCCGACTCTTCGTCATTGATGACATCCAACGACGAAATGTCTGCTACGCAACTGTACCTCTCCGCCGCTAGACTGATCCGGATCCTTTCGGCTCCGTGCTTGTTGGCATCCACCTCGATCCACCAAATCTTGACTTGGTGGTCGTTGCCCGAGGAAGCAACGGCGTATTTACGGACCCCGTCGCCCTGGTCGAGAAGGCTCTTGAGAATTCGAACCGTGGTGATGCATGCTGCATGCGCGTCGGGGATGGTCACGGTGTATGACGCATCACTGGCGCCGGAGGTGTCCATCAGAGTGGCTGTCACCGCATTGTCATCTCCGCCGGCGATAATCAGAGCTAAGGTGTCAGACAAATCCGCCAGGTCCATGGCCTTGACACTGTTCCAGTGGGCTTGGTGCCGGTTCTCGCAGGAGATAGTCTCCGGCGCAATCGATGCGCCGGGGATCGCCTGCTTTGGAATGAGCGGCGAGGCAATCGTGTAGAACCGCTCCACAACCGAAGTCAAGTTCCAGAGGGTGAAATATCCATCGGTCGCAGCCGTGATAAGGCTCAAGGTAGACCCTCGGAGAATGAATCGGGCCTGGGTTAGACAGTTGCTCATGTAGGTTCCACTCGCGAGGAGGATAAAGCAACCATTAGAGTTCGGCGAGTAGTGGAAGATCTGCATGATTAGTACGGAACATGACGGATAGTGGAGGCTGTGGGTACCTTAATAGTGGAATTCGAATAGGTCAGGCAGAGGAGGAATCCGTTCTCCGCCCTTCCCTCGTCTACTTCCAAAGCATCGAAGCTCGTCACTCGGAGGTCGGAGTTTGGGTCACTCTTAGGACACTCCCCGACTAGCATGGTTCCCAGGCCGAACAGAGGGATGGAGCACGCCCGCCAGACAAAGAACTGTTCATAGCCGCCGCTGGTAAAGAGGAAGCGGCCGTCTTTGGACCAGTTTACGCTTTGAAGTCCGGTATGATGCATTCTCAAAAGTCGGAGGCATTTAAATGCACCCCAGCGACTCTCCAACTGTGGGTCTCGAGGGGCGAAGATCCTTACGTTGGTGTCTTCTGAGCCAGTCGCGAATAATGGACCCAAGGCATCTGAGATCTGGGTGGCACACATATCCTTGACTTCCCTGCCATGGCTTCCAGAGCGCAATGTTCGACTGGCGTCAGGTTGTATCGACAGTGCAGTCAATCCAGACTGAATCCAGATAAAAGATCCCGCCCAGGCGACATCTTGGCTGGGCTGGAACGCCCACGATCGTCGACCTCCATTGCAGTTGTGTCGAGCGACTTCTGTCTGCGCGGACTCGTTCCAAAGCACAAAGTCCATTGGCTGAAATCCGTAAAACATCAGATCTTGGGAGACGCTGTCGATATAGGCGCCTGCTATTTCACAGTTGAATGCAAGAGAAGAACAGTGGAGTGTTCGCAATAGAACCGAGGGCTCCCGATCTGGCGAAAAAACCAGCTCGTGAATGCTATAGGTTCCATTCCTACCACACGTCATGAAATATGGCAGTTCTGACCCCCTCTCCCCGTACAGTGACGCAAAGGAAGTGATAAAGCTGAGCCCTTCGCGGCCGTGTACCTTGCACGAAGGCATCACCGGATGGATAACATCTGAGGCTACAACTGGGTAGACTGCGAATGAACCAGTCATGGATCCGAGTGCAAGGTACTGGTCATTATGAATCAAGGCTGCAGTCGACACATTGAAGCCGTGAGGCAGATCAAGTTTGACCCTATCCACGTATGGCTCCGCACCGTCTGGCAATGTAGCCAAGAACAGGTCGGCCTTTTCAGCTTTAGGGTAAACTGCAACAAATGACAAATGCGCAGCTGTCTCGGCTGTGCTAGGTTGATACGTAAGAGCGTACAAACCCACCGGCCTTTGGCCAGCATCAACCACTTTAGTGAGTTTTCCGGTGTTGTGGTCATACAGACGTATCAAGCCTCGAGCGTTGCCCAGAAGAGCTATACTTCTCTGTGGCAAGCCCGTAACGACTGAATAAGAGCGCAAGTCTTCCTCGACTGTCAGAGTCTCTTTGAAGATATGCTGTGTACTCGAGCTGCCAGTGCCAATTCGTCCGATCTGGATTTCACCCCTCACAGTTGTGGCAATAAACGAGCCCTGCGAGAGAAATCCAAACCCTTTAGTCGAGGTTTCAACACGAGGTTCGTGGCTTCCAGCATCGATCGACGTGGCGATTCGGTTACGAAGATTGGGCAGAGTCACATCTCCATCGTCATGCGTTTCGATGGTGAAGCTCTTCACAGCGCCATCCGCACCACCCGTATAAACCAATGTACTTGTGTTGGTGTGACGCAACTCAAGGGACCAGATATGCTTGCCCGTGTGCTTACGCACGGACATGGTCTCAACAAGTTGAAACTGGGGCTTGTCTACCGAGGATGGGTCCCAGGTCAAATCCCAGAGCAAGCATGTAGCATCTTCACCACGCGAAAGCAGATTTATTTTACCGGGGCCTTGCTTGATAGGCAAGAAATGGACACCCCAGATACGGGCCAAGTGGCCGAATGCACTCACGAGCATCGACTCAGACCCAAGCGCGTTGTCGTCCACTCCAGCGCCAAATCCTGTGCCGCGCAGTTCGAATCCGTCGGTCGAATAGGCGGGAGTATCGTGACGAGAAGTGCGCTCGCAGTCAGAGATATCCCATATTCTAACGGTTCTGTCATCACTACAGCTAGCCAATAGTCGCCCATCGAGATCCCCGTGCAAACGAGGGATCAAAGGAGAAATTGTGACTCCGAAAATCGACCCTTCATGACCCGTGAAAAAATGATGGATTGATCCACTCGCACTTGCGGAATCATCCTCAGCTAAGAAGCACGACCAAACTATGATCTCACCAAAGACGGTGCCAGCAGCCACTAGAATATGGCTTTCGGACAGCGAAAGAACATTCGCCGAGTAAAGGATGGACTTCACACCAGCCACAAGTTGACGAATCTCGATGCTCTTGTCGTACTTAGCCCCGGCCTGTCGAACAAGCTGGACTCCCAAGAGAGCATTATGAGCAGTGAGCATGTAAGCATTTTCGGTTTCACCATGCGTGTCAGGCGCGCATCCGGCCAAGATCCAATCCGGCGCCAGGTACTCTAGACTTGAAGCTTGTATGCTTGCAGTCAGCTCCTTGTCATCGAAGCTTAGACTGAATGCTCGCACGGACTGCCCTCCCCAGGCAACAAACTCTACATTTTGTTCCTGTTCTGGCCCACCGAGCGCAACGATTCCGTGCACATGATTCCTCTTGAACACTTTCAAGTCGGCGAGCAGACGTCCGCTTTCCTCGTGTATGAGCCGGACATAGGTCCCTTGGCTCTGAAGAAGGAGCTTTACGTCATTCAAAGCCAGCGCCTTGAGCGCAGTGACCGGGACACAAGTGTCAATATGCTGGCATGCGTATCAGCAACAGCACCGTCGCCTGCGAATGGGTCGAACAACCACTCACCTCGAGGGAGGAAGTCATTGATGCTACCAGCACGACACATTGGGTCCGCTTGGTTTAAGATTGCTTGTCACTGACCTCTAAGCGGTGGCTTTCCCCGCGTGGAGAATCATTCCCTCGCTCAAAATTCCAGAATTTCCGTCCATTGTGAGAATGCTTAGGTAAGCTAAACGCCCACTTTCCCGATGCAGACACTGTATCACGTGACCTTTGTCGCTCGATGAGAATCGTTTAGTTATTCAGGGCAACAGCAATCACGCAAGCCTTATAGTTACTGTATCCTGTGCTAAGCTTGACTGCAGTATGCTTTCCTCAAGTCATGATAATACTAGATGATGCTCTGTCTGGAACGCGGCGAAGCGCCGCAGGCTCCAACTTGTTTCGTTATGTCCGTGCTCGCGCTTTGTTCCATACTAGATCTACTCGTACAAGCTTCTTGGGGCTTTCTAGGAGCTCGATGATTTGACGGCTCACGAGGTAAGGAGCTACACATGCTTGCGTAGCTCATCTGAAACATAAGCGGATTGAGCCGTAGTCGTAAGACACCGATCAACAGGCACAGGGGTAAACATGCTGATCAATGTTTCGTGCATAGCGTGCTGGGCGCTGAGGTCCTGCAGCAGAGCCCTTGATGTCGATGAGAAGCTAGGTGCATGCTGACCTCTGAGCGGATCAAGCTTAATTTTGAGCACGGTGACTTTGTGTTGATGGGACTTCGCAGGGTCAGGACTGGCCGCTCAAAGATGTCATAGGGGTCAGTTTGTTCGGACAATACTAGGCACACCAAGAAAGTCGTTGGTGGACAACCATGAACCGCTGAGGACAACGAGGTACAGAACTCAATGGCTTCCTTCTCCTGATCCACTTCCCAAACTGCATGGAAAATTTTTTCAGCTATCGTCATACGTCTCTAAGCGGTGATGCCCCCCCACTGTTCGTCATGATGTTGCAGTACAGAACCTTTTGCCAAGCCAAGCGATGGCAGGAGGTTTGGTGCTGCATGGTCCGAATGCGGAGACGGTCGATCAATGCGACCGAAGAACACTGTATCTGTGCGGCATAGGAGCTTAAATTATAGACCCGCATAAATCTGAGACTCGCAATTTATCTCGGTGCTCTAGTTTCCAAAGTGCGGCTTGGTGGGTAGTTGCGAATCATTTGTGGTCCGAGAATCTCCATGGGACTGGGAATCGCACGAGCAGGAAAATCTTCAAGTTCCCTTCTTCACCGACAGGAGGTGAACCCAGAAATTTCGGGCAGCCATGCAAACCTTGACTGAACTAGCTCCCAAGCGGCGTGATATGACTGCATCGCGCAAACTCTGAACTGTAGCTTCAACTTCTGTCCGTCCATCGTAGGCAAGCGATCGATGACATCAGATATGGGGAAGGTGTTTCTCTCGGATCGCGATGACGTCGCAAATGGGACGATGGGACGGAGGGTAGTATATCAGCCCTTCCTCAACGATTTGGCTTTCTCTTCTTTTCCTTTCTGCTTTGCATAATTCGATCGAATGCTTTCGTGTGTGTCAGAGTGGACTTGATTGAGAAACTTGATCGAGAACAATTTATTTATTTTGTGTGCTGTGATTTGTTCAGTCAGACAGCAGTGTTAGTTGTTCCAATTGTGCCCTCTTCCTGCCCGACTGACCGACGACTCCGTCAACCGAATCGGGTTAAGGCTGTCTCCGCAGTCTCGACGTCACCAGCCTCCCAGAGCGTTGCAATCGCCCACTTCTTTTCTCTAGTCAATCAATTAGTGCTTCTATCTTGCAAACTGCAAGGGGATCCTCAGTGTCATCGATCCTCGAAAGATCGTTTAATCGGTTAGTGCCTCGCTCAATCCACGGCTTTTTTAGTCGATCATCAGTCCACTGATCCAGATCTCGAACCGGTTGCAGTTCCCACCCCAACACTCATCGGTCTCTCTTCCGTCGCATCCCGTCGCACCCTCGGCCACACGTCACTCCTGCGCAAAAAAAAGGTCGACCTTAGAAAGGATCCCGACTTTCCATTCTTACCGCAATCCTTTCCTGCGATTTTTCCCTTCCTGTATCCTCACTTTCCCATCCTACCTTCCATTCACATTGAGCCTTCGCGATAACCGCGAGTAACTTTGTCACCATGCATCGCACCTATTCTATGCGCCAGTCGCGCGTTCCCACTGCCTCGCAGATTGAGAACCCTCCCCCGCCATTGTCTTCCACCAAGTCGAACAGACTCTTCGGGAAGGGCGGCTTCGGTGCGTGTTTCTCTTCGGGGCTCCCGAGCTCGGTCACGGTCCACTTCTATCCTGCTAACACGATTAAGGTACAGGCCATGCTTTGCGCAAGAACGCCGCCGGCGCCTTCGGGCCAGATCTAGCCCGGAAGCTCTCGCAGTTGGTCAAGATGGAGAAGAACGTCATGCGTAGCATGGAGATGGTGTCCAGGGAGCGCATGGAAACTGCTGTATGTTATGAGGGGTGCGATATTCCGAGGGAATAGTTTACTGACGTCAGCAGCAACAACTCTCCATCTGGGGCGAGAACTGCGATGAAGATGTGTCTGATATCACTGACAAGCTCGGGGTCCTTCTTTACGAAATTGGAGAACTGGAGGATCTATTTGTTGACCGCTACGATCAGTACCGTGTGACGATCAAGAGCATCCGCAACATTGAAGCCTCGGTTCAGCCCAGCCGTGACCGTAGGTTTTTCCAGAATGATGATGTTGCACACCGAAACTAATCGCACATTCTACAGGCAAGCAGAAGATCACGGACGAGATTGCCAAGCTCAAGTACAAGGACCCCAACTCTCCCCGCATTGTCGTTCTGGAGCAGGAACTGGTTCGTGCGGAAGCCGAGTCCCTGGTTGCCGAGGCTCAGCTCTCCAACATCACTCGCGAGAAGCTCAAGGCCGCTTTCCAGTACCAATTCGATGCGCTCCGCGAGCACTGCGAGAAGGTGGCTCTGATCGCCGGCTACGGCAAGCACCTCTTGGACCTGATCGACGATACGCCGGTTACCCCTGGTGAGACCCGTCACGCCTACGATGGCTATGATGCTAGCAAGGCCATCATCCAGGATTGTGAAGAGGCACTTGCCAACTGGGTCACCTCCAAGGCATCCGTCAAATCCAACTTGTCCACTCGCTCCCGCACCCTGTCGCAGCGTCGCCGCGAGAGCGCGAACAAGAGCCGCGAGGGAGTCGACCTCTCTGGCCAGGACCAGCCTCTAGGTCGTGATTCGTGGGTACCAGCTGACCAGCACTCATCCTACCACCACGATGAAGATGGCGAGGAGGTTGCCAGCACTCTGGACGGTGAAACTCGAGGCCGCGAGGAGGAGAGAGAGCCCGTCACAGCTGTTGAATGAGCTCGCCCAAGGATGCGATGGTTCCAGTCAATGGATCCAGTTGATAACATTACGTTTTTTTGAGGTTCCTGGAGTACTCCATTAATTATGTGAATTTGGTCGGTTTATGTCTGTCCATCGAGATTCCCGCTTGATGTGTTTTGTTGCTGTTGTGACATTGATGTGTTTCTCTTTTTTCTTTTTCGCCCCGGATGATTTATGATTAATCGATTCCGATTCCGATGACTATCCTGAGCAACAGAGAATAACGTCCAGGTGTGTACCCGAGCAGGTGAATTTGGGAGCGGTCACGTCTGCCGATGCCACAGGATAGAATATTTCGCGGGAGATTTCCTCTACTGTCTAATCGACTAATGTAATACTATACCACGTGCCAACTTGGCGGTGATGGGGAGGTACATGATGTGTTCTATTTCCTTTTCTTGGGTCGTGTTTCGTCCTGCTTGCAGTCGAGTTATCTAGGATCTGTGTAGTAATTGAATGACTTGCGATCGTTCCTAGAGTGTGAAGGGATTGTAGAAGATGGAAGATGGGTGCTGGAGACATAGCCGACCACAGGTGGGGAGCAAGAATAAACTGTCTTGAGTCTCCTTAACTGAGCCTTCTTGGAGGGAACCCATTCCATGGTCTAGCATTCTCACTCTACCAGCCGAGAGGATTAAACCACCATACCACCGTCTGAGGCAGCTAGGTCGCCTCTATGGACGAACTCGCTTTAACCCTGAACGGAGGCGAGCAGCAGGAACTCTTTACCGAGTCCTCAATCCCCATTGAAATTGACCACATCTTCGTGCCTGCTAACCACATAACGTGTTCGAACCATGCAGAAACAACCACTCCATTTCGCTAATGGCTGCCTCATTCTGAATCGCTTGACGAAGCTTCACCATCCACACGGCGGACTCGTGCTTTGGATGCGCAATACAAACCTCTAGCCTGACCAGACAGCATCTCATGCACGAAACTTGCCCAATGCTCACCGAATTTCGATCCTCTGGCGCAAAAAAAAAGCCGCACCGCCGCCTCCCTCGGTTTCCCTCATCCCCCTGGCCGTCTGGTCTGGTACTGCCTAGTATCGCGTCTCGAGCGCAATTCACAATCGACCCTACGGACGCAACCCTGCCGGCAGTGCACGTTCAGTCCGGCCCGGTGGTCTCCGCGCTCAGCCCGGGCCTCTAACTAGTTAACTAACTTACCCAGTCATGCTTACAGGATGTACAGCGTGGAATCCCCCGAGTCCCCGACAACTCGACTAGCCCCGGTTTACCGAGCCCGTCCCCGCCACCAGCCGAGCCGCAAGACAGCAGGCAGATGACTATATGACTATATGACTATACGCACCACCTGTGCCGCTCTCACATTAGATTCACGTGTACAAGCGCTGAATACACTATGCTCTTTTCAAAGTTACTTGTCACCTTTCCGGGTTTTTGGGTTCTAGTCTTTCGAATGTGCACTGCGCGGCGTTTTTTTAGAGTAGATTGGTGAGTCTATGTTCCGGCCTTGTTCTACCGGAACTGCACATATGGTGGAAGGGTTTGTGTTTCTTGTGTTGGTATAGTCTATATTATAGTCAGCGAGTAAGGCCTTGCATGGCACGGACGGCCATCAGTCTCTCCTGGCTAGGGCTGACTTTCTCGTGGTCGAAATCTATCTTATATAGGACTGGTAGTCGGACAGTCGGGAGCAGATACTTCTGGTTACGCTGGTTACGCGTTAAAGCTATCCGGTCCAGAGAACACTGTGGGTGGTTCGCCTGGCGCGGAACAATGGCGATGTCGAGGCTTACGTCGTTGGGAAGTTGGTTAATGGTAGTTACTGTGATTTAGTCGGTCAGCTAAGAATAAATGACCCCTGAAGGTGCAAGCCTGGGCATCGGCATCAAAAAGATAAGAAGAAAAGGTGGTGTACCGCATCTACACACATGGAGCGTCGTACGTGAGGTTAGTGGAAAAAAGTAAAGTCCCTACCCCGTACACGTTATGTGTTCAATCGCAGTCACCCAGATTTGATTAACCAAAGGAGGTACTCCGTGCAATTCCTACCCACGACTCCCGCATTGATTCCTGCAACCTAGGACTTAGACTCAGAGTGTAGCAACAAACGCCACTCCAATTCTCTCTCCCTTGCTCCCACCCCATTCCCATTCCCCTTCTCACAGTGTTACCCTCGGGCAGGAATGCCGAGGTGTGGGTATGGGTGACACATACTTGTGGGGTGACTCGAACGATGTACGAACTAGTTTCAGTCTGAGCAACAGAATATGCCCCCGTGGGGAGGAGGGGGGGGGTGGGTGTGCAGATTTGGGTGATTTGCGCTCGTGATGGCGCCATTCCTGCTGGGGGTGGATTCATCATCATCATCATCGCTCCGGAGGAGTTCTGACGGGCAGATCCGCGGCGTATCCGGAGGCAGTGTTAGCTACTGTACTCCGTGCAGGAGGATGGATCATTACTACCAGTTGGATAATCCAATTTAGTGGGAGGAAAAAATTGGGTCTTCTGATTCAGATCAATTTGGTAACCTCCCTAGAAAGAGACCCCAGGTTGCGTTGGGCGTCTCGGATCAGCAGCCCAAGCCTATACGATAAACAAATACTATATGCACTGGCAGCTTGGAATGTAGAGGTCAACTCGGAAATAATAGACGAAGAAGCACAGTAGCGCACCACCCATACTCCTCAACTCCGATCTGTGGGCTTAGTCAGAAATAGCAAGGGCCGCGCGCGACACACCAACTCGCAATGTTATGTATATATGAAACGAAAGGCGCGTCGCTTCCTTATCCCGTGTCCCTGCCCCGATAAGATATGACACCCCAAATATGTAAACTGAAACAGAATCAACAAGCCCATACATATAACCGCCCCTCATATACCGGCACATGATGGTAAGGAAAAACAGGCCTGGGTCGCGTGCACGCACAGATAAGAACATATGGTTAGAGGAAAAAGAAAAAAAAAACACACACACACACACAAGTAGAAAGGTCATTACATCGTCATCTGACTTTCCATGCGAGGATGGATCCACCAGCCTTTCATAGCGAAGGGGTATGAGAAAACAAAGAAAAGCAGATGCGAAGAAGCACCCAGTGCCTGATCGAGGATGAGAAAGAACCTCCAACCTGAAGGAGGCGTGGGCGGTTCAAACATGTCGCGTGAGTAGAGATTCAAATGTAGGTTTTTATGCGGTTTTCTTTCGGTTTGGCTCACCCCCTTCTCTCGAAAGGGGCTCAGTTGTCGGTGCCCACGCCCTTCTTTTTGGGTTGAATATGTTTCTGGCCGGGCGCCGTGACGCTGGAGCCTTTCGAGGACAGGGCGCTGCTGTCGGTCGGGGGCGGTGCCAGTCGGGTCGAGCTGGCTTCGTGCTTCTCGGTGAGCAGGTTCTTCAGCCAGCGGTTCTCCATCTCGAGCTGGGCCACGCGGGCCTCCAGCGAAGCGTTCTTCTCCGTCGTCTCGCGCACGGTGCGTTCCAGCGCCTGTTCGCGCTGTTTCTTCTTCATGCGAAATCGGGCGCTGGCGGCCGTGTTCCGGCGGCGGCGGTCCTCTTCGGCGGCGCGACGCACGCCCTCCTCTTGACTGAGAGCTGACGCGAGGTGGTCGCCCGGGATCTGTGTGCTGTACTTGGTGTTGGTGATAGCACCGTTCGGGGGTGAAATGGACGAAGAAACATCCGACGGAGTCAAAGCCCCGGGGACGTGCCCCAGATCATCGTGGGGTCCATATGAGATGGGGGGGTAGAGTGGGTGAGCTGGATAGGAAAGCATTTGATCTGTTGTGAAACTGTCAACACCAAGGTCGAGGACGGACAGCGATAAGATAAAGAAGCCACAGTGGAATGGGGAAAGGGGGTGGAAAGAGACAATGGAAGCGGAAGCAGCAAGATATGGGGCACATGGAAGGGGATCTTGGTACACCAAGGGATGAGAGCTTGGCTTAAGGGTCCGTCACTGACAAGGCTTCCGACGGTGTCATTGGTGTGCACGATTGCGTGCTCACATAGAGCATTGCACTCATCACCGGACAATCACAAGTCCCCGGAAATAGATTGGTCACAACGTGGGCAGTCCCGACAGCAAGAACCCATTGCGCACGAGAGTAGAAGATTTCTCCAGAGTATTCAAGGAATGACTCTTCCGCAATGAATCCATCATGGCAGAGTCCGAGACAGCGGTAAGGGATAGACAGACACAACACGGGGGGACAACAGAAAGGCACGAGCCGGCTTGGAAAGGAATGGAATGGCAAAGCCACAATCTCCATCAGGCAGCCAGGTAAGACATCCGATCAATCAATCGATAACGAGTTAAAAACCCCGTTTGCTGTTACATGCTTTCCGCAGTAGCTCCAGCACATCCCATCGGAGCGCCGTAGGGCCAGAAATTGCAAAAAATAAATCAAAAACGAACCACAAAGCTTGAAGATGGCGCCAACAATGCAACAATGAGAGACATCTATAAAGAGATCCAAAGTTCCGACTTACCATAATGCGGATATCCTCGCACATCGATGGGACTGCGCTCGTCCTCAATGCTGTCATATGAACTGACGGAAAGGCCGCCCATGCCCTCGGTCTGGTCGTAATCCATATTCAGGTTCTGGAAAGAGGCCAAAGCCGTCGACTCTGCATCAAAGGAATATTGTCGACTCTTGACCAGGTTGGGATCGTGTCGAGAGAGAAGGAAGTTGAAGTTTTCGAGCCTATCGAAGCTCGAGGCTGTCTGACGAGCGAGGTTTTGCTCATCTGACATTTTGGCAGTGGTGGGCTTTTTAGAGGATTTTCTTGATCTCTTGTCCTCTAAATTAGGTTCTGGGTTTTATTAAAATTGATTTTCCACGACCTAACGAGTTGCCCCCCGCGAGGATTGCTGGGGTGGCTTGCTTTTGCTCCCCGAGCCAACAGAGAGAGTGATAGATGACCGCCAGAGCCAATGTCGAACCCCGGATCAGCACGGTGAAGAGGGGAGAGGTCACTGTTGGGTCAAGAAGAACAAATGATCCAAAAGGTACAAGGATAAATTTTTTAATTTTGTTTTTTTTTTCTTCTGTCTTTCAGCTGGAAGAGGCAAATGTTGGGAGGTGACTTGTAGCAAAGATAAATTGTTTCCGCATTCGCTTCTTGATCATGGCATGGCCCGAGAGGGCGAGCCACGTACGCAGAAGAGCACGAGTTAGAAGACGGGAATAGGACACAATGAGTCTAGGCGAGTGGATCAAACCCAGGAGGAATGGGGAATAAGGAGAAAGGGAAGGGAGGGGCGGGGGGGGGGACAGTGGGTGGTGTGGGAGGCGTAGGAGCAGGAGATGCAGGATCACACAACAGTAGGAAAGAGACAGCAGTTAATTGGGACTTGGAGCATGTATCATTCAGACAAAAAGATGAGAAAAGAAAAGCATCAAGCGGGGGAAGCAGCGAATACGGGCAGTAATGGTTGATCGTCTCATGGCCCGGCCAAGGCTAGCGGATGATCTGATAGAATGGAGAAATGTCGTGATCGCAAGCTGTGGTTGGTCAATTTGACAATCTCGGGACACTTCAATGTAGCTTCACCGCTCGACGGCAGAAAAGGACTGGGAGGGAGATAACAAAGTATGTGAGGAAAAGGGAGGAGAGCAGGGGAGGAAAGGGGGATTATATCAATGATATCTGGGGCAATAGTGGTTATTGTGAGCACAATAGGGACTTCCAGAACAGTGTAAGGGTTTTAAAAAAGAACAAACAGTTCTGGGGAAGTGGGTAAGTGATTAGGTGTACACCGTTCTACGAGCTACAAGGGAAGACATCTGAATGGGCAGGAAAGCCAGAGCGCGGGCGGACGTCAACACCGCGCAAAAGGGGAATCCGACCCGCTGATGAATGGACGGACCCAATCAGTTCCTGACTTCCTGTCACTGCAACCCGGTGCACATTCGTCATCAACTGTTTTAGCAGTAAAGTCAACTACACTAGTTGTACAAACTGGCAACGCGTACTTACTGGCATGGCCGAGATGTGCTGGTCACAACTTCAGACAAGAGAGCATCAACAATGATGATCAATTGTTCCGCAAGTGGATATCAATCTGCCAACTTCTTGAGTTCCCAACCCACCACACACAATACTTCCGTGCTTCATCCCGAAATTATTCAGGGGAGGCTCGCGGAACTTACATCATTTTGGCTTAGACAGTTTCCACTGGTCGAGCCTAGCCCCAATCTATCTCCAGCCCCATTTCACGATTCAGGACGCTCCCACTCCACCAAAACAATAATGAGTGCTGTGGGTGCTGCTAAGCTCCCTGCTCCTCCTTTCCTTCTCCCACTGCGGAAGAATCCGTAGCCACTCGATGGTCTCTGCCACCTGATGCGGACGACGCCGTTGATTTTTTGAATGAGATTTGATGCCTTGCACGTCTTGGCGCCTTCTTTCTCCCTCTTCGACTCTACTACTCCGTACTCTCCGATTTCAATCCTCATAGAGCTCCCTTCTGCCGAACGAACCAGGCACAGATGACCTCGCTCGCTGTCCATGTCTTTCTCTTGCTGCCGTGGTTTCCCCGAGATTCGTTGGGACGCAATTCTCCGTCTTTCCCTGATCGACCAGACAGATCAAGCGGTGAGCTGACTCGATATCTTGTTGTTGACCACCGACTACTTCCACACTCCTCAAAGACAGATTCTGCATCATCATCATCATCATGTGCGTAGATCCACGAGCGTAGCTCCTCACTCTATTTCGATCTGAATGCATACCAGCCAGGTGTCTCGGGAGGGACACTGGTTTATACCGATGACGGCTTCATCTAGGCAATGGCCTTCAAGTAGTCCCTGATCAACCTCTCTCTTTGTCTCAGCTGGATCCTCTCATCCAGGATCCAACTCCGGCGGAAGCTTGACACCCACCCCGAGCGGCCCATATGTACATGTCCGCTATGACCCAGACCACATACAGTACCATTTCCCGACGGCCGAGTGGCAGCTTCACGCTACTTCTTCGTAGTTCGCAGTAGTCTCGTCTCCAACTCGTCCAGCAGTCCATGTCGTCAACATCTCCTCGTCTCACCGTGTGGTGTCTGATGTGCTTTTATCCACTTTCGCCATCTACGAGAAACGCCAATTCCCAGCATGCTTCGCGTAGAGCTTTCCGGTTGGTTGGGTAGTGGTTAGCCACTCGAAATAACAGTATCGAAAATCTTCATACGTAATATGGAGCACTGCCAACGTACTACATCCCACGTACTCATCAACTGATCGTTCTATATACCTTTCTACTATATGGGATGCTTCGGTCGAGTAGTCCGTCCTCGCGCCCGAGGAGCAATTTCCACAAATGGCACCTCGTCCAACTTGCGTGGCCGCGGCGGGCATCGCTCCAACTTCTTTCTCCGTGGTCTCGCCTTCAGAAGTACATCAATTCTCAAATCAGTGCTATCAAGCAGCAGGTGCTTGTGAGCTGATTATGTCGGCCCATTTCTGCTTCGCCTTCCAGGTCTCGTGAGAAAATGAACTTAGCTTTTCAACAAGGTGACAGAGGCAAAATCTTCTTTCCATGAGTTCTCAAAGCATTGAATGCAAGCACGACTCTATTCTCCCACCAGTACCTCTTGTCGAAGTTGCAGCAGTCTCGAGTACCGCGAATCGCAGACCGGCTATTGTACATCTACTTGGTCGCTATAGGCAGTGAGTCGATTGCTCTTACTTACCCTTGTTCCAGTCAGTCGATGCGCAAAAATGCTGACGTACTTCCGTGTCCTAGACTTCCAGACCGGTGACCGAGCGTCAAAACACAGCGCGGGGCAACGCGCCGATTCAGAATGCGGGGAAGAATTGGATGACTACTAGTAAACTAGTCCACTATCTTCATGTTCTGGAAGGTTTTTTTTTGACAAGGGCTTCCAGAGCTTATTCACATCTATTTCGAGACGAGCTTGCCACGGAAGCAACCCCTTCACACGGGCGCAACACCGCTTCGACTCCCTCACTACTTAGCTTCAGTCGTACACGCTATGCTCCTCAACGTCGGAGACCAGCAGTCGATAAAGTCACATTCGTTTGCACACAAGCAGGATTCGGGAAAGATACGGCTTTACCCGCTGGAGACAAAGGAAGAGATCGATACAACGCCAGAAAGAAGCTCACACCTTTAATCCTGATGCTAGCAAGCAGGACCAGAACTTCGGGACTTGGCAAGGGGGCATAGTCTGAGTGAGAGATTTTGTATCGTTGTGAGGATATTCTCACGTCGGAAGGAAATCTCAGTGCTGCCGTCCGACACGGAATTTGGAGGTGCCGACTTCCCGAGCCTCGACAATCTCCTCCAGCATCGGACCGACCCATTAATAATCTCTTGCCATAAGGGAGGGAACACCAAAAAAAAATATGTCACCAGGCAAATGAAAATCTCCAAGTCGGCATCCTGAATCTCTTTGCTTTAGGATTTCCTGCTGCTAGTGCACATACTCTCATCTGCAGTGTTTTCTGCCACAGCGATATTGCGTTCGTGCCGCTTCAACACTGTTCAACTGGGCAAATAAGCAGTGCACTACTTTTCCCGAATTCTCCTGCACTAAACGGAAGCCAGGCTGCTAAGAGCCTAAGGCCCGATCCATCCCGCGTAGCGCTGTCATCTCCTTGGACGTTCAACCTCTGTCCTCCTAAATATCGCCTGCTAGACTGGGGTCATCTACCTAGCCTATTCGCGCCTCCTTCTTGTCTGTGTTTCGCACTTGTTCATCGCGACTGGATGAGTAATGCTTGCCCTATTGCTATATTGCATATGATTACATTCCCTTCCTGTGAGCCTTTGAGGTGATCCACCAGGCCGGAGTATGGGCCCGTTCGGTTTCATGGTCACAGCAGCCGATTGCTTTGTCAAACAGAGTCATGCAGAGGCAAGATCTGAAAACTGATCAACCGTCCTCTTGGCACGTTCAAACTAGTCCTCCCCTTTCAACAAGCATAGGCCCAAGCAGTGGCCAGGACTTGGACAGCCGGAGACGAAACCCACTGGTAAGCAAGTCTCGTCCCGCCGCATACTCAAGAAGAGCACGTTAGTAAATGTTAACAGGCATGCGAAACATGTTACAAAAGGAAGATCAAATGTGAAGTTGAAGGGTCTAATACCGCTTGCATTCAATGTATACGTCGCAATATAACCTGCAAATTCACTACAAGGAAGGAAAAGAGGGAAGCACTCAAAAGGTAAGACACTCCCATCATTTTCAGGAAGGCCGCACTAAGGATAAGTCAGGACCCAATATGTAAGAACGTTAGAAGAACGAGTCAGGAGAACAGAGTCGCTGCTTAGAGCTGCTGGCCTGTTAGATGAAGAGTTCTCACTTCAGGATGAGTATCCGATTGAGGACGGAGATGATCCCGACCAAAATATGGAGTCAGATGACGATCTCATTTCTCCCTATTTCAGTCCCCGTGGTGGCGCCAGCAGGCGCAACTCTGGACTGTCGGCTTCGGATGTTCCAAGCGCTAGGGTAGACGCACAAGCTCAGACTACCAATGAGATGCGCAAGGTACATGCTACCCCGGACTCTCCCAAGGGCGGACCTCGTGCAGTCCTCAAATCTGACCAGCCCCATGCCCCTCTCTTCGTTATGGACAATAGAGAGGAATATAGATACTTTGGTGTGTATGAGACTTCTACAATGATCCTGTCCACAACCTAGACTAAGGCAATCTCTAGGACGATCATCATCAATGTCTATTCTGTCCCGAGAAGGACTTGAATGGATCAAGAGGAGAACCGGTGAGACTAAACTTGTGAGTGTTGTATTTTCCGACTCCACTCGAGATAGCCCTTGGAACTATTGGCGACCGGACGTCTTTCATGATATCTTCACCTCTGAAGTTTTCAAGCCATTGCCTCCTCGAGCAGAGGTGTTCGCTTTATTGCGCGATTACTTTCGTACAGTGAACCGGTTGTTCCCGTTGTATCATGAAGCAACGTTCATGCAGCTGGTTGAATGGCAGTATACGCAGCAGACTTGTGATGATGCCGCGCGATGGGCTAGCATCAACATCCTCCTGTCGCTGGCCTATGAGTATCGATTCTCCAATTGTCAGAAATCCGAGAAAGATAGAGAGAGAGCGTGGCTTTATTACAAGAATGCCATGTCAGTCTTCGTAGAGCTGTCATTGAGGAGGACCGACCTCCTTAGCATACAGGCTCTTTTGGGCATGGCTCTTTTTCTCCGCGGAAATTCTGGAACACAGTCGTCCTTGCCAATCATAACAGCAGCCTTACAAGCCTGTCATCGCATGGGACTACACCGCAACATTGCGAGGCCTCATCTTTCTCCTGCTGAGCAGGAGCAAAGGCGCAGAGTGTTTTGGGTGGCTTATATACTTGACCAAAGGTGAGTCAACTCAGACATTCACCTTACCGACAGATTCACTCAGGAGCGATTTGCCTAACGATCCTTGTCTATCTAGTACATGTATACGCGCGGGAAGCAGCCCCATCCAGAATTATGAGGACTTCGACGTGGACTTCCCGGCCGATAACACGGGGGATGCATTCGTGAAGTCCACACATGATTCTTTCTTCCGTCAACTGTGTAAAATAACAGTGATCAAGAGTCGGATGTACAGCAAACTCTACTCTACGAAGGCTCTAGAACACAAGTCTCCTGCGGTAATCTTCCAGGATATTCGAGAATTACATGCAGAACTTGAGGAATGGAAGGATGCCAATCCTTTCGATTGTCAACTAAAAAAGAGAGGATCAGGTCAAGACTTTTTGCTCGGATTCGCCTCCGCTGGTTTACAATTTGCCTATTACAATACCATGCTCATGATTCATCGTCTTCCAGTCCTACTTCATTTCGCGTCAATGAATCACATTGCACAAGGACATCCTGTTCCAGATCATTACAGCTTGATTTTGAGCGAAGCTACGGCCTCTTCGGAGATCTGCTTACAAGCTGCCCGTGACACCTTGAAACTGATCAACAACCTTCCCTGGGGCGACATCGCATGGATTTGGTATGGTGCTTCCAAGAATCAATGCTCTCCTAAATACTGACATTGTGTAGGTCTCTTCTGTATTATGTGTTTCTTGCAGTAATGAACATCTTTGTCAACATCTTGAAGAACCCTCAGCACCCTAAAGCCAAAGAAGACCTTCAATCCCTCACCATGGCTGCGACTTTCTTTGCGACACTCATTCCTGGCGATGGACCTGGTCACTATGCTCGATTCATGACCAAGATGAGTGCCAACTTTGAGCGACTCGCTCGCAATCTTCTCGAGCGAGATCAGAAAGTGGTTAAGCCCGGCGACATGAAAAGCAGTTCTTCTAAACGCGAGAACCCTACGGGATCCACGACCCCGCTGGATCACACTTCTCACTCTCTCCTCCGAGAAACTGGCCTGGGCCCTCAATCGAAAACCAGATTGCGGATATCTACTTCATCATCCTTCTCCGTCACCCACAATATTACACATCATATACCTCCCAACATCGAAGGCCTCCCTCAAATCAACTCATCAGGCTATGTTGTTCCCGATAATTTCAGTCCGGTCCTCGAACATGAAACGTCGGCAACCCCTGCACCTCATCCTCTTCCAGCAACATACTCCCTACCGCCACAAGCACAACCTCAGAGTCGAACTGCCCCGCAAACTCCCCTGCAACCTACCGAGACCTCCTCTCAACAGCCACCTTTCGATCTAAGCAGCTTGGATACCGGCTTCTTTCCCGTCTCTGTGAACAGCGACCATTTTAATTTCGGCCAGCCAGGTCTATGGCAAATCCCTTTGACAGCTGACTGGGAATTGTCGCCTCAAGCCCTGGACGGCATTTTTGGCCTCGACCTGGGTTATTCCGTCCCAGAAGCAGCGCAACCGCCCACGATGATTGGCCTCAATAGCATGGGGAATCTGGGCGCGCAGCCGCCGTCACATTTCCAACAACCGAACCCCGGTGAGCAGCAGCAGCAGCAGCAGCAGCAGCAGCAGGCTCTGGGCCCGACACCACCGGATCTGGGACTGCCGTATAGTTCCCATACCGTGCCGCCACCGAGAAATGGGCGTCAAGAACAGGGCGCCACACCTAATGCAGCAGCAGAACAAGCCATGCAGGCGAATGCGATCTGGACGAATGGCCCGTTTTCCGGACCATTTCCATTTCTCATGTAATCTGTGGGTAACCAGGTCTGCTGTTCGATTTCAAGTACAAGTGACAGGCAGACTGGCTGTATGAGTTTTTTCAGAAGAAAATATCCTATGCATGCTTGTTCGTTGTATATGGACAGAACATGACGAACTTAATGAATCTTGGCGCACTTCTCTTTTTCCTACATTCTCATGACCTATTTGTTCAAAAATCTGGGACACGACATACATACTCACATATCATATCTCGCATTTGTGCATATACTTAGATCTTGATAGCAAATGGATCCTCATTGTTTAATGTAGTATCGAGCTAACTACTTCCTAAGGTAACAATGATCGAATGCACCGCGGCAAACTCCACTTACTAAACCCGTACCGAACACATATGCAGAACTCCCCACACGCACTTTCTGGAAATTATCAACATGGAAAGCGAGGGGAAAGAAAGGTTCGATATGAACATTGAAATGGAACAAGAACGCCTGAAAACACAAGATCAAAACAGCCCAGCGAGTCCCACCGTCTCTGATTCCATAGAGAAAGCAAAGCCATTCCGGAACTCCCCTTTCATCAAACAAGAATGCAAGGCGTCAATAACTTTGGATTTTGATTAAAAGACGGTTCCGGTCAACTTCCTCACCGCCGTCCGCCAGACTCCACGGCCGAGTTTGACCTCGCTCTCGGGCGAGGAACTAGACCCCAACAGACCCTTGTTCAGGATACTCCGCATCTCCGTCTCCGAGAGTTCCTTCTTGGTCTTGCTGCTGCTGTTGAAGCCGTACACTTTGCTGGCCAGGACGTCGGTCTGTAGATCCAGCTGTCCGATGCCCGCACCGTTCTCTGGGGGGATGATGCGGGTCTGGACGGCGAAGTCGACGTCGATTCGGGAGGGGGTTGTTGCTCTAGTCGGGTTCGAGTTGGTCGCGGAGGGAAGAGGTGCAGGGCCGAGGAGAGTGCAGCGCGCGCGAAGGGATGGGGTTTTGGATCCGGTGGCTTCACCATTGAGGAGCTTGAGCTTGGTCACCCCGCAGAACTCGAGAAGGCGGGCTTCTTCTTCGAGGTTAAGGGTCAGGTCCCATGCTTGGGCGATGAAGTGGAGAAGGTCTTTAGGGGCGGTGCGGGAGTGCGGAATGGTGGTTAGATGGGCCTGGAGGGAGTTGAGGACGAGGGGGGTGATGGCGGAAAGGTGCGGAGTTGCGGGGTTGTTGTGCTTCATAGCATCTGGGGTGGGAGCGTATTTGAGCGTGATGGGTGCGTTGGTGCGCTTGTCATTAGAGGCGGAGCTGCTGCTGTTGTTGCTATTGATGAGGAAGGATGCAGGGTGGAACGTGAGCTGAAGCTGACGCTGGTAGGACATAGTCACCGCTGGACCTGCAGGACTGGAGCCATCCGACGCCGTCGCTGATACGATGCTCCAGCCGGTTTGGCACTCGATGCTGCGCACTGACTCTTTCAATTCGCCGATTTCTTGCGCACTCCAGCCGCGGCATTCCGCCTTGATGCGTTCGGCTTCCTGGATTTGAGCCATGTATTCGGCTTTGACCTCCGTTCCAGTTTCAAGGATGCTAGTCTTGTCCTCAAGTTCGGCCTGCATTTCCTGCAGGAGCCTCTTCTTCTGCGCGATCTCGTCTTCAACGCCGGCAAGTTTCTCCCGCGCGCTGCGTAGCTCGTCCTGATCACAGTTCTCAAGCTCGTCTGCCAATTGCTGCAGGGTTGTGGCTTCCGCCTCAAGAATGGAGTGTTTTTCGATAAGAGCAGGTACTGTGTCGCTCAGAAGAGCCTCATGCTTTGCGAGAAGATCATCGTCTGCCTTCATATCTTGCACGTGACGAATGAGGCCATCCCTAAGACCTTCCAATAGCTTCATGCGCCACTCATACCATGTAGCTTTACTAAGAAGGCGAGCATGAGTCTTCACATTGCGGAATTGGTTATCCATTAGTAAGCGGACGTCCGGCGGAGCTGTCATGTATTCGCGGAACAATGGTGGGTTATCAGCCAGTGTCTCGGTCTCGATTGAACGAATCACCTGTCTGCCTTCGTTTATGTATGACTTCAACTCCCTACAAGACTAGACGGATGTCAGTAGTGTAGCGTTACTGAGCATGACAAGAACTTACATGTTGGAACAACTCAAGCAACGGCACGGTGCAGAAGCCAGCAGCCACGCACTCTTCAAAACTTGCGGGACTTCTTTCATTCTCGCTAGAAAGTCGAAGCATTCGTTTTCGAGCGCTGTCTGGTGCAGTAGTGTGCCTCCTTCTCGTGGTCGTAAGCTCCATGAAGTGAATGTTGGTCATGTTGAGGAATTCCTGCAGCTGTATTGGCTCGATCTCCGGCCCAGTCTCTTCTGCTGTCGTATCTTGCACCTCGGTTGTTTCCGTACTGACTTCAGTTTCCGTATTGTCTTTCACAGGACTCGCAGTGGCAGAGAACGTTCTCGATGCTTGTATTGGTGTCGTGCTGAATTTGAGCGGGGAGTGTGCGCTGGCGGACTTCGATGGAGACTGCAGTCCACGTCCAAGAGTGTCATTGGCCGAATGAGCTGGAAGCTTGAATTTCTTCACCGGGCTGCTATTCTCACGGCCTCTTAAGCGCTTTGGCGTGCTATCAGAGTCTGCATCCTCGTCCAGATCCAGCTCAATCGGTCTTTTTCCCAGCAGACCACGTGCGGCTCCGACATGCAAGCTCTTTCTACCACGAAGCTTATTCTTCTTGGGTGTCAGGCTTGAAATCATATCCTTGAGACTCGCCGTAGGATCCCTGTCGCTCAATTTCGGAGGTGAGATAAACCCATCTTCCCTATTCACCTCCTCTTCGCGTTCACGGTCCACCTCCTCCTGTAGCTTTACGGGGTCTTCAAAGCGTACGCCTTGCTTTGGCTGCTCCTGGGGGATAAAATCAGGCGCTTCTTCACCAATAGACCGGCGTTTGTCGAGCATAGCAGCCACTCGAGGCGATCCAAGTCCTTCCTTGTCAATACCAAGGCCGGAGGATCGTCTTGTACCATGTGGTTGCAGTACAAAAAGGGGAGCTGGTTTTCCATTGAGACTTTGCTCGAACAAGCTTCTGCGATTTGGTGATGTAGTATCGTTTGCAGATCCTTGTGCATTTGACTGAACCGGCCTTTGCGGCGAGGCGTTTTCTGCTTCTGCGTCTGCGTCTCTGGCAGACGACGTTGTTCTCGAAGTTAGAAGTGCATTATCCGCTGGTGTGGTTGAGTTAGACGGAGGGTCTACATTCTTCGGTGTGGATGCCTCAGGGGTACGAGGCGTAGGTGTAGTGGACGCTGCATGAATCGAACTTTGCCTCGATCGGCGGGTCCGTACACTTGCGAGGCTAGGACTGCCACTTTCCGATGCCACAGCTGCAACATGAAACGAGGCTGGTGCTCCGGAGTAAGATTTGGCTGGTGACTTGACTGGAGACTTGGCTGGTGACTTGGCTGGTGACTTGACTGGTGACTTGACTGGTGACTTGGCTGGTGACTTGGCTGGTGACTGCCGTACTGTCTCTTGAAAGGGCGAACTGTCCAACTGAGCGAGCTCGAGCTCCCGCTCTGGGGTCTCTCGGTCTTCGAATGATCTCTGCACCTCTGCCTCTGGTTCTAGGATTTTTCCTACGGCAGCAGTCATGTCCATCCCGATAGTATGGTCGTCATCTTCAGCGGCATTACTCTCCTGAGAGCCAGGAATAATGCCACCGATAGCCCCCGTGGTCTCCATGTCCATATCACCATCCATGTCTTCCCCGTTGTCCCATTCAGAGAAAACCCGTCCATTGTTCCCAGATTCAAAAGTGCTTTCTTGCTCACCAGAATTGTTCTCGTCCGTCGTGTTGACAAAGCCCAGTCTATTGAGTAGGCCACCGACGACGGAGGTGAACTCCATAGTCATCTCCTCATCTCCGTTTCTACTTTCCGCCCCTGTGGACTTCGCGGGAGAGACAGGCTGCGCGATTCCTCCTACGACGTTGGTAAATTCCATGGTCTGTTCATCGTAGTTGGTCTCCTCGCTTAATGACTTGCGACGTATTTCACTATTGCGACGGCTCGCGGGATTGGGAAGGATTCGGCCAATGGCATTGGTAACCTCCATGCTGAAGTCCTCGTCCATTGCATCATCTTCGTCAGCTGCAGCGGCGGGCGCATCGACCATTGATTTTGAAGGCGGAGCGTTTTCCTGGTCATATCGAGCACTGATGTCTGCCCAATCGAAACTCTCGCGCTGACCTTTTTTGATCCATGGCTGGAAAGCTCCTGTAATCTCTTGGTCCGCCATTTCCATAGACATGTCTCCATCGTCATCCTCAAAGTCACGGGTTCCAGCCTCACTAGCCGCTTGTCGCAAGGCTTCGTTTAAGCGAGCGCTGCTAGTGGTGGAATCGGAACCATCCGAATGAACCGAGGCCGCAGAATGAACCGACATATCATCCAAGCTCATAGCGGTGCTCTCGCCGTCGAATCCAGAAGCCGACGAGTTGTCGTCATCGTCACCATCGTCTCTCTGCATTCCCAAGTCTTCAGTCCCGTCTGCTGAGCTTCCGCTGAAGGGGCTCGAAAACATCTCCTGAGAAGAGCCAAGATCATCGTAGCTTCCATTAGTTGACTGGCTTTGTAGCTGCTGCAGGTCTGGATATTGTACGGGCGAGAGAGCGGCATCCGAATCTGCGTATGGATCAGGAGGGGAGGGTGGATCGGTTTGTCCGGCTTGTTCACTTTGGCGAGCAGGGGTCTGATTTCCAGAACCGGCTAACGATGACGCGCGCCTTGTCGAGTTCGCAGCGGATGAAGAAGTTGAGTCGTCGGGTATTTCTACCACGTTCCAAGTGTGCAATGTGGCTTCGGGAGCGAATGAAACACGGCGATTTGCTGTGATTTTCGGTAAGCAAAATGTCGACTGTAATCAGATCAGAGGGACATACCCATCGACTTGCGACGTGCCTCTCGCTTCTCCAGGATCATCTTGCGCTCCCGCTCCCGCTGCTCCTTTTCTTCTTTTTCCCTTGCGGCGGCCATCTCATCGCGAATGGATGCAGCGTTGAAGCTGTCAAAGGGGTTGGATCGGTCTTCTCCGAAGCTGTTTACAGCGGGAGCAGGAGTATCGAGGTCGATCAAAAGACCTTCCTCGCCCTGGGGGTTGCTTTCGTTGCTGCTACTCGGCTGCGACGCACGAGCCGGCGTTCGTTTGCGTGTTTCTTCGAATGTTGGAATAGTGCGCACGGGCGAGACAGGGACTGTTGGTTTGAGAATAGATTTCAAAGGAAAGGCCGCCGTAGACTGCGACAGCAGTGAGGTACTTTGTAAGCAAGATATATGCGACAGTCGAGAGGTTAAGGGCACCAAGTACCTTGCGCCGATTGCCGTTCGAATCCTGAAGTGCATCCAGACCCCCTGGACCTAAACTCTTGCTGCGAGACTTCTTGTCTCTGCCTGTTAATTTCGGGCGTCCATCAAGTGGCTGGGAAGAGCTGATCACTGTCGTTGCATTTTCTTGGTCGAGAGTCGAGGTCAGTCTCGACCGGGGAATATGAGCAAGAGAGCGACGAGAACGCGGACGGAGAGACCCCGCGGAGTCACTTCTGGACGCCATGGGTTCTCGTAGGCGTGAACATAGACTGAGAGGGTTACAAATCAAGAGAGAGTTGTCGCCTGAAAAGCCTCTTATACTGCGAAGCTAGGCAGCATAGCTAAAAGATCGCAACGAATGATCGTGGTGGGGGGATGATGATATGTGATGATAACCTGTTGTCGCAGCTAGTTATCATCAATCAACAAACCAAAAGTCACCGCTTTCCTTCCTAATCTCCCTCCCGTGAGCGCGTCTCCCGGCCAGGCCGCTCATGTGACCGAGCAGATGTAAACAAACCCAAAAACGGAAAGCCCTAGCCGAGTCCCGAAACAGACTAGCGCCCCCATCGCACATTCACACGGCGAATATCCGCCATCTTGAATAAATCTTCTCCATCATCGACGTCGACCACCGCACGCCCCGACACCCCCCCCTTCGCGACAACCCAGCTCGACTTCGCTTCCTCGTCGGACTGAACATATCGCAAAAATGGCCACCGAGTTGACCGTCCAGTCGGAACGTGCGTTCCAGAAGCAGCCTCACATCTTCGTCAACCCCAAGACCATCGCGAAGAGCAAGAAGGTCGCCTCCGGCCGCAGATGGTACAAGGATGTCGGTCTGGGTTTCCGTACCCCCAAGACCGCCATTGAGGGCACCTACATCGGTATGCACGACCTACACCAACTTTTTGCGGAGTGATCAAATCTCGATTTTTGCGGCGAGGGACGGAGAATTTCAGGGACCTTGAAGATGAGATTGCACCGGAATTCGACGACTGGGAGCGCGAGTATTACGATTATGGTCATGGCACGATAGACTGGTTCAAGAGAAGGACATTCATTTGCACACAATGACGAAGGACATGATATTGTGGATTATCGACAATGGAGCGCTTCGCGGGATTTGGATACTTCTGGACTATCTCATCTTCAAGGGCTCAGGAATACTCAGCCCGAACTCACAGGGGCGGATAAGGGGAATTGCAGGTCGCTAATATCAAACAGACAAGAAGTGCCCCTTCACCGGTATGGTCTCCATCCGTGGCCGTATCCTGACCGGCCGTGTCGTCTCCACCAAGATGCACCGTACCATTGTCATCCGCCGTGAATACCTCCACTACGTCCCCAAGTACAACCGTTACGAGAAGAGACACAAGAACCTTGCTGCCCACGTCTCTCCCGCTTTCCGTGTTGAGGAGGGTGACTGGGTTACCGTCGGCCAGTGCCGTCCCCTCAGCAAGACTGTACGTTACCTCCACCTCATTCAATTCTCCCCTCGGAATCTGTCAGGGGCAGCGGCATTACCTGCGCCGATCGCTGGCATAAGGCCAAGTTGTCGCATCGCTGCTAGGCAGATTCAGTACTCCATTTGACGCATGATCTAACATTCTTGTCATAGGTCCGCTTCAACGTCCTCCGTGTCCTTCCCCGCACCGGTAAGGCCGTCAAGGCTTTCAGCAAGTTCTAAGCATGTCGATGAGGAAGTGTTTTCGAGAGGAAAAACCTAGGGCCGCGGCGTGACTGGATATACAATGGATTAGTTATACGGGTTGGGATTGTTTCACGATTTCCTGTCCCAGGTACCCTTGAGAAAGAATATCCAATAAAAAAATTCTTTTGATTCTCCTTAATACCAGTCTATCGCGCAAAACGCTGGGGCACAACTCGAGGCTGTCTTTAGGTATTATTTCAATACAATACAGTTTTGAGCAATGACTCGTGGTGAAATGCATTCGTTGAATCGCACACTGATCGAGAAATGAGCTAGTCTTGATAGCTTGAACTAACGGGTACTTATCTCCGAACGTGCTCTGACAAGCGATTCAAATAACATTTTTATTTGTCCTTTGCGGTCTATGCACTTGCGTGCGCCTTAGTTTCTCTGGTTATTAGACTCTGCTTCCGCAGATTTCTCAACCAGGCAGTTTTTCCATTTCTACTCCGAACATAATCGGCCCCGATTGCAATCATATTGTAGACAAATCGACTGCTCATTCCAGCCGAGGATCAACCGAGGATCATTCTCTGTCGCGCTCTGTCCTGAGCGAATTGATGTTGCCAATCAATGTCATCTGCACATCTCTGCTCTTCTGTGCTTGTTTCCGCGTCCACTTCCATGCCCTCACAAATGGCAGCTGTTGCAGAACCTGCAGATTCAACGTCCGACTCAAAATCGATCGAGATGTAGCTTTCCGAGTCGGAAGTATCGACTTCTCCTATTGAGTGCCTTTTCACTTGCCGAGAGACTTCATCGGGCTGAAGGATCCATTCCGCGGTATTTGCATCCCAAGTCTTGATAACTGCAAACGAACGTGTCCCCTGGCGTGGCCATGTAACGACTGCTTCGTCGTCGTTCTCTTCCTCTTCTTCAGTCTCGTCGTCGAACACGCAGGCTTTACCAAGTTGCAACATAACAGAATTGCTGCACGATGCGTAAGAGTCGTTGTGGTCTTCGGTGCTCTGCTCCTGCTGGGATGGAGAGATGTAAACATGAGTCCTGTAATGCTTGCCAGGTGCAATGAGAGAGTAACTTTCGGATTTGATTTCATCGTACATCATCTCGACATTGTACTCGGTCTGTTCAAGACTATCGCATCGATCAGTGCCAGGACGCACGACGACATAATTGGGATCATCTGTAGAACCCGGGCTTTGGTCATTGTCCCCGTCTTCGCTCAGACCATCTACAGTGACTGATTTGCCGTCCTCTTCGTCGTCTGGAATGATATAGACATTCTGTTGCGGCATATTGATATCTATTAAAGTCACAGGTCCTCCGTAGGCTGCGCTAATTCCTTCGTAAAAAGCCTGTGTCGGACCTCCTCGCTCTCGCAGCTGCCAGGCATAAAACATGCGTTCTCCAACCTCTCTACTATATTCCACTTTGACATCAAGGAGAGAAAGGAGTTTTCCGACGGAATTTCCAAATTCGTGATCAGAACACTTGGCGCGTGTTGAGAGCGCACGCTTCAATGGCCGTCGGTTGCACTCGTATGACGCAATGGCGTTGAGCTGAAGTAGGTTAGCAACATCGTCGTGCTCAGCTGCGGTCTTTTCCAACGCGCTGATTTTGAAGGAGCAGATGATAGCGGTGCGCGGAACCTTGCCCCAAATCAAATACTCGCCGACGCCCTTATAGTCACTTCTTTCGACCCTGACTCTGTGTTCCCTACAGAAGCTCTTGGCTGAGTAGACAAAGTCAAGCTTCTTATTATTGAAGATCGAGATAAGGGCGCCTTCTTTGTTCCGTATAGCTCTATGTACGGGCGAGAGCATGGACTGGAAAGTCGAGATAAATGGGGATGCAACTTTCTCGCGGTGAATATGCTTCAAAAAGTACTCGTTGAACTTCTCTTCGCTTATCGTGTCTGGTGAGAAGTAGCTATCCCATTCTTCAAAAAGCCCGGCGATGCAGAAATTTGGTTTATTAACGCCCTGGGAGTCGACATTTGACCACCGGTATAGGACTGGCGGCAGGTCGTCTCTTCTCCTCGGAGCATTGCGTTGGACTGTGATCTTTATGCAATGACAATTAGCTTTTCCTGAACATCTGTATGCTTCTAAGGCAAGACTTACCTCCTCAACCCGCTCCTGAACACACCAGAAACACACTTTGCCGCCATAGTGACAAAGACTCATGTCCTCCTGGGTCAGGGGATCCGGGGCCGCTTGCTCCTCAACCTCATCTTCAACCATGATGTAATCATTGATCACCTCGTCGACTTCCTCGGCCTCGTCCGCTAGATTCATGTCGTCTTGCACCTCGCTCTGGCACTTTGGTCGCACGTTAGCACCAATTGTGAACAAGGAGTTCGGAGTTACCGGTGATGTGCGGTGAGATGTAAGCAAGGCAGAATCGTGAACGGAAGTATCAATGCAGTCTACTCTTGTCTCCTCGAGGCGTATGTTTGAGGATCTCAAGGTTCTGCGGATTGTCGCAATGAAAGGCGCCCACCGTCCGTCCTTGTCAAATGGGCACATGTGGACATCGACCCAATCAGGATGCACAGTCCTTTTCAGATGATGCCACTGGCCACTGAGTCTGTTCTTCGAAACACCGTCTCTGTTGAAGCCAAAGCTTCTCAAGTCATCTTGATAAACAGCATCGAATACAGCCTTGTAGGCGCTGAGATTCCTCTTGAAGAATCGGAACAAACAGCAGAGGAATTTCCTTTTCTCCGAGTTCCATCTAATCAGAGGCTCTGTCGTCGTGAATGTGAGTCCTCCAGACAAGGCCATCTTCGTCAAATCAGGTCAGGCACAGGCGATGCGGACAGGGGTGTTGCGAGTCGGTGACTCGAGAAGCAGGAGACTTTGGATAAGTAGAAGACTTGGGATGAAAGAAAGCAACACCATTACCTTGCGGATATTTGGCAGAATAGTCAGTTTAGAGCGCTTTTCGATTTCCTCGATGCGTGGGAAGAATTGAGTGAGAGATTCTTGCACTGGCAAGATTCCTCTCGACCTCACTTCAGAATCATCTAAACCTCGAAGTGGGGCCATGGCATACTCAGGAACCGCTTTGTGTCATATTTGCCAAGTGAGAGCATGACAAGTATACTTAAGAGGGTGAAACTGGTAAGGAAATGGGCAAGTTTGTGCGATGAGTGTATGTTGCTAGGTGATCTACTCCACCGGATAAACCACTGAAGTATATAAGTAAATGTGGGTGATTCAGATAAGTGCATCATAGACAATCGAGCTTGACGAAGTGAGGTGACCAAAGCTCAACACATAATCATTGCTATAGCAGTCTATCGGGTCAGAATCTCAGATTTGAGTGTTACGTAGTCCATACAAGAAGCTGTTAAATGTCGTGACGTGCAGCAAGCATATCAAAGTCAAAAGGCTGGCAATCGGCCCAGCAGAACCGCACTAGGCAGTTCTCAGCCTAAGGCGACCAAGCGCAGCTCCACCGCAACGCCCGGTCATCATCCCCGACGGCCTCAAAGCTCCCTCTCCCACTTTCAAGTCGGGAATCTTCTTTCCTCCCCCCGCTCTCCTGCATTCTCTTCCTTGCCGATTCTCCCTCCCACCCCGCGATCTCGCTGGGGCTCACCTTGCTAGGGCATTTCACAGCAACCCGATCGTGCCCGCTGCCCTTTCTATCCGCTGGGATTCGTTTCCGTCCCCGCTTCGTCATCGACCGACTGCGTTAGGCACCATCATCAAGAAGGGTTCGCAGGATGGCTACTTGAGCGACCATGACTATTCTTAGTACCGGCCTGGATAGATCAATTGAAACTCGACTCTTATAGACACTTGATACATCTATCCAGCTACGTCAATACTGCTGCATCGTATTTTGACGTCGAAACCACGGGCCGCCCCTGACTCTTATCTCCGCCCGACTGTTCTCGCAACAGTCGATATCTATTCTGCAACATGTCCCACAACTTCGAAAAGTCGGTTAAGGGGGCTACCAAAGTCAAGGCTAGTCGGGAACGATCTTTGTTTTTGCCGATGCGACATGCGCAGATGCTAATAGTGGTACTCGTCTACAGCTCGCCGCCCCTAAGTCCAAGTACATCGAACATATTCTGGTAGCGACGCATACCGGTGAGGCAGGTGTGGCAGAGATATTTCGGACTCTACAACTGCGGCTCCGCGACTCGACATGGACAATTGTCTTCAAGGCTCTGATCGTGATTCACCTTATGGTGAGGGAGGGTCAACTGGACGCCACGTTGCAGTACATGGCAGAAAACCCCCAAAAACTGGCAATCAGCGGATTTTCGGAAGGTAAACAGCTAGACCTTCCTCTAGGAGACAATCATTAATTCGCGGTTGCGGTGCAGTTCAGTCCCAAGGCCACAACATCCGGAGATATTCCGAGTATCTCCTGGCGCGCGCAAAGGCCTTCGAGTCGACAAAGACCGACTACGTGCGAAGCGGCCAAGGCCGGATGAAGCGATTGACGGTCGAGAAGGGACTATTGAGAGAAACGGAGATTGTTCAAAAACAGATTCGGGCATTGCTTCGATGTGATGTGCGTTGTCATCTCCTTGTCGCAGCTTGAACTTACGACTGACTCGCACCAGCTCTTAACGGACGATGTTGAAAACGAAATTTCATTGACTGCATTCCGCTTACTCACTCTGGATCTGTTAACTCTCTACTCGGTCATGAACGAGGGGACGATAAATGTCTTGGGTAAGTGTCTCGTACTTCCAATCTGTCTCACAATTCTTACACCACATGCGATTAGAACACTACTTTGAGATGTCACGTCCTGACAGTGAACGTGCGCTGGAGATTTATAAAACATTTACTCAGCAGACGGAAGAGGTCGTCAAATTCCTCGGTGTTGCTCGGCATTTTCAATCGGCAACACGGCTAGAAATACCCAAGTTGAAGCATGCCTCTACTGATTTGACGCGACTGCTTGAAGACGATTTGAACGACCCCGACTTCAATCAACGCCGCCGCGAATATCTCGCCCGTAAGCAGGGCAAAAGTGTCGAGGCACCACCTTCTGCGGCCAAAAATCCCACTGGTGATCACTCCGCCCACCACGCAAACCCTACTCCAGCTCGACCTCAGACACAGCCCAACCCGCAAGCGCAAGCGACATCGAACCCAGTGGATTTGATAGACTTTTTCGACTCGATCGAACAAAATCAGCAGCCGATGGCGCAGCAGAACGCTTTCCAACAGCAACAGTTTCAGCAGCAACCGCAAGCGATGCAGTTTCAACAAGCAGGTTTTCAACCGCAGCAGCAAGCATTCTATGCACAGCAGACTGGTTTTCCGCCACAGCAGATGCAGCAACAACCTCAAGTGGCGGGCCTGGGTCAACAGTCATCACCGTTCGGGCCTCAATATACGGCGCAGAACCCTCAGCATTTAAATCAACCGCTTGTTCCACAGCCTCTCCAGCCGGACCACACCGGGGCCGGCTTTGGTGGCTACTCGGCGCAGCCCCAGAATTACGGGTACCAACCTAACCTGGCTCCGATCCCGCAGAATGACGTGAGCGCATTCCCGCCGCAGCAACAACAGCAGCAGCAGCCGCAACAGCAACTGGTACCGGGGTCTCAACAGCTTCTGCAACCGCAGTCTACCAACCCCTTCAGACAGTCAATGTTGATGAGCTCGCCGACCGGCTCGGCCGCCCCACTTGACCGCCAGAACACCAACCCGTTCGCGCGGCGGTTATCGACAGCAAACCCGCAATTCAACGCCGGTGGGCCCGAGGCGTTTGCATCTGCACAGGCGCAATCACAGGCCCAGGTGCAACAGCCAGCGCCGCTCCAAGCGCAGCGCACTGGAACGAACCCTTTTGCCCGCAGCTCCTCCGTACCACCCCAGCAATCGCAGGGACTTCAGCCTCCCGCTGCGGCACCTCTCCGGCCAAACCCCACGGGAAGCACCAACCCATTCCGCCAAAGTGCCTTTGTGAACCAACAAACCGGCCAGGGATGGCATGTTGCCGGACAACAGGGCACAATGGGTGGTTTGGAGCAATTGGATACAGTCCCCGTCTTTCCACGACCGGGCATGTAGATATGGATCATGGGAGGAGATCATTTGTAGATAAAGCACCTACGTCGCTGCTGCTGCGGATAGGCAGGTCTAATAGTTGTTCTGTGTATTGTTAGTCGTTCCTTGTGGGCCCCAAGACCTCTGACTTGTTGGTTCACTTAATCCTTGTCCTCGCCCATCCGCTTTGCATCTGACATTTTGTTCTGCTCTCATGCCTTGTGGGCTTCGAGAACCTGGAGGTGGCGGCGGCGCAGGCGCGACTGTTTCAATGGCTTAATCCTGTATTGATTACCTTCTTAGCTGCGGCGAGCGGTACTAGCGTTTATGAGTGAGTACATTCAAACCAAGCGTGTAATATTAAGGCATGTTCCCAGAGGTTCCAGACCGTGTAGACATCAAAGAGGCAAGCAATTATCTCCATCATATTCAACTTGAAGTGTGTAACCTCTCGGGTACAAATTCAGCTAGTGCAATCGAAAATAGACTATCCGAACAACCATCAATACACATTTATACATATACAGTACATCCGGAATCCTCGCGCCCGGTAAGCCGACTCTGCGTACGGAAGTAGTACATCATACATATAACTATGTATATTTGTATACAGTAAACACCCCAATCCATGAGCAAGCACCTTCCTTCATCCCGGGCCTAGACTGCTGCCAAGCCTGACAGGCAAGCCATTACGACTACGAAGTAGAGACAAAGAATATCAATAGGAAGCAGTGGAGGAGAGAAAGAGGGAGACTAACTTACGCGCCCCAGCCCCAACAGTAGCGGTAGCTCGAGAACTACTTCGTACTTCGCAGAAGACAAGAAGAAAAGAGAAAATTTGAGTGGACTAGATCAACTAGTAGAGCCTGAAGATCCAGTACATACGTACGCAATGCACTGCCTCTAAAATGAATTCGTTGGGGATTGTGGACCGTTATCCAGCCTGAATCGGCTCGTTCCGCTCGGGAAGAAGAATCTGGATATTTGTTTACGAGATGGGAGGGCGGATTTGGTTATTCCTGGACTAACTTATAGGAATTCGTTGGGAGGACTTTGATGAAGTCTAATGATATCAGGTCTCGAAAAGGAGTTGCCCTTTTTTTTTTTTTTTTTTTTTTTTTTTTTTTTTGCGTAGGTCCTTCTCTGTATCCCATGTGGAACTGTACAAAAATTATGTATTGTGGGTGCCGGTGGGAGCAAGACGAAGAGGGGGGATTATTTTCTCCGGTCTCCTCATTCCTGTACGGATTCTGTGGGATTTGAAAACAGGAAAAATGGACCTCGTAAGTTCGTAGATGGGGAAGGAGGAAAATGCGTGAGAAAGAGGGGAAAATCTAGAAAGAAAAACATTGGCGGCCCACAGCGGATTTGACGGATATACCTTGGTCGTCTTTACTTATGATGGTCTATATGAACATCATAAGTCTGGTGTATACCGAAAGTTCTGTGAATTGGCGTTGTGCAACGGTTTAGTTTACACCACAGGCAGCTCAGTTTATATAAGACTTTGGTTTGAAACGGTGTCCGTGTACGGACTCAGATGTGGATAGGCGCGTGCTAGTCATCTTCTAAATGTGAGACAATGATTGATGGAAGGGGATACAATTACGAAGGGTGTCTCTGTCTAGCTCCGCCGCCTTCGCCCTTCAGCAAGGAATCTGTGAGATATGCTCCATAGGGAAGATGCGTGACCGTCTCCCTTCTGCCGCCCCTATCTTACGGCCAGGTGTATAGACCTCGAGAGAGGGCAACCACCACTGGAAATCAAGGCTGACGTGCGTTCGTGTGCTGCGCGTCCGTAGATTATGAAGCATTTGGTCTACTCCGAACTAGTGCAAGCGGGGGGAAGGAATTCTGCGACCTCTGCGATCGACGATCGCTGCAAGACAGCCATAAGCGAGGTGCAGGGTCGTATGGACATCGTGGTAGTGATGCTCGTAGTAGTCGGATCAAGCCGAGTCAGCAGTGCCTTGGAAGCTCTACTGCGACCACCCAGTGCTCGCCTCCAGCGGGCAAAGAGCAAGCGTATTTGTGGTTGGGTAGGGAGGGAGGTTGAATGTGTTGGGTCGGACTGTGACAGACATTAATTCTGCCCGCGCAACAAATGCATTTCCTGAAATGGCGGAGATCTCCGTCTCTGTATGTAAATGGAGACTTTGATTGACATGTTCAGCCGTTGCGGTCAATCGGAATGGTCGGTGGATCAAGCCTGTCTTGGCTAGATTTTAGCCCGTCGCAAGGTGGACTATGCTTGAATGTTTGCTCAATATTGGCGGAAAACTTCACCCACCTCGGCGGCCTCAAATGACGTCGACAATCCTGCAATTGAGTTCATCTCTCATCATGCTATGTGAGTCAGTTAACTATCTGGAAGAGCCCCAGAAGCGAAGAAGGTTTGATCTTGGGTGGTTCAGTTTTCGTGTTCGGCCGCGAGAAATGGCCAGCAGATACATCATATGCAGCCATGCAAGGAGATCGAGTATCGGAAGGGAAGAGCAATAATCCGTGGCTAATCCGATCGGGTGCGAAAAATCAATTCAATTAGCGTGGAAGTCCAAACCTGGGTTTTGCCGATGACCAACTCTCGAATTGATTACGACATTTTAACTTCCGGTCCTGAAAAGTGCCAGAGAAGCGAAGAGAGGGGCAGGGGGGGAAAACTATCGGCTATTGCTACCTGAGTACCTGGTCGTGGTACAATATAGACGACTATGCAACACACCCTTTTCAGTCCTGACCTGTCAGGCCATTGCATCCTCCGTCTGTTTCAACTGTCAGTACACGATGATGTCCAAGCGTACGGCTGTATCGGATAACTAGGCTGTGGACTTCTTTCCAGACACAGTAAGTACCTACCGCTAACTTACGGAGTACAATCTACCTATGGAGTACAGTATGCTACAGGACCTACTTTGGCAGTGATTCCGGGATCCGATGTCGAAATTTAAGTTGCTGCTCCACTCGGGCTCCGGCAGCAACAGTATCCGAGATCTGGACCGGGCCTCATGTCTGGCTGGTTGACCTCCCACTGTTGACGAAAGTCGAATACGACCTTCGAGGTGACAATAGTTTTGTGAACAAGAGTAGTATTTATGAGGTGCAGCAATGGATGCACACACACGCACACGCACACATTCACATTCACACTCACATATTTACATATCGCAGTGTCCAATCCAGTTCAACCAATCAAACGGCAGCGGAAAGTTCCCTTTGATTTAGGGGGACCGTGGATGCAGGCATGGAACATAGTAACAAAGCCAATCAAACTATTACAGTTATTAGTTGCACGTCTTCGTATCTCTTTGCCGTCTCTTCTCTTCTATGGACTTGAGAATTGGACGAGCAATGCAATGACTTCTAGTTGGTGTTTTGGAAGAACAACAACAAACCTCAAGGTACAGTAGAAATAATATCGGTTCGGAAGAACCCCGAGTCTGAGATTATTACGACCACACATGTGAAATCGACACAACAGGTTCAGGGGGAAAAGAAGTCAAAACAAGGATCCAAGCCTTCGTCTTCCACCTCTCAGGCTCTCTCTCAACCTTTCTTCATCTGGGTTTTTTCTTTTTTTTTGCTTTTTCATCAGTTCTAAATTTATACCCAATTGGTGCTTAGCCTTTTCTTTTAGGGACTGGACTCATTTCCTGGCAGGCCTTCATCGGCCACTTCCTCCACTTTACAGCCCCTCTCTTACTTTCGTTCTCTCCGGCTTACACGCTATTACTCTTTCTCGCTCTCGCTTCACGCCTCCCTCTGCTTCTCACCACGGCTTGACTAGTCCAACATCAGTTCCCAACCATCCTACTCTCGTCAGCCTCTTTTATTTCCTAGCCCCTTCATACCCCCCCCTCCCCCCCTCCAGATTAAAGTACCTAGAGATGGGCTTTTCCAGATAAGGGCAGTGCGCTGACCATTCAGCATTTCCCTCCTCTTCTGATCTTCCTCTTTTCCCCTCCTCCCGGATTCTTTCTCACACTTCCCACGCCTATCCCCTAATTCTGAAAGGCCTTGACCACGTCTTGTCTCAATAAGCTTGTTCTAGAATGTTGAGCTTCGGTGAAGATCATCAGCTGGATCTGTGAAATTATATAATTAAATTCGCGCGTGCGATGGACGCCAAGAATTCCCCTCACTATCAGCCAACGGCTCGCTCTCTGCCTACCGACCACGAGCAGGTCTTGCCCTTGCTGGGTAAACCACCTGCGTGGATGACACCGAACGGCGTTCACTCGGTTGCTATTAATAACCATCCCTATCATCCTCCCCATCCATATACCTATCCGATCGCGACGCCCATTCCTGGCCCTGTACTGGGCTCTGCGCCTCCGCTGCTACCATCACCGATTCCCTCATTACCACCGCAACAACATCAACTACAACAACCGTCATCGCTACCACCACCACCACCACCACCGTCCGCACCAGTCCAGAGTACTGCACCACCGCTCGCCGCTGCAGAAACAACCCGCCAAGATGCAAACAAGAACGGAGTGACCAAGGCGCGCAAACCGCGCAAGACCAACAATGCGTCCGGGGGCAGATCAACACTGTTCTGGGTCCATACTGACCCCAAGTCGGTCTCGGAAGGAACCAGGGAAGAGACACTCAAGCGCATTCGTTCGCATGTGATGTCCGAGCATAATCGCAAGAAGCGACTGGAAAACACCAAGCGGCACAAGAGCAAAACTTGGAAGCACCTGGCTTTTCAACCGGTAGAAACAACAGCCTCGAGCTCGGCTGCTGCTGCGCCCTCAGCCTCCCAGACGAACCCTTCACCTAAGCAAACGGTCACCGAGTCCTCCTTTGGAGCCCGGAATACTTCCGAGTCGCCGTCTCCATCCTCTTCATCCTCAGCTTCATCATCCCCGGAACAACGGCATCGAGAGGAACCGCAGAATGCGTTGGTGGTTACGGAGGCCAGCAGTTACCCAGTTGTTACATCGGCAGCGGTCAACACCTACAGCATTGACGCGCCCTCGTCTCACGAATTTTCGCCCGTGCAGTTGGCGTCTCCATGGACTCTGGTGGGTCAGGGCGGTAGTGACCCTTTCAATACCTCGCATACAGTGCTTTCAGACCGTATGTCGCGGCATCTTCAACATTGTAAGCTCTCTCTTGTCATAATTTCGGTGTATATGACTCTAATGGTGTCGTCGCAGTCTTCGAACTGACGCAGATCTCGTATCCACTGCAACGCCGGTACGGGCCCAAGTTGAAAGCCCACTGGGCTGCGTTGGTGCAACAGGACCCAGCTTCATTGCATGCCTGCATATGTGTCGCAGCATCCAACCGTGCTTTAGAGAAGGGAGAGCTGCCCTTGCGAGATCCCAATGAGCGGCGCTCCAGTGCGCTACTCCTCGATACCTTCCACCATCGAGGCGAGACAATTCGACTGGTCAACGAAGGCCTCTCTGACCCGATCAAGGCGTCCAGCGACGAGCTGATCGCAGCCGTATCCATTCTTCTTACTATTGAGGTAGATACCCTCTCCAGTGTGAAGTCAAGCCGATCCTAACATATATTAGATCGCTTCCGGTAACCCTGATTACCTGAAAATCCACCTTGCCGGACTGCGGCAGATGGTCGGCATGCGCAACACCTTCGCAGACGTGCCTCCTGATGTCCGATTCCAGATCTCATGGTCAGCTTCATTTCTCGCCAGTTTAAAATGCATACAGTCTAACTTTCTATAGGACGGATATTCGGGTTGCATGTATGGCTTCGACCAAGCCTATATTCCCTTTCATTCGTTACACCCGTCCTTTGCATTTGGCGCTCAGATCTCCCCATGAAGATCTTGAACACACAGCCTCCCGCTTGATACAACTAATTGAGATACCCGGCATCTTCGGCGGTGCCCTGCCTAAAACAATATGGGACCTACTTGAGCTGACCTGGTACTGCGAATGGATTAAGAGCGGGCCGAGCTATCAAGAATTCGACGAGGAGACCGAGAACTACTTCAACAACGAAGTGCTCCACGTGGAGTACGCCCTCCATACGGATCGCTTTACCCCTACCGGCGAAGTCAAGGGCGATGCCTCTATCGAAGGCTGCGTTCGACTGGCATGTCTGCTGTTCCACAATAATGTGCTATGGAATTTCTATCCGGCAGTGGCGCCGGTGTTCCCCAAACCCATCATCAACCTTCGCCTGGCATTGGAGGCCACAATGAAAGCGGGGTATTTCGAGCTGTGTCGAGACGTCCTGATCTGGATTCTCTTCATCGGAGCAACCAGCTCCGGCTTGCTACCCGATCGAGCCTTTTTCGTGAACGAGCTTGTGGTCGTGGTGCGGCAAGAGGGGATTCAAACGTGGCAAGAGCTCCGTGCCCTTCTGCTGGGATTTTTCTATGTGGACCGGTGCTATCTTGGGCCGCTACGGGAGCTATGGGATGAGCTCCAGACGGTCCCGGTCCTATCGCCAGAGTGTACCTGAAAGGGACTTTTTGTTTGTTGGGGACGATACTTCTATCTATATATAGAGGCTTCACGGCATGTCGATTCATTTGCACATGTTGATTGTATGATACACTAATGAGATGAGACATGGTATATATGATTCAGCAAGTGGTTGTTTTGCTTGATTATGCCATACCCCGACTCCTGATAATGTCTGTTTATAATATATGCCGAATCATACCACCCACTCATGTCTACTTCTGATGCAACCCAAGGCTCGGTCGGTGTGAAACCAGCAGCGCCGAGCAAATTCCTGCGGGTGGAGATAACTTCCCCGACCTTGGAAGTCCGAAAGAAGGAAAATCCCTCACACAACTTACATTGAAGTGCGGGCTGAGTCGTCCACACTAGATATTCTCATAAGAACACCTAATTTTGAGACTTGAATTACCCTCAAAAATCGAACGCACTTCAAGATCAACGCACTTCAAGAGCAAAGGAAGAGGTGTATCTCACAGATCCACGTCACTTCCTGAAACAAATCAGAGGGTAAAAAAAAAAAAAAAAAAAAAAAAAAACACGGAAGAGAATCAATTCATTGTATCTCTCTTCGACAACTCCCGACAGATCTCTCGCACTAACGATCCAAGCCCGCTCGCTGTTTTGGACTCCAACCAATTGAACACCAGCAGTGTGTATACACTGGGTAGTGTGCCCAGTAACTCCGTAGAAAGATTACTAGAAGTTGTTCCTACGGAGAGGTCACTAGTTAGTCAAGTTGGGTTGACGCCAACCCAGATTCGGGACGCAGGACGGACTTGTCATGGTCTAGTTGCATCCGCCCTCCCGCTGGCACTGCAAGTGACACCACCGGCTAGGCTGTCACAAGGCGGGCTCCTCCCCCTACCGAGATTCCTCCGCCCGACCAAATCCCGCCCGATCTCCGATCTTGCACCGAAGGCTTCCCTTTTTCTCTTTCCAGGAAAGAAAAAACGGAGGGAATTTAGTGACGGATTAGTTATATAGGTGGCTTGCTATGTCCTGTTTCGTTTCAGGAGTGTGTGGTTTTTTTTTTTTCCCGTTTTCTTTGCTGCTGCTGCTGTTACTACTCCTAAATCGCTATATACTTCCCCTGCGCTGCGCTGCTGCTGCTGCTGCTACTTTGCTACACAACACAGAACAATTGCTAACTAGAAAGAACTAACTACACCAAACACACTCTGCAGCAACCTACACTACTAATCACTCAGTATATGACACAGCTAGCATCCTGCAGAGCTCAAGGGACTTCAACCAGTCGTGCATGACCTACTGAAATTGGCTCTGGATTTATGAATTCGATCTATTTACTCGATTTCAGTGCCTTGTCGCAGGCGTCGCCAGTCTCTGTGAACGCACGGGGCCAACACCAGCGCCAGCACCAGCATTCACTTAGCCGTCATAGCCGTCATTGCCGTCGTTGCTGTCATATTGTTGCCAATACTCAATGGATAAGATCTCTCGATTTCTCGATCCTTTCGTCTCTTCTCGTCGTGTCTCCTGGATGGTATTGCGAGTTACCTACATGTTTAGTACCTCGGCTTCGACAACCCAAAACTAATACCTTTTGCGGGTCTAGGATGATAGAAGGGTAAAGCGATGGATGGCGACCGCTTGACTTGTCATTCCACTCACTGACTCACTGACTGATCAATATCATGCTTATGCTGGCTAAACCTGACTAGCTAGTTCTAGACATGTTCACTCAGCATGTGCCGTTGGCGATTGCAGTTTTGGCCAAGAGATTCGGATTCAAAACAAGCGACTCCCCTGTCTATTATGCGACACGCTTGGGTGAGGCCCGGCCCGGGCAGCGCCGATCGACCGAGCTACACCAGCTGTCATTCATCCGCCATTGCGCTGGGAACGGAGGACCGCGACTGAACCGCTCTACTTCGACATCGGCTGGCATTGTTGGGCAGCGCATTCTCTGCTTTCGGCTACATCGAGCACGGTGTCATATCGCGTATTATACCCTGCTTGTTGCAGGTAAGCTATGCTATGTCATACATTCTTACGCCGGTCACTACTTATCAGATATCATTAAATAGTCAAGTGGTAGTCATTCGAATCATTCATTAAGCAACTGTGCATGTCAAACAAAACTCCAAATCATCGTCCACGACAGCGGACTGCCTCATTATTACCCAGTCGGGATTTCCATATCCAGTTGGAATCAAAACAGTGACAAAACGCAATTGATGTACCGGACCACCAACCCGCGCGAAGGCCTATGATGCAAACCAATAGCCAAAGGGAGGGGCCTACATATTTGGGTATCAGAATTAAACAGGCATGTCCCTCGGAACATAGCAGGGCCGCTTCAAGGGCCTGGAACTGTACGATCGCAACACCGTCCCTCAGACAGTCTCGCGAGCAGTCTTCTGGCGAGAACGAGCAGTCGGAGACCAGGGGAAGTGAGCAACGGGAATGATGAAGAAGCTGTTGCTGCTGTCGGCAATACCCGCCAAGGCGTTGTACCAAGCGGCGAAGGCAGCCAGGAAACCGAAGAAACCACCCGCCTTGATGACAGGAGTGTTGACCTCGTTGGTGTCGTTGCGCTGCAGGTAGCCAATACCCAGAAGCAAGAAGGTCAGGTCCAGGAAGAAGAACAGCAGGAAGAAGGCAACGGTGGAGCGCAGGGTGCAGAACAGCATGATGGTGGTGAAGATGAACCAGCCCTGTGGAATGACAGTTAGCCGGAAGTCCGATGACTGCGACGAGGTTTTTGTGCGACACTTACCATCAGGAACAAACCCATCGAGTTATAGAACATTGGCGCACCGCCAGCCGACTCGATAGCGGACTCGATGTCAAAACCACCGGGGGTCAGGATGATCGCAAAGGAGAGCCAGAAACCACCATAAGACGACAGAGCCGTGGCACCAAAGGTGTTTCCGACAGCCATTTCCCTACAAGACGAGTGAGTCGAGACGAATCAAAATGACATGACAGGAATGCAACATACCACATGCCAGCAAGGAGCTGCACGAGACCACCGTATCCGAAAGCTAGACCGACGACAATGTTGGGAGCCGAAATACCACGGGTTCCCATGTTGACAGCACTTAGGACGAAAGTGGTGAGAGCGAAAGCGCAGAGACCCAAGGGAGCTGGGTTGGCGAACTTGCGGCCTTCCACCGACTTGTATAGACCGGGCTGGAATTCTCCTCCGAAAGGACGCAGCTGGGCCTCAGCAGTGTTGACATGAGCCATCGGACCATAACCGAAGCGCGCAGCGGCTCTGGCAGTCTCCTCCGCAGACATTTCGTGTCTGATGGGAGCGGCTCCGTTGCTCTCGGACTCGGCACCAATCTCCTTCTCCAGATTAGGGTTTTGCTCGACCGACATCTTGATTGATTGTACCGAAATCTATGGTTTATACAGATGCACAGGATAAATCGATTGATCTCGAGAGGAGAAAATCAAACGATAACTCAGCTAGCTGAGAGGTGGGAGGAAAGAGTATTAATAGATAAAACGCGGAGGGGATGGATGAAGGAGATATATGAAGCACACAGCACTGCTGGGCGGGGATGAACTAGAAGATCTCTTGGGAGGTCGGGACCGTGCAAGAGGAAGAGGAATAAATAACAGCAATGAGAGGGGATGGATGGGAGGGGAAGAGGCGAAATAAGAAGGGCCCTCCGGGGGGAACGAGGCGTGGTGCTTGGATGGACGGACGGGCGAGACACCACGGACGAGTGAAGGTTGCAGGGGAGGAGGAGCCAGGGAGAGGAAGGACTGTTCGTTAGCAAAGTTTAGTCTAGGTAAGTGGACTCTTTCCTTTTGGTGAGTGTTAATTATTGTTTTTTTTTTATGTTTTTATGTTTCGATATTTTATATTTTTATTTTTTCTTTTCATTTTTGTCTCGAGATTTTTGGGGGAAAGGCCTCGAAGGGGGAGAAGGGCCAATCTTCTCTGGGAGGGGGAATTTTGGCCGTGTGTGACTGTGAATATTATTACGGTAGTATTATTACTACAACGAGTCAACGACCCCATCATGCTTTGCTCGTGATGGAAGGCCGGGGTGGAGCGAGCCAAATTAGTGTTGGTCTTCTAAAACGATGTGCAGGAATATCCACCTGACGGGGCCATCCCCGTATGTGTCGCTTTTCTTAACCCGACCAACTAACTGACTGACTGACTGGTCAATTGGGATGTGGAACGACAACCAAGTTGAACCACCAACCCAGTCAATTCGAATTCTGGTAGCCGGAAAGGGCAGCAAGCGGGGAAATGGGGTCTGGGGAAATCAAAAGAAAAGATTTCTGGCTCGTCTCAAGGGAACCAATGCAGGGTCAGGAAGACGGGCAAATTTTCGGCTTCCATTCGTCCAGGTTGAGAGAGAACAAACAAAAAAGGTTGGAAGGGATTGTCCCAACCTTACAGCTCTAATACCGATTGACTTTTCATACCTGGGGAAACCAAGGCGTGAGAGCCCTAAGCAGCGCCCGAGGTCCGGGGATTACACCAATCAGCATCTCCTGACTGAAGGCAGTTGCATGGCCATTGGCGGACAACCTTCTCCCCGGCGGATGACATGCAAATGACATGACCGGTAATGTATTGTAACGGGTAGACGGACAAACCGGAGATATCTTCAGCTTTCGGTCTGCCAACCATTCATCTTTGCTTCCATTCTCCAGTCATTGCTTCCTCTCCATGGGGTTGGAGTTCCAGATTCCCGCATGTTGCGGAATGCGGAGTGCTTATGGTCCTGATCAGGACATTAGCGGCTGAGGCCGTCCACCAATTTTTTGCCAATTCGCTTGCCAATCTGCTTGCTTATTGATGCTTTCAATTTGACCTCCGGCTACGAGTACTAGCCTACTCCCGTACTACATTAGACTCCGATGGCGGCTAGGACCCTGGAAAGGAACTACTTACGCACGCAACTCCGCTAGTCCACTCATTAATCATCTACTTTATTTAGTTGACTGGCTAGCTAGCAGTTCAGGACGAAAGTAACCCTGCACCGGATGCTGAGTGCTGATTGTCTTCCCGCCGCAATGGTATGGGAGAACTAAGTTACAAGCGTTCCCTTGGGCCTTCAGATGGGGCTGATGGCTTTCCATGGCACATTCCAGCTCAAGGTACCAACCAGGTTACGTTGATTGACCATTTGTCCATATTTACGACAGTGTGGCGGACATCTAGGGTCCCGAACCAGATTTTGAATCGAGTCTCCAAGATTGCCCCTTCCGTCCGAGACACGCGCAGCAAATCTCATACCGACTTGGAGAGAGACAAGAGAAACCACCACCCAAGAGATGTGCCGAAATCTCCAGTCATCCGTACCTGCGCTTGACCGGGTCCGGCCGGTCCTCTCTTTCTTTTGCCCACAGGCTAAAATACTGGCTAATGCGGCTAATTGGAGCCTCTGCCCTGAACTGGATGGCGTGAGTGACTGTGGTGGAACCCGCGGCGGCGCTGCAACTGCGACGGGGCCCTTTCTTTTTTTTTTTTTTTTTTTTTTTTTTTTTTTTTTTTTACTCTCTGTGACTGTTTCCACTCTCCCGGAGGCTTTAACTGCTACGGTCCTAGCTGGTTCATTCGACTGGCAAAGACTTTGAGTGTCAGAGTGGTATCTACGAAGGTGCGTGTAGCAGCGTTTGTTGAGTAGGTCTGAGTGTGGATCGGCTCCCCGAACCTGATACTTCCCGAGTCTCGAGACCGAGAGAGGCTTGGGTTCAGATATGGTGGGGTCGATTAGTTCTTTCGAGGGTGTATAATATGCATGACTTTTGGGTCCCCAGGTGAGAGATGGCGTGCTCAGCTTAATCATCCTTTCTGGTTTGCGTGCCTGGGAGGTTGCTTTTCAGTCTTTGGCATCGTTGCGATAACTACACAGTCCGGCTCGACTACACCACGTACTTGAGTACGTACTCCGAGGACAGACAGTATTTAAGGTCGGATCGTCTCTGCCAACTGTCGCAGAGAGCCGATCCATTTACCAAGGCAGTTAGTCCGGGTGTCGGTTTCCTAATTTACTCAGCATTCCCCGAAAAGCCAAAGTTTGATTTTTGTCAGTCCTAGTATGAGACTAAGAGTACGAGTACTGAGCAGCAGCAAAGAAGGTCTCACCTTCGGCTCCAGAAGGGAGATTCCCCGTGAGGCTAAGACACCCACCCAGGATGACAATGGACCTGCTCTTACATTGACAATTAATCTAGTGGCGTACAACCGAGTCTTAGCCTGTGAATCTACTGTGTAGTTTCTCTCCACACGGACCAGACGCTCGAATCATACAATCTGTCTCTCTCTCTCTCTCCCTTTCTCTCTTTTTCAAGTTTTCTCTCCGTGGTGTTCGTTTCCGTCGGCTGTGTTGTGTGTTCACTGTTCGCGGCAGGAAGGAACCGTGAGTCTCCACTTTTCTCAATCCACGATCATGTCTCGGCGACCGTTGCTTGCCGCGCTCGTCGTTAGTCGCACGGGTTGATCGTGGCTGGCCGCCAGCAACCACCTCCCAAGGGCAACTCCTTAAAATTGATTACTACAGTATGATTTATCGGCAGGCGGCTGTCGCAATGTCGCCCCTTTTTCTTGCCCTCCTCATTTCAGATGGCATTGATTGGCGTGGGAACAAGCTCAGACAGGCCCGCAAATCCACAACGGAGTCGGACTGGTGTGGCCTCAGCTTTCGCTGTTTTCTTATAGCAGTTGATGTCAGTTGTAGATGTCAGAGTGTGGATTGTGTGGGTAATACAAATCTCTTTTTCCTTTGCTATAGAAAGACAAACTTCACTCCGGGCCAATGCACCACCATAACTAACTAGTTGTCGTGAGGAGATGTTACATAATAAGGAGCTGCCAGCTGGTCAAGTCACTCTGAAATTACCCTTTCGTAAATTAGCCACGCCAGTCAGCTGTCAAAAGACAGCAATTAATAAACCCGCACGATCAACAATGGAAGCTAAAATCACTCAATGACAACCGCACGCGCCCTAATCGGTCTTTTCAATTAATGATAACGACAGTAACTGACCACCGCGACCTGCATATGCCATATGGACTTTGGGCCATGCTATGTGTATTATCCTTGGGGTTCTGCTAATTCAGTCAGCCTCGTGCGTTGTGTGCAGGATTTCAAACACGAGGTCTTTCTGCGGGAGATAACGCACGGTGCTGTGCATACCAATGTTACCTGAGCAACTCCAGCTAAATAACAAGTTATCCCTTCCCTCGCCTGCAAACCTTATTACCTATTATGTGCATTGAGAGATTAGCTTGATCCTTTGCTAGTTTGACACTCACTTAAAAGTCATCAGTGGCTTAACAATTTTGGCCAGGTAGCTGCTTAGGTTGTGGCATCGACAGTACTACGTACCGGTGAATGTCTTGTCTTCTAGACTCCCGATTAGAAGCACCTTCGCTAAAGCAACTAACCAGTAACTTAGCTACTTAGTAGCTCGAGCTACAGATTGTACCTGTTTGTACGGAGTATGTACCTTGTACCTACCCGCACCAGCGAAATCCCTGCAGTACGCCACAAGGAACTAGTACCACCTACCTACTTCCTCCCACTCAAGTTTAGATGGGAATGTACAGTACCCTCGATTCAAAGATACTTACTTAGTCTCCTCTATTCTCCCTCACACTGCGACCGTAGCTGCGAGTGGACTACCAAGCTACTCATCCCAGTGCCTACTCACCCTCATTTTGACTAAGTAGTATCGAGTAAAACGACTCAACGCCTCATCCACAAGTACTACTGTAGTTACTGTGTAGTGTGTACGAAAGTACTGTATGTAGCAAGAAACCGGCCCGGTCCTACCTCCGGAAAGAAACCACTTCTAGTATAGTGCCGCAAGAAAAAAAGAAAAAAAAACGCTTATTACGTACGATATTCTGCTCCGTGTATAGTACCTACCTAGTACTGTCTAACCGCTAGCAGGAAACTCTCCACCCTGTACTCGGTTATATCTCCGGCTCTCGATCTAAGGAAATGGTGGTTATTTGCCAAGACCTTCGCTGTAAGCTTGTAGGATCTGGAATCATAGGAATTGCCAGTGGGTGGGAAGAGAGATTGTTGGCTTGGCGAGGTGGTTTGCTTATACCATCCCTAGTAACTACTTTCTGAGCGGCGAGCCCGGTGCTTGAGGATAAATTGATGATACACAAGGTTAAAGTTCAGTGGAACGGGACGTCTCTCATCAGCTTGGATACGGACTACTACTGCAGATTCGGTCAGTGTCTGGTAGTATACCGATGAACCTGGTTGGCGTTGGGGGGAAGTGCGCTCTATCAGTGGTAAAGCCAGATAACTTTAGTTCATGTGGTAAAAAACTCGAGACGAAGCTGCCGACTTGGGGTGAGCTGAGGTGAGCTGGAGCTGGAGCTTGGATGCTATGCTATGCTATGCTATGCTACTCCCTACACTACCCACATTGGGATCTGTCCACACTGTACTCCGTACTCCGTAATTTGAAAGAGTGCTACTTATGATTGATGCCTAGACACGTCTACGTAACTTACCTTGAGCTAGCTTACCCACTAGCCAGCTCAACTCTCGAGTAACTAGCACTCACTTCCCGTGTGATGCATCCCTGGAGGTTAATACCCAGAGAGCAGGGTGCATACTCCTGCTGTACCGCCTCTGTCTCGGATCAAATTAGGGGGCTTGTTGTGAGTCTGCGCTTTGGACCGAGGGAAGGTGTGATTCATGTTCAATTAGTGGTGTTTCCACTGCGGATGGGGGGCAATTAACCGGCTGATTAGGTAGGTATCGCTACTGGAAAAGAAAAAGCCATACTACTCTGGAAAGTCAAAGAGCAAAATGGCCAAGTTACTACTTATTATCTCCAACTCATCCTCAATGTACTCCAAACAGTATATATTATACACCGTAGTACGCAACAAATCAGCAACACCCCACCAATTCAGTTCAGTCAAAGCAAGGGCGCCAAGCAAGGGCGCCCAAAGCACTACTTACCTCCTAGTACCCAACATCACGACCACCCGCAGCCGACAACAGTGCTATAGTATGTATACTGAGTACAGACAGTGCGGAGTACTGTACATACACAATTATAGTAGGAAAACCTAAGCTATCCCTACACGATCCCACCATTCCAGCCCACAGAATAAACAATCGAACGTCCAGTACAGCTAGTGCCATGATTTTCGCACCAGTAGCATGATGCATCACCCCACAGATCCCGCTTCCTGCCCTCCTCCTCGAGATGTGGTTGACCCCAAGAATGGGGAGATCTCTACCCCGCATTTGCGTGCGGAGTATTATTCCCTCCCTTTCCTCTCTCGACCTCTCGACGGGGAGGGCGTAAACGTTGGAGGAACCCTTGAAGTGGAGACTGCAAGCCACGTGAGGGTAAACAAGTCCTCGATTGCTTTATTTAGCAAGGCCGCAAGAGTGCTGGGGTAATTTTATTTGGACGATACTTTCGTTGCTTATGCTGGAGTTTGCCGCGGGACCCCGGGAGATGGGGATGGCTTCAGGTCTATTGGTATTTGGCGATACATACCGGACTTAATTTTGGGCGTGGTGGATTGTCTGTCAACGTGGAGATCAGTGTACACTTCATCCAAGGTTCTATTTCCTAGTACAGACGTGGAGGCGAAGGTACACAGTAATCTCTAAAACCGACCATATACCTGTCCGGGAAAGATATGAGGTCCGAATCTGTGGACGTCGTTGGGGCAGCCCCAAAGATCTTCGGCTGTCATGATGGGCCTACTGAGTCACTAACAAACTAACGCTGCGTCACTGCGTTGAGTGGCGGGATCTGCTTCCCTCTTGGGCATGAGATACATCATCGGAAGTGCAAGAAGCAGGTCACGGGATGAGGGGGATCGACGCCGGGGAGGAAGAGAGAAGAGAGACATTCTTTTAATTTGATAGCTGATAGCGCAGCTCATCGCTTCGTAGTAACTCAAGTCACTTACTCAGTACTGGATTGAGTTTTCCGTAGCCGAGAGAGCGGGACTAACTAATGAATTTGATTCAGATCTCGTACGGATCCGTTCGGAACAAGGAAATGGCCTGACACACACACTCTCTCTCTCCAATATGGTACGATATTCGCTGGGATTTACAAGTTCCATGTGTCCGGTTCCTCATTATCAAAACCGGGACTTTGGGAAGACCCTGGGGTTACGGGGCTGAGGCTGGGGCTTGGGAACGATTGGGGGAGTCTACCCCGCCATGAGAAGAGCTGGCCGTAGCCATCCAAGGACCACTGCTGTTGCGAGATGTTTGTCCTCGGTTCGGCCGAGCGGAGATACACAGATAGCAGAGCTTTTTCCTCGGGTTCGGCGGACTTGGAACTTCTGGTTGTTCTGGTACTCTTCCATCCACGAATCCAACGTAGGCCAAGACTGGAGAAGAATGCATGTTCGGGGTCCACTATCGCCGGGCATGAGCGCAAACCTTCTTGTCCGTAATTATTTGGTCTCCAAAATCGACGGCTTGGCAGACTTTGCCACATCCCCAACCGAATCCCAGCCTAATACCAGGGATCCGACGGGTGCCTTGCAGCATCTCGATGCCACTGGCGGGAGATGTGGTTCCAGAAGTTCTGGTGATGGTCTTTCACTTCAATAGTGCCCTAGCCACCAAGAACAAAAGTCCTTGTACGAGTTCGTACAGTAACCCAGATAAGCCCAGATAAGGATTTTTGCATTGGATCTTAGGTTTAGGGCCCGCTTGAAAGCCCACTCGCAATGATGCAATCGCATGGGGCTCGCCTATTTCTCTTTCTCGCTGCTGATCTGGATGGCTTCATGGATTCTCTGTTTTGGGTTCAAAAGTTTCCTTCTGGTTTCTGTGGGGTGATTCCTCATACAGATAATGGGTAGTGCACATGACCGATATCGATTTGGTGGGAAACGCAAACCGGATAGTGGCGGGCCAACAGCCAGAAAGAAAATCCACAGCGGAGCGCAAAGAATATTCTTCTGCCACTTGAAGCTTGCGGTACGCATGAAAAGCGCGAACTCAGGTGGGCGCTCCGCCAGACTCCATAGTTCATGCAGCCAGTCAGTAGTAGCCTGCATGGACAGCATTCCTCTGCGCTCTAGCCAGCCCATGTGCTCTGTAGATCTCCACTTCTTGTCCACCCTTCCACGCGCGTGGAGGGTCCGTAGTCACCCATCGCTGGTGCGATGCCAACTTGGACGCTAGTATCATGGAGCAATTGGACTGACTAGTTTTGTAGCGCGAGCTTACTGCCGAGTTCCCAAGCCGTCATTCGTGAGGATGCTGGTGGTTGGTGTGGTGGTGGGGGGAAAGATCTGCAGTATACGGAAAAAGCGGTCTGCTGAAGGAATGATGTCGACCAGGATCGAATACGTGCGCATTGATTCTTTTTTTTTTCTCGAAAGTTTCGTGGGCAAAGGTGGTAGTACCGACTCACCGATTATGTTGAAGCTTCCAAGAGATGTTCGTGGGGGTTGCGCAAGGTGATCGTCCAGAATGCAAGGTACTGCCTGCTTCTGCTTGCAGTGTTTGGAAGCTTGGCCTGACAGCGGTCGTCTGTTAATGCAGTATGCATATCACGGATTATTCTGCAGTATGATTTTCAAGTTGGTCACCTCAAGCTGGTGACTTCAAGCTGGTCCCCCACGATCAGTCATCAGCCACAGCTCCAATCCGTTGTGAAGGACTCCTCCAACACTAAGTAACTCTCCCAGGCGTGAACACTGCCTGGTTTGCATGAGATCAGACCTCAGTCAACCGGATTTCCATGGCATATCTATCAACTTGCCATCTTCTAGTCGCTGCCTGATAACAGATGCACGACTGCAGCAAAACTTGGCCGCTGGTGCGGGGTTGATAAGATAAGAAGGGGGGTCTCTGTCCCGGATCTGCCATCATGGCAGCCATACATGCCACCTTCTACTTTGGGACAAATTTGCGAGATAAAGAGCCTGTCGACGTATTCATTTCTTGCGTGGTCGATCTCTGTGTTCAACAATGGGGGTTATCTCAGTCCATTTGACCGGCTCTTGGCAGCCATGTATACTTGCCTGTGCTATGCGATAGGACTCCAAGTGACCGATGCTCCAGCATCTTGCTATGTCTGCTATCATGCTCTATCTGATAAGGTGCATAATCGAGCACGAGGGCCTGCTATAAAGGCAGCCAGATGAGCATCTCTGGATTCATCAAGAGCGCGTTTCGATAATGAATCAAAACACCGGACATCTTCAACATGGTACCAGACGCTGAGAAGTCAATCGCCGTCGCGACCAAAGATGACAGCCACATCTCTCCTCGCCAGGCGGATGCAGCCTTGGAGTATCTCCAGACTGGAGAAGTGACGACTTTCTCCGAGGTCGAAGAGAAGCAGCTTGTGCGGAAAATTGATCGCATGATCGTGCCCCTGATGTGGGCGATCTACTTCCTCCAGTACCAGGACAAGATTCTCAGTCAGTCGCTGCGTTGAACGTCCCAACTGCAGCTGTAGCTGATCGGACAAATAGTCAACTATGCGTCAGTAATGGGGTTGCTGGATGACACGGGGATGCGGACTGATCAGTTCTCCAACCTGGCGTTGGCGTTCTACGTCTCATACCTCTTCTTTGAACTTCCGACCGGATACCTGATGCAGCGTCTACCGACGGCAAAATATCTAGGCTTGAACGGTATGTTCAGCGCACGAGTCGTGGTAAATCATGCTGATTATTCTAGTCACTCTGTGGGGGCTGTTGACAACTCTGAATTGCGTTGCGAAGAACTTCGCTGGGCTGGTAATTCTCCGAGTTCTTCTGGGATGTTTCGAAAGCGCAGTGGCGCCAGCGTAAGGAGGCCCCTTGGATGCTAGAGCTGACAGTGCTGATTATAACAGTCTTATACTCATAACCTCTATGTGGTACCGGAGAGACGGTAGGCTTCTTCATCCTCTACGAGCTCGACCTCTACTGAGCCAGTTCCAGAGCAACCAAAGCGAATCGGCCTGTGGTACTTGGGAACAGGCACTGCGACTATTGTCGGGGCTCTGGTCGCCTACGGTCTCCTCTTCTACACAGACGATGAGTTCTACTCCTGGCAAATCATGTTCTTGATTTTCGGACTGGTGACCATCGCCGTCGGGGTTACAGTCATCGTTATCTTCCCGGACAATCCCATGACCTCTTGGCTCAGCCACGAGGAGAAGATCATGGCCATCGAGCGCCTCCGCGAGAATCGCACTGGCATCGAGAACAAGCAGTTCAAATGGAACCAGTTCCTCGAGGTGTTCGCCGACCCGCAGGCCTACCTGATCGCCATCATCGTGGCGGCCAGCAACATCAGCAACGCCGCCATCAGCAGTTTCTCGGCGCTGATCATCAAGGACTTCGGCTTCACCACCAAGGAGACCGAACTGCTCACGATCCCGGGCGGTGTCGTCAGCGTGGTCAGTATATTGGCCGGGACACATCTGGCAGGACGCTTCGACCAGCGCTGTTTCTGCGTGCTGTGAATCCTGTCGTGTGGGCTCCTTGGCGGTTGTCTCATGGCCTTTGCGCCGAGTGCCAACCAAGGCGCGAAGCTGGCGGGCAACTACCTGACCAACTGCGTCGGGTCCGCCCTGCCGTTGATGTACTCGATCGCGGGGGCCAACGTGGCCGGGCACACCAAGAAGGTCACGATGAACGCAATCGTGCTCATGTCGTTCTGCCTGGGCAACATCCTCGGGCCGCTGTCATTCCGCACGCAGGACGAGCCGGAGTACATGCCAGCCAAGGTGGCGATTGTGGCCACCGTCTCGGTGGCGATCGTGTTCACGGGCGTGCTCAAGGGCTATTACATCTATGAGAACCGACGGCGCGAGAAGAACGGGCTGGGTGTGCAGCACCAGGAGGACTCCGAGTTCCTCGATCTGACGGATCGGGAGAACCTGGAGTTCAGGGTGAGTTGCCTGCGGAGCTAAGCGTTTGGATTAGGACTAACAAGGAAGCAGTATAAGCATTGAATCCACAAGGACATACTGTACCCAGAAAAGCGGGGTCACCTTAAATTAAGCAAATAAGTAAGTCTTTTGTCTAATAATAGATCTAGGCAATGCAATCATCCTGCCAACGCCACAAACAGAAACGCTATATACACGATAAGTAAAAAATACAGACCCTGAAAAAGCCTAGGCAGCCACCTCGGTGACCCCCGCAGCCTTGAATTCCTCGCTGTAGTCATAATCGATATACCCCTTGGGGTCCTTGGGGAGATAGAAGACCTCGCGCTGGTAGGGGCGCAGGGGGATGCCGCGCTGGATCTTGAACGGCAGCTCCGGGTTCGCGGTCCAGGGGCGGCCGATACCCACGAGCACATCGTACTCCTTGTAGTCGACATCGACCGCCTTCTTCGCGGACTCCGCATCGAACCCGCCGGCGGTCATCAACGCACCGGCCTTCTTTCCGTAGGCCTCGAAGAAGAAATCCAAGCTATCCTGCACATCACAGTCGCCATCGGTGTTGCCCTGGATGCGCGGCTCCACCACATGCACATAGCTCAACCCGAACTCCGCCGTCTTCCTGGCCAAATACGCAAACTGCGGCCGGGGATCCTTCATCCGCATGCCCTGAAAGGTACTGAAGGGCGAGTACCGAATCGCCGTGCGGTCCGCGCCCACCGCCTCCACGACGGCCTGGATGATCTCCAGCGCGAACCGCGCCCGCTTCTCCACACTCCCGCCCCAGCCATCCTCCCGCTGATTCGAGACATCCTGGGTAAACTGATCGATCAGATACCCGTTGGCTCCGTGGATCTCCACCCCATCGAATCCCGCCGCAATCGCGTTCCGGGCGGCCTGCGCGTAGTCCTGAATGTACTGCTGGATCTCTGCCTCGGTGAGCGGCCGCGGGACAGGCGCTCCGGGCGAGTGCGGGATCGCGCTGGCGGAGACCAGGTCATACCCGCCCTCCTCCTGCAGGGCGGACGGGTCGGCGGTGCGGCCCAGAGCCCACAGCTGCATGTAGACGTGCGACCCCCGCGCGTGCACCGCCTCCGTCACCTTCCGCCAGGCGGCGATCTGCGCCTCCGACCAGATCCCCGGCACGTTGCGGTAGCTTCCGGCTTGCGGGGTGATGAGCGTCGCTTCGGTAATCAGGAGGGTGCCCGCCACGGCGGCGCGTTGCGCGTAGTGCTCGACCACCATGTCGAGGGGGACGTGGGCGTCGTCGGCGCGGAAGCGCGTCATAGGCGCCATGGCGAGGCGGTGCGAGAGGTGCATTTGGCCTACTCGGAGGGGTTGGAAGAGTTTGGTTGTGGTGGACATTTTGGGCGGTGGTGATGTCAAGGTAGATCAGATAAGATGATGTGTTGTGTGTGATATGATGTTGGGGTGGTTGGTTGGTAGTAGGAGGTAAGTACTGTGTAAGTATGCACAACCCAGCCCTCAATGGAAATCAGAATGCACAAGCTGATTGAAAGTGTAGAAATCTAGTAGTAGTCGAATCCAAACCCGATGAAAAAAGCGACAACCCCACCACCCTTTATATCACCCCCATCCCCATCTTATCAATCCACCCGAGCCAGAGAATAACTATAGAATCTTCCACTACGCCCCCGAGAAAGAGGATTGATTACCAAGAGGAAATAGTGGGGCCCGGCCTGCTGGTCCCACATGTTGATTTCCAAGCAAATGTGGGGCTGTCCTTGAGACTTCCACCTTCGTGCAATTTTTTTGCCTGGTGCGTGCCCGTGCCTGGTTCCAGTAGTATTATCGGCGCGTGGTGACTTGATTTAGTGATTAGTGATATTGCCCGTGCGTGATGCCTTTTGTGGCTTGTTTGCACGTCACGTCAATGTAGTTTGCAAAGCAGTAAGTAGCAGGGATTGTGGATGACGTGCCTACTGCGCTAAGTTACATGTGTAGGCTACAGACTAAGCATTTTAGTAGTGGATTCCGCAGGTTAGCTCTCTGCTCGTAGATTTGTGGAGGTGATCCCTGCAAAATTCCCGCAGAAACAATGGTATCAGCTCATGTTCACGTCCCCTGACCCTTCGCTTACTCTTACTACATCGTAGTTATAATGATAACGTGGGTGGCGGAAACCGGGGGGAAAATGTTTTCCGGCACTGGGCTGACAAATGCGGGCTGGGGCGGGCGCTTCGACTGCCTTGGAAGAAATGCTGGGTCCCACTGGGGTAAGTTTGGAGTTTCCTGCTGGCCACTAGACTGGTTTCGCTCCTAGTGAACAAAGACTACATAACTACTAACTTAATAAGTTAGCATAGCAGCGATGATCAAATAAACTTCTATCAATTAGACTACCAGAGTACTTGTAACTCGATGTACGGAGTACTGTGAATCAACCCAGCATTTATCCAATCGCTATTGGTACATGGTCATTGTCAAGTATCCATTCATCATAATCCAACGGTGTCTGAAACAACCCTAACGCCTGCGCAGTGATCTGGTTGGGTATTGGTTCAGAGAAAAAAAAAAAAATAAAAAAGCAAGGACAGGAAGGACAGTCGGGTGATGCCATCCGTAGGGTAAAGAAAGTTGCTGTCAGAAGTCCAAACGCGTTCATAGGAATCTAACTCTCCAGCCGCCGAGCCGTAGATTCAAGCTGCGCGTTGAAGGACCGGAGTTGATGCAACAGCCCGCCCTGGCCGCCGGGTGCGGCGGAGCTGACCGTCTCCGCAACGTTGCGAAGCAGAAACTCCATCCCTGCCAGATCCGTGGACGTTTCATCGAGATCGCCCGGGCGGGTCTGGCTACGCTCAAGCGCGAGGTCGAGACTGTGGAGGGAGTTGTTGATGGTGGCGCGGGCCTGTAGACATGTTCGTTAGCTTCCCTCCCTCGAAACCAGTATGTATCATGTCCGGGCTGAAACTCACCTTTCGTGCGGATTCATCCTCAGCATGTTTTCTCCGCACGGCATCCATCTGCAGCGCAACCGCCTCTCGCTCCCGGCGCACTTGGTACAGACGACTCCGGTAGTCCATCATCTCTCGCTTGGCTTTCCGCATCTTGACCCCGAGCACGAAGTTGCCGTCTAGCATCTCACTCAACTCGAGCAGTCGTCCCTCCAATTCGGCACCATACGCCTCAACCACTTTCTTCTTGCGCGTAAACTCGGCACGTCGGGCGGTGTTGCCCTCGCCTTCAATGTTATTAGTCAACGAGGTCAGCATCTTCTCCAAGGTCTCGCGGCAGATCTGGCCCAGCACATCGGCCACGTTGACGCCGCCCCGGTTGGGTAGCTTGGTCTGTAGCCGGTCAGACGGCCTTGCAGGGGTTTCGCCCTCGTCATCCGACGACTCTAGCAGCGTGGGATCGCCGCCAAGAGCAGCGACGTTCGCAAGACGGTGCACAGTGACCGGCACAGTCTCGCCGCGGGGTTGATGCGGCTTGCGTTTTCGAGTCTGAGCTCCTGCGCTGCTCTCGCCTTCCGCCGTAATGGTATCTGCTTCCCGGGTTGCACTAGCGTTGGGATCATCTGCTGGCTGCCTTGTACCGCGGCCACGTTTCCGAGATTGGGGTTCGACAGTTGCCGATGGAAATCTGGGTTCTTGTTCGGGTTCTGCGCGCTCAGCGTCTGCCAATTCAGGTTCCGGCAGCTCTTCTGCTGGCTGCTGCGCTATTGGCTTGGCTCCTCTAGCCTTGCGCCCTCTCTTTGGCGCTGCTTCGGCTGCTTCTGGTGCTGCCGGCTCCGGCTCCGGCTGTGCTGTCTCCTGCTCGGCTGGGCGCGTCCTCCGCTCTCGAGGCCGTGGCTCCTCTGCTGGCTGTTGAACCATCATTTTAGGTTCAGCTTGCGTAGGCTCTGGCTCCGCCGTTCTTACCCTCCGTCCCCTGAGCTTCAATTTGGGCACGCTTGGCTCTTGCTGCACGGCTTCCGGCTCAGCTGTCAGTGCCTTTCGTCCTCTGGGCATTGAGTCAGGTATTGCTAGTTCTGGTGCCGTCTGTGCTAGCTCAGGCATTGGCTCTGTGGGCTTGGCTCTCCGCCCTCTGGGCTTCGGCGGCGCTGTCTCAGCTCCCGCTGCGGGCTCTTGCGTCTCCGGCTCTGGCTCCGCTTGCTCTCGCTCCGAACTTGCCGGCTCGGGCTCTATTTGCTTCGGTCTTCGTCCTCTGGGCTTCGGTTGCGCCTCGGCCGGTGCGGGCTGAGGCTCCTGTTCCGGCTCCGGTTGGCTTGGCTCCGGCTCAACAGGCTGCGGCTCTGCTATCTTCGGTTTCCGTCCTCTTCGCTTTGGCTGCGGTGCCGATTCTCCTGACTCCTGTACATCTTTCTGTGCCTTCTCGACGGGCATATCTTCTTCCTCTACCACGTCTCTAAGAGATGGTAGCACCTGTCTTCCGGGGCGACCAGCGCGCTTCGGCTTTGACTCTGCTACATCCAATCGTTGTGGACGTCCTTTGTGAACTTCCTTTCGCTCCGCAATTCCCACTTCACCCCCTTCTGGAGCATCTAGCTCCATTCTCTGACCTTCTGCCTTCCCGTTGGTGACGGGAGGCTCCTCTGTTGGCTCCGGAACGTCATCAATACGAGTCCGAATCCTCTTGCTCCCCTTCACCTGAGTAGGCGCACTTTCTATCGAGCCCGCCCTAGCCACACGGGGCTCTCTAACTGTCGTCGTAGATGCTTGGACGGATGCCGCTCGTTCACCTCGTGGTCGCTTTGTTCGCGAAGGCACAGGAAGTCTCGACTGCTTCAAAGTTGATTGCGGCTGGTTCGTCTTTTGAGCTTGTGCGGTCACTCCGAGCTCAACGGCAGCTTGGGTGTTGACTGGCTCGGTTTGCTCGGAAAGACTTGGTACCTCATTATCGGTCGATGGTTCCACAGCATCCGGCACAGCTGTTGCCGGAATTTCTGTAGGCTCACGCCGTACGTCTGGCGACAGATCCATAGGTTCCGCTGGTTGTCCGATCTGCGCATTACTCGCCTTCGGGCTCGGTGTAGTGGACGGTGAATTTGCGCTCTCCTGAGAGCCTTGTCTCTTGCGCTTGCCTCTGGCCTTTTTACCCGGTGGAGAGGGTGTTCCATTCATTGTGGGTGATGCCGATGTCGGCGTGGGCGACGGCTGTTGTGCATCAACCGAAGCTGACTCCATTTCCGGGGGAGCTGGCTGCGTCATAAGAACATCTGGTGCTGTAGCAGCTGCGGGCGGCGCAACTGGTGACGCTGGTTTCTCAATCGGGGGTTCGGCTGGGGCAGATTCGGGCGTAGGGCTGATCGCAGCAGCGGATTCCTCTACAGGTTGAGCGGTATCGATGGAGTCCGTTCCGTTGATGAGTGATGGGACCGTATCGTCGCCGGGCGCAGCAAGTGAGGTCGTAGGGGAGCTCCTAGGGTGATCTTTGGCAGGGTCAGCATTGCATGTGCCGCGTCATTACTCGTGACCACGCACCAAGTTTTCTAATCTTTCGACTTGGACCAGCTTCTGTCGCATCGTTCGATTGGGGTCCTGATGGAGACAATCTAGGCGAGGATCTGGTGCGCGGGCTTCTTGACTTCCGTCGAGGGGGGTTCTGGTCCGGAGCCGTAGACGGGTGTTCCTCCACTGGCGCAATAGGCAACGAGCCATTCTGCACAGTTTCATCTACGATGGTTGTTGTTTCTGTGGTGGCTGGCGGTTCAGTTGTTGTTGGCGGCGGTGCAAGTGAGGCAGAAGGCTGTGAAGCAATCCCAACATCGGCCGGTCGCGACGCGGGCTCTGTAGCGGATGGCTCCGGCGCAGGAGCTAGCCCAAACGAAAAGCCGAAGTTGATCTCTTTCGTCTTACGTGACCTGTTAGTTGTATGGGGTTAGCGAAGGAATACTCGACTCAATGCGACGCGGGGTACTAGTGGTAAGGCGCGTACGCTGCTCCGCGCTGCCGCATTTGCAGCCGCTCCTCTCGATCTGATGATGCTGTCGTTAGCTAGAAATGCGAAGAATCGGGATTTAGAAGAATCATACTAATATTCATGTTGGAGAAGCGGCGTCAGGCCGAGCTCAACGCCAAACTTGACGCGCGACAATAAAGGAGGGTTGAGAAGAAGTTCGGATTCCTCCTCCTTGAGGGCGGCGGAAGTTGGATTGGAATGATGGCAGCCCGGGCGGAATCCTGACAATCGTTTTCCCCGATTCAGTTTGGCGTCCGATCCAGCGAAGCCAGAGGCCGCCTGACTGTGGCATCTCGCGCCATTCTCCGCACCAGACTATACACCACCAAAAAAGTGCCCAACGCTTACCATTTCCTTCTTTCACACTTGCAGTATCCTTAACATAGCGCCTAACCGCGAATCTCAACTCGTGGAAATCACATTATGGGCTGGTTTTGGGGCGGTTCGAACCAAGACGATCCCGTCAAAAAGCTTGACCCGGAGCTGCGGGATTTCCTCGAACATGAAGCCCCCAAGAAATACGTTCCCACAACTGCGATTCCTTCTTCCAGCGATCCTACGAAGATAGCAGAAACTCCAGTTCAACCGCCACCAGCGGAGAATGCCACGCCCTCCGAGTCTTCAGTCCCCAGTGCCTCCCTCTTCCCCGATGGTCGCTATGCCCACCTCTGGAAGACCTACAAACCACCCCAGGAACAGCAACAGTCCGAGATGAAAACCGCCGAGCGGGTGATCGAAAAATACAAACAGCGCGGTGATACCGTGCACCGGGCGGCGATGGAGAACTGCGCGTTGGAGCAGGAAGACTGGGCCAAATGCTTCCGCACCGGCGACTGGCAGAAGCAGCTGAAAGCCCGTGCGACCATGTGCTCGGAAGAGAACTCCAAGTTCTCTCGTTGTTTTACCACCCAGGCTGTAAGTTCGCGAAACCCGGGAAAGCCACGCTGCTGTCTCCTGTTTGTGTTGGGGGGGGGGGGGTGGATGTACGCAAGATGCTAACAAACTCGGGTTTCCAGAAATTCCTCCAAGCTTTGGGCTACGCATCCTCCTTCGAGTGGGACGAAGAGCGAGAGGAGCGAATTCAGATGCACGCGGATAAGCTCTATCACGAGATGTTGAATTACGAAACTCGGGTGGAGGAAGCACAGAAAGCCGGGCTGGAGCCCCCGCCGCTCACCTCGCTCTTCAACCCCCAAGCACCGCCACAGCCCAATCCCGCCGTCACCAACACCAAGACGTTAGAGATCCCTGGCGGGGAGGCCATCCCTGCTGGACTGAAGCCATCACGGCCATTGGAGAAGCTCACGCCCCATGAACGAGAATTGGAGATTCGCGCGCACAACGCACAGATCGAGCAGCAGAAACTATACGTGCAGGAGGCGACGCCATTCATGAAGAAACAGGAAGAAGCTCGTTCCAAGCGACGGGAGAAGGCTACTAGTTGGTTTGGCGAGACAGTTGGTCGCTGGGTCACTTAAAGCACTGCGGACGTGACAATATAGGCCTTCAGTTCTTATGTATATTATGATTATCATCACCCTTTGTCAGGAGTTTGTGTGATATAAGCGACATTTCGATATGGAATGGTAGTATGATATTTCCAGTACCCGGATTCACTGGAATGACCCCGTCATACGAAGGGGACAATCGTAGAAGACCATGAGCAAAGCTATCATACTGGTATCAGTTCATGTTGAGCTTTGCTGAGCATCTCCCGAGTGAAACGGTGCCATGATTCTTTCAATAGCCTCATCTTTTCTTCACAGGTTCCGCGAGTATGTCTGATGTTGCCTCCGCATGCAATCATCGCTATATTCAAGAGAGCAACATTCAACAACAATTACTAGTCGTCTCTGGGAGCGAACCCGCACAAGGATGCAGCAGGCCTGTTGATCGATAGCTTCTTCCTGACAGGAGAAAAGAAGTTACGCGCGATCGACGGAGGAGCCGAACGCGAAGCTGACGGACGCGGGGATTGTCATTCGCCGGGCGCGACACGAGGGAGAGCGAAAAAGGATGGGATGGACGACATCACCACCTCGACCGACTACTATTACTAAACTACTTCCTCTCTTTCAACTCCTACCGACTCTTACAAAACTCTTGCTCTGCTGCACCCTTCACTTTCTTGTCAATCCCACCTAATCTTCATTCTCCTCTTCCCCCTCCCCCGAGCCTCCTTCTCCACCTCCTCCTTTCTTCTGATTGCATAACGTGAAATCCCCTCCGCGCGCTGCTCCTCCTGCTTGCTCCTACTGCTCCTACTGCCCCTACTGCTGCTACTGCTGCTGTTGCTGCGAGTACTTCCCCGACGGCTTGTTTGCATTGAATTTCCTCGCCCGCAACCATCTCTCCCAATTGCGACTTCAGCTGCATCCCCACCCCCCACCACCACCCCCTCATACATATATTCATAATTGGTTCTGGCATCCTTCCTCTCCCATCTACATAAGATATTGTTGTCCACAATCCTTCCACCCCCACCATTATTTCAACGGGTGCCCCCAATTGAGCATCCGTGCTCGTCATGAAGGCCACCCCGTTACTCATCTCGTGGCACGATGACAATGCTCCTATTTACTCGGTACATTTCGATCCCAATGGCAAGGGCCGTCTAGCTACTGCTGGAAAGTGCGTTCGTCGTCTCTCTCCCCTTCCTCCATATTTTGTAATCCTGGTTACTAATGCTCATCTTTGTTCCTTAGTGACAATAACGTCAGAGTACGATCCCTCCCCACCCCTCCCCTCTGCTCCCCCGTGGATCCCCCATCTGGTACTCTGTGCACCGTCTCTGACGACATTCAACAATCATAGCTATGGAAGGTGGAATCGATCGGAGAGGAGCGGAAGGTGTCCTACTTGAGCACGCTGGTTAAACACACCCAGGCCGTCAATGTCGTCCGTTTCAGTCCCAAAGGTAGGCTGCAGCGCCCGATTCACCTTGTTCAAACTGGTTCCTATTCTGACTGTGTCTCAAACCTGTTCAGGCGAGATGCTGGCATCTGCCGGGGATGACGGTAATGTCTTACTCTGGGTACCCTCGGAATTGCAAACACAACCGGGCTTAGGTGAAGACCGCTCCGATGACAAGGAAACATGGCGAGTGAAGCATATGTGCCGTTGCTCCGGGGCAGAGATCTACGACCTCGCCTGGTCGCCTGATGGGGTCTTCATCATCACAGGCAGTATGGACAACATCGCTCGGATCTATAATGCTCAGACGGGTGAGTTCGGTTTGTGCTTCGCGCCTGGGAGCGGGCTGCTGACTGGTTGAATGATAGGCCAAATGGTGCGCCAAATTGCGGAACACTCACATTATGTTCAGGGTGTTGCTTGGGATCCGCTGAACGAGTTCGTTGCGACACAATCATCCGACCGTTCCGTCCACATCTACAGCTTGAAAACCAAAGATGGCCAGTTTACTTTAACTTCCCATGGGAAGTTTCTCAAAATGGATCTCCCCGCGAAACGCATTTCGTCCAGCAGTCCTGCGCCGCCAGATCTCTCGATCCGCTCTCAACCCGCCCCGACCAGCTCCGCCGCCATCGCCTCGCCCGCTCCGTCTACCCCAGGTACGCCAATGATCTCTAACCTGCCAATGGACCCTCCCCCAGTATCACATAGTCGCCGGTCATCATTCGGGTCCTCACCATCTATCCGTCGCTCAGCATCTCCGGCGCCATCCCTACCTTTACCAGCTGTCAAACCGCTTGAGGTACCATCGCCAGGTCTGCTGGGGGGTCTCGGAGTCAAGAATGCCAATATCTATGCAAACGAGACGTTCACCTCGTTCTTCCGGAGATTGACCTTTGCTCCTGATGGAAGCTTGCTGTTTACTCCGGCGGGCCAGTACAAGACGTCGCATGTATCACCTACGGACTCCTCCAAAACAACGGACGAAATCATCAATACCGTGTACATTTACACTCGTGCCGGTTTCAACAAGCCGCCCATTTCCCATCTTCCAGGTCACAAGAAGCCCTCTGTTGCAGTCAAGTGCTCTCCCATTTTCTATACCCTGCGACAAACCCCGCAGCCTGCTCGTCATATCACCTTGGACACGTCGTCCGTCGACGAGTCATTTTCTTCGCTCCCGGATCCGGTGGTGGGTTCTGCCAAGGACGGCGCTTCATTAATGGAACCTCCTTCTTCCACGCTCACAGCCAACGATCTGGCAAAGAACAACACCGGTACCAAGGCGACGGAGCGGGACAGCCCCCCTGCAGGTCACAGCCCTGCCCCTGTATTCACACTGCCTTACCGGATTGTATATGCAGTAGCCACTCAGGACGGGGTCTTGGTGTATGACACACAGCAGCAGACGCCGATCTGCGTCGTCAGCAATCTACACTTTGCTACCTTCACCGATCTGACATGGTAAGTGATGCCTTGATATAATGGTCGTTCTTGTATCTCAGTTTCGCGATCTAATAATCAACAGGTCGAATGACGGCTTGACCTTGATAATGAGCTCGTCGGATGGGTTTTGTTCCACTCTTGCTTTTGCGCCGGGCGAGCTAGGCCAACCATACACTGCACCGGCATCGGCGGCTCATCAGACCGCAGCCGCCGTGCTATCGGCCAATAACGTTCCTCTTCCCACGCCAACAACAGCGAAACCAAGCCCAGGGCCCCAGGCCAATGCGGGCCAAGCTCCTCCTGCCAGCCCTGCGCGATCCAACTCGGTCTCATCAGTCACAACTCTGTCTGGGAGTCAACAAACGCCGGGGGCGGTAGTCAATAACCCGACACCGACCCTCGGAGCAGTACCACTGGTGACGGCGACTCACTCATCCCAACCTCCGACACTTCCGCTCACAACCCCGCCACAGACCCCCATGTCGCATAGTGGCACAAGCACTGTCAGCGCCAGTGTGCTAGGCAAACGGGTCAGTGAATCGGAAAAGGAGGAAGACAGAGACCCGAGCGCGGCTCCGCCCGTCCAACCACCGAAAAAGAGACGAGTGGCGCCGACGCTCATATCAGCAGGCACTGAGCATACCTCAGCTAAGGGGTCACATAGTACTACGGATATTGGGGGTTGATCATGCTATCTGACAAGTATCTTACTTACGATGTTTCTTCTCTCCTTCGCCTCCGGGTCTAAACTGTAACTCTGCATTCCCGTTTACCTCCGCCCCCTCTTTCACCGACCATCGCCACCTGTCCCGCAGGGTTCGGAGAGACCCTGGCTCGCTACGACATATGATCTATCAATCAACTACCTCTTCACCATGAATTCACGTTTCTTCACCCTTTTCTCCTATTCGCATATCCATGAGCTAGCTATCTGATCTCCCACGGTGTTTTGACTAGGAAGTTGTGCGGTAGAGTTTCGAGGCCTGGTTCGAGACATGAGTCAGTCAGTCAAGGCCAGGCATACATGCATCTATTGTTCCATTTTCGCATTGTACTGTACTTTGTGTTGATGTCCGCTTTCTTACACTGTCTTGTTCTTCCCTCTCTAGTTTCCTCGGCGCCATCTTCTTACTATCATCGTTACTACTAGTACCCCCTCCGCAATGAATTTTCGAATAAGCTAGTCTACTTTCTAAACCCCGGATGTCTGTATCTGTTATTCTCACCCACAACCTTCCCTCCATTTCGAGTACTGTGCACCTGTCACGCATCTTATCTACCCATCATCTACAGGGTACGGAGCCTGTGACTGACTTCACCTTATCCAGCATGTTACATATTCGCATCCTCTTTCCCATCTCCCGGTCCCCCTCTAATTCTAGATCCACTGCACCACCTGGCATGCACTCCCACAGGGATTGGCTGAATCCCGTTTTTGTCACCACCCCCTCCTCCAAGCATAAATCCAGGCAAAGCATGCAAATATCCTTTCTGCAGCTGATGTACGTGTGTCAGTACATCAGCTGAAGCCATCATGATTATCCCTCTTCCTTCACCTACCACTCTTCCCTGCTGATTCCCCCATTCTTTCCGGCTAGACTACTAATTTTGTAAATACCATATTCGCATCACATATCTCTGGCAAACCACGAGGCAAGTTCGGAGATGCGATTTGTATATGCTTTGTTATATAGCAAGGTACGATAATACTTTTAGTCCTAATGTGTTGATTACTGGCGGGGGAGGTGTAAGTTAACGAGGAGAGTATCATGGATCGGATCTACTGTATCTAAGTTCCTGGAATTACGCCCGGGCGGCAGGTGGGAATGGGTAGATTACGTTACGTCGGCGACGTGGTGAGTACTCCATCATATAGATCGTAAACTGACTTCCATTTAGTTATGCCATAATTGTGTGTCTGTCTGTCTGTCTGTCTGTCTGTCTGTCTGTCCGTATGCATGCATGCATGCGCGCATGTATGGTTTCCCTCACTTCCTTCAATATGATCTATTATATACGGCGAGCTAAGGGGGTATCTAGAGCCGGGTCCCAAGATTGGTGCGAAGGGGCGGCGGGTCGTCGAAAGCTGATCGCTGAACTCTCTCTTCATGGAGGCTATATATAAGCTGGTTTAACTTGAGTGGAGGAAAAAGCAACCGGTCACAGCCAGTTGTTATTCATATCAGTACTTTCAGTCGCTTTGTGGGTCGGTTTACTCCTGATTTTACTCCCTGATTTTGGAGATAAGCTGAGGGAAGAGATCATGGCACGCTTGTATAGAAATTACTCGGATTCTTCGTGTTTGTTCATTGTTTAAAAGGAGATACTCATCTAGACATCTCGAAACATCAACCGGGTGCATCCGGTGGTCATGATCATCTGCGTGTCCATTTGGCCATGATGTTGTCACATCCGTGATAAGGAAGAATATACTAAAATAAAGCAAGGGTTGCGAAAAGGGACACCGAGAAGAGTAAGTAATGGTAATGACAGCGCTGAACGTCATGTCATGTCATGTCATGTCATGTCACGTCAGGGAGATGCTACAGGGTTCTCTTTGAACAGGATGAGAAGAGAAAGGAGATAAAGCTGCGCGACGCAGGCAAGAGGTAAGTAGACAAGTATAAGGACAGGTGTTAGTGAGTTTCCAGGGTGCGGACATGACTCAAAAAGGTATTCAAGCCGGCAGTGAGGGCGTCACGCCATTTACACCATTCAGCGTGGGCGAGTGTTCCACGAGATGCCAGTCTGGAGTCGGAGACATGGGAGGGGTGGAATAGCCGTTTGAATCGTACCCTTTGGCGACGGGAGGAGGGGTGGCTGGAGCCTCTCCGTTTGTTTGCTCCTCCTCGCCCTGTGCCTCCTGGACTGGAGCGGCGTTGGCAAGGCCGTCGGATTGCCCACTGAGGTGCCCCTCAGGAAGCGAGAAGACCAAAGCATCTACAATATCAACCATGCCCAAGCCCTCGGGCGGAATGGCTCGTGCTTCTGTGGCGTGAGTACCCACGGTGAGAGTGGTGACGCTGGGCTTTTTCTCGTCAGTCTGAAGGCGGTTGGCCCACCGGAACAGGGCTTCATCGCCGCGGGCTCCGCCTGCCACGAACAAAAAGTCCGGGATCTGATCCAAATGTTGTAAGACAGCATCGGCTGCTTTGGCTTTCGTCATGTCCAAGGGTTCAACACTCACTGCGCCCTCGGTGAGGACCACGCGGATGGCTTCACTGCCGCGAGTGCCATTAATCTGATCGGCAAGGCCTGATGCCTGGCGGGCGGCCGCCTCCGGGTCAAGCGCGTCGTGATACCAGAAGTTCAGCAGACAACGGCCTTCCTCCATCTCACTTCCCTCGACTCTGTCGTGGTAGTATTGAATCACCTTTCGGATGCCATTTCGCCAATCCTTAGCCTTCTCCATATCTACTAGTGTCGTCCACTCGGAGCTTCCAATATGTCGTACGAAACAGCCGTTCTCAGCGATAATCCCGATTGTCGTGGAGAGAGGCTCGAGCATAGATTCGAGCTGCTCGGGACTTTTGCTGCTAGTCACGTATACCGAGTTCTTGGGGTCCTCGCGTAAACGGCGAAGCAGAGGGACTAGGTTAGCAGGCCCTCCATGACTCGAAGCGATGATGCCTTCGATCTCCAGGAAAAAGAGTCTAACAGTGGACTCGTCGTATGCGCCTTTGACGGCATCGAGTGAAAGAGGGTTTACCTGGCTAAGTTCACGAGATAATTGTGCGCTGTGCGCCTTGGTTAATGAGGCCTGGAAGGAGGAGAACCAGGCTAGAGCAGTGTGAGGAGTCATCTTTTCCAACAGGAACTCCCAGTTACTCTGTTTCTGCTCCGGAGTCATCTCGAAAGCTTTGTTTATCGTGTCGGCCACCTCCTTGTAGTCCCAAGGGTTGACCATGAGTTCGTGGCCATTGAAAATCGACGCGCTTCCGGTGAACTCACTCAGAATGAGGGAGCCATGGCGTTGCGCGGTCAAAATTCCATCTTGGCAGTGGATGTAATCGTGACTACTGAGGTTCATACCTTCTCTGAGACTGGTGACCATAAAGATCTCTGCTACGCTCATGAGAGCTAGAAACTGAGAGTAACTGATATCCTGGCGAAGGAAGACCAGTGGCTGGTGAGTTAGACTCGAATAGACTGAGTTGATCCGCATGGCGATCTTCGAAACTTGCGCCTCTAACTCAGGCAATTCAGAGGCAGAAGCAATTTGAACAAGGACAACCTTTGAAGATTTAGAACCAAGTCACTGCACCTATTGGACATTAAGTCAACATACCTTGTCTCTCCACTTGGGGTACTGCTTCAAAAACAGCTCGTAAGCCATGAGCTTCTGCTTAATACCGCCCGGAGCATCCAATCGGTCTCGAGCAACAATCAAGTGCTTTCCCTTATAACGAGAACTGATATTGGCGATCCAGTCCTTTACCTCGGTAGACCTGCGAAGCAGGTCCAGGGCCTTTGGATCGACTCCAATCGGCATGTTTCTCACGTTGACAAATCTCTTCTCGAGCTGGACGCCATCGACAGACACCTCCAAGCCGAGTAGCCGAATGCATGACTGGAGGAAGTGGTAGCAATATTCCTCCGTCTGAAACCCAATCAGATCAGCGCCTAAAAGGCCATGGAGCAGCGCATCTCGAGCGTTGAGACACCGGAAGATCTCCGAGGAGGGGAAAGCAGTGTGCATGAAGAACCCAATCTCCGCATGAGGTAGTCTCTCCCGAAGCATGGACGGCAGAAGGAGAAGGTGGTAGTCATGAATCCAGATGCTGTCCCCTGGCCGCCAGTAGGCAGCGATTTTGTCTGCAAAGGCCTCATTGACCCTCACGTACTGCTTCCAGGAGTAGTCATCATATTCGGTGTGTCGAGGGCTTTCCTGCATCTGGTAGTGAAAGGCCGGCCACAGAACAGCCCGGCAAAAGTGGGTGTAATGGCCCTCGAATTCACTGTCATTGACAAACACGGTCAAGGACTCGAATTCATCTTCGAGGGCCTCGGAGATGCTTGCGCGAGTCTCGTCCTTCAACGAGTCGGTGGGCATGCCCAGAGTTCCCACCCACATCTTATCTGTCAGCATACCCGCTTCTTCAGCGGCATTGATGGCATTGCGCAGGCCACCATTGCCTTGCTCTGCTGCTTTGACCACCCAATCCATCTCCGACAATAGTGCCCGCGGGCTACCATGTTCTTCCTCGGAGCTAATTGCATCCAAGGGAGCATCTAGGTAGGGCGGATTATCTAGCTCATCGACATCAGGACGACTGAGGATAGAAGGTTCCGGGTATAAAGAAGCTTTGGACCGTGGCTGGTTGAACCTCCGGCTCTGACCCCAGGAGACCGTTCGAGGCTCACTAGGGCCCGGACCATTGGGATCATCTGCAATGGGAATCTCTCCTGCAGAGCGGGAGATGTATGGCTTGAAGATCTTCTCATCCTCAGTGGTTGCCCCTGGTGTGTATAGACTGATGCTCTTTGAATGGCGTTTCCGGTTGGTATCCGCCAAGCGTCCTACGATCTTCCCATCGGACTGGGAGGAACTAGTAGACGATTTGCGACGAGCATGTCTCAGCTCGGTGGCTTGGAAGTCGATGGTGTAGGGAAGGAAGCTATTCGGAATTAGTGTCGAGTCAATGGGGCAGGGTAAGGAGATGGGTGGAGAAAGGCATTGACATACAGTGAAGCAACGAAGACCGTCATTGCAGCGAGGTGTGTCTTGAGGCAAAAGGTCTTGCTCTCAGGACCCTATGTGACACCAGAAGATCTAAGACTAGTGGGGGGAGGCCAGATGGCTGAGATGTAGTGGGGAAGTGGAGCAGCTCAAAGAGTCAATGGGTAGTGGAAGGGCTTAAGAGAGGGAGGGAAGAGTATGAAGGGCAGTGAGGCACTCGGATAAAGGGAATGGATGTCTTAAGGCTGCAGTGAAGAAGCTGTGCTGGGGGTGGAAATTGATGACAGATGGATGATGGATACGAATAATTGCGACGGAAGAGGACAAAGGAGAGGCCTTTAAAGTGTCACACGAGGAAGAAGCGAGAGTGGATGATGACCCTGAAAATCCCGGGTATTGATGGAGAGGAAGTTGGTTGAACACCCGAGCCATGCGCAGGAGGAAGAAGCAGTGTCAGTGGTGACGTCCATGATTGATTGGGCCAGAGCCAGGGTACCACCTCCTGTCAATGAAAAAAGCCCGCGGGGAACGGAGCACATGCAAGGCATTGTTACTACTAGACAGGAACATTCTGGCCTATTCGCGTGAAGGAGGGGTTTGGGCAGGTTTTTTGGTTTTTTTTTTTTTTTTTGTTTTGTTTTTTGGTCTTTTTTTTCTTCGTTTTCTCTCTCTTTTTTTTTTGTCTTGATGATTATCTTTTTCATTTCCTGTCCTCAATTTTGTCAATTTCCTTCTTGTGTATGGCCTTGGGCAGAAATGAACTGTGCACGGAGGCATCCAGTGAAGGAAGTAAGAAGGAGGGGGAGGGGCAAAAAGAAAGAGAGAGATGGAGCAAAGAGGGGAAACCGGAAGATTCTAGCCCAGTCAGTGAGTGATTTTATTTTTCTTTTTCTTTTTCTTTTTCTGTTTCAGGCTCATCACAATTACAACCCTCCTAACATAGTTACTACTGGGTAATAGGTATCAAAGCACAAGCGCATCAATGGAATATCAGAAAGAATAGGACCGATCAAGCTAGACCGGGGGAGTAGGCACTAGACGGGGAGCAAAAACTTGCCTGCAGCCCGGTCTGCAGATAATCAGTTCGACGAGTCCCGTGAAGTATACAACCAGGAAAAGACCAATAGGAACAATGACGTTGAGGTTCCCGTGGGATCCGCAACTGATCCACCCGCGGCGTTTGGGCGACGGTTCGAGACAGTTCGACCACCACCGCGTTCCCGGTTTGGTCAATCTTGGTCAAGGTTGGCATCACCACTCACAGCCAAATTCTTCGCACATGGAAGCGAGGGTTGGTCCAGCAAGAACGAATTACGCGGAAAAAATAGGAATCGGGTTGCAACAAGGGGTGAGATAGGGCTTTTAGTGGAAGATAGGTAAGAAGAAAGAGCGAGGAAGGGAAAGATGAAGAAGAAGGCACCCGAAGAAGTAGAGGTGATACTGGGTACTCAAATGGAGGGGTTCGATGAGGCGGTGGTGAAGTAATTATTCTGCCAGCCAGCCAGCCATAAGAATACTAGAGCCTGGTAGAAGTAAGTGAGTGGAGCTCTCGAATGGCATAATATGTCCACCAGGGAAACCAAAATTACCACTTTAATCCTATGCCCATGCCTTGTCCCTGATCTTTAATCTCTAATTCTGCATTCGCTCTCCCCGATCTTTCCCCTTCCCTCACCGATACGAAGCTAGAAAGGTCATCACCACCACCACCACCTCCTCCTTCTCCTCTTCTTCCGTCTTTTACCTCCCCTCTCCATCTTCATCCATTATATTACTCCTCCAATTTCTCCCTCCTATCGCTAGGCTCCAATTGACTCCTGTCGTCTTGTTTTTCTTTTTCCTGTCCCATCCAAGCTCTCTCTAGATTCGATCAGAAAGAAAGAAAAAGCGGGGCAGACATCTTCTTAGCCCTCCTAGCCTTCCTAGCTTCTATCTCCCCATCTTCATTTGAGTGTCTTTCGATAGTATGGCCAGCGACAATTCTTCACAGGGCGAATCCCGCCTGCTGATCGTCTCGAATCGCATTCCGATCACCATCCGACGATCGGCAGGAGGGAAGTATGAATTTTCCATGTCCTCGGGAGGATTGGTGACAGGACTAAGTGGACTCTCCAAGGCAACGACTTTCCAGTGGTATGGCTGGCCCGGACTGGAAGTGCCCGAGGATGAGATTGAATCAGTGACGGCGCGACTGTCGGACGAGTTCAACGCGACTCCAGTCTTCATGGATGATAAATTGGCAGATCGTCACTACAATGGCTTCTCCAGTGAGTCGCTGCCCTAAACGCCCGCCCCGCGCTTTAATCCCTACCCCTCATCTTGTCTGCTGCCCCTCTCTGGGCGTTTTGCCCGCATCGGATATGCAGCTGCACATTTCCCAGCTTCCGCGATAGCCACATGGCATCCAGCAACAGGCTTCCTTCCCGAATGACTAGATTGTGACTAACATGAGCTGTCAGACTCGATTCTCTGGCCACTGCTGCACTACCACCCCGGTGAAATTGTCTTCGACGAAGCGGCTTGGGATGCCTATCGTGAGGCGAACCGGCTCTTCGCTCGGACCATCGCGCGCGAGGCTCGCGACGGGGACTTGGTTTGGGTCCACGACTACCATCTCATGCTCCTACCGGAATACCTCCGCGAGGAGCTTCACGAGTTGGGCAAGAAGAACATCCGAATCGGATTCTTCTTGCATACTCCCTTCCCCAGTAGCGAGATTTACCGCATCCTGCCCGTGCGGAGTCAACTCTTGCGCGGCGTGCTGCAGTGTGATTTGATCGGGTTTCACACCTATGACTATGCGCGTCACTTCTTGAGCTGTTGCTCGCATATTCTGTAAGTCACCATGCCTCCTTCCCACTCAGGCGGCCCCGTCTGGCACACGCTGACCCGGCCTCGTAGAGGATTGGTCACCACTCCGAGCAGCGTGGAATTCAAGGACAGATCGGTTGCCGTCGGGGCATTCCCCATTGGCATTGATCCCGACAAATTTACCGAGGGTCTCAAAAGTCCCAAGGTGCAGAACCGAATTGCCAGCTTGGAAAGCAAGTTCGAGGGCACCAAGTTGATGGTCAGCGTTGACCGCCTGGACTACATCAAAGGTATTCCCCAGAAACTGCATGCCTTGGAGGTCTTCCTCTCCCAGCACCCCGAATGGGTAGGGAAGGTCGTCCTGGTGCAGGTCGCCGTCCCGAGTCGCCAGGATGTCGAAGAATATCAGAACCTGCGGGCAGTGGTGAACGAGCTGGTCGGAAGAATTAACGGCAAATTCGGTAAGTCGTCTTTCTCGTTGGTCTGCCTGGTGGCGCACCGGTCACTAACCCGCGGAACAACAGGCACGGTGGATTACATGCCCATCCATTTCATGCACAAGTCGGTGAGTTTTGACGAACTCATTGCGCTGTACGCTGCTTCGGACGCCTGTGTCGTCTCGTCGACCCGCGACGGGATGAACCTCGTTTCGTTCGAGTATGTCGCAACTCAACAGAAGCGCAAGGGCGTGTTGATTCTCTCCGAGTTCGCGGGTGCCGCGCAGAGTCTTAACGGAAGCATCGTCGTCAACCCGTGGAACACGGAGGAACTGGCCAACGCATACCATGAAGCGGTCTCGATGACCGATGATCTGCGTTCGCAGAAGTTTGAGAAGCTCTACAAGTACATTTCCAAGTACACGAGGTAAGCTTACGTGTCCCCGACCCCTCTCCTCCCTGCATTACCTGCAGAGACAAGACGATCTTCCCGCCCTGTCCATCCCTTCCCGCGCCACGCAGAAAAGAAAACACAAACCGGATTACTGATGGTTGTTTGCGCCGATTGTAGTGCCTTCTGGGGCAAATCTTTTGTCGCCGAACTATCCAAGTGCTCGGTCTGAGGTATGGATAGCATCATGAATGATGATGTATTGTCTATTGGCCTATCGACTCCACCATTTGCTTTGATTGTCTGATAACCCCTACATGCAATCCTTTCTGTTACGACGCAGGCGCACCAGTGAGCATATGACGACGATTTTATGGTTTGATAGATTAGCAGCAACAGCCTCCGTCTCTGCGAAGCACATGTTATAGCAATGAACATAGGACGGGAACATGGGAAATATAATGAATTTGGAACATGATGCGGAAGCGCTGGTTACGATTCTATATTAGAATCGAGTTCATCTCCACTTAACATTTCCACATGCATACAGTGCATCCCGTATGGCTTACCTTTCCACTCTTGTTGGTCCGGTAGAACTGCGAAGCTATTTTCATTCCCTACGAATACGTCATTCATACTCCAAAGTATACTCACACAACATCTAATCTCCCCCTTTCCTCCCCACACTCTTGCCCTTTTACAGCCCACAATTCAATTCGTAGCTTGTACTTTGCCCCCCACCCCACATACGTACTTGTGGATCAAGATCAAGGTCAAGATCAACCTCATCCGGAACATACCCTCCCAGGCCCTCACCCTACTGTGTACGGTGTAGTGTGTGCATACTCCTTGGTGTAGCCCATGTCTACTACGTACTCCGTAAGCATTCCCACATGAGCACCGCCACTTCAAAACACAAGAGAATCCAGGCCAAGCCCAGATCAGCAAAACGAACACCCAAACACATTTCAATCCCTGCATTCTGATAACAGGGACGGACCCCTGCCCCTTCGGTATCGGCAAACTTACAGCCTTGCCCTGAATCTCACCATTACCTATGTTTTAGTATGATATCCAGTAATTTATCATCATGATATGCGATACAATACTATACTGTGCTATAATATACTATAAGTACACGTGTTATAGTAAAACCAAGATCAACTCCCTATCATCATGACTTCACAATGACATACGAACAACCACCGGCTAGCCAGCCAGCCAGCCACGACGGGTGCTTACCACTCCAGCGGATCGTATGAGGTTGCTGCGGTGTGTAACTTTCAATCAAGTACTGACAGCACGCATTCTGGCATGGCAGCCCAGAAAGAATTCGTTGGGATGGGGTCTAGAACGCTGGCGCAATCTTGTCTATCCATCGCATGCACGATACGGAGTACGGTGGTGGTGTACTCCGTACGGAGTGCAGAGTACTCTAGCAACCACGATGCAATCATGGGTTTTCGAGTTGAGATAAGACAGTAGTACACCAAGTAGATGCCCTTAGCAGGAGAGAACATATTGAGAACTATTATTTGACGAGGATTAAACTGTAGGTCTGGGTCGTGCATTCTGCATGTATACGGAGAACTTGAGTATATCTAGACACAATCCCACTATACTCCTCCAGGAAACACAAGGCCACCGACCCACAACTTCAATCCCAACCCTACTAACAAATCTCAAATCCAAAATAGGTAGTTCCGAAGTCCACGAAAAGGGTTTCAGTTTCATTTTTCCCATGTTTGTACCTCGCGAATATCTTGGGCCACACGCTACTTTTCTCCCCTCCACTCACGTGCTCACGGCTTACGCTCGAAGATCAGGGTCTCGTTTCCTTTCGCTTTTTCGGGATCGATGATCGGCCGAGGATTACTAAGTCAAAGGAGGGGAACATACGTAATCACGAGTCATGGAGGGGAGAAAGTAGCGTGTGGCCAAGGCTTCCAGAGTCGAAAACCAAGGGAGAAATTGGCAAAGAGGTAGGATCGCTTTTTTCTCTGGTGTGCTGCCTGATCAATCCTCCAGGCTTGTGTTTAAACTACACATTAAGGAATACTTCAGTCGGCGTTTGTTCTTGGCTGCCACTGATGTAAGCAACGTACATTCACCAGTTCTACTGCGGACTTACGGTGTAGATGAAGATACTAGTCAAGAGGAAAGTTTCGAAAGATCTGGAAGTTTACGGAGTATATCTTCGGACTGTCCGTCGCTTATTCTTGCTACCACTTAAGGTGAGAAGATTTGCAGGAACACTCCTTTGGTTTCACCAACCCCCAAAAGCAAGAACGAAGAAGCCTACAGCTTATGCACTCTGCCAGAGTGCATTGTGTTGCGATCAGGGGAAAGGGGAGATATTTGCCGCCCCCGAGCCGATTTCCTTCCAGGGTCTGGCCACCATGGACCCCTACTCAAGGTCGCTCTTCTACTGAACCATTGGCATTCGACATCAGAGACACTTCTAACCTACTCCGTAAGGGGATCTACCCCCTTTCTTCGTGGGCGTGGATGGCAGGGGAACACCAAAAAGTCAATTCCGAAGCAAGAGACAAATGGCGCATGAGATCTGGACTCTTGCGTATTTCCGAACTTCTATCTCAAATTCATTAGACACCCGATTGAGGAGACGGAGTCTCCCATTTTACTCCTCCCTTGGCTTGGCCCCGCCCAGGGTCTAGGGCGCTTTTCGTGGTTGACAGGCACTTTGGGTAATGGATACCCAACGGGTTTAGCGCAATGGGTCTTCCTCAAGGCTTCCTCGGGCCTCCAGCCAGATCTTGTACCATGCCAAGACGGACGCTTGCGCGTCTCCGCCACCAAACCGTCCTTTTTAGGAAGGATGCCGTAATCATGTAACGCCGAGCGGTTTGAGGTCGCTTCCAAATCGAGTTGCAAGGGAGGCTGAGGCCTGGAGGGGGGTTCCTGTACTTCCTTCTGTCGGTCTGTACGGCTGTCGGCTTAGTCGGCCCGTTCAACCATCCCCTCTCGCACTCATGTTCCACCATCCATGTCAATCGTGATGCAAATATTCATCAGCTCCTTTGCCATCCCAGGGTCTTCTCCAGAGACAAAGGAGGAGGTGGCAAGCCGGAATGATTATCAAGCTTCTTGCGTCGTGTGCATGATGATCCTGTCCATCTACCTGTGTGGAAATGGCTGTTGTAATGTTGCATATGCCGCGTAGTGCCTGCACTGGATAGGATGCACGTCTTATCTGCACAGCGTCCACCACACCTTGGTCAAGGTACGGCAAGGTGGAAAGAGATGTGCTTTTCAACCCTGGCACACCCAGGTATACGTATGATTAGTGTTTGATAGTCTTTGCGTGTGTATCACATGGCATACGTCCCCGCCCGAGGATTCGTCGCCTGCTATACTCCAGAGTACTTCATACCCATGCACGTATCATCAGGATCGCGACCCGGGCCACAGATCCTGTTGCGAGTCTCACTGACTCAGAGAGGCTGCATGGGTCTCGCAATGCTTGTCGGAACTCGGAATTAGCAGCTGAGGGCAAATGCTCGGAAGCAAAAGTAGAGAGATTCTCGACCTCAACTCCAACTCGATCGGGATCATCATGGTCATTAGCCGGCTTAAGTCTAACCCGCCCAACATTGTGGTTGGTCATCCCAGAGGCGTTTTGGGATGGAAGAGCTGGATTCTCTAGCACTAGATATCATGTCGGACGCGCCAAGCGGAGACTGGCCTGGTGTATGGAAGCTGGGAACCGCCGTTTCGGGAGCCCATCCATCCAAGAACCTCAATTAGTTAGCAAATAGTCTCACCTTGCTTCCTACTGAGCACGTTAGCTTGTCAGACTGATCTCGCTCCATGTCCCATTTGTCGAGATCTCTATCCCTTTCAGCAAGGAAGCCCGATCTCTGCCTGTGTGATATCCACTGCTTCGTCAGCGGAGGAAATAGTTTGAGTGGATGCAATTTCGACTATGGGTCCAGTATACAGTCGTAAGGCTACGCCGGTTGAAGCCGCAATGGAGAATTGCCTAGTTGGGCAGAGGGGATCCTTGAACCTTTTCGGTGAGATCACGGATTATCCGAGACGCCCTTACTTGAAGACGATGTTGAGGGGAGCAGAAGAGCAGAGCATGAAGAACGAAAATTTTTGTTGATCCGGTGGCCTGGCAATGAAGTGGACACTACGTGCGGTGTGCGTGCACGGTCACTAAGCATGACAGAGTGACCGATGGTGACTTTTTTTTTAGCCTGTTGGTCAGAGAGCCGCGTAAGACGGACAGGCTGACGTCGAACGAGATCCTCCATAGCGCGGACCCGGGCAGCGGTCGGTTGCGCTCGAGGATTACCTCAATAGGAATTTTTTAGACGGACGCGTCGACGTGTAGGAGCAAAGGTGAAAAAATTCAGATATGATCATTTCGTGTGCCGGCTCAAGGCACAATGATGAAGCCCCTCGGAACTCGAGATATAGCAGTGATCAGAGGCTTGCGTGGACGAGGGGGTGGTGAAGAAGGTAAAATCCCTCCTGCTCTCCAGTCATGGACGCACACGCGGAGAGCACAAGAGGAGCCAAGCTTTGGGAAAGAAGCATCAGCAAGTGGTTTTGTACCCCATCCAAAGACTAATTGTTGCTAATGTGCCATGCGACAGAGGCATCGCAAGCAAAGAGTGGAGCCAAGACATTCATTTCAAAAGCACTCCATAAAACGTATTGGCAATCAATTAAAGGATGCCAATAGCTTCAGCGCTGCTTGCTGCTGCTGGCGGTGTTGCAACCAGAGGTGATATTAGGGGGAGAAGAGAGTGGCAGTGAGAGCATTTACGCCAAGGCTTTATTGCCACAGGACGTAATGGTAGTATATGCGTTAAGTCAGTGAGCAAAGGAGACATTTCCTGAGAGAATTTACTGTGTGTAAGAAGATCAGAATGCGTGGCAGTAGACCCACCCTCCAACAAGATGCGGACGGGAGCAAAAGAGGGTCTTGGCCATGGTTCAGTTAACTGTTTCGGGGCGGGACACACGCGGCTTGCGGTGCTGGCGCGGGGCCCTGATTGGGGCGAGGAGCTCAAGGCTGACGACGCTTCGCCCTCGCTGCTGGCGTGGATGGAAAAAAAAAATAATCGCCCTTAACCCAAACAATTCATCGGGACTAAACTACTTCTATCACTGAATCAGTCAGTCAGTCATCCACAGCACAGTAACGGCGCTCAGAGGGCCTGTCCAGTCTGTCGTAGACTGCCCCATCCTGTACTGTGGTCTGGTCCTCTCCCTCTCTTCTTTCCACCACCACCACCAACAATCAACTACTCTCCTCCTACCTAAACCTACCTCTCTTTCTTCCCTTTCTTCTTCACATCATCATCGTCGTCGTCGTCGTCCTCACTGTCGGTGGGCTTTTCTTCACTCTGTAGTTTTATCCACCTTTTTTAACTTAACTCTAACCGCTCTCTCTTTCGTTTCTTTCCCTCTTTCTTCCTTTCTTCCCTCTTCGCTCCCCTTTCGGACTCCCTTCCCTGTTCCTCCTCCCCTCCCCAATCCTCGCCATACCCTTTCGGTCGTTCTCGGAGCCACCTCCCCAATTCTACTCTACATTCTGTTTAATTGACCTGTAGTCCATTGTCGACTGGCTTCAGGTTCATCTCCATTGCTCCTGCATCTTCTCCTCCATAGTCGTGGCGGTTACCTTGACTTCAGCGCCAAGCGTGGCGACCGCCTGGCTAGGCTGTGCGACCATCATCATCCTGAGCGGCCGACTTGACTGACCCTTCTTCTTTCTCGACAAAAAACAACCCTCACGACCTTCGTTCACCAAATAGCTTGTTTGCTCGACAACCGACTTAGATCGATTGTTGGGATCGTCGCAGTCAGAATTAGGATCTGGTTTTGAGGCACCCTGGAGATTTGAACGCCCTATTACCGCCGCTGGTGTCATTGACCCTGCCCCTACCACCCACAACCATGGCGGACGGTAGACATCACCACCAGGCGACGAATCCTGAGAACTTCGATGCTGGCGAACTCACCAATGCCTTCGAACAGTTGATGCGCAACAAGCGGTTCCATCAACTCCAAGAACAGGCTCGATCACAATCTCGCACGCAATCCCCCTCTCCCGGTCTTTACCCTCCTCCCCATCCTTCGCGAGCACCACCACCGCCGCCCCCGGCCGCACCTCAGTATCAGTCACACCAAATGCCCCCGCAAACATCGTCACAGTCACCCTTACTTCGCAGCCTACCGATTGTCCCTTCTCCTCCTCAAGACCCAGTCTCGCTCAAATTCCGCAACCTCCTCCATGTTCTCTCCGTCACTCCAACCAAGTACGAGAATCCGGGTCTTCTCGACGAGGCGCTCGCTCACATCCCTCTCGATCGGTTATATGCGGAGGCTGAGGAAGAGAGTCAAATATTGCAGGCACAGGCAGCTAGCGTAGGAGGACGACCAGAATGGGGCTACCAAGATTGTGTCATTCGGGCTTTATTAAGGTATGCTTGGATTTGGGATGATGACAGGATTGGCGACATGCTGACGCGGATATTAGATGGTTTAAGCGTTCCTTCTTCCAATTCGTCAACAACCCCCCATGCTCACGATGTTCCATGCCTACGATTGCACAAGGCATGACTCCCCCTAACCCCGACGAAACCGCGCGGGGTGGCACTCGAGTCGAACTCTACCGATGCTCAGAACCCAGCTGTGGTGCTTACGAGCGCTTTCCTCGGTACTCTGACGTGTGGCAGTTGCTGCAGACGAGACGGGGACGTGCGGGCGAATGGGCCAACTGCTTCAGCATGTTCTGCAGAGCCCTCGGAGGCCGTGTGCGCTGGATCTGGAACGCTGAGGATCATGTCTGGACCGAGGTCTATTCCGACCACCAGAAACGTTGGATCCACGTCGATGCCTGCGAAGAAGCATGGGACCAGCCCCGCCTCTACACTGAGGGTATGTGCTTCGTTCCATTGACCGATGTGAGCTATGCTAACTAAGGTTGACTCAGGCTGGGGCCGCAAGATCTCATACTGCGTTGCTTTCTCGATTGACGGAGCCACGGATGTCACCAGACGATATGTCCGAAGTCCCACCAGGCATGGTGCTCCCCGAAACCGCGTGCCTGAGGAGGTTCTGGTCTGGGTAATTCACGAAATTCGGAAGAAGCGCCGCGAAAACTTGTCCAAGACAGATCAGCGACGTCTGATGAAGGAGGACGAACGCGAGGAGAAGGAGCTCCGCACCTACACCGCATCCGCCCTCGCAGCCGAGCTCAACAACCTCTTCCCTCAAAACACCAGCAACGGCCGCCTGGAGGACCAGAAGACTCCTGTTTCACGTCAAGATGCTTCTGTCGAGTGGTTGACCAACAGACAAAGGACATCAGGCCAGTCTGGCCCAGATGGCTCGCAGGACGGTCGCTAACGATGCTTTTTTGACCCTTTCGCCTCCTACCACACGTTGCATACATCAAGGCACTACGTTCCACGGTCGGCATACACAGCAAGCGACCGACCGTCCCTGCGCCCTCATGCAAAAACAACAAACACGACCGTCTAATTCCGCTGGACTCTCGATGTATCAATCATCACCTGCGCGATGTACACGATTGAGTTCCACCTATTATAGGATTCGACTTGACGCATTGCATGGTCTGGCACATTCTTGTGAACCTCACCATTTCGCGGCTATCACGTCCGAGACCGATCTCGGTCAAGAATCAGGTCGTTGCTCCAGGTTCAACCAAGCCTGAGGCTAACTTCAGGCCATATAACTATGGCCGCAAATCCTGTTCGAAATCTTTCGACTTGATTAACACACATTTTTTCCTGTGGATTCATCGAGCTCCACCTATCAATCATTCATTCCCATATGTCATCAATTCTCTTCCCGACTACACATTTTGTCCAAAATGTACTTTCTTTTCACCTCTTTCTTCTTTTCAAATTTTTTTTGGAACGACGCATTTTCAGGGAGATCTAATCGGATACCTTATTGGGAAACCATTTATGGGTTCGAGGCGCATTTGTTACACGGATTGTCATTTCATTCCTCTTATATAATGTCCTATAATCTTCTGCAATTTTTCTCATTCTCTTGCGGGAAAGCATACCCAGCATTGCGGCGAATCGGTCAATGCCATGTTTATGAGACGGATGTTTCGGTCGCACATCGTCTAAGCGGGCCCAGCGGCATCTCCCAAATTCCTACTTAGTTCTGGCTCCTGGCGATCTAGATAACTACCGAGTTGAACAAATATTACTCAGACTCTTTCTTTGACATAGTTTGGTCAGCGCTTGATGCGCAATGCGTCATGGCATGGTAGCGCTGATTGCAGATTTTGCAGCGTACCACGACCCAAGCCCCATGACGATCACTTGGTGAGTACTCCTCTTCTCGAGCCTTGGCCCCAACAATGTGGACCTACTGTCTCCGATGTTCCAGGCTCTAGGCATACCAATGACGGTCGCTGCTTGTTTGTCTGGCGCTCTTATTAGGATGAGAGTAGATACTTTCCACCTTCAGGGTACGGAGTTAATTAATCATACATACCATTGACTCCGGACACGCAATGGAATGTTGTGTTGATTTGAATGATGTGAACGGGCGGCATACACATCTCAGGGTTCTTCCGCGTGCAGGGCCCTGATCAACTGTACACTAGATTCTAATCTACCATTGATTGGGTTAGCTCTATCGTATATATGATCAAGCGTGCTTCAAGTTCCCCAGTAGTAATAGCCCTGAGTGTAAAAGCCCTGGGTGTACGGGAACATATCATAGATAGTATCATATGTGTCTGTCCGGAGGAAATGCAGGTGCCTACGATAGTGCCTGCCTGCCCTTACACCTAAAACTCAATTCAAACAACAGACCTCCCTTTCTCCCCCCAAAGGGAGGGCGGCGCTAGGCAGGGCCGCCAGCAGCCCACTTAGAAGGGTTCTTGCTCCGGAACTATAGGTCCAAATTACAGTATTTGCCGGTAGACCCTCGATCTCCGTGACCACTGATCCGTAGTCATAAGAGGGTCCAGAACTAGTAAGTATCCAGGTATGGACTGTACTCACCACTCCATACTGTAGGAAACAGGAGTATAATTCCACTCCGCAGGAAATCCCCCCCTCGCACCCCTTCCCACACGCAGACGCGCACACATTGGAAGTGGACACAGTCCCACGTTGTCCCATGTTTTCAAACCGAAGTCATGATTTTCAGGACAGGAAATTCGCCTCTATTCCCTAGACTGGATTGTCCAGACGGAATTGGTGGATGCGAGCAGGGCTCTGGGGTCTGAGCCGAGCCAAACCCGATTATTCTTGCTAGAAATAGGGGGGTCACCTGGCTGGACGGAGCTCTCCATGAAAGGGAAAATGACCGCCTGTTGGGTATGTATGCTGGTGTTGTGTGCAGTGTGTGCGCCCTGACTCGGACCCGGGAAATGGAAGTGAGACATTCAGGGGAATGAGCGACGGTTCCAGAGTCACGATACCGTGGACGGGACTTAGTTGTGCTCCGGTCGGGGTAGGAATGATGTCTACTTGCGAAGGTTGGGTATGTATTCCATACTATACTTCTCTCCCCCTTTTCTCTTTCCTCTTTTCCTAGAGGTTATGTTCTTAGTACTGTGTAATGTGACTTATACTGTACTACCACGCTATTACCCTAGGACAGGTGATATACTATACGGTGTTGTCAGAATATCGAAACAAATTCTTAGAGGAGCTGAAGACACCGAAGGACTGTGCGTGTCAAACATTTTTCTCCTTTGCAACTCTCAACCTGACCCACTGGGAGAGACTGTCAATTGTCATCCATGATCCCATCTCATCTCCCAGCATCCAGCCGTGGTACCTGGCACGCGTCTTCCACGCGCTGAGACCAACCCGGAAAGCAAAAGTGCGTAGAAGTGAGTCTATATTTAGACGCGCCGAGGAGCCGGCCCAGGCGCGGCTACTTGATCGTGATCGACATCCGGGATAAGCAGCCATTGGGCGAGGGTGGTGTCATGTGGACGGGGTATGGATCCGCTGGATCGTGGATTTCGGGGCAGGGATCGGGGTCGGTCGGCTTGGTACTGTCTGGTTCATTTTGGAAAAGCGACATGGCATGTTTATGACTAGTACTTTAAGTCCACTATGTTTGAAATATGCTGTGTAAATGGTTCCGAGATCCAAGTTGAGGACCTTGCCATGAAAGGTAGTAGGAGCCACTTAAGAAGCCCTAGAATGATGTGATCAATGGCATCGGCGTGCACGGCACTAAGACATCGACCCATCCTTGCCCTAATCAGGGTCCTCGGTGCTCCATCGAAGACCTAAACCCACACCCTTCTTTTTTGGGCTCCAGAAGGTTCGCTCACAGGCCCAAAGGCCTAAAAACAAGTCGTCAAAAAGGTCGTGCCCGGGATCGAACCGGGATTACAGGAATCAGAATCCTGGGTGCTAACCATTACACTACACAACCTTGTAGTTATAAGGCTGCTGACTTGTGTGCAAATAATCCAAATTTGCTCGTTTTGTCATCTCTTTGATTTTTGCTTCACTCTACCTCGATGCCACCAGCTTCCTTCTCCTATCCATAGAATTGATTGGTGTAGGTGCTCGACATACTCAAAGAGGAATCTTCTGGCTGCTGGCGGTGTGGCTTTGTATACAAGCTTTCTAGGTTCTACAGCTAAACCCTGCAGGACTCTGCAATGTTGTGATTCAAATCATAGACAAGTCCACAATTATCTTCATACCTGCTTTTTCTGTGATTGAATACAGTTTAGATGATCTGAGTCTCAATGCCCATGCATTCTCCAGCTTTGAAGCGGCTACTGATCTTATAAATGGTCAAAGCGAGTTTGATCTGCAGCACTTGAGACACTTTCTGACCCTTCGTAGAGGAGTTGAAGTACACTGAGATTGGTTGGGCGGTAGAACGAGGCAAACATCAATGATGAGTGGTCTTTGGATAGCCGCACAGAGTTCACCCACATGCGGTAATGACTTGAGTTGGTATCCTGCCTCGAGCAGATTGACCTTGAGTGTGAAGCTTACTATGTAACCAGGCCGTTCTCGGAAGACAGCGCAACTGGAGCATTACGTCGATATCGCTTTTATATAGCCTTGACGCCCACGAACAGTGTCTTCGGGGTTGCTGAGCGTTGCTCCTTGATTCACACTGAGACTACGCATCCTATACACCTCAAATCTATCGCTTGCCAACACCAACATAGATATCCTATACGGACCACGATCTGAGAACCAACTAGAGCTAACCGGCTTGCTCCATTCCGGATTTAGATTCTGCCTCCGGCTGCGGTTCTCAGACAATTTGACAAACAAGGACTTGAACAGGGTCGCCAGAGTGCGAGACTAGTCTGGTCTAGCTGTGTTACAGCGGCTGCACGACGCCAAATGCCATCCCCTACTGCTGCTAGACTTGTTCCTTGGGAAAGATACTTGCGTCTATATCTCAGATACCACAGTTTCTGTTTGAATACTGGACACAGAAAGCGCAAGAAGCATGCGCAGCGGAGAGGAACTGATGAAGGGACCACGTCAGAGCCGTAGATCACTTGGGAGTCAAAGTCACTCCAATGACACAGTAGTCACTCAGAGTATCCAAATATGATTTGAGCCGCTCAGAGTATACTCACAAACCCATACTCTCCCTCCGCCCCACACTCGGCTTAGCATTTTAAACCGTACACCAAGTGGGGCCCATCAGCGGGTCCCACTGCTTTACGAATGCGAGCTTCCCTTTCCAGTTCACCATGAACATATACTCATGATACATTGTTCAATATACCATGGTAAGGATGGTAAAGGATGGTTTTACTTTGGGCTCACGCCGCCCCTTATCCACAGAGGCAAGAAAGAAAACCCTTATATGAGCCCGACTGGCCTTTTCTTTTTTTTTACAAAGAAAAAAAGCAAACCTCACAGTTAGTATACTTTGACAATGGCAGATATCAAGCAACAGAAGGCCTACCGAGCCTGGCCCACCGACCCTCCTACTTACACCGCGGCCAACAACGAGCAGATGCGAAATATCACCCAGAACAAGGATTGGCATTATTCGCTCTGTGACTTTTGCTCCCCAGGCTCGTTATGTGAGTCTATAACCGACCGAGATCATTTCCGCCCATCTCCAGTACTTCAAAACCCAAAGGTCGATTATCCATACAACTAACATCAAAACAAAACCCAGGCCTAATGAGCTGGTGTCTTCCATGTCTCACTTTCGGAAAGACGCAAGCGCGAGCTCACGATCCCACCCTCCAAAACTTCAGCTACATCAACACTGACGTGAGTGCCAACCCCCTACACTCCCCCTCCAACAAAGTCTCCTTCCTGAAAGAAAGCCACTTGTGCAAACTGAACTAATCCACTTCTGTCGTTTATCCCTGCAAGTGCGCAGTCTTCACCTGTCTCGGCCTCGGCCTCTCCCAATGGATCATCCAGACTATCCGGCGAGGCGAGATGCGCGAGCGATTCGGCATCGCGGGCTCGTGCTGCGGCGACTGCTGCACAACCATGTGCTGCGGGTGCTGTGCGCTCATCCAGGAGGAGAAGGAGATGGAGCTGCGCACGAGGCCGGAGTTCGCGGGGTACCAGCCGGCGCGGCAGATGGCGTACTCGGCCTCGGGTTGAGGATTGGAGCTTGCGCAGGTTTGGCAAATAGGTCATATTTACCACGTAAAATCTCCTGTGGACTGTGCGCGGTCAGGTTTCAATGTCGTGCTCGGATTGGCGCACGAAAGTAGGGTGTGTCAGTGTGAGTGTGTGGGTGGGAGCGATACAGCTGCGAATGCTGTCATCTGTGGCATGACGCCAGGGTCTTTTCCATTTGTTATTATACCCACCATCAATCAGCCTTTTCTAGAAGGTTCCCATCATGAACCTAGAGGTAATGCTAATTATTCATACTCGATCTTGCAACAAGGGTGGCATAAGCACGGAAGTGGTGGTAAGATGATAGCCTAGTAGAAGGGGGTATATGTGAGAGCATCTTCAGTGTACGATAGATGATAGAAAAAGGAGCAGGATTATCCAGGAGAAAGTGAATCTCAGGCATAGGCGTTCTGCCGCATTGGGTGATGGGTGGCTGGGCGGTAAATTGTTGCAGAAGGCCGTGGTGTCTCGGCTGACTGGAGTCAACATCAACAACAAGCTTGCCTGTTAAGACACGAACCTTGAATGGACTGCTGCTGAGTCTGATGCTTGGAGGAAGACAAGCAACAAGACGGATCAAATTCGCACCGTATATATGTGCTGCACCCCTGGATCTACATCGCACGCATGACATCAAGATTGCAACAGGTATGCTTCTCACACCCTTGTGTGCAGATCAATTAGAAAAATATTATCAGGATAATGTATATACAGAGCATTAGCGTGTGAAACCCGACACACCAGACAAATGTCAGATGTTACAAGACAGTCCACTATTCGGGAACAAAGTATTCACATGAATGGAAGAAAAAGAGAGGGAAAAAAAAAGGACAACAACAATCGGATGCTTCAGCGCCAGGCCTCAGTCAGACTCGTCGTGGGTGCGTAATAGGTTCTCGCTATACCATGCTCTTGAAGCTGGATGCAGAGCGGAACAAGCTTGCCAGCGACGGTAGGGATTTGAGACGCTGAGGCCGTGGCAGGGTTTCGTGCAGTGACGCCGCCGTTGGGAGATCCGGGCTGGCGCACTGGGAGTAGAAGCGGCCGATGTCACCATCAGAGCCATATTCTGTCGGGGTAGCGGAACTGATTGACCGCGGAACACCATCGGTCGAGATCTGGAGATTGCTGCCCATGTACAGGGCTTGGTGTCGCACGGGATAGGCGCCGAAGCAGGCTCGGGGAACAAGGCCTTCCTGGGCAGTTTCGAGGACGTTGACAAGGGCCTGCAGGGACGATTAGCGTCTAGTTGCTGACTCAGGAAACATGCAGGGGAGTGACTTACCCATCCGTCGTCATAGACGAGATGCAAGACGGCAGTTTGGCCCTCCTTCAGCTCGACGTGCTCGGGGCTGACAGGCTTGAAGTCCATTTCAACCCGGAAAACTCGAGCAAAGGAGATGTCTGGCGTGCCTGGGTATGTGCGGCTCTCGACAGTTGGACTTCTGGATACCCTGTCGACAGTGGGGCTTCGTGATACTGATGGGCTGCTGTCCCGCGAGGAGGAGGGGGAGGATGACGAAGACGAAGGGGAGGAGGAGGATGATGATCCCGCAGTGACGGGCGTGACAGTTTCCACGGTTGCTACTTTGGCCTCTGGGAATTTTCCCGTCTCCAATTTAGGTGTGCTCGACACGGCAGCATCCTTCAGTCGACCGACATCACCGACCAATGTCTCCGAAGACTCAGTAGGGCTCTCGATACTCTCATTTACCTCCACAACGGGTGCTAACTCCTTGGTGTGACAAGACCTAGGGAGGTCTCGCAAGCCATTCTGCAAGCTGTTGGTACTATACGTGCTGTATGTGCTATACGGACGTGGAACATGGGCTTTGCCCGCCCAGCTCGAGTGCACGAAGCCGCCCACCTTCTGCAGTGTAGACACGCTGGCCGAGTACACTTTCCTGCTGAATTCCTTGATCGGCTCATACTTGGCATTCTCAAAGTGACGTTGTAGAATAGGGATCTTCGATTGATATGTCGCCTTGATCTTGCCTCCCGCTTGACGCATGACGCTGGCTCCTTCTGTGCAGAACTTGGATGCGTATCTCACAAACTCGTCGCTGGCTCTAGGACTCTCAGGTACTTTTTCACCACGACTGTTGGCGATGATCTCTCGAAGGCGGCGCTTCTTCCGGCGTAGCGACCACAGTATCAGACCCGCCATGGCGGCGACGACGATGATGACACTGAGACCGATCGCCGCCTTCGTGCCGGCAGGCTCCCCAACATTCTTTGCCGAATCGACCGAAAGGACGGTGCTTGTGGCAGTCGCCTCGCTGGTGGTTGGTGTGAACGATGAGGGGAGCGATTTCGAGCTGTCGGTGGCAGTGGGGATAACCGCGGTTGCGAAGGTCGTAGCTCCTACTACTGGCGCGACGCCAGCAGCTGTTGGGGGCTCCGCGGTGGAGCCCTCAGCGCTCAATTGGGTGGTCGGTTCGGTCGATGAGGTTGCTGAGGTTCCTGCGGCTGCGTCGCCTGTAGCCGCGGCTTCGCTGGGAGCAGCTTCCCAGGTGTTGGCGGTCCCCGCTGCGGTGCTGTCCTGTGCAGCGGCAGGTGCTGCTGCTGCTGCTGCTGCTCCTGCTGTGCCGGCACCTGCTACTGAGGTGTCTGTAGTCGCCTGCGTGGTTGTGTCGGTGGCTGGCGCGCCTGTCCACTGCCCTGTGGTTCCTTCTGCGGTGCCTGACCAAGTGGTACCCCCGGCCGCGGTGCCAGCAGCAGTAGTCCCATCGGCTGCAGCTACTGGTGCTGTCGCTCCTGATGCCCCTGTTCCGTCTGATGTCGCTGCACCTGTTCCTGCTCCAGTGCCGGCGGCTGATGCTGCTGTTTCACCGGTTGTTCCCGCTGCTGTCCCTGCTGTTGCTGCAGTACCCGTTCCTGCACCACTACCTGCCCACTGCCCAGTGCCGGCGAGGGAAGTGTCCGCAGACCACTGACTAGTACCATAGCCAGACGGTCCAGTCGCAGACCATGTTGACCCCGAAGCATCGGCCAGTTGAGGTTGCCTCTTAGCAAGGCCAAGGCCGTGATGTCTGTTCTTTGGTCGCATCGTTTATCCTTAGGGTAGAGCAGATACGATCAACAACCAAGCATGCATGCAGTAATCGTGGATCGTGGAGCTAAAAGTCGGAAAAAAGGTTTGCAACTGGACGGCTGTCATTGTAACTAAATAAGTATCAAGCCAGCAGACGCCACAAATTGCTCCTCCGGTCCAAACAACAACACAGACACAATACACAAACAAACTACCAGCTCCAGTATCCAATTGTGACCATCCACCGCCGATGTGGGGTTGTTCTCTTCGGCTTCTATTATTGTTGCATCCGCGAGCTGTGGAATGCGTTTTCGCCCGTCTCTCGCATTCTTGCGTGGATTAAGCGCATTCCGCACTCAACTCTCACACTTCTTTGGGAGATTACACACTTCCCAAGAGGATGGATCACATTATACGGCCTCCAGTTATTGTTTCTCCGGTCTGCCCGGTGCGCCGATTCGACGCAGGTCCCTGCTGTTTCTTCGAAGCATACCTGACCTTGTTGTCTAGTCAACGTTGACCCTCTCGTTCGAGCTTGATGTGATTCTGCGCCCAACTTCCGATGCAGATCATCTCGTCTTAATCAAACTGCCTTGGAAGTTGATGATGACACTCCCTTGGACACGTCTCTTTCTCAGGCACAGTCAGTCACACCTCTCAATCTGACGCTTACCTGGCCATCTGTCAAGAGATGTCTTTTTTCTCTGGGCGTGCAGGTACCCGTCCAAGCCAGAGTCTGGTGTGGAATGTAGCGACATTCCCACCACAATGAGCCCAGACTAGCCGTGCTTTGCGCCTGTCGACTGTTTGTTGACTTTGTTATCGTGTACTTGGATAGGGTCTAGTTTGCCAAATTGAATCATAAGAACCGGTAGGCAAGACTGCGTATACTGTAGTTCGAGTTGATACTCTTAATCTGTCGAAGCTGAGGCTGCCATCGCAGTTAACCCATTGTATTTCCTACCCCTCTATCCCTCGCTACTCCATTCAATCACACTGCTATACCTCTCCCTAGCACCATTCTGTAGATGAATATATATCTCTCCATGAACCACAGTACCATCAATACTTTACCACCATCCAACTTCCAGTTCAGTAAACCATATCCAAACTCTAAAAAGTCAACCTCATCATACCTCGAATTAAACTAGACGTAAATCACACACATATATTACCCCAATCCAAATTAGTACTACAAAATAAGACCATCCACTAACCGACCAATAGTCTCCCGCAAACTTGAATCAATCCCTTCACCACTCCCTGAATTCGATCAAGTTCCCCTCAATTCATCCCCCAGGCACCCAAGGCATCTCCTAACCAAGCCCCAAATCAAACCCCCTCATCAACAGTAACTAGCGCCCATTCCATCTTCTTTTCCCCTGCAGCAAGCTTGTTAGTCTCTTTCTTCGAGGGAGCTTCGCTCGAACCCAGGACCATCCTTATTGGATGCCAAGTGGTCCCGAATCTTCCCATTTCCCGCCTAGTGCGGCCTCGAAGTGGTTACGTTCGCATTCCAACCTACTCAGTTCCCTCCCGACCGGAATCCGCACCATCTTTACCGCTATTCTTAAATGCAGAAATGCATGAGTGGATGGATGAATGAATGAATGAATGAATGAATGGGCGCTATTGGTGTGTGGGCTCGTTAATGGTTTGTCGGTCGGTCGGTCGGTCGGTAGGTAGCTAGGAAACCTCGTCTTTGCATTCTAGCTGTGAGGTGGTGGTTTCCATGGCGAAGTTTGGGTATTTCGATGCCGGTTGGTCGGTACCTGGTACTGTAGCGTTGTTCGTAGCAACTGCTAGGAGTAAAGAGGGTCTGTACTACCTATACCTTGGTAGTCTGTAAGTTGTTGTGTATCTGAGGAGTTTAGTGCTTAGTGCTTAGTGCTTCTTTGTGCTTGTTAGGCTTGTTGTTGTTGATGCTGCTGTTGGGGACAACGGACCCTGACGCTCAGAATTTCGCGGCCTGAGTAGCGTAGAGTAGGGTGGAGGTACTCTGGCGGCACGCCCTCAGACTCTGGTTGATGCAATGGACTTCAAATTGTGTAAGTTGAACAAGAGGGGAAACAGTAATTAGGACTGGTTATATGTGATATACTACACATATTGTTGGGAGTTTTTACTGCAGCAAGATAAATATACAGAGAGCTGTTTTGGATGGGTCAGTATCTTTATGTCTCTGTGGATAGTATATATATATTCTGCTTCGAGCCGGATATGGAGTTGCCTGTCTCTGTTGGCATTCGGAGATACTTGGTGGTTACGGGGTCCGGTGGTTTGATGGAGGACTATGGTATGTGATCTATGCATTACAATCGTATGGCTATGTTGATTATTCGCTGGGACTGTGGCTTTTGCTATTGTTACTTCTCTACTGGTGTAGTGATGCGGTTTCGGTGTCGTCTTGTTTGTGATGAGGGTGAGTCTGGAACGGTTTGCTGGCCGCGGAATCGAAGCAAGGGATGGATGTATATACCACCACTTCCATCCTCACGAACCTGGACCAAACCACAACATGATTCATCAGTTCAAACAGTTTGAGCAGCTTCATTGACACTCCCTTCCTAAGACACACAATGCATTCGCTAAAAAAAAGTATTATAGACATTCCAACACAATCAATAACCCAGTTCACTTACCACTACATCAACCCACGCTTTCCGTCGCCGCCGCCGCCGCCGCCGCCACGGCCCAAACACAACACTCAATCCCCCTCTCCCTCAACTCCCGACCGATGTTCCCGACCTCCTGTACATAATACGGCTGCCGCGGTAGCTGCAACGTCCACTGCTGCCGCAGATGCAGCTCGCGCAGCGGCTCCAGGAACACGGGCAACTTCTCGACGGGCTCGCAGAACCAGTTGCAATCGAGCTCCAAGGTGAACGTCTGCAGCCCGCGCATGTGCGTCACCGCACGGCACGTCTCGACCCACTGCTGCCGACCCGCCGAGAAGTAGATCGTCTTGACGGGGTCCTTGCTGGGCAGCCAGTGGCCCGGGAACGCCCAGCGCAGCTCGACGGCGCGGATCGCATCCCAGAAGACCGCGGGGATGGTGGGCCGCAGGTAGGTGAGCGACCAGGTGTTGCTGAATTCGAAGGTGTTGAGAGTGTAGAGGGTGTAGATTGATTCCGTGTAGCTATTTTTGGGGGGGGGGGAGCTTCTGGTCAGTTGTTTGTCAAGAATGTGCTTCTGTAGCTGTGGTAGATTTGATCTCCGTCCCCAATCACAGGATCTCCGATCCTGGGAAGATATCCAATGAAAAAGGGCAGGTATCTCACATCTGCTTACACGTCAACGCCAATGCCAGCAGCCTCGTCGTCGGCTTCGTCCTGGATTTCGCGCTGGGAAGCCCCCCCCGGCAGATCTCACAGCACCCCCCCGTCTGCGCGGGACAGACCACATGGCCCAGTTGTCGGTTGGCGCGCTGCACGATATGTATGCGCATCCCGCCTGCCACTAGCTCCCAGATCGCCATTCGCAGTTCGGGCGACAGCTTCGCCAGGAGGGCGCTGTCTCGCTGGAAGGCCCATTCCGTCCGGGGGTCGGGTTTTTGTTGCTGCTGTGCGCGCGGGCTTTGCAGGGTGCTATACCGGCGGGACCGAGCGAGGGCAGTGGGCTTATTGCCTGGACAAGCGAGAACCATAGAATCAGTTCCCAGAGCCCAAGCGAAGCCTATAGGAAGGATCAAAAAGTGTGGCACTTACTTTGATACCGTTGCGCCAGCACATCCTCCCACGAAAATATTCCCTGCTTCATCCTGGCCATGGTGAAAACAGGTACGGGTGCAGTACACAGAAGTAAATGCTATGCAGTACGAATGAGTGCAACAGAGTATATCATATCACAGTCAACAACAATCCATGATTCTCAATTGCTGCTGCTGGGAACCAAAAGGAAAGACTCTGCCTGATGCGTCAAGGAACCCCAAGACAACAGACAAGGGCTATACTGAAACTGATTCGAGGGCCCACGATCGGGTTGAATCCCGCGAGATTCGTTCGACGTACGTGGCTGCGGGGGTTCGTGAGGGGGAACAACAACTCAAGGAAACCGAAATCCGAGTGTAAGCGCCTGCGGTTAACCGGAGAGGTTCATCATGACCAGAGTCAATGCAGGAATCGCACTTGGCAAGTGGCATGAGCAAGATCGACTTATATAGATGCAGAAGTGAAGGAGAACATGTAGGCAAAAAAAAAAGTCGGTGAGATGAGATCACCGCCATACCATCTAAAACAAAAGGGAGGCAGAGAGAACAGAGATAACGCTGCGATAAGCGGTTGGCTTAATTCGGGGGATGTCGGACATTGTCAGTCAGCGTCAAAAGGGATCGCCTAATCAAAATCCCGCCGGAGAAAGCAGCGGAGTAATAATTCCTGCTAGATTGCCTTCCTTGGTGTCATCAATAGAAAGACAGGCATCCGCCCTGTTGCGTGCTTATCGTCTTCCCGCTGCTCCGATGCGCTGAGTAGAAAGTGTCACGCGTGCAATTGACTCCTTGGTCGCTACGGACCACAGCCACAATCGTAGCACAGGTCGTAGGGATTGTTGCTATCATTGTCCCGCTGGCTATTCCAGAAAAGTCTAGTTTCAAGACTTTACATCTCACATTGATTCCTTCAGGCATCTTCACCTTCGTGCTACCAGACGCCTTGCTCCGCATCAATATATTTACTCCTTGAAAAAGCAAAGGATACCCAAAGGATGCCTGGCAGAGTCGCCAAGCGCTGTGTACGGACCAGGGATTGGCGGATAATATCATGATCTCTATCGGATTAGAGGTATAGAAATGAGTCAGATCAGATTCATTCAATGCGCAAGTTAAATTTCGCGGATTACTCTAAGCCATTCGTAATAAGAAGTCATCTCACACAGGAGGTGAGGGGATAAGGGGGTCAGTCTACAGCACCGCAAAAGCCGAGACATAGCTCACCGAGCTGTCGGTCACGTCTGTGATATCGGCACTTCGCTCATATCGCACAAAGTGGAACTTCCCCTTCTTACCCTCCTCTTGACTAGTGATCTCTTCGAGGGCAGCCATGATGACACCGATGGGATGGCGACCGCACACGGTGTTTCCCGTCTTCTCGACCGCGTCCAAGAAGCTTGCCGCACGTCCGGTGGTTATGGCCACCATGGTTGCAATGTCGAAAGCGGAGATGCTTTCGTGGATAGCTGGCTCGTGGCGCTGAACACGGTCCCGTCGCTGGAGGGAATGACCGGCTGATACCATCCGCACGGTCTCTTCCACATCTCTTGGGGTGCTGCCGGGCTGGGGTAGCGAGTCGGCTGAGAGTGGAAGACTCGGTCCCGGCGTGGGCGCTTGGGGAACGTAATAAGTGTACCGGAATCGCAGTCCCCAGTGACAGAAGTCCGAACTGATGACAAATGCGTTCTCAGGGTCCTTTACATACGGGGCGAGCAAGGTTCCAAAAGCTTCCTCTGTGGCTGCAGTCGTGCTTCCCACCATGATGGGGACTAGCGGCGGATACTGAGATGTCGGCTTATCGGGGTGTTGGAGTTGGAGGAGACGGTGAATGTAAGGCAGATGCAGCTCAATGCTGTGTTCAGCTTCATCGACCGACGGTTTCATGGTTGTGAAAGATATGTTCGTTCCATTGCGTTTGACAGCTTTGGTTGACAGGAGCTTGGCGATAAGCTCGGTGTCGAGCGGCAGAGGGTCATCGGAGAGCGGGGTATAGTACGATGTGAGCTCGGGGAGTGCAAGTGTGGTCAGATAATGATGGTGAGACGGACCCAGCACAAAGATTCGCTTTCTAATGTTGCGTGTGAGCTTTCAGAAACACATAGTATTCAGGGTAGTCATGCTCCTTACGCCTTCGACAAGTCCAGGGCTTTGTAAGCATGGGCGGCGCATGGCCCGGAGTATGCATAGCCCGCATGTCTGGAGGATCAGCACACAGCCGGGAGATCAGTGGCTATAATAGCTTCAACATACGGAGCAATAATAATACGAGCACCGGGCACAGGCAGGGAGCCGATACCTGGAAGCTCGTTGGGAACTTGAGCCAACCATTGGTCTAACTGACGCGTCAGGGTATGCTCGCTCCCAGAGTACCAAGAGCCAGCATGAGTGGCTTCACGAGGCGACATGCTGGGCTGCTTCTGTGCTTTACAAGGGTTCGATGACGAGGAGCAATATGGTGTTTAAAATATTAGTAGTCTTTGAAGACTTAGATGAAAGAGAGAATCAGGGCCAGGTAGCTTGTCGTTTGGCAGAGACAGCTTGATGAAGCAGAAGCGGGGAAGCGGGACTGCCATCGTCATAGGCGCAAAACAGTGGAGTTTTGCCTCACTCATTCAGGTGTCAGGTTTCAAGTACGTCTCCCCGCCGGTAAGCCGAAGGCGGCATGCCGATTCAAGATGGCATAGTTTGAACATCTCGTTGAAGAGACGCGTCGGAGGCGTTCACACGATGTATCAAAGGGGTAAGTAATTGGAAGCTAGTTGATCAATAATCGACACTATCATTGAGGTCACCCTGGGTAAGTCTAGAATCGGACCATGGTCGACCCCAACTACTACTTAATATGTATGAGCACAACTTCCATCACAGGTACTCAGATAGTCAACAATTGTCTGCTCTTCTGAGGCATTGATTCGCAGCCAATTTTTCGTGGGATATGTTTTCGCATTGACAAGTTCAATTCAGGCCCGAGCCACACTGTCCGGGGTCCCAGGACGAGTGTATTCATGAAAATCATGTCCATATCGAAGCGCGTCCCTCCCAAGTACGAACCTGATAATTCTGCACGGGATCCATAGGTAGTTAGACTGCCAATAGTCATACTACCTAGTCAAGTGGTGTGTTGATTGTGCCTTGAGGATGTATGTATCCGCACTCGGCAAGTCGCGGTATCGACCAATTAAACCCAGATTGGGAATAGTGCATACTTGAGTGGTGTATCGCTACGCGGTCTCGCCCTCATTTTCTCCGCGATCCGACGCGCCGGTGTCCTCGACCAACCACGCCCGAAAAGGCTCTCTACCCCAGCCTTGTTCTCCTCCTCAGCCTACTTATTGGATCGGCTTCTCCATTGCTTCCCCTACCTTTTTTACACAGCTTATATCCCATATATAAACCATTCCCACTAGAATCGCATTGCTTGAATAGCAGACGATACACCGTTGACTTGCAATTAGCAATTGGCACCATAAGTCAGTCATGTCTCTCAAGCGCAAAGCCTCATTCCCGAGCCTCGAATCACAACATGCCGCCTCGAATTTCGCGAGGGGAACATGGCAGATGAAGGAGACTCCCCAGCATCTAAACAGCCGAACACGAAAGCGTTTCAGGAACGACCGCCCAGAGGAGAAAGTTGTCTATGGTAAGAACCCTCAGTCATTTGCACTCATACAAACCACATGCTGATTTCTCTCAGAAAACACGCTTCGCTGGCTTTTCACAGCCCAACAGCAGCAGAGTTCGGCCTCCCTGGCCTCCCTCGCAGATGGGGACGAACAAATGGAACACGAACCCACCTTATCCCCTGAGACCGTCGACCCGCGCCAGCAGACGTTGCTCAAGTTCTTCCGTCCCTCCCAGTCATCCTCCAACAAACCACTTCACAACAGTGCCATGCCGAAGACGAGCGATGCCTCGTTCGTCAACGCAGCACCTGTCCACCTTCTCAACATGCACACATCTTCCCCAGGGGAGTCAATGGGTAGCAGCACATTCGGCTCTGCTTCGGAGACTACGTCCACTGATATGGATGTGGATATGGACTCGGCTAGCGAAGAGTCGAACTACCCTTCCAGGGGATCGGCTGGAGGGCTCGCCTGGATGGGCCATCCTAGGTTCTGAACGTCAAACGAAGCATTCAATTTTCGATTCCTTTTCGGCAATTATGATTTCAGCGATGATACCAATTCTATTCTGTTCCATTCGGGTACATTGCCGGCTGTTGCTGGTCACGCCGGTTTTATCCCGACCCCGAGTTGATGTGTCTTGCCTCCATCGACGACTAAATGACGTCACTCATTGTATAAATGCAGTTTCGGTACTTGGAGCTATCTCAATGCTCATAAGTAATCGGAACACCCTCGGCTCTGCCAGTATGAACGGCAGGGCTTGGAAGGTCGAGACAGTCGAGGCTTCGGGCGCAGCCTACCACCTTCGCGTAAGACCGTGTGGTAATTATAGATCGAAGCATTTGCGGGATAACATTTGAATCAATTTCTCTCGAATATTTCATGATCGATGTTGTAAATAGTTAGATAAAGCCTAATACTATTTCGGCACTTGTGTTTGATCAGATTTAAAGATATCACCCATGCTTCGGAAGAGTCGGAGCAACATTAGCCATACGGTTGAGGAAGGCAGATTTTCCACGCGAACTACAGTAAATGAAAGTCTTTCCCACTATGGGTGGCTAAATCTCCAGTATTATGTGGTCGACTAGGTACTGTAGTCACACGCTCGCTTTCGGGGTGTCACATGCAGGGGAAGAATGCCTCAGGTATCAAGCGGCTCCATGTTCGACACTACACTGGTGACCATCATTCTTCTTCCGAGGACTGATCTCCAAGACTACCAACCGGAACACGCCACATCTAGGCTTCAGAAGCTCGTCTCAGCTGAAAATATAACGCTTGGTGGGATCCGAACGACTGCATCCAGTCAACTTGTCCCCCTCTCGTTTAGCATCGGACAACGCAGAACAGTCCAGACCGCCAAGTTCTCTCTGCTAGCAGTCGCATTGAACCCCGCTTCCCAAGTGAAGGTCAAGCTGGTGACCCGTCAAAGAACGGCGGATTGTTTCGAATCGAAGAACGGAGAAAAAAACAAAAGAGAAACACCACAGGCTATACAAACCATGGATGAAAACTCGGCTGTGCAGTATTTGGAAGCCTTGATCGGTCGCACCCTCCGAGTGCACGCGACAGACACGCGAATCTTTGTGGGCATCTTCAAGTGTACAGATGCGGTAGGTGGTTTTTCCTCCTGTCCTTGGTTTGTTATTGTTAGGCCGGAGCTTGGCGGAATGATACGAGATGGTGAACTTGATCCTTGTCTGACTTGATCGCATCCTCTCTTTTTTTTTCCACTTGCATTAGGCCCGAAATATCATCCTTGCCAACACCCACGAGTACCGGTATCCGTCCCCCTCCGCCGTCCGAGACGCGGCCACGAATGCGGAAGAGCTAGCCGCAGAAAGCGCGGTGACCGCGCAGAATATCAAGGTGTCCATGACGAGTCGGTTCATCGGGCTTGTGGTCGTCCCTGGTCAACATATTACCAAAATTGAGTTGGAGGAGCCCTCGCAACAGGGTCGCGTGCGGGACACTCTCAGGTCATAGTCAGGTTGCGAATCTCTGTCGTGACAAAACTACAGGAAACTTAACTACTTTGCGGCACGGGATGCTCAAGCCACGAACACGAATACTATACAGGTACTGTCTGGGCCTATGATGAGCGGGGAAGAAGGAGGGATTACGGGTGAACTGCTCGGAAGGGTTGACCCAGGAGGCGCATAAGTATTGCACAGAACCGAAGCAGTCAGCACGTTGATCTGTGCTAAATGCCCACACATACTGGGTGGGTGATATCAAGAAAGGGGGTTCCCTGCTCCTCAGCTGAGCTGTTGTGCGAGCCAAGGCGAAGCCCTCAAGCACTGCAACCACAACGTGGCTAGGAGAAATATTCAAACAAAGTCGTTGGTGCTTGGCGCAGCGTGCATGGACTTGGCAGCAGCAGCCACTGTCGTGACCATGCACCAGTGGGCTGGAGCTGAAATGGCGGTGTTCCTGCAGTTTGGCATACCGCTGCCTGTTGCGTGGTCGCGATGACTCAGAAGTGTATCTCGCATGGCATGATTGTTGCGTCCACAATCCTGCTCTAAATGGAGCGGCACAGCGTCAATTCGGGCTGGGATGATCACAGGACGGGGGCTGGAGACAATATCATCGATTTGGTGATAAAGCCAAGACCCGGCGTTTGACCTTGTGTATCTATATTCAGCCACCATGAGTGGGTGGATCAACGAGTCACTCAGGACGGCGAGTCAGGTGTGGTCGGAGCGTCTGAGAGGCTGACTGTCGGTAACCATCCGTAGATGAGTGATGCGTTCGGGACATGCATGATTTCAGGAATGATGAACCTATGATTATGGGAAAAGAAACGAAGCCAAGGACTTCACCAGGAGGGTGTGGAGGAGAGATACCAACCCTGTGGCTTATGTGTAGCTCTACTACTGCTCTAGATTTCATGGAGATTTGCTGGAACTGAGAAGCATGGAACCGTCATAATGTCATCGATGATCCCACCGTGGTCAATCATGTTATGAATTAGTCCGATGGAGACTCAACCAAGTCTGGATCGAAGTAAGATTTGACTTGTAAATAAATAAGATTAGGTGGACGGTGACAAAGCACCCCCACTAGACTCGAGCAAATCATCCGTCATCATCTGCGTTAAAATTCACCTACGAATGTGCTATAATAAGCAAGTGGTTCCTTGAGTGAACTGAGTTCCACACCCAAACAACCCAAACATTCATCCAGGCAGCTTTTGGTTTTCATTCCTCAGGCTTAAGCTTCCCCGTTCCGGGCCGACACATTAATCCGGACATGCCACACCCGCTATGGGCTGCAGGCTTGGATTCGAGACCAGAAACGAACTGAGCTGTTAACGTAACAGAGAAGTGAGTCTGAGTGGATGATTCTCTGATACTTCTTCCCCTCCCTATTTTGTTGCACTGACAGTAGTATTGATTTTTCTAGTCTTCCAGACTAGTAGTTCAGTCGTTTCAACCTGATAAGTTATTCATCTGTGGCTTGTGTGTATCAGTGTGTGAGAAGGTAAGTATTCGTGTCTGGGTCTGATCTGGACTGGTTTCTCCCCATTCTTTCTCCCTGCCACATCTCATCTCTCTCCCCGTGATGACGCATCTTTGCCTGTTTCCACAACTCTTATCATTTTCCCCTCCCACACATCTTTCCCACACCCCCCTTCCCTTCAGAAACACTTCCCCCCCCCCAAAACTTTACCTAAATTCTCCGTTCGAATATCTTACCTACCTATTACCTACTGCCTATCTCCACATGCCATCAGTTCCACTCCCAGTCTCTAGTGTCTTCTCTCCATTGTATTTGCCCCATGAACTAGTGTTCGCTCTGTCCTTTACCGCCTTGTCATCTCCTTCGTTTTCCTAACGGTCGCGATTTAGGAGCTGCTCGGCGAATCGGAGCTTATCCTTCCGACGACTAGCTCTCGGTGGCTGATGCTTTCGTCTGCCCCAAAGCCGATGTCCATCCATTCCTGCCTCTAATTCTTCTGCGCCATTAATTGAACCCGACTCCCCTTATCCTTCGCGTCATTTCGGAGGGCTGGCTCCCTTATTCTCGCTCAACTCTCTGCTGTGATCGTCGGCTACGACTCCTGCTTCCCATCCTCGTGTCTTGTGGTCATCGACTGCCCTCGTGACGATTGTTGACCTGGTCGACCTCCGCCAGTAGCGAAACGGTTCTCCTCTTTTATATCTTTCTACATACGCACTCGGAGGGCATACCCAGCCAAGACACCTGCTAGCATTCCAGCACCTAGCAGGGCCTGGTGCTCCTCCGCTGAACCTATATCCATCCCCGAGTGTTAGAGATTGAGCTTGGCAGATATTTCGCCGCTGCAGCAATGGGTCAATCGCATTCCAAGGGCAATAATGGCCCCGGCGATTCTTTGCAATCGTATCCATCCTTTTCTCGCTCCGACACCAAGGAATCCCTTCGCTCCCTTCGTGGCTCGATCCGATCCAAAATTCGTAGCAGCGACAGCCCCCGCGCCTCCACTTCTGCTCTGTACCAAACGGAAAGCCAAACCGATAAATCCGATGCTGGCTCGATTAAGTCGGCGGCAAGTAGACGGAGCTCGACCAATTTGAGCACCCAGTCACCTACCGCTGATGACTCCGTTTCCAAGACCGACTCATTGGAACCCCCTCCATCTCCGTCCCTGTCGAACAGTCTGAAACGAGGTCACAAGGATGTCAACGCCATGCAGCAGAGTGGGGAGGTTGACCTTGTGTCGGACGCTCCACCCACTGGGGTCGCACCCAAGGGCCCTTCCACACAGAAAGTGGGTGAATCTATTCTTATCAAGAGGGAAAACCAGCTGAACCCGATCCTGGACTTCATCATGAATACTCCCATGAACGACACATCGGGATCCCCAGGAATGGGAATGGGTGCTTTGAAGTCAATCGATCTGGATGACATGATTTCACGACTCCTCGATGCCGGCTATTCGACCAAGGTCACCAAAACCGTATGCTTGAAGAATGCCGAGATCGTGGCTATATGTACCGCCGCACGGGAACTCTTCCTAACCCAACCTGCCCTTTTGGAGCTGTCCGCGCCTGTTAAGATCGTGGGAGATGTTCATGGCCAGTACACTGATCTGATTAGGCTGTTCGAGATGTGTGGATTCCCGCCTGCCTCAAATTACCTTTTCTTGGGCGATTATGTGGACCGTGGAAAGCAAAGCTTGGAGACAATTTTGCTTCTGCTGTGCTATAAGCTCAAGTACCCCGAGAACTTCTTCCTGCTGCGCGGCAACCACGAATGCGCCAATGTCACTCGAGTATATGGATTCTATGACGAATGTAAACGGCGTTGCAACATCAAAATTTGGAAGACTTTCATCGATACTTTCAACTGCCTTCCTATCGCTGCGATCGTTGCTGGCAAGATCTTCTGTGTCCACGGCGGTCTGTCGCCTAGTCTTTCCCACATGGACGACATTCGAGGAATTGCTCGCCCGACCGACGTCCCAGACTATGGGCTGTTGAATGACCTTCTATGGAGTGATCCTGCAGATATGGAAGAGGATTGGGAACCCAGCGAGCGTGGTGTCAGTTATTGCTTTGGAAAGCAAGTCATTATGAATTTCCTGCAACGACATGACTTTGATCTGGTTTGTCGAGCGCACATGGTGGTTGAAGACGGCTATGAATTCTACCAAGATCGTATTCTGGTCACTGTCTTCTCTGCGCCCAACGTGAGTATCATCCGCAGTAGGCTTGTTTCGGTAATCTTCGGGTCACTGACTGTCTCTGAAATCTAGTATTGTGGTGAATTCGATAATTGGGGAGCCATCATGTCCGTTTCAGGCGAATTGCTATGTAGCTTCGAACTTCTGAAGCCGTTGGACTCTACGGCCCTGAAGAACCATATTAAGAAGGGTCGGAATAAGCGGAACAGCATGCTCAGCAGTCCCGTAAGTTGTCCCTTGCTTGCTCGTCAATTCTCGCCAAGTCCGAACACTGCTCCCTTGTGCAACAATGCTGAGGCGTTTGTACTGGGGACAATGTTTTCACTGGTGGGATGATCTGAACCGATGCTAACGTCTGCAGCCTGCAATTGTCTCGGCACAAAGCTACTAGAGGTCCTGGTAATTGCACGCCAAGTGATCATCATCCGTCTTATGTCACCTTCCAGTACTCGGGCTTTACACCGTGAAAAAAAAAGACCAATGCCCAACGTTCGCTATCGGCAAGGCAGCCTTTGACAACCGGCTGGGCTAGCACAGTATTACCGTCAGTCCGGCAGCGGCGCCATGGATTTCCCGTCCAACTCGGGTGCCAGCGTGAGGAATCCCACTGCAGCGCAGTGACCCTGGCTCTACCGACCAATTTCTTTCCATATATCTGATCTGCGGTTTGGCGGATGTGGGATGTGCCAGGCTCATTATCTCTCATGTGACTCAGAATCGACAGCATAGCGAGCCGAAGCTCCGAAACACGCGTCCTCCACAGACCGACCTTAGATGTCCATACATGGTTCAACAGACCAGACGGTCGTTCCATCACTGCCAATACTCATTGTCTACTGAAGAGAGGAGGATTCCTATGACTCAAGAGTAATAACAAAGAGAAGATGGGAATCAATGCGAGAGTCGCGTCTTTTGTTTTTTTCCTCTGCAACGATACATCACGGTTCCACCTACCCTCATATCACACATGAACACTGCTACGAGATTTTGATGCGTCACGATATGTATGCCGTACTCAGCAAGATCCGCAGGTTCTGGGTCTCTTTTTCTGCATTATTCCGAAGTCTTGTTACGTTTGTTGCCGTTCTGCATTTGAAACATGGTCCGTTCGATCTTTCCACCTACGAGTCGGGCTTAGTAGATATCTCAAGGGAAATTACACTGGCGTTCCGCTGTCTCGACTTGTGCGTCATCGTCTTATTTTCTTGATAGTGATCTACTATTCTATTCATTCTTCGTCGATGAGAAAAGCGAGTCATCATCCGGGCCTTCCCCGAAAGTATGTTTGTATGTACATCACAGAATCCAGTCGATTGAAGTCCGATGGAAGATCTACCAGTGATGGTGATGCAGGATGAAGTATGCCCCTCATACCCAGTAAGACAGTGATCAACAAGCGGCAAGGGGTGGAGTCAGATGACGAAGGGAGGCGAAGAACCGCACCTTGTTTATTATACCGAGTCCTATGCACTCAACTGCTGTGCTGTGCTATACTGTGCTGTACTGGACACTGCGCAGTAGTATGGCTTTTAAACTCCGTACGGAGTAGTTCCACCTTCTTCTGGCCGACTCAATGCTTCGTAGGTGTACTCCGGAGTACTGCTGTAGTACGTCAACAACGCACAACATCCTCCTCCACCTTTGTGAATTATGGTTGCTTGGTTAGTTGTTTGTACTGTACGTCATGTATTGGGACAATCCACCTACACCTATTTACCGGTATCTGCTCAAGTTTGATCTTGGCTGATGTTGTTGTTGCCTCGGCCCGGGGGTGTGGGGGAACAAGGCGATTGTTCCAGGCAGGCAGGCAGGCAGGCAGTCACAGCACAAGATGACTCCTGTGTCCCACGCAACGCTGAAGATTGTAATCCTCATGTTCGAATCCTGTCGTGGCTTGCTGACAGTGGTTGACGGTGGTTGACACCACCCACCATTTTCTAGACTGTAGCTTGTAGTAGTCATGGCGACTTTCTGCCATACTGCTTGGTAGTATAGGACGGGGTACTGTACTTGGTACTCTAGTATGTAGAAGGATACTTACTGGCTTTTTGGCATTCGAGGTGAACAGTGTGTTGTATTACGGTCGAATCATACTTTTTTCGAGGGAACGAATAGTCGGAGTAGGTTGAAGAGAATGGCATGATAGGGTACTAAGATAGGGGCATTGTACTGGTAGCTGGACAGAATCGCCATTGTAACAATAACAACAAGCCTTGTCTGATCCGGAGCATAATGTGGGCTAACATTCAACATCGCAGAGTTTGGCTTCTAACTTACCAGGTTTGTTTGTTTGTTCGTCGTAGCTAGTTGGTAGGGACATCACATGGCGGAAAAACGAAACTCAGCGGTATGATGGAACAAGCAGATATAGAATTGATTTCATCCCTACAGCCTGTAGCAGAAAGAGCAAAAAGTTCAAGTTCAAGTGCAGTGCGAGTGAAACTGAGTATAATTGATTTTTTTTCCTTCCTCCACCTCCAAGCGCCCTTCAGCGCCGGAATCTATAAACAAACTGTCTCAACAACCTCTCTGCTCTACAGCTTCTATGACAGCAACAACAGCTTACAGCCTGTGATTTGACAGCTAGCACCACCTTTACTCGTAATCCCGCACCCATTTCTCCGGCAATGCAACATCCCACATCGGTCTCTCCACGATAGCGACCTCCAGGAACCCATCCGCGCCGCGCTCCTCTGCCTCCTCGTCCTCGTCCTCGTCTTCATCCCTGCCGCTACCGCTTAGGGTAACGATGCCCAGCAAATCACGGTACTTATATGTATGCCACCACCGGCGACCGGGCAGGGTGTTGGCGACATCCGTGCTGCTGGCGCCGGCCAAGACGATCTGCTTGGTGTGCGAGGAGGGGGAAGGCGAGTCTACTGCGTCATGAGCCCCGCCGGCGAGCAGGAGCTTGTCCTGTCTGCCGCCGATAGAGACGCGCTTCATCGGGGTGCTGGTTTCGATGGTCTGGCGCTCGCGACGGAGGCGCGCCAGGGCGACTTCATTCTGCGCGGCGCGTTCCTCGTCATCTTCTGCGTTATCGTCGTCGTCGTCCTGGTGGTGGGCCCGAGGGGCCTTCTCGAGAGAGATCACTTCGGCCTGCGTGTCGTCGGCGCCGTCGATCCTGCGCATTTTGGTGCCGAAGAAGACGTCGGATTGCGCGAGCGACATGCGGTCTCCGGCGCCGCTGTTGGGTTTCTTGCTCGTGCGGGCGTCATCCTCCGTGAGGTCGCGTTTGCGTTTTTGGTTGGCGTTGGTGGTAGCGAGTTGGGTGTTCGGGTTGGTGTTGTTCTTGCTGGGGGTGGAGGTGGTCTTGTTCTTGGGGGCGGAGGTGGAGGTGGTAGAGGAGGGTTGGTAGGGGAGGTCGGCGGCGGCGGTGAGTTCCTCGGGAGAGGGGAAGTCCTGGTTCAGATCGAACATCCACAGCCAAGAGGTGCCGTACAGCCAAAGGCGCTCCCGCGTCTTGGACAGATCCCACACGCAGCCCATGGCGCGGTCCTTGACGCCCCGGAACTCCGCCGGGAGGAAGGCCTTCGGATTGCGGCGCGACCAGTCGGACAGCTTGCCCTCGGCGGCGTCGAACTCGACGAGCTGGTGCTCGCTCGTCAGGGCCATCAGCCGGGTTTCGCTGCTCTTCTTGCTGCTGTTGTCGGCGCCGTTGGTCAGAAGTTTGGTCTTGGCTAGGTTGGCAGGCCGGAAGGAGAGGAGGACAACGCCCGATTTGAGACGCGGGATGGGGGACTCGGCGGCCGCGTACTTCCACCGTTCGCCCTCGATGACCGGCGATTCGTCCTCATCGTCGGAATCTTCCTCGTCGTCGTCAGAATCGGCACTGGGTTTCTTGTTCTTGCTGGAAGCCGACTCGCCGGCTTGCTCCAGCACCCAGGAGTCGACACAGCCGGAAAGATCGCCCGAGGCGACGACGTTGCTGTCGTGGGAGAACACGACGCAACGCACCGTCCGCTCGTAGTCGCCGAGGGTACCGTGGGAGGCTTTCTCGAAGCGAAGGTGGCGAGAAGCCCGGTTGAGCCTGACAAGATGGGGCAGGATTTGGGGCTTCTCTTGAGCGGCCGGGGCGGTTTGAATGCGGGCAAGGTAGAGATTGCTGTTCGGGCGAACAACACAGATCCACCGGCTGTCGGGGGACACGGTCACCACTCGCGCTCCATCCTCTGTGAGCGCCTCGGGAACATCTAACTTCTGAACGCGGAGAGTGCCCTTCTCGTCACCCTTGCGTCGACGCACGGCAAAGACTTTGACCGTGGAGATGGTGGCCACGACTAGGATCTTTCCGTCTGCAGATAGCATGGCCGAGGTGATGTTTTCTTCGCCCTAGTATACTATTAGACAAGGATCCCCAAATTATGAAAAAAAGCCCTCGTACCTGAATCAAAACCTTTGCAACCAAGCGATGCCGTTGTCCGTCAGGGATATCGTGCGACGCGGGCCCCCGCAGCATGCGCCAAATGCTGACCTCGCGGTCCCAGAAGCTCATGACTAGTCGGGACGAAGGCGAGGATGCAAGCTGGGGTATTTGAGGCAGGCTCGACAGTTTTCTGTGGTGTTCCTTGCCAAACTCGCGGAGCGGGAGGACAACGGGGGTTGCGTCGGGACCTATTGGGCAAAACGTTAGCCAGCCGAGAAGAGGCATGAAGAAGGAGATCACGCATACCTCCAGACACAACAATACTGATATCTCTCGTCTCGTAGACAGCAAAGGTCTTGACATCATGCGTGTGGTACCGACGATGCATGACCTCCGCCCAACGGGCTTTGTCGTTCTTCTCGCCATCCTTCTTCCGGTAGACGACCGTTCTCTGGTCGGCACCACCACTAACAACGGTATCTCCATTCGCGCTCACTGCCACATCCAACGTATCCGCCAGATGGCCCTGCAGCCGCTGAATGAGGGCGTAGTTCTTCCCGTCCCAGAAGCGGATCTCACCCGCCGAATCGCCCGACACAATCGTCCCATCTGGAAGACACTTGACTGACCAGACGAGCAACTCCTTAGTGCCACCGGAGGGGCCTTTGCCGAGCGAGATCGTGCGCAGCAGCTGGCCATTGCGGATATCGAACAAGCGAATCGAGCTGTCCGCATAGCCGGCCACGATCGTGTTCCGGTTCTGGAAGGTGACGCTCAGCACGCGCGACCGTTTCGTGGACGGCCGCATCAGCCGCACAAACTGGAGATCCCCCTCGGCGGTGGATAAGATCACAATCGATCCGTCCGCACAGCCGGCCGCCAGATGCTGGCCCGTATACTCGCCCTCAGCGGGGGCAGCCCCAGCACCACCCTTGCGCGAGGAAGCCTGCCAGCGCGGCTGCGCCGCCAGACACCAGATCTCGCCGTAGTTACCGCTCGAGTGACGCAGCGGCCGCCCTTGCTCCAGATCCCACTCCGTCACCGCAGTCGAGAACCCGATGCTGAACAGCCGCAGCTTGCCCGGCAGCTTGGTGCCCTCCGGCCCGGCCTCCTGCGGATCCTGCGTCCACACCAGACCCTCGATGCTCCGGTCTTTGCCTCCCCGCAGCACCGTCTCCTGGAACCAGGCGCCGCGCAGCGGGTTCCAGATCACTATGTCGCCGTTGGCGCGTCCGATCGCGAGCCGCAGCGTCGGCACACCCCGACCGGCGAGTTCAGCCGAGGGAGGGTGTGAGAAGGCGAGCGCATTGATCGCTTGCGGGTTGTAGGGGACAAAACGGCAGCGGTGGATGTCCATTGTTGCGATTTCCTTGCTCCTCGTTTCCTGGTTCTGATGGTTGATCTATGTCTTTCGTCGGTATAATAAAAGAAGACCCTCCTTCCTGGCCGTGTATTCTTCCTCTTGTACAGGGGACCGCGCTTCGTGATTGTTCGCGACAGGGGATGTTTCTTCGTGATAATTCTCCGATTGAGGGGGGGGTTGCAGCAGATTTTGAGGAACAAGTAGATGTCACTCTCTCAGTAGTGAATTGGAAAGCAGATCTGCCCGGCTCAGCTTATAGAGCCGACCGTTTAAACAATCATTCCGAAATGATTCGTATGGGATTCTGGGTTGAAGGTCTAGGGCGAGGTCGAATCGAGACTTTTTTCGCGGGCGGTCCTTTGGGGAAATTTTTGGGATATGATTTTTAGCGCGCCCGCGGAGGTTCCACCGGAACCTGAAATCACGTGATTCAACCCCGATGGTGTAGTAACCAGCAGCAATAGCATCGTCGCTAACATCTAGAAATGTTCTGTGGCAGAATACTTCTGCGGAGCGTACTGAGTGTCTGAGTTTGGGTGCAGCTTACAGTGGAAAGTCTTGTGTCATGTAATTGTCGACTGTAGGTTATACTGAGACCGGCCCCTACACATATACTAGTCAATGCAAGCAAGTTACTCTAACTAGTTAACTACCAGTAGTCACGATCTCTTCTGTAAGCGAGCTGCAAAAATGGCAACCATGTTGTCTATGGGGAAATTAAACAAAACTCCCCAGAGTCATATTCTGAAGTATTTAACTTCTTGTTTCTGTATTCTAAGATAACCAGATACGACATGTTAAGCAGTCATCAGAAGTCTGCTTATCACTTTGGCTAAAGCTACACATGACACTAAGCAGGAGATCGATGCAGCTGGTACTTCATCTGTGGCACTTAATGAGGATTGTATGTGATAGGTGGTGATATAGATATAGTCAAGAGGTATCGTTGATCACCTGACTACGCCCAACGTTCGAGACCATTTACAATATTGAGCATTGTCTGTTTCTCGTTGTTCGCAACCTACCTTTATTCCTTCCGCCAGTCATCAAGCATTGCAGAAGCAAGCTAAGGGCCAGACAGCCCACAGCGCCTGGACTGCTGCTGCGGATCATTTCGAAGCTTGGGAGCTCAGGTTCAGCCGCCGATGCACATAGACAAAATGACAAGCAGGTGTTGGAACAAATCAATTGTGATGGAAACCACGGTATTGATTTCAAGCAGGGTCTGAAACGCACAAATAGATGGCTCTGGAAGCTGCATGGGAAGATTGCAATGCTCGAGGTCGTATCTTCCCTGGTCTCGGTGATAGACATTGACGGCTCCTTGTCAATCAATAGGCCATTTGTGAGCGAAGGGTATGCCACGTCAGAGACACTATCTGCACGACGCAATTCGCGGGCACTTGACTCGCGAAATGGGTGGCAAAGCGACTAGCATTGCAGACTGACAGCGACTGTCCAGCAAATCGGGCTAAAGGGGGAACGGGGGGCGAAAAGGCATCCCAGGCTTATGCACCGTCAAAGTGTAAGAAGTTCGGATGAGAAAGACAGGAAGAGACGCCATCCGTCCCCTTTAACCCGCCGTGGAATGAGCCAAAAAGGGGAACTCGCATAATGAATGAGATATTCGAGGGGCTTACATCCTTAGCAGCCATGATCCCTGTAGTGCGAAGCAGTCAGCAGCAAGGCACAATGATGACGGTGGGCCGGACTCAATGACTGCTGCTTCCAACACCCACCCCGGTGAATTCCTCTTGCAAGCTCAGCTGAATGCCATTAGCGGGTGGATGCCTTTTATTCTAGGGTTCTGTTCCTTTGAACCCAAACTCTCATCTGATTCGATCGGCGGCAATGCGGGGTATTCAAAACCGATGGACACGATCCAGACATGATTTGCCGCTGTCGGACTTGTCCAAGCAGGAGCCCGAGCCGCACCACCACAAACATGGTGGGAAGACAGCGTTGCAGATATCAATCCGGCGTTGGTTCTGTAGAGTCGTGGACACATCACAGTTCATTGTCACTGATCCACGCGCCCCTCCCTGATGTTCATGGGCTCAGAAACATGGTGGCTCGAGTGAAACTTAAATGCCAGACAAAGATAGATTAATTTCCCGAGCCGCGAAAGCATCTCAAACATACCTGTAGCTCAGTAGGGTGGCGCCCTAGGTCCATTGGAAGACAAACGATCTGCTAAGATTCTTGGACCACCAAAGAGTACGACCGCAGACAAGACGAATGAGGGGAGACAAGCGACATTCACCAGTCCTTCTTGTCCTCCTTGAATAAGGCTTATATGCCGTTTCACCACCGTTGCATCGACCGCAGCTTGCAGACCTGGTGCGTGATACCATACCTGAAAGGCAGGCAACGCGTCTTGGTTGACAAGGCATCTACCATGGCACTAGACGCGCAATCTCGGTCAGCCTGCCTTGGATGCGAACACCACTCCTGTTTTGACAGTAGTTACGGGGTCGATGTCGCAGTTTGTTCCAGTAATTGAGCCAGCGTGGTTGACAAGGACCCATGCAGCGATCGCAATCTCCAACCACGAACAGCTAGAGCAAGACTCTCAGGTTCGTCGCGTAGTCAACCCGCCCATAAGCCATCAGGGATCGTTCAAGGGGGGCCAGGCCGCTAACTAGGACTGATGGATCAGAAATAGCGCCCGTTACTACAGGCATCAGTCATTTCTCAATCGGGAAGGTGACTGAATCAGACATCCGAGGTCCGGAGGCGGGGAACAGTTCCATGAATGGCAGCTAAACAAACCTACCGGTGACAAATATAGTCAATGGGCTCTGCTTGTGCGATCTTCCAAGATAACAAAGCGAGCATAATGAAGAACGGAGTTGTCGGAAATTTCCAAGGAACCGTGATTGGCACAGGTCTTAACCAAGCGAATGATCACAGCCCCAAAGCATGTAGTCTGAGTCGTGACCCGTGAATCCGAGTTGTCTCTCCCGGAATAGTGGTAATTTGCAAGGCACGGGAAGGCGGGACGCAGTTACAAGCCTTCTTTTAGGTGCGTCTGGGCCAGTGTTTTCCGGAGAAGGAATAATTGGAACTGGAACAAGCCGAATTGGCAACAAGCGCGAGAGGACGCGATTGTCGAATCATGGCGCGTAGAAGGGCCTGCACAACATCTGCGCCAAGCACCACGAATAAGACTTTCACAATTTATGTCATCTCCAAAGCCCCTTAAATAGTGAACTTTGTTTACTGGGGCCGTCTCGGGGAGAGACATGGTCGCACGACCCCTTATCCGGGGGGAGGAATGGCACTGATGGAAACAGGGGAGCGAGCGAGCGAGCTGAGGAAACGTGGCGTGGTCTGCCTTGCCCAGGTCCATTAGTAAGGAGATCAATCAATGGTCACGCACTCATTAAGGGGAGATTGGAGTGGGAGTGAAAGGGTAAAGGGATGGTGTCCATCGTTATATCATAAAACCACAATTATGGGGAATTAATCCCTCCTAAGAGATTATGCTGTAATTGATTGTCATTCACAACCGCCAATAAATCTCCTTTCGATGGCTCATAAACCCCGAACATCAGGCCGGGGGTCCGAAACGTGGGACGCGAGTCCATCAATGACGACATGGGCCTTGGAAGGGCGAAAATACTCAGCAGAACGCGTGGGCAAGTATTGGTGGTCTTTTCCCGTCTCATCTCCACGCGTCTACAAATTGGCTTTTGTGAGCGGCAGGTGTATCGAGGGTGAAAGAGTGAAAGAAACAAAAGTTGAGGCCGACTCTGCAATGAACCAGAGCCAGGTGCAGCAAAGCAACAAGAAGATGATATCAATTGAACCATCATCAAATAGCAACTATTGACCGACCGGAGACGGACTGGACTTGCCCTTGCTTCATCACCATTTCATTGGCAGAAATGCCCCCGAGACCGCTGAATAATGAACAGCTAAAGCATTTTGGCTGGGGAACAAATGTGGAGTCGTTTATTTACACTACTATCGGGCCCACTCTTCCATGCTGCACTAAGCCCCATCGCATTTAGAAACCGTATCTTGTCCTGTATCTCTGATTGTTCGCTTGTATGTAAGTATAATTTCTCCCGCCGTGTCCTGTATGTAATCAAGATGAGCCCTTACACACTGTATTGTCTTCGGCTTACGTCCAGTACCGCTAGATCTAACAAGATTACAACCGCTTCAGTACCCATCAATCCCCGACTGGCTGGGAACGACGAGACTAAGAGAGGAGAGAAAGGGCCAATCTGCCCATGGTTGAGGCTCCCTCCGCTGCCTCAATTGGTCGCGAATTAATCTAACCAGAAGTGGTCATATTGTCTCGAGCCTCAATGGACGTGTGTGTCAAAATTTCGCGTCACGGTTGCCCGGGGATTACATCCAAATTAGCGAGATCTCGATTCGTTGATCTGATCATTGGCCCATGGCAACGTGGATATCAATTCAATTTGTGACGATGATGTACTGTGCACTGTGGCTATGGTTGACTGGTTTTCTTGCTTTCATTCCAATCATATGCTTGCAGTCAATCGTTGCCTTTTCTCAATTCATGGGTGTTGGTCGTTAGTCCATCCCTATGCTGGAGAGGCGAAAAGGACTCAAGTGGATGGACTCGATGACGAAATCAGAACTTTTCCGTACACAGTAGTGAATGAACGTCTAGGAAAAAGAAAGAAACATCTGACATCCCATGTTTCGTCCACCACCATAAAACCGTATACTGACTTTAGGAATAATTAGGTAAAGACACCCGGCCGAGTGGATCGTCTCGCGACTGACAATACCAGCGTCAGTACAGGATACGGAGTACTGGTATGAACTAAAGGAGGCCAAAGTCAAGACTCGATCGTAAGTGATAGATACACCGGACACATCGGTGCAGACATGTGCTCATCAGCCATTGTTGATCCCTTCATGCAGAAAGGAGGTATAGTCATCAATCCATCCACAAAAAAAAAGCCTTCAGTTGCACTATCAATCAATTGCAGACTGTCCAGATCGACCTGTGATCATGTATCACATCACGAAAACAGCCAGTCGTCGCTATTAGGCTCTAAGCCCGAGGTCTGCACCTGTGTACGCTACCTATACATTGAGATGTTCTGTGAACCTTCCAGAGCATTTCCTATTTGGTAGTACTATACCTGACGCGTTCACCTTGAGTTTTCCCCATCTTCTCTGGCATGTTCCAGCCTTCCTTTCTGCTCCTTCACATGATCCACTTTCTATCACTCACCGTAACCTGTATCCCCGTTTGCCTCCCGGGCTACCGCCAGTTTCTGTGTGTGTATCCTCGAACTACGAATAGACTAACGCCCACTCTGGGATCTTTAGGAAGGTCGGGTTTTTGCAGGTGGATCCGTCTCGTCGGAACTGCGGGGCGGGCAGAAAAAACAGCCTTTCTCTGTTCTGGTGGGCCCATTACACAACCCAGCAGGAAGACTTGCTACTCATGTGACTTACCGTTTCCTATACTGTGCACTTAAAGATCATATATTGCTGAGAACCGTCATGACAGCGATCATCTAGGTGAATAATCGAGGATGATTTTGTGATGGAATCTTCTTTTTCCTTAACTGGACCTCAATCGAGACTGAAATCGCGGTTCCAAGCACTAAGAAAAAAAAAATTCTCTAAAGATCCGCAGTGGGCTGCCCGTTGGTGGTAAAATTTCCAAGGAGCCGAATGCGGTGTGTTCAAATGGTACAGAGACTAAAGAAACTCACCGATACTAGGGGAACTGGGAATACTCTTCGAAAGAGATAGAAGGTCATTCGGATGGGAAATGGCATGACATGCTCCGTCTTATTGATTGCAAGGGGTGTACTCCATAGATGAAGAAAAAAAAAAAAGAAATCGCTCAGGGAACGCAACTAGAGAGGGTTCTGGTGGACTGTTAATGCGTATGTACGGTGTAGTTATACTAAGTTAGCTTCAGGTGTAGGTTTCGATCAAAAATTGATATGTCAGGTGATAAGCAGACCCATGCTTCTTTGCTGCGTATGTAAGTACTGCGCTCCGTACTTCCACTCCCCCAACCCCATAACGAGGCGCACTTGTGGACCAAGGAAGCAAGAACATGGAAACATACGGAGTATAATCGCACGAAAGTCTTGTTATGCTGAAAAAGTTAGCCCGCCACCTAATCCTAGGGGCATTATGGCCCTTGCATAAGTCCTGATGGAGTGCTCTCTGAACATGGTATACATGGTTACACAAACTCCATTTCAAGGGAGGACGAAGGGGTGCAAACTGGGTTCTATATCATCAGGCGAGTTGCGAAGCAATCATTCACGATTTCAAGCATACTCTCTGCGCCCATGGTATACCTCCAGAGTTTCGAACAACTTCAACCGCCATGGCAATGACCGGGGTCCGTAACACCACACTTCACCCCAAGCTCAGTAATACATATTCTGCCAGATGGCTCAGGATGATACTTTTTCTGTCCAAAGCGGCGGTCGGAAATCAAGCAGAGTGGCGGGTTTTGTGCAGGTACGCAGCAAGGAGAGCGCGCGCTTACATTGACACTAGGTTGTTAGATCTACAGAGCGCAAGAGTGTAGGATTTGGTTGCAGACGGAGGATCTCTCATGCGCGCGCTAGCTACATCTCTAAATTTGACGTCGTGTGTGTGTGTATGTGTGTCAGTGCCAGTTCATCCTAGTTCCCCGGCCGGTGTGCATGCAGCAAGCTACTTAGAGAAAAGCGTCTCTGTGATCTCTACAGTACTGTACATACACATCCGCGGGCAGGCTAGTGAAGTGCAATGCTGTACAAGCGGGCAGGATACCCTTGCTGATACGAGAAGATCTTGAAGTATCGACCACATTTTGGATATAGGGTTTTTCTCAGCAGCGAATCGTACTTCCATTCTCTTGCCATCGGGATCTGTCGGATCCTGATCCGCTGGACCCATCGTTGCCGCGACGCCGCAGTGTGTCGAGATGTCCGCGCTTCTTTTCCTGTAACTACTGTAGGTTGCATGCCGCGGAAGGACAAGATCTGAGGCAAGCAGCGGGCTGGAAAGGGCCGGTCCCGGGTACCCCCTTTTCCCATCTGGCACTGCAGTATACCTTACCGGTCCTACTCAGTAACTCATAATATAGCTACCCAAACCGATAAGTTAAGTAGAATCTTTCCTTTGCCCCCACACAACGAAATTGAGTCTATTTGCAAGCAATAAGTTAACCTCTCCATAATTAAGAGCTGTCACCTCCAGGATCGGTCAACAGAGTACCGGACCTATTGGAAACCGAGACAAAAGACATGAAAGCTCCGCACTATTAGTTACAGCCAACAACCTTTTACCCCTGACGCTTGCGCAGCTATCCAGAAATGCGAATGCAACAAGTGTTCTAGAATCCAACTTGTGATGAGCTGATCCGCGAATCATTTCTCCGTACACGAGAGAAATAGAAGTCGCCTAAGTGTCTAATCTCCGCCCTCGCCGAGATGAAGGCGGGCGCCTGAGAGACAGACTGACAGAGAGAGATGTTTCTATGTTTAGCCATTCCACACCCACACCCACCCCCACCCCCACCCCAGCTCTTCGGCCCCCCTTTCGTCCCCATGGGAGAGAGTGCTGGACTCAAACCGCACATGGCGGCTAAGTACTACACCCAGGGATATGCTGCACATGCAATCGGAGAGGAGCCAACAGCCACGACCTACGAAGGACATTACGTGGATTATATGTGGCAACTGGCTAGGGACGGACAGCGTTGGGTGGCTGTGTGATCTAGGCTGCCGATGGGGGTGATTGGCCATTTTACTCAATCAGATATCCACTTCTCTCGATGCAGGGCAATTAGAGCTTATATTGGTAGGCAGGGACGACCAAAGGTGGCTGCATCGCCAGCCACTGGAACAGCCACTGCTCCGTGAAAGAGTTCGTAGTTAGGTGGGAGGCTTCGTTTTGCGCGGAGAGTTTGGGCTTCAATGGACCAGGAGGCTAGACACTCATGAGAACGAGGTCATTTGTTGGTCCAGAGGGTAAAAGATTAAGACACTAGAGTGTATGCTCGGTGGCGACCTATATTGATGGCCTTACGGAGGAGACCTCGAGCGCAATGGTGGCTGTTCAAGAGGAAACAATATACGGGAATCCCCAAGCCATCCAAGGTAGACTTGCCTGCCCACTGCAGTTGACGGCGGCAGTAGCTTCTTCTCCCTTGCTTCTCTTTTGTGATTCACCCATGGCTGGCGCCGCGGGGATCATCGTCATGACCCCGGCGGTCTCGGTTGACCTTGACCTAGATTCAACGTGTCGGTCATTTGCCACTGGGAGCTCATTTTCACCTACACGGGTATGGATGGCTGAAAGAGCGCTGTGTCGTAGCTCGAAGTAAGGCTGCAGTAGCAATGATCTGTCTGTTGGATCTTGTACTGTACCGGGGAAAAAGAGGACTGTGGTGCCGTTGATAGACTTTCTAGGATGGAAAAGCTGATCCCCGATACCAGTGTAGTTCGTGGGGTCGTGTCAAGGAAGGGTGGTGGTCCCTTTGTCGAACCCACCACCCAGCCCCAAGCTGCGAAGATCCTAGCTTACTGTAGCTTTGATGAACCATCAGACCGCATCAATAGAGACACCGGGATTGTTCCCTTGGTAAGAAGCGGACTGGCCCCCGGGCCAAGTGATGGAAAGTATAAATCCCGCACAGAAGGAAGAAAGAAGAACAAAAAGAAGAAGTGGAGAGTCTTCTTACGCACCTCTACTCTGCTGAAACAACAATGAATCAAGGTGAAGAAAAGTATGGCGCCCGTGAAGGTCATGACGACAAGGAAAGATTCTTGATCGTCGTTGTGCGGCACAAGTGATACTTTCTACAGTACCTGGTTGAGGGCGGGCGCACGAGCACGCAAACTATACCACCCCGTCTTTCTCTTCCTGTGGTTCATTAGGCAGATTCAAAGAATGTCTACGACAGGACGTAGTTCTCCCGTGTTTTTTTTTTTTTTTTTTTTTTTTTTTTTTTTTTTCGAGAATCCGAGATTTTATTTTCCATCCTGGTGGCTTCATCATGGACAAAGATATCAATTGGAAAAGAATTGGTCGAGACGCAAAGCGGCCGATGGTTGCTGTTGATCGGCATGATCGGTTTTTGAAAGAGAGGGAGGGGGAGTGCAATGGCGACTGGTCAAGAATGATCCGTAGAGGAGACACACGACACGACTGAGATATTGTCGGCCAGGGTCGTGTCAGGCTGTTGAGCCAGTCAGAAAAAACTGGTCGTCGATGACGGCAATAGGCAAACTAAACCTCGTCTCTGGGACGCGACCGCTCGCCAATGAATGAATTGAGTGTGTATGCGTTGTTGGAACGGAGGCCTCAGATTACTGTACGTACTACATTTACTCCCTACATACTGTATGTACACTTACGACGGGAACCATATTTACCAGCTGAATTACGGACAGTAAGCAGCTGAAAAGAGAGAAGCAAGAAAAGAGACCAAGAGAAAACTCAGTCGGCTACTCCGCATTGTGGGTAAGCCGAGCAGTCGTCAAATGGCATTACGTTCTGATGAAGTTATGATATACATGTAGACTAAGTTATTGGATTGCAGGGGATGGAGGGATAACCTAGAGCGATGGGGAAAGTCGGTCGATTTTCCAGTGAGGGGAGGAGGGAAATCAAATCAATAGTCAAGCCATAGTTATAGGGTGCGCAGCTATTTTACAATAGACAATGCGTGTGTCGCATACGAGCAGACCGCTCTCGGAGGGAGATCTCTTTTGGATGGAGGTGCTGGTAGCGCAAACCGCAAGCAAGTAAATCCTGCCTTCGCTTGATCAGTCCATACCTGATCGGTTTTAGACTAATCTATCTTGACATTTGACATGGGTTTCAAGGCAGGTAGAACACATTGTTAGACCGTCAATATGAGAGGCTACAAAGAGAGAAGAAGAGCCGGAGCCAAGGACCGGAGGTGTTCCTGGCCTGAATCAGGGAGGGCAATGGCTGGCGAAGACTGGCTGGTGAGCACGGAGATCACCCCACCTACAATACCAGTCCATCCAAGGGAGGGGGAGGGAAGTTTGGGACTGGATGGCGTTGCAGGCTTAGGTTCATAGATAGATGGTAGCCTTGGGCTTATGCTTTAGGGAGGACGTGATTTTCTGAGGAAGGAAGATGAAGAAATAAGAAAGCAAAGGGAGTGTGTGAGAGAGGCCGGGCTAGAGATTGCCATCACTGACGGGTCAGGATATCATTTCCTCTTCATATAGAGAACAAAGATAATCCAGTTCTCTGGTTCCGGTCGCGCAGCAAAGGAAGTAAATCATCCACTGCTCCTTAGCTTGGTTCGTAATGTCGGAAAGACATGCAAATTGCTTGCTTCATCATCGAATCGATCGGTCAATAGGGGAAGAGACAGCAGCCAAAGCAGAATTGAATGCACCGCAGCTACCGACTAGCCAGTCAGTAGTCTACCCCTCATGGACCAAAGGCTGGCTCGGGGCTAGCAGGAACTCGACCCGGAGACGATGGATGGATGGATGGTACTTTACCGTGTGCACACACGGACGCAGGCAGGCAGGCAGGCAGACAGACAGACAGACAGACAGACAGACAGACAGGCAGGCAGACAGTATTTGACTTTCACTCTTACAGTAAGGGTTACTGACTGCTTTCCTGGTGGCTTAGGCCGCGCCTTGGAGGAGCAGGAGAGAATTGCCCTGAGACGACGTCCTACCTAGACCGGTTAACTACTAGTTATAGTATCTGCATATGAGGGTTCCGGTTTGACCAACCTTTTGGTATGATCCAGTAATCTACTGCAGCGGACTACAGCAGCGCCCGCGCCCCTCCTCAACCTCCTTATGTCACGCCTGTTCCACAACCACCCTACTGGTTGGATCTGGATGGAAATTCTACTTGCGCCATACGTTTCACAGAGAACGCGAAGCATTCGATTTGACTTGATACTGATGATCAAAGAATTGGAGCATAGTTTCAGTATAATCTCAGGATAGATAGCAGTCAGCAAATATATTAGTAATTGTACTGTACAATCTACGGGGCAAGTGGAAGGATTGCTATTTCCATGGCAAGAGTAAAACCAAGGCCAACAATAACCAGCCCAGCCCAGTCTACAGCCAACCTTGAACTGTGCCCGGCGGCGGTAAGGAAGGTATTGTTGAAATCAGATGAAACCAAAACTTGGTCTATCCAATACGTACAATACATACTGTACGGGTACCTCAATTAGTCCCCCTGTAACCCGCTCTTTCATCTTAGTAACTTCCGGGACCCCGGGACACAATACCAATTACCACGGTCGATACCGAAAAGCGTCATGGTTTACCATACATCGCGGGCAAGCTAACCTGCAGCGATCCCCTCGAGAGACTTCTATCTCCGGGCCACTCGTCCCATCTCTTCTTGTTCTTCTCTTTTCTTTTCTTTCTGCTACACCCGCCTGGAGAGAGAGAGAGACCAAACTCCTCCTCATCTTCCTCCTCTCCTCATTCTTCTTATCTTCACCTCTCCTCCCTTCCTTCTTTCTCCCTCCTCCGAAACCCCCCTCCCTCTTTTCCTGCCATCCGTCAATTCTCTTGGAAGAGATCTGAGACTGGTCCCCAGGCCCAAGATCCGGTTGACTGCACTATAACAGTCAATTTCGTCTGTCGCCCGTTGCACCAGCTCTCCAGTCGAGCCGTGTCCGTCAGCTCCTGCTTAGACGTCCTCTTTCGACGTTTGTTAACTCAAACGGCGAATTTTCCCTCCCCCCCCCACATCTGACATCCGGTGTCCACCCCGTGACATCGACCGTTGGATTCCCCTGATTTCAGCTCCTGCCGGTTAGAAGAGCGAAGAGAAGGGTTCTTTTCTGTTCTTCAATCCGAAAGCTTTGTGTGTACATGCTTCTATTTTGGTTGTGATTCCCTAAGAGGTGAGGCGTCAAAATTCTCCTTCTGTCTTTCAGTTTCCCCCCTCATTCGATCATCCGGGTTGCGTTTGCATCTCCTGGCAGTCCCGCTGGTGAATGCTCAGGCGGACTGTGACTTCCATCCATTGTGGATACAGCGAGATATTCCTGTCAGTGCACGGTCAGCATCCCTTGAAGTCGGATCGTGTCGAGCCAGCAATTGCCCGCAGCGGACCCCCGAAATTGTCACGTTTCGATTCCACGAGCACTGGACGGTCCAGTTTCAATGACAATCCTCATAATGCGTTTCCGCATACATTTTTGCACGCTGCGATGGACTGGTTGGAGATACAAATTGTGTCTTGATAGGGGTTCAGGGACAATTGGTCGTTTAGTAAAGAGCGTGCAATGGTCCGGACCGGCATTGAAGATGCCCTCGCTTCAAGAGGCACCGGTCAATTCATCCTATAATGCTGGCTTGAGAAGAAGCGAGTTTGATTATCGACTCAAGAGGAGATTAAGGGTTGCTCATGTGCTCGGACGGGAATGTAAAGACCGTTTCCCGCATACTTGGAGGGGACGATCTCGAGCCTTCGACGCGGAGATATCCAAGCAATCTTACCACTGCAATTCCACATCGCAAATCATCAGAAGCAAACAAAGGCATTGTCTGAACCTGACGGCTAACTTGTCCTCTTCTACCTGCTAGGAAACAATTGTCTTTTTCTTGATTTTAATCTCGCTTTTGGCCTCGATATAGCCTCACTCCTTTTAATGTGGATTTTGGCTTTCTAGCGCTTTTCGCATCTTACAACTTCATTCCTGTCCTGCACAAGAACGTTCGAAAGGACACACTGGATTGCCGACTGTACGTTGTGATCATTCTCGTTGCACCTCGATTCCCCCCCTGACGATCTCCCCACCCCTTCACAGGGTTTGTGCCTGTACTCCTGTTTCTACATTCCGGAGTGCACCTAGGCTTGCCAGTCCAGGAACCGGTTCCTAGGGCGAAGGCGTTCAGTCGTACTTCGTCTTTCGAATTGGTATTCTTCAGAGTTCATCTCGCCGGGTCATTCCTTGTGTCTTGACCCAGCCTAGATGCCAGACACGCCGTCACGGTAAGGGTTGCATCGTGCCCTCTGCCCGAAGGCCTTCTATCTGGGTTAGTACTTTTTTATCCCCAGGGAGTCCCCCTTTTCACCCTCGACCTCTTCCCTCTTCTCTTCTCCTTGGGCCTTCCTTTCCCAACTACAAACCTTTCTTTAACATCTTATATTTCCTTTTGCTTCGCTCTTTCTTGCATCACACACTCTTTTGCCGTCTTGCTTTCATTATTACTCTCTTTTGATAATCTTAATCTCAACGTATACTAATTTTAACTTCATCTAGCTCCGGCCACCTAAAAGGCTTTCCACCCACTACCTGGCTATCCTTTCCCTTTCCAGTGCCCGGACTATCGCCATCTTACTGGACCCTTTCTAATATCTCCAACTAATTCCGTTCATTAATCTCCACACCTAATTCGGCGACTGTCACTCTCTGAACTCCGTCGTTCCCTGATAGACCCGAGTCTAATCAGATCCACACTCTTTACAACAATAATTCCTTCGGATCGTTATACTTCTCAGTCCGACAACATGGCCTACCAAAAGCGTCCTGCCTCCAGCTATCAGCCTTGTGATACCTTCTTTGTGGAGTCGTATGACGACTTCCCGGCTCCGCGGATGGAACCCAAGGAGCACGCGAGACTGATTGCCCGCGAGCGTCAGTATGCCATTGCGGATGAGCTTTCCAGAATTACTAGTGAAGAGTTCCGTGATGACATTCTGGCGCACATGCTGGACATGGATGTTAGTATCTAGTTGGCTGGCTTTGTGAAACGCTCGTGGCTAATCTGCTTCTACAGACCGCCACCCTTCCTGACGTCGAATCGATCGACATCCAGACCGAGATTCAATGGTTCATGCGCCCCTATCTCCTTGATTTCCTGATTGAAGCCCATACCGCTTTCCAACTATTGCCGTCTACTCTCTTCCTGACAATTAACTTGCTCGACCGATACTGTTCGAAACGTGTCGTTTACAAGAGACATTACCAATTGGTCGGGTGTGCGGCTCTGCTCATCGCTGCCAAGTATGGTGACAAGAAGGACCGTGTTCCTACCATCAAGGAGCTCAAGTCGATGTGCTGCTCCCTTTACGACGATGACATGTTCATCCAGATGGAGTGGCACGTGCTGCAGACTCTGGGCTGGACGATTGGACACCCCACGGTGGACAACTTCCTGCAGATGGCTGTTATGGACTGCCCTTATGATGCGGAGGTTGAGCACCTGGCTCTGTATATTGCGGAAATCTCGCTGTTCCACCGGGAGTTCGTTTCCAAGCCTTCATCCGATCTTGCTAGAGCCTCCTTGGCTCTTGCACGGTGCATTCTGAACCGAACTCAGCCTCGTCACACTGAGTGGTCATCTCAATACGACTCCATGACACTAGTAGGGTTGTCACAACAATTACACCAGCCCTCCCAGGTGCTCTCCAGGAAGTATTCATCGGCCCACTACTCGCGGGTGTCGAAGGTCCTGGAGCAATTCCTCGCCCGCCAGGCCTCCGTTGCGAGCTACACGCCCCCTAGCCCGCCGTCCGATGTTGTTCCGGCCGAGTCTAAACCCTATGAAGGGGAGATTGGTCTTGCTACGCCCCAAAAAGCCCCGCAATCCACTATGGCTCACGGCTACATCACACCGCCAATTACTCCTGAAAATGAAGTCTTCGCCAACGGTGGCAATCCCACCTTTGCCAAAGGAGTATCTGGCGCTAGCGCCTGTTCTCCGTCCCCCACGCCCCCTCCTAGTGCACCATACACGGATGCTCCTTCCTTCACGCAAGAGGCCACATACCAGCAGCAATATCTTCAGCCTCAGATGTCATTCAGCACCGGATACTGAATTTCACTTAGCTGGAATCTCTGTCGATAGTATATCATCTCCTCGCTCGATGCCTAGAATCGATGTACCTTCCGCTTGTGCCATAGTTGCCAACTGGCCATCACTGGTCTACAATCCATTCTCGATCCGATCGCAGGCAGTCTGCTGAATGGGATTATTTTTCTATCCTCTACTAACCCCCTTCCTTTGTCCTGTCCAAAAAAATGCATACCCCATTTTCGATTCGCATACCATCACTTGGGTTGCCCAAGTTGCATCTAGCTCGTTTCTCATCTTTTATAACTAGCATTGCAAGCGCGAGCTGTTCGAATTTATTTGCATGTTGCTGTATTTTCTCTTTCTCTTATTCCCCGTTTTCGACCCAGTCCAACGATGCAGACTTTATCTTCTGCCGCTGCGGGGTTCGAAGGTGTTGTCCTTTTCATGTTTTCCCGCTCCCCCATTTCACTTTTTGACACTCGTAAAGAACATTAATTTGGCTCAAACTCTGACCTTCATTCTGCATTCCGGTGGAATCGTGTGCATGCTTTTGATAGCGTGACGCGCCGCTGTGCCTTTGTCATTTTATTGAATGATGGAATGAGGTTTTACAACAAAGCAAAAAAAGCATAAAAGAGCTCCCCTGTCAGTGCGAACCAACATATCAGACCAAAAACTTACATACAAAACCAAGAAAAAATAAAGATAAAAATAAAAGAACCACGAGACGAGGGAGTTCGAGAAACCCAAAAACATCATACCCTCGATAAAGTTTTGTGATTTGAGTGCTTGTCGCCGGCAGCCATACAGTACACATAGCCTTCGTTCCCCATACACCCCCCAAACCTACTATATTCACACCATATATTAACAAGAAGGCGAGCAAGAGGGCGAACAAGGAGGTCAACTATAATTTAAAATAACAGAGATGGCCAGAAGAATTGATAGATGGCGCAGCTTCAGGGGCAGACAGACAGACAGTCTTGCCTTCCATCGAGAAACGTTCTGTCTCTGCCTCCTGCCTGCCTTTGGCGCAATTCAGTTTGCGTCTTAGCAAATGCAAACCTTTCCTTCCAAACTACACTACCCTTGCATCACAGACCTGCCATGATTTGGGGAGGTAGTTAACTAGTTACTTGCGCCATCAATCCTTGAGTAGGTATGTAAAAGGTAACTACCTCCACGTATGTCTATCTCCCCAAGATACATGCTGGGCGATCACAGGAGGAGAAAAAAGGAGGGAGCAAGTGAAGTGGGCGGAAATGGAGTAAGTCGTAAGAAGCGAAGAAAGATGGGCTCCCAGGCTGTACCTAATGCAAGCCCGCCTGCCTTTGCCGAAGTAGGGAGGAAAGTCGAGGGTAAAACCGTGGGGGGGGCGGGGGTTGATCACTGGGGAGGGATACCGTTCAATGTTTGCAGAAAATGGTGATGCATGCCCCTGTTTGCCAATAGAAATGATTCATGGCTTTTTTTTTGGGGAACTAGTGAAACGAGCATGTCGGCGGTACATTATGTTCTACTTGCTGCATAATTGACCGGGTTATGATCTCGAGGCCGATGAAAGAGCAACAAGATTGTATGTATCCATGATTGCCAGTCGATTGAAGTAAGTAGGTATGAGATGAGTTGTGATTCGGGAAGCTATTCCATTGGGTTGCTTCTGCCGGCGACTCGTTCCATTCGAATTTCCAAGAGAAAGCGTTTGGAGGTATCATGCCTGGACTATATTACTTATGTCTTTGTGCTGGGGTTGCGGTCAAACCCACAGGCTCAGCTTGGAGATTGTCCTCAACGTCCAAACCCGAGGTTCGTTTGATGCAGTGAGTGGTTTATAAACACATCTCCACCATCCGTTTGGGTGAAGGGTAGGTAGGTATGTAGTTAGAAATTTATATTGTAGTAAGTAGTACAATAGTATCACACTCCGAAATCAGCATACAGTACAGATTAATCCTCTTGATCAAGACACACTCCAGCAGTTAGTAGCAATAACCCAGCAGCATCTGTCATGTCGAACAAGATGGTACAGTATCATGGTAAGAGAGTGAGTAGGAAAAGTGCGACCAGCGCGCTTCCTGTTGATGCTGCTGCTGCTGCTGCTGCATCTACAGTCGCAGACTGTCATGAGCAATGATGGGTGCAGCGCAGTAGCAGGTGCAGCAGTGGTGCTTCTGCATAGACGGATGCGGAAGCGAGCGAATGAACGAGTGATATGACATGACATGATGCGACGTGAGATGGCATAATGAAAAACACAAGAGGACACGGAATAAAACACCCCACGCTAAGCGGATTGGAAAAGCAGCAGAAAGAGAGAGAGAGATTCGGTGCTGGGAAAGGGGAGGAATGGGGGAACTGACCACACTGGCGCAGGGCGGATCAGGATAACCCTAGTTCTCATTGCTTGCAAGCAAGGGGAGGTCGGACTTTGGCTATCTCATCACAATTCATCCTAAGGACAGGACTCGACCGAGTCAGAGAACCATAAACCTCAGTCTGCACCAGTGAGATGAAGGAATGCAACACGTGTGGGTGCGTGTCATGGAGTGAATGGTGTGGAGGAGTCTGGGGAGGGGAAGAAAAAGCATCAGAAATAAACCCGAAATATGGCACAATAGTGTACAGTACGATACAGAACATAGGTAGGTGTAGGAAAGAAGGAATTCTCCGGAACAACAATTCCAAAGTGAAATGGCGAGATTCAATGCACCTTCGTCAAGGGGAGGGAGAAGGAAATGCGGTGACGAAAGAGTCTAGAATGGCGAGAGAAGCAGCATCCGTTGAATGCCGGTCGAGAGCCAAACTTAGCGGCCGTCGATCGGTCTGCCTCACTTCTAGAGACTCAAGCCGCGCGGTTGATTCGCGCTCCCGGCGACAAGACAAGACCGATCCCCCAGCGACTGCCAGCAGCGCTTCGGAGGATCTACTTGTTCGGCTCCGGAACTATTCACTTCCACCGTTGCTTATCCCAGTCCGAAGGTCTCGTCTCGTCAAAGAGTTGTCCTCCCTGGTTGTGAACAACTACCGGGGGTTGGTTTCGACGAGGGCCAGCATGCGAGCCTAATTCGGGGGTTCTGGTCAGTGACAAGGAATATGCGGAGATAAGATCTAGACACAACGTACCTCGCATGTCCGTCACCACCACACGGTTTCCGCTGCTGCCACTGCTGGACAGGGAGGAAGTAGAGTCGCTGACTTTGTGAGGCATGTTGATCAGAGGTATAGAAAGGTTGGGGCTGGGTTTAAGTGGGTGAAATAGATGTAGTTGTTATTATTAATAAAGTGAGGGTAAAGGCGATGACAGGAGTTATATAGAGACCTGTGGCTGATCTGTGGCTGAGCAAGGCAAGATGCTGAGGCACACAAAAGGTAGGAATCAGGAGATAATGAAGGATGAGAAGAAGAGAGTACACTGATTGTGGTAAAAACTGTTGTGATTGTGATTGTAGCTGTAGTTGTAGTTGTTGGTAAAAAAAAAAAGTAGGGAGACGAAGGGCAGGACGATGGGGCCCTTTTGTATGTTTCGCAACGGTAGCAGGAGAAAGAAGTATACCGGAAAATAGTAGGTAACCAGCAGAAACAAACCCAGGCTGGAGCCTGGTGCAGTGCCAAAAAAAAAACTGATCCTATCGCATCTGTAGTGGTTCCCCCGGGTTTTACGACCCAGGAAGAAGGGCAGATCGCTCATCTTGCAGAGCAACTAGTAGGAAGAAGCTCCGGGCCCGCCTGTCTGCCCCATACTCGCATTAGTACTGTATCTACGCTCCTACGCAGCATCGTCGATCTCTCTCATCCTCAATGCGCGGCCCTGGACTGGCTCCCGACGTCATGGTCTCAAGCCCAACAGAGAACCGAATGTCTGGAATCCTCATCGAAGCGTCGAGGCTCCACCGTGCCAGGCTGCCAGGGGCAAATAGAGCCTGACTGGAGACGAGGCGGCGAACCGGATGATTCGTCACTTGAACTGCCAGGGCGGAGGGCGGTTTCAGGTCCCATCGGGGTTCGATCACTAAGCATCATAGCCAGGATCCATCGTAGTTAGAGGAGTGTGTGAGAGAGAGAGGACGCTGTGAGTGCGAGTGAGCCTGATTGCGGGGGGCACCAGCCACACTTGTGTTCTCCTGAGCACCGCCTGACTCGGAGTTGGACACATCCCCTATTGCTTAGTACTGGTATTTACCCAGTTCTTCGCCTGAGGGAGATGCTGTGGCGCGGAAGAGGCTGAGACCTTTCGTCCAATAGATTGGGCTTTATACTGAGGATCCAGATAAGGTGATGATGATGAAGATCCTGGTGATGCTGGTCTGGTCTGGTCTGGTCTGAGTCTGAGTCTCGCCTTGCTTGTCGGTCGTACACATACGGAGTAGAAAAGCTACGAGAGGGCGACCAACCCCGGCCGATGACCGTATAGAACACTCTACAAACAGTTCTGGTTGGTGGTGTTGCCGTATCCAGACCGTCAATTACAGCCTCTTACTTCAGCTGATCACCTGACTCCACCCCATCACAGCGCAGCTTATTCAGAAACCAACCCCGACCGAAATAGTAGCACGCCTTTCGGACGGATAGCCACTCTCGCCAGCTTCACATCGCATCATCGCATCATCCTCAGTCCCAGCCGGTGTGTGTGTGTGTGTGACCCGAGAGACGGTGAGAGGATCGTCCTGACTTCTCAGACAATGGACAATAATGATGCTATTATCAGTTGGTCTTTTTCCGGATACCAAGCCTGGCAGCCGTGCGCCATCATCTACTATTAGCTTTCCATAGTCTGCGCGATCCCCCTGGACCACTCACTGCCTGAATATTCAGTCATCGTCCGTCTCTCACTGATATCGTGTACTGCTACTCGGCGCAATCGAACGTTAGTGAAGTGTGTTTTCTTTCAACGGGCGGCCGTTTCTGCGGTGTAGCGTGTAGTCTGTAGGTTACGTACCACCCTACCTTGCAGCAACTACACTGTAGTATTGGTGCTATCATACAGTAGAACCTTGGTTTGGAGCTCGAGTAGCTTACCAGTGGTGAACACTGCTAAGGACCTACTATAGCTAACTTAGCTAGCCATGCATTACAGTATGACCCCCGGCCCCCAACCCTCCCCCATAACTTTGGAGTAGCGGTACCTCAAATAAGCCCCTAAACCCGCCCGGGCCCAGCCATGGCTCCATGAGAACTCCAATGAAGTTAACTACGCCCAGTCTCTAATGGTACTAGTAAGCAGTGTTTCTATTAACTACTCCGTACTACTCCATACGAACTACTACCCTCGATATCAGATGATCCTACCACCCCCGTCTTCTTGATCTCACCGCTATATCGAGCCTACGCTTCTCGCCCGGAAGAAGACGGAAGCTCTTCCCTCGCGAAGTAAACCAGTACGTTTATCACCTGCAGGCCTGCAGAGGCACCGTACACGCTAGGGAACGGGGGGAAAGAGACAGTGACCGTGCTGGCGAACTACTAGGCGTAGTGTATCTTTGTCCACGTAAACTTTACTCGTTGGACCGTACGATACCTTAATCACAATGTACGTTCAGGAACGAGGTTGAAACAAGACGTGTCAGGTTTTTGCGGTGGTAAGGTTAACGAACATGTTCCTGTTCCTCGAATCCTTGCGGACAGGGCGAGACAGGTCTCCTGCGCATGACACGGTAGGTAGGTACCAGTACCAGACCTACAGGCGGTGCTGCACCGCGGCCAGTTGTACCTGCGTTGTGCCTCAGCTGCTCCTGTTTCCCTTGTTGACGACAAACCCATATTACATAAGGTCTGAGTCATTAGTGTTGAGTTGGTTGACTTAGTACCTAGTAAATTATTGTTGCCACTTCCAGCGGGCTAGACTGCATGGAGACTAATTGCTAGGCGGAGAGTGAGGCTGCACGGATTGGCATATACTGGTTGGCTGGCTGGCTTTTCCTCGGGCTCTTTATTGAGTTTACTGTGTATTGATGCACACGCATCATGGATAATGAATGATGCGTCGGCAGGCAGACATTTTAGGCAAGGAATCGGCTGGCGGCAGCTTGTGCTTGAAGGCAGACGCTGGTGGAGCCTACGGTGTACTCCGTAGACTGGATGGGAGGGATGCCTTTGTTGCCTGTGGTGTTGTTGTTGTTGGGTACGATTGCCAGCACTGACGCTAATCCCGAAATGGTCTTAGCCCGCTCTTGGGCTTATGTGCATAACGACGTAGTGATCCGTCAGCTGTACAAAGTGTGTGCCCAAGCCAGGGGTCGGTCTCTTCAGGACCCAACAATCAACTCATCATCCACAAACTGACGCAGACAGGGCTCTGTGACTGTATGACCCTCTGTTTTGAATTCACTGGGGCAGATATCAGTACCATCGCAGGGGCAAATGGGTTCTCCATGGTAAGAACCAGGACCCATGTTTCAGAGTCCCCCCTATGTGTGGAGATATTGGACGTCTGAGGTCTGCTTTGTGTCTCCTCATTGTTTGAAGTCCATGTATGAGCCTGAGCTTCAAGGAGGTTGAATTACTCGTGCTTGACCATATGCTGAGGGGCTAACTATTGGGTGGGTTGTAGATGTAATCGGCCATATGTAGACTGATTATCCGGAATAGATCACGCATATTTCAATTCTCCCAGACATAGATACGTGCATACTATACTTACTGGCTTCAGTTTTGGTCTCTTTCAACTAGAATAGAAGGTTGTTCTGGTCCCATTTCAGTTGCAGTTGTTAAATTCCAAAGAAGTATACTCATCTGTAGAGTACGGCTGTCCTATATCTGGAGGGTGTCTGGCAGCAAACTGATTGAAAGCCAGTCCACACTGGTTCAGGACCAGTGTATTAGCACAAAGACTATCTAGAGTCATTCGGTCTACCGGAGGATCTGAGACTGTCAAGTTCAGGCAGCGCTGCTCCCCAGTATCGATGATCTAAACATCTAACATGACATGCATGGTAGTTCCAGTGAGGTTTCCATGTTATTTGACTGCTGAAGAAACCCCAAGCCCAGGGTCATGCTATGTATACTACCTATGTATGCGTCCTACAGGGTGGCTTGACGATATTAGTTCATATGCAAAGAGTCAGGTTGGAGTGTAGAATATACCAACATGCCAAGAATCGTACACATCTCATCCCATCGAACATAGTCACGTACTTGAATTAGCATCGGACTTCCACCATGAAACTCCTCACATGGGTATTAAGAAACCTGGCTTTCCGCCGGGTTTGCCACGTCTGAAGTTGATGGGATTGCGCAGGATCATTTGCCAAGGTCCGCGGCGTGGCCGATAATATTTGTTTCCTCCACTCGTGTGACCGCGTAGAATGTGCAAGAAGCCGAGGATAGATATCTCAATTCAGCGTAGTGATTGTGTGACAGTTGGGTGCCACTCACTCTGCTGTAGTTGTTAAATAGATTTCAGTCGCATGTCAAGCTCAGTCCGTGAAGGGATGATGCTTCGTCCGTCTCGAGGGAAGAAGTGTGGTACTGTAGCTATATCGACCTGGAGAGCTGGCATGAAGTACGGCAACCTAGAAGCAAGAATGCTGCGGTTATCTTATGATGAGGGGACATGGTTGCATCCCTCCTGTGGGTTGAGATCGATATCCTGAGGCAGCCCTGCTAATACGGCATGCTGACAATCATTCTAATCAGAACTTCGCGCATGAACCCAACGAAATGTTAAAGGAAATGTGGACATGATACTGTAGACGGTCAAGTTATCCAAGTACAACAATACCAGCTCTTTCAAGGTCCACTAGATGCTACAGGATGGTATCCAGAGGGATGCTCGAACCAAAGGTCGCGACACAACGAAGTCGCAGCCCCAAAGATGACGTGAGAATAGACGAGCTCGGTATGCACATTCATGCCAAAGAAGAGCCTACCACCTTCGAACTCCGTCAATCCAGACCCCAGTGCCCAGCACCGGCACAAGCTAGGGGTCTGACTCTTGAATGAGACATAACTACCGGTGTAAGCTGAGAATGAGGGGTGACTGGACCCTAGTCATCATGCAGGGCCTAAAGCGGAAGAGATCTGTCTCTGTAGTGAGCGATCAACACATACTTCTGAGACAACCAACACGAGATTTTGATCAGAAATGGAGGATTTCATACATTTACCTTATCCGATTGGTGTGGGAGCAATGTGGGGGATGGGAGGCAGTGCTGACAGACGCCGCCAGGTACAGCCGCCTAGGGTCAAATAACTAAGCATTTAATTCGACGGATCGAAGGAAGGGTCCAGTTCAGTCGCCAAACTCTACGCCTACCCTATACTCCTCGTACACTTGGAATCCCAACAGTAACTACCGACCGAACAGAAAAAGTCACTTTTCGACGATGCAACTCCTTCCTACCACCCAACACATTCAACACAACTCGAGATGCAGGGCTCAGCATTCAGCAACGTCTGGGGCCGTTTCAGGCGTCCCGCCGAGCTTCTCGCGTTGATGCTTCTCGGTCATCATTGGTAACACCTTGGGCCCTACATGGGGTCACAGAATATGCAAAGCAAACCTGGAGGGAGGGCAGTCTCCGACAGTCTATAAAAACCCCCTCGAACGACCACCATCGAGTCGAAAATATCACTATCAATCATCAGCTTAAGCACATCAAGCAACAATTGCAATTGCCCTTTCAAAGCAGTCCTCTTTCTTGTCAATCCTGTTCAAAGCTTCGAGCTGAAAGCACTGTCACAATGGTCAAGGCCACTACCATCGCCCTCGCCATCATGGCCACCATCTCCCCCTTCGCCGCGGCCAGCAACTGCCAGACAGGCCTGCAGTACTGCGGCTACAATCTTCTGAAGCGAGGTAAGGTGATGATGTCAATGACTTGACTTGATATTTCAACCGCTTCCTCTCTCCGCTTCGCGCCCCCCTCTTTCTCTTACCTGTTAGGAAACTGAGTGTTGGATTATGAATAGGAAACTACTACGCCCAAATCGTCAACGCCCTCGAAGCAGCGGGCTACCCGACTGACAGCGCCCACGTCGAGAATACCTTCTTCCAGTGCCTCGGGGGCAGCAACGGGGACATCGAAGTCCTCCAGTACTGCTCTGCGTGCCAGGATGGTGGCAGTAACCACAGTGATTCCTGCTAGGCCGCTGACTGGCTCTGGTGATTCCTTATGATTTCCAGCCGGAGAGACGTGCGTGGTAGAGGTGTACTGTGTGGCTCTCGGTTTCTCTTGGTTGGAAGACGGAATGAAGAGGGAGGGATGAAGTCAAGGCAGATTGTTATTCTTGTTGTTTTGTTGTTGTCGCTTTTTGTTGTTTGCTAGTAGTTGTTGCTATACTCCTGACCCATTCTGTCCATGCTTTGTAGCTTGAGGTTGCAATGGTAACAGGAGCAGAAGGACAGTCCCGAACTCCTACTAGCTTGACTAAGCGCTTTTATGCCCATTGATATCATACACCTACCTCTGTATATCTCCCATGTAGAGCAGTGCAAGCGTTATTGGATGATGACACGTACTGAAGGCACATCCAGAGAGCCACCTAGTAGGCAAGTAGAAGTGTCGCGCAATAGTAGACCCGACCCATGACTGACAGTCAGGTCAGCTATGGCTGAACGATACTATATTCGTGCATCGGCTTACCGTGCCTCACTAACGATGTATCTGTGATTCTGCTCGTCTTTTATAGTTAGCAACCTGCCATACACTGCCATCGTAATGAAGAAAGCCACTAGGTGGAAAAGTATAGACCTGCAGCGGAAGTAACATCAATCTATCAGGAGTGTTACCTTGTCATACCAGTCTGCTCTAGTCGGTTGGTTCTTCTTTGGTGCGAATTTGACATTCGGGAAGGGGGAAAGACAAATAGAGAAAGAGATGACAAGAGGAGAATCTCCTGAAGGATTGGTTGGTATCTTAGCTGCTCGCACTTACAGGCAGCGTTAGTTTCGGTGGATCATACTCGGATATCATATACCTTGTCCATCCACCGTCGGTTATTTCTGCTCAGGTCGTGCAGTTGTGTCGATTGCTGGTGGTATATCGCATAAGCATGTGACCCTCCAGGTATCTCTACGACAAACAAGACCTACGAAACCCCCCCCCCGCCGCAGACTATGTCGTTAGTCTTGATTCTCGCATACCTATCGTACATTTATATCACGGATCAAGGAGCAGACGTCCCCCAGCTGTACAGACAACCCCTTCCCCGGAAAATCTTAGCTAAACGAAACCCAGACCCCTAGCTAAACGACAACGACCCCAAAAAGTCCGTCGCATTCAACGCTTCCGGGATCTCAGGCCTCACCACCTCCTCCTCTCCCTCCTCCTCCTCATCCACATACTCCTCCTCCCAAGCCGTACTACTTAAAAAGCCCACCTTAGCCATGTACCCCACCAACGCTGCCACGCCGCCCACAACCACCGCGACCGACAACCAGACATCCTTCTTATAGCTGGTCGCATGCTTAGCCAGCGCGGAACGCTCCTCGGGCGACAGCTCTGCCTCCTGGGCCAGCGCAACCTCGCGCATGCGCGTGTTGACGCGGTAGTCCCGCCAGACGGGGGTCGCCTCCGCAACCGTGTTCCAGATGGTATTGCCGACGGTCCGCCAGTGCGGCCGCTCGGTAGGGCGCCATGGCAGGGCGTCGTTGGCGAGCCACGCCGTCTGCCTGTCGCGCACCCACTCCACCACGCGCGGCGCCTTCTGGCGCATCGCCTCGCCCAGCCACGCCTCCTGCAGGTGCTCCGCGCCGAGCGCCGCCAGGCACCCGTACCCGAGCAGCAGGCAGTCGACGCTCGTCGGCCGGTCCCCGCCCAGGAGATACTGTTTGTGCGCCGGCAGCATGGCGGCCAGCGGCTCGAACGCCGCCGCCGTGACCGCCTCCATGCGGAAGCGGTGGCTGGGGACAAGCCCCGAGGTGGTCGCAGGGGTGGTGGCTTTCAGGAGCGGGAGGGAGGCTGGGAGGCGGCCCGCGGCGACGGCGGCGGAGTGTTCGCGCTTGCGGTCCTCTTCCAGGGCGACAAGGTCCAGCGACGACAGGCCGAGGTGGTCGGAGGCACGCTTGGCGGCGGCGCGGTGTTGCGGCGGGATCAGCCAGGTCGAGGGCCAGCTGAGGATCTGCGAAGAGTAGGCGGGGAGGACGGAGGAGTAGTAGTTCTGGCTAGTGACGTAGAGAGAGAGGGCGAGGAGCGGGGGGAATTGTGTGTCGAGGAAGGAGGTGAATCTGTTTGTGAATGATGGACGACTTAGTACTGGGTCATGTCCTCAATCACTGGGGGAGGGGGGCAACGTACGCGATACTATCCGCTCGATCGAGTCCGGTCAAATCGGCGTCCAGATCCCAGTCGCCCGAGGAGTATTGGCGGAGGTAGTCGACTATGTTGCGGAAGTGGGAGACCCAGGTGTTGCCATTTCGGAGGGCGGGAAGTTCGTCTGTTTGAGACAACCAGAATCAGTTTACTTGCCTTCTGAGCTAATCTTGTCGCAAGCAGGTGATTCTTGCCAAGGGGCATACTCACTGGTCGGAGACACCGAGGGATCGCTACTTGCGACGAGCACCCACGCGTCCTTGGGCAGGGTGAGAGATAAATAGGCAATGGTCGCCAGACATTGCGCGTCAATGGATGGCAGCGAGAACGCCGGCCCCCAGACATGGAGTTTCAAAACCATCTTGGCTGTTGAGAGGCTGCGCGTGCCGATGAATCGCCCGGACAAGGCTGTTGCGGTGCCGGTGCAAAGGTGCATCGGACTTGTTGATCGCGACCAATCACGTGCAGATTGCCTTATCCCGCACGGTCTAATGCCTCAGGCACCAAGGAGCGGACTGTTTCATGGTGTGCTGCCTGAGGCAGACAGAAACGTGCACCGGTGGCCATGTTCTACCATCTACTCGTAACCACTATCGATCATCCAAGACCACCAGGATCCGATGGTCACAAGAGACGGAGAAGAGGGGCACGGGCTACTTGATCAGCCTGGCCTACCATCTCAAGTAGATTAAACACGGTTTCAATATGGCGTTATCGGGATGTATGATAAGCGAGGGGGAGGACGAAACACATGACACTGACAATTCCGCAAGTATGAGCAATTTAATCTAAACCCTCGTCTGGCAGTCGGAATTCTAGTCAATGCAACCAGCAACACGAGCACATCATCTCCCTCCTGACACCCCCCGGTAGCTAGGGATCGCTAAGACACCATCGGAGGAGGGAGGGAAAGGGGTGAGGGGGACGATCGAGTGATAAGCAACCACCGCCACACCACAGGATTAGGCACTTATCACGCTACTCATCTCTATTCTCTGATTTACGGGAAGTAGTAAATGACAATCGCATCCTCCCGCGTCGAAGCGATCAGTACCAGGCAAAAGCAAGACACCTCATTCCTGCTTTTCCTACCTGAACTAATAGGATAATGGAAACCACCCACACTTCCTGAATCGACGAGCCGCAGGTACAACACATCAAACGCACTGGCGCTGCTCTAGTTCGTACTTCGTAGCGAAGGAGGAGGAGATTTGAGGGGGGGAGGAAGCAAGATTTCCAGCTGGTGCTGCGGCCTTCCAAATAACTTAAACATCCAGGTACTCCCGGAATAAGGAACTCAATTGCCCGTTCCCGACCATACAAGAGAGCACATGGCAAATGGCATGATATCCGTTTCAGCGAGCAAGTGCGGGTAAAAGTGGGAACGTGCCTGGGCCGCAATGTGTTCAAGGGTGGGTGTGAGGTTTGAAGGGAGGGAGGGAGAGGCAAGGGCTGGAGAGGGTGTGTGTGTGTGGGACTGTGAACATAAGGAAGCTAGAAGTGGCGTTAAACCCAGTCCGGTATCCCCTCCCCGCGTTCAAGGCCAGCCGGGGTCAGGATACTAAAAGGTCTGGTCAGTTGACCTCCTGCGATCGGACATGCCGGGCTAGACACGTTGTTGTCGTGGACAGACAATGGATGATGGTCGACTTGAGGAGAAAACTCTCTCGATGGCCTAGAGGGTAGATTCCCAGTTAAAAGAAAAAAAACAAGGATACGGGGACATTATACTAACGGTTCAACCAGTTGCAATCAGTTTCACCCCCGCTTGCTTGAATTCTTACCAAGGGATTGGAAGCGGATTCGGTCCAGGGATAGTCAACAACTTAAGTCAGTGACTGGAAGTCAACAACTCGGTGGCTAAACTTACTGAGTCTTCGAGCTGATTCATGGACCTGTGGCAGTGACTGTAGCTTATCATGATCACATCGTCAGATTGCCCTATTCAGATCATCAGGCTCTCGGATTCCCTGTCATACATATGCATGCCAATTGATAGTGCATGTGGGTGGATCAGCTCACCGGACTCTCCACTATCCGTTGCCTGCCCATTATGATAATCCCAATAGCACTAGACATAAGTCATGATCCTACGGATAAATAGCAAAAGGAAAAGCACAGTACAGCCTCGTCTCTAATCCTTCTCCTCTATCTCCTCCTCACGGACCCAGCGCCCAGCGCGTGCCACCTCGGGAGCGGCTAGAGAAAGGTACATACCAGGCTGCCTTCAGCTCCCGCTAAGGCGGAAGCGTCATCGGCCAAGATGATGATCTCGTAACCAGTGATTAGGATGATGATAGTCATCGGCAACGTCATCCAGGCGGCTGTTTGAGTCATAGTTCCGCTTTTACGTCTTGTTTTGTGTTATCAGGTGCGAGAGTTACAGATCATCATTTGTAAAAGCGGGGAAAGAAGAAGATGGTCAGTGAGGTTGGCTGCTTCATCGAGCGATGGTATCATGATCCCTGTTGGGCCGGGCATCACTCAGCGCAAGCGGCCGTCGATCCTCAATTTACGAAAGGAAAATCCCGTTGATCCGCCGTTTTAATGCGGCCAATGGGACTGTGTCGGCTTACAATGAGGTGTTTACAGATTGAAATGATAAGTAATAGTTAGAGGGTAAGCAAGTATGGTTAATCTCATTAGGCGATGTCAAACCGCGCGCGCACAGTAAGATGCGATATGCTGGTGGGTATATTAAGTCTATTATACATGCACGTGGAATCAAGAGGAAGCTCAGACCCTTCAAAAGACGAAGATAAGGAATCGGAGATGGTACAAGAAGACAGGGCCGGATGAAGAAAGTAAAAGAGAAAAAGAAAAAAACCCCACCGATGATTAAAAGTGGTAGGCTTGAGAAATGCAAAGGTGAAACCATCCGCCAATAGCAATGCATGATGGAAACACACCAGACAGATCAGCGCATTGACATCCCCCCAGCGCAGTGAGGATGAGTACGTGGGAGAGAGGGGGCCCGGCAATCCAAGCAGGATCCGAGACTAAGGTATCTCACATGGGAACCGAGCGGGCGGGGGAGTCGTGTCGTCACCGACTCTAGCGGGGTTGCATATATGGTGGAAAGGCTGAGGGACCCACGAATAACCGTGCGACCCGCCCTGGTCCAGACGAAACACATGCCACTCCATCCATAAGAAGGTAAGGTAGTTTCCAGCTGGCAACAGTCGTTGCAGGATCGGAAATTCAAGCGGCAGGGTCCGCTGCTCGGTCCACCGGGCCACGTACGAGCTCCGGGAGTGATGATGTGTTGATGTCGCAACATTCAAAGCGCAATTGCCGGGTTCGAGAATTGGAGCAAAAGCGCCTGCGCTTTTGGTTTCCAGAATCGTAGAGAAGTGAAACTTCTCGGCCACAAGAGAAGATTCGGTCAGATGCTGTCGCGTAGTCCCGAAAGTTGATAGAGTCAATATGCAAGAGGTGGTTTTGAAGCGTGTTGAATAAAAGGCGTATGTGGTAAAAAGCCGTAGTGCGGGTCCCAAAAACGAAATCGTCATATCCATGCCAAAGGGTGCAGCTCCCATATCATGAGCGATTCGAACCGGCCCCCTTGATCGAGTAAATCATCAAAGCGCGGAAGATGCGAGGAAGAGAAGCCGGTCCGAATCAATTGGTCGTCAGGTTCATATCGAGATGGTACACCCCTTTTGTTTACTTAGGGAGCGGGGGAAGAGGTCCCTTTGGCGGAGGGCCGGGGCAGGGAGGAAATTGAGAGGTAGCAATGGAAGGCATTGTGATGTGATGTGGTTGTAGAGGGCCGAAAGGGGTGGTGATGGTAGTGTTGTTGAGGCAGAGGATGAGGAGTATTTGCCGGGTGGTGAGAGTGGTCGATAGTGGTGATGATACTTTGAATGGTTTCAAGATCGTTGAGGTCTAGGAAGAAAGAGGAAAGGAAAGTCTTCAAGTCGAGGTTCCAAGGAGCCTAATATATACACTTGAATCTGAATCTCTGTCGCAGTGTTGTTTTTTCGTTTTATTATTTTTTTTCCCTTAATCGTTTTTTAAAATTATTTTTAATTTTCCTTTTTAATTCTATCTGGACGAGCAAGAAAAATCACCGACTAAGAATGATTGGCGTTCGACGGGCAGCGCGCGCGCCAGGAAAATCAACGATCAAAAAAATAAAAAAATAAAAAATAGGAAAAAAAAACATATCCCCCATTTAATATTAAGGACGTAACCCCTGTCGGGAACAGGAGAGCTGAGCTCCACTCCGGACAGAAGGGAAAAAAAAACCGAACGACGTCAGAATCTGACGGTTCTTACACTAGTGTCATACCGAGTGGGCTGCCAGATGGGAAACAGATTGGCAATCCGATGGGAAGAACCCCAAAAGGGAAATTCCAGAGAAATTTTCTAGAAGTTCTTCTCCGTCCTCTGTTTCCCCTCCCCTTCTCGTCCCACTATCGGCTGCCCGGGGTTTGTAACTACGATTTCGCCTCCCCCTTTTTTTTTGTTTCTGTTTAACAAACTTGCTCCGCAGGTTTCATTATTGATTGACTGCGCATGAGGGTTGCGTATGGAGACTTGAGAGCTTAATCTTCATTGAAGGTTCCTTTGCCCACCCCTCCCCCTCGTTGCAGAAATAAGTCTTGCTCAGTCTCAAACCTAATTGAATGTGTCGGAGGTACCCGACAGACAACAGATGCAGTAAGGGTTACGAAGTCGACAAACGGTCAATGGCTTTGTCGACTTTTGGTACAGAGGAGATAGAGAAATTCTTCCATCCATCTGACCGACCCAACAGAATCAAGAAGATCAACAACAACAGAAAGGAAATAGAAACCGAGCGGCGCCAGAGAATAGAATAGTTCACTTTTTTCTGGAAGTATTTCCAGGGCAGCAAGAGGGAAAATTACAGAGTAACAGTGAAAAGAGGCACCCACGAACGACCCACACTCCCTTGCTGAGGGTGTGTGAGTCTGCCGCATGTCAATATGTTTGCCTGTTAATGTCTTTCCGCCGTGTTTATTCCAAGCAGCCTTGGGATCTGGTTATCTTGCTTGTAGCCCTTAACGTTTTCTAAGTTCTATCCACTTCTGGTTCTTCCGCCTTCGACTCCAAGCGCCAGCCTGATGCTAAGTCAGAGAGATCGATGTAGAGTATAAGTTACATTGACTTCGCGCTTCTCTCGTCTTCTACTGCCCTGAATTAAGACTGACAGCCGCATTGACCCTCAGTTGCAATTTGCTCATAGTTACGTAAATGACCCAGGCTGAAGAAATAATTACCGGCCATCGCGATAAAGCGATTGAGTCATCATCATCATCCTCATCGCCAAAAGATGCTCAAAAAGATAACGACCACAATTGAGTCCTAACAGCAACACCTTCCCCACCCCACAAC